TCGTCGGGACGCACCAGACACCATGACCTGCGAGCAACCCGCACCCCACAACCCCGCGGCCTTGCAAGGCACTAGGGGCCATGCAGTCACTGTTGAGTAGGAGGGAGGAACAGACGAGGTGGGTAGATTGGAGCTGCAAAGGAGAGCTTGTAGAACACTACAATTGGCAACCGGCACAATTACATGGGTTTGTAGGCTTACAGTGGACATATGTGACATGTTTCGTAGCAAAGATGTGTTGGATTTGACGATATACGACAGAGTGGTATACTAGGCATGCGCCAGAACCCTTCGCAGAATGGAGAAAACGTACATCATGGACCTCTTCTGCACCATATGCCCTCCGTAACATCCGCCAACGGCTTCCAGTGAGCCCAGGTATCTCCATGTGATGTTCAAGGAAATATGTGCGATCGATGCAGAAGACGGCGTGAAACCGACCGAAGGCCAGTGGAACATCCGACATACGAGCGGCCAACTTAGAACCGGCACCGTGCCCTGCGCGTCGTAATCCTGAGCCGGAATACGCAAGAATGAAGTGGTTACATTGAGCTGTCGAGGAGATATCGTCGTCCGAAGTTCCTTTGGGGGCGCTTAGGAGGGGAAAACAGGCAAATGCGCGAGACGCGGCGCGACGCTCTCACGACAAGCGAGCTGAAACCGGCTGTAATTGACGTGCCTTTGGACCGCCACATACTCTGCCGAGGTTGCTCTTTCAGACAAGGCGCGGCATTGACATCTTAGAAAGTACCCTGCTGCACGAGCAGGCGATCGCCGACCAGTCTCCACTTATCGGCAATGCTTGGAATATAAGGGCAATCGGACCCACAGACCCAGATGAGAGAATGCTTCGTGGTACAGTCCGAGCATAATGCCGCATATCGTAAGATATAATACAGTTGACAACCAAACGACTTCATTGACCAGAGCCACCGGCAGCTTGCGACATCGCAGCCTGACCCGCCGCGGTCGCAGCTAGTCTGGAACGCTTCCGCTCCGCCTCTAAAGACAGGTGTAAGCGCGTGTGTAATGCCACAAACTCGACTGCACATACCAGCTTCCTTCTCCCGCTCAATCTCCGCAACGATGGCCTCGATCTGGGCCAAGTCGAGGCTCTGTAGGGAAGGTTGAGAGTGGAACTACGGGCTATCAGGTTGAGGTACTACATACCGTGATCTTGCCATAGCTCTCCATAACGCTAATCTCGATGTTCTTCGCACCTGTTTGCACGACCTCGAGTAGGCTCTTCACTGTGAGCTTGATAGTATCATCCCGTGACATGCCATCTTTGTGGTTCTTCTCAAGGAACTCGCGCACGGTCTTTGAGGAGCGCCCGATGGCATTTGCCTAAGGGCAGTATCGACCATAATGAGCACGCCGGATATGCCTGATGTGAGGAATTTGCATACCTTCCAGGCACTGTATATACCTCCCGGCTCTGTCTGGTACAGCCGAGGCTTGACGTCGTGAGGGTCGAAACCGACGATGAGTGTCGAAACACCAAACGGCCGAACGCCTCCGGACTGAGTGTAGCGCTATAGGCAGTAGGCAAGTTCAGCAATAGGCTAGTGGCTAGAGAGATGACATGCCGACCTGCTGGATCCCGGCAATATGTCTCGTAATATACTCCACGGTAACAGGATCTTCGACGGTTAAACGGTGGCTTTGACATTCTATACGAGCCTTGTCGATGAGGACACGACCATCGGCGGTAAGGCCTGGGCAACATTCAGTTTCTAAGCCCAGTGACCTGTGGAATGAGTGGCGCACCTGCAAACGCGAGGCAAACGTGGTCATCCAACATAGCAACCTTGCGGACAGTACGGGGATCTTGGAGCTGGAGGACGGACTTCTTTTCCACACCAAGGACGACGACATCCTTGCCCACAACACCGACCTGGCAGGTTGTCCATGAGTCTCCTAGTCGCACGAACAAGGAATATAACGCACCGCACATGTTCCCTTGCGCACGGCCTCCAAAGCGTACTCTACCTACATGTAAGGACGCGATGAGTATCTGCTAAGCGTCCGGTACTTCCATCGCGTACTTGGAACAGATGCCCGTCGGGCGAGAAGACAGTGAGGGCTGCGAGCAGGGTGAGGAACGTCCTGTGAGTTGCGTTGCTCGTACATACCGCGATCATAGGACCTCGACATGGTGCTAGAGAATAAAGAGTATAAGGGAGGGGAAAGCCTGAGTAGAGAGCCAAAGCTCGATGCCCGACGCGCGTCGAGCTTGCGTCCCCTGCAGATGCTCCACGTGATCAGATTCACGAACGCGTCTTGATGGGCGCCTGCAACATTCCTAAAGCACACAAGCGCTACGCTAGGGGTTGTCGCTAGCCTCCACTGTTCCAACGCGTTCTCAACGCAGCCCCACTCTAGCACTACCATGGGCGAACAGGCTCCCGTAATAGACGACGGCGAGTTAGAGATACTCGCACATAACGACCCGTAAGCCCTAAGGTCCTCGCACTCAATTGGACAAGATTGTGGCTGAGCGATTTCTCTGCAGGAAGAAGATCATATGTCAGATATGCGCCGAGGACTTGACCCCAATGACGATAATCCAACGAGACTTTCATTATGATGAACACTTTGAGGGCCCCTCTCGAGGTACGCTTGCATGTGCTTTGCGTAGTGCGGTTTACGCACTAGCTCACGTCACCCAGCCTCAGGTTCGGGCTCCTCTGGTATGACCGGAGGAACGCTTCAGTCACCCCAAGCACCCAAGCCTCCCTCCAAGCTGTCGTCTATGAGACCACGCTCCGGTTTTAGGCCGCTCTCTTTTCACAACACGTCGCCAGAAGAGCAGAACATCTTCTGGCATTCTGGCATGACGTCAGAACCACCGCGGAATTTCACGCCAGGTACATGCCTCATTCCGCATGATGACATATATGTGCAATTAAGGATTGTGTACGCTTTCAGGTCTCATGACCGTTCTGAAGAAGGCTCTGAATCGGTCGCACGACAAGGGAAACACTCAGCGCGCATGGCTGTGTATGGAGACCGCCGTTTACATACAGGGCGAGCACTGGGATCGTACTTGGGGTTGTGGGTAGGTCGACTCACAATATGGCGCTATCATTTTGCTAAGCATCTCTTGATAGCTATCGCAACTATCTCATGGCTTGCGCAGCGCTCATGAATCAACAGCTGCAACCCGACTACTTTCCACTGCTAGACACTCCGAGCTCACCGGGTGTCCGCAATCTTCAGATCCTCATTGAGCGAGCTTGGAGAGACGGTAGGCAAGCCGTTGCATGTTCTTTCACTCATAATCCTGATCTCCGTGCACAGGATACGACGAAGAAGGCGCCAAGGACATGGACCGTAAACTTGTGGGCACGAAGAAATGGATAGGTACTGCAGGTAACACCGCGATATCGGACATTCCATTTTTCGCTCCATTGACGTGTCTCTCTACATCAGAGCTCTACGTTGCTTTAACCTATAAGGGCATACCGTAAGTATCTCTGCCGTACATCATCGCCGCTCGTCTGAATCACTTGGAAGTGCACAGCTCGTCGACTTCGAGTTACACAACGGTATGCATGAGCTTCGTTGCCCAACCTTTCTCATGATCTAATCCTGGCACGGAGGGGTGGAGCCCTTGTTGCAATGGGTACTGCAATATTTCTCCGGCGAGAAGCCACACCGTAAATCGACGTCGTCGACAGTCAGCGAACGGTTGCTAGGTGCTCGTGCGGTCACCATTACCCACAGACCGCCCATCGTATTGCAACATGCCGGGCACTCTCGAACGATTGTCGGGGCGGAGCAGGTCAAGGGGGGCATCATTCATCTCTTAACGTTCGATCCTGGGCGGTAAGCGCTGGTCATCGCCCTGGACGGCGGTATCATTGACAGTCTACCATATGCAGGAGACTACCTCCCAGCATCAGACAAGCGGGGCTCAAGTATCACGACCCCACGAGGTCCGGTGGTACTCAGGGCCCTTCCTTGTCGAAGAAGGTGCTCCACAACGTCCTACATCCTGTCGAGACGATGAAATCCCGCAAGCGCAAGTCTCCCGAGCCGCAAGGCGGTAGCCCGAAGAGAAAACGCGGGGGTAACACAGGTAGCCGGGAGGTCATTGTAATCGATGACAATGACGATGATCACCGAAAAGTGAAGCCTCCTAGTAGTTCTAATCAATCCACCTTCGATGCGCTCAGTCCTGCAGACGTGCTCAAGGTGTTCCGGCTAGACGCGAAGACATTGAAGTGAGTCGCTATCAATGGGTGTCTCCACTCCAAACGCTGACGACGCGTTTGTGCCCATGTGCGCAGCAAGAACAAGAAGTACCAGATTCTGTACTTCCCCATGACCGAGCCTCTGTCCGAAGCGGAGAAGCTGAATCGGCGGATAGTCACCAGCGAGAAGATCGTCTAGTTTTCAGACACCTCTTTGTCTGTCGGCATTTTTGCGGAGGTACCCATACTCCCCTACTGTACAGCCTATCTATATTATTGTTATCAGTAGTAATAGGTTCGATAAGAATTGCGACTGGCTGCGTTTTGCAAAGGACAATGAGACACAATGACATGGTCTAAAATAACAAGCTATAGAATTACACATGAACACGATAGCTAAGCTAACATAGCGATGGAGAAAGGACGAAGGACGATCGGCGAACAAGGACGAGGGGGTTTCCCAGGATTGGAACATGGTCATGCATTCGCCATAACCACATCTGCGGAACTCTCACTGTCTATAGCCATGGCCTCCTGGGGAGGAGCTGGGACGCCAGTGAGAGGAGCGATTTCCAGACCCGCTACGGCACACCGCAAGGCCCGCTGCCAAGCCTGCTCGACCATGTAACCACCTGCGCGCATGATGCCCTCCCTATCCTTCCGCACGGCCTCGCTCACAGGGTCGTAGTACGTGTCGCGCATCGTGAACAGGTCATCGTACGCGTAATAGTTGTCCTGCAGCGGCACGTGCGGCACATCGGGAATGACGGTACTCTGGGCAGCGCGGGAGCGAAGTAAACGAGCACTGCTCTGGCTGAAGGAGCTGCTCGACGCAGCACGCGCGGACGCGCGTTTCTGCGCTTCTGCACGAGACTTCGCGACCAGTCGGGCGGCGTCCTTGTCGCTCATCTCGAGCTTGTCGATGAGTCCTTGCTTCGCCTTCTCGCGCTCCTCACGCTCTTCCTCTTCGAGTCGGCGAAGCTCCTGCGCGCGCAGCTCGCGTTCTTGCCTTTCGGCCTCTTCTTGTTCTTGAAGGTAGCGCTGGTACTCTTCCTCGCGCTTGATGTTGAGTTCGATGAGGGCGGCGTTCTCCTGGCGGTATTGTCGAATGCGAGCCTCGGTCTCAGCGACGTCGATGTCGTTAATCAGATTGAAGGCTACGAGCCAGATCAGGACAGTGCAAGACGTTTATGATTATGGCGTACTAATTTCTTCGACCCATTCAAGATAATCATTGTATGCACGAAGATCGGGAAAGTCCTCCATTCGCTTGTTGAATCTACAGTATCTCAGCATGGCATTCGGAAAGCCTACTACTCCAGACTTACTCTTTGGCTATTCTCCGCCTCACGGCAACCTCTTTCTCCACTGTGAGGTCCTCGAAGGTCTGTGGGGTGAACGCAAGCTTTCGTAGAATTTTGTTGCAAATGGGACATGGTGCGGGGCCAAGCGTATATAAGCGGTCGATGCACGACTCGCACCTATGACGTCTCGATAAGATGCCAAGCCTTCTGTACTGTAAGGATGACACCTACATCTTGTGGTAACAGGCGCTAACAAGCAGCCGCAACTTCGGGTTGAGGTACCTATCCGACTTGCATACCGGGCATTGGTCATCCATAGACTAAACATGCTCTGAGTCAAACACAGACAAGACAGCAGCAGGATGTACGCATACAAAATACTCAGACGTTCGTCCAGACGGATCCTTCACTCCTCCACCAAATATTGTCGTGGATGTACTCTGCACCTGCGTCGGCGTACCTGTACGCGTGCTCGCCGCGGTTGACGGGCCAGACTTGCGGATGGTTGTCCCTCGAAGCCAGCTGTTACGTTGAGCCATCCTGACCTAGTGAGTTCAATTGTATGGAGCGAATCCCCAGGTGAAGGCATGCAGGAGGAGGTGTGTGAGAGGAGGTGGTGAGGTACTAAACGCACGCCGTGCAGGATCGTCGGGAACGCGAAGAGCCAATTAAGCGCCCTGTACCATAAGCGCACAGATGTTACGAGACTCCGAGTCGTACGGTCCGAAGCAGCATGAGGCGCACGCCTTGCGCCGCGCATCTGTCGAAACCCGCCGACTAACCCTACATTAATCATGTGGCAAATCTAAAATATGATACAGCAATAAACCTGGATACAGTACTTCGAGACCGGGATCGGGAGCAATATACACGAATCGCGCAGACAAGAGACAGCAGTAAGGAGCGTGGGAGGGGGCAGGACGAATTAGCGGTCCCTTCGACCTCGAGAAACGAGAGACGGCGCAGGGACCCACGAGAATCATACAAAGACAGGTACGGATGTCGAGAACAAAATGATACTACAACTCAGGAGCGGGGTATGATGACGGCTGCGAGTACAGTGGGTAGTCCGACTCCTAACGCGGTCTGACAGGCAAATCAGAGTATAGATATAGTGATACGAGCACCAGACCCCAGGAAGAAGTACCATATGAAAGAACGAATAGACGCGGAGAGCGAGAGGGCGCAAGACGAGTAGTCCAGGAAAGGAGAGTGTAGAGAAAGATGACGGGGCAGTTGTGATTGAGAGCATCCCAAGCCCATACCAGAGGAAACGCGGTAGCCTTGACACCTTCGGATGCCACCTGGGCGACCGACAATGGACGGAACGTGGACTCAGAACTCGAGGAACTGGTACGCGACGGAGTCGAACCGCTGCTGAATCGAGGGCGGGCGTTCTTCACGGATGAGACCAGGTATCTCGTCAGGAGGGGGAAGAGGGAGGTGCGAGAAGTTACGCGTATCGTCAACTGAGGCGACGTGGGGGACGATAGGTGCCTGAATGAAACAAAGAGAAGTAAGTCGTCTGGCGCCCCATCTCCGTCCATGTGGTTCAGGCAACATACTCTGATTTCACGACGCTCAAGCGCATCCCAGTCTACGCCGCGGAACCAGGGGTGGTCCAAGACGTCCTGCGAGCCTCCGATGAGATTGCCGAGCCGCTTGCTTCTGTCCGGATGCAAGAAACCCTTGATAATGTCTTTGGATAGCGGGTCGACCTCCCTCGGCCAGTGAATTTTGCCCTTGAGGATTTTTTCATATATCCCGTACGCGGTCTCGTCGAAGAAGGGTGGGTAGCCGACGATCATCTCATAGCAGAGGATACCGCAGGCCCACCAATCGGCTGCCTTACCGTGACCATCCGACTGAATAATTTCTGGGGCGAGATATTCCGGCGTCCCGCATAACGTCCACGTACGGTCGTCTACAATTTTCGCGAAACCAAAGTCGGTCAGGCGGAGGTAGCCGCGGGAGTCCAAAAGTAGATTCTCAGGCTTCAGGTCACGGTAGATGATGTTGAAGGAGTGAAGGTACTTGAGAGCGAGTACGATCGTGGCGAGATAGAAACGGGTGACGTCCGCGGTGAAGCGTTTGGCACGACGCAAGTGCGTGAAAAGCTCTCCCCCCGGGACGTAGGACATCAGCATATAGACGTTGAGGCTGTCCTGGAAGGTAGCATAGAGGTCGACAATGAAGGGGTGGCGTACGCGTGACAAGATGTACCGTTCGCCATTCACATGCTCCACCTGTCGGAGGCGAACGACCTCGGTCTTGCGAAGCACCTTCAAGGCAAAGCAATTTGATGTGCTGCTCTGGCCAGAAGAGGCTCGAAGCCGCACAAGAAGAACACGCGCAAATGTCCCAGTGCCTGGTGGGTGTGCGCCACCAAAGTTTAAGAACATCTCGTGACGAGGTTACGAGGCAGGACTCACCAAGCGTGCCCTTGACTTCGAAGTCCGTCAACTTCAGCGTGCCCTTCTCTAAATGCGATGGCTCGTCCTCTAGGTGGCGCTGTGGCGGACGTGGAGAGCTAGCTAATGCCCGCGTGTCGACGTCCATTCCCTCCTGCTGGTGACTCCGGCGCCCACGCCGGGCCGTCTCTATGTCGCGAAGGTGCGGGTGGGGTAACGAAGGCTGTAGCTGGCCATCGGGCCCGGAATACCGCGGCTCCGAGTCTACGATGATGGCCTCTCCCTCGTCACTTCGTCCGGGGGATAGAGGCGGAGTGATCGGTCCGTCGCTGAGCATGTAGTCCGAGTCGCGACGGAATGCGCTGAGGTCAGGCGTCGTGGAAAGGGTGAGTGAGGTATGGTTCGGCAGGGAGGCAGAGCGAAAGGCGGGATAGAGGGGGTATTCCATGTTTCTGGAGGCCATATTAATGAAGGAGATGGTCTAAACGCCTGCTCTCCCGTAGATCTGGTGGCTGCAACATGGAGCTGTCAGCCCGGGGGAAGAAGAATCTCCGCGCGACACGTGTGTGGAAACGCTCTTACCTGGCCGATAATTAGAAATCTGCAGGGCTACAATGGGGGGCGCAATACATCGGGTGTTTTGAGAGGAAAAGACCGAGGTGCGCGGCTTGGGAGGCTTGACAAGTTCGTTCAGCAGCGATGGGATCACAGGGCTATGAGACGCCGACGTGATGAGTGCCAGAGGCAATGCGCGACGACGGGGGCTTCGAGCGAACTTTTCGCTGTCCCTGTGCTGGACTGTGCGCTCTGCGCGAGGCTATGCGGAAGGACTGAAGTAGAATACAGGGATGGACAGAGGGGAGTGATCTCAAACAGCTTGAAACCCAGCTCGAACGACCCACACGAAACCACAGCGCGATCTGACATCTTCCGATTCGCAACCGACACGTGCCCCTGATCACACGTGGCTAATCAACCAACTGCACGTCTTCCCCGCCGCCGGCTACTTTCGCGAGGGCACCGGCCAGGATCATCGAGCTCAACCCCTCGGACGTCGATTAGTTTTATACCGTTATGTCCATCGCCATTATGTGGCCGAAATGGACTATCGGATAGCGATGTTCTCTGCGCGGGCTCTTCTTATACAATACATTGCTTTGCGGGCGGCGGTCATCACTCATGTCAACGCGACCTACAACGCTCACGGATCAAACGCAATAGTTGGTGCTCCGTAAATGGCAGCCAGCACCTTCGCATCTGCGTTCCCCCCACCAGCTCCAGCCCCAATGTACAAAGGAACGAAGTGATCGGCAGTTGGATGAGCCTGTCGGAATCCCCGGTGTTTCACAAGGTTCAACATAGCTTCTTTCCTCGCGACAGGCTGACGTCAACGAACCAGGGTCAGTACGGCATTCAGCGGTACGCACGCTCGTCAGGCACTCACGTCCTTCACTGTAACGGCGTCTAGAATAGCCTGGTTGAAGTCCTTGACAGCACTATTGGCGGTAGTCTCTGAGAACGCCGAAAAGTCCCGCAGGTTATGTATCAAAAGACCTCCGGAGAGAACAAGGATGCCTTCCCGTCTATATCAAACATGAACGGAGAATCAGCAGAAGCACTACAGCGGCAGTCTGTCAGCTCACCTTAGCGGCTCTACCACCTCGCCTATCTGCCAGTTAGCTTGGGGATCCAGACTTGAGTCCATAGAGACTTCGACGATCGGGATGTCCGTAAACTCCTCGCCGAACATAAGCCTGAATGGGACGAAAACTCCGTGATCAAGACCGGGGCCATTGAATCCTCGGCCATCCCGACCGCGCGGTTCCAGCTTCGAAGTCGTCCTGGCCAGATAGCCAGCCTAGAACGACTCCATTCAGACTCTGGAATCCTGTGCACACTGCACCCTCACATGAACATTCGAAACCTACATCCTTGTACAGCTGCACGACGCGCTGAGATAATGCCGAATCACCGCGGGATTTGAACTTCAACTGATACAGTGCGGGCTTGAAGCCGTAGTAGTCGTAAAGCAGCGGGTTCTCGTCCCCATAATCGGTCACTAGGTCGGTCATGATAAGTCAAGGTTCAATTAATGGAGGACTGGAGGACATGGAAGACACACCTAGACGCTCTCCCGCAGTGTCCCAATGGGCGCTGAACACCACGATGCCCTTGGGTTTATACTTAGAGAGCAAGGCAGGACCGAAGTCCTTGAGAAAGGTTGCCAGGTTGCCTTTCGGACCCATGGCCTTCCCAACTTCTCCCATCGTACCGGCGTCAGCTACATCGAAGGCGAGCATGGGCGAACCATGTCCGAAGAAGAACGCTGGGATCTTGTCAGGGGTAGATGGTAGCTCGTCCAGCGCCTTCTTCCAGTCCTCCTGCGTCCTTGGGAGAGACACGCTGGTCCCATTGGTAGTCGACATGCTGCGGTGCAACAACGGCGCTAGAACGCGGGAGACTAAGGTACTTGAGCGCAACAGAATGACAGCCGATAGAACGGACAATGAGAAGAACGCAAGGTTGCGGAAAGCAGCCACGGTGGAAACTACGGGGTGTTGTATGAGGACCTGGGATCTTCTTGCGCACTTCCGTCCGTGACCATCTCTATATCTGTATAGGAAGAGCTTACGCTATAGCGCTTACTCCGCTGACTGTAGCAATGAGGGCAGGCTGACTAGATATTTCGCGGCAGGCCATTTGATTCAAGAAGTGCGGAGTAACGACATGCAAAATTCGTGTGGCACGTACGTACAGATGATGATGACCAGCTTGAGGACGCGACAGACCCGCAGAGCGTTCGGGTTCGCAGTCGCTCATGGCTGCTGACACATCCCTCCAAGGAGGCCTGCTCGCGTGGCGAGAGATCCTATCGGGTTTGTGGCACCGGCAGCGCTCACATTTTCTCGTACATCAGTTGCATCGTCTCCGGCTTGTGTTCGCCAACTTGTCTTCACTATGGGTCGTCGGCGCAAGAACCGTACTCATCTCAAGGGCGGGGTGGCATCCGCGCCAGGAACCGCTGAAGGTGTCCCCAAGTCGTTCGTGATCAAGCATGGCCAGGTCGGGCACTCGCTCACGCAGCTCGTCCGGGACGTTCGGAAGGTCATGGAGCCAAATACTGCTAGCCGGCTAAGGGTCAGTCACACTTCTCTACAGTTAGTATAGGTTGCCGTCTTGACCCATGTTGTAAGTGAAGGAACGTGCAAGGAACAAGCTCAAGGACTTCTTGACCATGGCTCCTGCGCTCGGCGTAACGCATTTGCTTGCGTTCACGCTTACGGACGTTGCATCTTCTATGAGGATTGTCCGATTGTCTGCAGGTCCGACGCTGAGCTTCAGGGTTGAGCGGTATAGCTTGGCGAAGGACATCATACATTCCTCTCGGAGAGCAAGAAGTATGAGTACAGTGGAATACCTCTCGCCTCCTCTTGTAAGTCTTACATGTCACTGCAGCCTCAACCACATGTCTGACTACGTCAACACTATAGCTCGTCCTTGCTTCATTCCCGCCCCCATCTCCCACCACGCCCCCTCATCTCACGCTTATGATGAAGACGTTCCAGTCCTTATTCCCGCCCCTCTCTCCGCACACGCTCTCCCTCTCTTCTGCGCGCCGCGTGGTCCTTATTTCCTACAATGCAGAACGCGGAACCGTCGACTTCCGACACTACCTCATCACCGTCAAGCCGTACGGAGTCTCAAAGCGCATCAGGCGCGTGCTTGAGGGCGTCACTGCCAAAAAGACATCCCACTCAGAAACCAGCGTCCTGGACCTCGGCAACGAGAAGGATGTCGCGGACTTCCTACTCAGAAAGAAGGGCGAACCTGGTCCGTCGAGTGATGGATACGAGAGCGCCGCCTCGTCTGCGTCGAGCGTTGCGGGTGACGACGGAGATGCGGTCGACCTTGCGGATGATTATGTGGGCCGCAATAATAAGAAGGGACAGAAGAGAGCGGTGAAACTGGATGAGATCGGTCCGAGGATGGAGCTGAGACTGATCAAGGTGGCCGAGGGTGTACCGGGGAAGGAGGGTGGGGTGCTCTACCACGAGTTTGGTGAGTTGGGTCCCGTTGCGTTCTGTGGTCGATGTTACTGAAGATTTCTACAGTCAAAAAAACAAAAGCCGAGGTCAAGGCGCAGAAGGCGGAGCATGCCGCGAAGGAGAAGCTTCGCCAGCAAAGAAGAGAGGAGCAAGAGCGGAACGTTGCTCGGAAGAAAGCGGCTAAGGGATCCAAGGAGGGTAAAGGAGAAGAAGGCGAGGAAGAGGACGAGCGGGACGAAGGCGATGATGACCCTGATTTTGACGAAGAAATATCGGGGATAGACGACGAGCATGACGAGGAAGGTGACGGAGATGAGGGAGCGTGGGATGACGACGAGGAGATAAGCGAGGTTGAGGAGTCTGACGACGGAGGCGAAGAGAGCGAGAGTGATGATGAGGCGGCGAGACCACCACAAAAAAAGCTCAAGCTAAAGAGCAAACGGTAGCAGTTGTTTACGTCGACTGTTGTATCCGGTGTCAATCCATTACGTTCTCCCGCCGCTGCGCGAAAGCTGGGGCTGGGCACTAGAGTCATTATACGGCAATAAGTTATAGTGTAGCTGCCATATGCACACTAATCTAGGATCGCGGATGTGCATTGTCTGGTTGCACTGATTCTCCCCATAGACGTCCTAAAACCCTCCCCCAAAACCGCTCCGTACGCAGTCGGACACCGTCCCAGCTGTCGAGTGCTGGTCGTACGTCGAGGAAGAATGACAGGTTTTTCGACGGAGGGCCGCTGGTACGTCCCGAGTAGAAATCGATGACATAGCGCGTTCGTGTCCCGCAGCGGTCGATAATCCAGTCATGACGGTCAAATGGCGGCGAATATCTGTTGAAGAGAAGGCAACCAATGAGACGAAGGCAATTAGACGATATGGCATGACCGACGTACCCAAGTAATGAGTAAAACCACGCTCTAGGCGTTCTTTCATTGGGTCGGCCTTTGAAGCTCACGAGCTTTACGCCGCCGCACTTGTCGCCGCCCTGCCCCGCCTCCCATTTCATGATCTCCGTCCACGCACGCTCGTTCACGGCATTGTGTATGGGTACAACGACCTTCATGTCTGTCTCCTGGGGATTATGGTTCTTGCGCGCCATAGCGGCGTAGAACTGGGCTTGTGATGGGTACACCCAATTACCGCCATCTATCCTCGGTATGGACGATGTTTCTCGGTCAAGCGGAAGGTTAGTCGGAGGAAGGGGTGTGTCGGGGAGCTCTGCCGCGCCATGGGCATTTTCTGACTGTCGGCCAAGTATAGAAGCCCATGAGGAGCGCTGGGTGTGGTCAACAGGGCACTTTTCCGCAGACGAAGATGCGAGGGCACGATGGTCGACGGGACACTTGTCCGCAGAGGCCGCCATGGCGGAGTGCTGGAGCAAGAATCAGGAACGCCCGAGGCCGCCGTTGGCCAGGATAGGCAAGTCTCATGACCCCGGCAGACCCGGTCTGCACGTCGCCGGAAGGAAGGTCTTGGACCTTGCCGCCATGTCCCCACTCGCGTCCCAGGCGACACCTGCACCCCCACATGACCGCTTGACCGGCTATAGTCCATTGCAGACCGGGTCGTTAAAGACCAGAGCGCAGCCTAGGGGTCTCATCTAAACTTGCATCCGTCCAAGTCCCATCAGCCTGCATTCTTGCCAGCCATGCCAGCTTCCGCGCCCGTGTTCTCTACCCCGCTCACCAAGTTGTTCGGGATCAACCACCCAGTCATGCTGGCAGGTATGTATACAGAACTACCATCCAATATACTTCAAGCTGACGAGGGGAATGTCTGCAGGCATGAATGTCGCGGCTGGTCCACGACTCGCTGCGGCTGTGACCAACGCAGGTACGCATCTTCGCATCTCGCATCTGAACAAGGAATTGATCGTCCTCTTGTCCTCAAGGCGGTATTGGCGTCATTGGTGGGGTCCGCCAGAGCCCGAAGATGCTTCAGGACAACATCGACGAACTCAAGAGTCACCTTGAAGACAAGAACGCGCCGTTCGGCATCGACCTGTTGATCCCACAGGTCGGTGGCAATGCCAGGAAGACGAACGTGAGTTATTGCTGTATCCCCTTCCCTGGGTTTGTGATTCTCATGCAATCAGTTCAGTACGACTACTCAAATGGCCAGCTGCCGGAGCTGACGGAAGTCATCATCAAGAGCGGTGCCAAACTGTTTGTCTGCGCCGTCGGCGTGCCTCCGAAGGACATGGTACAGAAGCTCCATGCTGCCGGCGTCCTTGTCATGAAGTAAGTTTTGTTTGTGACACACCTCACATGCTATACGTGCTAACGGCAGTTGCTGCGCGAAGCATGATTGGTCACCCGAAGCATGTCTCGAAGGCTCTCGCTCAAGGTAATTGTGACGCTATCTTGAAGAATGCTGGATAGATGTTAATCATTGTATCTAAGGCGTCGACATCATCTGCGCCCAGGGTGGCGAGGGCGGTGGACATACCGGCGAGACGCCCTTCTCAATCCTCATTCCTGCCGTCGTCGACCTCTGCAAGACCGCGAAGAGCCCCCTCACCGGCGAACCCATCATCGTCGTCGCTGCTGGGGGCATTGCAGATGGCCGCGGTCTGGCTGCTGCCCTCTCGTATGGCGCTGCCGGCGTATGGGTCGGCACGCGTTTTGTTGCCAGCGAGGAGGCGGGTGCGCCGAAGGTGCACAAGGAGTTCGTTCTCAGCGCGGGGTATGACGACGTCACGCGCACAATTATCTACTCTGGCCGCCCCATGCACGTCCGAAGGACGCCTTACGTCGCGAGCTGGGACAGCAGACAGCAGGAGATCGCTGAGCTCACGGCTCAGGGAAAGATTCCGCATGAGGTGGAGCTCGAGAAGCACCCTGAGAAGTCCATGGAAGGCCGTTCGTGGCTCATGGGCAAGGTCGCGGGCTCTATTCGCGACATCAAACCAGCACGCGAGATGTGAGTTGCCTTTCATTGTCTTGTTCGAGGCGTGCTGACGGCATTCTAGTGTCGATGAGATAGTGACGACGGCTGCGAAGAGCTTGCAGGGCGCATCGAGCCTTATTGTGACGAAGGCGAAGTTGTAGTGCTCTGACCCATCCTGTCGCATTTGGATATGACTTGAGTTTGTGGGATCGAGCCTGTACACTAGGTATCATACATAGCTACTGGCGTCCTCCGGTCGAATCAATCTTCGTCCATTAGCTCCGCTAATTCGCGCTCCTCATCTGCGTCCAGTATGTTGACCGGGACATCGGCAACCTTGACCTCCTCTGCAGGAACCTTTGGCGGCGGCGGATGCAGTAATTCTTGAGGATACAGTCGTCAGAGGAATGCGGCAACCACACAGAACACGAGCTCACCACTCAACCTCCATCTTCTGAGAGTACCATCCAGACTTGCACTCACAATCCACGGCTCCACGCGGACCTTCCCGGGTTGGCCTTCGACCTCAGACTTGCGGATCCACAATCGTAGGGCTGTCACGTCGTGCCAGTGTCCATCCGTCTCTGCGATGAGCTCGGGCTCCTCGAGCGACGAAATGTCGTACACTCGGATGACTGCGCCTGTTCCGGTCAACAGATACGGCTCCCCGAGTACAGTGAGGGGCAAAGGCAGGATGGCCTTGACGGCGGTCGCGTGCTGGATTGGTGGGATAGGTTTCGCCCCCGGAGTGGGTGGAAGGGTGGGATCAGGGACAATTTGCACCGTCTCATCCGTCGATGCTAGTAGGAGTATTATGGAAAAATATCAGAAAAGCAACAAGGGGAGCGAGTGTACCTGTCCAAAGGTGACCATCTCCAACGATCATCTCATTCACGCCCGTTCGGTGGTGCTTGAGCTCGCCTGTAGGCACGATCTTCCACTGGGAGTCGAGGTTGTCTTCCTTCGCGATATTCCACACCCGGATGATGCCCATCGTATCTGCGGTGTAAAGTACCGCAGCTTTCTCTGAGAGAACGCGTGCAACAAGGGACTCGACCGGGCGTGTATGCCCGGTCAGGATCCCTACTGTTCTCAAGGGCCGCCCGTCGGCAACTGACGATAGATCCCTGTGGATGTATGAGCCGGACAGTAAGCTATACATATGCTATGGATGTCTACCAAAGCCGGACGACCTTGTCAGATCCACTTGAAACTAACAGGCCTAGTGAGGGTATAGCATGGATGGCCTTTACAAAGTCTGAATGCCCATCTGTGGAAGAAATGATTTGCTTTGTCTACCCAGAGTCATTGACAGCCGTCGAAATTTATTGGGTTGGCTTACTCACCTCTACATCCCAGACTTTGATTGTCTGTTATCGTTCTCGTCAGTGAGGTGCACAATATCGCTAGAAGGCCAAGCACTTTATCCCATGAACTCGTGATGAGGAGGTCACCCTTGCCACTTCCTGGGACCCGATCGACAAATGCCAATGAAGTTACCGGCGCAGCGTGTCCTCTAAAAAGTCGCAAAGTTTTGCCTGTCTGACATCCACACTAAGTAATTATAGAGCTGGAAACGGGCTTCTGGCCGTCAACGATGATCGGAAGAAGTCCCAACGCACCTCAAGGTCGAGCTTCCTGACAACAGTCGTGTTCTCTGCAATCCAAGCGACGTTGTCGCGGATATGAACCGCCAATGCTTTCCCGGTAATCTCTATCGGCGAGCCGAGGTCCTTTATCCGCTCTGCTTTGTCTTTGCGAGACTTGAAAGACAAACAGTGTAAGAACGCCAAGCATTCTAACGTCAGTCGGTGGCAGACGGCGCACTTGTTCTAGCCTAAGCTCGGCTTCTGAGCGTAGGAAATGGGACTTGTCTGCGGGTTGCATGGGAGGAGCTTGGGAAGCACACTAGGGTCTTGGGGTCGCGTACGTCGCGTAGGCGTTTGTTCCAAGGGAGTCTGATCGGGACGATTGTTCTTGGAGAGTTGCCGTCTGTAGACGACCCGTCTACTTATCGCGATCCAGCGCCTGTTTCTCGGCCGATCCCATCTTGAAAGAGCGGAGTGTCGCCCTTCTCATCCTTTCCCCCGTCCGCCCCTCGACTTCGCCCTCTATCGTAGGTTCTCAAGCCAGTGAATGCCAGGAGTGAGTACTTATTTGTAGGAGCTGACGTTTGCCTCTCACCTCATGGCATCCAGACAAACCATCCGACCGGAACTATCCAACATTAAGAGCGCCAAGTGGTCGTCTAAACTCAAAGTGATCTGCTGTACGCGAGATTGCCGGACTCAACCATTCGGGGTCGTACCGTTCCCCGCACCAGCCAATTGATCCCTTGAGCGTGAGTACTAGGCCTCGCGGGTGCGCTTTTTGTCCTCTGAACGCCAAAGGCAGCTTAACTTTCTTACAGACACGTCGTGCCACCCATACAAACCCTACATACATCTTGCCAACTGTCTGAGACCGTTCGCGCAAACCGATCCTCACCTCGTACTGTCATCATGAGTGGCCGACTTGCTTCATTCCGTGGACCCTCGACTCCTACCTTCTCCCCGGTGGCTGCGCGTCAGTCGGCCACTTCCGCCTCTCCTTTGAAATCGACTGAACTCCCTCACCACCGTACGCTCCGAGGCCAATTGCTGGAACTTCGCAACATAGCATACGAATGGGATGAGTGGGTTTCCGGACAAGGCCTCAAGGCAGCATCTAGTCTAGTAGATGCCCGAACGGAGCTAGAGTACGTTCATATATGCTCTGCCAATGGTGCTGAAACTCAGTGGCCGTGCATCGCAGCAATGAGCTTGCATTGATACCTGCGGGAAAGCAGCCTACTTACCCGATCGTCCTGGAAAAGCTGCGATTCATGGAGAGCTGCATAGAGGAACTTCACGAGGTAGTCAGACGACTAGTAAGTGTGTCCGCTTGAGGCCTCCTCGTCTATTGAATGACGTCTTCTTTCAGGACAAGCTGTTCCAAAAGATGGTCAAGATCATTCGCAATTTGGAACAGCTCCTGCATGAGGTGCACAAAACGAAAGGATGGAAGTTCGTCGAAGAACCCCTTTGGGTCACTTGGTCATTAGAGAAGTTCGGTACGAACCTACGCAGTGCCTTCTCGCTATTTTGTTGTCACTCACTCTTGTGCTTAGTGACGAAATTACCCTACATCTTGAAACCGTATCGTCGGTCGCTGGAAATGCATCTTGACCTCGTCGAACAGCTCCGTCCACACGACGTAACGTTCGATGAGTCCCGCCAGATCATTGCTCTCTGGCAAGCTCAACCACACCTCGCCCAAGGAGGGTGGGACGTCATCTGGGAGGATATCTGCAGCGTCGAAGTCGATCGCTGGAACGCCCCCCGATGATATGCGGACTCATTGCTGTGCTTCGTGCCATGCTCACAAGGACCATACTACCTTACTTCCTGGACGCTATTTGCTATGAACAGACTAGTCAGTACATACACCGTCGTGGAACTCGGTAGTTCGCCGCTCCATAATTCGTCTGTATATATACCAATTAACTTCCCGTAGTACGCTATCGCTGTCGCTCTCTAACGCTGTGCATTGTAGTGTATTGTAACGATCATCACACATTCCTGTGACTTTGACCTTCGACCACTGGATCTGCAAGACTCGTTGCTCCGTCTATCAGCATGGCGAACGTCTCTCCGCGTGATTGCGACAGATAAAGCTAAAGGGTGACGGTAGTCACAGCGGAGGTTTCACGATTCCGGGGCTAATCTTGTAATACACAATCGAGGAGTCCTCTGTATTAATAGCAAGATACACGTGCGATGGCCCATCCAATTCTTTGAACGTGGTGCGAATCCTGTAGGAAACTGTTAGCGCGAATTTGATTTGTAGGCGAGGAACCCTGATCACCAATCAGTTGAGAGCGACTCAGACAAGGAACAGGGTACAACGTGCAATAGGTCAACCTGGTATTCGTCTGATTAGCGGAGAAGCTGCATGAGAAAGGCGTATCCACCTGCTGTGGCCGACGACCACGGATTGCACATCGCGAGCAACCGGAGAGTTCGACGAGCTCCAAGCCGGTCCACTGCTGACCTGTACATGGCATGCATGTCAGTCACCTGGTTTTGCACCTACAACTTCTCCAGACACCTAGTTTTAGATCATTGTAGGTTTGGAACAGCGGACCTGCTACTTTTGGATATTTTGAGAGGTACGGGGCAAGCGCCTCATACTATGCGATCGATGAGTTTGCTGTAGCCACACGAGCAACGCCACGGCCAAAGCGCACTCACAGATGGGTGTTTCTCCATCTGTGCTACAGTTGAACGAAGGAAACTCCTCCAAGTGGATGTGGCACGAGTTGAAGTCCCGAAGCGGTGCTTCCGCCTAAAGTGACAGGTGCCATATTTGACCACAAGGAAAATTCGCAGGGATTCCGCCGAGAGACAGCAGGCTGCAATTGCAGGGCTCTCTTGCTTTGGATCGTTGATGTGTAGGGCTCCCTTGCTCGACTCTGGCTGCATTAGCACGTTGATCAAACCTCTCTCGGCTTCATTCATTTTCATCCTGTACTATGATGTTTGGGTGACATTCTACACAAGATCATGCACCTCGCATACTCCATTGTAGCCCGGCATCTTAGCTCACATGTTTCTTGGTTGCGATTTTATCATGATATATCTCAAGTGAAGCTCCACGAGTACAACAACACGGAACGTAAGCATCGACAACATCACGCCATAGCACTCAATCCTCTTCGTCCGATATATGGATCTCGTCCTCGTTCGCCTGCGCCGGAGCAGCCTCTAGTGGTTCCTGTTGCCGCACGTCGGTACTTGACTTCGCAGAAACGAATGCCGGCGCCCCGCCCCCGCCCCCGACTGCCTGCCGCTCTGCCGCGGCCATGGCGTCGACAGGTGCAGCCTCCGCTTCGGTCTCCACGCCTGACTGCTTCGCGGCCATCTGTGCGGCGAGGTACGACGCCTCAGTATTGAACTGCGCTTGGACAGAGCGCTTGATGCGGAGCATCTCCCGGAACGTGTCCTCGGACCCGGTCTCGATCTCGAAATTGTTCCACTCCTGCCAGAACTTGGGGTTCACGCGCGGATCGCAGAATTGCGACGCGTGCGCATAGATAGTGCGCGCGCGGTCGATCTCGCCCAGCTTGCGCTCCATCGCCGCGAACCGGAGGCACATCTCCGCTGTTTGTCTGTCCGGGAGAATCTCGATCGCGCGCTCGTAGATAGGGCGCGTCGCGGGGAGGCCGTAGTTGGAGGTCGCCCTCGCGATGTAGATGGTAAAGAGCTCAAACTTGTCCTCGTCGGCTACTGCGGTCGTCGCGCGGTCGTAGATGGACATGGCGCGCTTCGCCAAGCCGTGCTCTTCCTCGAAGGTCGCGTACATCATGTAGATGGGCTTGCATGACTTCGGTGGGCACTTCTCCAGTGCTTGCTCGAAGAGATCGCGCGTGCGTTCGATCTTGGAGCCTCCCTACATGTATGGGTGAGCAATTAGTCGCAGAATGGTACTCAGCCAACACTCACGTAGCGCTTCACAAACTTCGCTAGGTAGATGTTCCAGATCTCGAACGACACGGGGAAGGTGAACAGCTCGGTACCACGCTCATAAACCTACGCGCCCAGAGTTAGAGCACTGGTCTCAGCTTGAATACCGAACGAACTCCTGACCTTGAAGCTCTCCTCGTAGTACTTGTTCTCCTCCAAGAAGGCAGCGTAATTCACGATGATCTGAGCGTTCGCGATGCGCAAGTCCATGATCTTGTCATACACAGCCTTCGTCGACTCGACCGTTCCGAGCGACTCCTCCAGATCAACATAGAATGACCAGAGCTTGAGTGACTTAAAGAGTCGAGCCTGTACTGGTAGCGACTATTCAAGTCCTGTTAGCAGCGGCGGTCATTTAAAGCCAAAACCGCTTACATGGTCGAAGAAGTTGACTTTTGTGTCCTTCGGGACAACAGCGGCACGCTGCATAACCCGGATGGCCTCGTCGTAGTTCCTATCCGCATGGTCAGAGGATGTCTTCAGTGAGGTCGCTTGAGTTTACGCACTCGGCACGGATCTCCATCTCAGCCCACTCGCACCAGACCTCCGCCAGCTCGTCTACAGTCTTGAAGTTGACTTTAGTCGCCTTGTCGAGAATCTTGCGAGCGCTGTTGAGGTCGCGCTCGGCTTCGCCAGTGGTCCCACCCTCCTCGTAGAATTTGGCAAAGTTAATGTACAAACGGTGGAAGTTTGCAGTAGCTCGACGAGGGTTGACGGTGGCGAGCGCCTGATTGTAGGTCTCGGCAACCTAGAGGGGTGAAAGGACGGTCGCATCAGTTGGAGATTCGCTAGCATACTCGTTGAGAAGAGCAATCGTACCTTCTCGTCGTCGTCTCCCCACAAAGCCACCCGCTTCTCCCATTCCTGAACATCGTTGGGATTCCTCCGGAGAAGCACGTCGTTGACCAAGAACGGCCTCCGGTCCATCAACTCCTCGAATTCCTTCATCTTCGTGTCCAGCTCTTTCTCGGTCTCCTTCACGTCCTCCTCGTCCTCATCCTCGTCCGGGTTCTCGAGGCTTTCCATGAGTGCACTGACCAGACTCTCCGAAAACTCCGAGTAAGCGTCGAAGATCTGCGTGAAGTCGCGAATGGTGAGCACAGACGCAAGGCCACGCTCGAAGGTGTGCTTCGCGCGGTCAAACTCGCCGCGCTTAATCCAGTAGGTGGCAAGGCCCGTCCAGAGGCGGCCAGCCTGATCTTTGTAGACCTCCAATCCATCTTTCCGGACGATATCCTCGATGTTCAGCTTGCGAGGGCTTCGCGTGTCCTCATCCTCGTCGTAAGGGGAGGAGGGCTTGCCGTCGGATACGGGCACAGGGGGACCAGCAAACCGGATGAGTTTGCCATCTACGGACGCAGGCTCTGGTGGCCGCTGGGAGGCTGCAGCTTGTGCCTCCGCCTCGTCCGCGATTTTCTGGTTCGAGTCGATGGTGTCGGGGACGTCCAAACCGACCTCCTCGGCATGCTGCTCAACGACGTCCAAGAACTCGCCAAGAAGTTGATATGGACTCTTGCCCTCAGGGCTTGTGTACTCTCCACGTGCTGCCTTGCGAGCAAGCGCCAGCAGGAGCTTGGCAGCCTCGAGAGGTCGGGGGTCAGGGTTGTTTTCGGAGAGAAGGATGGCGGTGTAGCGTTCAGTGATACTCGGGTCAACGGCAAGGTAACGTCGGTAGACAGCGACAGTCGTCGCACCACCTTTCGATTCTGCCCACAGCAAGTAGCGTGCCCATATTCGGTGGTGGAGTGATGGTGGTAGGGTGCGCAATGCGCGGTCATATGTTCGGCGGGCATGAGTGTGCGATATTTGCGGGGGGCAAAATGGATGGTTGAATATTGACAAGTAGAGCAGCCAGATGCGTGGCATCTATGAGTATACGTCAGTTGCATTGTAAAGCCCACAGTTTGAAGGGGCGCACCCTCGGGAGCCACATGAGACATCGCTCGAACGTCGCAACAAGAAGTCTCCACTCTTCCCATCCAATGATACCATCCACACCGCCCTCCCACCGCTCCAGGTCCTCTTGCTCATCCTCGAGAGCTTCGCGCATGTCAGGGAACTTCTTCCTACCACCCGCTTTCTTCTTTTGCACAAGTTTGCCAAGAACGAAAGACATGCGTGTTTGTAGATAGGATTTCCACAGCTTGAATGAGCCAGGGAACTGAACAAGCGCCGCTTCATAGAGATAAGTTTGTCGCTGAAGGGATTGGCGAGCAGCAGGCGAGGAAAGAGGTCCCAACAAAGCTGCGACCTCGGGTTTTAGATCGGAGGGTGCCTCGGCCTTCTGTGCAGCAGCAGAAACCTCCTTCACATTCTGGATAGCGGTCCACCAATGTCTGAAAGAGAATGGATTCCTGAGCAGATCCTCCTCACGATGTAAGTCCTTGGTCGTGACAAGATCTGGATGGGTGGTAGGTGCCGGGGTGGGGAAGGTGAGGGGGAAGATGGATGTAAAAAATTCAATATTCGGCTGCTGCAGGGTAGCCGCGGGCATTTTGGAGGCGGAGGATGGCGACCAGGGCGGGGAGGAGAGGGCGGTGGACGAGGTTAACGGTGAGGAGCGCGAGCGCGTCAGGCGCCCGCTGCCACCACTGGCCAAACCCCCCTGGTCCGCACGTGCCACAAGCGCGATCGTAGAACGCGTCACGGGCGCCTGTCCCGGAGTGCGGTTATCTCTCGACCTCCACCATCCATGGTACGTCGTTCTTCACATGCCACTTGCGCCGCCTCACATGAAACCAGCATAACGTAAAACGTGTGAGATACTCGGCGGAGGCACTGGCCGCCCAGAGACAACGGGAAAAGGCTCGTCTCAAGGAGTTCCAATCTCTGACCGGGGAGGTACTCGCGCGAGTAAGCTTTGACCGTGGGGGTCCCTCAGCTCGCTACTTAAATACGTCTTCCCTCCCTTAGAAGCAGCGCAAGGATCACTCCAGGGAGGCCTTCGACCTCACCACCCGCCTACTCCAGATCAACCCTGAGTTCTATACCATTTGGAACTACCGCAGACTCGTCCTTCTCAATGGCATCTTCGTTGAGAGGTGTGTATGCATACGGTATACGTCCGTGACGCGTCGTAATATGTGTCTGCACTCGCCTAGCACACCGACTCAAATCAACGATGTTCTGTCCGACGACTTGTCCCTCACCACGACATTGCTGAAGCAACACCCCAAAGTGTACTGCATTTGGACTCACCGCCAATGGTGCCTCGCCCAAGTTCCTGACGGGCCCACGGCTTCCGATCGTAATGGATGGCGCCAGGCGTATTGGAACAAGGAACTCTTTGTCGCAGAGAAGATGCTTGAGGCTGATCCACGAAACTGTCAGTGTCTGTCCCACCCGCGAGCGCGTATCCCATCTCACCCTGCGCCGCAGTCCACGCCTGGACCTACCGTCGCTACGTCTTGGCGCAGATGCCCGTCAAGCGTCCAGAAACCGCAGATCTTGCTTTCACCAAGCGCAAGATCGAGTCAAATATCTCCAACTTCAGTGCATGGCACCAGCGGTCGAAGACCTTGACCTCTCTGTGGGACGCCGGCAAGCTTGACAAGGCGAGAAGCCTCGAGGAGGGTATGTAAGTCGCAATCAATATGTCGAACAAATCCTGACATTCTGGCAAATTGCCAGAGTTCGACCTTGTCCGGAATGCCATGTACACGGACCCCAATGATCAGAGTGTGTGGATCTATCATCGTTGGCTAGTAGGCCCAGGCGAGTTTGTGATCGGTTTCCTCAAAAAGGTCATACTAACTGATTTCTAGGCGACGACAAGGGACTTCTTGAACGGGAGGTATCGTCAATACAAGAGCTACTGGACATCCAACCAGACAGCAAATGTGAGTGCCGCTATTCTGTATATAATGCATAGTCGTCTCACGTCTGATCGCAAGGGTGCATGGAGTCTATCGTATTCTATAAGAAACTATTATTGCGCAGGCATGGGGATAGCTTGGGAGACGACGAACGTGGGAAATTGAACAGTGAGTGTGAGGAGCTACTTGGGTCTCTGCAGAGCGTCGACCCGGACAGACATCAGCGTTACGTTGATTTATGTGAGTTCCTATTGAAACCTATGTGTTCGTCCGCTAATTTGGGTGTGGGTAGCCCGTAACCATCACATCGTATGATATGAGATCATAGCCATGCTCAATGTGTATCCACATGGGACTTCGCCGTCCCGTGCTCATGTTTGACGACTAACTTAAGTCTAGCCCCGATATTGACGCCGTCTCACGTAAACCCAGTATCTCGCACACCAAGAATAATCCTTAACGCAAGGCCATTGGCAGATAGGACTATATATTTCTTGTTTTCATCTGAGACTATACAGCAGCTGATCCTACATAGACGCTCCGAAAACAAATCTCACGCAGCATCGGCGAAAGTAGGGAACTGGCCGTGAGCGGGTGGTGGTCAGGCGCATTGGCATGCGCTCAGCACTTGCACTCGCCCGGCTTGCAAGCGCAGCTACACAAGGGGTGAGCTATACAATGCTGTTCTGGAGCAGCTGGAAGATACTCACGTAGAGCCGCAGTTGCAGCTGTTGGCGCCGCAGTGGGTGTTCTTGACGACGTCGGTGGTCTATGGAGGAAGGGCAGATGTTCAATATCACAGCACAGTCGACGTGCAACCAAGCAGGAGTGGGAGCACTCACAGCGTGCATGATGACTAGCAAGGTGAGTGACAATGTGGTATGTGGTGGATGTGGTGGTAGTGGTGCAAGATACCGAGGAGCAATCAGCCAGGAAACAGGCCGTTATATATGTGGCGGTGATGAGGGTGTTCACGCGCCACTCCTGTCAGTTGAGCTCCCCAAAAAGGCAATTTGAGTAGTTTGAGCGAATTCTTGGACCAATCTCACGCCGACCCACGGCGTTCTAGGGGTACCACATGCCTCAGCAGTATCTGCGTCACCCTGTGCGTCTCCGTGGTCTCAGTTATCAGCACTGCTATTGACTCCAACACGCACCAAGTGACAAATCCGGATTTGTCGACCAGAGTCCCCAATAGTCCTCAATGGCCGATGTTCCCGCCCCTTCTGGCCTTCCGGATGACACCTTTGTGGAAGCTACAGCGGCATCTTGGAATCCGAAGCACGAGCGAGTGTTCAATCGCAGGCATATCCCTTCCGAGGTCCGGAATGAGCTACAAGCCTACTACCGAATGTTTTCCTGGCCGTCCTGGTTTGTACGCGGTACTATCGTTCTTAGCCTCTTATCTATGCAATCAGTGCTGACTCGGTGTCATCGACGCATACGAGATATATTCAGGGGCGGCACAAGTGCCGCAGCAACAATCTATCTGCTGTCCTATCCGAGCCTATGACGATCGTGCGGCTACCACCGGTCAACACCGCTCTGCACCCTCCACCTTGGAGGAAGACCGCCGCAGCTGCAATGTGAGCTAGTATAGCGGCATTTACGCCCTCATGTAGGGATGTCTGTGTCACTCTGGCTCAGCATCCTAGCCTCCTCTGTCTCCTGACCCCAGGTTGGCCCTAGAAGCCTTGTATTTGGGTTCCATGGTATGCGCATGTCATACGGCCCGGGAAGTTGAATTGGAAAAACAGACGACTGTAGGTGCCTCCGTACCTGCACCGGACGCGTCTGGCGAATTAGGCAAACTCATGGTCAACCTCACATCGTTGTCCGTCGTATTGAGTTCTTCTTGTAGCTTGCAGCTTCAGGGGCGCCACTCCGAAGATCTGTCAACTCTTCTACTACACAAAAGTCTGCACCCACGACGTTGACGGGCTTCCGTGAATCGAAGTACGTACGACGATACTAGTGCCCGTCGCTGATATGGCAGGCCACCATCCCCTAATGGACTAGAGCGGTGCGCTGGAAGATGTCAGGTGCGCACCTGCGCTGAGACGCGTTCCTAGTAGCCACGGACTAGAACCGCTACTTTATCCCACGCAGGAAGTCGATGACACGACGTTCCTAGCTTGTAGAGAAGTAGAAAGGTGTTTGATGGCTGCGGATACAGTGGAGTACACGACAGTACAGGTTTTGTATAACTAGGTGCGGCGAGTGTGGAGTCAGGAAAGGCATTGCAATAGTCATGAAAATCGTAGCGGTCATAGGCGGCATGAGGAGCGTTCAACGGGACATGCGCAACGAAAGCAAATGAAGATGTGAGGAGGGTACAACCCTGCATGTAGGTAATGGAATAATAAAGTACTTTCATGCACAGCAAGCGACGTCGGAGGACGATAGGAGACCAAGAGGATTGACCGAGAGGGAAGACATACAGCAAAATGACGAGCATACAAGATGTCCAGATCACATCGGCTTGCGGTTTAGGATCTCCTGGATGTCGTTGATCGTGCGCGCCGCCTCAATCGGAGGGCCAGGAAGGATGGAGAGCCGCTGCTTAGTCGTGTTCAACATCTGCTGGACGTTGGGCATGACACGAGCGACGTAGGGAGAGATGAGGGGGTCGTTGGTGTTGAGCACAGTCGCAGCACGCTGCAGCCACCACATCGACACCTTGAAGGACTCGTCGGCCGGCGATGTCTCACCAATGATATTAGAAAGCTGTTGCAACGTCGACGTCAGTTACCTAGACCGAAGCGTAGACACAAATGAACTCACCCTGTGCACCAACGTCAACATGACGGCTTGCGACAGGGGACTGGGACCGTTCATGGGCATGACGACCTCCGGGTTCGACCGGGCTAGCAGTTCACGGAGTTGTCGGACGTCCTGAGTGCCCAGGACTGCAAGGTAAGCGTCGTCCCACTCCTCCGGCTGTCCAGAAGCAGGGGGAGTGGCGCGCGGCAGCGCCTGCTGCTGCTGAGGAAGGGGTGGGGGGGCAGTAGGGTGGGAGGCCTGCGGGGCCACGATGTTGGGGGCGAACCACGGACCAGGCCCGTGCATGAGCTGCTGCTGCTGGGGTTGGGGAGGTGGCTGCTGGAAGGAGGCATGTGGCTGGTAGCCGGAGCTTTGGGGCATAGGAGCCATATTGGGCTGCTGTCGGAGAAGCTGGGGAAGCTGGTTCGACGGAACTATACCAGCACTCGAAGGACCCGGAGAGCTGCGGTTTTGCAGATGGCTGAAATTAGGAGGTGGGTTCAAGAGGAACTTGACCTGATCGGAGAGCAGGCGGACAGATTGCTCGAGGTCACGGATGGTCGACTACAAACGCACGTGGATGATCAGTATCCGCAATTCAGCTAGGACGAACTGAGACTCTACCTCCTGACCGCGAAGCGTTTCATTCTGCCAAGTAAGGATCTCTTTCTTGAGGTTGAGGATCTCGGTACGGATCTCGCGGGAGAGCTCCTGGTGCATGGCGGAGGAGGGGATGAGGTTCTTCGAGATAGATTCCTTCACCTGCCGCTCGATGGCAGGCGTCACGTTAGCGGAGAACGCACGGGCGACCTGGTTCGCGATCTCTGGCCGGACGAGCACTCGCTCAATCTCGTTAGGCAGGGCCTGCGGACACGGGGATTAGCCACCGCTCAAACGTCGCACCACAGCTGAGCTTACCACTTTCATCGCGTCGCTCACGCCCTTCGCGATCTGGTTGCTGAGCGCCGCCTTGACCTCCTGCTTCGTGATGTTCTCCAACGAGGGCAGGACTGAGTTCTGGACCTCAGATTTGACGGCCATCTCGACGACGCGCGTAGTGTTCCTCGTCAGCTCGGTCGAGATGAGCTTCAGAATCTTCTCCTGACGGACGAAATCCGCAGCCTGCTCGTTTTGGCGGACCTCCTCCAGGCGTTGGTCTAGTCGACATCAGCACATGCTACTGGAGCGCAAAAGCACACGGTGAGAAACTTACGCTGCTTGTCAAGCTCCTTGGAGATAAGACGGCCCAGGCGATTGTGGAGGCTCTCCTCGGACTTCTTGATCTCCTTGGTGAGCGCCACACCAACCTCGGCGTTGAGTTCGACCTCGGCCTTCTTCTCCCCCCTCTCCTTCTCGGAGTCCCTGTTGCTGTCCTTCCACCCGACATTCTTGCCCCTGGGACCCTTGCCCTTGCCCTGACCGCGACCACCCTCCTCTCTGGGCGCCTCAGCCTCAACCTCCTCGGAGGGCGGCGTCTTCGTCCTTGGAAGCGGCACGTTGATCGGATGAGGCTGGACAAGAGGCTGGCCGTACTGAGGACCAGCAGCGTGCTGGGGCTGACGCTGGGGTTTGGCCTCGACCGGCGGGAGCTGGGCAGCGTGGTACGCGGGGAAGTGCGCAGGGGCGCCGGCGAACGCGGTGTTGAACCACTCCTTGCGGATGAGCACCTGGTCGACGCCTGTCGAGTGGACAGAGAAGGCGACCAGCGCGAGCTCGCCGGGCGGCACCTTGGCAGCGACGCAGGCCGCATGCGCCTCGTCGCCGTGCGGGTCGGCGTCCGCCGTCAAAATGACGAAGTGGATCGTCGGCTTGGGCCCGCTGAACTCGACGACCTGCTCGATGAAGGCGCCCCGGCCCACGTCCTCGCCGCCGGGGGAAGGAGCTGCGACGTCGTAGTTGAGCTTGAACGCGATCATCGACTCACGGCGGTTGTTGGCGATCCAGAGCGTTTGGATGCGCGAGTCGTAGTTTGCGTGTCCGAACATCTGCGGGTCCTCCTGATCGCCGTTGACGAACTTGATCGTGGAGAGCACATTGCGGCCCATGACGGGAAGGAGCTGGAAGACCGTGCCGTTCTTGCGACCGACGATCACGCCGCCGTCGACGAAAGTGAGGGACGAGGGGAGGTCATCGCCCCGAACCTTGTGGGACCAGAACGGTAGCTTGTCGCGGATGTTCCACATAGTCAACGTGGAGTCCTCAGAGATAGTCGCGAGAGCGGACCGTGGGATGTCGAAGTCGAAGGCGAGAATCGGCTGAATACGATATCAGTATTACGTCCAGCTGAGTACGGACAACGAAGACTCACCGAAGGAACAGAGAAGATCTGGCCTACTCTGTGCAGTTCGCTCTGCGGGATCGGGTCGCCGCCGAAGACGTGCGCAGCATCGGCGATGTTCAATAAGTACATGTTCGTGTCCGACGCGACCGCAACGAGATCGGGCTGCTGAGGGTGCCACTTGACGGCATGAAGCGGCTCCCCGTCACTCTGAGGGTACACGCAGAGCATAATGCGTCCCGGGACGTCGTCCGTAATGACATCAGGGAGTTCCCAAACTACAAGGCCACCGTCCGAAGTGACGCCAGCAAGACGGTTGCCGTGCACCGACATGTCGCTGACCGCTGTGCTGGGAGGGAAGGGGCTTGGTAGCGTGAGGAGCGTCCTATCACCGCTCGACCGCGAGATGACCCGAACACGTCCCTTGGTCATTGCATATGCGACCCATTGAGTCGCGCCGATGGTCGTTCCAGGAAGGAAGGTAGAGTCGACCTTGACGAGAGCGATCGCCGTCGACTTCACGGCATCTTGAGGCGCCTGGATCTCGTCAAGAGGCTGCGAGACGTCGAAGACGATCGCCTGAGATTGCGCACTGTCGAGAGGTACTCAGTCCATTTTCGGATGCCTTACAATCAATGTGTAACACTCACATGGGACTGGTGTTCTTGCCTTTGGGAGCGCCGCCTCGTCTGTTCTCGTAGCTGCCGCGCTGTGGCAATGGCGAGCTCTCCTTGTCTCGGCCATACTGTCCACTGTAAGGACCCTGGGAGAAACCGCCTTGGCCGATGGGCGAGTCTGCTGCACGACGCTGCTGCTGCTGACGCGCTGGTTGACTAACCTGCTTGGGAGGAGAGGCACGCGGCGAACCCGTAGGTTGGACAGGCTGTGGGGGCAGAGGGCGCGAACGAGGCTGAATAGGCTCGTGCTGCGGCTCCTCCGGCTGGTAAGACTCGTAAGGACTGACAACGTGTTGGGTCGGCTGGGGCTGGAGCGCTTGTCCCCGCGTGAGTTGGTCCATCAGGTTTTCGACCGACTTGCGCTTGGGGTCGACTGCTGGGGTATTCCAAGAGGATAGGTCCTCGGCTTGCTGGGGCGGTGGAGGCTTCCTCTTCGCGCCAGGGCTTGTGCCCGACAATGCATCGAACGGAGAATAGAAATCGAACATGGAACGGCGAGCGGGCGATGGTGCGCGCTGCTGACTGTCTTGTGGGGCGTGTATACCGACGGACCCCTCACGGTCGTGCGGATAGGGAGCCTCAGGCGGAAGGGCGTACTCGTCATGGTGCGATGGCTCGGCGGACTCCTGCATGTAGGGCGGCGACGGTCCCGATGGCGGAAGCGAGATGGGGGTCTGCTGCGTCTCGGATTGGGAGAACTTCTGTGCACTACACAAACATAGGAGTGAGATTGCGACGTTAACTGACAAATAGCAGCAAGGGAGTGGCAACTCTCGAGTTGCTTGCGAGGCAAGGACCTAGACAAGCTCAGATTATGTAGTGCCACTTCATCGTCATACGCAGGAGGTACCGCAGCACAAACGCGCGATGCGGAAGACAAATCGGCAGAGTATATGCACGCCGAGCGAGCACCGGACCCAACCGACGAATCGCTCAGGATTTGAGTACCATCTGTGCTAAAGCTAGCAGCGGTAGGAGTGGGACCCAGCAAAGCAGACGATGGAAGATCGTCTAGCGTGCATTCATGCATCATGATTTCGCATCGCGCAAGCCTCGGAGACAGGAACCTTTCCTCCAAGGCCATCGCCCAAGCCCAGGGTGCATGTCGGTGCCCAAGACGGAAGTATGACCTCCCAAGACGGAGCGCGAACGTAATGAAGCTAAGCACTCACCCAGACATCAACTGCTCCAGCAACAATTTTCCTTGAGACTCGCTGCTCGACATGCCTGGCCTCGGCGCGGAACCCGGTGGTGTGGGTACTTGCTGCGGCTGGACCGGGCCAATGGGTTGAATGGGTTGAGGGTTGGAGGAGGGGGAAGAGACGGCTCCAAGAAGAGACAAGAGAGCGTTCTGCCGCTCGGTCGCCTGGCTGCTGGGGCCAGACACGTTGGAAGAGATAGACGCAGCGTTCCCGGACGCTGGGGTCGCGGGCCCCGAGCCTGGCTGCTCCTGGGGGCCCTGATAGATACTTGCGCTCGCAATGCTCGGCTGCGGGCTAATGTGAGAAGTAGAAGGGGCATTCAAGTTGTGGAGGAGTGAGTCGAGATGAGATGGGACGGCGTTCGGCGGTGAGATCTCGCGATGGGAGGGCGCGGGCGACACATGGGGCTCGCTGGACGGGCCAGGGACGTGGGGGACCATGTGGAACTGGGAGGAGGGCGGGGGCGGGGTTGCGGGGCCACGCGAAAAGACGTTATCTCTGTTGGTTACGGGATCCATTGGGGCGATCGCAGAGAGCAACGAGCAGGAAATGGCCCGGAGGATGTGTGAAGAGGGGGGGAGATAGGGGAGAACGCGAAGGACGAGCGCGATGAAGGCGGGTGTATACCACAGACAACGAGGTAAACACGCGTTCCCGGCTAACTCCGCTCACCGCCCACACCACCCAATCCCCGCGCGACCGTCCGGACTGGCCTCTTTGTGGGACCATGGTCCGTGCTATCACTCCTGCTTGCTGCGTCGTGATCCCACCGATGACACGGGTACCACACCGGACAATAACGTGCACGCGGGCAGGCAAACACGAAGCACAAACAACCCGTCTTCAATCTGGGGTTCTACTAGTACATTGTCCATGACATCCACAGTCGCCGACCTCACAGAGAAACAGCCGCATTCTTCGCCGCAGCTTCAGCCTTCTCCTTGAACGCTTTCGCCGCCAGGTCCTCCGGAACCAGGATGATGTCGCGCTGCAGCAGCTTGAAGGTGTCGCCCTTCGGGAAGCCTCGCTTTCGCGCCTCGGCCTCGTCCTTGATCGTTTGCAGTTTCTACATTCCGTGACATCAGCCGATCTGATGCCTGAACACCACCACGTTATTGCTCACCACGACGAGCGATTTCTTGACCCCAAATACCGCATCGCTCTCCAAGTACAGGTCGCCTTCTGGGTAGAACGCCGTAGTCAGCTTGCGATAGCCAGGCGCCTCGATCATGAGGTGCAGGTGATTCGGGCGCATGTTGTGTCTACCAATTCCCAGAAGCAACTCGCCGACAGGTCCCTGCAAGTGACGTCAACGACCCCCGGACCATGAGCATAGCATCGTGGGTTGACCTACATCTCCTGGGATCGGATAGGCGACGGGCACCACAGCGCGGTATCCGAAGTGGCCATCCTGGTCCGAATGCAGACGTCCTCTGCAGTCCGGCCGATCTCGGGTGGTATACTGAGTGTCGTAGAAGCCTGCGGACCGTAGTCGTGAATGGATAAGGAAAGGATTAGGCGCAGCGGCCGACTGACCGTTCGCATCCGTCTCCCATGTCTCGACAGTAGCGTTCGGAATGGGCGTCCCGTCTACGCTGAGAACTCGTCCTTCGACATACATGTACTCCCCTTTGCCCTCCGACGCGATGGAATCGCCGTTTGCCACTGAAATCGCGGTCCGTAAGTCCTGATAATACTCACGCAGCAGGAGTCTTGAACTCAATCGCTTACCATCGGGAGCATCTTCGGTGAAAAACGGTCCGAGGACGCTGCTCTCCGTCGCGCCGTTCTCCGGAGGGTTGTTTATGGCGTCCACTAGTGCAGATACTCCCAGGACATCGGACAGGAGGATAAACTCCTGGCGGATAGGCGTACACGTCTGTCCGACGCGGGTCAGGAACTTGATGGTCTGGTCCCACTCCGCTGTCGTCAAACTGGGTAGATGCAGTTAGCACTGGCAAGCCATCTGCCTTGGACGCAACAAGGGTAGTGCTACAAGACACTATACGGCCCAGCGGCCACTCCGCGGAAGCCGGCATCCAGGCCTTGACAAGAATCTTACAGGGCTGACGGGATGCATGCTATGAGGCGAACGCACAGTGATAAAGACTGACACGTGCTGTTTTTCAAGCAAGAGATGTGCTTCCCAACACGGCCACCCCCAAGGATACGATATCTTTAGCCCCGCGGACCGCCGCGTGGCGGGTACATTAGATCTATACTGACCGCACCCACCGCCAGTGACGGCATAATTTCCGTGGTGCGTTAGACCAATTGACCACCCTTCAGCCACAAGGGATGCAACCATCACGTTGTGTGGCTGAGTGCCACTGCTTCCCAGATACAAGGCGGCCGGCAGGCAGCATGCATAGACTGTTCTTGTGTTTTTGCCTGCTCATTATGGCGCAACCCACCTTGTCTCCCGTACGAATGAATGTAGATGGGCGACGAGGTTCCTCAATAGGAATCGCTTGCGACTAGGAGGCTTGAGTCAGGATATATGCGCTTCCCACAGGCTGTCCAGCATACGCACTCGTCCGGAGTCAGCTCCGTGAGCTTGAACATGTTGGCCGTAATCACATCTGGGCTATCTGGAGTCTGCACAGATGTGACGAGCGATTCAGTTACATCTCAGTCGGGAAGCTGTAGGTCTTGCATGTTACTTACCGGGAGCTGGAACGGAGGAGGCGGGATGCCATTCGCTACAGCCTTGCCGTCATCATGTCCTGCCATGGTTCCTCGAGTGCTGGATTAGCTTCACGGGAGGGTCGTCCTAGATGTTTAAGCAGCGAGCAGGCGTAGGAGCTGAAGACAGAGCGTCGATCCGAGGACCGTCTTTATCGACCTACCGATCACCGCCCGTATTTAACGTGCCCTGGCCTCCGATACCAGGCCGAGCGCACAGGCCTCGCTCGGATGCGGGGCAGCAAACCGCGAGAACGACGCCGTCTGACCGAGTGCACTCACCCTGTACGCCGGATCCCCAGATATAGAAAGTCATGTGTGCCCTGGAAAACACTTGACCCGATCCTGGTCCTCCCAGCTCACGTACGGCAGAGGGGGCAACGACCATATTTGAGGCGGCAGACGCCACGAATCTCAAGTGGAGAAGCGTGCTTGCATCAGCACGGAGGTAAGTCAGGAAGCTTGGTGCGGCGCAGAAGCGTGTCTCTGTCAGAAATGATCACGGTAGGACTTTTGCATGCTGCGAGGATGAGCGATCAAGCCGTAATGTCAATATTTGGAAGCCCGAGTTTGCGAAGGTCGGCGATGCGACAACAGACCACGCTGTACAGTAAGTAGATCACAGAAAACGAAGTGCGGAAGGGGGACAACGACACGGCGCACGACGCGCCTTGCGACGCGTCTCGATCCCGAAATGTGCGTCTCCGCCACGTGCGCTGCCGATGCACAGTCGCCAGAGCGCCCGCACCGTCTCGAGCAGCAACACCGCCGACAGCGTCGCGGCCACCCACCTCCTTCACCCCGTCCGCCGTCCTCGTTCTGCCCACTACCCCCTTGACCTTCGCGCCCGTAGTTCCCGACGACATCCTTCACGATCAGACAAAATGGCGACAGCTAACTCCAAGGGCTGGTTCAACCTAGAAGCCGCGGGCGGCGTCATTCCTGATACGCAGTTCTTCGAGGGCGACTCGGCATTCAGCTTCCTCGGGCTGACGAGGACGCAGCGGTTGTATGGGTTTATTGGATGGTGCGTCCTTCACATCATACACCAGATATAACATGGGGAAGACCAAATGTATTGCTCGAGCTAATACGCCGCTCATGGATTAAATTGGACAGCCTTGCTATCGGCTTCGTCCTGAGTTTGCTCGGGAGCATCTTCCTGTTCCTGGGCTCGCTCACGAGCTTCGCCCGTACGTACCGCTTTCTTGACTCGTCGGAAATTCATCAACGCTTTCACGGCAGTCCTGTATGCGCTTGGTACAATTATTGCTTTGATTGGAACCGGCTTCCTCATTGGGGTGCGTCGACTACAACACCCTGCACGTGTATATCTACTCATATCAATATCGAAATGTCTAGTTCTTCAAGCAAGTCAAAATGGTATGGAATACTACCCATTTGATGTCACAAGGCATGAACGGAGGCTCACGTGCCACAATCCTATATCACCTAGATGTTCAAGCCAGTACGAGTAGTCGCGACCATCATCTTCCTCGCCTCCATAGGCCTCATCTTCGTTGGCGCGTTTGTCATCCGCAGCGACGTAAGTCCTCCACGTCATGCTCACATCTGACATCGAAGCTCACGCTGCTCTTCTCAGATCCTCTGCATCAGTAAGCGCCAAGCTCTAGTTTGATCACTAGCTTCTCCCCATTGCTGACACTTCTCCTTTACAGTCTTCGTGATCATCGAGTACCTTGCCTACACATGGTACACGCTCTCCTACATCCCCTACGCACGAACAGCCATCCTGAAGGTATTCGGGCTCTGACGTGGTCCCTTGCGCAATCCTCTCACCCGTGCGGGCTACTACCTGGCCTTAGCACGGCATCCGACCAAGTGTTCACCTCCGCTATGCCCTTTCTTCTCTTGACTTGTCGTGTCCGCGGGCTACCCTGGATGTACCTATCTAATACCTCACGAATGCACAGAACTTGTAAGACTATAATATGCATCTGCACCTTCAAGCCTATAAAATCCGTCGCCCAAGATTAATCTTACCGATATACATACAGCATGATCATGAGCCACCGTGGATGAATGGTCTGGGCGGAAATTACGATTGCTGCCGCAGCTAGCAGTGCGTACACCTGCCTCAGGACAGGGTGCCTTCTGCGATACAGCCGGGACCCAAGGCAACGTACCTGCAGCAAATGAGGGTATCATGCGTTCAAGACGTCTATCGAGATGGTAGCCTGACCCCACACGCAGCACCGGAACAAGAAGTCTTGCATATAAGTACAATTCGATGATGAATTTGATGATACATTTGCTTCCGTTCCTAGTCCGTCTCAGCTTAGTCTGAGACAACTCACGCATTCTCTTCCATCTCTCCACGGCCTCCACGGCCGTCACAGATGGCTGCGTCTTGGATATATTCATCAGGTGAGATGGAAGCACAGAAGGGCTGCTGAGCCGCAGAGGACCACGTACCGCGCTCACCCCTTGAAGTTATTCTTGAGCGTCCTGAGCGCGTCCATGACGTGGGCGGCCTCACCGCCCCCCGTGGCTTGCCTGTGCGGCCACAATCAAATTAGCACACATTCTCCAGCCGAAGGACATCCCAGAATCCAGCGGCCGTGGATCCACCGGAGTATCTCTAGTCGAAGGGGGACCACACGCACTGGATGGCCGGCGTGTCGAGCCGCATGAACGGGTTCCAGTCCCTCTCGTCCCCGATCGTCGTCCGCTCGCTGGGCACGACACCGCTCTGGATGAGCGTGTCGAGCCGGCGCAGGGCGGGGTTCTCCGGGTCGACGCTCTTCGCGAACGCGAGGTTGCCCCTGGTGTACTCGTGCCCGTCGTAAACGACGGTCGCGGCGGGGAGCGCGCCGAGCTTCGCGAGCGCGGCGTGCATCTCGGCGCCGGTGCCCTCGAAGAAGCGGCCGCAGCCGGCGACGAAGAGCGTGTCGCCCGTGAATACGCCGCCGGGGTGGGTGCCCGCGGCGTCGGTGACGTGGTAGCAGATGGAGTCCTGCGTGTGGCAGGGCGTCGCGAGGCACCTGGGTTGTGGATGGGGATGTTAGGGCATGCGGGCGGTCAATCACCGATGAAGTATGAGACAAGGGCGGGTGCGGTGGACGCACCGGACGTTGATGCTGGCCACTTTGAATTCATCCTTGTCCTTGACGAGCTTGGACAGCGCCGGGATCTTGTCGCTGCCGCCGTAGATCGGAGCATCTGGGTAGGCTGCAGCCTGTCGGGGCGCAGTGGTCAAGACGGGTGCTATATCCAACCGGGACGTCGCGATGCACGTACGAAGTCCTGACCGCACAACGCCCTGTTAGGTCACTCGCGGCGAGAAGAGGGGCAGGAGGCGGTACAGACCTTGTTCCCACCGCTGTGATCGAAGTGGTGGTGTGTGGTAATGGCGGCGATGATCTGGACACCAGCCTTCTCGGCGGCTTGCTGGACTTTGGGGACGTCGTAGGGGTCTACTGCAGCCGCTTGATTGGACGCATCGTCGATGAGGAGGTACGCGTAGTTGTCGTCGCGGACGGGCACGGGGACGACCTTCATGCTTGCGGCGGCGGTGGACGAGAAAGGGGCTGTTCGAGCTCGGAGGGCGGAGGGAGAGCTGAGACAAGGGGCCAGTGCTTGGTGGATGAGACGGGCTGAGAGCATCGGTCAGCAACTGAGCACACTCTCTGTACATTACAGTAATACTTACCCACTCCCACTCGATGCACATCCCGGAAACAGAGACGGCATCGCGGACCGCCATTTCGCGATCGACACCGAGTTCGATGCGAGCGCCCGCAGCTTGCGAACGTTGATGCTCTCTGTCAATACGCTCTGTACGTGACTCTGCTTGTCGTACTAGGCTCGCCGTCGTCATGATCCTGCTCGCTGACTATATCCATGTACTCGCTTCCCGCGACTGACCGCCAGATGTTGGACCTAAGTATCGATAGACAGGATCTGATGGTTAACTCCATCAGGCTTCGGTGACTGCGAAGCTGTTGCGCGCCCGTCCCGCTGCGACCCCTGCGAGATGCATAGTCATTCCCTCACCGCCTCACCCCCTTAGTGGTTGTCCTCATTCCTATCCCAGGCGGACATCCATCTTGCCCTCCTCCCTCTCCACTAGCAGCCTCATGGTCTCTCCTGATCAGGCCCTGACCGCTCCTCCGTCAAGGAGAACACCAGTGCGTCTCCGGATTCTCCTATGCTCGGCCTATCTCCTCGCCTTTTAACTATGACGCTATATGACAGCTGGCTCGTCGAAGCTCAGGACGTTTGACTACTAGTGTGCTGGACCCCCACCAGCCTTGGCAACAGTTCCTTAGTCAAGCTGAGGAGCTCTGCGGTACCTATGACGCCCACAACATATCTGTGTCATGCTGGGTCAGCCAAGTCCTGCCCGTTGTCGGATCACCTAAATCTCCTTGCGAGGAAAAGAACGCTGCCTGTGCTTCTTCGTATATCTCCGTTATGTCTATGCGTTATACAAGTCTCTACACCTCATCAACCAACAACCCGGTCTCTTCATCGAGCATCACTGCTACCTCCACTTCGCATACTCTATCATCCACCCCGCCAGGCACATCGGCGAACAGTCCAACCTCAGTGACTCAAGTCGCTACAAGCTCTAACGACACCACTTCGACAGCTGCTAGTCCAGGAGGGACAGGTGGGGCCAGTGCCGGTGACTCGCAGGGTGGTACGTCGCTGAGTCATTGGTCGGTGGAAGATTGAACGAGCTCTTTTCTCTCTAGCCCCTTCAATTCCCGCATCGATCGTCTCTACGCCGTCCGAAGACAGTCCTACAACAGGCCCACCCGCAGAGACGGACTCGTCTTTAAATGCTCTAGGACCCTCGCCCTCAGCCGTCGCGCATGGCGGTTCGCCACACTCCGGACTGCCAAGCAATGCCACAACGAGCACACGCCTATCCGCATCCAAGTCCTCTCCCAACGCGGGCGCGATCGCAGGCGGGGTCACCGGCGGCCTCCTAATAATCGCGCTCCTCGGCGCCCTAGCGTTCTTCTTCCGCCGTCAGCGGCGCAAAGCGCGCATACCGCCTTCCGCCGAGTTCATGCACATGGCCCGTGGGGGCGCGGGGGGCCCAGAACTAGCGTTCGTGTCCTTCGACCCCGACACCCCAACAAAGCACATACCGCTCGCGCGACAGAGCTCGATCGAGGACGACGAGCGGCCGCCTGCTTTCACGCCCGGGAGCTACTCGGACCCTATTCTCGAAAAGGTGCACGCGTCCGCGGCGATGCGCGACCAGTATGGTGTTGGGCACGAGGAGGGCGGCTTTGAGGCGTATTAGGGAAGGAGGGACATTCGAAGTTCGAAAGGGGATGGAGGCATGGCGCGGTGTTCGTTCATTTTAGTTGCTCTTCGCCCAGTCTAGTCGCTGCTCTTGCGTTGCGCGACCTCCCACTCGTTCTTGGTTTACATACCCCAGAGATCTGAAGCTGTAAGTTATTCGCTCCTTGTCTAGGTGCCATATCTTGTACTCTATACCGGACGTTGTTGTACATGTATGCATGCATGCTATCTTTCCATTCGTTATGGTGTCACACACCTTCTGCCCTGCATTACTCACGAGATATCCTGCTCCTAGGAGGCTGATACTAGACACTGCACGACTTTCAATTTCGCAAGGGAGAAGACTCATGAATATGACAGTCACACGGTAGGAGATATCGTACAGTAGCGTCCCGAGTCATGATTGTGTCGGAACAACAGGCATGACGAGGGAATCACATCAACGTCAACGATCGATATCAATCACATACACAAGACCGAATACTCGATTGCGGCTAGGTGGTACCAGGGGGGAACTCAGCTCACAACCACCGGGCATGCGCGACGACCTGGAACGCGGTGGGGAGAGGTGGCGGACGAGTCAGGCGAAGGGCATCCGATGCCTGAGCCCCACTGGGGTCTGGAAGCCCGCAGTGCGCTTCCACTGCTCGAGGTCGAATGCGTTCGGAGCGGTGCTGCTAGTGCGCTCGGACGCGGTGTCGCTCAACGAAGCCCCATCCGCGCAGAAGAACGGAAGTCTCGTGCACATGCGCTACGCAGTTAGGTCAGTATCGGACCAGAACATGGGGAGAAGGCTGATCACGTACATCAGCATCTAGACAAAAGCCGTAGAGTTAGTCTCGTCACGCCTGTGAGATATGGATCCTGCACTTACAGTAGACAGGCGCGGGGATAGAAACTGATCGCGTTGCGCTGACATACATGTGGCATAACTTGAAGGTGAGCTGCTGAATGCTGTGTGCGTTGTCAGCGATAGGGATATTGTCGGCAGACAACCTCGCAGGCAGGCAGTGCACGTACTTCTTGATACCCAAACTCGCCTCGTTTGCCAAGACAATGTAGTGAGTGGGTCGACTAGCTGTGTGTATAACCGAATGTCAACGATGCAGTGAATGTGTATCGCCTTATGACTACATACTCCCCAACAGTCCTGCGTGCGATTGGAGGTAGAAGTTCTCGTAATTCGGGTTGATGATGCTATCAGCGACGAGAAGTCCGGCAGGACAATTTCCAGAGCGATCCCGGTCGTCTGGGCTGTACATCAGTGAGTACATGGATTTTGAACGAAGCATAATCATCGAATGGCAGGACGCACCGCTTCGCAAAAAAGCGGACATGATGCCTTAGGAAGAAGTGTGAGTAAATCCAACACGCAGCCAGTGGTACACAAGACAGCTTACCTCTTTGCTACAACTATGAAAATAATCTTGGACCAGAGATTAGGAGGTATTTGTGCTTTCGCAAATGCGCCTACGTGCTAAGGTCTAGACGGTCCTCTGCCGTACGAAGTCAAGAGCTTACTCTTGATCTTGGGAACCTCATACTGAGCGACTCTGTCAAACTCGCCCTCGCTAACTCCATCCCTGAAGAACACTACTGTCTTAGGGGGTCTGTCCCACTGCGGACCTAGCTTCTCCCGGCGGTAGCTACGCCAATCACCGAGAAAACGCTGAAGAACGAAGTAATGAGCTTCACGAAGCTCGTTTTGCTCAAGGGATACGTACGAAAATCATTTCTTCCAAGTCCTCAATCATCTCCTGACGAGGCTGCTGTACGAAAGAGCAACAGGTCATGACGCTAGCTTGGGGGTCCAAAGACGCAACCAGCCCGGTGATTGATGGCCGGTTGGTGACACCCGGTCCCGGATGCCCCACATCTGCGCCTGAACACACAGTGTGTGACGGAGGTTATACCAGTTGAGGCTAAGGAACTACTCACCAACTATCATCGCTTCTCCGAGGAACTTACTGAACCCCGGGTCGTCGATTACCGAGTTGACCCCACCGAGGCGAGCGTTGATCCTAGCAAGACAAGTGATTATCACGATCCCACTAACCATGGCAAGAAAGTGCTTACTTCAACGCAACGTTGTGACAATACTGGTCATTGGCGCGCTCCCATTTACCACCTCGCTGTAACAATATTTAGTGCAACGACCTTCATTCTTGAAAATTGACACATACCACGCATTGCGTTGATATGCTCCGCTTGCAATCACCCCAATTTTTGATGGCTTGGCGGATTTCGGCTGCATCGTGGGGCAAAACGCAAATGACAAGCTCCGGCCTAACTTGGGACCCACGATCCTCGAGGACCTAAAATTATATATCGTTGAGCACGGAGCCGTGGCGAGCTATGCCGATCGGGTTCTCACTTTCTTTGGATCTGAGGGCTGGCCCCCATATATTAGCGGCCTGGCTGGGATTCCTGTCGCCAAAAGATCCTGAGTACCAGTAGACCAAGAGCAGGATCGCGAGACGTACGCAGGCCTGTATATTCATCGAGCATTGAAGGTTAACGTCATAGTCCTACCTTCGCTGCATTGACTGGCTCACCAAGCCTCTGCAAACTCATTTCAATCTTGTCAATGAATTGTCGGACGACCTGCTCTTGGGCGCTGCTATAGTTGACGACCATCCAGGACCGCATCACACCGGGCTTGTAGAATCGGCGTCCGACCATGTTCCAAGAGCCACCTGTGGGCTGCAGTTGCTGTATGTAATGGCTTCACTTTCTGTGCATGGTTCTGTAACACCAGCCATCGCTAACCTGACTGCCGCCATACATGAGCGGAGGAGGTGTGATGACCTCGCCGCTCAGCTCCATCGGCTCATTGCTGACGGCCATCCCAGCCTCCCGCATGTAATCCGAGTCCGCATAGTTGAAGATCTGCGGTATTTTCAGTGTACGAACGCTGCGGTATAGTCCGTGAAAGTCAATCACGTACACCTCCAGTAACGGCCGACTTGATAGCGCCGAAGCGATGGTCCGGCTTCTGTGTCGCAAATTCAAGGAAACCCCTCTGTACATCGGGGGGAATCTTCTTTCGGAAAACCTGACCTGACCGCACGATGCAAAACTCTGCAGGGATAATCGCCGTCCTCCCGACCTTCACACCGACATACTTGGGGTATCGCACCTGCTTCCCATACTTGGTCTCGAAATGGCGCTACATAAATGAGTCAACATCTACCGTCCTATTACCGATGGTATGTCGTACCTGAACGGTCCAGCTTTCGTTATCCTTATCAAACACCTGTTGCCCAGCTGCGAGCACGAGATCGGAGATGGGACGGGCACGCATCTTGGGCGAGACGGTGATAGAGACGACAACGCCTTTGAGGAACGTCCGCAGTTTTCGAAAGTCAGAGGGTGAGAGGGTTTGCAGTCCTCGCGAGTCTCTCAGATTGAGATATTGCATCATCGTCGTGACGAGTGGACCACCTGTGTACCTGCATAGGGACTATTCAGCACCGATAGTATGTGGACATAACGCCTTTGCATACACGAGGGCGTGCGAGACGTCGATATTGATGATCAGCCCGCCCAGTGTGGGCCGCACGCTCCTATATCATCTGGAATTAGTGTGCGACGAATCTAGACTACGGAATGTCACATCACTGGAAAAAGCCTCGCCATGCCGACAACCCGATCCTCAGGTCTTTGGCCTTACTGTCAACGTAGAACGACCGTGCATCGGCCGGGAAACCATGTCGCATGTTGGGAGCCTGTCGGACAATGAGCTGCAAGAGGCCGAGCGACTTGGCATTCATGTCCATTGCACTTGGGTCATTCGAGCTCCGCCTGCGCGTAAGCGATCTGACCGCGCTGAAAAGATGTGAATCTCTTTGAGAAACACACATATCGAGAGGCCAGAGATGATGACTTACTCTGAATTGATGGTGGAGACTCTCCTAATAGTGACCGTGTGAGTCGGATTCTCGCTCCTACGACTCATGAACACTTGATACTGTCAAGTGGATAGGTCTCAAAATCGGCAACAAGAACGCGGTCAGTCGAAATTACCGGCACAGACGGTATATCACGGGTGCAATACATGTTCTTGCGCCCGTCGAAGACCGGCCGGGGACTGAATGTCGTAGCGTTGTCTGTCTGGAGACGTTCTATGATTTCATAGTTCTGACGTTTAGTCAAACAAGGAGGCTGAATGTCTGTGCATGATTGTTGAGGAGGATGACATTCACAGACACAGAGGGTGGACTATACCGACTGATAAAGCATCAGCATCGGAGGAACATTCGTGCCAATATTCAGGAGCCGAGTTACCCACTGTCGAATTGAAAATACACGGCCGACGGCGCCTGTGTAATTTGGAAGGAGTTCGTGTACACGGCTATATCACGACGCGCCATCTCTGAAAGTAAACCAGGAAAAGGAGCTTTGCACAGAGCGTAAGTAGCCCTGGCGCACTTCGAGGAGATGAGAGAGACAGGAACAACAGTGAACAATTACGAAGAAGTCGATGGAAGTGGTACAGGCCGGCGGGGGGGGCGAACAAGATGTCCCATCGATGGGTGAGCTTATATACCATGTCGAACATCCCAGATGCTAACGAATGTGAAGCAGGCTCAAGTCGGAATGCCAGGGGTGCGTCGGTGTGTCGAAGCTGGACGCGCACAGGAGCGCATTTCGGACTAAGATCTGGCTGATCCGATTTGGGCGGTTAATGACGTGGATTGCGCGAGGGAGAGGTACTCCTCCTACATTTGCATGCTGTCTAATGCTGCGGTGGTCTCTCCGTTGACTGGCTTCCTACATTCACTGGCTGAATGCCATTTAAGGAATGCAGCCCGACATCACCGATACCAACCAAGTGCCATCGAGTTGGTTTAACTCTTACGATGTCACTGCCGGGCCAGTCATAGCAGCTAGTAGTATGATTCTGCTCCGGATCTCTGCACCACGTTCTGCCGCAGCAACTCTTCCAGCACTCCATCCTACTTCTTTCCAAACATTCTCATCAGTTCAAGCTCTTACCCTAGATCAGTGGCGCCCCAGTAAATTCGAGTGATGTCTGTAAGGTCTGTGCTGTCTGTCCTAGTATACACAGTTGTGCTCTAGGCTGGTTGTGCTGCAGGCTGCAGGCCGAGAGTCAGGCAATTGCATCAGTTACCTCCCTCTACGTCTGAATGACACGCTCGATGAATCTGGCCGGTCTGAAGTCTGACTCAGTCCGCGAAGTCTACACCAGACCTCACTCTAGACTCAGCAGATCAAAGGGGGTTTGATTGATGTGCGTCCGGGCACGGATCCCGCAACATGCATCTCCTCTGACTCTAGGCAGCCCATCGGTCTGGGCAGAGACAGCGGCTAGCAGGAGGTACGCTTGGATTTTCGTCTCTCCACTAATAGCCAGATGTTACTGGCACGAACATACACTGAGAGCATATAGCAGATACATTGGTATAGGTGTATAGTAATAGTCCATGGGAACGCTTTGCGAGAGATATAGCAACTGTCAGATCCGGCTATAGAATGGATGCATGCCTCCAGGGGACCATAAGGGGATACAAGAGTAAGCTTCTAGGTGGAACTAGGCGACAAACAGTACACGACATGGGATCGATGAGACGCTACAGCGACAGAAAGCAGGATGAAGAGATGAATACCACAAAATTATACAAGACTAGACGAAATTGAAGCGCCAATTGTTCTTTGCATGATCGACCCACCCCGCTTGACGCTTCCACTCCTCGAGGTCAAACTCATGTCCACTCGACGCAGTGGTCGACGCGGTGTCGCTCAGGGAATCTCCATTCTTGCAATGGAATGCAAGTCGTTGACAAATCTTCTACTATAGGGGTCAGTGAATTAACCGTGAAGCCTGAGCAGGTGCCGTACATCAGCATCTACAAACTCGTCAGTGGAGCTTCATGTCACCACAAGAAAGGTTGCTCACAGTACACCGGTGCGGGTATAGACACGGCTCGTGTAGCACTAGCATACATGTGGCAGAGATGATACGTTAAGAGTTGGATGCTATGGAACAAAACTTAGCTGCTGGCATGTAGCTAGGCACCATGGACTTACGTCTTGCTGTCAAGACCAGTTTCGTTAGCGAGGACAACGTAATGGGTAGGCCGGCTTGCTGCAGGGATGGGTTAATTTCATGTAGGGGATTGCATATAATTTGCGCCATGGACGTACTCCCCAGCAGTCCGCTGTGAGATTGTAGATAGAAGTCCTCATAGTTCGGATTCGTGATGTGATCATCGACCAGCAGGCCCGAGGGACAGTTCCCGGACTTGTCGGCATCTTGTGGGCTAGGGCAAATATCAGAAGCTAGTGACTTGTGAGGGAGCGATTCTGCTGCACCTCTTTGGGAAGAATCGGACGTGGTGTCTATGGGAACATCAGAGATAATCTCGTTTCAGACCTCAGAGCCTCAAACCTCTTGCCCACGATCACAAAGAGCAGCCTGGGATGATGCTGTTCGGGAATCTTGCTTTTCCTGAATGCCTCTGAGTGGGGGTGAGCTTATTATGCTGCACGAGTGTATTCGAGCTCGCCTTTGATGAGGGGTATCTCGTACTGAGCGACCTGTTCGAACTCGCCCTCGCTCACACCGTCTCGGTAGAAAAAGATGTTCTTCGGTGGAGGCGACTTCTTCATATGCATCTCCTTTTCTCTGTAGGCCTTGTACCGACCAAGAGCACCCTAGGACAGCAGGACACTGAGGCTGTACAATTATGTCGATCCTGAGGTCTGCTTACCTCGATCATGTGCGCCAGGTCCTGTATCATCTCCAGGCGTGGGTGTTGAACGCTCGCATACGAGGCAGCAAAAGCTGCTCCAGGACTGACAGTGGCCACCAAGCCAGTCATCGAAGGCCGTGTTGCCACTCCCGGACCCGGATGGCCAACATCGGCACCTACCGTCGGTTCGAGTGGATATACGGAGGTATCTGGCGACCAAGCGTCACTCACCGATGACCATGGAATCATGGAGTATGTCCTTGGTGAGCGGTGAGTCGATCATGGAGTTGACCCCCATTAGACGGACATTGATCCTAGAAGGCGGTGAGCTAGCGCGTAGTTCGAGGCTAGACAACTACCCACTTCAGAGCGAGGTTGTTGCAGTACTGGTCCAGTTGGTTAGGAGTCATCCGAGGACCATTCCACTTTCCACCCCGCTTGTCCAAAGGTCCTGACATTAGCCCCATACCATTGAGTACACACCAAATTCTGCGTACCACACACTGAGTTGACACGCCTGTACTGATGTCTCCCCAATGCTTCACGTCCCGACGACACTCAGTAGCGCTGTTGGGTAAGAAGACGAGCACAAGTTGAGGCTCTTCACCAGGTGCACACTGTGCTTTCATGACACCATAAGCGTTGTTGAGGTCCTGCAGGACCCATTGAGCTCAACACGCGGTGCCTCTTCGGCCTCTAACTGACCTTGACGGGATCGGCGAGTTTCCCGTTGATTATGCGGGGTTGAGGTGTATCCACGACTGAGGATGGAACAATTTAATTAACGACATGGCGACAAACGCAAACCTGAAGCATTCACCCATGCCTGTTCCCCATTCAATTCTTCGCATCAGAAGAAATTGGTGCATGAGCTGGTATGCCTACCAAGCTTCCGCAGATTTGCAACGAGAGTCCTCAAGAACTCGTGCATCTGACGTTCTTCAACCCTGTCAAAGTTAATGACCGCCCAAATCTTCAAGTTGCTCCCAGGGCGCCAAAAACGCTTGTCGCGCAAGTTCCACGAGCCGCCTGTAGGAACCTGCGATACGCAAATCGCGGACATAAGCCGTCTTTGGGTGAATAGACTAGAAGAAGACAATATTACTAACCAGGCTGTCAAGCGCTCCGTTGAATTGACGGCTGCCGAATTGAATGGGGGGAGGACCGATGATCTGACTGGGGAGAGAGATAGGCTCGACATCAACGGTCATCCCGGCCTCTCGCAAGAAGTCGGAGTTCGCATAGTCGAACTGCTGCTCGGAGGGCTGAACATAATCGTCAGTGGGAATGGGTGTCGGCATTGGCTGTGTCGCTTACATTACCACCGACTGCTGCCCGTATGGCACGCAGACGTTGGTCGGGTCTCTGCGTCGCGAACTTGAGGAAGTCAGGTTGCAGGTGGGCCGGGACCTTCCTTTTGAACAGCTGCCCGGGTACGATCTTGCACAGCTCTGCAGGTATGATGGCAGATCTTCCGAGACGCACACCGACAGCATGCTCGTGCACCACTTTGACGTTGTACTTCCTCTCGAAGTGTGTCTGCCAAGATTTCTTAGTACAAACGGTCGGTAACGTCATGTCACGTACTTTGACATTCAACCGCTCTGTTTCCGTATCGAACTCCTGTAGAGCAGCTCTTTCCACCAAGTCCGCAATGGGCTTCGGCTTCATCTCGGGAGAAACGGTGACCGTGACGCGTACTCCTTTCAGAAACGAGCGAAGATCAGCATACTCATGCCGCTGCAGCTTGTTAAGATCACGAGGATCCTTCAGTCTCAGCCAAGCAGCCATAACGTCGATGAGTCTCCCTCTGTGTTCGTATCTGTGGATGAATTGCGTAAATGAGGGCCGGGACATGTCGCCATAATCACCAGAGATCCGACTTACACTAATCCACACACGGTGTCAACGTTGACCATGAGTCTACCTGGTGTTGGACGTATGCTCCTGGATGGGGATATGAGCGGAGCTTGTGCGGATTGAAGACATCTAACTGACTGGAAGAAGCCTCTTCTTGCGATAAGACCAGAGCCAAGCTCCTTGCTTCCATGCTCCACGAAGAACGCCTTGATATGAGCACGGTATCCATGTCGTAGGTTTGGAGCTTGCCTGACGAGCAGCTGAAGCAGGCTGAGAGACTTTGCATACGTGTCATGTGGGTCATGCGGGTCTCGTCTCCGCGTGAGCATCCTGACGGCGCTGTCGTCCAAGGTAAGATCATTCAGGTCAATAGGTATGAGAGACGCACTTGGTGTCAATTATCCCTACGCGGCGTATTTTGACCAGGTGTGTTGGGACGTCCCTCCCGTCCCTCCTACGACCCACATGCACAGGAAACTATTTAACACTGACTCAGCACGCATATTACAGTGAACAGGCAAAGCCGCTCACGTCAAACGGAGGAATATCTCGAGTACTGTACATGTTCCTGCGCCCGTCATAGAGGGGACGGGGGTTGAACGTCTGAGCATGCTCCGTCCATAATTGATCTATAACTTCCAAGTTGCGACCTTTGAAATTGTGCTCGGGCTCCACAACTATGGAGGGGTCAGCAGTGACCGCCCGGCCATCTGCTTGCATACTCACCAACTAAAAGAAGTTTCAGTACCAGATATGGACTGGGTATGGGCGGACTCACTATCGTAGTGATAAAAGATGGCCGTCGGAGGATGGGGGATCGGGAAATGGTTTGTCCAAACCTCAGTGTGATGGAATTGCAGGGCCAACTCAGCTTCAGAGGTTATTTGCATGGCTGATATACAAGATTTAATTAGTACAACAGAATATCCAAGTGCCCGAATCGACTAGTACTGCACGAAGATGAGAGGAAAGAGGAACGCGATTCCGACGCGTCGCGGCAACGCCAGATCTCAAGGATCTCCGGCGCCAGGGTGGGGATAGGCGACTCGTGAAGCTCTCCACATCCCAAACTACCACCCCCTTGCCGTTTACTATGCTAGACCACTGCTCGATCTCACACAAGGGTACGCACCTAAAATCAACGACGTGGTATGGTGCAGCGTGGAACTGACTGAGACTGGCTTCACAAGGCGGCGTGGTCCTATGGTCCCGTTCCTTCACCCCTGCAGCATCCCATACCGCAGCATCCTCTAGTTCACCTGTTAATTCCCTCGTCCGTGAGGCACTCATTGAAGGCCGTAGCTCTGATGGAAAATATGAGAAGGACGGCTATGCCGTTAAATGGACTTTTGTGAACGACCTGGAGCTTATATTTGTGGTGCGTAATTGCATCTCCTTGAAGGTCATGTCTTTCCTCATACGTTCTCGCACACTGCATATCAGGTCGCATATCAGCGCATATTGCAGTTGACCTACGTCGATGAGCTTCTGCTTGCGCTCAAAACACTATTCATCAAACTCTTCCAACCCTTCCTCGCTACCTTCGTTGCGTCGTTGCACGTCACCAGCACCACCAAGCTTTCTTCCTCTGGAGACCCTTCATTTCTGTGGAATTTCCAGAAGGCGTTTGAGGGCTGGGATGCTGTATTTGACAAGCTTCTGCGTGGCCTCGAGGACAAGGCTGCCCAGGTACGTGAAGCAGACACCTACCCGGCGCGTTGAGTCTGACAGAGGTTAGGAGAGACGCACCCGCGTCGTGCATGCTCCCCGTCCAGCACTCGATGTGACTCCCCCCTCTGACGACGTTGATACTGGTGAGTTTCTCTGCCTGCAACTTGACTTCTCGCGAGGAAGTTCTCAGCACCGGAGTCCGACCGGACGTGTTTGGAGGATTACATCAAGGTGCACAATCGAACGTTTGGGGGCCCACCGTATTACATACGACGACTCATTTTCATCCATCATTTACGTCGTTCCTAGGCTGTTTTGAGAGCCTGTGTTCGAGCTTTTGGCTGATTATATCGCGTTCAGTTCCTGCCGTATCAAATGCAGATGTCCAAGACGAGGAACAGATAGCACGAAATGTGCAGGCGCTCAAGAACAGACTCCGCGGCCGCGGTGGCCAGGCTGGACGGCGAGGGCGAAGTCGTACGGATGTTGGAAGTGGAAGAGAAAGTGTGCCCGGTTCCGAGTGAGTGGTGGTGCGAATCGCATATCAACATTCCGCTTGCAGCTAACCGGTGGTAAGCTCCGAGACTCCTACCTCGAAACGTAAAGCAAGAGCTAAGACACAAAGAAAGTGGGGCAATGAAGCGCCCACAGAGTCCGACATGGTATCGCTGGACTATAGCTATGACAGTGCGTCGGAGGGCCGCCAGGGCACGCTTGACGTGTCTTCTTTGGTGGACAGCGCGTCACTCGGCACGCGCACCCAGGATGGCCTGTACGAGGTCAAGGACTGGGAGTTCTTATCGCAAGGCGAGAAAAACGCGGATGATGTGATAGCAGAGGTGCTGAAGAAGGGCGGACAAGAAGCGAAACCTGCCTCGAGCTCTCTGGGCGCCTTGGGATCTATCTTTGCGCGCCTCACCGGCTCGAAGGTGCTCACCGAAAAGGACCTCAAACCCGTTCTGGAGGCTATGAAGCAGCACCTCATGAAGAAGAACGTGGCCAAAGAGATTTCTGAGAAAGTTTGTGAAGATGTCGGCCAGAGTCTCGTTGGCAAGAAAGTGGGCGGCTTTCAAAGTACCTCCATGCGTAGCTACATGGGTCGTTCGAAAGCTGACTCTATCATGATCCAGCGACGACTTCAGCAGTTCGGCAGGCACTAGCCAACTCGATTACTCGCATACTTACGCCCAAGACCTCCACGGACCTCTTACTGTCCATTCGAACGAAGCTGTCTACGCCCGTGGCAGCCTCCCAACAGCGACAAACATACAGCATTACCTTCGTCGGCGTGAACGGTGTCGGCAAGAGCACGAACCTCTCGAAAGTCTGTTTCTGGCTCATTCAGAACGGCTTCCGTGTCCTCATTGCGGCATGCGATACTTTCCGGTACGTAAATTAATCTAGATGACGATGCGCTTGCCTACAACGGTGCATTCTTACAGGAGTGGCGCTGTCGAGCAACTCCGAGTACACGTTCGCAACCTCGGCATGCTCGGGGTTGACGGGGCGACGAATAGCAAGGGACGCGTCGAACTGTACGAACGAGGTTATGGAAAAGACGCCGCCGGTATCGCGAAGGAAGCAATCAGTTACGGTAGGCGTTGATCCATTCCGTTTATGCAGCAGTAGTTCTCTGACACTGTGTCAGCACGCGACAACGACTTCGATGTTGTACTCATTGATACGGCTGGACGTATGCAAGACAACGAGGTATGATATTGACACTCAGCGAATTGCAATATGCCGATTATTGATTGTTCCGAACTCTCCAGCCTCTCATGCGCGCTCTCGCCAAGGTACGACCGATGTCACGCTTCACACGAACCCACTGCAGGGCTTTTGTGTTCGCGCCGGTTACGATAGGGGTAATGCTGACTTGGTGCTCTCTCGTCCCCGCAGCTTGTTGCGACGAACAATCCCGACAAGATCATCTTCGTCGGCGAGGCCTTGGTGGGAAACGAAGCGGTCGACCAACTCACGAAGTTCGACCGTGCGCTACGAGACTTCTCTGCCGCGTCCGGCGGACAGGAACGCGGCATCGACGGCATGCTTGTGACGAAGTGGGACACTGTCGACGACAAGGTACGTTACTGCCAGGCCGCTGTGACCTTTCGGTCCTCTTTGCTCCTGGACGTGAGGCGATTATGAGTCAATCTGTCGCTGACGTACAACCGTTTGCTTCTTGCGTTCGCCATCTCAGGTCGGTGCTGCGCTGTCAATGACATATGTCACTGGACAGCCCATCATTTTCGTCGGATGCGGTCAGGTCAGTCAACTAGAATCCCATGTTCTACAACAGCGCTCTTAAAAAATCTTGTTATGTTCAGACATACACTGATCTCAGGCAGTTGCGTGTTGCGAACGTGGTGCAAGCCATCCTCAGCGATTAACGACCACAATCCTTGCGCAGCGGTGAGCACACGAGCTTGTGAACCATCCCATTACTAGTCGCTTGGATACGATACCTCCGCATAGCGTACAGAAGGATAACGTACAGACGTCCCTCGCCTTCCCGGAGATACAGTGTTCGCGTTATCAGACTTGATTTGGCAGATCAATGCGGGCGGCAGCGGACTGGCATTACCCATTGCACAACACGCGCGGCCGCCATGACCACGACAGCGGTGGTGCCTCTCCAAGAATCTTCGAATCGTTCTCCACATCCAGACTCCACGGCCAGCGGCGATGTCAGGGATGGCGCCATCATGGACGATATGCCGTAGGCACACCGAGCGTCATCCGCATCACCCCCCTATGTCAGGAGATGCATGATGCAACACTGCTTACCCAGACTTGTCCCAGTGCCTGCCCGGTGCGCACCGAGCGTCACGACGGTCTTGTCAGACTTGTGCTCGGAAGGGCCTGGCTGTGTGCGGCGATAGCGCTTTCTGACAGAGGTCCACGATAGTCGACCCTCCGGCGTGCGGGGGCCTATCTGGATTGTGATCTCCTTCGTCATGCTGCGAAGCAGCTGGATTAGATGACGCTGCTCGCCACGGGTTAGTGCTTCCAATGGACCAGAGGCGGTCCAGAAGACGGCATCGTCAGCCTAGTAGTGCGCATCAATGATGCACATCGCATATTGCGGCGGAGAGGTTTGCGTAGCCGCGTAGGGGATCCTCAGCGCTTGCGTCCACTGTGGCAAATTACGTCCGAGTCCGCGACATTGGGATCGCATATATGAATGCTACACGTCGTCTCTGGCGCGTGAGCTCTCGATGTAGAAACAGGAACGAGGGGTCCCCCCTGAACGGGCCTGCCGATGGGCGAGACGGTGGCCTACCAGTCGGACGCTGAGGAGTACATTCAAAGTCAAACCAGTTTCCTAGTTTGACTCGGGCACATCAGCTGAGCCTACGAAACAGGGGTTGTAGAGGGCGCCGAGAGGTCAGGGCTATCGTCCGCACACCCGCCGCGGCCACTCCCCGGAAGGCAGGAACGGCTATCTGAAGGCGCATCATGGAGAGCCGGAGTCTTCTTCACCCAGAATTTGCTCGGGCACGAACGGCCTACGGACTCCATCGCGACGCGTCCGAATGCTCGGACATTTCAGAAAGACATCGCAAGCTAGTGTGACGCGCTGCGAACACAAACAGAGGGCCGTAACTGTTTCGCGTCCAGAGTCTATGGAGCAACGACAACTCCCTCGACGTCGCTTCGACGTTTCTGACCGGATCCGGCAGTCCTCGCGCCCACGCTACGCGTGCGCATCCGAGATGCGAGTTCAGAAGCGTCCAGAACGAGAACGCGAGGTTATTTTCTGGCGACGCCGCCGGGAACAAGCTCGTTCGCGCCATAGCCGGACGCTGCGAGCCTTGGGGCCCGCGAACCCGGTCTCCACCCCGTCCCACGCCGTGCGACTCCTGCCTCCACGCCACGCACCAGCACGCGCGGCCGCGATTCAGCCTGTACACGACTTGCGAGGAGTACGAGCCGCGAGCCGACCCGACGCTTTGCGGGCGTGCGCACGGACGGGCACGGTCTCTGTCCACCGTGTCAGCACCATCTCCTGAAGCGTGCAGGAGCACGCGCTGCGGCGGCCCCAGCAGCGCGCGATCATGGTTTGAGTTGGATGGCTCCTGAGGCCTGAAGCCTTGTTACGAACAGAAGGGGACTTGTGCCCAAGCTGCCCTGCTGCGGGGGCGTATGTATGACGGAATTCGACGTGCGATGATCAACGCTGCCGCGACCGCCGACGAACAGAACGCCTGTTGAGACGAACGATGAAGAACATGAATATCGCGCGGCCGGTGGGAATCCTGCGGGTCGTGGCTTGTGTATATGAATGTGTATGAACGCACGTAGCCTGGGCACTGTGGCAGATATGAGAACCGGGCTCGCGCGATGGGGCGGCGTGGCTGGAAATAACACTCACGATGGCGCCGGTATACATGTTTCTTGATGCACGAACGCGTCCCGTGGGCGCACACGGACCGCGACGATGACCACCGACGTCGCCGGTCTCATGCGCGGAGACCATTCCTGCTTTATATTGTCGACGCCGACACGGAAGGAGGCTGCACGTTTCACGGACATGCGGCAACAGAACGACGTCAGAAGAACAAGGGAGAGAGAATGAATGGACCGCACATTACCACACGAGCGTCGATCTCCCGCAGGCGGAGAGAACCCCGCTGTCGTCTGCGACACCACACAAAGCTACGCCTGTCACAATCGTTGTAATACGCTCACCAGCAGCGGGCGTGCGTCCGTGCATCGCACGGCGCAGCAGCGCACGACCGTAACCGTAACCGTAACTTAGCAAGCGCAGCTGCAGCAGCAGACATTTGAACGGCCTGCGGGGAAAATCCACTGACCGGGCAGGCGTTACGAACGCCAACGCCAACGATGGACTGGGAGGACGCAGTCGAGTGGCGCGGTACAGCGTACCTCACGGTACACTGCTACCGCGGCGCAATCGTCCATTCTCGTCCGCCGTCCACTGTCTGACACGAGCGCCAGTAGCGCAGAACAAGGAGACATGATCCACGATCGACCTGCCGCTGCGGCGTCATCCAACAGGAGCACTCCGAAGGAGGGAGAGAGGGCTGAAAAAGGAGGCCCCCAGTGGCGCGGGTCGCAGGGCTAGTGTAGGAATGAATGAATGAATGCACGAAGATAATTGAATGGCGGATCGCTGATCGGGGCACGACTAGCGCGCTCCTGGCCATGAATGGAGGTCACGCCAGGCGAGGCCATGACCGCATCATCCCTGGACACCTGATGGCCCCAGATGGCCTGCCTTCGCCCGTTTCGCAGCCCCGACTGCCTAGCGAGGCACGGGCGCAAGCGTGGCGCAGGCGGCGACGCGTGTACGCACGATGGATGGGGCCAATGAAGCGTACGGTGATGGGCGTGAGGCAGACCCAGGACTGTAAGTATGTATCTGGCACTGGCACTGTCACTGCGGAAGAAAGAAGGCGAAGGAAGCCGTGCGATGGCGTCAAAGGCGGTCAGCGCGATAGGTCCCGAGAAGCGGCCATGCATCGAACCACGGCCGCGCTCTCACACACTCACATTCCAGGGAAGAGAGCAGCGAAAGCACGCACCTGTCGTCTGCCCGGCCGGTGTGGCGCCTTTGCGCGGGTGCGAATCTCAAAGCACAGTTGGGAAACGCGTCCGGACCCGATTGGGCCGCAGGACGTACTAGAAAAGTGCCAGGTATGCGTACTGTACAATGAGGGGATGATGTGGATGAGCGGGAGCGATTCAAAATGCAGCGGTATCCGGACTAATGTGCGAAAGGGGAGAACGCCAGGAGGGCGAACGCGAGTGCAGAAGAAGCGCAAAAATCGAAGCGGGGCAATATGTCCGACGGGTACCAAAGCGGATAACGACATCGGTAGGAGCAGATCGAATCATCTGACTCTCTGACGATTCCGAAGCAGAGCCCGACCGTAAGCGTACGTCCGAGCTCGAGCCGCCTACCGCGCCCGGATACGCCGCGAGAAGGCGGCAGGATGGTGTTTGTGGCGAAGCGCAGCGCTTGCAGCACCCGTGTTTCCCCATTGCGCGTGAGTGGGGCCCCAGTGGTCCGACGCGCCCTCCGCGACCGAACGGCGTTTGGCTGGGGGTGCCGCTACAGACAGCGCATGCATGCCCTGGATCGCCGCCGTCTCCGCGTCCGCGTCGTCCTCCTCCCGAGCACGCTTGCGCTTGTGCGGACGGTGCGTGTATGGCGGGTGCGACAGGTCTTCGTCCTCGTCCGGGAGGTCGTACAGGAGGAAGGTCGGGGAATGGTACGGGAGGGGGATGGGCGCGACGAGCGGCGCATTGCACACGACTTCGGCGACCTCTGGGATGGGGGACGGCGAAAGGTCGCTGTCTCGCGACGCGACAGACGAGGTGTCTGATCGGGCGGCCGAATCTGGAAGCGCCGCCGCGGTGCAAGTGAGACACAGTTCGGGATGACATAATGAATGCGAGACTCACAAGCCGACTGGCCGTACTCTCTAGGGGGATAGTGGTGGAATGGAAGCAGAAAGTCCGGGGGCCCTGTGGGCCAGAGGGAGGGGGCTTGGGAAGGCCCTGCGTTGGTCCAGGCGGAGGTGGCCAATGCGCCTGCGAAGAGTACGGGCTGGTGTGCGTGTGACGGCCAGTCTTGGGGGTGGAAGGCCGGTCGCTGGTGGTAGGACGGGGAGGCCGTGGGCGGGAGGACTGTAGCTCTGTGTCTGTGGGAGGGGAGATTGTGGAGGAGGCAGGAGACGTCGTTCATGGCGTCGGGGGGGAGGAGAGAGGAGGAGGGCGTCGAGAGAGGAGGAGAGGGGGGATATAAGGGATTGGAGACATCGGATAAGTTATTAACTGAAACGGGGCGGTAGCTATTAGGACGGGAGGTGGACTACCAGGGCGGCGCCGAGCCGGAAGAAAGGAACGGGTTGCGGGCAGCCTTTGCTGACAGCCAAGATTCGAGCAAGATGCGTATGGATGGCCTCTCCCAGATCCCGCCACACCTCAGATCCTGTCACAGTCACGCCCTTCCCCCTGGCGAGCATACTACAGTACGTAGTAGTACGACCGTGGACAATTCCAAAAGTCCGCAGCCTGCTCCACTCTCGTCCCAGAACACCCAGCCGACAGCGCGAATCGTCGCCTGGGTTTTGCCCGAGCCCAATAATGCACAGAAATCTGCCCTCAGTCGCGGCTGCGCCCATCTCGGCCTCGTCCATCGTCCCGCTGGGATCACCTCCGTCCATCACCATGTCGCTCTCCAGGTGCTGTTCTGATCGTGATAGTCCAGGGCAATATGAAAGCCAGCTGCGTCGTCCGTGCTGAGACCTGTCAGAGTGATGTCCATGTCCGCGTGTGGCGCTTGGCGCGGTGGATTGCCCTGTTCGCGCGGCTCGGCTGTCCACGGCGCCTCCCACGCCCAATTGCCATCGTCGGTGAGCTGTGTGACCTCGCCCTCGGCTCATCCGCTCGCCGTCCTCGTCCCCTCCGCTCTCCGCACCGCTCCATAACACACACTCAGTATCTCCCCTCCGTCGGCCTAGCATCCCGCAACGCCTCCCAGCTCCCACAGGGGCGATCTCCCCGGTACGTGACCTCAATCCCCATCCGACCTGAAACGCACAGGCCCATTCAATTTCTCAAACTGATCTTCCCTCACCAAACCATCTTTCGCCCGCAGACGATAGTTCATTCCATCAGCATCCACCCGCCAAAATGCTCAGCTCCCTAATAGCCCGTCCCCTCCTGGCCTGCCCACCGCGCCTCGCGCGTCTCTACTCCGAGCTTGCCTCCGCCGCAACCCATTCCGCCTTGCCCGATCCACCTCCGCAGCGCGCCACCTCGCCTGCAACCCAGCTGCCCTACCTTGTCCGGCGCAACACCAAGGGCTCCATCCCTGTCTACACCGACATTCGCAACGGCGGCACGAGATATCTCGTCTTGATCCGGAATGTGCAAGGCAACGCAGATGTACGGTCCCCTCCTAACTTCTGTCATGCTCTGATACGCGTGCTGAACGCTGTTGTTCCGCTCTATCGTCTGCATGTCTCCGAACGCCCTGGCCTGTGCTTGTCGTATATTTCGATCCGCGAACGCCCCAAACACGCGACACATACCTTCCACGCCCCACCGCCTCCTGCGTACGACCTGTCCCGCCGGCCGGCCGCCCAACACGCTCCTATGATATCCGTGGCTCGCGCACTCCCGTCAAACACGACCGTGCGCCCGCACGAAATGCACTAATCTCATCACGCCAATATCCCGCGTCACCCAACCACGCATCGACGCGGAAATACGCTCCACCTGACGCGACGCGACGTCCCTACGCGATGCCCACCACATCACGTCTTCTAGGCGCTCGCGGACGACCTCTCGCGCTCCCTCTTCCCGGCGGGCACGAGCGAGGCGGCGCGCATGCGGGTCCACACCGTGCGCCAGCGACACGTCGTGCTCAGCGGCGGCCGCTGGAAGAACGATGTCGTCCGCTGGCTCGTTCAGAAGGGCTTCTGAAAAGAGGCCTTCTCACGTTGGGCGCGTAGGGAGAAGCTGGGGCAGTCAGCTAGCCTTCTGGTGGTCCTTGGCGCGCACCTCCCGTGCAGACGTGGCTGGTCATCACCCCCCCCCCCACCCCCTCCCGCGCACCGCGCTCGAGGCGCCTCGAGGCGTGTGCAGTCCGGCTGGGGCCTCCGACGTTCTCACCACGGATCCGGGATTCGGGTGCTGGCTTCGGGCTTCGGGTTCGCGCTCTGTATCGGTGCCCTACACAGCTCACCTCGCCTCTGCCCTGCTTTAGACTAAACCAAACTTTCGCTTATTGGATGGATTGCGTGTGTCACAATCAAAGGTCTTTCCTCCCTCTTCTGTTCCACTTGACGTGTCAGGTGTGTGGTTCTGGTCCTTGGTTTGCGGTCCATCATCCTCGCATCCTATGTCTTGTGGTCCGGACACGCGTCAGGGCTGTCCGGCGGCTTGGCCGCTATGACATGACTATAGCAAATTTCCGTCTGCACATTCCCGTCGTGTCAGCGCACCCTCGCACGGTTCATGAGCGTGTGCCCGAATCTAACTCGGGCAAGACGCGCTAGACGGATAGGCTTCCGTGTTCTGGCGGAGCAGATGGGCGTGAATATCTGGATTGTCACCACTTGCGATGATTGTCGTAGGATGTTGGCAATTTTCGCTATCGTGCTCTCCCAATCTCAGTCTCAATCGACTATCCGGGTCTCTCTCCTCCTGTGACACCAGATAAGTACCTGCAAAAGACGTATAGTACGGCGCCACCGAAGCGGGCGCGCCATCCTCGTAACACACCTTGCCGCGCGACATCGTTTCATTTCATTTTTTCGCACCATCTCAGGCTCGCAGGTCCGTTCTGGAAGATGCTCGACGGCCAGGTGACCGCGCCAACGTTCGGGACACGGGCAATCGCGCCCATGCATTCTCCGATATGATAGCGTACGGAGAGTGGACTTTGCTAAGCCAGACAGATAGATTCCTGTGATGGAGGGCAGGCCCCAGGCACAGGCCCGAAGCTCCTATGTGTACGGTGTAAGTACGCTCTCGAGATGCTGAGATAGATAGCATCGCTCGCTTGGCGCTGCATCCGCAGGCACGCTCTGTCGTGCGCCCACGCGGGCACACGTGGCGCCGTTGTGCTCCTGCCAGATCTCGATGTGTACGTCGTTCGCCGTGGTTGTCTTCGCCTTGCTCGCCGTGATGACTTCCGGATTGTCGCAGGTACGGCCTCATGGTGCCATGGGGGTGCGGTACGCCTCCTGCGAGATATAGGGTGGTCCCCCTTGCATACAATGGCAGACTGCTCGATGGCTACTTACATAAACCCGGGTGGCTAATTGCGCAGTACTGTTAGTACACTCCCGCTCCCGGAATTGAAACTGAGTCTATTACTTAGTCGGTGAGCGTCCCGTTTTGCGGCGGTATGCGCAGTATTGCTGCCGCCGAGCAGACCTAAGCATAGGACAGAAGACACCCGAATGGCCGCGATATGTAACGCGACGGCGATACGTCCGAGACGCTATCGCCGCCGGGACTTCAATGGGCTCCAATGGGCCCGTCGCAGCCCGTAAAACAGGTTGAGAACCGAGCTTCTTACTCATTTTGCCGCCGATGCTGACGGAGGCATCCTAAGCCCTTTGTCAAACCAATTCCGAAACTGTTCTACTGCGGGAACGCTACCGCCGTACGCTGTCCGACGTACAATCGTGTATGACCTGCGGACTCGTAAGTAAGCTCGCAGCAGAGCACGACGGTGTAAGGATGGAAGTTTTAGGTCGAAGACGTCATCCTTCGAGCAAATGCGCGAACGGCTTCGGTAGCTTCGGTAGGTCGCCGTTCCCACCCTGCTGCCCTGATCGCACCGCAAGATCTCTCGAAGGTGTCGATCACGCGCTGTGGCGCAAATACGCCCCTGCTCAGCAAGCTTTCGTCTCGAAAGGAAGCGTGACGGCGGTCCGAGTTGCAGGAGAACCTGCCGGAGATACTTGCGACGCCATATCGACCGGTGCAACGTCTGCCACGAGCCGCGTCCTGCGTGGCCCCGGGGTGACCGCCTTTTGGATAGCATTCGAATTTCGTGGGGACATAGATCAACAGTGCTGTAAATAGTGTTGGAGTGGTTGCCGCAAAAAGAGATCACGGACGTGCGTCGGCATGCCTTCTTCGCGCGCATGCGTTGTTGACCGCGTCACGCGGTGCCGCTGGGTACGTCTCCACGACAGATCGTCAGAGGAAGGTGATGTGGGTGATGTGTAGTGGGAACGCGTCCACGCGACCATGCGAAAGTCGGGCTCCAGATGAGAACGCTACACACCGGGCAATTCTCTTGAATGTTCTCGTGCGTGCGATAGCGTGAGGATAGTACTGGAGCAGTCCATATGCCAGAGATGCCTTATAGCGTTTACGGTACATTTCGTCCTAGCTATCTTGGGCCTGAGTAAGAGAACCACAGCAAACTTTGGGCATGCGAGTGCTGCCTAAGGACACGGAATCAGTAGACGATGATCTTGTCAAGGTCCGCAGCGTAGTCTGAGAAAAGACGAGCGGTCAGGGATAAGCACCAGCATTGCGGAGCCATAACGATTGCATAAAGAATAGACTGACTGCTTTGACCTGCACCAAAAGTAATGGTATTCGAACCCGAATTCAAGGTGAGCTGCACTGGCACGCTGAGGACGACACTGCCGCCACCGGTGTTTGGCTGTTCGACCCAGACGGGCGAGCCGCCGTTCACACTGCACACCCAGAGGTCAAGGAATCAGCTACTCTGTGAGGCAGTGGGCAGAGGGGGGAGGCAAAAGCGGGCGTGCGACGCACCTGACGGTCGTGTTCCTCCAAGTGGCATCGGCATTTGCGTAGTACAGCGAAACCCACTGGGTAGTACCCTTGCCCTGCACAGTAATCGACACGCTACCACCGTTACCTGGAAGGCGTTTACAGTCGCAACGCGTCCACGTTGGAATTCATCCATCAGCATGAGCGTGGAGCGAGTTGCTCATATTATGTTGCTCACCCAGGAAACCCACTGCCTCGCCTCCTGAGAACGAGGAGTCGGACAGAATGGTTGACGAACCATTCCTTGAGCCATTCTCGGCCTCATACGCGGTGCCAGAAGCTACGGACCAAGTACCTGCACATCGAAAGCCATGAAACATTAATACTGTGACACCGCAGTGCTGCGCCGAACACCGGTCGTGTACTCGATGACTTTAAACCCCACTCACCAGCCGTAAGGTTCACGCTCCAAATATCAGCAGCCACAAGCGTAGGTGTGCCACTAGAAAAGTCGAGCGGGTACCATATGTACGAGCTTGACCCAAGCAGGTCCGAGCGCCAGCGGTCACCCATGTAGATAGCGTTTGACCCTAGAGGCAGGTCGTATGCATTCTGAGAATAGTAGGTTCGGACACTTTCTGGGGCAATATCCACTTGCGATGACCAATTGCCGGAGAGAGACTGAGCGGAGACAGTGTCAATGCGATTGTGATTGAGGAGACCATCTTGAGTGGAGTGAACCTACCGTTGCCTGGAAAGCCTTGTTCGGATTCGGATCCCAGCCACTAGTGTGGGAGGCGATCAACCAGTAAACCTACGTCACTTCAGCACATTGTGTTGTCTCATATGCCGTAGAAAAAGACTTACCCCATCCCGTTTGACGATGCCGGGTGCCTCGAGCGTCGCACCTGCGGTTGAGTCCATGGTCCAGAATCCCATATAAGCGGCCGTGGATTGTGCGTTGATTGAGATGGTACAGACCGTTCAACTGGCTTACAGTGGTCGTGACGTTGTAGTAATCGGCATCCAGCTGCGTTATCTTGAAGTTTTGGTTGTTGTCGGATGCATACAACAGATACGCATTGCCTGTGTAATAAGGGCCACTGCGACTGAGGCGATGGACACCATACGGAGAGTGCATGTCGCACGTACCATCGTCTGGTTGTCAAATAACGGGAGAACTTGATGAGCAGCATCCGAGAAAACAAGCCACCTTACATACCGTCCTGGAACAACCCCTCATCCCGCGAGTCAGCGCCGAGCGGCTTCCAGCTGGCCTTGTACGTGTATGGTCCACATGGAGTCTGCGCGGTGGCGACACCTACTTCGGCCGCACCATAGCTACAAAAGTGTCAGCGACGTCAGACAAGCTCGCGGTGAACATAGGACGATGTCGGTCTGGCCTAACTTACTTCGACGTATCGGAGTGGAACCACATGACGTATTCATTGTTCTACTCAAGAACATATTCAGTTCCCGATCCAAGCAATCGACAAGGGCCGGCGCACCTTGCTGTTGAAAATGACTGGGTTCCCGCAGGGTGTTAGTTACGCTCTTAATAGCCGACTTCGCTCACCCTTTGGCCTCTCCACGATATTGCTTGAGGAGATCATCGTGTTGTCGATCGGCGTCAGGGCGTCATTCTGGCGCGACCAGCTCACCAGGTCTGTTGACTGCATAAGATGTGAGACGACGGATGTTCCATGGCGACATGCTTAGACGCACGGTGTAGCAGGAGACTGCCTTGAACAGGGCACTGTTGTGCGACTTGTCCTCTCCAAGCCAATAGTAAGTGCTCCCGACCTGGATGAGCGGCTCTGAGGTCAATACGAGCGGCTACGTCCAACAAGACCGTGTACCTTGATGATTCCCGCTCCGTGGCCCTGTAGGGAGTTGCCACTGGTGTCGGTCCAAAGGGCACCGGGCACGATGACCGATTGCCCACGGACCGCAGTGAGCCCTGCAAGCACGCCCGAGATCAGCGACAAGGAGAAGAGCATCATGAACGAAGCTCGACAGACCATTGCTCCACCTCTATGTTTATATACTGGTCTCCCGACAAAGGATGCGAGCCACTTGACCCTTCGGGTCCTCGTCGGTTTCACGCGACGGTCGCATTCTGCGTCCCAAACGATGCGAGCCAAGGTGTGCGGCCCGCCGAGAACATGAAGAGCGCATGCTTTGGAGAAGAGAAGAAGGTTGAATGCTGTCTGATGACAGGCACAGCCGTCTACGCCGTCGGGATCAGGCAAAAGAACACCAGAAGGCGATACTATGACCACCGCCGTGGACAGGATTGTGCGTCATGGCAGCCGGAGAGTATGCGCAGATCATTCCGCAATTGACCTTGGGGGGCACCATATCAAGCCATGTGAGCTGAAAAGAACGGAATATCATGACGATCAGGCTACGCACCTTCGCGCACCTGAAAATGGAGATTTCTCTCAAGAAGACGGACATACGGGCTGCACGAAAGCATATGACCCTTATGACCACGGATGCAGGGCCGAAGTTTCTTCTCTGCCGGGCTCACCACGAGCTTGTCCGTGGCTTCCACTGTTGACAAATACGCAGGTCCTCTTGCTGTAACCAGCTGGCCGTGAGCCGGTAGGCGTGTCCATTCGCGCTGCCGCGGCACTCCACGAACTCCCGTCAAATCTGAATGTGCTCGTTTCTCTCACCGAGACCGCGAAGCATCATGCTCGCTCGGTATTACCCAAGATGAGGAACGCGGCATTAACCCCGAGGTGAGCGCACAAGAACGAGGGCGAGTCAGATCAAGTCATTGCAGAGGTGCCAAATCAAGGGCGAGGAATACATGGTAAACGCGGAATCGCTACGGAGCGTGCGGAAGCCCACACCGAGGGCATAAAGCCAGACCGAATTTTGCTGACAGCCTCTTGTGGGAGTCACTGCTCGATCGCTCTTTGTTTTTTCTTCGGCCACAAACCCCAAGTTTCTCGCGACAGCACTCAAATCGTCTGACGGCCGACCCTACCCCAGTCGACAATCAATCTTCCTCATCTCTGCCACTTCTTTTCCGCCCGCGATGACGACGCCGATCCAAGCGCAGACGCCTGTCTCGACCCCGCCTGTTCCCCACGGTGTCGGGAACCCTGCAGGAACACCCGTCGTCGCGCCGACCCGTACAAAAGATAAAGATGGTGGTGCAAGTGGAGGTCTGGGTACCTTCGGGGTGCGTCGTTTTCATGTAGCTGAATGGAAACGTTTCTGACTCGGTATCGCAATTAATGCGAATTCCTCTGGGCTACAGGTCAAGTCCGGGCTCGCGCAGATGCTGAAGGTAAGCAGAAGCAATATGTGTCATATTGTGCGGTGTTGATGGGCTTGCAGGGCGGAGTTATCATGGATGTCGTTAACCCTGAGCAAGCCCGCATAGCCGAGGAGGCCGGAGCGTGTGCAGTCATGGCCTTAGAGCGTGTACCCGCGGACATCCGCGCAGAAGGCGGCGTGGCGCGTATGGTGAGCTCTTTATCGTATGCCATGGAAGGTGCTAGCCGTTCAAGGTTATCGTTAGAGCGACCCCAGCATGATCAAGCAAATCGTGGACGCCGTTACCATCCCAGTCATGGCGAAAGTGCGGATAGGACACTTCGTTGAAGCACAGGTTCGTAATCCACGCACATGTTGCGTGAACTGTGTCATGAACAACGTTCTCTCCGGGCGCACAGATTCTCCAAGCTATTGGCATTGACTATATCGACGAGTCCGAGGTCCTGACGCCCGCAGATGAAGAACACCATATCAACAAGCACGCATTCAAGGTGCCCTTTGTATGCGGTGCCCGTAACCTCGGTGAAGCGCTTCGTCGGATTTCTGAGGGCGCCGCGTTCATCCGCACAAAGGGTGAGGCGGGCACCGGCAATGTCGTAGAGGCGGTAAGGCACCAGCGGTCGGTCATGAGCGAGATCCGGAAGGCGAGCGTGATGAGCGAGGAAGAGCTCTACACGTATGCCAAGGAGATCCAGGCGCCTTTCCACTTACTCAAGGAGACTGCGCGGCTGAAACGTTTGCCTGTGGTAAACTTCGCTGCAGGTGGCATTGCAACTCCTGGTATGCTTCAGATGCTTCCCTTGCTGCTGAAGCACTAGGTGTTGAAGTTTGCTTGACAGCGGATGCGGCTCTTATGATGCAGTTGGGATGTGACGGTGGTACGTACCTACTAAAGTCAGTGTCGGCGGTGGTAACTGATTTTTCCAAAGTATTTGTGGGTTCAGGCATCTTCCACGTACGTCCTACTGAGATCCATACATTGCTCCGGTGCTATACTGACATGTCGGTCCTTCAGTCTGAGAACCCGGCGAAGCGCGCCCGGGCCATCGTTCAGGCTGTGCGTTCTCTCTTCAGTGACTGCTCCATTCAGATGATTCGAACAAGATGTGTAGGTCACGCACTTCAATAATCCGAAAATCTTGGCGGAGGTATGTTGTCGACGTTCCATTCTCTCTCATTCTCATCTATGACATCGTTATTCAGATCTCTGAGGACCTGGGACCTGCGATGGTTGGACTTACTATGTAAGTGGTGATGTGTTCGGCGGCCGCTTACGACTCACTTCGCGGTTAGCGATGACAACCTGAAGGGAGGCAGACTTGCTGGGCGCGGGTGGTAGCCAGCGTATCCGCCACCGCATGTTTGTATCCCTCTCTGCGATGTCACTTCCTTACATGATATTGGGAGAACGAGGACACAAGAAAAGTGAGCAAGGTGGTGTAGTCTTTGCAAATGTAACTCTCTAGACAAGAATGTGACATTACTGTACTCGAGCCCAAGTCGGGTGGCTTGCTACGGCATGACGTCACTGCACCTACGGACGACTTGTGGGCGTCTCTCTTATAAGTGAGCGCTTGAGCGTCCATTACATTCCATCCTGAACCATTACGTTGCTATCATGTCGCTCGCACAAAAGATTGCAGGAAAGCTGTCGCGAGAGCAGACGTCCGAAAGGCATCCGGAAAAAGTTTTGAAGGAGTTCATCACGGTGCGTCTCGTCACTCGAACGCGGGGCGCCTCAGCGAAGTCTCTTATGTGCCGCGCCCCTCGAATTCACAGGAGGACCCCGACTCTACGTACACGTTTGACAGTGAGCGCGACGCCCCTCAGTCAGAGCTATGCAGGGAAGGGAAGAACAAGGGCAGAGAATGCATGATGGTACGCTGTACCCAATCCCAAATTTCGTACTTCGCCTTTGCTGACCGGTGCTCTCCGGACAGCTGCAAATGCATTCCACACGGCTCTTCCAGGCGATGCAGGTGCGCATAATACAATAGGTTTGTACCCTGCCACGCTCATCATGCGATCCCTACGAACCAGGACCAAGGTTTTTACTGCGCCCTGCCCATGGATCCCACGCGGACGTACATCGAATGCAAGCGGTTACCCAAGTAATTGAACGTAATTTTGCTCCATGACAGTACTGCCGTGGACATCTTGGAAGCATCTGATATCTGTGCATGTACTATTATAGTCGCCTATACATTATCATCCGCTCATACGATCGCGCCGGAGAGCTCAGCGGCAATGGTGCGCATGTAGAGGATACTTCGAACCCCTGAACGCAAGCAATGTGTCTTCAAGCCCCCGCAATAAAGTCAATGCCTAGTTTCCCGAGACGTGCCTTCTCGAGCTGCGCAGAAGAAACTGCCCGCCGCGCCTCTGCATTCTTCAAGTCGATGTCCGCAATCATGAGGTCGCTCAGCGCACGACGCGTATCCTTCGCAATTTGAATGTATTCGTTCTCGATGTGTGCACGGTGCGCGCGGACACGAGCAATCTACACGAAATGATGAGCACCCACCGACTTGCAAAGGGAAGCAACACATACCTCGGCTTCAATATCAGCCGTGATACTGGGTTTTGGCTGGTACGGGGGAATGACGGGGACGAAAGCGGCTGGCTCTGATGGAGCGGTTGGAGCAGCGGGAGCAGGAGCGGATGTTGTCGCCTCTTGCTTCACGGCTTCTCGTCCTGCATTACGACGAACCCAATCAGGTTTCGAAGGCAAATTGGGACCTCCGTGCGTGTTCTGAGCAGGGCTCTTGTGAGAGGGCGTCGAAACGTGGTGGTGACGGGGACCGATTGGGGGTGATCGAGATCGTCGTTTGGCATTTGAAGACTTCTTGTCTATCTCTAGTTCCGGTTTGGATGACAAGGACGCAACTGTTGACGCGGACTTTGCCGCAGTTGAAGTGGGCGCATGAGCAACAGACGGAGGAAGAGAGGAGGCGGGTACAGCGGAAGAAGGAAGGTGGACTGCAGGTGCTTCCACAGGGCTCAGAGAAGGTGGTTTCGCCTTTACCTCGGGGACAAGTCCAACTAGTTCCTCCATTGCAACATCCTCATCCGGGTCTATCTTCGAGGCAAGCTGTTGCACAGAACGAACACGAGGACCAGTGGGCGGCGGCGGAGGTGGGGGGCGTGAGGGTGACTTCAGAGGCGGCAAGACATGTCGCTTCGTCGGCGGTGTCCTTGTGGGAGACCGGCTGCGAGACCGACTAGGAGGAGAGGGCGTCCGCCTTACTGTGGGTTTGGGACTCCTCCTGCGGCGCGGCGAAGCTGGAGAGTAAGACCGGCGACGCGGAGAGCGTCGGTCACGCCCTCTGTAGTCAGAAGGGATGGCGCGACTCCCTCGACTAACGTCACGGCGTGCTTCACGTCGCGGCCGGTCGGGGCTGCGACTGCGGCGCATAGGCGGCTGCCTCTGGTACCGGTCATTTCTTCGAGGCGAGGGAACCTGATATGGACGAGCCGAACTCCGCGAGAGGGAAATGGAGTGATTCCCTAGCCTGATCTCACCAGGAGAACGAGAACGGAGAGGCCGCGACCTCTCCACTTTGTAAGGAGAACCCGGCCGGCTGGCCACAGGTACGGGGGTAGCAGTTGCACGCCTGGAGGGCGACCTGGCTATAGGTGAGCGTGCCCGACTGGGTGCAGGAGACGGTTCATGGGGCTGAGTAGAAACTGCTCAGGTTAGAACGCGCATATAGACAACAACGATAGACGTACCCATGCGCCGAGGAGGCGACCGCGACAGCCTCGGAACCCACATACGCTCTGGTTCTACCTCAAGCGTCCTATTGCGACCAGACCGTCGATCTTCATCCTGCAGCCTTGCCCACTCGCGCTCCTGCCGCTCTTTATCTTCCCGACGGCGCGCAAACCTTTCTCGATCCTCTTCCTTCTGCCGTGCCCACCGTCGCTCTCGCGACGCATCTCGCTCTCTTCTCTCTCCGTCATATCCTCTTCGTGCCTCATCTTCCCATTTCCGGTCTCGATCCCTCTCTCTGTCCCGCGAATCATCATCCCGCGTCCGTAATCTGTGATCTTCCCCACGTCTCTCATATTCGCGATCTCTATAAAGGCTTTCATCACGTCTATCGTAGTAGCTCGAGGGGTACGCGTCCATAGACGGAGGCGGAGGCGGAGGCGGCCGTATTGAACGGTACGAGACTACAGGCCGGGGTGAAATATAAGTATCCAAAGGCGGCGGCACCCTTGACCTGGGTGGTGATCTGGGGGGATATACATGGCGGTCCAGAGATCCATATCGCTCAGGAGTTGGTGGATAGGCGGGGGGCAGCGCCGGTGGTCGAGGATATTGTCTTGGTTCTGCGGGATAGCGCGCAGGATAATTGAAGTCGGGTTTCGGTGGCAGGTGTGACATCACACCGCGGCGGACACCTTCGAGGTAGTGATATCAGTCTTGGAGGAGGAGAGGACAGAGATTTGCGACGTGTAACAGGAAGCTTTTGGGAGCAGTGGTGGTCGATGACAAGGCTCAAAGTTTCAGCGTGGTCGCGCTGTTGTGCCATGTTTACCCCACCCTTCGACCCTTTCGCCCACCCTCCTTTCCGCTTGGCAGGCTTGTACCCTTCCCTCGTCGTTGCTTGCCTATCTGGACGCACTTGTGTAGATGTCTACTGCATTGTACCCTTTGGCATCGCTTGTGCAGATCGAGAAGACACCGTCGAGGGAAGATGGTATCCCCGAGGAGTTAGAATTGGACCTACGGGCGCATGGGTGCAAGTTGATCCATGAGGCCGGCATTCTTCTCAAACAGTGAGCTCGGCTGCCTCCATTGTGTGAATAGGGGTTTATACTGGTAACCGCAGAAAACAAGTGGCCGTAGCCACCGCTCAGATCCTATTCCAGAGGTTTTGGTATGTTACCTCCATGAAACAATTTGGAATCGGGGTACGTTGAAGTGCTACCCGTGGATCGTCGCGAAGATGCTCATGTGTGGAACGTGGCCTGGGCAGGATATCGGTATGGGTGCGCTCTACCTTGCATCCAAGCTGGAGGAGTGCCCCATCCGTATGCGGGACCTCATCAACGTCTACGACGAGCTTCTTCGGCGCGACGCTCACAGGCTCAAGTACTCAACCGGACCTTCCTCCTCTTCGGCGCACGAATTCAAATACATTCCGATGTCCTACTTTGGGTCCACGTTCTACGACCTGAAGGACGCGCTGGTCGTCGCGGAGATGCAGATCTTGAAGCGGCTCGGCTTCAATGTCAACGTTGTTCTTCCTTACGGCACCCTTGTGAACTATCTCCGTCTACTAGGACTCACGGAGCGGGAAGACGTGCCCAGCAAAGCATGGGGTTACCTCAACGATGCGCGAGTATTTCTCTGACTACCCTGGAAGGACCTTCGTTCACAATGACGCTTTCTGATCGCACTGTAGGTTGCAAACACCAGTATATGCACTGTATGCCGTCCCAACGATCGTCAGTGCGGCGATCATGCTGGCGACCAGACAACTCGGGATTGCCCTTCCTTCCTCGCCAGAAAGCTGCTGGTGGGAGCTCTTCGACGCTGATTGGGAAGACGTTTGGAGCGTCGCTGGATACATCATGCGATTATACCGGGAAAGGACACCTGAGGACCACGCACGAGTCTTGAGCATGGTAACAAAGAAAGGCGTGCGTTCATGGCTAGAAGACCAAAAGCCCGCCGTTCTATTACCCTAGTCAGTGACTTAAGCCCCCTTCCTGTCGTTGTGATTGCTCTCGATGCAGTTTCCCGTTGCATTTCATCCCTTTCGGTTGTGATCTATGAAACATTACAGCATGATCATTACCCCCCACTCCGAGGTGGCGTATCGTAACAGCTGTACAACTGACCGCACCTGGGAGAGGGCAAGTACTACGATACCATTCCCGGACGATCGTCAGAAACAAGAGGATATGAAGTGAATGAGACGAGTCCAACATCATATGCTGTAAGCATAGCAACCCCGACTGCGTTCTACTCGACAGCCTCCACACTGCAAGAACATACGCAGCTGCGCAACACCACAGAACGTACCAACCAGCCGCTCAGCAGCAGCCACCGCCTTGCTGCTGTTGGACGGTCTGGCCTGGAGTGATCGTTGTTGACTTTCCGGTGCCAGTCGCGGTCGTAGTGGAGCCCATGCTAGAAAAGAGGCTTTCAGCCACGAATCAACAAGGGGTGAACACGCCTGCGTACCGGTCCTTGATCTGCTTAGCCATCGTCAAGAACGCCTGCTCGACGTTGGTGGCGTTCTTCGCTGATGTCTCGAGGAAGGGAATTCCGAGCTGGTCGGCAAATTCCTACAACGCAGCTCTCAACACTGCGAAGTCTCACGCAGGTAGACTTACGTACCTTGGCGACGCTGTACTCCACGACCTTCTTGCTAGTCAGGTCGGACTTGTTGCCGACAAGCAGCTTGTTGACGCCCTCCGAGGCGTATCTATCGATCTCCTGAAGCCACTGCTTGACGTTCGTGAAGGTGTCTAGGCCATACCAGTATGAGAGACGATGGATACTGCAACCGGGACCGCACATACCGTTATCGGTCACGTCGTAAACAACAATGATACCGTGCGCGCCACGGTAGTAGGACGAGGTGATAGTGCGGAAGCGTTCTTGACCTGTGATGCGAGACGTCAGACTGTTTGGGGCTTCAGTGGAGCAGCGATGGTCTCACCTGCGGTATCCCACTATGTGCACCAGAAAGGACAAGAATGTCAGATGAAAGTCTTCGTTTATGTATTGCAGAAGGACAGTATGCCAGGGTCTTTCCGAGGCTGCCGCTCGATGTTCAAAGTCGGACCACGAAGCCAAGCCGGTCAAGCGCATGGCAAACAGCGCTCCCCATCCTGGCCTAATCTTCCGCAACACCACTCCGCCAACCAGTAAACTCAACCTAGTAGCATCACAGGTAGACCCGAAGCCACCGCACGCAAGGAATTAGATCTGGGATAAGAAAACGCACAATCTGGAGCTTCACAGTCTTGCCCTCGAGCTCGATGGTCCTAATCTTGAAGTCGACACCAATAGTGCTGATATAGCTCTCTGTGTAGGTGTCGTCCGCAAAACGAAGAAGCAAGCAGGACTAGGAGAGTCGATGAAGGACAAAGTCAATATGCCACTCTGTCGCTCTCCGCAGCGACCCAATTAGGGTCGAGTGCGCACTATCACAACTCACCTTGCCGACACCGGAGTCACCGATGAGGAGGAGCTTGAAGAGGTAATCGTACTCGCTGGTGTGCATGGTGGTTGTCGAGGTCTTGAGGCGGGCGAGGGCGGGTGGGGGAGTCTAGCAGACTGTCGTGGAAGAGGACGAGGAGAGACGGGCGGTGGTTGTGACGCGTGTCGCTGTGTTTGGCAAGCCCATGTGTCCGGCAAACGCCCTTTGCATCTCCCAACGCCGCCCGCACAGCCGCGCCCTGCGCCCGGCCCTACCTCCGACTCGGGTCCAGTCCCTTCGCTGTCAGTGGAACCTGAGACAACCTCCGTTATGTTTTCCTGCCGTGAACGTCTCTAGACTGTGTGTGCTGACGGGCAGTTGTGAGCAGGCCAACGTATACAGGGGAACTGGCAGGCGGCACAGGCGGCGCCCACCCGTCCATATCGAGGAACGCGCGGGCTGACGCTCCAACGGACGGCAGTACTTATGGCGGTACCGTCAGGTCGATAGCCCTGACCCACCTTTATATGATACGCAGGGCGCAGCGCAGAGCGGCGTCAGCATGCTCGGGCGCATGCTACCGTATGCGTGGCTTGTCCTAAAATCATATGGGCCCGTCTCAGTCGCAATGTCAGCCTACGGCCGTACAGACGGACAAGAAAGCTGCTCGATGCACTAGCCAAGTTAATATCTTCCTCGCGCTTCTGTAATATGGGCAGCTACCCGGTTCTACGCTTGGGGCTCTATCTGGCAGCTCTCGGCATCAGGCCATCCGCAGGAACTCTCGGCGGACGGATCCCTATCTATAGGGTGCAACGCACCCTGATCCCCAATTTACAACTTTCCAAGCCAACGGTTGATATATCTCTAAGCTCTGCCAATGAATTGTGAGCCGTGCGTGAGATGATCTCATAAAGACTGCTGACATCTAGAACTCTTGCAGCGCGTATCTTGTCCAAATCGAGTACGTCTGTTGCTTCCCGTCCAATAGCACACAACATGGTGGCTCACACACGTGTAGTATCGGCGGGCAATCCCTCATGGTCCTTCTGGACACGGGCTCATCAGATCTAGTGCGTGTTAACTGCGTTTCAACCGTCAAATTTGTCCGGCCTTGTAGCCAGTCGGCGGCTGACAGACATGCAGTGGGTCGTGTCTTCTGATTGCACAGTCGAAGACTGTCACGGAGTCCCAAAATACAATAGAACGTCTTCCCTTGACTTGACCGACGTGCCGTTTCATCTGGATTACCTCATGGGCAGCGTGAGCGGAGTCGTGGGGACGGAAATGGTGACTCTGGGCCAATACCAAGTGTCGTCCCAGATTTTTGGTAAGGCGGTTTGACTATCGGTGCTTGAGCGAGGGCAGAAGTCCTTAACCCTCTTCGCAGCGCTGGCAAACTACACGGACGGCTTGGGACTTTCCGGCTCAGGCAACAGCGGTATCTTGGGTCTGGCATTCCCCGCGGAGGCCTCCATTTCCGACACCATTGGTCGCACGTTGGCCTTGAACCTATTCTCAGGCTTTGACGATCCTACAGAACAGTATTTTGCCTTCAAACTTGGGGGGAGCTCGAACAACTCCTCGTTCACCGTAGGGGAAGTCGACCCACTTTACGCCAATTCAACCGGTGACTTGGCAGTCACACCGGTCTTCCGCGCTCCGGGTGCGCTATACGATTACTGGAAGCTGCCGCTTCAATCTTTCACCATCAACGGCACGTCCTTCACCCTGTCGAAGACCAGTGTGAAGGGCGCCCGGTCCCCGATCGCTGTCCTCGACACTGGTACTACGCTGATTCTTGGACCCACTCGGGACGTCGCGCGCTTCTGGGAATCAGTCGGCGGCGCGAGGCAAACGGACAGAGGCTGGGAAGTCCCTTGCAACCGTGCAGTAACTGTCGGCATGGTCCTAGGCGAAGGTTCAAGTGAGAAGGAGTATGCCATTGACCCAGCAGACATCAGCTGGAAGGAAGGTTCTGTCGATGGCGGTATCTGGTGTTTGGGCGGTATGCAAGGCAATGACGGGGTACTGCTCCTTCCTTTCATATGTCCCCATCCCGCCTAATTCCCCGCTTTCCTCACGGTTGTTCTGCTCGCCTGCTCAACGACGACGTCTTTGCCCTGTTTCCAGGTCTTCTCTGCAGATTGGCTGCTAGGGGATACGTTTTTGCGGGTACGTGGATCTTGCGACGTTCGGCTCCGGGGCGTTGTACGCCCGGCCAAACGGGGAAAGAAACGCTGACGATGTTGATTGGTTTCGTTCGTTTCTAGAATGTCTATGTAACCCATCATGCTGCGACGGACTCCCAACCTCCTGTCATTGGACTACTGGGAACAACGCACTCTGACTCGGCCCTCGCGACCTTTGTTCAGGAAAGAGGGCCCGATCCTCTTCCTCAAGCAAGGGTCATATCCAATCCACCTCGCAGCAATTCCCTTACCGGCGCAGACATCTGCGGGATAGCTACGGCAAGCGGCTTTGTGGGAGGGATCGCCATCATTGTGCTGGTGTTCGCTTTCAGAGAGTGGCGTCGGAAGTACTAGAGGGTGTTCTGTCCGGACTGCATCCACTGTCCACTTTGATCTCATTGCGAGGAAACAAAGATACATCCGCCTCCAGAGTCCGTCTAACGATACAACGCTGAGCGCATATGGTGAAAAGTTGCGGTGCCAGTACATATGAATTTCACACGACGAAGCCATGAGATGGTAAAACCACTGCCAGACGCCGAATCAACGTTTCGACCGATGTTGTCGAAGCTCAATGAGGCTTCGTAGACTGATCCACCTGCGGCGGGTACTGAGGCTGGTATCCAAATGCCGCTGCATTCGGAGGCGGGCTCATTTGGGTATATGGAGGCCCTGGCAGTGGGTTTTGCCCACCGTACGGCAGAGGCGGTTCCCATCTTCCGGGGGGGGACCGATGCCGTGAGTGTACCATTCGGACATTGCGGGCAGAAGACGGTTGGCACTCACCCCTGTTGCAGCGGCACGTTCCAGTGGCAAACTGTGCACACCCAGAGATGCCCAGCCTTCATCGGGATGAGGGGTATCCAGAACAGCTCGAACCACATGCGCGACTTGACCCGGACGACGGCAACTGGAGACCAGGAGCAGTGAGATGAGGCGAAAATAACCGGTGTCCGATTGCGACGGCTACGCGTACCATTGTGGCATCGGGGACATACTCTCGGCGTTTGGTCACCCTCCGGTTTCATGCGTGTGGGGCAGCCAACTGGTTAAAGTTCATGAGATTGGAGCCCTGATTGAATATATGGAGCATAGCAATTGCTCTATACGCACAAACGATGGGTAAACAGACTGTGTCGCGCGTCAGTCGGTGCACTATACGTCCAGTGGGCCATGTACTCACAGAACATCGTGGTGGTAGCAGTCTGAAGGTTATGCGGCTGAGGTCGGCAGCGCGGCAGCCCTGTGTGCGAATGTGGAGGCCGATCGGGGCTGGGCCGCTGCGGAGCTGTGATGCTACGCATTGCTTACTAATTACACAAACCTAACCCTAAAGATCGGCATCTTGGAACGTACCACCACTCCGCGAAAGCCTCCGACGATCAAACTACATAGTCTATTCCACAGACCACAGTCGATGCTGCGCGGCTCTTGCTCAACTTGCGTAATGAATTTTTGCACCCCACCTCACGTATGTGACAGGAACGCGCACGGTGACGGTAAGTGCTTGCGGACCGCTCCAACTCACAGCCTCGGTTGCTTCCCGAAATTCATTGCGATGTCGGCTAGGTCTCCATAGACGTTTCTCGCAGGCCTGGACAACACGAACTCAATGACGATCGTCTGGGATGACTCTCGCTTTCAGTTTGGCTCGTCCTTGCGGTCACAGCGCACAACGGACTCCCGGTCCTGATCTTCCACGACTCCCAGATTGGTACTGTGACTGCTGTCCTCGTCTGAGTGCCTAATCTCTGAACTCTTTCCGGCTTCCCCAAGTTACCGGATCGCTGTGTTCTCGCACCACATACCCGCACTCGATTATGACGTTCAATCCGAGGAGCCCCAGCCATCTTCGCGAGTTCCTATGGGCGCTCCGCAACGACGCCTCGCCATTCTTCCATGGCAAGAGGTCTCGCTTAGAGAACAGCTGGTGCGGCTTGCGATCCAGTGAGTATGCGGTGCGATTGCACCAAACCAGCGGAAAGCAGGCCATTAGCTCCGGTCTAACAGCCCCAATAATACATAGAACCTCCCCATGCCCATCCACAACACACCTTCCGGCGCTGGACGATCCCGGCCATCCTCGTGTTCCGAGGCTGGGAACCCTCCCAATTCTGCCCTGCACAATTCCTTGCGTCCCCACAAAGTCCACAGGCCGCGGCAGCCGGGCCATTTGCCCCGGTCCCCGCTGTTCGGCCTTGGAGCACGCAGACACCATTGGTGCGCTTGGATACCCGCGCCAGCGCCGTGTCGCGGGACATGTCTCGATGTTTCATGCACATTGCCAATTGTGCTCTTGTCGCCTCACGAACACACGCAAATTGCTGCAGCGTCCATCAGCTGCCCTGACTCGCGCTGCGTCCATACACCAATCAATGCTCTGGGGTTCCCCCGGCGACCTGGGTGGAATTCAAGGGCACATACACCCCACACCCCCCACGCGTCCAGCTGCTGCAGCAGAGGGCTTCGCGGACGTCGGCGACTGACACCATCGGCGGTCAATCAAGGTGGTCCCTAACGCCTTGGCCCGCGCACCAACGCCACCCGCTAAGCACACCTGACCCCATCTCGATGCGTATGCATCTCCCGGCGGCTTCCCACCTGCGTCTCTGCGCTGCGTCAATGCTGTCATGCAGACGAACCTCGCGACCCTGTGCGCACAAGCCCCCGCAGCCGCAGGCGCGAGCATCCTGCCAGCAGCAGAGCGGATCTGATCTCAGCGCGCGGCCAGCCAGCCATTCCCTCGTCTCGTGCCCACGCCCGAGCCCGGACGGGGAGCATGGAACGCAGACGCGGATAAGGCCAAGTGCGAGATGCACGCGGCCTCGCGTGCGCCCCGCGCCTGGGGCAAGCGCACGCACGGGAGTCGGCGGACGGAAGGAACGGGACTAGGAAGGTCGGCCTGTCGAAGCGTCGTGACGTCTCTCATTTACCCAGATCAGGCCAATCGCAGCCTCCTGCGCACCCACAACTGTCGTCCTTGACAGGACCGCGTGCGGCGCCGACTCGGACCATAGCCCAGGGCTGGCGGATCTGGTAGCTCTCCTGGCTATCCGAGAGCAAGTCCGAGTCCTGCTCTTAGCCCCCCATCACTCGAGCATCCTTCCGTCCCGTCCCACTTCTCGTCTCTCATCGTCCGTCAAAATTAGGATCGCGTGCACACGCCCTCCCCCCCATCGCCCAAATCTCAACCTTCGTGGATGGGAACTGCCCAAGCCGCGGTTCGTGCCCCTTCTTTTCGTCCTCGTGTTGCGTCCATGCACCTGAACATTACGATGCCGGAATGCCCAGAATGCGTACTAGGGTCGCAGTAATGGGCTTCTCAACCAGGGTCGACCATAACCCGATGCGGTTGGATCTCCCTCGGGCTGACGGCCACGAGAACGCATCGCGTATCTGGTAAATGGCTCGGCAACGTGGCTCGGATATCAATAATGTGCGCGATGCGGCCTTACAATTAATACTACGTACAGCGCCAAGGGAATATAGTACTATGTTAACGTTAATGTGATGCGGGACGATTACGTGCGGCGGCAGAGTGATGTAAAGAGGCTCTATCGATTCTACCTGTTGTGGAAAAGCGGGAGTATTTGAAACATGAGTGCGAGCGCGGGAGGGGTGCTAGAGGACATTGATACATGCATCGATGATAACTAACGTTGCGAGGAACAGTGGAAAGCGATACGTACACGTAAGTTGCCGAGAGTCCAAGACAGCGAATGGGGCGAGCGAGAGCTAGTGCGGTCCGATGGGTGCAATCCACAATGCAACGAGAACAATGACTGTTAGGTATAGCGGGAATAGAAAGCTGCGGCCACAGTCCGACCCTGTCCACGGTTCTGAAACTCCACCCTACCTTTGTCTCTCAAAGGAAATCAGTAGTAGCCGGGCCCCCCGAAAGGGGGACTGCCCGCCTGACTAGTGGATGGGCCTGGTGCGGGGAGATAGCTGGAGCCAGTCTCCGTCTGGCCAAGGGACGACGACGAGTACGACACCGCGGTGTAATCGAAGGTGGTCGTGGGATGGCTGAACCCCGGGGCCTGCCCCGGTTGGGACAAGGTTTCCAGGCTCCCAGACTGCGAGGCAGCCGGGCGTGTTTCCACATTCTCGCTCATAGAGAGGTAATTATAGGGTGGCACGTAGTATCCGCTCTGGCCAGTCGCATGCCCAGCTGATACGCGCGACGACGCAAGGAGCAACGGAGACGGACCGACATTCCCGCCCTCGCCCTGCAGGACGTTGCTGAGGCTGAGTGCGCTGTGCGAGGACGGGACGTACGAGGATGACGTGCTGGGTATCGAAGGGGAACGGGAAGATGGGTGATAACGCTCGGATTCCGAGCCCGAGCCCGATGCCGCGGATGGCCACCTGCCGTCTGGTGTGCAAGCGGTGTTAGGTGCGGTCGGAGAGTCGTAGCCCATGGTCGTAGCGGACAAAGAGAGCGGAGGGACGCTGGTCGGGCGTATCAGCGAACGTCGTGCGTAACTGCCCTCGAAGGTGCCAGGGCCGCGAATAGTGTCGTCCGATGGACTGGACGAGAAGTTACGCGACGACTGACCGCGGGTTTGAGAGGCGCGCGCGTCCCACACGAGGCGCACCGTTCGTTGCCGCTCGTCGTTCTTTGAGAACGCCCACTTCATCTCCGAGAGCGCAGCTAGACAGACCTCGACGTCGTCACGCGTCCCGTTCTCTCCCGCCAAGAGGAAGCCAGCAAAGAAGCACCCGTCGCGAACCAGCGCGGCGTCGTACTGGAAGAAGGGACTGCCGAGGTTCCTGCGCAGGATGGTCACGACATGTCGGACGACAGTGTGGCACTTCGTGTTGGCTTTCATGTGGAGGCGAAATATCGTATCAGACTTCCGAGACCTTCCCGATGGATGCCCTTCAGGCAAAAATGACGTTTCCTGGACCGGGAGCGCAACAAGTCGCTGCTTGAGGGCCTCGCGGATGACATTATCTGTGATAGATGTGTCAACGATAGGACCGTGGAAAATACAGGAATTATACATACGCGACTCGAAAAGGAAAATCTTACAATGGTCGACACAGAGGAGCGGGTGAGCATGAGGAGTATTGGGTAATTGCGCTAGCATCTCACCTGCCAGCCGTCTATGAACCTCTCTATATCCTCGATTTGCACGATACCGTATGGGCCGAACTGTCGTAGGCCGTCCAGATCGCGCCAACAACGCTCCAGCCTATCCCAAGCGTCCTGGAGACTCTCTTCATCGATCTCCTCGCGCTGACGGGCCTTGGGGCCAGTGAGAGCGGCATGGACCTCTCGGCAAACGGAGGCGATACGGATGGGAATGGTCGCGAAACGAAATGCGAAAGCATATGCGCTCGAAGGGCCGCCATCATTTCCTAATGGCGGCAGCGTCGCTTCGAAGGCCGTCAGGTCGTCGTCACTTCTACAGATACGTTGTCAATGCCGTAAATCAGGGCAGCAACAGATTCATCCGTCTCCTCACAATGCAATGCGACCCCCACGCAAGCCACTCGTGACGCCGTCAATGACATGTGCGTACCAAAATATTCGGGCACGCACTAGGGCGTCGACGTATTCTCCCTGGCCGATCTCGGCGGAATGAAGACTGCAGAGCGCATAGACCTGACTCATCGTAGCGTCATACATAGCCTAAGATGGCAGGTGAGCGAATCGTGCCACCTGGCCCAGTGCAGGAGACATACCAAGCGTTCCATAGGTGTCTGAACCTCTGAGTACGATAAAGGGGGGTTAAGCAATGTAGAACTTCGCACCGTATCAGCTCACCTTCGGTGAGAGGCATGACGAGAAGTAGAACTCGTACGCCATCCCAAGATGGTTTCCGGAGGATCGCATGGATGTCGATGAGATAGAGTAGCTCATAGAGCATCTCGTTGACGCGCTCTTTGCGTTCCTGAATATCCTCTTCGGTAAGCTCAGGGACCTCCTCGCCGGCTTCGTTGATGCCATAGCTGGCCGCCCACACGACGAGCACGAGGGCTATCAATTGGCCGGGAAATTGCAGGCCGTCAGTGGTGCCGTTGTACCAGTCCGTAAAGCGCGAGCAGTACTCGGTAGGCTCCAGGATTGGTCCTGAAACCAGGTGCGATGAGGGTCGATTCTTGAGCAATGCACGGCTAGCTCACGACCGGAAGGATCGACTCACGTTGTATGTGGAAGCGGCGGAAAAATGCAGACCTGAAGAACTCTGGTTTGAGCTGGGGAATTACGCTGCGTGGGGGAGTGACGGAGTGAAGGTCTGCATCGTCCTTCGTCGCCTTGCCGTAGACAGCCCTGCAATGGCGGTGAGACAGAGGATGAAAGCGGAGGGACTTTGATTACGGACTCGACTTTCTGCAGACGGCGACCGCGTCTGAGAAGCTTGACCGCTTTCACCTCCGCGAACTCGTCCCTGGAGATGGGCTGAGAACTGGCCTGGATCGGATGGGGAGAGAGCGAAGACATGACATACACGCAGTTGAGGCCGCGTTCTCTGCAGTTGGAGCAAGGAGGGTGTTGGCCGGAGGCAAGTGTGGGTAAGTCCTTGAGGTCACACTTGACCCTGCCATATGCGCGTAAGGTGGGAATCGGGAGATAGCGAAGAGAGGCGCGCACCTCCTCATCCGACATGCGCCGCAGGCTGTGGAAGGGAAGAGTTAATATGCCGCGGGGGTATGCGGGGTCGGGAGAAGCGCACCAGAGTACTGTTGCCGGGTGGACTTGGGCTGGGAGGGCGCTTTGCGGGACATGTTGGGGTATGGAGAGGGAGAGGGAGTGCGGGCGAGCGGGGAGGAGCTGCTCCGGTGCAACATATGCTCTGCTGGTCACTGCGGACGGTGCTGGGTGCGGGAGAGGACGGAGGGTGGAGGCGGGGGTGCGGGTGGGATTTATAGATGGCCTCGGAGGAGGGGAGGGAGGAAGGGAGGGAGGGAGGAAGGAAGGAAGGAAAGAAGGTAGGAAGGAAAGGGAGTGGAAAAGGAAATTGACGATGGCAGGGACGGACCGTAGGTGGGCTGGGAAAGAAGAGGGAAGTGAAAATACAAGGACGTCAATCTGGAGAGGGCTGCCATGTCTGGTCGATTCGCAGTCCTGGCTTCCATGCGCCTGTTTCCTGCCGCTTCACAGCTGCACGCATCCTCTGGGCGGTCGTTGCCGTATTCAGCAGCCGCCGTGGGCTCCATACGCCTAGATTCACCGTCAGTGCTGCAACATATCGTACTGCACGGCAACTCGCGCGTAGCTTTCCCCCCACGCGAGCCCGAGACGTGTGGCGGCTCGTGCAGGAAGCCCCAGCCCGCTGGACCTGTTTGACCGCGACGTCGAGGGACGGCGTGCGCGGCGTCGCGCGAGATCGGATGCCCGCCACGCCCTTCTCTCCTACATTATCGCACCAGGCTCCGAAAGAGGATAGAGTCGCCGGGTAGCAGTTTGCACTTTGGAGGAATGATTGGGTTTGAGCGCCGTGCAGGGTTCGGGACGCGGAGAGATCACGACGTGGACGCACGGATCTGACATTTGCTGGACGAAACCCCCAGAGGCGCGCGCTGCTGAAGACGCATGCGCAGATACCGTCGCTCGATGGGTGGCATGCATCTGCACCATGTCACATTCTGTCTGCCAGTTCTCCAGGCTCGAGCTGCCGGACACCTTCTATTTTCCCTCCACGCGATCATCTTAGTCGTACAGCCACATTCGGAACAGGCCCCCCGGATGGCCAGAGCCAGACCTTCTCCTTCCGTCCCCGCGGCCCTGCCCTCCCGCCGCTCCCACACCCCGCGCCTGCCCATCTATCCTGCCCGACCCAGCGCGGCGCTCCCGCCCGCCTTGCGTATCGCCCGCTTCAGCTCGCCGGCCGTGCGCTGGTCCACATTCAGCTTCACGTCCCGCGCCATCGCCTCCACGTCTTCGCCGTGCTTGGCGATCAGCCGCTGCAGCGTCGCGTGCTCGCCCTTGGACGTGTGCCGCGGCACTGGCCCCGCGCGCGCCTCCGACAGCTGCTCCAACGCTAGCAAATAACCAAATGAGCGCGATTGCCCGCCGGTCTGGGAGGCGCCCCGAAGCGCGACGCCACGACACAAGGATGAGAAGCACCGATGGCGGTGATGCAGTCCCATCCTCGAACCCCGGCAGAACCCACAAGCCAGACAAACTCACCGTGCACGACACGCGTGCCCGCCGTGCTTGGCGGACCCTGCGCCTTCTTGGGGTCTGAGCCCACTTCCACCCATCCCGCCAGCTGCGCGTTCCCGCGGGGATCTGGAACCCCCTCGTCCACCCCCTCGCCTTCTGTCGCCGCCTCGTCCACCTCCTCGTCCACTGCCAGCTGCACGTCCACGACGTTGCCCTCGGCGTCGCGGATGATTTTTCCGAACCCCTTGGGGACCCCGTTCGTCCCTGCCGGCCTTGTTGACGTAGACGACGGTGCTTCTAGCCGCGCCGGAGCTTCCTTGTCATCCGCACGCTTTGCTTGCGCCCGCTCCGTCCCTCCGGACGCGATCGGGTTCAGGCTCGCGACGAGTCCCAACGCTTCGTAACTGCACGAACGCACAGCGCGACAGCAGCCGCGGCGCGCACATCAGTTCATGAGTCTTATTGTCTCGTAACGCTGCGCACCCGCGCGCGCGTCCGTGATGCAGGAAGGAACGCGCAACGCACTTTTGTCTAACCGTCTTCCGCGCATCCCAGGCCTCCTGCAGAACTTGCGGGCCTCGTATGGCTAAATTCAGGACAAAACGCTCAGCCCATGCGGCGGAGGCCGTGAGAGACGGCAACGATAGCGAAAATCACCAACGTGGTTGTTTCTTCTGCAGTTTTTTGGCGCGCTTCGAGTGCTGCACAGGCTTGTGGCTGCCTGACCGAGTCTTGCGTCTTTGTCGGGGGTTCGCCATCGTTGGCTAAATTTCAGGGCGGTCCTCCTAAGAGCCGCTAGAACGGAGCTATCAGGGGGGGGAGATGGTGGACAGTCGCAAATGAGGTTTGGAAAGGACAGAGCGGGCCTGAGAGGCTGTATGTAACACCTCGACACTAGCGGACAGAGAGCCGGCCAGCAGGTGATGTGCAGAGGACGGGAGCGTGGAGGGAGACGGAAAGAACGCGAGTCGGCTACTTTGGTGGAGGCCGGCGTCGGATTGCTTCGGGAGTTCCCGCGTCCTCGCGCACGCCGCCAGCGGTCGAGCGACAATTGCCTCCTTCCTCTCTTCCGCTGCGCCAGTCGCTCCGCTCGTACGCCCTCACCATCGCCCAGGCACCCCGCTCTCCCACATGTCTCGCGTGCTCTACCACCCTGTCCCGCCTCAGAGGCCCGTCATCAAGGCAAGTCGTCTCTGCGGTCGTTGCGCGGTCAGAACATCCGGCTGAGAGGCCCGCACCGTCCTGCTCTGTGCACAGTTCTTCCGCTCCTGGACACCCAGCCTCACTCTGTGGGGGGCGGGAGCGGGCATCACTGCGCTCTACGTACGTCGCGTTTCACCCGTCCGCCGCACACGGTATCTCACCCGCTGCATCGGCAACATTAGCTTCTGTCAGTCACCCCCCTGGTCAAGCGCGGTTTCTTGTCCAAGCTGCCCGTGGTAGGTCCCAGACCGCCGCCACCGTCCCACGTAATGCCCGTACGCTAACCATCGCTGGGAACGCGTGCTCTAGATCGGTGGATACTGGGAGGACAAGACGCCTGCGTCGGACAAGCCGTTCTAGAGACTAGACATGAACCCCGCCGCGTCGTGTACCCCCTCTACGACAATCTAGTAATACGAATACATAGACCGTCCAGAGTCCAGACACCCACGCTGGCCGTCCATGTCCGCCGCCTGCTTCCCCGCCGTACAATGAGAAATCGTGCAGCCATCCTGCGCAGACCCTGCACGCGCACCATCACCCCATCAAGGAAATACGCGAAGATCACGATCGTATACGCCGTCACAGCCTGGAAGGCGTCCTATCGGTAGGCTTGGACCCGCCGCTTGTCAGGTCGATGCCCAGCTTGGCCTCGAGCTTCTTCAGCGCATCGAGCGATCCGCCAATGGGCACGCCTGCGGAGAGAAACCAAGGAAAGACAGAGGCCAAGTCAGAAAAAAAATCATGCATGGAACGCGGATATCGCGGGCGAATCGACGTCAATCGCGGCTACCCGTGTAGTGGCAGGGAGGGCATGGCACACGTACGGATGGTCTCCATGCCGAGCGCCTGGGCTGTTTTGAGGTTCCTGCATAATGTCCGTACGTCAGCGACGTCAGGGTGCGGCATAGAAGGGCCACGCGAGACCGCTGGGCTGGGCTGAGATGTCTGGGATGCTCACATGCCGAGGTCGTCCAAGAATACCGCCTCTGTGGGCTTGATGCCATTGCGCTGGCAAGCGAGGAGGTATATGCCAGGCTCGGGCTTCCTGTTCAGGGAACGGCGCGTATATGGTCAGTGGGAGCACCAGCCTTCGTCGGCCACGGACTCCGCACGTGCGCACCTCATTCCAAGCGTGCTGGAGTCACAGAAGTCGTCGAACAGCGCCCGGAGCCGCGGAGGGGTCGCTCCGTCCTGCCAGCCCAGGAAGGCGAGCTCAGCCTGGACGGAGAAGCTGGGGAACTTCTCCTTCGGGGGCGGCGCATCGCCGATAATATCGGCCTCGGATTTCGAAAAATTGTTCGTGAGCGCGATAATCCGCCATCTGCGTTCGGCTGCATCGGCAAGGGCCAGCGTGAGTGCTGCGCGCGGAGGCTCGCAGAGGAGAGGGGGGCACCTCTTATGCGCCTGATCGCCTCGACCACACGGTCGTCGAACTCGCCGCTCTCGCGCATCATGCGTCCGAACAGCTGACGTTTCCTTTCAGCCATCGCCGTCTTCGATGGAGGAAGCTAAGTAAGGGGGGGGGCCACGTCTCTCACCTCACGGCCGTCAATGTGCAGTGTTTCAGGGAGGTCCGGACGTGCTGCCGGAACGTCACGTTCAGTGACTGCATCCCGCGCGATGCGGCGCTCATCTACGAACCTAGTCCGCGCCGCTTGCAGTACTTGACATACGCTGGATTGTTCACCTTCGTATCGGAAAGCTCGCGCCCAAATTGCTCGTAGAACGGGAAAAGGGACATCTCGCCCCGCTCGAATCTTTGCCACGCTCCATGCGTGCCACGCGCGGTGCTGGCATGAGAGAAATAGAACTGGGCTGTCAGAGAGAAGTGGCAAGGAAGAGGGAGAGGGCTGATAGCGGGGCTGCTGCTTACATAGCGCAGTTGATGTAGTTGTTGGGCAGCCCGTGCTCTCGCTCGTATGCTGCGATAGCTATCAAGGGGCTGCGGCACACAACACCGCCGACCTACAGCACACGGAAGCAGTCAGAGATATCGCTGGCTCAGAAGCAACGAGAGGCAGGGAATCGTATGAATAGACGGTGGCCTACATACATCGAATATCACAGCTTTGAGGTGCGGCGAAGTCATGTCAAGCAATACGTTCAGCAGAGCGCCAGAAGCCGACTTTGTATCTGCCCCCTATTCCCGCTTGAGAGGCCGCGACTGTCGAGCGTGGGTCCCAAGTGGATAGACCCCGCTTCCTGTACGACACGCAGTAAGTACTTACGAGAGCGACGTCGACATCCGAGCCGTCCTTGACGCGGCTCGCTCTACTGTCCGGCTCGGCGTTCAAGGAGACCGCGGCCTGTAGGCGCAGCTGCAGGTCATATGATTTCGCCGTACGCCCGAGATCTATACAAGATAGCCTTTCCCTTCTTTGTCTCGGGCTCGGACAGAGAGGTCGCGGTCAGGGTATACGCGCTGTTCATGAGAAAAGAGGAATACATAGGGATTGATGAGTGGGCAGAATGTCTGCTTGACCTCACGGTCAGGCCTTGAGAACACTTATCTCTCCGACGTCGAGCGAAGCCAGTGGCCAGAGGGCTTGACGGCGGCTGTGCCCACTCTACCGACGGCTGGCCATACGTCATAGATCTTCGCGAATACAATTGTAGCCACCGCCAGGCCGCATCTCCCGAAACTTGAACGTCCTCGAAACCTCCGTTCTGCACTGCTGCCGGGGCTACAGCAGGCTCATCCTTACAATCACGGTCCAAGCTAGACACCAGGTTTGTAAATGTGCCATTCAGAATAGACAGTGTGTGGGAGAAATATTTACATTACATACGCACTGCGATCAACTTCGTCCGCTGACCTGATTTAGGCGCTGGGTCGGGGTACGGTGCCACAGCCATCGCGGACGATGTCGACAAGCCCGAGCCTTGGGGCACCCAGATGGAGCGCAGGCACTGCAGGAAAGAGTCAGCGCGGCTGCGCATCTCCGCGCGGCAGAGATGCAGCACAGAGAGACACAGCCCGGTGAGGCTCTCCTGGCCTGGCAGAGGCGGATTCATAAGGGCGCCAACTGCCTAAGCCGGTGTCAATCGGACTCCCCTCGCGCCTTTGACGTCGGCGTCCGCCCCAGTAGCCAACCTCCATACTCATCCGCATTCTTCGCACACCGCCGTCCCTCTCTCTCTCTCTCCTACCCTCATGTCTGTCCGCTACGGTACTCCCAACCGCACCCCGTCGCACGCGTCGCACTACGGGCATCAACAGCGCCCTCCAAGCACACAATATGGTGCCCCGCCACCGCAGCAAGGCTACTACGCACAAGGACATGCGACTCCTGCTCCCGGATACGGTGCCCCTCCTCCTATGCAAGGTCCACCTCCTGGGGCCGATCCCCAGCTGTGGCAGTGGTTCTCTGCAGTCGACAGCGATCGTTCGGGAGCGATTAGCGTTACCGAACTCCAAGCCGCTCTCGTGAATGGTACGTGGAGTACCCACGCTCGCCATCGCTGATCTGCGTTAGATCGTGGCTGATCGCGGACTCGAATTTCGCAGGGAACTGGACGAGTGAGTTTCACTGAGTGTTGCCTGAAGCTCGCGCAATGGCCGCGGGGCTGCCGCATGTGCATCTTACCACATACCCATGGGACATGCATTCCACAACCTACTTGGGAGAGATGCCCCCGGGTGTGCTTGCGACCGCCGCGTATCCGATCAATAGACTTCAGACTGCTCTCTGTTGTCGCTCTGGCCCAGTGAGATTAACACCCCTGATTATTACAGGGTTCGACCTCGATACCGTAAAGATGTTAATGTCCATCTTCGTGCGTGTCCTCACTTCTATACCACCCGTAAGAGCGGTCCAAGCTGACCTTGTTTCGCAGGACACGGACCGTAGTGGCACAATTGGGTTTAATGGCAAGTCGATTTACGCCCTACCTTCGACTGCGGCGGACAATGTGTGCCCGATGTGCTGAAACCCTTTCCGCTTCCCAGAGTTCGCCGGGCTGTGGAAATACATCCAGGACTGGCAGAATGTCTTTAGGCACTTCGACCGAGATCGGTCTGGGTCCATAGAAGGAGCCGAGCTCTCGGAGGCCCTGCGCAGCTTTGGATACAACCTGTCGCCCACGCTCCTGTCACTGCTCGAGCAGAAGTATGGTAAGTCGCGATCTTGTCGAATGTCAAGAGATGACTCGAGCGTGCGCTCAATCTCTAAAGTAGCTTCCGGTCCTTCTGACCGGTACGGCCCACCACCTGGCATCACGTTTGACCGATTCGTTCGGGCATGTGTCGTGGTGAAGACGCTCACAGAAGCATTCCAACGGTATGTGCACGCTCATGTCTCGCTTATCTGAGCGGAGATTCACGATCGCACACTAGGGTTGATACGGACCGTGACGGATGGGTCCAAATGAACTACGAACAATTCATGAAGGTATTTACGGTCACACATCGTCCAGTCGTGCTAAGCTCAACCCCCTTCACCCTAGATTGTGCTCAGTGCACCTTGATCCCGTTTTTCTGTGGAATGCTCCTCCCTTTAGGACCTTTGCGCCACCGCTTTGAGTCTCTTCGCCGATGACCGCCATGACCATATTGTATTCCCCCGAATGTAACTCGATTCGCCCAGAAGACTGGAGTTATGTGCGCTCCTGGACTAGAAGAATGAACTTATGCATGTACAATGTCATATCAGCCCAAGAGTTGTGTAATACCTGCCCCTGCTGGACTCGTTGATCGCTATATATCTCTCTTCGGGAACGGTGATGTTGAACCGTCAAATGCCGGAGAGTTTGACGTTGATATGATGTTGATGATGTTTGACGGCTCCCACTTGCTTCCCCGGAACTGTGCCTACGCGTGCCTACGCAAGCGCACCACGACAAGCTCTTTCAAGTCGCCTGGGTTGCGTTGCTGGCATACTTGTTCTTTTGACCGCTGGCCTGCTCTACGTACGCAAGGCGAGGGATTACTCTCTAGGTTATTGACCGGACCGTCGCGTGCGTAGTGGCGTCTTTTCACATGCGCACGCTCACTCGGACAATGCTAACAGCCGCGCAGAGCTGGGAGCCGGCCACAGGAGACGTTGCCGCAAGGGGTCCCATCAACACGTAGCTTGGGCACAACGTTCAGCCACTATTGAGCTCCTCCGGCACTGCGATACCTAGAGACCGGTCTTCTTTCGACTCGTTCCGCTGAGGTGAGTGCAACGCGGCGTCACCAAACCCCAACGACTTGACCCCATATCTTTCTTTTCCTTACCTCCACGTCCACCTTTGCATACCCCCGCACCGCAAGATGGCTGCTGCATCGAAGTTTGCATATCTTCCCGTCCCGCTGCCTGCGGACGCCAATTACAAGAAGCAATGCGTGGAGGTACCCGGCACGAAGCGCCCTGGGCAGACGGGTATGCTTTCTTCTGCCGTCGTCCACGTCGTGCGAGCTGACGATGCAACCGGTACCGCTATCCTTGGCATCCAATAGCGCACTATCGGTCATGTACGTACTCTTTCTCCGAGTTACCCTCGATGCCGCCCACAAACGTGAGCTCTGACTGAGACCTTAACGCTGATTCGTCCCTCCCCTTGCGTCACGCTCACCTCTGCCTCCGAACTATGTTTGCCCCTCTTATTTTCCATTGACTTCAGCGTTGCACCCGTTCGTGACCCTCAAGACGCCGAACGTGTTCACGAACCTTCTCGAGATCTTCGACGAGGGCTACCGTCGCTCGAAGGGCGGGCCGTTCCTCGGCCACCGGCCGGTCATTTCGACGGAACCGCTCAAGTACGCCAACTACCACGTCTGGCAGACGTGGCCGGAGGTGGATGCGCGCCGTCGCGCTCTGGGCAGCGCCTTGCACAAGCTCTTCCAGGAGGGCACGCTGGGCGGCGGGGACTTGCCTACGGTCGGCATCTGGAGCAAGAACTGTCCTAGTGCGTGTCATGCGAATGTCGGGTGTACGCGTCCCTGATGATCTTCATGTTCTCCGCGCGACAGACTGGCAGGTAGTCGACCTATCATTGCAAGCCTATGGCAAGGTTGGCGTGAGCTTGTACGATACTCTAGGCAAGGATTCCGTAGGTGCGTCGTCCGCGGCTCAACAGCATATCGCCGATGCTCATGTTTGACATGTGTCTGTTCAGAGTTTATGTGAGCAAGACCTTGTGCCCTGCTCTTACCCATCATATTGACATAGTTTCAGCATCAACCATGCCGAGTTGACTGTCATCTTTGCTACGCCCGCGCATATACCCGCTCTGCTGAAGCTGGCGCCGAAGTGCCCGACTCTCAAGCTGGTTGTCGCCATGGATGACCTCACCGCGCAGACGAAGAGCGTTCTATCCGCCTGGGGAGAGACGGTCGGTGTGCAAATCAAGGAGCAGTCGGAATGTACGTATCATCTTATCTTTTCTTAAACTCTATCAAAGCATTGATCCTGTATTCAGTGGAGGAGCTCGGCCGTGCCAACCTAATCCCTGTGCTCCCGGCCACGTCTGAACAGATCGCGACCATCTGCTACACCTCAGGGACGACTGGCCAGCCGAAGGGTGTCGTCCTCACCCATGGCTCGCTGGCGCAGGCCGCGCATGGCTACATGTACCAGTTCCAATTGGACAACGAGACCACGCTTATGTCATTCTTGCCTCTTGCGCACATCTACCAGGTCAGTCTTGATGAATCCGTATACAAGTCAGATCCTTACCCGAATACCATCGCTGCAGCGCGTCATGGAGCTGGTCGCGATCGGCATGGGCGCGCAGATTGGTTACACTACCGGTGATCCCCTGCAGCTCCTTGAGGATCTTGCGATCCTGAAGCCACATATGTTCCCGTCTGTCCCGCGTGTGATCAACAGGATTTACCAGTCCGCAGTAGCCACAGGGACCGCGCCCGGCATCAAAGGCGCGCTTTTCCGTAGGGCAGTTGCGACTAAGCTGTACAACCTACGCAACCATGGTCAATTCCACCATGCGCTATATGATCGCCTCGTCTTCCGCAAGGTCAGAGTTTGTATGAGATTCACCTGGCTTACAAGCTAATATACCACTTTGTTCATCATCTTTACAGCTGGCTGGTGTCCTTGGTGGCCGATTACGCATATTCACGTCCGGTTCCGCGCCCATCAGCGCCAACGTTATGGACTTTATGAAGATTGGCATTCTCAGCGAGGTCATCGAAGGTACGTCTTGCGCATCGTCGCCGTTTGATCCACATTGTGCTAACTTGTTGTTTCACAGGGTGCGTAGTCATAGCCAGAACAAATAGGATCGCTCATGATTCGACGCCGTTCAATCGGCTGCTAGGTACGGAATGACGGAGAACTGCGGCAGCTTCGTCCGGACGTGGTCGTACGACCCGACGTCTAGCGGGACCGTCGGCTCGCCGCTGCCAAACTGCGAGCTCAAGCTCGTCGACGTGCCCTCCATGGGCTATTCTGCGGAGGACAAGCCGTACCCGCGCGGTGAGATCTGCATGCGCGGAGAGCAGCGGTTCTCTTACTACTACAAAGGTAAGACATACCCATCGTGAATGTGGACTTCGCCCGCTGACTGGCTTGCCATAGACCCGAAGAAGACCGCCGAGACCATTGACGAGGAGGGATGGCTGCACACCGGTGATGTTGGTGCCCTTGACGATAGCCTCCGCCTGAAGATCATCGACCGCGTCAAGGTGAGCTACCAGTCTGTTACGCGCGCGTACAGCATTGCCTCATCAGAACACCGCGTGATACAGAACATTATGAAGCTCGCCCAAGGAGAGTACGTCGCACTTGAGAACATAGAGAGCATCTATGGCGGCAGCCCCTTCGTCGCGCAGCTCTACGTTCACGGCGACGGCCTTCAGTCTTACCTCATCGGCGTCGCCGTCCCGGACCCCGTACAGTTCGCGGGGCTCATCTCTCGCGTCCGTGGCAAGCCTGTTGCCCCAGAGGACATTGGGACGCTCAGTGAGGCAACGAAGGACCCCCAGATCGTCGCCGCGTTCCTCGCCGAGCTCCAAAAGCAAGCGCAAAAGCACCAGCTCAAGGGGTACGTACAACCCCACAGGCTTCCTTGCACCTTTTCCCTTGGTAATAAGGTTTCTTTGCTGACATACCACGCCTTCGCCCCGCCCGGTGCGCCGGTGATACAGTTTCGAGCAGCTCAAGCGGATCCATTTGACTCTGCAGGCGTTCACTACCGAGAACGGCTGCTTGACGCCGACCCTGAAGATCCGGAGGTGCGTTCGGCTGCCGTTTTACGTACGAACCTTGTTCGCTAGAGCTAACTCTATCTTTCCCCTTCTTCTTATGTCGTGTCTGCAGGAAGGAGACGTACGAGTTCTTCAAGGGCCCGCTCGATGCGCTGTATGCACTCGGCGAACCCAGCCGCGGCTCCACCAAGCTATAGATATAGATGCCGCTCCAGCGCGTTCTTGGAAAATATCCTAGACTTCCCTTCTCGTTATCAAGGCGGAGCTGTAATCTACACTTGCTTAATCGGCCCCAGGCTCTAGTCTACATGCAACAGCGGGAAAGTGTGTCAAAACCAATGTCTAGGGCTGGAGGGCAGATGCAAACAGGGATGGTTGGTGAAGAGATGGAGAACGTGGTAATAGAACAACAAACAGCAGCACTACACGGCAGTGACCCATTCAAGTCTATCTAAACACCGCTGTACAGTTTGTTCAACCAGCGAGCGTGGAGCTGGTTAAGCCGTCGGAGGTCAATGGCTGCGAGCTCATAATGGGGCGGGAGTCCGTCTCCCTTCGGCGATGCGGCGCGAGAGGGTGGTTCCGAGGAAACAGATGGTGGCCATGACCATCACCCAGAGGTACCGCAGGAGGATAAACTCATAGCCGATAGAGAATGCAAGCAGGGAGCTCGCGAAGGCGGGGCTGAAGGAGCGGGAAAGGCACTGTGAGTAGACGGTGAAACGGAGGACTGTCAGCTCGTTCCTAACGGAGTGAATTGATTGATGGGCATATGCGCACCATTGCGAATTGGGTGATGCCGTTCGTTACGCCCAGAGATGTGGGGTCCGGTGCAGCCTCCTTGACAAGAAGCATGCTTACGCTGTGGAACGATGAGCGTACTATCCGCCGTTCGATAGTACTTCGCCCACTCACGAGAACGCCAGCGCGGCAGACCGGGATATCGCTAGGATGACGCATATGCCCATCCACACGAACGCCATCGTGGTCGGGTCGAGCATCCCCGTCGCTGGGTCGACTGTGCCCATGCGGGCGATGATGTTCAGCCCCGGGAGGAGGACGAAGCAGAAGGGCCAGAGGCCCATGCAGAAGTTGTACATCCTGGCGTGGTCGAAGCGGCGCAGAAGGTAGGGCATGCAGAAGAGCTGGAGGGAGATGGAGACGCAGCCCGATATTGAGAGCGCGTACCCGATTTGCGTGGCCTGGTATGAGATGAAGGGTCAGCGCATATGACGCATGGGGTAGTGAACGGTGATGGCGTACGTTGAATGCTAGGCCGCCTTGAGCGATGGACGTGTAGCAGAAGAGAACTGGATACAAAACAAGGTTAAGAACAGTTCGATCCGTCGACACCGATAGACGCACCGAATGTGACATCGAATCCCGTAGCACTGGCATGGCGATCAGCAACAGCAACGCAGTTCCGACGCGACGTACTGAACTCACATGAACGACAAGCCGGCACCGCTGAGACACAACGCACGGACGAGGGGAATGCTTAACAAATACCGGATAGTCGCAGGCTGTGGGGGCTTCTCAAACGCGCCGCCATGGCACTCAGACATCTGAATGTTGTCCTTCTGTAGCCGTCGCTTCGAAGGCAGCGTCTGTTGAAGGAATACTATGATGAACACTTATATCTTCAGCCTACTACGATCATTGTATGCGTACCTCCCCAAGGTGAATGTAGCCGTACAAACATCCGGCCCATGCGATGACAGCAGCCGTAACACAGGGCAGTAGGTATGGGTACCGTCGGAAGAGTGGTGTGTCGAACCATGAGAACTTATCTGCGGGGTTGGACAATAGGCCGCCCATAAGAGGACTTGTGCCGAACAGGGTGAGCTGACGCTCGAAATGTCCGTGATAGATACATGCTTACCCGATAACAGCACCCAATGGCCAGCATAAGCCATATAGTGAGAAGGCGATAGCTTGATTCGTGGAATCGGTGATCTCTCCGAGGACAGAATGAATCACCGCAATATTGCCGGAGAACAGTCCACCTATGACCTATCAGGGGACGAGACCGTAAGAGTTGCCCAAGCTTGCTCACTCAATGACCGTGCAAAAAGTACTCCGCTCAACGTGGATGACAGTCCCATGCATACCGTCGCAATGCCAATTCCCGATATCCCAAGCAGGACGATAGGCCTACGGCCGATAATATCTAATATGTGACTATGAGGTCCAATTGAGTGGTCGGACGTTGCGGAAATGCGTACCGGATAGCCTGGCCCACTGGTATATGGACAGGACTTGGGCGACAGCAAAGCTGCTCTCCTACGCATTAGCCCCGACGATTCAGCGTCGTTCTTAGACACCTTCCCAGTTGGGGTGTGATCGCGTTAAGCGACATGTCAACGTACCACCAGTCCGCTGTAGAATCCAATCTTGGACGGGTCCTCGGTTAGATGGAGATGTGCCATCATCTCGTTCACGTAAGGGAAGATCTGTGTGAAAGCGATGGGATCGACGAGCCGGACGGCGCACAGCGTCGCGAGCTGGGCCTTTGGGATCGGCGTGGATTTGTCCCGCCTGGTCGACTTTTGGTTTTCGAGGGCGCTGTCGTCATTGAGGACATCGTAGTCATCGAAAAGGCGGCGGGCCTCCTCTTGTGGGAGTTGTGAAGGGCCGAGACCGCTGGAGGAATGGCTGTCGATAGCCATTGCACTGGCACCTGGTCAGGTCGGGGAGGGCAACGACGAGAGAGAGGGCAGCATTGGGTGCCTGGGACAGCAGCGGTACATATAAGAGAAATGGAGACTTCTGGGGTTCGTGATTCGCAGGGAAACTTGACAAATCATTTACGTCGCTGTATGCGGCTGCCGTTCACGGCGCTCGCGAAAGCCTTCCCCGGAACACCACTGACCTCAACGAGACGTCCAGGAACCCGATCATACCTACCACCCCGCACGATCCACTGCTCCTCTGCATACAGATGGTAACGACGGGGGTGGTCGTGCGACGGATGAGGCCGTCCTTGGTGCTGAGCAGGTGCAAAGGCCTTGCCAGCTGTCGCGAACCGGATGCCCGTTCGAAGAAGACGGGCGGGCGTACAACATTAATAGCAGCTTCTGCGCGCTTGGCGTGAGTGCGGGAGTTTCTCGGCCCAGGCCCTTTGGGCGGCGGTCCGGGCCTTCCGCTCCAGCGTCCAAGCAAAGACAAACAGGACGAGTGGCGCGAGATGTGGGGGAGGGCCCAGCGGTGCAGCGATCCAGGCCGGATCATTCAACGACGCGACCTTGGTTGTGAACCACTCGGACCCCGCCCTCACGACCACGAAAACATATCGCACTCGCCATGAATTTTAATACCAACGACAATCTGGTCCTCGTCGCCCCACGCCCCGTTCGCCTAGCGGCTGGTGCCGCTCCTTTCCCCTTCAACGCACCTATCGCTCATCGCCCCCGATCCCGCGCCGCCATCCTATCTGCTGCCGCCGAAGCCTTCGACCGCTTGAAACTGGTCGAGGACCACGCCGATCAACCTACTGAATTGTCGGAGAAAGAAAGATTGTCTCCACGCCCGTCGCCCCGGTATGTACTCCGAATCTCATATCACGGCTGACCGATAAGATCTTGCCTACTACCGCCCCCTGTCATCGTCTCCTTGGCTTCATGTTGCTGAACGTATGTCAACACAACACATAGGTCGACTCCTGCGGAAGCTCTTGAAGAGTTCCTTTCCATCTTGCAGCACCCGGGCACTATCCGCTTTCAGCCCACTTCTCCCATCCTCCGCGCGACTAATCACAATACGCACTTCTTCACCTACCGCCGTCAGACGCCATGCAGCTTAAGTCCTTCCCTTCCCTCTGAGGGGCTCGGATTGACTATCGGTGACCATGCTGATGACAAGGAAAACGAGGGTGTCACTTACCCCTTCAAGCTTCTGGGTAGCTCTCTAGGTGCGCGTTATGAGGCTGCGCGTCTTCATATACAATCTTCTCACCGCAGCGACCGTCGATCTCGTACATCAGGATCACCTGTCTCTCGCACGCAGACGCGCAACCCCTTCCAGCGCCACTCATCTTACGAGAGTAGCGTAGCTGCATATCTACGCCCGTCGTCAGCCATGTCTCCTTCTCCCACCTCGGCGCTGTCGCCCGCGGCTATTCCGCTGCCGCTACCCACGCCTGACGAGATGGAATTCGAGACCGCATAGACACATGTATCGGATGGCGTCAAACTGCTTCTCTTCGCTGGTGCTGAGGCCTCCACTCTGGATTGCTACTAGTCCTGGGGCTTCAGCCATCTCCTCACCACTGCTGTCGTTGCTCATTGTTACCTTGCAGCATCAGTAGATCCCCTCTCCACCATCCTCGTCCCTGTGTTCATCGTCCCTGCTTAAAAGGACGTTACCTTACGATCTTTTCCTATCTATTATCGCATAGCGTTTGCGAGCGTCGTGATATCCTGTATTGACTCCCAGACCTCGCCTTCCCTCATGTACCCTCAAAGTAACTTAAGTAGTATTGTTCCTCGGATTCTCGTAGTGCATCTTCTGTGGTATATCGAGTCAGGAGACCTTTTGTGTCGTACGTACGTGTCGGCAGTGCTTATAGGAAGTGTACACCACAATGTAATGAATTCTACTTGGCCTCACATTTGTGTCGATGTGCGGGGACAGAACGGGCTTCTTGCTACATCAGGGCTAGACTGCACGCACAGTCCGATGAGCGCTATGTCTATGCTTCGACTTGCACTGCCTCAACACGTTCCCCATGCATCTTGGCCGGAGCGTCGATGGCCATACGCCACCGTCGCACCCATAAGTCCCAGCCCAGCTGGTTCGACAAAGTCTTTCCTCCTAACCGGTGAGCCACGTCGACCTTACGGCTGTCGCCAATCTACGAGTCCCAGCCGCGCTAACCGCCTCGTCCTTCTAGTTCCAAGGAAGCCCGTCCAGGGCCCCCCAGCCCCGCCGCGGGCTACGCGCTCATCGCGGCCTCGGTCGCGTTCCTGCTCGTCGGCTCCTACGCCGTCTTCTTCAGCGCGCTCGTCCCTGTGACCGGTGTTTGGGTGCGTGTGCGTGTTTGCTAGCGGTGGACGCGCCGTTCTGTCCTATTCTATCCTCGGGGGCAATAGCGGCTGACATTGTTGTCGTTCTCGGTCTCGTTGTCGTTGTCGGAATCCTATCCCTTGGGTTCCTGGCGCGCGCGAACCGACCCCTCCCATTCCCTTCTTATCTCCCATCCTGGCCATGAAGCTGCTGGACGTGATGGCGCGGGACACGCACTACAAGTACCTGGTGATCATACTCATCTCGTCAGGGACGGGCTTCGTCATCGCGAACTGGGTCGGGTGGCAGTACTACCGGAACTCGTGAAGGCCGATCTCGATGGGCCCGATGCATGTATGTGTATAGGTGCTTGGATGGCTTGGGTACCCGGAGGTTTTGGCCGCACGGGTCCCGATTGCCGGCTTCTTCGTCGGCTTCGCTCGCTTGGGCTGCGGATTCTCTTGCGTTGTACTAGCCTCGTTGTTGCTAGACCGGGCTATCGGACTCTCGCACGGATGTCGAGGATGAGACATACGATTACGACTACATTGCATAGCTTGCATACAAGACATAGCCAAAACGACGTCCGTAGATGGGTGCGCGGTACTCGAGACAACAAAACCAGACAGCATATCGAGCTGACAACCAAACGCAACTGAAAGCAATAACTTATAACAAACAAGACGAACGGTCCAGCCAGAGACTCGAGAACTCAGGAATATTTTCTTCACAAAGGCTCTGGCGAATACGTGTGTTCCGTGGGTGCCCGCGACCGGCGCCGCACCTCCTTCAGCTCCTGCCACAGGCTGCTCCGCCCGCGGTTCGACGCGACGTCGCCCGCGATGCTCGGCGGCGCGCTCTTCGGCGGCAAGGGGCGGACGTCCTTGCGCCACGCCGAGATCCCACCGCCATATGCTGGCGGTGCGGCGTCCGGCTCTGTTTCGGAGGGGCTGGGGTCCCGAGGGATCGTCCGTCGAGAGCTGAACTTGGGTCGCTCCGGAGAGCGAGGCTTGCGTTCGGGAGAAGCGGTGTGGGGTTTGTGGGCAAGCAAGCCTGCGACGCTCCCGCGCGGGAGGTTGGCGGAAGGTCGCGCGAATGGCGCCCTGGACGCACTCGACACGGGGCGAGGAGGCTCATCTGCTTCGTCCTCTGTGGGGGTCGCGGGTCGGATAGCGCGCCTTGCGGGGAAGACGTTTCGTGCGCGGGGTGCCAAAGCGGTTCCGCGCTGGGCCACCGCCGGCTGCCTTGGAGCAGACGACAGGAGTTCGAGGTAACGGGCATAGCTAGAAGAAGTTTTAGTATCGCAAGGGGGACGAGAGCCCAAGTGCGTGGCGTACTTGATGGCCTTGTGTTCAATTTTCTTCTGTTGGGCCTTCTTCCATAGCGCGAAGGCTTTGCCTGAGGCAGACGATGAGTCTTTGATGCCAGGATTCAGTACACCATCAAACTTACCAAGCGTTTTGCGCCGATCCATCTCTCGCGCTGTTTTGGCCTGCAAAGCTTGAGGCATGAGCTTTCGCCATCTCTCCCAATGCTTCCTCTTGACATTGTGGTTGTAGACCTTCACTGCCGTCGGAAGCTGTGATCTCATATCAGCGCAAGTCTTACGTCCTTCCTCCAAGTTTACGCGTACCAGGGATTTCTTCTTCCATGCAGTGAACGCACGAATGACGAGGTCAGTCTGCTGTTTCTTGATGAACGATTCCGCCTAGCATACTCAGTGAGCATACATTCCAAGCCTCAACGACCCTGTCATATGGAAGCATCAAGACGTACCAGAGGTTGTAGACGGATGTCCATGTAGCGCTCGCGCCACTTGTCGAACGTACTTGCGACAGTCATGAGCTTGAACTCTTCTTCTCTCTCCTGAAGTTGCAACCGGCGATGTCTAGCCTTCCTCGCCGCCGTGAGCCAACGAATAAAGAACTTGCGCATGTTATCTATTGCAAATGTGAGCAAAGTTACCGGAAGTGGTGTGATACCTTCGAAATTCACCTGCACGCTTAACATCCTGGTAGCTCTCCATGAGACTTAACTCATGGACGTGGCGCCTGCAGACAGCTTTCCACTTCTCGTATGCTCGCCTGCGGGTAAGTCATCAGACTGTGAGTTTGAGATTAAAAGGAGAGAATACGGACCAGACAAGGGCCTGGTCACGATGCTGGATCGTCTCGAGCTCTCGGAACTTGAGGTCCGCGACACGAGATATCCAATGCCGCAAACTGTTCGTCATGATTCCCTAAGGTATGCATTAGTTTGAGCCATCAGACATTGAGGGGCCCTCAGCATGTTACTTACCTGTGCAACTCGCGCTTTCATCTCTTGTTCTGCGAGTCTGAGAAGTCGCTGTTGCCTCGCGCGAGCATACCACGCTGCAGTCACAGTTTAAAGGGTGCACATAGTCACACTGACAACGTAAGATTTACCTTCGAAGGTCTTCTTGGTCGCCCGCAGCTCGAACTCCTTGAGCTTTTTCTCGCGCCGCTTCTCCTCGACCTTCGCTGTCCACATATGAAGGCAGCGCCGCAAGAGTAAATACTTCCGAGCGATCTTCGCTTGCTTCACCATGCGTAGACGTGTTCGGAGCTTCAGGCGCCAGGCGAGCATCATCTTGTACTGCAGATGCATTCGATCGAAGTGGACGGCGTATGAGAGCGCGTTCTGGTGCGACTGGTGCACCCGGCGCCATCGCTGGAGCGCCATCCCAGCGTGAAGAGAGACGGAGCGCGTCCTGAACAGTTGCGCCAGCTCTGCAGGTTATATTGGCGGATGCCCTACGACGCGCGATGGTGATCGGGGCTAGCTCACCTTCTCGTTCCCGCTGCGCGTCCATGTGCTTTTTCCAGACAGCCCACGCCTGTCTCAACAGACGCATTGCTCTGACGCGAGTCAGAAGCTGCCCGCGCTCATGAGACTTCCAGATACGCATAATGGCTCGGATTAGGACGGCATTCCGCCTTGTGACATGTTTCGCGGCGCGATTCTCCATTGCCTGCGTACCCATGAGCACGACGCTTGGACTGACAATTAGACTTGGCGCAACTCACTCGTATTCGCGCTTGCGCAGCCTGCCATCGACGAAGGGCGTGCTTGAGTACTAGCATATCGTTGAATCGCTCGGCGACATGATATTGCTCGCTGCACAGGATAGTCAGTGTGATCCTGCCTAACTCAACAGGGATGCTCACTGGTTACGCCTCCAAACATCCATAGCATTGGTCATGATGCGCAAATTGACACGCGCAGAGACGGTTTTCTCCGCAACACGCATATCCGTTCTGTGGCGCCAAACATCCCACGAACGATTCCTCAACTTTTCGTCCTGCTCATGCTCAAAGTGATCCGCCGCGGCGTCCAGCTCGTCCAGTTTGCGCAGCTTCGCCTTCCACCGCTCGAAGAACCTCGCGAGGACCTTGCGGGCGAACTGCTGCTCCGCAATGCGAGAAAGATAGAGCTGGCGCCACCTTGACCACGTATCCTTCTTGAGGCGCAGCTCGTCCCGCTCGCGCACGGTTCGCATGCGCACGCGCATGTCCTCGCGCCATTCCAGCTGCTTACGGTGGTGCTTACGATCCTTGCCCTTCTGCTTCCACATGTAATAGAAGCGCACCAGGCAGCGGCGATCAGACAGGGCGGCCACGTGGGCGCAGAGTTCGCGTCGGTGGGCTGTGCGAGTCCTCCAAGTCAGGAGGGAGCGGCGAAGGACGAGGGAGTCTCGTGCCGCAGAGATCTGTTCGCCCGTCGTCTGCATATGCATGCATGAGCGTGATGAGTGAATATGTCATTCCGTACGGGGCGACGTACGATAATCCATTCGTATCCCTGCTTCCAGACTTCGTAACACCGTTCAACAAGCCGATCATTGTAGAATTGCGCTGCAATTTCCTCGTCTTGTGCTTCTCGAACCCTCCTGAACGCGTCGTCCGGGTCGACTGCGCCACTCCTTCGTTCCCTCTGAGGCAGCGGAGCGGGCTGTTTTGGAGGAGCCTGTGTGGGCATGGGTGGGGAGGGCTCCCGTGGCAGGCCAATTCTCCTCACAGATATAGGCATCTCCCTTCCCTTTCCCTTATCCTTATAGGATATCGGAGGGTGCTCATCGCGCACGACCGCACCGTAAGAGGGAGGGATACTCGATGCTTGCGTGGTAGTTTCTGCAGTGGTTTCTGCATCCCATCGCCCGACGGTTGCTGTCCGTGCGCGGGCCGCCAGTCTGCGAAGGACGTCCGAGGGATTGGCTACCGACGATGGAGGTCCAGTGTCAAGACCTAGGGAGTTGGAGGAGCCCACCGTAGCAGGTGAGCCAAACCGGCGAATAGGTCGTGGTGTATCGTGACCGTTCGTGCCCTGTATCTGTCTGCTGAGTGTAGGTTTCGCGGAGAAGTCACTTGCAGCCTGCTCCGTGTCATCTTGATGGGAGTGTAAAGTGAAGGTATCAGGCTCGCGGAGAGCGTAAGGCATCTTCGCAGGTTTGGCAGTAGGCCGTGCGGGAGTAGGCGTCGTTCGCGAAACACGCGTCGTCCTGCCTCCTCTTGCAGTATTTCCGGCGTTGGAGACATACCCCTGTTGATCCTTTACCACGTTCCACTTGTCCGCCCAGTTCTTCCCCTTCAACGTGCCAATTTTCAACAGCTTGCCATAATAGACCACTTCATTCTGAGGATCCAGGCCGCGCTCCTGCAGGACATCGTTATATGCCTTAAAGACGGTAAGAAAGGTGGAAGCGGTTGCGGGTGCGCGACCGATGACTTCGTCTATGAAGTCGATCTCCTCCGCTGAGAGCCCGATGAGTTCTGGCGCGATGAGTGGGTGGGAATCATCAGTGAAATCAGAGACGCGTGACGATGGTCCAGCAGCAGGTCGAGGAGGGGGCGAGGCGCGTGAGGGGCGGAAGTGAGACATGGCCAGCTCAGCGTCGCGCGAGGATCATGACCGAGCGGAGCGGGGAACAGTAACAAGAGCAGCACGCTGTGGCTGCACCAGCCCCGCGTCGCGCGCGTCCGACACGTGACCCTGTCGGACCCTGGCGGCTACTACGACACTCAGGCCGGAGTCCGCAACGAAGATCCAACTGTAGCCAAAATGCGTCATAATACAAGTGATGCACAGGTGATGTTACAGGACGTAGATATAATAGTACAGTACAGGATGTCCGCGCCAGCTAAACCAACTTCCCACTCAGAAATATACGCGCAAAGCCGACTGGATGGTCGACTCGGCTGGACAATACGGGCACTTCACCCGACTATATGCGTTCATGAGTGGCTGTACATGAGGTGGGAAGCGCCATAAGACGTACCCTCCCGGCTTGCTTAGCTTCGTCAAGCTGTCTTTGGTGATTACATGCCCGCAGGCTAACATCATCGGCGGATTGGCCTCCGTCGACTGTTCCTTCGACACTGGGCAAGCAAAGATAGAGTGATACCTGTTCTCCGGAGGCAAGGGTATCTCAATCTGTGGTGAGATTAGCATCGAGGCACTTCGTGTACCCATGCGCAAAGACACTCACAGGAAGTTCGTCTGTCTGGCTCCACTCGCTCTTGCGCTCTCGCATCACCTTCCGTCCCTTCTCGATGCGCGCCAATGCCCCGCCACCACCAATGTCAGCGATGACACGGAGCGGCGCTTGCCTACTCATACCGAGGTCGGCGCAGTATTCGGTGGCAAACATGCTCTGCAGGTCAGAATGTACCGAAGGGTCCGCAAGGTCCGCGTATGGCGACGTCAGCAGCTTGCTCAAGGGCAGATACAGCACGCAGGTCAACAGCCTCTGCACTTCTACCCGGTGGCGATTGAAGAAGGGGGCAAGGTGGGCGTGGGAGTACGCGAGTGCAGCATTGATGTCGGGAGGATGAGAGAGCACCAGCCGGAGGTATTGGAACCGATGTAGGTGGAATTCCAAGGAGGAGTTTCGCTTCTGAAGGAATTCTCTATGGCAGTGAGCCCACCTGCAGGCGGATCATTAAGAAGGAGTGAGGAAGCAATTCAGCAGGAACGCACTCCAGAGCCGGAGCTATATCACCCTGCCGCAAGGCAGTCATAATTCGGTGCAAGTCCATGAATTGCACTCGATGCTCAGGCGATATAGTGACATTCGATTCCTATATCCGCATGAACATGTCAGAATGCTGTCATCGAATTAGTAGCAACCTGACTTACTCCGAGAAACGTCTCTGCTGTCTCAAACCCCCCTGTCCGTAGGAAATGCATCGCAATGGTGCGCTCGAGGGCGAGCTTCGCTTCTGGCGACTGAAACAATGGTTCGTACGATGGTAGTGGGTTCGTGAATTTCTGCAGCAACCCATCCAATTAGTACTCCCCCTCAGTTATGCAAGTCCGGTGGATCCTGTGCATAGTGAACATCACACGAAACCTCACACACCTTATCCAATGCTTTCCCGACCTTCGCAAGCGCATTGTACACTTCCTTCTGCCTTTCGTCAATTTCCTTCTTCTTATCCTCTACAGTCTTCGCAAGAGAGAGTAGCGTAACTTGCGACCCCGTACCGTTCTGGAACCGCTCCTTCGCGTTGCGGAGGGACTCTAAGAGGGCGTCGAGTGACTGGTCGATGGAAGGGGCCTTCGCCTTGCCTGCGGGGGCACCTGAGGCAAGTTTCTCTAATCTCGAGAGCTCCTTCAAAGGGCCGTCCATAGTCGTGTGAGATAGTGTTAGCACGAAGACCCAGCCGAGTCGGTCGTCGACTCGTCGTTGTGGCACGAGCCGCAATCGGCGAGGGTCGGCGCAGGAAGGAGCGGCAAGGCCGGGGCGGTCGATTATGGGCGCCAAGTAACCATGGAACACCCACCCCTGCTCTTCTCTTGCACACTGTTCAAAGACTAAGTTCCACCACTATGCCATGCTACTATGCCGGCGATGAGCTTGGTACTCTCAAGTCCGTCTCATATGCTTCCGGAGCCAACCCGAAAGAATGGAAACCTATCACTACGGTGCTAGTGCCCGGCGGCTCCTCTGGTCGGTCTAAAACTGTTCAAAAGCTTGCTTTGCACCGTGCTTCGGACTCGAATGCTCTGGTACCTACTCTGCATTGCTTGTAACCTATCTATGTACTCATTTTTGCCTTGCTCAAGAATAGCTGGCGGCAGTGCATGCAGATGGTTCTGCTGTAGCCTATAACATCCAGGGGAACTCCCAGCTTTCGGTAATGCACGAATGGACGGAGAAGAAGCTGAAGGAGGGTCAGAGATTCATCGGACTAGCTGCATCGGAGAGGTATGTCTCATGAACTAGCCAATTCACTCTCATGCTGAGTTTCAAATAGTGCAGTGTACTCGTGCACATCCAATGGTGCTCTGCGCGTGACAAAATTCGGGCAAGACGGTTCTGAGCCTTCCTCTTCCGTGACGAGTTTGCCAATGCGCTTATGCGAATGGCGTCTTTCTCTGGACTCACGTACTTTTGCGTACGGTGGAGAAGAGGTGGAATTGTCGCTTTGGGACACGGAAAATGCGTTCTCAGAGAATACGGCTGCTGCTCAACCCCTCTCGACAGATTCCAAGAAAAGGAGGCGTGGAGACCAGCTGCTGCCGGGCGAGCTATGGCGTGCCAAGAATGTGAGTCCTCAAGCACATGTTCTACCTCCCCTGATTCAAGCCAGAACATACAGGTCCCCAACGATCACCTCAGTCTCCGCCACCCCGTATACAACACCGCTCTCACATATCTGCAAGCCTCTTCTAGCCATGCTCACCAACACCTACTGGTTGGAACGGCGAACGGGAGCGTGAGGCGGTATGATACGCGCGCTGCACGTAGGCCAGTGTCCGACTGGAAGGGAATCGGCAATGTCGGCGGCATTGGCACTGTCGAGAAAGGCATCTACGAATAGTACGTGATAGGTCCCCAAGTATCCATTGGCCACCAGACACTCACGGTTATCTCAGCGAAGTGTTTGTGGCAGATCGCGGCAGTACGTTATCGGCGATGGACCTCAGGAACGGACGGGTGATTTATACCTACAAAGGTGGACATGCCCCATGCGCCTTCACCACAATACGCTAACTTGAGTTCTGCGCAGGCATATCGGGCGCCGTTACGTCCGTTGCACCAGCGAGCTCTCTTATGGCGTCAGCCTCGCAGGACCGCTACATAAGGCTCCATTCGACATTCGGCCCGCCTGCCGAAGCAGGGCAACAGCAAGAGCAGAAGGGAGACGTGCTAGAGAAGACGTACATGAAAGTCGTGCCCACCGTCGTTGTCTGGGACGGCGCAGTCGGTGCGGAAGGCTTGGAAGCAGAGCGGGAAGAGAACGAGGCCGAATATGAGGTCTGGGATGGGATGCAGGCAGCGGAGAGCGACTCCGAGGACGAAGGGAATGGCACTCGGCGTAAGGAGAAGAAACTTCGGACCACTTAGTCGCCGACGGTGGACGTTCAGAAAAAAGTACACTATTCAGCTGGCATTACCCTATATAGATACATATACTGTGTAGTCCTATGCATGCCGTACGATCTACCGACCTCCGATGATGCTCTTCCAGTTGTGCGCCTTCTCGAACCCATTCCGACCGAACTGGTAGTCGATGAGGGTTTTCTGTATGTCTTCCCGCGAAGTCATCACGAAGGGGCCGTACTGAACGACGGGCTGGTCAAGGGGCTCTCCGGCGACCAGCACAAACTCGGTGCCATCCTCGGTCGCGGTCAATTCTGCGCCATTCTCCCCTGAGTTTGCAGACAGAACCAAGGTATAAAACGACGGATGGACCGTGGAGTCGGATCCGACCTTGAGGCCACCTTTGATAACTGGAAGTATGCGTCAGAATAGAGCGTAGCTCAAAGGGACGTCCCAACATACTGTAGATAAATGACGTCCATCCAGCGGCTATAAATATTCAGGAATCAGTCTTGATGCAAACAGATTCTGGACACTGCACATACGGATCTCCTGGAAGATAGTCGCTTGTTTCTTGAAGATAACATGGAAGTACCAGCAACCTCCGAGTGGCCGGACAGGGGACTCCACGCCATGGCTCTTCCCGCTGATGACTCGAACTTTTACAGGCCCATCTTCGCCCTGGGGGAACGCCTCGCGCACTCTGCACGGGTGATGAGTCCACACGGATTCCGCTAACGGACGTAATACATACTGTTCAGGATCGAGTTCCTGGTAGGTCGGGTCAACCATCTTGTACTCTTTGGGAAGGTCTACCCATAATTGCAGCCCACGAGGCTCTGGAACACCGTCACCAGAGACTGGCATCTCTGCGTGTATGACTTCAAGGTTCCAACGTTAAGCCTACATCAAGAGTGCATGAGCCGTTGCCTACTCACTTCCTTTGCCCTGTGCAACACAGCGTCAGGAAAATAAGGATCATATTGGGCATAGCGGAGAACCTACTGCACACATCCACTGCACACCCCCCGGCCTGATTTCGCCTTTGTGACCAGCTGAGTCCTCATGGCGACTTGACCTGCGTTCAAAAAAGAGTCAGACCTCTTCGACCTGGATTTTTCATCATTGGAGCCTACCCCTCAAGCATATATGTTACGGTGGCCTGGCCTCGGTGAGGGTGATCCGGGAAGCCCTGCAGATCATCATACAGCATCAGCCTGTCGTTGCCGTTCGTAACTCACAGCATACACTCACCGCTCCTTTCGATATGTGGAAGTGGTCGAGCATGAGGAAAGGCGTGAGGTTCCTCAGCTGGGGCGTGCCAATTGACCGTCGTACTATAGCTCCAGCACCCTGCAAGCACCTACTGTCAGGACCTGTCCGGATGTGACAAATCTGATAACGTACCTCTTCGGTCTCCACCGAAAGCACCTTCTTCACAACGGACCTCGACGCCGACATATCTGCGTTTTGACTGAGTAGACGAGTTGTTGCGCGTAAATACAGAGAATTCACGGGCAGATGGAACGAAGTTGGAGGGGCGGTTGACAGCAGGCCTCGAGCTCTTATACCGGCGCAGGCTCCGAACATACTGGAATCGCTCCCACTGACCGCCTGCCACTACTTGTCCTCATCGAGCATGATATCCGCACACTCCTGCAGTGGCCGCCTCTGTAATCTGACTGCCATCTTGGGACAGAACGGCGCACGCCACCTCAGCGGGACGCTGTGACAGCTGAGCGACAGTGACCCGACGCACGCGCGAGTAAGCAGCCTTACGAGCGCGTCTCCTCTGTTGGTGAGCGCGATCCTCCATACGTCCTATCCGTTCGCAAGCTGCCCCGCGAAGGAGTGAACGTTACGAATAGCATGGAGTTCCAACGTACTGTGTCATGGCTATATCTAAGCATACATGGTTATATATCATCAGGTCATCCAACTGCCCATGACGAGACTCTACAGCGAATCCCAAATTTGTCGCCACCGCGATCGGGGCCCTCTGAGCTCCTGCTGCTTGTTGAATCGTTCTTCCTCCTCGTCGATCTCCCGCTTCCCAGTGATGAGGTCGACCTTGTCGGATGGAATTTGGACGCTGCGGTAGTAGAGTTTATAGACCCCATAGAATAAGACGAACGCCGGGAGGCCGATATACGACGTGACGAAGGTATCTGATTTGAATGGCATGAAGGTATCGAAGCCTAAAACACGGCAAGGTGAGCTAAAGGAGAGCAGGTCGCAAGGCGACAATAACGTACCCTTGAAGAGCGTGATGATAGCGGTAGCGACTAGGGCGAACCAAGAACCCCAAGGCTGGAACGGCGCCTTGTATGGCAGATCGTCCCGGGACATGCCCTGCGCTTTCAAGGCTTTCATGAAGCGGATGTGCGTGTAGCAGATACACATCCAGGTGATCGCGCCGAACGTGGACACCAAGTTGACGAACCAGCCGAATACTGCCGTGATCTCGTCAGCACAGGACTTGTGGGAGGTTCGGGAAGCCACCCACCTTTTGCACTGCTAGATGAGACGTTCAAGAAGACAAGCCCGCAAAAGAGAGTGCAGAGGATCAACGCTGGGTACGGCACACCCATGCGGTTGACGCGCGCGAAAATCTTCGGGGCTTGGCCTTGAACTGCGAGACCGTACAAGGTACGAGTACCGATGTACAGATCAGAGTTTGCTGCACTGAGCACGAAAATGAGGATGGCGGCGTTGATGATATGGTTGAGGACCTTGATCCCCGCCAGGGTCGTAGCTAGTTCAGACGAAGCATATCAATTGCTTGCTATCCACCAGGAAAATAGACATTACACACCGACAACGAACGGCGAAGCCGCAGCACCAGCCTTCGACTTGTTCGCAACGAAAATTGCCTGGCAAACGAGATATAAGACCGTCTGAGGTACATGGTGAGTATGCCACAGCTCACGTTGTTTGTACTCGGGACAATCAAGCCAATGACGAAGACACCGCCAACGTAGAAGACCAAGATTCGGAAGAATGTCCTGCGAATAGCTATCGGAATGTTCTTGCGTGGGGCTTGCGCCTCGCCGACGGTTACACCGATCAGCTCCGTACCGATGTACGCGAACAACGCGTTTGTCAAGGTACTCCAGAACCCCAAGAAAATCGCGAGATGTTCGTTATGCACCTGGGACTTGAGGTAACCACCCATGGGCCCATATGGATCGTCCCAATAGCGGAAACCTAAGCGGTCGTGCCTCGGGTTGCCGCCGAGGTCGATGATGATGCCCATGAGCAAGAGTCCAACGAGCGTGACCACTTTGATGCTGCTGAACCAGAATTCCAGTTCGCCGAACACGCGCACACCAAGCAGGTTGATCGCGAAGACTGATTGGGCAGGTTTGCTTTGAGTTCATGTCAAGAATGGCAATTGGACTCGAGACTCACTGAACACGATGAAGATGACTAAGTAACAAGAATAGCACGGCAGATATGCGTGTAAGTGATCAAGAAGGAGTATAATCAACGCACGATAACTCACCCATCCAGATCGCGATGTGCACCTTTTGCGTCCAGTACTGGATGACAACTCCCGCGGCATTGATGTTGTTCGGGGTGACAATGAGGTACCTTCAGTTCCCTCGATCAGACCAACGCCTCGCATAGAACGTCGCAGGCAACCCACTTCAAGACGTAGTTCCAGCCAAGCGCAAAGCCGAACGCGGGGTCGACGAACCGAGTCGCGTACCCGGGAAAGCCCTTCTTGTGGGGCAGGTACGCGGCCATCTCTCCGAGCGCCACCATGACAAGGTAGCAAACAAGTCCGACGAAACTATATCCCAGGAAGATACCGAGTGGCCCTCCGCGCACGAGTGCAGTTCCCGATCCGATAATTAGACCCGTTCCGATAGCACCTCCAAGCTATACTGCCCTCCTTCGGTATGCGTGATGCTGTTCCTGGAGGGAATGGGGACGTACCGCGATCATGGAGATTTGCCGCGCAGACAGGTCTCTGTGCAGACTCTTCTTCTCGTCGGGGTCAACGAGCACCTCGTTGGTGTAGTAGCCATCATTGGCCACGTCGTCCGAGGAGCCATAGCGACTCGAGTTCTGCTTCTCAAAGTCGGCCATCCTTTTCGTGCGCGCCGTTACCTACTACACTTCGCGTAGGGGGCAGAAAGAGGGCGAACGGAGTTCTGGCGGGAGCGGAGACGGCGCGGTCGCCGGCGCAAGGGAGACGAGAACTTCTTAGCGCAGAAGCGGCTTCGGAAGGGAAGAGGACGGCGGCAGTACACTGAGCATGACAAAATACTTATAGACGTCGCAGCGCGCGTGAACAGTGGGACAACTGTCCCGTCCATCAAACACGCAAGTATCTCGCCAAGCTTCGCCACCACTGCCCCGCATTCCCCTGCCAAGGAACCCCCCGATAGGCTCCAAACCCAGACCCGGTGCCAGTAGATTATACTTATCACCGCGCTTACATATGTGTTCCCCACCTTCATCGATCGACGCTTCCCTACAATCTCCCTCCAGTCTGCAGGTCACGCCGTCCTTGACGGCAGTATAATGACGGTTCGTGACCAATTCCGATGGCAGAAGCTGCGGCTGGTGTGCAGGGTTGTCGAAGCCATGTTGCTCGCGAGGACTGCACACCGTGCGATGCAGGCGCCTACTTGGACATCCGATAGTGACCCTGGTAGAGGCCGATCTGGGACTGAACCCAACGACGATAGAGGCCTCGAGGAACAAACAGAACACTATTCCATTGCGAGGACACAGGAGGGAGCTCAACAAACAAATAATGAATGGAGGACAGGTACATGTGTATATGTGCAGCGAGACATTGACAATCTTACACCAGCGAATACTATGAGCCTGGATGTTATCACAGCTTGTGCTTGATCTCCTTCCTCGCGATCTTTGCAAACCGCTCCAAGGGTATGCCTGTCTCGAACCGATCAGCCTGGGCGTAGCTCTCCCGAAGGTTGACCGTGTCAAGACTGTGTTGGTCGTTGAAGCCAGCCTTGATGACGCTCTTGACGCCAAGAACAGCCGAGGGATCCAAGCCATCCAGTTCGGACAGGACATGCTTGCGCACTGCGGCTTGGAAAGCAGGTACAGGTTGTTCGGGGAAAATTTTGCTGCCAGAGATTGGCGCGGCGTCAGTACTTTGTTGGCAGATAAGCCCGGGTCCTTACTTGATGAAGCCGCACTCAAGCAGCTCTTGCGCCTCCTTCTTCTTGCCAAATATCAATACCTCGTTCGCTTTAGCAGCACCCACTATGCAACATCGATAAGTGACACGGCCGCCAAGCAACGGTATGAACACATACTGCGGTTACGGAACGTTACGCTAGAACCTGCTTCCGCGACAATACCTATAACCGAATCGATTGATGACGTGGTTGCTCGGTCGGCGACATTCGGAAAGGAGACTTGCCTAGGAATGTGAAGGGTACCGACAGCCATGCGCCGGGCAACGCGTAGATAAAGTCGAAGTGTCCGAGGAAAGCTGATTAGCCCGCCGCGCCTGTGAGTTTGAACCTCATATCAGATACTACGTAATATCACAGACCTGCTGCGATGCCTGCGTGATTGATGTCAGCTAATTCAGCTGCTATGGCTATTCGAGACAAGCGGTACCAACCCATGACAGGCCCATTCAGAGCCGCAACTAAAATCTTACTATGGGTGTAAAGCTATAGGATGTTAGCGTAGTCATAGGCCCCCCAAGAAGTCCTGGACATACTGCACGGCTGACGTCGGTGTTCACCACCGCGATACTGTCCGTGAAGAAGTCACGAGCAGTATGGATCTTCGATGGGTCCACGGTCCTCTTCACGCTAGTTCCTCTGCATAGCACGAGCACGTGAGGATGGCACGCATTGGTTACATCCAACGACGTCAGCAATGCTCACGCTGAGAACCAAGTTCCGTTCGCTGTCCGCGTGGACACCATGAGCGTGGGTCTATGGACTGGTGCTGCAACCTACCTTGCCAAATAGTTGCAATTACATCTGTGCGTTTGTCAATCGCCCGGAGTGCTTCTGCGAATGCATGGTAATCTATCCGATATAAAAGTCAGATCGGCTTCGGATTACTACAAGCTGAGTACGAACCTTCTCTTTCGATCGCATTGAGTGACTTCGGTCTGTCAAATGTAATCGTGGCAATGCCTTGGGAGACCTCAACGATGACTTTCGACATGTTCGGAGGCTGTATGCAGAGGCAGGATCACTGTAGAGTTGTAGGAGACTTGAGAAGGGGGGTCCTCACGGATGGGTCGAAGCAGGGATCGCCTGGGCAGTGATGGAGTTCACTTCTGTTCTTATAAGTACCGACAGCCCGTGGTGTATCTCCGTGAACTTCGCGCTTGACTAGCAGTCGGTTATGTGAGCCTGGGCCCGAATCTCCGTGTATGTTCGAACTCGAAAAAGCTTAGGAGGACAACGGCGCAAGCCTCCGAGAATATATGGTGATGGTGCACATTCTAGCTGGCTCGCTAGTACGGAGGCGCCACCCCCACACTCGGGGACTAACATCCCCGTGGTCCGGAGGTGTTGATGGCCGCTGTGCCTGATCTTGACATCCGACTCGCTGGGGTACCCCTGACGCAGCACATCGCCACGGGATCTGCAACTGCTACTCACCTGTTCTCTTGCCCGACTTGTCTATGTACTCACCCAGCCAGTAATCTGAGTGTCTTGCTGTCAGCTGGTTTCACCCATACGAGAGGGTCTTGCAGAGCGTTTTCGCGGCTAGCCTTAGTCGCACTGATTATCTAGCGCGATATCCACGCCTTCGGCTGGCATCCACATACCGCGCCCGGGAATCAAGACATCGTGTCGTGACTTACCACACGTTGCTCTAGCTACTATGGGACCCGCTTTGTATATTCCCTTACATGTCAAGTACATTCAGTCTCTTGGCGAGGTAATGCATTCCGGATATTCCTAGACCCAGTCGCAAGACTGACTATCTTGTTTCCCGCAGAACAAGGATGACTTGGTGTATCACCTCACCGCGCACCTGCGGATGAACGCTGTTTATTGGGGGCTGACTGCCCTCTTGATCATGAAGCATAAGGATGCCCTAGACCGAGACGAGATGATCGATTTTGTGATGAGCTGTTGGGACGACGAAGCAGGTTGGGCTCGTTCCCTCGGATGTCGAGAGTCCAGGCGTAGGCACGGAGAACGACGCTGACTACGACTGTTACGCACCCAGGCGGCTTCGGAGCGCATCCCGACCATGATGCGCACATCCATTCCACCCTAAGCGCAATCCAAATTCTGGTGATGCAGAATGCCCTCGATCGTGTGGATGTTCCGCGTGTTGTGAAGTGTGCGTATCTTCTTGCTGCATCGTCTCAGGGTCTGATGTGGCCGTTCACCGACACTGGGGACTGCAGTCATCCTCTCGCTTCAGCAGGACTCGGGCGTGTTCGCGGGCGACCAGTGGGGGGAGATCGACACGCGTTTCCTGTACATCGCGGTGAACGCGCTCTCGCTGCTCGGCCATCTGCACGAGCTTGATGTTGAGAAGACCGTGGGCTATATCCGAAGGTGCAGGAATTTCGACGGCGGGTTCGGCGCCCGAGAAGGCGCGGAGAGCCATGCTTCGCAAGGTAATATCACCCAATGCCGTTACGTGTTCGTCGTCGCGCTTCAGCTCATACGTGCGGATGCAGTGTTCGTCTGCGTTGCCGCTCTCGCCATTCTCGACAGGCTTGAAGAGGTGGACCAGGATATGCTGGGGTGGTGGCTCGCAGAACGTCAACTCCCCAACGGTGGACTGAATGGACGGCCGGAGAAATTGGAAGACGTGAGCTGAATTGCGTCGTTGTAATCCGGGGACTATCACTGACAAGCCTTCTCCTAGGTCTGCTACAGTTTCTGGGTGCTATCAGCGATGTCTATTCTAAACAAGGTTCCGTGGATAAACGCCGAGAAGTTGACGGCGTTCATATTATCTGCTCAGGTGAGCATGCCACGCCCAAATCTTCAGTTACGCCACGATATTCACTCCTTTCTAGGATCCTGAACAAGGAGGCATTGCGGACCGGCCCGGAGATCAGCCTGATGTTTTCCACACAATATTCGGTGTAGCAGGTACGTTACCTACGCGGCTACCAGGACCATGCTCGTATTAAGAGGTTATTTAGGGCTGTCTATTCTTGGTTACCCCGGACTAGATGACCTCGACCCGGTCTATTGTATGCCAGCGAGCGTGATCGAATCATTGGGTCTAAGGAAAGGGTGGACTGCGCTCCCGCGAAGACAAGTGTGATGAGGAGCACAATGTATACGTATACATCTCTGTATCTCTAGCGAAGGCAAAGAAGCTATCGTTACCTGTAGTACTCGCAGTTGCAGGGAGAGGGCGCGGACCGCATGCACTGACGCTGGCGTTATCTGGTGGACACGTGGGGAGAGATGGACAGATCTGAGCGATGAGAGAGTCGGGGAGAACCTGGGAGGCAATGGACGCAATTCGCGCATCTAGTACTTACTGTCCTACTGTGCGGCTTCTGCAGTCTCACCCCGCCTTTCCTCCTACCACCGGCCGTCCCGCCTTGCTGCTATATTGGCGGTGTCATAACGTGCCCTCTCTCGTAACCGACCCGTAATGAGCGCAAGCACAGCCCTCGCTTCGGCCTCTAAGCTCGGCGATCTGCTAGCCCAGCTCCCCCTCAATACCCCAAACCAATGGCCAGAGATCGAACACACCGCTCAGAGCCTCGCCAACGATCTCCGTAGCAAGGATGGTTCGCTGCCTACTCTCTGCTCTATCCTTGCGTGCTCCATGCCCACCTGCGCTCTGTAGTTGAACAACAGACCGCGCTCGGACAGACCCTGCTTCCCCAAACCCTTACCTCTCTCCTCAAGAGTACGCTCAACGATTCTCAGGGCTCTGGGGCGGTCTGCAAGCCAGCTATTTTTGAGCTTCTGCGCGTCGCTGCGAATCTATGTATGGATCATGGTGAGTGGTACTCTCGTGCATGAATGTGATCGTTCCCGCTGAGGTTCGCGATCCCCCCATCGCACAGACGAGAACAGGGGCTATCTGCTAGAGGCTGGCTTCCCTCAGACAGTTCTCAACCTGCTCGAGAGTTATGCAGAGTCTGTACAGCCTGCGCAGCTGGAGCCCTATGGTATCTCTATACCCGATCTCAAGATTGTCAAGACTGCCATAGGATTCCTTCTGAACGCGAGCGTGGGGTATGGTACGTAATATACTGGTATGCTATACATCAGCTTTACTAAACCCAACAGATCCCGTGAAGGATCGATTGATCTCCTTGGAGGCTGCTCTGACCATCTTGAAGCTTTCTGCTCATCTATACCCTGTCGGCTCATGGGCGCGTTCAAACACGTCTCCCGCAGATGCGGCGGACTTTGGGGAAGCATGGACCCTGCGCAGCACACTAGCATCATGGTCATGGCGGGCGATCGACGAGTTGCGTGGCGACGAGGAAAACCGTATGTTCCTTTCGGGCGATTCAGAGTCGACCGTCTGAGTAACAGTCACCTCGCCAGAACCGCCCCGGGTCGTGTTCGGGCAGGACGCGCTGCCGCTACTCGTAACCCAACTAAGAGCTTTCATACCACCATACCCTACACCGCCGCCACGATTCGCGACACCAGCATCCCGGCGAAGCCTCGTGCAAGCAGACTTCGACGTCTACGAGCAAGTTTGTGGTCTCATCGAATCTCTATGCATTGACGTAGAAGATGTTCGCCTCTCCCTTGCGCGCGGCCTGACCTTCCCTGACGGAGAGCACGGAGGCGTCGCGTGTCTGTCGGATCTACTGACCTTCGTCGACAAGGGCGACTACCCGCCGTACTGGACGCCTGAGGAGCGCCCATCAAAGGAGAAAGGGTTCGATCTCGGCAAGGGTGCCATTGTGAAGGCAATTGTGGAGGTTGCTGGCGAGGAGAAGAACACGGATACCCTTTGGGATGACTCGGAAGCGGACAAGCCGGGAGGAGAGTTCGTGAGCCGGATGGTGGGATGGATTCGCGCGCACAAGGGTCTCAAGGAGACCAACAGGGACGACTTGATCATATGCGCTACGCTCAGTCTCGGGAACATTTGTCGGCGAGGTATGCGTGGTCCGTCCCGTTCATGGCGCCTCTTCGAAGTCAATACAACTCTGAACGTCTCTGACTCTGACTCCAACAGACGCTCATTCGACAGCGATCGTCAAGACACCTATTTCTCTGGCGCCCGATCTCGCCAGGTTGCTTGAGCCTGACACCGATATCAAGGTGAAGCATGGCGTTATTGGGCTCCTCAAACACCTGGCACAGTCGCAAGGCTGCAGGGCTGCCCTCGGCGCGGCCGGAATCATCCAGAGGCTTGGAAGCTCGCAGATCTGGAGCGACAGGGCAGACATGGTCGAGATCATCCAGGTCGCAGCTATCGGCGTCGCGAAACACATGTGTAGTGGTGATAGTGAGTATCATGGCTTAGCCTTTCCGCTGCCCGTGTGGCCCGTTGATCTCAACTGCTCCCGGCCTCCTCCCTTACCCCCGGTTCTATCCAGTTGACAACACCTTCTCTCTCGTCCTCCCGGACGAACCCGGGTCTCCACTGAGGCAAATTCTTGACCTCGTGAAGCGCTCGGACTCCATTGCCGTCAAGAGCGAGGGCACACGCGCACTCGTTAATGCGGTGAAGAGCTTGTGGCAGACCGATCCGAAGACCCTCGACGAGGGCCGGGCTAAGAAGCGGGAAGCCACCATTGCCGCAATCGTGACGGAGCCGTGTGTATCCGCGCTCGCCGGGCTGATCGGCAGGAGCAAGAGGTATCCTACCCTCGTCAATGAGGGTACCGTGGCTCTGTCGCTGATCAGCACGCACGCAAATGGAGGTACGTTGATACCTCGGCCCCATGACGCCTAACCGGGACTGACTGACGCCCACTTGCTCACGCTTTTGCGTTGTGCACCTGCCGTTCCGCGTCTTGCAGGCACGTTGGTATTGGACTCCATTCTCAATCCCCTACCGTCGGAAGCAGTACGGACGACGTCCCAGCCGTTATCCGCTGTCTCGGTCACTGAAGGGTCTCCGGTGGTGGGGCCTAGACGTGCTTTGGACATGCTCATTAGCACGCTGCGCGAGGGCAGCGCACCCAACGTTCCGCCGGAGGTCCGTTCGAATGTGTGCGCCCTGCTCGGACACTTGGGCCGGAAGGGAGTCGTTGCGGAGAGCAGGGCGACTGATGTGCAGCAGATGAAGGAGAGCACCCGTGAGCTGCTCGAGGCGCTGGCGAAGGAGGATGGACCTCAGGGCAACCCGAAGGTTGCGGTGGCTGCGAAGCGTGCCTTGGAGGCCTGGGCATGAAATGAATTCTTGGATAGACCCAGATTTCTCGGATAACTTGTGCACGTTTATGTGCTTCCGCGTACGTTGCTCGGTGCTGCGTATTATCTCTGTGGTAGTTGCTCGCTCGTACTCCTTGCTTGTCTCCCGATTGTTTGTAGTGCTATGGCTGCTGTTTGTAGAAGCTCCGTCTGCTAGACCGCACGTCACATTGTTCTCAACCGCCCTTTGGGCTTCAGGCAGTCCTTACCGCCACAAGGTTTGCATCAGTCAACGACATGTACATATATACTTATGTACATCTCGACGTGACCGCACCAATGGGAGACGGGCGCCCGGGACGGGAACCTGTGAGTAACCGGGCAACGATGTCATATTGGCTCGTCGCCGGGAGCTGTGGTGGCTTCGGACTGAATTCAAGGTACTTAACAGACGTGTGGCACCCAGCGCGCGAACGCTCGAGGTCGGCGACGACGGCCTTGTTGTTAATCCACCCACCACTCCCCACGTCTTCCCTGACCGCAGCGGGACCTGGCATGACCTCTGGGCGTTGAATACGTCCCCATTGCCCTATTCAAACTGACGCCTAGCATGGGTGCTCTCTTCAGCTTCCTCTCGGCGGCGTACTATATCCCGAAACTGTACTTCGGCTCAACACCGGCCACTCTGTCTGTGAGGGCCACGGCGAACTCCAAGCATGTAGAGAAGGTTGCCCTAAACGATTTCATTCGCCTTCGCGTGCCGTCATTGTACAGGGAATATAGACCGGCGTGGTGGTTGAATAGGTATGCTCAACTTCCACGTACAAGTGCCAAGACGCGGTCTAAAGCGCGTTGCAAAATGTGCAGCGGTCATTTGCAAACGGCGTATTGCGTGGTGGGGGACTTCACAAAGATAGACAAAGTGGAGTACGATAGGTGAGCGGTTATGCCACGCCTTCGCGCTCGTAACGTATTGTGAACCCTACATGCACAACCGTTGTGGTTCAGAAAGCTTATTCGGACGTTGGACGGAGGCACCCTGTGAGTCTAATCCGGAACACGAGCGTTCATACGTCCACGAGTTACCAACCGCCATTTGCGTCAGTGGCCTGGATTTTACCCCACCGGCAGAAGAGCGTACCCTGAAGGACGACACGCCGATCGTCGTCGTCCTGCACGGCCTCACAGGAGGTATGTACCGCCTTACGCGGATGCTCGGATGTCGGTGCGCAATAGTGCTCACTGCAGGTCACCAGGTTCACATGAGTCGTATGTTCGATCCATCTTGGCCCCAGTATGCACGCCTGTAGAGCAAGGCGGCCTGGGGTACCGGGGTATCGTCGTTAACTCTCGCGGGTGTGAGTGATCCTCCTACTGCTCCCATTTCACAAGCTTCTTCCCCATATCCTATTCCATATCCAAATCCATCGTGCTTCTTTCCAGTGCACATTTCCAGGCATTAATGAAAGCATTGCAGGTGCCGGGGTGCCAATCACGAGTCCGCAGCTATATTCGGCCCTCCATACCGAAGATATTAGGGTTGCGGTTATGTACATAGCCAAGCAATACCCCAGAGCACCGCTCATAGGCGTCGGCTTCTCGCTCGGGGCCAACATCCTTACTCGGTATCTCGCGGAGGAGGGCAGTAACAGCCGGCTCGTGGCTGGCTGCGCACTAGGCTGCGTGAGTCCGCCGATCTGGTCCTCTGCTTTCTCGATCTGACACTCTGCCTCGTGTGTTTGCGTGCCGTGCGCGATCACTCAGCCGTGGGACCTTGTCGCGTCCAGTGACCGGTGCGTCCGCTCTCTCCTCATGCGTCCCTGACTGCTCCTGCCACCCAGTCGCTCGTGCGTAGTGGCCGATCGTTTGCGGGGGAGTCATGGGACCTCGGAGCTCCAGCAGCCATACTGACAATAAGGTTTGCCGTTTAGCCTGGAGAGCCGTCCGTTCCACCGGCTCGTTTATTCCCGTGGGATGGCCCAGAACCTCCAGAAGCTCGTCGCGCGGCACAGGGATACACTGGCCAAGTTTCCAGACTCGGCGCTTTGGAAGACAGTCGAGGCAAAACTGCCAAGGAAAGACATGTCATTGATGGAGTTTGACGACGCCATCACGCGGCTTGCGGGCGGGTCGTCGCCCCCTTTCCCCTTCGCCTCGGCCCGCGACTATTACACCGCCGCGTCGAGCCACAAGGTTCTGGACGACATTCGGGTCCCTTTTCTGGCCGTGAGCGCGGCTGATGACCCGGTTGCCAGTCATATACCAATTGGGGAGACCGACAATCCGTGGGTCGTGCTTGCGGTCACGAACGGAGGCGGACATTTGGGCTGGTTCGAGGCAGGCAAGGCGTTCGGAGCGCTCGAGAGATGGATCCGAAAGCCCGTGGTTGAGTGGCTACGCGCGATCGGCGAGGACCTGGTTGTGGAACAGGAGCGCGGGAAACCGCTACACGAGGTCGGCGGCTTCTTGAAAGAAGTCGGCAGAGATGACATCGGATGCAAGACAGTCGAGGGCGGAGGTCATGTCGTCGGCGTGGAGGGTGAGGAGGGTCTTCTTGCCGGACTCTAGAGCTTAGGCACATAGAGAAGGACTATATATCTAGACTACACTTACAGCCTCATAGGCGTACATTGCAGATGCTACAGAGAGGTTGTGGCCATCATCAATCGCTATCGCTGAAGGTGACACGGTCTTCCTCGTTCTCCTCTTCCTCGATCGCATTACGGTCGTATTGACTGATGTCGACCGAGACAGCGTCCTCCTCGGCGAGGCCTTCATCCAGCGTTCCGAGGTTCCTATCGCGTTCGAACAGCTGGCGCCCTGCGGAAATAATCGACGGATCGTTTGATTAGACCTTCGTGAGCTTCGGTCAGAGACAGGCAGACCCACCAGTGAAACGTGTTTGAGACTTCTTGTACTCTTCCCGCTCTTTCGGTGAGAGACCCTTGAGCTTTTCTTCCTCTTCTCGGGCACGCTTTACCGCCATCTCCTTGTCGAACTTGGCCTTCCAAGCCTTGAACGACTCGGCGGTGACTGGAGTGCCTCGTGTCTTCGCCTCTTCCGCCTACGGGGAGATCATCAGCCCACGCGTGTCTAGACAAGAGGAAGTCCGGGATGACGTACCTCGAGCGCGCGTCGTTCTTTCTCCGCTTCCTCTTTTCGTATCCGTTCCAGCCGTTCGCGCTGTAATGCGGATAATCGCTCCCGTAAGTGCGTGACCAGCGTGAATGTCATGGCCATTCCGAGGTTCTCCTCGCCCTGGATAGCAGCCTACGTGAGAGGGTTCGGTGCACAGCAGGGCGCGAGGACATACCACTTTCTGAAGTTCGTCAAGAAGTTGACTGATCTCTGCATCGTCGAGCTCGCCCTGCTGCACCTCCAAAGACAGTTTTGGCAGAGTGTCGGGGTACTCGTCTGGGTACTCGACACTGAACGTCAAGGAAACTAGTCCGGCACGATCGTGAATAGGCGCAAGGAGTAGCTACCGGATGGACCACTCACGTTCCTCGATCCCGTCTACCGGATCATCTGGTTCGACGTCTATTTGTATTTCCCTTTCCGACAATTCTTTGCATGAGTCTCAGCTCGGCATGAACCTGGAAGGGGTGCGGACGGGACGCACTTGTGAGTTCGGCAGGGTAGATCGATTCGAGGACCTTTTTCGCGAGAATTAGATCATTGACTGTGCGTCCTATCGCGACCTCGTACCTCGAACTCTTCCGCAAGCACCTCAGCAGACATCGAGGGATAGAACCAGTGCCTTGCTGCTGGGGACCGTGAACTCGATCGCGGTATCGGAGGACGAGGGGTAGGATGAAAGGAGTGATGAGGGTGGCCGGGGGACGGCCCGGGAAGCGCCGACGCAACCGCGACCTGCGACCACGGTTTCCGACGGTGACACAGCTGCACTCGTTCCGGCCACTCATCCTACCATGCTTGCAAACGCTCCCACTTTTGCACCGTCGCTTCTGTGCCAATGTGTTCGCCTCGGCGCTGCCAGTGCTCGCACACCCCAACACCTACGAACCTTCGTCACTAGCTCCGTGCGCCGACAGTCTCCTCCCGAGTCAACGTCACATGCCCCAGGCTGGATCGACAACAGCAACAGGACGCGATCCGCCTCTAGCTTACACCCATGGCAAAACGTACTGCATACCGCGCGGGACTACACCAAAAGGACGGACTCGAACCCGCAAAGCGCTTGGGATACAATGGAGAAGACCAAAGTCCGAAATCTTCCCCCGCCGAATAACGCATATTCCGGTAAGCTGTTCCGACTGTAGCATGCGTGATCATGCGCATGACTCAATATGTGCAGGCCGCAGCGTGCTGGTGGACAAAAAAAACGACGTTGGCTCAGCTTTGGCCAAGCTCAAGGCGATCCTCACGATCAACGCAGTTCGGGCAACCAATATCCGGGACGAGAGGCACGAGAAGAAGGGTGAGAAAAGGAATCGTCTCAAGAGTTTGCGCTGGAGAAGACGGTTTGCCCATGAGGTACGTCTCCGTCCCATGACGCCGCGAAGGTTCGGCGTATTAATTACTTGTCCAGGTGCGGAAGAAGGTGCAGCTCGTCAACGAGATCCGTGCTCGCGGTGCATGAGGAGGGGTTAGTTCGCCTCCCATACCAGTCTTCACAGTGGCTCTCTTTAGCCGCATTTCATAGTAGTAGAGCGTGTACGTCGGTCATGACGATAAATGGGTCACAGCCCCTCTGCTTCAGCTTGACTGCCCCATGAACGTGTCGGGCTAAAGGCGAGACCAATTACTTGGCAGATAGGGGAACACTTACAGCTGCTAAGTTTCGGCACCCTGACTCCCCTGTGAGGTGTGGGTGTTGTTACCCTTGTCGCTGTGCGGACGCCGTTTGGTAGGGATCGGCCACCGGAAGGATCCAGTGGCCTGCGCGGGGGCTCGGAGGTATTTACATCTTGCGCTCGTCCCGTTGTGAAGGCTAACGACTTGGCGGGTAGACCCAATCCGTCAAAGGGCGTGTCGGGGTCCAGATCTCGACTACTATGTAACATGTGTTGGCCACGCTCGCCGCCTCGTGGAGTGCACGATGAAAATATTCGAACACTCCCATCATTTTCCTCGGTCGCGTTACTGAAAACAGTAGAGATAAAACTGGAGGGGAGGCAGCGAGCGATGCTTCGCAGCTGCGTTCGAAGGATCAATTGATTCGGACTAGACTTCGGATGCCTTCTCACCTTCCGTCCGCCTGGGTCGAGGCAGTTTCCTCCGGCGTACCGACGACATCACCTCGCACAGTTCAGCATTTTTTGATCGACTTTCCTGAGGCGCCGCCCGGCGACCACTCGCCCATATGGCAGGATGAGGGGCCCCAAGCCTCGCCTTGCAGGTTCTCCCGGCTTGTGCCAGAACGCGGTCAACATGCAACGGAATTAGCTCCAGTACGCCTCGCTTCCAGTCAAGTGATGTGTTTCTGTCCCGTACTTATACTCGGCCTGTGTTGACGGATTTCGACACCAAGCCACTCTCCCACTAATTCTCTGCACCAGGTCGCCCCTGCTCACTCTCCACTTCGTTTTCTACTACCCGCTACTCGTACAAGCTTTTAGTCGAAATGTGCCACAACGTGAGTGCTTCGCTTTCTGTCCGGCGGGCACCATACAGCATCGAGGACTCTCAGTGTCTGACACGGTCTTGTGCGTCGTCCGCTACAGGTCATCGACGGCAGGCTGCACCTCTCTTGCCAACACTTCATTCCGATGTCTACTCGTCAGCAAGACTGTCTGCGTCCGAACTGTCTATTCAGCAGGAACCACATTCATCCAATCGGTGAGCATTCTCAAGCCATTGCGTCATAGCTGGAATGCGCATATACTTATTCACATTCGCAATGTCGCAGGTTGCAGGGAGAAGTCTTGCACACGGATGATGAACCCGCCGCAGCGCAACCCGATTAGGATCAGCGATAGCAAGTGCCAGGACTGCATCATCCGCGGCGACGGTCGAGGGGTCCTCGCCTGACGCGCTTGCACGCCCCGCATCCCGTCTCTTCTTCCGTTCCCGTCCATCCCGGATCCACATTCATCTATCATGGGCACCCTGCCCACGTCCACATCGACACCCAGCATCACCGCATTGCTCTACACATGTGCCTGCGCCTCGAGCTAAAGTACCTCGAGGGCGGAGTGCGATCGGCATACGTGGCGAAATACTCTACCGTCGGCGCCGGCGCCGAATAATCGTGCGCTAACCGTGTTTCTTGTATCGGACCATGTTGTAGTTCTATCTATTCCCCTGCGTCCCTAGCCTAGCCTACTCTGCACGCGCTCCTAGTTGCCTCTTATGTATCTATATCTACCAAACGCCTCGCCACAATGCCATAGCACCCGCCGTACTCGGCGTGCTTTTGATCTATCCGCTCTGATCACCGTGCTCTTGGTGCGCTTCATACAAGGAGAGTTTGCGATCGCTTAGACGCCCTTCGGGGAGCAAGCCGCCCATTCATCCAGGACATCGTGCTTCGGGTACGTGACTATCATGTACTCGTGTTGGGCCTGCAATGAACCGCCTTCGGCCCTAGCACTCCCTCGCTCGGTGGCCATGGGCACGACTGCCTATATTCACACACGTACGTTGTCCGTGGCCCGTGGACCCTTGGGCGATTGAACTGTAACTGCGTCGGGCAGTGATCCAGGGAATATGTGTGTCAGGTTCGGACCCTTGCAGCATGGCGCCGCGAGCCGCGATCGTTTCAGACGCGCTATCTGCTGTTGTATGTGGCCGTAATTCACTCTGAGCATCGGACACCTGTACCCTGATCTTGGCATCCCAGGCAGCAGCCTCTGCGACCTGCGAGGTACGCGCCTCCGGCGTACAGGATCGCGGCTGCACACGACGCGTTGAGGATCGGAACTCGGCGATATGCATATGCGCCTGTGCGCTCCCGAGGCCCATGGGCGGGAAAGCAAGGCTGGACCCGGTGTGCCATAGGCGAACGAACTTCGCGATAGCCACCGCACTGGCCACTTCGTGGCTCTCACCACGACCCTCGTCTGCAGCTGCGCATTTGTATTGTACGACGGGAAGTGCGAATCGTGCATGAGAATATGAACGCACATGGCACTCGCCTTCCGTCAAGCGGCGCCCTCTCAGCTAGCGCGTTCCGCGAATCTTTGCCGCCATATGCGTAGGGGGGACATAGATGTGCCGGCATGTGGCTTGCGCTGTTGTTCTGGAACGATGAAACGCGGCTGTGGCCCCGTCCTGCGATCCATATCGGACGGGAAGTTGACGAGGGGTTTGTCGGAAGGGTGAATGGACGCGGGGTCGTGCTAGTCGCGTTCCCTGCGTCCTACGTTGATCGCGCGTCTCGGTTCAGGGTTACGGTGGGCGGATGGCCTTTCTTCGCTTCGGTTACGCCGGTGCCAACAAGGTTTTCGCTCTAGCACGAAGGCGGAAACACGCCAAAAGCCGAGCCCGGTGTGGTGGGGAAATTGGCCGGGTCACGTAAAGGACGTCTAGGCGTGGCGTGGTGGCGCCTCCATAGCGCCTCCTGGAACGGTCCATTTCGTGCTTGGAAATGGCCGGATGGGCGCGATGATCACCGGTTCCTGCCTCCGCTGCGAAATCGGCGCACCGCTCGAGCTCCTCTGAAGTCGGCGAGGTGGAAAAGGGTTAGTGTGAGGCAGTTCCCTGGCGGGTCGCGAGCGAGGTGGGAGGCTGATTTACGGATCTAGCCGACGGAGATTAGGAATCTTGGGAGGCATAGGTGCATCACTTACGGCGAGGACCGTCTTTGGGGTTCGGGCACCCGTGTTGCCAAGGTTTGCGAATTTCCTGTGAAGGCTTTGGCTCGATGGATGCCGTATCGCCTGCCTTTCGGCTTATGGGTTGAGAGGGGTTTGAGTGGAGATGGCTCTCGAAAGGAGCACATCAGGCTGCCACGCTGGTCGCAAAATGCGATCGGTCACCCCTGCGCGAGGTTTCGAATGTCCGTCGAGGGCCCCGGCATCGATGCGTCCCAAGAGAAAGTCACCGAAGTTAATCGGATACATAGTCTGCTATTTTCCCAATAATGCAGGGTCTGGAGCACAGGTCCCATGAGTATGTTTCCTCCTGTATTCGCTGAGGTCCAGTGCCTGTGTGTCAGAAGTAGGTTCGATCGACTGCCAGCTGGACGGCGGCGACTCGGACTCACTGGCATCGATGATTATATGGCGCAGGACTCTAGCCTCATGCTCGGAGATGCCAAAGAACTGTTTGGGGTTTTATATGCATGTCTGCCTGCTTTGTGAGACATCCGTACGCGGGTCCAGGCGTCGATATACAAAGGTCGAGAAAGTACAACCACAGTCTCGAGCGCCTAAAAAGACCTTGTCGGCAGCACCGAAATTGGAGTCACGAACACGGGCAGGTGACAGGTCGTGTCGGTGTGCTTGCGGGCGTCTTCTGCTTTTGTTCTCGTGGATGGACGTTGTTGTCTCGCCTGGCCAGACAACGTTGAACCTGCGTTGTTCGTTCATTGTATTGTCGCGGGCGATCCTGTTCGACTTGTGCTCGAGAACTATCCTTGTTGCCATGGCTCTTCATCGGACTTCAACTGCGTCTGACATGGACACCATACCCGGCACACTATCGACGTTATATCATCTGCGATTCTCTTGAACGAGCCGTCTACTCACTTTCTGCGCTTTCATTACTCGTCGTACTCATGACGGAGTTGCTTTCCAACGTCGTAGGCGCTGCACTATCCTACTTCACGCTGTCTCCCTCCTCCAAGCCTCCAGTCGAGTCGTCGCAAACCCAACAGAACCTCTCTCTTTCCCCCTTTCCCAATCCAGTACATTCATCTCAAGCCCATCAGAACCTTCGTCGATATGCGAAGTCTGCTGTGCTCCCCGAGATGATACTAGGACGGGCTGCCCCCCCTCTCCCTCCAGACAAGACGAAGAGCGTCAAGAATCCTGTGTTTGAGCAACACGAGATCTACAGACATCTTGAAGTGATTAATCCGTTCAAAGATTTGAAGGATCTTGCACATGCCTGTGAGCTCCTCTTACCTGCATCGCTATAGCCCACCGAATGTTCATCTCCGGACGCAAACCAGATGCCGAAGCAAACATTCCTTCGAAGCCCATTGGCAACTCAGACTCAGATACCAAGCGTAACGCCCGCATATCTATCCCTGTCGAAGGATATGATATACCACAGCTCACGACCGGCGTGGTCACCACCCTTCCAGAGTGCGTGGATTCTGTTGAGCACTACAAGAGATATCTCACCCCGCTCCTTTAGCGTCATTGAGTGGGTGCGGCAGTTCCCACTCACAACCATCCGACGCATGATGCATATGGTGTATCCCGAGACGCTCGACTACAAGATGGAGCACCTAGGCACTCCCAAGGAGCGGGACAAGGGCATCATGGAATGTTTCAAATGGGGCCCTGACGAGAACGTCATTATGAAGGCAGCCGATCTGTACAGGCCGACGGTTATGTTCTTCGTTCAGCCGCCATGGATGCTTGCTCCGCGTGACATGGAGATATTCGTCAAGACTCAGAAGGTGAGCTGACTTGTCTCCAGGTGCATTGGAGACTAATCGTTACCGATGATCACAATCTGCGACATGAAGTTTCCGAACCCATGGGCAAAGGATAGATATCATATGCGCAGCTACGAACGGGTATGGTCCAAAATCCACGACGGGTGTGCTCAAAACCATTCTCGGTTCTTCGTGCTCACGACGTATCGCGATTGGGTCTTTGGCGCGTTCTCTAAAGGTGCTTTCCGTACTTCGGGGAATGTCTTCACCAATCTCACACCATCGCTCCCAGAACAAACCGAGGCGTGGGTCTCGGACGTCATGACCTGGGACTCGGAGAATCCCAATCTGCTTGAATGCTTGTTTTACTGGTTGTCCTCCGCGACAGTGCGCAGAGCGAAACTCGTCAATCCGTTCATCATTCCCGAGGTCAGTTCTGAAGAAGTGCACGGCGCTCTACTATACCCTTCCACCCTTCAGTCTGTCTGCCTCAGACCGGACGGACGGATAGACCGTTCGGCTCTCAAGTGGCTCAGGCGCCCATAGTGTGTTCTTGCCCATCTCTATCCCCTTTCCTCTGTCAGTCTCCTCTCTTCCGCCGTTTCTGCCCTCGTATCATTCTGCAGTGCTCGTGTCCGAATGGTGCTCACGAAGAACCCATTCGCGCAGATATACGAGCCGATCCAGATGGAGGTGGACCCAGAGGATATGGAGCACTACGACCCGAACGCCAGCCTCGCCGGCGCGCCCTCCGTCGACGAACAATGGGAGGCGTCAAGCAATGGTGAGACCCTCTCCCCTCATACCCCGGCCAGCCAGCCTACTATGCTCACCTCCGGTCTCCCCTCCCCCTTTCACCGCATACAGCGCGCACGCACGACCCCTCCATCCAACTCTCGGACGACGGTCTTTCGGACGAGACCATCCTAGATGTCCATCACTCGCCCACCAGGCGCGTCCGGCTTGGCTTCGGGCCAGAGATGATACGAGACTGGTGCACCTCGGGCACGCTCGGGGCGCCGCCGCCGACGTATTCGACGGTGAGCGAGATCTCGGGGTACACGGCGTCGTCGGCGTCGACGATAAGGGACTTTGCGAGTGCGCCAGAGCCACGCTTGGCGGGGACGATCCTTGTAGGCGGGCCAGGACGTTTGAGGGAGGCGCAGCCCAGAGGGGTGCGTGCGTAGTTGGTGTTGGGCTGTGCGGGCCAAGATCGGCGCGCCGCGTAGGTACGCTGTGGACGTTGTGCTGTCTAGTTTTGCAGTGCTGTGTGTGAGCTTTCTTGCATTTGCTACTCGCATGTTGTCGTGCATTATCTAACTACTGGAGCGCCTAAGAACGGAATCTCCTCATGTTTTTGTGAGGACCTCTCTGATACATTCTATATATGCTCTCAAGACCTGGCGAATACCTGTCGTCATCTGACGAGGAGTCGGTAAGGCCGTCGTCCTTGCTTCCTTGGATCCAATCTGAATAGGGATGGCAGTCGCCAGGCAATACTAGCACTCAATCTGTTCCTAACAGGCATCGTCTCTGGAAGCTCGGCGTTGCCAAGCTATCCTTGTTCCCTTCATTGCTTGTCTACGTGGTATTCCTTCACTCTCCGACCCGAGAACATCACTTCATCAATGAATGACAACGGAAGAGAAGGTAGGTCGGGCGTCCACATCCACATCAGCCGGGACTCATTGGTGTAGTTCGTGTTTGTGCATTTACCAGGACCGAAGGTGGATTCATGTGTAGATACATATTTCTTCATACGCTATAAGCCTGCATCCCTGGTAGCTGTCTTTGCCATGCATGATTATTGGAGGAACCTCGTCCTGGAGCATGTCATCTTCAATGACGCACCGTTCCAGAGTCACAACGTACGAACAACCCTCGGCGCGTTCTCCGTACGTATGCACGCGCCCGGATGGGATGCACATATCATGCCACCCTGTCCACGGATTGGTTTGTACTAATGTAGGGTTCATTGGGAGTTAGGAGCTTGAGGCGAGCTCATGTATCCATCGTCAGCATTCCTTGAGTAGGGGCCACTACCCCTTGGGGATGAAGCTTGTCGAGTCTTGAGTACGTAGAAGGAAAAGAGGTTCTGAACAATCTCGGGCCGAACCCCGAATGACGAGACTAACGCCCACGAATAGGTCGGCCCGAGCATGACGCACCTTCACGGGCGTCTGAGAAAGGGACGCGACTGTTGGGCGTCTACACGTGCATACACCGTTACGCGTCTCAAAGCGGGCCGTGACAGCACGCGTGTTTCCCAACCACCACCGTCTCAGCTGAGGGGTATGTCGCTCCCTGTTGCTTATTACAAACAAAGATCTCACAGACATGATATTGAGCAAGAATTTACAACAAATGGGTGCCATTAATATCGCGACGGCATCTACTTCGCAATGGCTCTTTCCTGTGTCGGCGTTACATCACACGCCCAGCCGGATGACATCCGATATACCGCTCGAAAGGGAGCTGTACGATCGCAGCAGAGGGGTAGAGTTCCTGTATCGACTAGGAGTCTCTCTTGGATTGTGGGTGTGATTTCAGATTGACGGAAGAAGAGTTGATCCAAATTTGTACCAGGCCGTCTTCCGCGATGTTTACCGCTGCGACATGGTTCCATCGCTTCTACATGCGATATTCTATGGAAGACTATCACAGACAGGTAGTCGGCCCGTGGGTATCTCCTGCGAAACACTGTACTGATCTAGATTCAGGATGTCGCGGCAGCATGTATCTTCCTGGCGACCAAGACGGAAGAGTGCGGTCGTAAGTTGCGGGATGTCGCCAAAGTATTCTGCTCCAAGGTGTCCAAGAAAGATCTCAGTCAAATTCCCGATGATAGCAAGGTAGGACTATCTCGCCGCTATCATCGTCCCGTATGATCTCAATTGGGAGACGTTAGGAAGTCGAGGAATGCCAGACAAGCATCTTGCTCACCGAAGAGGTCCTCCTGGAGGGCCTCTGCTTCGACTTCGTTGTCGATAATCCTCATGCGGAGCTTGTCGATCTATACGAGGCGCATCCTAACAACAATCCGCTGATCGAGCAGTGTGCATGGTCGATTGCCAATGACTCGTACGTCCAACAGGATAGGCTCACGATAGAAGAGCCAACACGTTGACACGATTCCATTCACAGATACCGAACACCGTTATGTATCCTTTATCCTCCGAAAGTTATCGCAGCCGCATGTTACGTCCTGGCCGAACACGCCATTGAAGGGCCCCGAGACTCGCCGCTGGATGCCCGCCTCGCATCGCCGGCACCTTCCGCATCTCTGCCAACCCCGCCGTCCCACAGAGCCCAACCCGCGGGCTTCTCGCGCCATGCCGTCGAGTTCTTCGGGTTCAACGAGATGGGGCTTGCTAACGTAGCTGGTGGGTTGGGTTAGCCCTTGGTAGTGGTCCCAATGCTGACGTACCCCCTTCATCTCCGCCTAGACGCGCTGAGCATCTTGCTCGAATATTACGGCGCCCAAGATCTGCAGGGATCCAGCGAATTCCTCGCCGGATTGGCGTCCGTCAGTCGCATCACCATTCATCTGCCTTCGTGCATTGCGCTGACGTCGTTGGCTTCTTCCGAATAGATCCCACCGCCACAGAGCTCGTCCCACCGGGCGAAACTCTACAAGCCATTCGCCCAGGTCGCCGCGGGGACCCTCCACCCCGTTGCGAACAACTCCACACCAGAGCACGCCATCAGTCAGTCAGGGACACCTACCCAGCCCGGAGGGAGTACTCCGGGGAAATTTGCGTCGGGCGGATGGAAGCCGGTGACGGAGGGTGCGCCAGAAGGGCAGTAACGCGCCGAACCCTCGTCTACCTTCCCTTGGCCACGTCTGATGATCGCAAGTACCGCGCCAGAATCGTGGACCGTGAACCTTCGGCGCATATCATCCATCGTGACTCGTATGATCGGGGAGTGGTGACACCCTTGTGGTGTGGCCACAGTCGTGCATCGGTCGTATCGTCGAAATCGCCTGAATAAGCTCTCTCGTATCTCATCCCCGCTGATCGTTTTTGCTATCGTGCTGAAGGAAGCTGTATTATACGCACCTACTGTACAGTACTCGAATCTGCCTTGATCAAACATGCGATCCCATGCCAGGACCTCTGAGTTGCTGCGATTACGTCAAGCGCACGAGTTGTACCGACAGTCAGCGGAGCAGGGGTACGAAGATGCTATACATGGATGCAAAGTATGGTAGCAACGTCCGCACCAGGATCGTGAGAGAGAAGATCACAGTTCTATTGTTTCCTTGTGTTTGAACTTCCGACCTGCGCGCTCAGCCGCGCGGTAACAGAAGTGATTTCCATAGAGCTCGAACTCGATATGGGGCATGTCCAGGATCGTCGTCTGTGTGTCATCCGTAGAACGGACGACTTGTGGCGTAGCTGTGGAATAGAGCGGAACGGCGAACACAAAAATGCTGTTCTGCTTCGGCAACACTGCACAAATACGCAGCGGTTTGCGCACCACCGATTAGTCTATATTGACGGCATGAGATGCAAGAAGACGGCGAACACTTCTGCTCATCTTTCCGGGTGATCACCTTGAACGAATTCTCCGTTTCGTGCACGACTATCCCGGAGAGTCCAATGAGGCAGGGGTTCCTGCTTTGCCGCACTAAGACAGCACAGGGAGCAACGACGAGAGGAGGTCAAACATATCGTAAGCTGTACCAAAGACTGGAGTTTGTGCGCACCTGTTACGATCGCACCATGGAAGTCAGCCTTGATGAGCTTGGCATGCATGCCTGCCGCAGCCGGCATAGCTGAGCTAGGGTCCATGCCGAGCGCCGCAGGCTCAGGCGATAGTGAGAGCAGCTCATTCATGTATCCTAGCCAGAGGAAGTGCAGAGGAAGAAACAATTGGAACCTGTGGCCCCGAGGCAGGTCAGTGCCACTCTCGCACGCCGCGGATCCGATGGAGCGCACTTCCTCTCCTCCTTTCTCAGCTTCCATATGCCCCGCTTCCTGTCTTCCTGCTTGCTGATAACCCCCGCGACCCGCCGCACACGCTCGGCAGTACGCTTTGCACGCTTCTCTTCTCGCTCCTTCTTGGCTTTACTGCCGCGGGCAGGGTTCTCAAGGAGGATCTGGCGTCCTTGAACGCGACTCGCGTAGGCCTGTGCAGGATCGGAGGACCTGGTGACACTGCTCTTGACGTAATGAGGGATGAACGGCGTCGTTGTATCGAGTTTGAGACGTTCGTTCTGGTTCCGCGGTGAGAGAAAAGCAGGAACGCGAGTGGACATGAAACTCACGTTGATGAGCGGCAAGGGGGCGTAGATGCCCCTGTGGCCATTATCTGCTGCGCGGTATTTCATAAAGGACTTGCTGAGGGTATGTGGCCTGTCGGGAACAATATGACGGAGGGGGCGCGAGGCCTGGAAAGGGAGGGGGTGATCAGGGTGGGATTCGAGCTCAGAGAAACGCGAGGCAAGCTCAGCGCGAGACACTGCGTCCGTCCATTCACGTGCGCTCTTCGTACTACCTTTTCCTTCTTCGGCAGTTGAATCTCAACCTTGCGCTTCCTCCACTCCATCGCCCCCTCTCCTCGCCCGCGCGCGTGTATCCCACCGTTCCAGCCAAAGCAGGTGCGCGAGTCCCAGCCATCATCGTCACCTGCTCATGCGTTTGCAGAGCAAGTCGCTCCGCGGATGAGCGGCTAGGCGGTGCACGCACCGTGACTAGCAGGTGGGAACCAGTCCACCCGTCCTTCATAGCGGCTCGCAAATCCTGTTTCTACATAGGGCATGTCTGTCCCGAAGCCGCCATGCGAAGTGCCCGTTTAGCTCAAAACGCTCTTCGCTGTCCGGCCAGTATCTCCAAGCAATCGATAGCTCGTCGAGCAAACGTTCATGCGTCCAAGCCTTTCCGATGTACTCTCATGACCGCGGTCGAGGAAGGTCTTGGTTTCTATACGACTCACCACACTGTCGCCGTCGGGTGCTCGCTCCCTGGATTTCGAAACGCCGTTTCACCGGTTTCGTTGGTGACCTGCCCGGCCCGTTGCTAGTATTCTTTCGATAGGCCGAATCGCCTTCGATTATGCGCGCGGCCTGCGTGCGATGACGACGCATCACGCCGGTCAGGGGAGTGGGTTTTAATGCTTTCCATAAACGATGCACTGCTCGATTCGGCTCGTGATATTGCACACGACTATGATCTGATGACTGCGACATGCTCCATCCGCCCTCCCTTCCATTGATAGCGTCCTTCGTGCCCGCACACAGGTCCGTAATCCGTGCCTCCATGTGTAAACTCGAAGTCATCTGACTCATAGCGGGATCTGTCCAGACGGTGGGATGAGATTCGCTCGTCCCAGCCCTGGCAGATCGCCTCGAGCTTCGCGGATGATTAGATGCCTCCTATTCTCTCCATCTGAAGTAAGCCCGCGGTGGGAAGAATCCTGGCAATACGGCGATAAGGCAAGAAGCAGGCTTCTTGTCTCAGGGAATCCGACGGACTACGCCCGCATGTCCGACGCGCCTCGGCGAAGGAATCAGCGGTTCGATTCGCGCTTTCGCAGGCCGATGATACGGTGGTTGTCTCTGGATGCTTCCTAGGGGCGCCTCGCGATAGTTGCTCATCAGGGGAGACGTCTGTTTCCAGGAGGAGGCGACCGTGAGCGCTGGACTTGACGTGCTTCTCAAGAATTGCCTTGGGAGGGCTCACACACGTGGTTCGGGTACGAGTACCGTTCGTAAGTTCGCACTTCATCTCCCGCCGACGAAGCTCTCGTTATCGTTCCGCTCGGCCGCTCAGCGCAGCGCTCCTGCCCGTCTGCCTGCCCGCAATCGAGAGAGCGAGCTTGTCAAACTACCGAAGTTCTTGCAAAATTCCAGAACGCACAGGACGTCCGCCACCGCTCATCATCTTCCGCCCTGCTCATCCAGATCACCCATGCGTGTCCGCTCTAGCTAGCGGCACCTCGGACCTTGTCCCAGGCTTTGGGTAGCCCAAGGGCCGGATGCTTTACACGGCGAGCTTTCTATCTCTAGCTGAAACAGGTATCCCGGGCTGGATGCAGCGGTAGCACCTTCTTGTTCCGCACAGAGGTTATCTAAGGGAGGCCGGCATCGTGGACTTTGCTTTGTGGCGGATCGCCTCTGTATCGTGGCTCCGGGCTCCCGCTACTCCTCCGGGCGCGTAATCGAAGCAATCACAAACTTATCAATTCGACGTAATAGGTGTTCTAAGGCAACAGCATAGCAGGAGAATAATATAGAGCAGGGAGTAACAGCGGTACAGTAGCGTAGGGAGAACAAGATGAGGCTACGATGAGGAGCGGGTGAACGTGCGCATAGTAGTACAGTATATGTATTAGGCAGAGAGTTGCAAACGAAATCTAGACTCTAAGAACGACCAAGCTGAACGCAGACGGGGCAAAACGCATCGATGACGGGGTCTATCATGTGGCGGGTAACTGATCAGCCTATGCCATGAGCAACCAAGAGAGAACATACTATACTGTTCGGGGAACTGGCGGCTGATGGGGAGGCGATGAAGTGGAGGCGTAAGTGAACCTTCCATGGCATCGGGAAGATAACGGGCTTACTACTGCCAGCAAGTCTCCGTGCAGCGGGGCGGGACGCAGTTCCTGGGATGCGACGTGCTGAACTTGCAGTAACGATCGTCGCATTGAATCTAAGCGCCAGGTTGGGACTGAATTGAGATCTACGAGAAACTAGGTAGCGAAAACGCGAACCATCTCATCGGGCTGCAGATACGTCGTTAGGACAGTGTGGCACGGAGGAAGGCAGAAAGGGGATCGGACGCACCTGGTCGACGTAGTGCCCGCAGCGCTTGTAGTTATTGCGAACGCTGTGGCCGACGACAGATGTCAGGGGGTTCGAGCCACAGAATCGCAGAAAGCCACGGACCGACGCCAGTGACACATGACTGCAGGAGAGGGCAGGAGGGGACTATGTACAGAGGAGGGGAGGGAGGGATACCGGTTGTTGGACTGAGGAGAGGAGACGACAGGCCGCCATTTATACGGGGCAGCGACAGTCATACAAAAGATCCGGGATGGTTTGCAGGAGGGCAGAGGAAGAAAGACCCAAACACGATTCGCCAGAGCACGATAACATCAGCGTATCGGACGGCTTCTCTGGAAGATTGCGCCATGTTTCTCCTGCTGGGACATATCAAGATGAGGTCGGAGTCGAGTTGAGAAACATGAGGACGAGGCCGGAGCAGCGCCAGGTTGCTGAGCACGCACGACAAAGGAGCCCGATCGGTATCTGTTGCAGCCAGCGTACTGGGACAGGTTGGCGACGGGAAGGGGTTGCGCCAGAGGTTTTGCCCGTAGCACGCTAAAGCTAAAACGTTAAACGCGTCCGCTCCTGGCTTTTTGGGCAGATGCGGAACGCGAAAGGTGATGCGCACACCGCCGCGCCGATGGGATAGATAGTCACGGGCCGGCGTTAGTCGAGGATTGCTCTCGATAGTCAGCCTGGCACTGGGAAAGGAACAGCGTGCGAGACCGCGACCATACCCATTCCGGCGCAAGAGCGAGCAATTAGCAGATCTCGTCCTCGAAGAACCCGAGCCGCCCATCAACTGGCCACAAGACGTCCAGATGTTGCACAGACGATCGTTGTGGACAAGCTGCATGGGAACATCAAGGCGATTCGCCGTGGCTTCCAAATGGATGGGTACATGAGTGCCTGCCAGCGGTGAGAGAGCAGGTTAGACCATCAAGATAGTATCGATACGGGCGCGAGCTACGGGCGTGTCCCCTGAGATAGAGCCTCATTACTGAACGCTAGAGACCTAGGCCTGTGGGAAATAAGACAAGGACCGACCGAGAATTTCTTGGCGACGAGCAGCGGACATTATCGCCAGAGCAGACGTGATACCCGAGGGAGAGCCGGAGGCCGAGCAGAGGATGCTGGCCGTCCGTCGGGGTAGGACGGGAGTGAACGCACACGTGGCCGGAGAAATACTGCACTCGCGCTATCCCATGATTGAGTTTTCGAAGCTTATCGCAAACTCTATCGTCTCGACAGATCTCGTCCCAACGTCGGATATACATCAGCCGGCGAACATCCCAACAAGATACTGGCTGACGCCCTCTGGCGTAAGAATCCCTACGTCCGAAAAGACGAGCGATATAAGGTCCGGTCTGTGAGGAAGAAGCACACGTTGTCAAGACCCATCCGAAGGCGAGGACAGAACTTGCGCGCCCACCGTGTATAGTCAACGCCGGGGTTCTTTGCTATCTGTTCCTGATTCATCGCCCGTTCGGTGCTCGACGATGACGTCCCCAACCTGGCTGGCTGTTTCGTGATGATGTCCGGCGTGCTCGTTGATGGTGCGTCGTCCGTACCAGCTGACCGTCCGATTGGAGTAGGAAACGATAGGATGTTAGGGTTGTGGGTTGGGAGATCGTACTGCGATAGCGGGAACAAGCGGTGAAACTTGTAACTGAGACACACGACGGAATGATCAGAAACTCGTTTCATCATGAGGCTGCTCAGCGAAGTACCTTTCTGCTAGTGCGTAAAATGGTTTGTTGGCCGCCTTGGCGATGATGGCCATCTGGTTGCTGCCCACATAGTTGATCAACCCACCGCTCTCTACGACTGCTTCCGAGCCGACGAGGACGAAGTCCACCCTGTCCATCACATAGGCCACCGCGGAGTCAAGGACTACGGTGCAAGGAATACCGGCCGCAGTAAGCGTTTCGTATGTTTTCAGTCTAGCGACAATCGCGGCAGAGAGTCAGCATGACATAAGTGAAACAAAAAACAGCCGTCCACATTACCCAAGTCCTCGGGGCCGAGATTCCGTCACATATACAGATATCCGCTTTGTCTTGTGAGCATGGAGCAACGCCTTAAGGACGACGCGCGAGTGAGAGTGCGTGAGAATCTACTCATATCGGTAGATCAGCATCGGTGTGATGTGCATTGCTCAGGACACTCACTACGGAGTCGTCTTTGATGAAGCCGAGGGCGAGCTCGGCGATTTTATCACGGAATGTGAGCGCCTCTGCAGCATATTTTCGGCCTTGCTGCTCAAGCTCCTTCTTCAGCTCGGCGAAGTTCTCAAGACAGCACGATCAGCGTCTATGCCGAAGGGTCCATTTTTATGATGGCACTACTCACATCGGACTCGTGTGGGAAGAGGGTCACGAAAGCGATGAAGAGCTCACAGCCCGCATTCAGGCTTATGGGATTTGGTGACCTCCTCTTGAGCTCCTCTGCGCCGTCGTTCAAAGCCTGCACGAGCTCGAACATGGTACCAGCTTCAAACTGTCCATATTCATACCAGTCGTCCCCTGGCACATCTGGGATAGGTACGCACCATTCGATCTTACGATAGCCTCGGCTAGCGCAGATATGGCTGCTAGTGGCGGTGATATCTGGTGCGCAATGAGCGATGTCACCATCGCACCTCGTGAATTGAATGCGCACTTCTTCATCTTGCAGGAATTGCTGGAAAGTAGCGTAGATATCGAAGTCTCCACTCTGCGTTTGCGCTGACATCTTTCAGTCGAAGGTAAATCGTGGGTGTATCTTGTGTGAGTTGCAACGAACGGAATGCCGGTTGAGAGACGCGTCGGAGACGGAGGTTAGGAGCAAGTATCGCGGGAGGAGCAGAGTGTGACGCCCAAAATCGGCTGTGACTCGGGTCTCACGTGCGCAGCGCGACTGGACACGGTCAGGTGATGCAACCTTGGTAGGTCTTTCGATCGCGAATTCAGATATCGATCATTGCGCCTGCTTGGTCTCATCCTCCTCGGTGGTGTGACACTCGTCCTCATATGCTCCCAAGTACTCGTACTATGGGCACGTCTCGAGCTCTAGTCGAGAGTTTTTTCTCCCTCAACCCACACACGACAGCATTGACACACCCAGCCTAGCCTACCTCGAGCCTGCAGTCCTCCGTGCAAGATCTGGTTTGCCCGTCTACGACGATTGCGGCAGCCCGTGCCAAGAGATAAATCTAGCGATCCATTTTCAAGGGTGAGGGACACCTGGCTATCTCCCCGAATGACAACCCATGAGAACATGCTCCCATTATTATGGCAATTCCGATATATCCGGCCGTGGTTTCCGAGTAGTTGCTGCGGCGTTGGTCTGTGACGCCGCGGCCCACTGAAGCATCATACAGAGCGCGGATACACTGTGTTGGGACCGTGCGACGCCACGCATCTGGCCAAATCCTGGACTTTGCTACGGTTTCTATCTCGGCCCTTCGCCTGCAGCAACGAGGATACCCGAAGATGGGCTTTGGATATTGGTTGCGTCGGGACCATGACGTGCCGACTGTCTGGACCCTACATTGACGGCGTCTGCAATTTTCGTACGTCGCGAGTTCGCTCCTCTGAAACACACCGAGACAGTCAGCATGGTAACATTGGGTCATCGACTAACCTGAAGTCGTGTTTGTCGGAGCGCCCTCGAGCTATGTCTGAACGGAAGCTTGTTCCTCGATGGTGGCGGCTGTCAAGCAGACTCAGTTTACCCCCACAGGGAACCCCAACGTATCGCGTATGCGATCCAACCTTCGGAGAGCACGGAGCGACTAAGAGAAAGCATCATCGTATGCATGAATGACATCCCAAGCCGACGAGGAACAAGCACCTGGATTCTAGATTCCAAGTAAGCGAGAAGATCGAGCGGCGGCGATGACGTTGTTGTGGTTTACCCAGGGCGGGCGGTCCCTTGTTAGCCAGGCGCCAGAAGGCCCGGGCGACCGCGGAGACGGCAATCGGTCGTCAAGGGTTGTTATTCTCGCCGCGGCGCCGCCAGCGGGGGCCGTCTTGGCCGACTCGTTGTGGTCGCTTTCGTGCCAGGTGCTGGGCTTTACTTAGCTCGGATATACTGCGCCTAGTGTGGGCGGAGAACACGCAGCCTCCGCCCTCGAACGGCGTGGTGTCCACCACGCATTTGGCCCTTATATCATATATCACGCCCTACGTTAGCGAGCAGCATTCATTTGCTGGCCACCCTGGCCGTGCGGGGGAGTACTTGTCGAGTGTCGGCCCAGGAGGGTAGCCGCTGGCGGCGGGATATCAGTTTGAGTCGGCGACCTGAGCGCGCGGGCGGCGGGTATCCGACCGTATCCATCCTCATTTCTGGGGACGTGCGTTTTGCCTGAATCCACACCGGATAGGGCAGGGGAGTTGTGCTGCATAAGGCAGGGTGCGGGAGAAAAGTGTACAGGGCCGGCGGGAGCGGACGATTTAGCCTGGGATCGAGGGTGGGAAGGGGAGATTTGGGCCGATTGTCGATGCCGATATGTCCAAAAAGCGCAGGCTTTGCTCATCGAAACACGTTTCGTGTCTTTGCCGCGTCGAAATGTCGCCCAAACCCTATGGGGGCCGCTCCCCGTGGCGATCGCGTCCAATTTCAGCAGTCTCGGCGCAACGCCCGCCCTTCAAAAGGCCCGACGCGAGACTATGTTTTCCTCCTCCACCACTCCCCTCTGACAGGCCCTTGCTCTTCTCGCCTCCTATCCCGCTGTGCTCAACAACGTGTTTGCCGTCCGGGCGCACGCTTCCTTGATCCACACTATAAACTGCTGGAGGCAGGCAGGCTTCTTCGTTCGCCATTTCCGGGTGAGTAACTTTCGCATATATGTCGTCCGACGAACCAACCATCGGTGCTCCGCAATGTATACAGTTCGCCACCGTATTTCGCCCTCGTTCGGTATCCCTCGCGACACCCCCCTCCCTCGCCGTCCCGCCCGCTTCGTCCCAAAACGTCTGCCCATTATGTCAGGCGTTCCGCCACAGTTGGTCTTCAGTAACGAGGTCGCATCAATGGATGAGTGGTCAAGGCGAACCGGCATCCCCCTAACCACCGCCGACGCTCTAGGCACGAACTATGCTCGTGCACGTCGGTGGTTGCTTTCCATCCGGTCAAAGTTGGTGCAGGAGCACGGCTGGCAGGACGTAACACCCTTGGACTCCCGACTCCTCTTTGACGTCGAATATCCCACCCCATACCGGTCCTCGAGAGGCCTCCCGCGCAGTCCCAATATGCGCCTACAGATTCCGGTGAACGCTTCGTCGTTCTTTTCGCGCGAACGACGCGTCCAGTGGGAGATGGTCTTCCACTCCGCGCTCTTTCCGGGGCTGCGGCATACCGTTCCGGCGATCGCGGACCTGCTGCACCTCCTCCAATGCCTGCTCACGGGTATGGTCGTCCTCGTAAAAGAAGAGCAAGTCCCCGGCGAAGGTGTGTACCGGACCATCCGCGGATTGCCGCCGGTCGAGTGGGTGACGAGCCACGAAGCCGCACTCGTCGACATCTTCGGGTCTTCCCATTACCGGCAGCTCTTTCGCGCCGCCAGCGACAACCGTGTCGCGTTCAAGCTCGAGCGGGCGTGACGTGCTCCCACGCCCAGGCCCTCGTCCGCTCGCTTGCCTATCGCCCAAAAGGCCCGCGAAACACGACTGGTTTCGTCCACGGACCCTGCAGATGCTCCCCGCGTCCTGTCGGACTCTATCTTATTCGATCCTATTGACTGGCATGATACTCGTGTTTAATCTCGTCTGGCACAATCTTAATGCCCTTCTCATCTTCGCTAATCGTTGTCACATACTGTTATACCGTTCCAGAACCTCCTATGCCATCTATCCTCGCTGTCACTTAGAATACGGCCTTGCTAGTCGCAGAGTAGGCTACGGTCCACGCTACGCATTTGTCCTCCCTTGCTGTTTTGTTCCTGCCATAATGTCTTCCCATGTCGCACTGCCTCTCTTCGTCCTGCACATACAGTATGTATTCCCAGCATTCCACACGTCATGCATCATAGCTAGGCTTCTATAGTATAGTCAGTAATCGGCCCAAGTTGTCATTTGTACTCAGTATTACCTGTCCATACCTTCCGAGACGTCGAGCGTTTGCGCCCATAGTGGCACGTTTTCCCTTCCTCCAAACAATGTAATGATGATCTTCGCAGAGTTCTCAGAACTCCGAGATGGATTGTTGGACGTTCATGATATCCAGAAAAATGCTATTTCGTACTCTATACACACCGTATCGCCGGGAAGTGCTACCAGACGCAGCCGCCCCAAAGTTACGTCGTGGACGAATATGGCTATATAGTTGCGAGAATGGTGAAGATCTTGGAAGAGATGGTCCCATAGGATAAGCGGGACACTAACTTACCACAGCTACAACCTGCAGCTTGCATCGAGGTCAAGACTTGACATGGCCGCAGGGTAACTATGCCTGAAATAGCCACCTCCGCGTTCGTGCTGGGGATTGACAGGGCATAGGGCGGATAAGGACGCGTGCAACACATGAGGTGTTGTGACCAGCCGGTGGGACGAGCTCGCTGCAGCGTACGAATGACTCAGTCGGATGCCGGAAGCTGCTCACGGACGGCATGCCCTTTGGGAAGGCGGGTCGAAGAAGCCTGGTTCCGAAACAGCTACATTCTGGATCTGCATCGCACGTGGAGAGAGCCCCATCGACCGAGGGCCCACGCAGTCCTGCTCGACCTGTGCAGGGGCGATTGAAGGGGCAGCAGGGTTCCGGTAGATCGGAGACTGTGCAGGAACACCTATTGGGGGCCCATACGTGGTCAGCCACAGGCGCAAACAAGAGCTCGGGAATGGCTAGGTTACTGACCTGGCTAGACCCTCGACCGGGAGGTGTACACATCGGGAACGGCTACGCGATCTGCGAGAGAAGCTCGAGAGGCAGGCGGTAGAAGGTCATCGCAACCTCCGTAATCTAATCAGAAGGACGAGGGGCACACGACTAATCGATGGTCACCAGTGCGCCTGGATGGCCGGGTCAGAGAGTAATACTTAGGGGTGCTCAATCCTTGAGGCCACTGGTCACTGGTCGCGTTGAGAGGCAATTGATGGGGACTGATGGACTAGCCGAGTGCCCCGCATTTGGCAAGCGAGCGACGTCGGGCTTCACGTTCCTTCCCATTTTATGGGCCTACCGCTCTCACCAAGACAGCGAAAAACCTGAATTTCGAGTATATCAAAGATGAGAGCCGTCTGCGTCGATTGACACCAATGTCGAGGGACTTTGTGTGGGAGGACCAGTGTCAGCATCGCTGCAGAGCTTTCGAAGACGAGTTGAACGGCTAGTCTCGGCTAGCCCATCGACCCGCATCAATTGTCTCTCAACGCGACCAGCGACCAGTGGCCTCAAGGATTGAGCACCCCTATTGGTATGCTGCAATTACCTGGCTTCCGTCCCGTCGAAAGAGTAGATGATTGACGGAAGCCGTCGGGATACGAGAAAGAAGACGCAATGCTCGCAACACGATCCGTACGTAGCATGCAGAGGTATCATATATAGCGATGCAAATGCATCGAAGTCGAGCGCAACTACTAGTGCGGTGCGGGTGCCGTCGAGCCAGACTGCCGATCTACAGGCGTCTACATCTGAGCGGAGTGCCAACTATGACCCCTTCGGACCAAGTCGGAGCTCGTAGCACTGTGCTGGGGGTTGGAGCGGAGCCGAGACCAGGTCACAGGGTTGGACGCAAGAGCGCCCATTATGTCGCGCCGCGCGCTGAGACCCGCGTCGTGACTCTCAACACTCGTGCTGCTTTGTGATACTCACACTCGCCATGGCGGATGGCGCGCCGCCCCCCGAGGAAGACTTCAATGCTATACCGATACCCGACCGGCTCGCTCACAAGAACTGGAAGGCCCGAGTTAGCGCCTACGAGGCCCTAGTCAAGATATTCTCCACCACTGCGTCCGACTCCGATCCTACTTTTAAGCCTTATAACAACAACCCCGATACCCTCAAGAAGATCGCTACCGATGCCAATGCTGTTGCTCAGGAGAAGGGGCTGGAGTGTTTGGTCGCATTCGTGAAATACGCCGGGGAGAATGCAGCTCGTACTCGGGAGGTGGTCGTACCTGCCTTGGTGGATAAATGCTTCGGGTCCGCACGCGCTGGGACGAAGAACCAGGCAGTAGAGCTGTCGCTGCAATACGTGGAGGTCGAGAACGGTGCGGCAGGTGTTGTGGTACGTGTGTCATCCTGCTCGCGCCCGCTCGGCTCATGTGAATCCGCCACTTGTAGGAGAACATCCTGCCAGGGCTCGCCGCGAAGCAGCCCAAGACTGTTGCCGGATGCGTGACTGCGTTGAAGGAGATTGTTCGGTGAGCTTAGATTGCACCATCCCTCTCGGTATGGGAGCTTGACAACTTCGTGCATTTATTCAGACAATTCGGGACGACCGTCGTTCCTCCACCCCCAATCCTGAAGGCTCTTCCCAAGATCTTCGGGCACTCCGATAAGACTGTGCGCGCAGAAGGCACCCAGCTCGTTCGCGTCATGTACCAGTACATCGGTCCGGCAATCGAAACCTTTCTTAATGACTTGAAGCCCGTCCAGGTGAAGGAGCTGAAGGAGGCGTTCGAGGAGATGGAGAAGGAAGGAAAAGGCCGAGGGAGCTTGAAGCCCGAGAGGATGACGCGACAGGGGGCGAGGGAGGCTGAGGCTGCCGCGGAGGCCGGGGGCGACGGAGATGCGGATGCTCCTCCTGAAGAAGGTGCGTACGCCGATATGTTTTTTCCCACCGGGGCTCAGTTAGCTTGTGTTCAGAGGCTCCTCCTGATCCTCGGATGTTCGCGGAGGAGGTGGACATCGTCCCGAAGATGCCCGCCAACTTCCAGGCGTCCTTGAAATCTTCGAAGTGGAAGGATAGGAAAGAGGCTCTGGACGGCCTCTTGGCAGTCGTTAACGCGACGCCCCGTATCAAGGAGGCTTCCGAACTAGGCGAACTTGCTCGGTCACTAGCGACCTGTGTGCAGAAGGATGCGAACATCAACTGTGTGATGGTTGCGGCGAACTGTTTGGAAGGACTGGCCAAAGGTCTGATGGGGCCTTTCGCGAAGTATAGAGAGAGTGTCGTCCCCCCTATGCTGGAACGGTTGAAGGAACGAAAGGCGAATGTTACCGACGCCATCGGCAATGCCTTGGATGCCGTGTTCGCTACGGTAAGTCTCGTCCAATGAGCTTCTTGCGCACGGTCTAATTTGTGCGTACGGTGCGTAGACTACTCTCACAGATATTCTTCCCGACACGCTTCCAGCTTTGAACTCGAAGAATCCTCAGGTCAAGGAGGGTACTTTGAAATTCATAGCGAGAAGCTTGTCAAATTCGCCTACTCCGCTTCCTGCACCCCAGATTAAGCCTCTGTCTGAAGCCCTCGCCACTCTGTTGGAGGACTCTTTCGAAGGCGCCAGAAATGAAGCCGCTGTTTGCCTGGGAACTTTGATGAAGATGGTCGGAGAGCGGCCGTTGAATGCTCTGATGGATGGTCTCGCCGATGTGAGGAAGGCAAAGGTCAAGGAGGCGTACGACAACGCCAAGGTGAAGGCCAAGGCTGGTTCCGGTGCTCCTGCGAAGCCCGCCGCGCCTCCTCCAAAGGAACCGCCGAAGAAGAAGGTGCCGCCCCCCAAGCAGGCACCGACTACGGATTTGCCTGCCGTTCCCAGCGAGGACAATCTCGCGCCTCCTGCGGAGAATAAACCTGTCAAAAAGCCTCCCGCACGACTTATGGTGCGTCTCGAGGGTCTCTATGTAGCTCGTAGCTGATTGATTGCATATATCAGGCAAAGAAGCCCCCAACCTCCGGTGCAGCCGAGGGCGGCGCTGGAGCTCCCGCGGCGGCAGTCCCTGCCCCGAAGAAGCTTCCTCCCGCGGCAGCAGCAAAGCCAGCCAAGGGTGGTGCTGCGCCTGCTTCTGGTGCGCTGGACACCTTCAAATTCAAGCACACGCCGGAAGACGCGGAGGCTCTGGCTGCTGAGGTCATACCCGCCAAATATGCTACGGAGCTTGGTGACTCCAACTGGAAGGTTCGGTTGGCCGCTCTCGAGGAGATGACCACCTGGGTGGAGGGTGCTGTTGAGGGGCTTGATTCTGAGGTCGTCATTCGCTTCCTAGCGAAGAAGGGCTGGAACGAGAAGAACTTCCAGGTGCGTCGACGACGCCATAATCTGTGGCTATCTGATGACTTATGTAATGAACTCCCTCGAACGTCAGGTATCCACTAAGCTATATGGTATTCTTGGCACCCTCGCCGATCGCTGTCCATCCTTCGGCAGAGCTTCCGCTGCTCTGTGCATACCGCACTTGAGCGAGAAGCTGGGAGATATGAAGCTCAAGAAACCCGCTGGAGACACGCTCCTTTTATTCGCAGAGAAGACTTCGTTGCAATTCGTTCTTGGTCACGGTACGCTTGCTTGCTTCCCTCGCATCGGCTATGACTTACACGCTGCGTAGCGTACGAGCCGCTCTCCAAACAGAAGGCTCCGAAGGTTCTCGCCGATGCTCTCACGTGGGTCGAGCAGGCTCTCGTGGAGTTCGGTATAGCTGGCTTGTCTCTGCGCAGTCTCATTGAGTTTCTCAAGACGGCGTTGAAGAATTCAAACGCAGCCGTGCGAACTAACGCGACTAAGACACTCGTGACTGTCAGGCTCTTCGCTGGTTCATGTAGGCTATGCTTCTATACTGACTATGATAACACCTAACATCTTTTCCAGCGATTAAGGACCTTCTCGAGGATCTCAACCCGCAACTCCTGGCGACCATCTTTACCGAGTTCGACAAGGTGGAAGGCACTCCGGCGCCGGAGCCCGCTCGCATGCAAGAGGATCTCGCTGGTATGGCTCCTGCCGGTGGCGCAGGGAGCAAGGCCGCTGCTTCTGGAGGCGATCCGCTGGACGATTTGTTCCCTCGGGTGGAAATTGATGGTCTACTCAAGGGTACGACGATCCTCGCAGACGCGAAGAGCGATGCGTGGAAGACGAAGAAGGAAGCTCTTGAGACACTTCAAGCGATCTTAGATCAAGGCGCAAACAAGCGATTGAAACCTACCATGGGTACGTAGTTTCCTGACTCGGTGACTTGTTGGAGCGTTTGTTGATCATCCGTTTGCAGGTGAAATCGCCCAGGTTCTAAAGGCTCGGGTGGTGGACGCGAACAAGCCGGTTCAGATGCTAGCTCTAGATATCGTTGCGCGCATCGCCACCGGTATGGGCAAGCCCTTCGAGAAACACACGCGGTTTTTCGTCGTTCCTGTCGCCAGCGTCTTGTCCGACCAAAAGGCGCCTTGTCGAGCTGCAGCTTTGCAAACGCTTACGGCGATTGTCAACGCATGCGAGGGGTTTGAACCTATAGTGGCCAATGTCGGGACTGCGCTCGAAACGAACAACCCTCTGCAACGCGCATCTATGCTCGGCTGGCTTGTGGACTGGTTCAAGGAGCACGAGCTCCCGCCCGGCTTGGACCTGAGCAGCTGGGCTGGTCCCGTGGTCAGCTGTCTCGACGATCGAAATGCCGACGTAAGGAAGAGCGCGCAGGCACTGCTTCCCACCCTCATTGCCAGCGCGGGCTACGATTACGTCTTGAATCAGACGAACTCGTTAAAGCCAGCTTCGAAATCAACCGCCCTTCCAATCATACAAGCGGCTCGTGGGTCTTCACCCGCCGCTGCAAAAGGCGCACCTGCTCCTGCTGCCGTCAAAGCTGCGCCAGCTAAAGCCGTCCCGGCTGCTCCTCCCAAGGCTGCTTCCCCTCCCCCCACCGAACTTCCTTCTGCAGAGTCTAGCAAAGTCGCACCGCCAAGTAAGCTGGGTGGTGTACGGCGCAAGCTGCCTCAAGGCTCAATTGCCCGTCCGGAGTCGCGCGCCGAGACCCCCACCGAGCCGGCGGTCACATCCCGTCTTCCTGGCCCCGGCAAGCTTGGCGGTCTCAAGAGACCAGGAGCGCCTCTCAGCGGCCCTTCCAAGCCCGCTCCTGTCGATGCTCCCGATACTTCCTCCCTGATCTTCACGAGCTCGAACCCCGAAACGAAGAGACTTCGACTAGCCAAGGATGTCAACAAGTGGGTCATCGAGTCTGGACCCAGCCGCAAAGACTTGGCAGAGCTACTACAGCACCAGATGGAACCGCACGCCTCGAAGGAGCTACTCGCGCTTCTGTTCAGTCACGATCACAATGCCGTGAACGACCATGTCAATGGGCTGGGCTTGATTCAGGACTTCTATAGCAGCGCTCAAACAGGGGATGACAAGCTGCAGTCAATCTGCATCGCCAATTCTGACCTTGCACTGAAGTTCGTTTCAATCAAGGTTCACGAACCGCAGTCGAATCTGGTGCAGAAATGTGTGGAGGTCGTAGACTCCGTTCTCACATTCTTCCAAAGCGTAGACTACCAGCTCTCTGATCAGGAAGCTTTGGTTTTCATACCGACCATCGTTCATAAGGTGCGTTTCAACCCTGGTGACTCTGACTTATCTCTGATCCCCCTCTAGTTGGGTGATGCGCGGGAGCCCGTCCGCATTCGCGTCTCACAAGTCGTCCAGAAGCTACCAAAGGTTTATGCCTACAGTCGAGTGTTCCAGCTACTACTTGAGCACGGCCTGCAGTCAAAGGTCGCCAAAACCAGGCAAGGTACGCTGGACGAACTCGCCGGGGTGCTGAAGCGATTCGGTATTGGCGCATGCGAACCTTCCAAGGCGTTCCCGAAAATTGCAAGCATGATCTCCGACAAAGATCCCGCTGTTCGCAAGTCTGCACTTGCTACGCTCAGGTTAGAATAATCCATCTTCGGACAAAAATGTCACTCACTGTTTTATCTCAGCGAGGGCTATGTGTTGGTGGGCGAGAAGATCTGGGGTTTCGTCGGTATGCTCTCTCCAAAAGACAAGACCCAGCTCGAGGAGAGATTGCGTCGTGTGCCCGGATCGAGCACTCCCGACAAAGTGGATACTGCCTCGCTAGCGACTCATGCATCTCGAATCGGCACCGGAATCTCGAGGTCGGGATCTCCAGCTCCTAGTGCGATGTCTCGAATAGGAGGCGTCGCACGACCTGCCAGTCCTGCTCTTGCAGCCCCCTCACGTCTTGCAAGACCTGCCTCTCCCTCGAACATGGTTCGCTCCTCATCTCCTGCGCCTTCTCAGATCAGCAAACTTCCTGGACCTTCGCATCTTGCAGGGCCCGGTTCCCCGAGCTCGCGGCCGAAGAGCCTACTACCTTCGCGATTGGGTCCTCCGCGGTCACGACTCAATGGCATACCAGGTCCATCCTCGCATAGTGCGTTGCCCGCCCCCTCTGTCCAGTCGAGGTCTTCCTTGGACGACGGTTTCTCTTCCAACGCTCATCGAGGTGGTATCCTGAGCCGGCGCTCCATCGAGGAGAATCACGATCAGCTGGAGAACACCTCGGAAGACATCACGGTTACAATCTCGAGCATCCTGAGCAACGATCCGACAAGGAGCGTAGAGGCATTGAAGAAGATCCAAAAGGTCCTCGAAGTGGGGCCGGATAACGGACCATCGTCCTCTGCCTATCAAGAGTTGGCGGAGCACACAGAGGGCCTAATCGAAACGATCACCCTACAGATGGCGCATGTCTTTGAACGTCCAGAAGATATCACTCTTCCTGAGAACTTCCGTCTGGCGAAGCATCTCATTCAAACTCTCAATGCGTTCTGCGATCACGTCTTCCTTGCGGAGTCTCTGACAGTTGACATCCTGACATCGCTCTTGGAAGAGTTGACGCTTCGTCTCCTGCAGACGGACAACAGTCCGGATGGCAAGGTGAAAGATCTGTCACGCTTCATCAACATGATCATATTGCGGCTGTTCGCCACGGGCAGGAGAATGTCCATTTTCCGGTAAGTTACACGATGCCAACGTGATGAGTTGCCACTGATATTCCGTGCGCAGTGCTCTGTTCGCTTTGCTGCTCCGGATTGTTAAGCCATTCCCGGCGAGTGGCACGAGTTCCGATTCGCAGGAGGCCAAGGTTGCGGAGCTGGTTCTCAAGTGCGTTTGGAAGCTCGCTAGGAATATCCCGCAGGACCTCGAGAAGCATATCCTGGATCCCGTGGAGCTATTCCCTGCAGTGGAGCACTTCTTGCAGTCGGTGCCGCCAAACGAGTGGCGTGCTCGTGCGACCAACAAGGTCCCCTGCGGCGACATGCCGTTGAGGACCATCAAGGTCATCATTCAGCATGTAGTCGGTAAGTCTCTTCTATGCCTATGTCCGTGATGGGTTGTCTGATATCGTCCGATAATAGCGCAATACGGGGATGACGTTTACGACCATCTGTCGTCTGCCTTCGACGATCCTTCCGCAACTATTGTTTATCCATATGTGTACCGCATTCTGAATTCGTCGACGAAGACTGCTGCCGAAGTTCCTCTGCGCCCCGAGCCCATACGCGAAGAGCCAACGAGGCCATCAACTGCTGCCAGCCGACCACTGTCGCCCCAAGAAACCGCTTCGACACATTCCGTCACCTCCGACCCTCGTGCTCCTTCCTCTTCAAGTCATTCTCGAAGTCGTTCCGTTGGCTCGACGGCGGAAACAGTACAAGAGCCGGACCTTGATGAGCAGCTCAATACCATCATCGACCATATATCGAGCGAGACGACAGGCGCGATGCACAAGGAGGGCATCACCGAATTACATCATTATCTCAAGGCATATCCACACAAGAAGCCGAAGGTCGACAAGATCTTGGAGTCGACTGGCAGTGCGTTCCGCAAGTACATCACGCGTGCCTTGGCAAGTCGTGCGGCTGAGGATGAGGAACGGAACGTGGCCGTCACCCAGACGCTGTCCAGTACGTCCATACGTTCTGCGAGCATGATGACACGGGGTTAACTGGAATATAGGACTCGAATTCAATGGAAACGGCATCGGGCGAGAACGCACTGAGAGCATATCCAGTTGTGAGTGAACTCGAAGTGGGTTGACGTTGTCGTGGCGAAGCAGCTGATTATGTTTGTCAGTGCGCGATTTGAACGGCCATGGCACCGTCCCGACCTCTCCCGTGTCGGCGGCCGGTAGTCGGGCTGAGGTACCTTCGCCCCGATCACCTCCTCGGTCGAGCATTTCCGAGATGCCTGATGTACAGCAAGAGAAGCTATCGCGATTGCACGACATCTTCCAGTATAACAGGCAAAGCACAATCAGCAACGGGTCCTCACAGGGTCGGTCGACGCCGTCTGTAATCGCGAGCGTGCGATCAGGGACGCATTGATCGAAGGAGAGTGTATGAGGGAGCTGCTTCAGAGATACTTTGGCATCTGCATATCTGTATACCAACCATCGCATCGCTTTCTTACAGTAGACAGGGATAATATATGTAATGATCTGCATTACCGTCGTCTGACAGATTGCGCAGCCTGGGCCGGTGTTAAATGTTAGGGAGCCGGGGAGCTTGTCCAAGAAACTAGGTATGTATTGGCGCCGTGAGCACGTCTATGTACGTCAACTGCTTCTCCTTCTGTCCTGCCACCGCCGAGCACGGCCCACACGCTCCCTCCTCTTTCACGACTTGACGACACCCCGCTCCTTCCATGGCTGCTGTGAAACACGCTCAGCCCGCCGACCTCGTGTATGATGCCACTCTCGTCTTCTGGAGGGCTGTCACCAACATCTTCTTCCGGGAGGTCCGGCCAAGAGGTGCGTTCAACATCCCGCGCGAGGGTCCGGTCATCTTCGTTGCTGCACCGCACAACAATCAAGTGCGTCCATGATGTACTGCCTGCACCACGCGAGCTTTGACGTTCGGTCCGTAGTTCCTCGACCCTCTGCTGCTGTACCGAGAGGTGCATCGGGAGACCGGGCGTCATGTGCGGTCACTCATTGCGGCCAAGAGCATGAAGAGGAAGGTTGTGGGATTTTTTGCAGGGCTGATGGGTAGCAGTGAGTACAGTTCCATCAGTTGCACGTATATGTCCTCAGCCGAAATGCTTAGTCCCCGTCGTCCGAGCCGCTGACGATGCTAAACCCGGAACGGGCGAAGTCACAATTTCGGAGGAGGACGCTACGCTCATCATCGGCCATGGCACCAAGTTTACCTCTGACTTCACTCCAAAGATGCAGATCATGCTGCCAAAGTCTGTGGGTTCGCTCGTCGCGGAGGTGACGGAGATACTGTCAGATACCCAGCTGAGGATAAAGAAGGAATTTTCGGGAACCGCGAAGCTGCGCGAGAAAAACAAGGAGATTCAAGCTGCCGGCCAGCGAGGGTTCGCATTCAAGAAGCTTCCGTTCGTGGACCAAGGCAAAATGTATCAATATGTGTACCAGTGCCTTACGGAAGGAGGGGCCATCTGTATTTTCCCCGAGGGTGCGTTCCTCCTGCGTATACCCCCTTTGGCCTGGGTCGGCTCAAGTCGGGCACAGGTGGTAGCCATGACCGAACGGACCTCTTACCTCTCAAAGCCGGCGTCTCTCTCATGGCCTTGGGAGCCATGGCGAACAACCCGAACCTGAAGGTCAAGTTAGTACCAGTCGGTCTGTCGTATTTCCATGCACACCGTTTCCGGTCACGCGCGGTCATTGAGTTTGGGTCACCCCTCGACGTTCCCCTGGAGTTTGTCGAGATGTTCAAGGAGGGCGGCGCGAAGAAGAGGGAAGCGGTTGGAAAGTTCCTTGACGTCATCTACGATGCACTCAAGACTGTCACTTTGAGGGCTCCCGACTATGATACGTTAATGGTGAGTGCAGAATTTGCAAAGTCAGCGTTTTTGGTATCATGAACAGTTCATGACACTTGTGTACATGTAGCTCATCCAAGCTGCGCGACGACTCTACAAAACACCTGGCCAACATCTGACCCTAGGCCAGGTCGTCGAGCTCAACAAGCGTTTCCTCCAAGGTTACCTCCACTTCAAGGATGAGCCTAAGGTGCAGAAGCTCCGAGACGATGTCCTGAGGTACAACCGTCTCCTCCGAGACCTTGGTCTACGTGACCATCAGGTAACGCAGACACATGGAGCTACCCCTAATAGATATTATCTGACACTATTGTGGTAGGTTCCGCGGGCGGAGAAGGCTGGATGGAAGACATTTGGCCTGCTGACGTACCGTCTGGGCTTGCTAGCTGTCTGGACCGTCCTAGCCCTACCTGGTGTCATCCTGAACGGCCCCATCTTCGTCACTGCTTCCGTCATTTCTCGCAAAAAGGCCAAAGGTGTTTAGTTCCGACAGTCATTCCATGACATAGTTGCTTATCAAGTCGTCCACCGTGCAGAGGCTCTTGCTGCTTCCGAGGTCAAGATCGCTGGTCGTGATGTATTGGCAACGTGGAAAATCCTCGTCGCTCTTGGTGTCACACCAGTCCTCTACGCATTCTACGCCGTCCTTGCAACGATCGTGGCCGTCAAGGCTGGTGTTCCGCTCAAATGGCGCATCTGGACGCCTTTCCTTGTCCTCATGACACTCCCAATCTTGGCCTATTCGGCTCTTAAGTTCGGAGAGGCCGGAATGGACGTTCTCAAGTAAGCCTAGATTGATTGAGGTCCTCGGCGGAAGGCTCACGGGCGATCTTATGACAGGTCCCTGAGACCACTCATAATTGCATTAATACCCGGCCAGCAGCGATCGCTTCAAAGGCTCAAGCGCATGAGAGAAGAAGTATCCAACGAACTTGTGGAAACGATCAACGAATTTGGACCTCAGATGTTTGAAGATTTTGACGAGGTGGGCTATATTCGTCTCTACACATGCACACGTATGTCATATGTTCTCAATATATTTCACAGTGGCGTATTCTCGTCCCTTCTGCGACTGCACCTCCATCGAGCGGGCAGCCGGGCATATGGCGGCGCAAGACTGCGACTGGCGGCGTCGACGCACAGGGCAACCTTCTTGTGCACCCTATGGTCAGCACCACTTTCCCTCTTTCGACTATATCTTCCTTCCGTGTACTAACCGCTATCATGCATACAGACCTGGCTGGACGAACGCCTGTTCGGCTGGAGCCGTAGTGCAAAGCGCGGGACAAGCGCATGGGCAGGCACCCGGAGCCACGACATCAGTCGTGTGCCGACGCCGGACGCGTCCGACGACGAGGACCACCCCGACTACGATGACCTCAACATCCCCTCCGGCGATGGCTACTTGCTCGCTACCCGCCCACGGTCCCAGCGCAGTTCCTACGCTGACATCCAGCGCCTTCGGCTGACCGGGGCTAGCAACGCGGGGGTCAGTAGCGGGGGCCCCTTGAGCCCACTCTCCCCCGTGTCGGCAACTGCGGTGTCAACGGGCGAACAATATACCGACAACGATGGGCTACACTTCCGTGGGCAGACGCGGGTACGGAAGCAGAGTCTCTCGGATGGTGTTCCGGTGGAGGTGATTGGCAGCGTGGACCGGGAGGAGCCGTTCAAGGATGCAACACAGGAATTGAATCAGGAGATGGACAAGCGGCGGGAAAGTCAATCGCCGTGACAGGTGGTTGCAAGGTGTGCTGAGACTTTGCGTGACCCAGATCTCTGCTCCGACAAGCACGCTCTACTCTTTGTGGTACATTACTCCTCATATATCTACTCTACCGCCCCGTTCTGCTTCCCTTGTCTATGTACTTGTCCACTTCGCGTGTATTCGTTCATTGTGCGCCTATATGCACAAGCAAGGCTGCAGCCATGCGGAAGGCGCGGGAGAATCGGGGGATAGCGTCGATTCACCTAAATCAACAACAGGATGGGACTGGGATTACAAGCGGTGTGCGAAACACCAGACAGTAGGACAAAACATCATGTTCACAGCGCTACAGCAGGTCTTCTCGAGACCTGCCACCCGTGAGGATCTCCACACCGGTATCCGTGATGCTACGCGTAAGTCGCCTCATCAGCACTTATGGCGGCATGGCGGCAAGAAGCTCGACTTACAGCAAGGTCTCCTCGAACTGCGCGCTGCGCTTGCCGTCGATCGTCGTGGACGTCCAGTCGTCCGGCCAGTGCTCCAGATCCCAGTGGCCGAGATTGATCATCTATACGAAGGCACACGAACGTGCCGAGCAAACGTCGGTGGGGTTCGGGTCCAGCGATAACCGAGAGGAATGTCGGACGTACAGGCTCAATGGTAAACGTCATGCCGGCCTTCATCGTGCCCACGGCCTTGTTCTTCGCGTAGTGCGGCACGTTCGGCGCGGTGTGGAAGAGGTCGTTGATGCCGTGGCCGCAATACGTGCGCACGACGGAGCAGCCGTTCTGACGCGCAATCGGCTCGCTGCGGAGGGCGGAGTACGTTAGCGTCCGGCCGGTTCCAATCCGAAAATCAAAGCAGAATTTGAGAACGTGATTGTGGGGTGTAGATCACTGGATATGGGTGGGCACGCACATGGTCTTGCCGAGGTCGCGGAAGAGCGCGCCGGGCTTGCAGAGCTTGATGGCTTCGTGGAGGCACTTGTGGGCGGTGCGCATGAGGCGCTGCGAGTCTTCGTCTACGCGGCCGACGGGGTAGGTCTCGTTGAGGTCGCCGTGGTAACCTGTAATGAGGATGCGCATCAGGCGTAGCCCACGAATACTAGGAATCTGCGGAGCCTTACCATCCTTGTATAGCGTAACATCTGACCCACACGCGTCCGACGTCAGCACACCCTATTGGGCAAGAGTCACATAAACGAGAGACAGCGCACCAATGTTGATGATATCACCCTCTTGCAGCTTACGCTGGTCGGGGATGCCATGGCAGATCACCTCGTTGATAGACCTGCGGATGAGAAGCGTGCAAGGTGGTGAGCCCAGTCCGTCAGCACGCTCCCACGACAGTCAAGCTGAAACCAAATCACACGTACGTGCACACGGACTTGGGGTAGTGGCGGTAGTTGAGAGGGGACGGGTACGCGTCACGCTTGATTGTTTCTTCGTGCACGATCGCGTCAATCTGGTCGGTCGTTATGCCCGGACGGATGGCCGCGGCGGCAATGTCGAGCACTTCCCTCGCCAACTACAAGAGACGGAGGACGGTTGCGAGGCGCAGGGCGAAGCAAAGTAGAACAACCATGGTCAGAAGGACTATCGGCAACACGGCTGACGCGGGGCGCTTGAGAGCGGAACGTCGCAGACGGGAGCGGAGGGTGACTCACTTTGCACACGTTGCGCATCTTTTCGATTTCCTCAGGGGCAAGGATCCGGGGCGGGAGCCCGAGTTTTCTGTTCTCCGACGTGGGGATGCCTGGATGTGCGAGGGAGGAAAGGGCGGGTGAGCGAGAGTAGAACCCACATGGCGCGAGGGATAGCGTAGAGTGCACGCTTGATCGCACCGTCTTCCGCGTAGTCTGGCCGCGGTATGTGCGCGGGCACCTCTCGCTTGGGCGAGAGAGGGTAGACGGGACGCAAGGGCCCGGTGAACTTGAAGGTACCGAAGGGATTGAAGGTACCATCTGCGACGGAGGGTAATAATCATCCAGAACATGAGTCTATTGTTGCGATATCCGTTGCATGCTCTGCATACCTTTGTTGATATTGGGATCATCAAGCAAAGGCTGCCTCGGGGTGGCGATGTCATGGATGATTTTGTGCGTTTTCTGTAGGATGAGAGACAGTAAGGCGACAATCGACTAACGACCTATCACAGCGAAGCACATACCCCTGTAGTCTGTCAGCACGCAGCTATGACAAGAAGGAAACGATCGAGACTTACAGTTGGCCTTGAAGCATTCCTGGCAACAGAAGAAGGAGCCCTTGATCCCGAGCCTAGCGCGAGTATCGATGAGAACAAGACCGCAGAGAGAAGAAGCAGATAACAGACTTGTTGCACGTAGGGCACTCTAGACGGGACGGGGGACGGTCCTTGATGCAGTTCGAGGACTGGCAGGGAACGGGTGTAGCACTCATTGTCGGCAGAGAGTCGGAGGTCGCTGTGGCTGCTGTGGCTGAGGAAGAGCAGCCGGAGGCAGCCGCGCGAGCAACGCAATTTAGTCGCCGAGACGCGTAGATGGCCGGCGCCGCCGCAGAGCAGAAGCGCGTGGCAGTGCACCGAATATACCAACCAGGGACAGACCCCGGGCCCATGTCACGGTCCATCGACTGCGAACACACACCGGAACCAATGTCCTATGATCCATCTTTTCTACTGTATACTTTCGGGAGAGATAGGAGTCCCCAGCCGAAGCCCCACGTTTGCTTCGCTCGCACGTCTATAAAGATTCACGTCCGCTTCCATGATCGTCACACCCATCCCCCAGTTCCCGCTTCCACATGTCTCTCCCATCTACTGCTGAAGTCCTCATCGTAGGAGCAGGCCCCACAGGCGTAACCCTTGCCCTTGCTCTACAGAGGGAGGGCTGTCCAGGCGTTGTCGTTGTTGACGGCATACTCCAGGGCGAGAACACCTCCCGTGCTATCACCCTTCATGCTGCCACCATGGAGGTATGTCCTGCGATCACTCCAACTCGATTCATCAAAACGTAGAGCTCAATGTGCTTGCATTGGTAGGCCTTCGAGCTACTTGGTCTTGCCGAACAGCTCGACAATGAAGGCACTAAGGTCAAGAAGACAATAGTCTGGTCGGGCACAAACAAGATAGAGACCACCTACTTCGAGCCACTATCCAAGTACACCAAGTACAACTACATCAATTGCGTACCACAACACGTCACCGAGAGGCTCCTCAATCAGGCCGCCAAGGAACGCGGTATCTCTATCTACAGACCACACAAGGTCGTAGGCATAAAGCCCAGCACAGACGACCCCAAGTTCACGGACGTCTTTTTCGATACTGGTCACGTCCTGCGCGCCCGGGCAGTTGTCGGCGCGGACGGCTCACGATCCAAGGTCCGTGTTCCCATCCTATCTCTCGCAGCCGCGGAACTACATACAGTCGTGACTGAACTTGATTCTCTCGCAGGTGCGCCAGCTAGCCAACGTCGGCTGGGCTGATCCCACGGGGACAGTCAACGCGAACAATAAAGACGATGCGCTCTCCACCATGATTATCGCCGACGTCACCGCCACCAACCCGCCCCCCTTCCCGCGCGACGCCATCAATCTCATCCTCTCCACCAACAACGCCGTCCTCTGGCTCGCCCTCCCCGGGGACCCCTACCCCGACAAGGGCGTGCCCAAAGGCGAGACCGTCTTCCGCGTCGTTTGTGGCATCCCCGCGGAGCGCGGCCAGCCCCCGCACGCGCCCGACGCCGCGTACATCCAGGACCTGCTCGACACCTGGGGCCCTAACAACGCCCTGCCCGCGGGCTCGCCCAAAACGTCGATCTCGCGCGTGCTCTGGTCGAGCCGCTTCCGCACGCACTCCGCCATCGCCGACAGCTTCTTCGCGCAGGTCCCTACCCTCGGAGACGGGACCGAGGAGGTGAAAGCGGAGGGCGGCCCGGTCATGCTCGTCGGGGACGCGGCGCACATCCACCCCCCGATGGGCGGGCAGGGCATGAACCTCGGCATCCGTGACGGGGTCAAGCTCGCCCCGGTTCTCGCCGAGTTCGTGCGCGTCGCGTCGGCGAACCCGTCCGCGCCCAAGGCGGAGCTCGAGAAGCCGCTGCAGGACTGGGCGGAGGAGCGCCGTCCGAAGGCACTGACCGTCATCGGGCTCGTGAAGCGCCTTCAGGGGATGCTCTGGGTGCCCCACACGACGCAGTACGCGCTTGGGTTCATCCCGTACAACGCGGCGTGGCTCCGAGACTCGTTCTTGGGCTTGGCGACCAAGTTTGAGTTCTTCCGGGTCAATGGGGCGTACCAGGTGAGCGGGCTAGGCAACCCGTGAAGTGTTGCGCGTGCAAGCCGCATTGCACCCATTCTCGTAGATGTCGCTTGCATATCCGCAGACGTTCCCTGTTTCAACTGCTGCGGTGATAGCGGCGGACGGGAGCTCGTACAGACTTGGGACATTGTAGGTTGTTGGCAGAGTACGTTATTGCGTCGTATCCTGCCACTGCTGTCATGCTATGCTATGCTAGGTTGTACCTCCCACTTACTGACATAATGTACACTGTAATATGAACCATTCATGTATCACTCAATGAGATATCACGCAAGTACTGATTGCTTCCACTGCTTGACATCACCTTCGACTCGAATGAATGATGCCGCATGCAATACGATACAATGTCAGTTACACAATACAGCCCACAGACTAGCCAACGCCGCTTGTCTCAACGCGATGCAAGCGCAGCCCCGATATCCTCCACAACCGCCCACGTCTGCTCGATCCACCTCTCCACGACCTCGATGTGCACCCTCTCCCTCACCTCCATTGCCTCCGCATGTGCCTGCGCGACCTCGTCTCGGCGCGCCCGGTGCGCGTCCCCAGCGTTGTGGAGCACGACGGCGAGGAGGAAGAGCACGTCGCACTGCGCGGGGTACATCTCCAGCGTTGCGTAGCACTCCGCGGCGTCTTCAAGGTACGGCACTGCCTGTTCTAGCGCGGATTCTGCCGGAGGAATATGAAATGGGGCGGTGTGTAGAGGGAGGGTTGCGGAGGTGTGCAGGTGGCCGTTTGTCGAGGAAGGGAAATGCGGGGATGGGAGCATCGCGGAGACGTGGGTACATCAGACGCATGAGACCAAGGCAACCGAAAGTGTGGTGGTGGGCGGCGGGAGGTCGGTAGCATCGTGTTGATGGCGATGGGGACACGGCGTATCAGCACAGGTTCCCAAGTAGGAGAAACGAGGAATGGATGCGCGTATAGGCGTGTATGGGTGCATGAATTTCAAAATGATGGTAGCCAGTCGTCAGCACTGGGCGTGGCGTACAGAAAAGGCAGGCGCGAGCTGAACGGACGTACGAGACGAGTCGCCAGCGGCGATGATACAGCGCGCCAGGGTGAACTCCGCAAACGCCTTCTGCTCTAGATCATTCTCGCTCATGATCTGGGGAAGGCGGCGTCCGGAGGTGGTTTGATGCCCGGCAGTTGAAAGGTCACATAGTGTTCGGTCGATGGGTTGGAGTATTAGGGTTTTCAGCTAACTTATTGGGCGGGCGGATGTATACCTCATGTGCAAAATCATACCTGAGGCATCACTTCGTCCATGAGGCGTCTGCACCACTTGGTCATCCCAAACTCGAGCCCGACATCCGCGAGCAAGATAATTGCCGTGCGGTATAGGTTGTATCGTCCGTGGTACTCTGCGTGCCATAGCGCTGTGAGGAGCTGGTCGACAGACGCGTGACTCTGTTCGCACATCTGCAACCCCCAAGTCAACATGCCGACCCTTAAGCATGGGCCCCTAAGAGGCAGAGACACTGACCCGCATGAGCATAGCCTCGTACAGCGGGTCCCGTATTATGGAACCAAACTGATCGTTCGCCCACTGGTACTCCCTGGGTATATGCGGCGCATTTGGTCGCCTTGGGATCAGGTAGTCTTTCAATTGACGCTGTTGTCTGCTGCATAGATGTCAGAGTTCGTCGCAGGACCAAATCACCATCTTGAGTCAGGCGGAACACACCGGCGGCATGCGCGCATAGCGAGGATGCTCCAGATTTCGAATGCCCACAAGTTGTAGTCAGCGAGACTCAGGCCTCGCCAGACGTCGGGTTCCAGCAGGGATGCTATCGCCTGCTGGTACTTTCCCTGCCGAGCGACCTGCCGAGATTGGCCAAAGTTAACGCCATCGACATCTCTCACACCAGCATAGCGCGGTAAGTGGCGAAGCGAAGACCTACATGATATGCACGATTGAGCGCAACTGTCAGACGCGTGTTGTCATCTCCGCCCACTTCCGAAAAGGCCGTGACGATGTCTTCCTCTATTCTCGCCAATCTCGTACAACCTAGAGTGGCGGAAAACTCGGTCAATCTAGGTCCGTAATTACGCCTATAATGATGGAGCGGTTTGAGGGAATGGTGGCGACGTACCGAAATTGGTCCAAAGGACGCTCTGCACAGCATGCTGTGCGAGCTGTTCCGATTCGACGTACTGTCCGCCCTGGACGTCAATGTAATGATCGTAGAGCCCGATAGCCTGCACTATCCGTTCATACGCCGCGGCGAGGGGTTGTTGCTGTAGTATCACGCATTAATGCTAGCGTAAACAGTACCTTTGTGCAGAGTTGCAGCGTAGGAATGCGAGTCGACGTACATACTGAACGTTCATGAGCTTCTTCACGTCTGCCAGAATCTCTAGAGGGTGCATGTCGGGCTGGACCTCATTGATGATCGGCCATCGGCCGCGCTCGAGTGGCGGCAGTCGATGAAGAAGACTACATGCGTCAAAGTGTCAAGGGCGTTTAGAGGTATCGGTGCATCCCAAGACCTGCGTGCGTACCTTGAACAATGTTGCAAGGTCTTGTTGTCGCCTGCCGTCCGAGATGCCGTGATAGCCTCTTCCAATGTCTGGCGATTACCCATGTCGTCAGGAGACACAGCGGGTGCAATGACTACGCCACTTACTTTCCGACACGCTGCTAGTTCCCGCCTCAGGAAGTACATCCGCGCCAAATTAAGCATGGCATGCTGGCGTAGTCCCCTGGTATTATGGGGTGACACGTTAGCGCCCGGAACAAATGAGACTGATACACCAGACAGAAGTCCACGGCCGTAGTGCGCGCAAAAGTTAAAGGGGGCCAGTGACGTACGATTCACTGCCTTCGTGAAATTTCTGCTCGAAAAACCGCCGGAGACCATCATTTGCGACATTACTGTCGTTGGTAACCAAGCCTTTCATGAATCTAACAGCAACAAAGACAAGGTTAGTGGTCCCGAGGCCGGGCTTGGCTTGGCTAGGAGACGAACTACTTACAGAGCGTAGGTCTCGGCCTCGGCATATTCCGTCTTATCCTGTTTCGATTTGAACAGCTGATAATCTGTAGTTCCAAGCAAGCGGCCATGCGGTGGTTAGTGCGGGAAAGAATTTGAAATGCCTGAGGTTATGCATTTGGGGATGACAGTATCCGAGGGGGCGGGAGACTCACCGTTCGTGATGACATCGCGACGGATTTGTGCGTAGCCGGGTGGCGTAACAAAGCGCGGGTCGGCGTCGGACCTGAGCCACGCATGAAAGTCATTGAATAGCCTCTCGATGCCGACTATAGAAAGTTTGATAAAGGTCACGAAGCACCGGTGGCAGAAGTAACCAAATAAGGAACGACGACTCTGCGGAGCATGGTGTTCAGTGACCTCGTGTCGCGCACTGGGCGGCTATATGAGACGGCATCTGTATATACTCACAAATCGCGCCGTCTATGATCGGATGCGCAGTACGTCAATGATTGTAGTTCGAGTCTATGCAGAACCTTCTACGTACCTCTTCATCATCTCTGTCGTGAAAGAGGAGCGGGAGCGCTGTCGGATGATCAATGCGAGGCTCGCAGAGGGCATACTTCTGGGGTTCGTACTTTGCATGAAGTCCGATAGCTTGTCGGGGCTGACGAAAGCATCCCCCTGTGGCCAACGGAAACCGATAAAACGGTAAGACGACATGGGGCTATGAACCCAATATTGTTTGAGGCTACTGACCACCTCTTCTAACCTCAGCAGTATAGCCTTAACAGGGCCATCTGCTCCCGGAGGAGCGGCTTGCTTGATATCGTTGAGTATCTGTAAAAATGACCTAGGTGGAGTGATCTACAAGTAAATTGCGTTTTGAATCGATGGATCTAGGACGGTCTGTGATGCACGAACCTCAGCCACATCGCGGATCATGATTCGGTGAAGTGCAAGGGTGAAAGGCCCTGGTAGAGGGTTTTCGTCGAGAGGCTGAAACGCTAAAGCAAATATGTAGAGTAACAGGATATGGTGTGGTCGTAAGACGTGGCTTGCGCGAGCATACTGTGGGACTGGGTCTGGGGGCGGCGCAGGTGGCATTGTAAAATTTGGGGCTTGAATAGTCGAGGGAACCAAATAATTGACTACCCGAGCACTTCGTAAAGGCAGAAGCTACGTTTTGTGATGTCTTCAGCCTCCTACGTGAGCGACCTGGTAGTATGATGATGGAAGTTAGAGCAAGGGATGCACAAAGCCCCGTGAGCCACAGCGCGCGGCGCGCACGAACACACAGCGACGCGTCAGTCACGCGTCGGTGACATCCTGCGCGCGTCGTGAGAACTGATTTCCCTTTCGAGCCGCCAGATTTTCAGAACTCGCTCCGCAGGGCATGCTGAGCATCCGCTTGTTCTCGTCCTCCCTACCTCTTGCTGGCACTATGGTCGTCAAAAACACCAAGAAGAGGGTCGCTCAACCCGCGCAGGTCAGTACTCGATTCATCCTTTGACTTGCAGCCTTACTGAAGCGACGCATAGAGGCCCTCAAAGAAGCGCAAAGTAGCCGGCGACAGCCATTCCTCCAAGACCAAGACCAAGGGGAAAGAGAGGGCATTTGACAGGCCCACCATCCCTATACCCAATCTAGGCGGGGAAGAAGACGTTGAGCTATCGGAAGACGACGTAGATATGCTGGAAGAGTACGGAGGTGCCGTCTCATTCCTCCGGTCACTGGACGAGAAGGGAATTGCGAGGTGCGCATGTCACATCTCTGTGGAATGGTCTGGGAAGTGTCGCGCATGGAACAACATCTGAGTAATTGGATGCCTCCTCTCGGGTTCAAGTCGCGGTCTTGCGCAGCAACTAGACTGTCGTACTGCTACTCTTCTATCATACATCACTCTCTGTTCGCGTCTCTGCGCCATCTTTACTGTCCGATCATGTCCGAGTGGTCTGTTTCTCATTTCGATGTTTGGCATGTATAGGAGCAAAAAGGAGACGGAGCGGCTACACCAGCTGCACAAACCGGTCCGAAAACGCGTGGAGGACGACCTGCCTTCAATCAACTCCGCCTCGGAGGATGAAGGGGAGGAGGAATGGACTTCGGGCATCAGTGCCGATGAAGATGTGTCGGGTGATGACGCTGCGTCCGACTTCGACGACGACGAGAGTTCAATAGCGGAGTCCTCCAGCGCAGGTGCGCAACGTAGACGTCGGCGGAAACCCATCGACTCTGACCAAGAGGAGCTATCTTTCGAGAACCAACCTCGGAGGCGCCGACCTGAATGGGAGCCCAAATCCGATGAGGATAAGGGCATTGAGCGGCTACCAATCAAGCTAGCGGACGGGCGCATACAGAAAAGCGGGAGTAAGGTCGTTCTGGAGGCGAGCGAAGACAGCGGCCTAGACAGCTACGAAGAGAGCGCTCACGAAACCGCGGCAAGCGCTCCTCGGCCCCGATTCGAGGATGTTTCTACAGGCGCCCGATTTGGACGCGCAGCGGTTGCGGACGTAATTGGGCAGAAGTCACGTAAGGCTCGAATACAGGGTGCGAAAGAGCAAATCGCTGGCATCTGTCAAGAGATCCTAGGCGATCCTGAAAACAGCGTCAGTGCCTCGACCATGCCTCCCGAACTGATGTGCGCGGGTTAGACTAACTGTCTATCTCGCTATTCAGCTTGGCCTCTTGCGGCGTCTTCACACTTTCTCTCTCCCCCAAATTTCTACACCGACGCATCCGGAACCTATTCCCAATGACATCGTCATCCGCAAGCTTACGTTCCTGTCTCAGCTCGCGGTATTCAAGGACGTTATCCCGGGTTATCGGATCCGTGCCCTCACGGATAAGGAAAAGGCGGAGAAGGTCAGCCAAATGGTCCAGCGCACCCGAGACTGGGAACAGGGGCTCGTGGGCATATACCAATCGTATCTTCGCAGCCTAGAGGTTGAGCTGAAAGGTGTGAAACGCCTCCTGAAAGTGATTGCAATGCAGGACACGGTGCTAACGAGAATCTTGCCAGCGAAGAGTGAATTGGCGGAGACGGCGCTTCATTGCATGTGCACGCTTCTGGTTGAAGTCACGCACTTCAACTTCCGCGTCAATCTAATGAGCTCAATTGTCGCTGCCCTGAGTCGCAAATCTTGGGATAAGGTATGAGTTCACTCCTGACAATCCCTTTCATCCATGGTCCATAATTCACGTCGGACCTTGCGCCTACTATTTTCAACCTTTGCAAGCCTGCTGACTGATTGACGGCTGCTACAGTCTTCCGACCTGTGCCTAGACACACTCATCAAGGTTTTTCGCGCCGACAACAGCGGAGAACCTTCCTTGGAGATCGTGCGTCTCCTCAACCGCATGATCAAGGAGCGCAAGTACAACGTCCACCCAGAGGTTCTCTCCTGTCTGCTCCACCTCCGTCTAAAGTCGGAGCTCGGCGTCCGAGCGTCCGAGACGAAGGCTGACAAGGATAACGGCGCGGGCGGTGGGAAGACATTCTCTAAAGGCCGCGCCGCGACCCGTCGTGCGAAGGGCAAGGCGGTTGACCAGCCTCACCTGAGCAAGAAGGCGAAGAAGGTGCTCAAAGAGCGCAAGGAGATTGAGAAGGAGATGCACGAAGCGGCGGCGGAGGTCGACAAAGATGAGCGCGCAACGAGAGTGAGTGACCTGTTTCTGGATCGTCTCGTGAGCGTCTAGTCTCAATAACGATGGAATCTTCCCACCGTTTTGGCTCACACGGACAATAGACCTAACCACTTTTGCTGACTGCGCTTCGTCTTCGTCTTTGTGTAGCATACCGAAACTCTCAAGCTGTTATTCGTGCTCTACTTCAGTATCCTAAAGAGCCCGAAGCCGACACCACTGCTCCCCGCGGCGTTGCGAGGGATCGCGCGGTTTGCGCACCTCGTGAACATCGACTTCTTCAAGGACCTGTTACAGGTCCTGAAGACGCTCATGACGCGCGACCAAGATCTTATTGTCGACACAAATACGGAAATATCTGGGCTCCCAGCCAGCTCTAGTCTTGCGGCTTCCTCGGGACCGGGCCTCCAAGGCGTGTCAAACATCGCCACCGTACAGCATCAGCTCTTGTGTGTCGTGACAGCGTTCGAGCTTCTGTCCGGACAAGGTGCGTGCCATACTTGTCCCCACACAACCCAATTGTCTGGGTCCCCTTTGCCCAATTCCACCGCTTCCACCGCTGTCTCGTCCGCATGGAACAAGCACTGACATCTACGTCTGCCACACACACGTCCACTGTGGTATAGGAGAAGCTCTCGACATTGATCTGAGCGACTTTGTCAACCGCCTATACTCCATCCTCCCGTCCCTCGCGTTGATGCCCGACATCGAAGTCGCGCCGACCTCAGCCCGCGCACAGGCGAGCGTCCGCGGTCTGTCCTCACCGCAGTCCCCGGCGGACACGCTCTTCCGTGCCCTCCAGCTCGCATTCTCCCCGCGCTCTGCCTCCGCCGCGCCCCCGTCCTGGCGCTCTGCCGCGTTTTCCAAACGCCTTCTGTCAGCGGCGCTCCAGTGGCCGCCCGCGACCGCCGCGCGCGCAGTCGAGTTTGTGGCGGGCATGGTGGAGCGGGACCCAAAGCTCGAAGCACTGCTGTCCACGGAGGACCGTGCCGGGAACGGGGTGTACCGCCCCGACGTGGACGATCCGCAGGTCTGCAACGCGTTTGGGTTCGGGAGCGCCTGTTGGGAGCTGCGTACGCTCGTGTCCAGTCACTATGCCGAACAGGTCCGCGTCGCCGCAGCGCGGTTATTGGAGTCGCGTTCCTCATGATGGTCTGCATGACGATGTGCGCTAGGTCTGCGGGTCGAGCTGGCGTCCGTAGTCTAAATTGAGATTTGTGATATGTGCTAGTACATGTCCCGTGCTGCGGTACTCAGGGGCTCAACAATGCATGGAAGTGTCTATAGTGTTCCTGCCACTTTATGAATCGTCCGGCAGAGCAGAACGAAGCCGAATGGAGCTGCCACGCGTGAGGCAGCTTGATACGTGAAGTCAAGAGCGCCCGGGCGCTACTGGAATGTCGACTGGCGACCGAGAAGGGACCGGTAACCTGGAGCGGAATGAACATGACGTGTACGAGATACAGGGTGATATTCTGACGGGCTAGATCTACAGCTCTTTCTGTTACGATTGTCAAAATGCTACAAATGGAAGGAAGAAGCGTTCGAAGTCGAAGTAACGGAGCACCAACCAAACGGGACATGCTTGTGAGACGTGTGAGGGGGGGGGATAAGTGAGCGACGGTTCCGCCGAATAAACAAGAGAGACAGAGAGACGTCGTGTCCTGCAGAGGGTCATAAATAGTCACTAGCCGGACGCGCCGCCCTGGCGGCGGACGCGCGTTATCCGTCGTAAGGTATCGTAAATTTGTTGTTCCGTCCGCGCGCGAAGGGAGACTGGTCCGTGGCCGCCCCTGGCCGGTATCATGATCTATCTGCGCGGAAGCCGTGCCAGGGAAGACCGCTACCGCTGCCCGAAACCAAATGTGGCCTGCGTGGGGAACGAGTACGGCAGCATGCGTGATGCGAGATTCCCGACGGAGCTCGTACCGGGGACGCTCCTGGGCACGAACGACGGGTGCGGCAAGATGGGCGAGCTCGAGAGCGCCTGGGAGAACGTGGGGGACTGCGGCGTCACAGGGGGGGAGCCGAGGGGGGACGCGAGGTGCTGATGGGATGACGCGGCGGAGGAGGGCGGTTGCCCGCGCCAGGGGTACTTCTGGAAGCCGATGAGCTCCATGGTCGGCACCTGGCGCGATGCGTCGGCCACGCGCTCAATATGGTACACGAGAACCGCGAGCACCTCGTTGTCCACGACGACCTGTTGGGTAATCGTCCGCACTGCTAGGGCGTAACGTGGACGTACAAGGATATCGCAAAGAGAGCAAAGAAAAGGGGGGCACGTGGTCAGCGTGTGATCGACGACGACATGCGGCTGACGCGTTGCGCTTGCTAGACAGCCACATGCAAAACTAAACTTTGAACTCACCAGTGTCGAGCCAGTGGCAGCGGTTGAGCGCTGAGTCTGGCAGGTACGCGTATACCGTTTGCGATGAGGACGGGTCGGCATTGAAACTAGCTTGAAGCTCCGGAGTCGTGACTTGCGCGAAGAGCCCTTGATCTTGTGACATCAGGGTTCTGCTGTGGCCCCAGCTCTTCGTTTGACACTTTGCGATGGTTGTCCAAGGGCTAACGAAAGATATTGCACCATTGACGCCTTGGAGGTTGGGCGGACAGCGGAGATCTGCCAAGGGCGGCATAGAAACTCGGAAGTGGAGAAATATCCGCGACGGTAATGAAGGCGTTGCGCCGACTAGCCGATCAACGTCGAGGGAGAGAGGAGCCATACCATCAGCCCAGAAGTACAGGTTGGATATTCGATTTGGAAGGGACAGCGTGTAGTCTGCGCCGGAATCAGAATACGTGGGCTGTGGAAGCGTGAAGAGAGTCGGATCCATCGCTAGTGGCTCTAGCTTGACCGATACAGGAGTGATAGGATGTGCGGTAGAAGGCGATGAGGGCAAGACGCCGTACGGGACATCTGCCGTAGATGGCGGAGAAACAGATGTGGCGAATAGATCCTCGGAGCCGAACTCAAGGAATGGTGAAGTCTGCGACGGAGACAAGGAAGAGTACGACGAGGAGGCGGTAAGGTCGCTGGGGAACTCCGATGTGCGGTGTTCCGGAGTGGATGAAGAGGAGGAGGAGCCCGCGTAAGAGTCACGGGCTTCCGCCCTGCTCGGCGAGGAGGCATTGGCGGGGCCTGTTCCCGGCTTCTTGTCCTTGTCCGTGTGCGCCAGGAGACCATTCTCCTGGAAAAGCTCCTCGCCGCCGGCTACGAGGTGAAATTCTGCGCGGGCACGGTCAGCGTGAACTGGGGGATGATAATTGTGGAAGCATACCAGGCTGACCCCTCCACATGTTGCGGAGGACCTGAATGTGGCTCGCGACCTGCTTCTTGGTGCGTTCGATGCCGGCTTTCTTGAGATGGTCCACGAGGAACTGGTTGCGCCACCGACTGCGACCACGAGAGTAAGTGGCCCACGGAGATTGCCAGTAGAGGCGAAGACCTGCACACGCGCTCGATTAGCGCGAGGGGGAAGCGCAGCAACAAAATTTGGGCTGACCCTCGACGAAGATCTTCTCGACCTCCTTGGACCACACCTCGCTGCCGTCCTTCAAGAGCTTGTGGTGTTTGCGGGCGGGGGTGAGGTTCTGTGGTGCTTCCGGGAGCGACTCCATGCTGGAATTGGTGGCGGAGGAGATGCGCGAGGGAAAGGGGGAGACAGAGGGGACGGTAGACTTGCGGCGGCGGTAAGCAGAGGCTACTTCCCTCCCCATGGATGCCGACGGAGGTCGCACGCGAAGGAGGGTGGCGCAGGATTTGGAAGGTAGAAAGGGGACGGGTAGGTGGAGGACGGGGTCGCCGACATTCAGCCGGAGAGGGGAATATATATACAAGAAGGAGAGGATTGGGAGGAAAGAGGAAATGTGCGATTAGAGCAGGGGCGGGCAGCGCTCGCAGCCGGTGACACTCGTGATCCGGGTAAGGCAGGCGAGGTCCGCTGTGTTGGAGTCAGTCAGACACACAAAACAGCCCCTGTCCCTCCGTTTGGGCCTGGATTGGATCGGGGGTTAAATGCGTTTTCGACAAACCAGCACAGGAATGGAAACATATCCCATCCCCACCGCCGCGATCCAGAACATCCTCCCAATCCAGCATAGCGGCCGAAGCTGCGTTTGCACCCCAGACGTCCCCAGCGTCCCCCCGGCCTAGAGCCCTCAGCACATCGGAGTAAGCGCATCTGCACGGGAAGCCCCCTCGCACGGCACAGACAATGAGAGCACACCGAGCGCGTTCACACCGCAGCCCTTTCAACCTTCCCGAAAAGGAGCGGACACCGTGGGCACCTGCTCTCGACGAAAAGCGAACGGCCACAATTGGACGTCACCCGCACCCCCCCCCCTGGCCCGAGGATTCCGGGCCCAGTGATGCCCATCGCGGCGTCGCTAGACAAAAAGACTGGTGCAGATGGCGGTCCGTGGGATGATGGTGGTGGCGGACGTGCTGGCGGTGAGTAGCCACGCCCCTACCACGCGTCGTGGCAGATCGCACTCACAGAGGAAGTGAATCTGGGCTCCCATGCGCGGAAGTCCAACCTTGCACCCAAGCACGTCCGCTCTGCGCTGAAGCGGAAGCTGCGACCCCGCCCAGCGTAGAGTTTGATATTCCCAAGCTCCTCCCGCCTTTCCTCCCCCAGCGCCCGCCCCCCGGTCTCTCGGACCTCAGCGCCTCGCAGCACCTCATGACGATCGGTCCGACCCTCCGACAGCGCCTGAAACGGCGCCTGCCCTCCGACCACGGCGTCGGAGCAGGCGCGCACAGCCTTCCGCTCGTTGTCTCCGGCGATGAGCAGGTCAGAATCACTAACGCACAAGTGGCTCCGCCAAAACCTACAGCCATATGCTCAAGCCGATGTCGTCTTTACACATGTCGATGCGGCCCTCGCCCGGCACCCCACCATCCGGCCCAAGACGGACGTTTACAGTTCAGTCTCTGTCATCGCTTTGCATGATCCGTCCTCTCATGTTCTCCCACTCGCAGCGTATGACGACGGGCGGACCCAGCTGTTGCTGTGCCTGCATGGGCTTCTCCCCATAAACTTCCGCGGTGCTTCCTACAACATTCCCATAGCGGTTTGGCTGCCAAGGGAGTATCCCCGTAGCCCGCCTATAGCTTATGTCGTCCCGACAAGTGACATGCTCATCCGAGCAGGTCCGGACGTCGACGTCAGCGGTCGCTGTTCCGGACAATACGTCCGAAATTGGGAGCGCAAAAGCGAGGTTGGTGTCAACGATACCTGACAGAGCTGACATCAATGCTCATCGAGTGACGCGCAGGGTTGCAGTCTTGTTGGTTTTCTGGACGCCATGCAAGAGACGTTCTCACGGGAACCACCCGTGTACGCAAAACCAAAGGACACTACTGCTGCACAGACAACATATCTGCGGCCACCAACGTCCACGACGTCTGATTACCCCCATCGCCCTCCCCCCCCACTTCCCGTAGATCGTGCTGCGTCTGTAGGGACGCCCATGCAATCAACACACTCTATAGATGTGGATGCTAGTGGTCCTCCTCCGTTACCCGCCAAGCCTGGCGCATCCGTATCAACCGCTGCTTTCTCACCTTCGAGGAGCGCATCTGTCCCTCTTCCCCAAGCGTCCGCAAGCATCCGAAGCCAATCGCCAGTCACTATCGGCACCGTACGTACCAGCTTCATAGCCTTGTATTTTAGAACTTCAGATCCGGATCGTCTCGCTGATCGCCGATCCGACGACTTGCAGCCCGCTCTTGCGATGAGACCACCGCCACCGCTCCCACAGGAAGTGGGCGTACCAAGCCAATCGAACAATTCGCCGGTCCCACCAAGCTATCACTCGCACGACCGGAAAACTGTCCACTTGTCCTCTAACAATCCGTCGTGGTCGGCGCGCATACCATCGAGCCCACCGAGCCAGCCTCGATCAATACAGCCGCCATATCGGGCAGCTGCGCCAACACCCTCTCCGCCGCCCCCGCCGCCACTGCCGCCTGCTCTCTCTGCGACAATTTCAGCCGTAACGTCACCGATCGGTTACAGCGGGACGTCTCAGCACCCTTCTCCAACGCCTGTCGCCTCAAGCCACGCCGGCTCCGTATACTCTCCGCCCCCACCACCGGCGTTCTCAGCACCCCAGCCTGTCTTCAGGGGTCCGGCGACGAGTCCCCCGTATCTGACCTCTCCAAGTGGCCAAGCACCCCCGCCCCCGCCGTTTCCACCCGCTTTCGCCCCTCCCGCGCACCCACCTGCCCCCCCTGCGCCACCATCGTTCGTGCCCGCGCCGGATTTGTTGGACGAGCAAGATGGCGAGACCGCCGGCCCATCAGGCTCGTCCGCGCCAGCAGCGGGCGCACCGCCGCGCCCGCCGAACCCAGAGCTCCTCCGGCTCCACGACCAGGTGCACGCGAAGCTCTCCTCCGAGCTCGCGTCGCTCTCGCAGGCCATGGCGCTCGACGCGGAGCGCCTACGTGCCAACCAGACAGACCTGCTCGCCGGGGAGCCTGCGCTCCGCGACGAGATGGCGCGCCTGGAAGCCGTGCGCGACGTGTGCCGGGGGGTGGCCGCGCGGCTGGAGCAGGTGGTCGCGGCGGGGGAGCGGAACGTCGCCGAGCTCAGGCGGAAGGGCGACCCGGAGGTGGACGAGATGATCTGCTCGACCACGATCGTCTACAACCAGTCAGTATCCTGAATTGTTTTCTCCGCCCGCATACGATGTTTTCTGACCGCTCGCTTTTCTCCTGCGTTGCCTCGATTCGGATGTGTTCGCGTTCTGGAATTTGCGCAAAATTCAACTTCGGTCTCCGTTCTCTGCGTAACACTCTGCGTAAAATGGACACGAATCTTGCCCGGGCTCGATGACGCTGTTGCAGGCTCATCAACCTCGTCGCTGAAGATAACGCAATTGAGGACACAATTTACCATCTGCACCGCGCCTTGAACTCCGGCCGTGTAGACCTCGAGCGGTTCCTCAGGGTGCGTCATTCATTTCATCACCTGTTGGCATTCTTTTGGCATTCTTTCGGTATATTGCAGAGAAGCGGCCTCAGTAGCGAAAGAGGACGCTTCTCACCCTGAGTCTGCGTAACAAGGGTCTCTATGGTCACTCTTCGCACAACTTTGCGAAGGTGTTCTGCTGTCATCTGATGGCGGGAGTGCTGAACCGATTGGTGGTTTCCAACAGACTACTCGCGTTCTCGCCGAGGAACAATTTATGAAGCGCGCCCTCATCGAGAAGATCAGAGCCGGGATCCCACTCGAAATGTCAGACGAAGCTCCATGGCCTGGTGGTCTTTCTCAATGGCGGTAGCAGGTGACCCCAACTTTTCGCGTCAGGCGCTCGGGGGAGATGGCAAAATAGCATAAGACGACAGAGAAGCATGCATTTGTTCCCGAGATGAATATGGAACATGAGGGACGAGCTCGACTGGAAGCCCAGTAGTTGGGCAAACTGTACTGTAAATGTGAATTCGTTTGTACTCCTCGGTCTAATGAGCCCGGCCGTCGGTTCTGTGTCGACGTCTATAGTCGATCATGGTAGGCGGACATACCTATGGTAGATGCCACATCTCCCATAGACTCGTAGTTTGGATTTCCGGAGCCGACCTAGGGGCATCTGCACGCTGCAAGGTCTTTTCCTCCATCCCCAATCCTATCAGTGAGGTAACTCTCCCGTAAACCACGACATGTGCTGTCAATATACATTCCATCGCCTCCCTCGACGGCTCGGAGTCCGCCTTCTAGTGCGTACTTGGTGGCTAGGTTTTGCCCAGACTCAGTGAGTGCTCTTACTGACCTTCCTACCGACGTCATCCTGCCACTCGACTGCACGCAGGTCAATACCCCGAAACGAGTCCGCGATGTGTGCTCCTACACTGCTCCTCCAATCGCGACGCAGGAAGTTTATAAGATTTAGATTGGCAGCTTCGGCGACGTCGCCGCACGCGAAACTTGCATTGCAGTCCACGACGTCGGACGGAGCAATGCGGCATCAATCACATTCAGTGGTCCAATGGGGGCCGTCGTCGCATATAGCTATCCCGTACCGAGCCGTCGACGCCGATATACAGTGCCTTACATATCAATAGGCCCTTTCGAGGAACAAAAATGCTTGGGTCGGTGAGAGAGCCGACCAACTCTCACCGACCAAAGTGCGAGTCAGATCCGCCACTCGAGAACGCTGCAGAGCACCCCCGAGAGAGCCTTCGAGACACCTTTGACTGCCTGCGCTGGGCCTGCTGGGCGATGCGCTCGGTGGGGTCCCAATGCGGCTGACTATCACTTAGTTGGGCTCCCAACCGACCTGAGCATAAGTTGGGAAACGGCCTATCAATCTGCAAAACGCTGTCAACGTGAACACATGGCTACTGTACGCCACGCGGCGCTTGGCGGCTCACGGCGTCATCGGAATACGCGCTGCTGGACCGCCGGCCCGGCGTTTGCATGGTGGTCAGTTCAGCAGAGACTATACACTCTGCGCGACTGTGTTCGAGGGCGAACTAAAGCAAGCTGATCGACCGAATGTAAAACTATGCATATCGACTCGGAGTTTCCGATTCTACTATGAAGGGTATTCCGCATGCCGCCAGTAGTAACATAGCCAGTCTAGGAGTCTGTGCTGATCTCTGAGTTGTACTATTCATGGAATTGTTCGATTATGATACCTTCGAGTCTCATCAGCAACCACCTAGCGATCATCAGAAATTTTCCTTGTGTCGGTGCTCGCGCTGAGGCAGTGGTAAGGAAGATTCATTCATTCAATGGGGCCTGATCTTGCTTGGGAGCGCATTGAGCTTGTGGCCCCAGGGGCTCACTGCGGCGTCGTGTCCCTGACCGGTCGGAGGCGAGAAAAGACTACACATACATTGGATGGATTCGGGACTTACCAGGAGCAGCACGGCCGCATGTCGATATCAGTATACGTCCCGAATCTTCTGCGGGGTTCCGTGGTGTGGCTGACGAGTTACGGAGCGTAACAACGCTAACGAACGTACATAGCTGCCAAGTGCGATCCAACACGGAGATGACCGTACGGCGAAGCGTTGCGATGTTCCATTCGCAGAGACTCGCAGGTATGGGACCGCTTCAATGTATCGTCACACTAGTTGTGCTGGAGATGTGGTAGGTTCAGTACGATATGAATAAGCAGTCATGCCTTAGGGACTAATCTTCGGATATCATCACAGGAGGGCTTGCTTTCCGTACGCATGCCATATGCTCACAATTTCGAGGGGCATGTCGGCATCACGAGCATCGCGATGTGTCGACTGCCAGATTGCGAGATTATAAATCGGATTCGGACCTCTCTTTGTTACGCCAAGACGGGCGAAGGTGCCTACGGACGAGAGAGGGGCTGCTAGCATGACGGACAATGATAGAGCGTTGATTGAGGCCAAATCGAGGGGCTAACGGGACGTACACGGAATATGGTACAATGGTGATAGATATCGTCATAAGCAAAGACGTGAGTGCATACAGGGACGTATGGGAAATTCCCAACAGAACAGCCGAGAGCGACATAGACAGCGGCAACGAAACAAGGAGTAGAATCAGGAGCGATAGAACAAAAAGGAGTTCGAGCTAGGAGGGAATGATGGGACAACGGACCAGCGCGCACGGCACATCGGACGGTACCGAATCATGTCGCAGCTTATGCTGTCATGCGACGACGCGACCGCCTTCTCCGAAGCCCAGCATCCGGATTCCAGGCGTCTCCAGTGGAAGCGTCTTCCCCGTGCTTCCGACCCATTCCCAAACCCGCTGCTCATCTCCGCCTTCGACTTCTTGCAGGTTCGTACGGACATTCGCGTTCGCTTCGACAACCCGCTCGACCCGTGACCACAAACGCTTCCGTTTCGAGACATCATGTATGTCCTGCAAGACGAGATCGCGAAGCTGTAATGACGAGAGATAGGGCCGCGGAACCATTACGGGGTCTGTGTGATGGGCGAATTCCTGGTTCCGTAGGGAGTCCAGAGCGACGGTCACAAGAGTAGCGACCTGCTCGTCTTCAATTGCACGTTTCGCCTGTCGGCGGCGAACGGTTAGAATGGACAGAATCAGAACCAGCGATCCTAGAACAATCGTTAGCGAGAGACATGACATCAGGTATCTCGTCTGACGTACCAATGGTTGACCTCTGCCACTCGGCCCACGCTTCCCTGGCCTTGACTCGGGCAGAACACTGCCAACTCATGACAGGCGTTTTGTGCGCCAAGAACCGCTTGCCACTAAGGGCGCGTCAACACCAAGCGTGAAACAGCAACACGAAGTTCACGTACGTCGCATCCTCACATATAAAGACACCACCCCATTGCAGCAGCTGTCCCACAGCTTCATTGAACGTGTCATCTAGAGTGGTGAGCATATGAGGCTAGGGGTCGGCACCATCAGCATTCGCGCATGGCCGACCAATTCCGCGTCAGCTTACCGGTGTCTTCTCCTTGATGTGCTCCCGGAGCTTCTCAACCTCGAGACCCCAACGCTGAGCCTCAGTCGCCTCGTCGCCTTCAGGTAGACCAAAGTTTAAGCCTTCGCAGACCCGACGTCCCCTCTCGTTCGCTAGAATCGACTCGATGGCCTTACCAAGTACACCGATATGCCGCTTGCGACGAGGGTCCTCAACGCATCGCGGAGGCAGAGCAACCGGACCAACGTAAGGAGCACCATCGAGGACAAAGTGGATCGCAGCGTAGACAAGCTCGGAGAAGGAGGATCCAGAGGATATGTGCGCGGGCCGTTCGTAGGCCTGGAGAACACCGTTCGCCGTTTCTTTGCGGACGGAAGGGACGGGGAGAAAGGCCAGTAGTGGATGGGGTATCAGGATGTACCCGTTCTCGCAAACGATGGAGTCCGCAGTACAATTAGCATGTTTGGGACACGGTGTGCACTCGTCAGGTTGCACACCAGGGATGAGGGGAGGAGGTGGACAGGCCTCCGCGGCGACGATGGCGGACACATCCGGATCGGCGCTCAATGCTGTCGCTGTAGGCCTGGGAGGAGGCGGGGAAATTGTATGAGTTGCGTCGGCTACGTAAAGTGTGGTGCGGTTCTCCCGATTGCAGCTCTCTATCGCCGCCCTGTAGTCACGCATGCCATTAAGGATCGAGTTAGTAGACGTGCCAGCGTCGCAGAAGCCGATCTGTGCAGACTCTTGCTTGTACTGAACGACGATTCCTGAGCCCGTCAAGAGCAGGAGAGTCACCAGTAACTGGAGGAACCAATTGGGTCGCGGGGGATCCGGCTGCGCATTACGCGTCACGAGCGAGCCACCTTCCGCAATACGCTGTGCAACTGCATCAACGCTCTCCTCGTCAAGCGAGGCAGCCCTCTCATACTCCGGCACGCCTTCCACGTCTGTAGGTACTTCGACACCAGCCTCAGCCAAAGAATCTGCAAGGCTAGCAATGGGCTGAGCCGACGGTGATACCTCGTCCTCGTCTTCCTCCTTCAGATCGCGGACCACGGAAAGTCGACGCGCTTGGAATACAGCTGACGGCAATTTCGGTTCGAAGTCGCTCTCTGGAGGCTTCACGGAGGGGAGCCTCTCGCGTTCTTTGCCCTTGTCTGTGGGTGGAGAAGGAGGGGAAATCTGAGGAGGTGCAGACATAGATTTCCGTGATTTCGGCGCGGGGCGAGCACCGGCGGAGGATTTGCGAGGGCGCGGGCGAACAGGAGACGGGCGAAGGGGGGACGACTCCGTTCCCGATTGGAAGACATTGTTATCTTCCCATCCAGACTCTGGTTCATCGGTCAGAGGTCGCGAAACGCGTCTGGCTTGTGATCCCGCATCCGCAGCCTAGCAATGCTTATGGTCACTTCACAACATCAAGAGGGAACGTGACCACACGCACGGCCTTCTTTGGTCGACCGACCTTGCGAACGACGGGCTCTTCTTCCGGTTCGCTCTCTTCGACCAATACGGGTTCTACGGGCTGAGCAGCGCGCCTCCTCGAAGGCCCGCCAAGAGACGGTTCCGCGCTGGCGCGGCGACGCTTGGGTTTGGGCTACCGTGTACATTAGATCCAATGTGTCTCAAGAATGTGGCCAAGATGTACGGAAGGACTCACAGCAGGTTCTACTTGTTCGAGCGCGGGAGTCTTGGAAAGACGTCTAGAACTGCGCCTGACAGGCTGTTGCCATGATGTTATATGGCGCCAAACATGGAGAGAGAGCGCAGGCACGTACGTTCTTGCCCTCGTTCAGAGGTCTGCCAGTCATTCCATCTGTGATGCCATCCTCGCTGGCTTGACTATTCTCGCGTTTGATGCGTTCTTTCAGCAAACGTTTGGCGTTAGGCTTGATTTCTTCATTCCAGAGTCGGACGAGTGTGGATTTGTTGTATTGGGCCGGGTATCTGATGTTGTGGTGACCAAAGACCCCGAGAAGCTGCGCGATGGTGAGAGAGGCGGGGTCGAAGTCAGGCTTGAGGTAATCTCCTTGGGCGACAATCTGTGCAGCGGTCAGACGCGACATGGTGGTGAAACACGCGGTTTCCGCGCGTGGACGGAGGGCGGGAGGGCGGGAAGCGCGAAGGAGGACGTAGTTGGGGTTCAGGTCGCGGCGCGTCACCCTTCCCACGCCCGCCTTCCGATAAACAAACACGCGGTAGTCTCACGTCAATCACGTGCACAAATGGAGATAAGATGGAAAGGGGTTATCTGATAATCTGAGTCAGCTCTTACGCCACCACCAACGCGCGAAGCCCGCTGCTCCTCATCTTGACTCAATGTCGCCCCACAGACGAGCTGCGCGCAAGCATCGCGGTCCCGCTATCCTCGTTGCGCAGCCACCGCGATCGGTGCTTTCAAATAGATGTTGAAGTTCGGCCGAAGACCGGATGGTTGGAGTGTCAGTGTGTGTCCTCGCGGCACTCCAAGGGATCTGAGGGTTGTCACGCAATATGTATATATACCGCACCCACCTTTGCGAGTCTTCCCTCAGAAGCAATCCCTGACCATGTCTACCATCAACCAAGCCTTCCAGTCCCTCAAGGCGACACGCCCCATCGACGACGTATGGGTGCGCTCTGACGAGTACCACAACTCATTCCTCATTCAACGCGACGAGGCCCTCGAGTACGCTCGCAAGAACAGCGCCGACCACGGTCTCCCCGAGATCGCTGTCAGCGCCGCTCAAGGCAAGCTTCTCCATCTGTACGCGAAGACCATCGGCGCGAAGAAGGTCCTCGAGGTCGGCACCTTGGGAGGGTGAGAGATCACAACTTTTCTCATCGACACATTGCTGACCTGTTCAGGTACTCCGCTATATGGCTTGCACGGGCACTACCAGAAGGTGGTGAGCTGACGACGCTCGAGATCGACGAGAAGCACGCCAAGGTGCGAAGATGGAGTGCCTTGCGCCTTGCAAAAACGCTGACATGGGACGCCTACAGGTCGCCCAAGAGAACCTCGACCACGCTGGGCTCACGTCAAAGGTCAAGATCGTGCTCGGGCCTGCCATCGACACTCTCAAAAAGATCCCGACGGAGTCTCAGTACGACCTCGCGTTTATCGACGCCGACAAGGAGAGCAACCTCGACTACGTCCTTGAGGCCGAACGTCTCGTCAGGAAGGGTGGTATCATCGTCAGTCTTCTCTTGACCTCACCTACCATCGTGGCACTCGGCTGACGAGCGTTATGATAGATCGTGGACAACGTCGTCCGCCAGGGCCGTGTGGCCGATCCGTCCAACACCGAAGACGCCACACTGGGTGTGCGCAAGCTGCTCGAACACCTCAAGAACGACAAGAACGTCGACGCGACCTCCATCGGCACGGTCGGCGAGAAGGGCTGGGATGGCTTCATCTATGCCGTCCGGCTCTAATCATTCCCACCCAATTGTGTTAATAAGCGGATGGATGTACTTGTGAATATACAGCCGCGGATGTACCAATAGACAAATGCAGGGAGACGTGACGTGAAATGCCGTAGTTCACCGTCCTGACGTCCTCGAGAATCTGAAAACCCCTCCTGCTCATCATAAACTTCATTGTTAGCACTTGAGCTTGAGATATCGCGACCCTATCGTGTTCCTTTCCAAATCGGAGGGTTGCTATACCCGAAAACCGCTGCCTGCTTGCCGCCTTCCGTTGGCGAGCAACAAGGTGAAGATGCAGCTCCTCCACGACACGAACGATATTGTACCCTTCCACCAAGGTGACAAGCAATCCCGACCTGGAGTCCACTCTTCGCAACGTCCAGCAGAAAGCATCTTCATATCCTCAAGATCACGCAGGCACACAATGAAAAGTATGTGGGCGTATCAGGCCTGATTATATTACTAACCAGCGAACTGCCCTAAGCAGGGGAGGGTGGTACCTTTTCCTCGCATGCGAGTTGTAAAGTAAAAGGGGGGGAGGGATCACAGGATAGCAAGCAACAGGGGAGGAGAGTACTAGAGAGAGATAAGTGTCCAAGTCCATGCGCAATAAGATAAACACCGGTGTGGGTAAGCGAGGTATCGTAGCAAGCATCTACAATGCGCGGCAGCCCTGCGAAGTGTCCGACAGTAAGAGTCCGATTCGGCAGCTATGGATATACGTGCGGGGCGCCCTTGTGCGAGAAACCATGATGATCGTCACGACGGGGATCGTCCCCCGGCTGGGAGAGGCGGCTAGCTAGACGCGGTCCGCTTAGAGCGCGAGGATCGCAGCGGCGATGGCAGCGACACCGAGGAGCGCGGTCGACGCAGCGGTAGAGGCGGCGCCGTTGCTCTTGCCAGAGGGCGTCGCGGAGGGCGCGCTGGTCGATGAGGACTCAGACGCCGCCGAGCTGGAGGCCGGGGCGGCAGAGGCGGACTGAGTGTTGTCGACCGCGTTGTTGACGTTGGCCATGTCGTTGGGGATCACCTTGGGGGTGGTGCCGCTGAGGTCGATCGAGCCGTCGTCCTTGAGGGTCTCCGGGTTGGCACCGAGGAAGGCACGCGTGTACAGGACGTTCTCCGCGACGAGGGAGTGCGACCAGTCGGGGAGGCTGGAGAGATCGATGTTCTGACCCCAGTTCGCAGCCTTGTCGTTACCCTTGGTGAGCGTGTTGGTGTACGCGTTCATGGCAGCCAAGTCCGAGGAGTTGGAGACCATCGGGGCCATCGCCTGGGAGACCGAGGTGGCGGCGTTGTACACGGACGGCGGGTTGATCATACCGAACATGCCCTTCTGGCAGTGACCGGGGGTACCGCAGTAGAAGAACGTAGTGCTGGTGTCGTTGACGACCTGGGTGAAGGTGAACGGAGCGTTCTGCTCGCCGGACGCGAAGGGCGCGTCGCTGGTCTTGTTGCAGATCTCGAGCTGCGACGACTTGGTGACAGTGTGGTTCTTGGCGCCCCAGACGAACTGGACGGTGTCACCGACGGAGGCGTTCACCGCGAAGGGAACGTAGCGGAGAACACCCTGAGTGGGAGCGACGATGACGGTGTGGGTCACGCCAGTGCCCTGGCTGCCGGAGTAGGAGCCGCTGTCAGAGCCCTGAGTGGCAGAAGGGGTCCACGTTGCAGGAGGAGCACCGTAGGACGCGATGCATTCTGTGAATTTAATCAGTCTCAAAACTCACGAGGAAGGAGCAAGTAAAGCGACGCTTACGCTGCACGCAGTCGTTGTAACCCGAGCTTCCCCAGTTCGTGCTGCCGGAACCGTAGTTGCTGGACGACGTGCTCTGGGACGCGTAAGTCGAGCTCGTGGAGGTCGAGTACAAGGAGGTGGAAGTGGCGTCCGCCGTGGCAGTCGAGTAGCTGTTGTACGACGTGTCGATCGAGGAAGAGTAAGAGCCGCCGTACGACGAATCGGTCGACGTAGAGGAGGAGCCGTACGCGGACGACGACGAGGAGCTACCGTACGAGCCAGAGTTGCCGTACGAACCCGAGTTGGAGTTACCGTACGAGCCCGAGTTGGAGCTGCCGTACGATCCGGAGTTCGAGTTGCCGTACGAGCCAGAGTTCGAGTTCGAGCTGCCGTACGAGCCGGTGGACGAGCTACCGTAAGCAGAGCTGGACGAGCTGCCCTGGTTACCAGAGTTGTAGCCAGAGTTCGAGTTAGAGCTGGAGTCGTAGCCCGAAGAGCCGCTGGAGGAGGACGACGACGACTTGCTGTTGGAGCTGGAGTCGTAGCCGGAGCTGGAGCTAGACGAAGAGCTGAAGAGACCCGATCAGATCGGCTTGGGATCTAGCAGGTGGACTGAAAGCGTGCTCACCTGTCGTAGCCGGATGTGGGAGCGGCAGCGACAACGCCGACGAGAAGGGCAGTGCTGAGGAGGGTAGCGAAACGCATCGTGAAAAGTGAGAGCTAAAGAACCGTCGAGGTGTGTGGTGTTGGCGTTGGACAAGGACAGCGAGTCAATCTAGACGTCGGAAAAGGCCTCCCAGGAGGTTTTTGCAGCTAGCAGCCCCTATCAAAGGAGGGATCTGCGTAGACGACATCCCTGTTAGCGTACGTTAGAGACAGAAGATAGTAGAGAGAGGACATACCCCGAGGAACGAAGTGAACGAAGGAAAGAAAGTCGAGGATCAACTCGACTTCGATAGAGGAAAGCAAAGAACGAAGGGGGCGAACGAAAAGGTTGAAGGACAGGGAGAGGCTTGGCTGGTGCTTATATTGGGCCCTGGAGCCATGTTTCGGCGATACTGGAGTGGCATGGCGACAGATCATCCATTGGATCACCCTGATCTCTGCTCGCCGCGGGGGGCGTCCAAAGGATTCCCATCCCGCCCTCGGCAGCCAATCGCGTCCCTCGCCCGGCGTCGGCTCTCCAGCGCTTCCCGGCGCACTTGTTCCTGCTCTGACACCGGTGAATCCTGCTTCATCGATCTTACATCCCCACATGCTGTCCTCGCGACTGCTGCCATCACAACTTCATCTTCTCTATTTTTGCCTCTTCGTATTCCTCCCATATCCCCCCAAAAATAACGCGGTGCAAGACCCCGTTTGCACTCTCCACTCGCATCACCTTTGCGTTCCCAGTGGACGTCTTCTTGACATACCTGGCTGTTCAGGCGACGTAGGCGGGTTTCTTCCCGACGTCTGGCACTTCCTCGCATTTGCGTGGCAGAATTCAAGCTCCAGGTACAGCATGATCTTGATCGTGATGCATGCCACCGGAAGAGCCTAGGCGTCAAGCAGTGCATTCATTACAGGCTCTCTCCGTCGTCTTCCCGACATCTTATCGGTGTTGAGTATACCGCATGCCATCAGTCCATGGGCAACGTCCAATGAACAACCGGCTGTGGACATCCACTGCGACACATGGATTGCTATCGAGCACGGAGGACGCTGAGGCAATGAACTTGCGCGCAGCTCTGACAACAATCACAAGCCGTATCAGTTCTTTGACGGGAGGGAACTGCACCTGTCCGGTTCCACAACGCCGGGCAGCCCAACGCGACGGAAATACAGCGACATCCGTTTTGAGCGTCCGTGTATAACGTCAACTGATTCATCCGATTCCTACACACACGCCTCGTGCATTCTAGCGAGTAGAACCCCCAAAGTACGCAGAGTAAATGTCTACAAAGAGCTAAGAGCACGATGAGCCTACATAAGACCTAACGTGAACATCGACGGCCAACAGATCCACATTACAAACCAGAACAGCCCCCCCCCACAAAATCTGTAATCGCAATCAGGACCACAGCGAGCAATCTCATGATGGCGCGCTCGGGATCCCAACAAGCATGAACCCCGCCGAGTGCGCAAATTTGCCTCTGTAAGCCCTGCGGAACCCTCGACCAGGCATTCGGTACCGACCTATCTCGATATCCTCAGGCCCTGACCGGGCGCACACCAGATGGCAAGCCAATCCGTGTCGACGGTTGCCGTCCGCGACCCCCGAGGGAAGCGCCCAGCGGAGCAGGCATATTGCCGCTCGGTCTCCTCGGCGGCTGGACCGGGAAAGATGGCTCGGGCGGACGCGCGGCCGGCGCAGGCTCCCGCGGGGCGGGAATCATCTCCTCGTCCTCGTCGCCGTCGAAGCGCACCTTCGCCCTCCGTTTCGCGTCACGCAGCTCGCGCAGGCGGTTCATCGACTTCGTAACGTGCTCCTCGCTGCCGGCGCGCGACTCTAAGGGCGGGGCGCCCGCCTTGCGGTCCGCGAGGGTGGGGCCGCGTGCGATTCTGGGGGGCGGAAGAGGTTGGTCTTGTCTGACTGTCGTTATGGGGCGTGAGAGGTTGGACGGGCGGGTGTCTTCGGCGGCGTTGAGCTTCTGTTCTGGCGCGCCCGCCGTCGTCTTATAGCTGCGCACCCCACGCTCGCGCTCGTCAAAAAGCCAGTCGGGGAGATCGGCGGGGTCGCGCGCCTTCTCTATGTGGTAGGCTTTCATGGCGCGGGTGAGGCGGGATTCCCCTCCCACTGGCGTTTCTGTTGCCGTGTGATCATAACCTTGTGAATATAGCCTAGGGCGAAGATGGAAGCTATATCACGTACCTTCGCCGCTCATAATCGCGACCTTGCTCGACCACGCCTTGCTCACGCTGATCGTGAGGTTGCCCGCTACACCAGCGATACTACCCCAGAGCGACGACCCAAAGCCCGCAGGCAGCTTCCCCTCCATCTTGTCCTCCATGTCCATCTCATCCATGCTCGTCCTAGAAGACGCGGGCGACCCCACGAAGCCTTCAGAACCACCGGAAGAAGACGCGGAGTCCGACAGAGGATCTTCATTTCTGCGATATGTGCCGTAGTCATCAGATCGGCTGGCGGTGTGCGTTGCAGCAGGAATAGGTGCTCTGCCTCTGGGTGTATCTGCGCCTATTCTCGGACCTCTAGGAAGGCTAGGAAGTGGAGGCGCCACCTCGCGAGACGGCCCATTGCGCTGCTCTGCCCTACGATCGAGCGAACGAGAACGTACGGAGCCAGTTGTTGGTCTTGCGGGTAGGGCTACAGCCGAACGCTGGTGGCGAAGAGAACGCGGCGTCGACGGGAGCGGCGGCGGAGTACTATATTGGGAAGGGGGAGGACGTTGGCTCGCAGAGCTCGGGGGACGTGAAGGTATGTCTGATCTCGCCTGGCTCGCGATGCTCGAGCGTGCGCGAGGGTTGGAAGGCAGTCCTACGGTGGGGCGGCGGGAAAGAGACATGCAATTGCCGATATATAGGGTTGTATGCGAGCAGGGGTTGTTCTAGGAAATCCGGCGTGATTGATGCGTTACCAAAATCCAGTCCTGCTGAAGGCGAAAGAGACGGAGTAGGCCGCCCAGCGGGTGTAGTAGAGTAATAAAGATCTAGAACACCGAGGAAATGTATTAAAGAACGAAGGAAGGGATCAGAACCCGCGAAGGGGGCGGAAGAAGTGGCGAAACATACGCACCGTGCCAACGTTATAACCGTCCAGGAGTGGGAGACACGCACGTAGTAACCGTCGACCAAAGTTCTCGCGACTCTCAAGCTCTGTCAGAGATGCTTGGAGTCCTAAGGACGATCGTTTACGGGACCGGGTCTGGTCCGACCTAGAGAGACGTTGGGCGTGGGCGTGAAATGAGGCGATGCGACAGGAGGAAGTCAAGAGTACGACAGGACGTTGAGTGAACTGCCAGCAGTTCGTCCTTGGGTTCCTCTTGGGTGGAAATGAAGGCACGCGGCCTAAGTAGGTCGGAGGATGGGGAGAGAGAGCACAGGGCGAGCGGCCCGTTTCGATGGAGACTCGCAGTACGGATTCACCTGGCGCGCGGCAACTATAGACCGGGAGCCGTTACGTCGACGATGTTCCCATCATGTCTCTGTCGAGCTCACTGTCTCTCTTACCTTGCAAACAACTCCCTGCAATTTACGACTGGGCGATATGAACGAGCGGGATGTTTCGGACATCTACGAAGACGTGTTTGACGGCGCTCGGGATGTCCCAGACAGCAACCTACGGCGGGCCGCCGGCTGATGGAACGGTGTGAGTATGGCGAAACCCTCGCGCCTTCGTCCGCGACTCTCTATTCCGAGTTGCCTGAATGAACATAAACCCAGAGCCCGTCCGCGCTTCTTCTCTGCGTTCTCTCAGGCTCGTGCTCACACCCGCCCACGCCTGCTACTTCTTCTCCTTGTAGCTTGTGTACTGTCAAAATGCTCGCATTCGCGTCGCGATCCAAGGCGCTGGTGAAGCGGGCACCCGCAGCCGCACGATGGGCAAGTAGCGCAGTGAGCAAAGACCAGTTCAAGATCCTGGTAGTAGGAGGAGGTATGTATGCCATACCGTGACGCATCAGTCATTTCTTCTCCGTCAATCCTGATTGTTGCACCTTATACCCCGCGCGGACGCACAGGTTCCGCCGGTCTTACAGTGGCAAACCAGCTGTACAAGCGCTTCAAAAGCGCCGGAAAGGCCCTCAACGAGGGCGACATCGCCATCCTCGATGCCGCCGAGTATCATTACTACCAGGTGCGGATGATCGTCTCAGCGGCATTCTACGTCCAATATAGTTTTGCTCAATTACTTCCTTGACTCAATCTCCGCTATTCTCGGGTGGGAAATCCGTAACATAGCCTGGATGGTATGTGGCTGTTGCTCATGTATCTCGCGACCGGCGAAACGCCACACGTAACTGACACACGCTCCGCCCCTCGCTCTGACAGGACTCTCGTTGGCGCAGGCTTGAAGCAGAAGGAGGAGACACGCCGCAATCTTGACACGCTCATTCCATCCCACCTCGCGCACATCCCCGAGAATGTCAAGACATTCGAGCCTAAGTCGAACTCTGTTACGACGGCGTCAGGGCGCAAGATCGGATACGAGAACCTTGTCGTCGCGACGGGCCTCCAGACCAACTGGTCATCCATTCCAGGACTCGAGAAGGCTCTGGCCGACCCGAGCTCAGGCGTGTCCTCCATATACTCTTACAATACTGCCGACAAGGTATGGAGGGACATTGATGCCCTCCGGTCGGGCAAGGCCATCTTCACCCAGCCCGCCGGCGTCATCAAGTGTGCCGGAGGTGAGAACCCCTTTCGTTCTCGCAGTATCGCTTGGCAGGATGCCTCAAATCGTGTCTACAGCACCACAGAAAATCATGTGGATGGCGTGGGACAGGTACCAGAGGACGGGTCGTGGGGACACGATCTCCGTCGACTTCTACACCGGCACCCCCTCCATATTTAGTGTGAAGAAGTACGCGGACGCATTGAACGAGCTTCGCATTCAGCGCGGCGTGGGAGGTTACTTCAACCACAACCTGGTCAGCGTGAATCCAGATGCGCACAGGGCGACGTTCAAGACCCCAGATGGCACAATCGATGTCGAATACACTCTCCTGCATGTTTCCCCACCCATGGGTCCCCTTGAGGTCATGAAGGACCAGCCCATCGTGGACCAGGCGGGCTGGGTCTCTGTCGACCAGGCTACGCTCCGCCATACCAACCCCGAGTTCGGCAATGTCTGGGCGCTGGGTGACTGCTCGAGCTTGCCGACCAGCAAGACAGCCGCTGCTATCACTGGCCAGGCTCCTGTCTTGACTGAAAACCTGTTCTCCGTTGTCGATACCGGCAAGATCGCAAACGCGGCATACGACGGCTACACCAGCTGCCCAGTAAGCTTATTCCTTGATCCACACTTGTCCCCACACACTCATGCTGTCTTCGTGTCCTTAGTTGTTGACTGGTTACGGCCAACTCATGCTGGCTGAGTTCAAGTACGGTCTGGAGCCCAAGGAGTCTTTCGCGAACATCCTTGGCGATCAGGCCATTCCGCGCGCAGCATACTACTACCTCAAAAAGGACCTCTTCCCTTGGGCCTACTGGAATCACATGGTGAGCAGCTTCCCGAATCGCATGCCCTGTAATGTTTGACTTGTCGAACTATTCGTAGATCAAGGGCAACTGGTTTGGATCGTCTGGGTTCATTCGGCCCTCGTTCGGCCAGTAGACATCCCGGTGATTGCAGTACTACATTCATGTATTACCATATTTTTTGGATATAGCTTTCTGAGATCCCTCTGTCTCGTCCGCATCGACCGCCGCTATGCGAACTTATGACTCGAGCCTTACATAAATCTACGAATTATGAGTACAACACGCGGAGCCGACTAGAATCCAAAAATGTCGTCGATCTCGTCTCGCTTCTTTTTCTTCTTTTTCGCAGGTTTAACAGACACAGCTTCGGCGTCGCTCTTCTTCCGTTTCGCGCCATTGTCTGTGTTCTCAGCAGTTGAGACTGACGTAACGGTGGGAACATGCGACGACGTGACAGAACCCGCTGTATGTCTTACACCTGATGCACAGGAAGTCAATAAACGAGCGGTACGGAGAAAGCGCGTCGGAAAAGCTTACGCGTTGCTCGGCCGACTTCAAGCTCGCTCGAGAGGGAAAACGTTGTGAAGTCGACCCGCTCTTTCTCGTCGGAGTCTAGCGACAGCGGTTCGTTGGCAGATGGGAGCGACACCACGGCCGGTATCATATCTTCCTGGGGATGTACTGTGGTGGTACGGACTAATGCGCTTCCGACGTCTTCGTCCATAGCCTCAGCGGGAGCGGGGACCTTGCTAATGGCTCTTGAAGTGGTGTTGGACAGTATGGGAGTAGATCCCACAAGCTCCTCCTCGTTGGCCTTGACAAACTTTCTCACCTTTTGCGCTTCGGATAGCTTCGTCGACGTCAGCCAAGCGACATTGTATCGCGTGAACGGACTCACTTGCAACGTTTGCAAGGCCGTGTAGCTGGCGAACCAAGTATTCTGGAGCACAGCTCTCACCTCGGATAGAAGGAGGCTCATTCGCGATGCGATAGCAGCCAGCGTGAGGACCAACTGAAGAAATGCGCCTGTCTGCATCATGAGGGTAAAGGACCTGATATCACCGGTCAACAGAAACACATATACGTTTGAGGCTGCTTACTCATATGCAGACAGTAGCCGTTCTCGAGACTGTCGGACGATGCGGATCAACTTCCCTCTCGTACGCACGAACTCGAATCTCACGACTCACTCTGTCAATCAGCGTGCAGCACGCGGAGCACCTCTCCAGAACGAATAGTGATAGTTTCGCGTCCGGATAGTGCGTCCACGGACCTTTCAAGAGCTTTGTGCTGTACGGGGTGAACACTGTCACGGCTCGCAATGGCAGACTATACTGCTCAATCTACTCACGTCCGTACGGACGGTTCGCCCCAGTACGACAGTCGCAGGCTTTCCACTACGTCGTCCATATGCATTTCGTCCAGACGCTCACCAAGCTTTCTCATCTCAGCAACCCGCTGCCAAAATAGAGCTGTTCGATGCTGGTTCTTTCCCTTGTAATATAGCCGTTCCAAAACTTGGAGTTCGGTGCGATGACTGACAAGGGCTGCTTGGAGTCTGCGCGAGCATGCCTTGAGCTGCTTGAGGACGGCGTCAACCGCCGGATGGAGACCAGGCTCAAGAGCATATCTTGGGAAGCATTTCGGAGAGGGCGATGGTACATGGCGACGCGGTGGCATTGTCTGAGACGTGCGCAGTGGGATCGAGTGGCTGAGGGGAGCGAACGAGACATGGGCGCTTGCACTTGCAGCGGCTCCTGTTCGGCTCTCTCACTCGGCTACCCTCTCTAGATCTCGCGGTCATATACCCTCTCCCTCATACTGGCTCATCACCCCGCACGGCGACCGGGAACGTAGTGACAATTTTTGCAAGATGAGCGGACAAGGCGGTCAAGATGCCAAATTCTTCCAGCGGGGCAAGATCCAGGTGCGCGATTACCGTGCCGTCCACCGCGCCGTGTGTGCTATTGTGAGTGCTCGCTCTCTAACCATGCCGCTCCTAGGAATTCCGCGCGGAACTAGAGGCGGCGGAGTCCAAGGACAAGAAGTTCACCAAGCGGAAGACTGTGCTCAAGAAGATTGTCGCGAATATAACGATGGGTAATGATAGTAAGTAGTCGGGTTCCCGCTGCCTCTGGAGACGCTTACGGGATCGTGAGGTAGTGTCTCCTCTATTCACGGATGTGGTACAATCCTTGGGTACTCCGCTCCTGGAAATCAAGAAGAGTACGTGTCCGTTGTATAGGGATACCCATATCCGAGTGTTCACGGTGTGTCAGTGGTGTACCTATTCCTCGTGTGCTATGGTCGGCAGAAGGCAGACCAATTACACCTTGTGATTCCCCATTTCTTGCAGGTACGTTTCGCGTACCATACCAATTCATTTTGCTAGTGGATTTGTTGACAACATCCAGGATTGCAATGACCGCAACCCTCTAGTCCGCGCCCTCGCCATCCGGACTATGTCGTATATACCCACACCCATCGTCATCGAGGCATTGACGGAACAGTTGAGGCACTGTCTTAAGGATCGCGACCCCTACGTCCGAAAGACCGCTGCTATCTGCGTGGCAAAGCTTTACACCGCTGACCCGCGAAAGGCTGAGAAGGGTGGTTTCGTTGAGATGCTGCGAGACCTACTATTGGATTCAAACGCAACTGTGGTGGCGAATGCGGTCGCAGCACTGTCCGAAATAGGAGACCGACAAGATGGTGTCATCTTCAAGCTCAATCTGACAGTTGCTAACAAGCTTCTGACCGCGCTGGGTGAAAGCTCAGAGTGCGTAGTCATTCACTTCACTTTCTTCGAACCTCACGTGTCGATGGTGTATATCCAGGTGGGGCACCATCTACATCCTGGATTCGCTTCTGCGATACATCCCTGAGCGGCATATCGATGCGGAGATGATGGCGGAGCGTGTCATTGTGCAACTCAACCACGCAAATTCTGCTGTGGTACTCACGGCCATCAAGGTCCTACTGTACCTCATGAACTACATGGAGAACCGGAAGCTTATGGAGTACATCTGCAAGAAAATGGGACCTCCGCTAGGTTAGTGTCTGTCTGTGAGTATATGCAAAGCCACCTAACTTCTCCACAGTGACACTACTAAGCTCGGGCCCTGAGGTCCAATACGTCGCTTTGCGGAACATCCTTCTCATCATTCAGCGCAGACCATCCGTGCTGAAGAATGACGTGAAGGTGTTCTTCTGCAAATACAATGACCCAATATACGTCAAGCTTGCAAAGCTCGAGATCATGTACCGCTTGGCCCGCGAGGAGAATGCCAAAGAGGTCCTCGCGGAGCTTCAGGAGTATGCAATCTCGCCTTATGCGTTTGTTCCGCAGGAATCTGACCATTATGCCTCAGGTACGCCTCGGAGGTGGACGTCGACTTCGTCCGCAAAGCCGTACGGTCAATAGGTCGACTGGCAATCAAAGTCCAGGAAGCGGCCGACTCGTGTATACAAGCGCTGTTGGACCTGATGGACACCAAGGTGTCGTACGTGGTGCAGGAGGCAGTCATCGTCATCAAAGATGTCTTCCGACGATACCCAGGGAAATACGAGGGCATCATTCCCAAGCTGTGCGAACATCTTGATCTCCTCGATGAGCCAGAGTCCAAGGCCGCAGTGATCTGGATCATCGGACAGTTCGCCAATCGCATCGAGAACGCCGACGAACTTATGGATGATCTCACGTACACGTTCCTCGAAGAGCCAACGGAAGTGAGTGCTATAATTACGCTTTCTCCACGTGTGTCACCGCTAACAGGGTCTCATAGGTGCAATTGGCGTTGCTGACGGCTGCGGTCAAATTGTTCATCTACAAGGCGCATTCGGACACTACCAAGGCGCTCGTGCACAAAGTGCTGAAGTGGGCGACGGAGGATGTCGACAATCCGGATCTTCGTGATCGTGGGTTTATGTACTGGCGCATGCTTGCCATCAATCCTGCAGTGGCCGGTGAGATTGTCCTTGCCGAGAAGCCCGCGATCACCACGGATGCGGATCGGATGGACAGAGGAGCACTGGACCAGCTACTTCTGCACACTGGGACACTGGGTAGCATCTACCACAAGAATCCGGAGGTGCGTACTCTCATGCGCCTTCGCCTATCATACATCTTGCGATTGAGACATAATGCTCATGCGCTGTCGTGCGATGTAGACATTCATCCGCAATGCCACTGGCAGAGCTCTGGCTGATAGCCCCGCACTGAACCCCCTCTCACGACAAGTCCTGGTTCCCGCATCTCGTCCCAACCTCCCTCTTCCGGCCATCGTCGTGCCAGGCCCGGGCCCCCAGGAGATCTCTCAGAGCAACGGCACGAACGGGAGCCTCGTGGCAACAGGAGACCCCCCAGAGCCTACCAGAAACGGCTCGACTGGGGACGTGGCCAGACGCCGGTCACAAGAGAGTCCGAGCAACGAAGGCGACGGTGACGATGACGATGACGACGAGGCTCCTGTCTCCTCAAGGCCTGCTGGGGGAGACCCGTACGCGGGCTTGGACAGTGCGTTTGGCGGGAGTTACGTCGCCGACGAGCCGCGTCCGCAGAACCAGGACCTGTTGGACTTGATATGATCCGGACAATGATGATGTGCAGGTGCTTGTATATTATGCTTTGGATGTAATGTATCGTTGCGTTGATGTGTTGGGCCGGAGGATGCCCAATTTCATGGTCGCGTTGCCATTGACGTGGACCCAGACAAGTGCATGCCCGTGGCTCGTCCCAACGATGCTGCGGCAATATGAACCCCGCCTTTATGGCGCCTTGCGCTGAATGGCTCCGGTTGGGATCATGGCTACATTGATTGAAGCGCTACAAATACATATGATACCCGCTGTCCAGATACTAGTCGTGCAATACACCCCGTTTATCTTGAAGAGAGCCCGATTGCCTGTTGCCAGTCAACAAAGCGCGAGCGTTCGGTGGACCAGGGCTCTACTCCTGTGAATCCCCTCGTGCAGATCTGCGAACACGAGCAAAAGTCGCTGCTACGCGTGCAACGCGGACTTCACCGTGTTCATGAAAGTCTTGGGTCGCAAGGAATTGTAGTGCTATAAACTAGGCTTGAGCGCATGTTCCTCTGAAAAAGAAATAGGGACAGTACCTCTCCGAGACCGAACATATGACGGTGGTAGCTGATATACACGACATGCTTTGAATCCGAGGTCGTGAAATCTTCACCGTGTACGACCACAGGAGGTGTACCTCCTTGCACGACATGGATCGGCACGCGGTACGCCCGACTTAGCGCGAGTATCTCGGGCTCGCCTCCCCATGCACCTGTCGAGCGCATGTTTGCGCAATACCTTTGAAACTGTTCGGGAGTCATGATTCCAGCATCCGTTGCGCCCCCGCCGTCCTCTCCACCTTCCGAGGGCAAGAAGGGAAGGAAGTCGTTCGGATGCGTCTGGATGAAGTCTGCAGCTGCCTGTCGACATGTCTGATACGACGCATCTGCTTCGGGTATGATGCCGAGGAGGGCAAGCTGGTCCGCTACCGCGGAGAAGAGGCAGTGGCCGTCCGGGTTGATCTAGCGGGCGGCAGATTATACACAAGACAAGCCGAGGCAAAGGGTGCATGCTTACCTCGTGTATCTGAAGGCGCAATTCGTCGCATACCCGCTTGATACTGGCTTCTTCCTCCTTCTGTTGACGTTGAAGCCGTGCGTCCGCCTCGGGGTCACTCGGTGCGTAATCTTCTGCAAGCGCCGCAGCTTTTCGCGCCTAGTCCATCTCGTATCAGAAGACTGAGACGGGGACGAAGCCTCGAGCGCACCCACCTGTCTAGCCTTGAACCTCGACTTGGCGTCCTTCTTCGGTGCGTGATCCAATACGTTCGCCACCCCGTTCATGTTCATCGCATTCAGGACCGTCGCAGATTCGTGTCGGACCGTCTCGTCCTTCGAGTCCAGCTGCGCCAGCAGATCGTCCACCAAAGCATCGTCGTCTATCTGATCCCCTGAGGGCGGAGGTGTCGATTGGGGAGGGGAAAGCATCTTCTTGACCTTGCTCTTCTTCGCGGCCATGACGAGGGATTTGGATGCTTAGAGTGACTACAGCCTGTAGGATGCTGCGATCTCACGTCAGGAATAAGTCAAGCCCAAGAAGGAACTAACAGACGGGTATGCTGGAGATTGAGTTGGAGGTGGAGACGGGGTACTCAACGTCTGTGGTGCATTCGGTCGATGGTGGAATGTTTCCGCATCTGAGATTGACCCTAACCTTGGGTTCGATGACCTCACAGTCGGGAGTACGGCCCGATGCCCGGCGAATGTTGCCGTCGCCGACGACCAGCTGCAGCAACCGTGCGTTTGTGGCCCGGTTCAGCCAACCCCGGGCCCCCCAGCGATGTACTTACTTACCAAGGCTCAAGCTCACACACGGCTGCCAGTGCTTCCCATCGGCATCTTATTATAACCACAGCGCAATCGATAAGGCGACCCAAGCTATCGCGCTCTCGTCCGAGAGGCCCTTCGAGCTCTGCATCAACCTCCCCGGATCTCGCTCGCTATCTGTTGAAATCGCCGCGCACAATGTCTTCGACGAGGATCCCCCTGCTGTTCGTACGTCAAAATGAATATGAAAGGATCCCGTTCTAGCCCATGGGCGATGTTGATTTGGCTACAGGGTACCATGACCATCGGAGAGCCCGGGAAGAACGGCGTTCGCACCTCTGATCTGAAGGAGGCCCAAGAGATTATCGACGTTTTCTTTGAGCACGGACATAAGGAGTTGGATACCGCACGCGTCTACGCGGAGGGCACTACCGAGAGTGTATGTACTACTCATGTCAGCTTGCCGGAAAGTTGGAATTCTAACGAAGCGCGAGCAGTACCTTGCCAAGCTTGATCTCAAGGATGCTACAATTGATACGAAGTAGACATCCCCAGTTCTGGGCTAGAGTCATTACCAGTACTCATAGTCAACCAGGGTGTACCCCACCCAGCCAGGTGTCCACTCCCCAGCGAAACTGCGTGAGACATTCCAGATCTCGCTGAAGACGCTTGCGCCGCTGAAGGTCAGGGTGCTCTATTTGCACGCACCCGACCGCAGCGTTCCATTCGAGGATACTGTCCGCGAGGTCAACGAATTGTACAAGGAGGGACTCTTGTAAGAGCATAGAGCTGCAGCGTCCTCGAGAGTTTGTGGGGGATTCACGGAGCTAATTGTTTCACAGCGAGATATTTGGGCTGAGCAACTACGCAGCTTGGGAGGTAGTACTGTCATGTCACATTCGATGATAGCATACACTCACAGACATACAGGTCGCCGAAATTGTGTCCATTTGCAAAGCGAACGGCTGGGTACAGCCTAGAATCTATCAAGCGTGAGTTCCTTCCACCCACCTCTTCGAGTTCGTGACACCAGACACCGCGTCGTTCATTGTCGGTGGGCAGGATGTACAACGCCGTCACGCGTGAGATAGAGGCGGAGCTCGTCCCGTGCTGCCGCAAATTCGGATTGCGTCTTGTGATCTACAATCCTCTTGCGTAAGTGTCAGTCCCGCCTGTTGCCCTCATTGACCAGTGCCTGACCCGATAAACAGGGGCGGATTCTTTGCAGGCAAGATTGCGGCACCCGACGCCGAGGCTCCAGCTGGCGGTCGGTTCGATCCTGGGAGCAACATGGGCACCATGTATCGCGCTCGGTACCTGAAGAGTGGATACTTTGACGCACTGGAATACTTGAAGCCCATCGCAGTACGTCCAACGATTACACGTTCCAGGCCGAGATCGAGCGTCGGGCTGACATCCGCCTTCTGCGCCACCTGCAGGAGAAGTATCAGCTCCGCCTTACCGAGATCGCGTTGCGTTGGGTCCAGCACCACTCCGTTCTGACCCCGCAGGATGGGATCATCCTCGGTGCTAGCAGCGCTGCTCAGCTTCGGCAGAATCTGCAGGACAGCGAAAAGGGCCCTCTTCCGGAAGAGGTGGTGAAGGCTCTCGACGAGGCTCGGTTGATCGTGGGCGCGAGCGCACCCACCTACTGGCGATGAGCACACGCACCGATGTCGGCTCGCAAGCTGTATGCACGCGTGACTCTGGCGTTACGTATGTAGGTCGCGTTGCGTTGTCTCCGGGGAGTCGTTGCGTGCTCCTGTGAGTCCTGACGCTAGCATCACACCCATAGGAAGTTGAATCGCTGTACGCAACTGGGGCCGCGAACCTTATCTTCTGATTTTGAACCCAATTCAATGCTTCAATCGAGCCCGGTGCCAGATAACACGCTGCGCTCTGTGTCGTAATAGCCCTAGCCTGCGACCTGGTGTCTGAGGATAGATGAGTGGCATTAGACGGCTAAGATAGACCTGCTTCGCAGGCGCGCAGAGGACCTGATCGCGAGCCTCGAGTGGGCCGGATCATCAACGACGTGTACTACTCGTCATCCTCGCCGTACTGCTACGGCTACTGTACTCCCTTGCAGGCCGCCACAGCGCCCGTTCTCCTCCTTACCGTCATCTCGTCGTCGGCTGCACTTGCAGGCAATGTCTTCCGAGTACGTCTGCAGCACTGTGGGAGACAGTTCGTACGCTAGAAGCTCCGGCCGACAATGCAGTGCTAGGCTCAGGGTCATTGGCGCTCGGCAGAACTACTCCATCTCCCCTGTCGAGACAGGGTGAACTCTCTCCTAGCTGTAGTACATTTGAATGCTGCAGATGCTTTGAACACTCCCAAGTTTGTCATCTAGCCTCAGGAGCGCAATGAAAGTCCTAACGAGAAGTCACCTAATCCATTTTGGTCGATTGGCGAAGCTTCCGTTTGCGGGAGACCGGTAGGCCGTCATTCCTTCGAAGCCCGCTGTGAGTCCTTGCGCACCTTCATGTACCTCAGTCGGTTCCCAGTCATCATGATGCTAATCCCTTGTTCAAGATGCGAAACGCGGCGTCGTTGACGTGCGTAATCTGAGAAGCTGCTACGGTGACAACGTATAGCTCACAACCACAGTCTTTCCGCACATTTGCGAACGATAACCCGGTCCTGATTCTGCCCCCGTTTCGGGTCCATTGTGGGGCCATATCCAAGCTATCGTTCTCGTATACTGTAGGCTCCACTCCTGACTCGGCGATGTGTGGAGTGTTCGAGGCTCTCGAAGACAGAGTGCTCGCCACGATGTTGTCGCCGATGCCACGTCTTGCTCTCTCAGCCAGTCGTTCAACTACTATGGCGTAGGTCATGACGGCATGCTCACATCGTTGCTTCCGAACCTCGCCAAGTCTTAATAAAGCTGCACGAGAGAGGCGAACATTCCGCACCTGTCTACCCTCTTCCGTATCGCGCCCATTGTGTTTCAGGGCATCGCTGCTGACTCCTCCACGCCTTTCACGACTACTTACGACCCCCGCTCGACATGCCAAACACCTTCACCAGAGGGTCACTCGGCCAGAATCCTCCCAATGCCGACAGACATATCAGCTCTGGTGGCTCAGACTGGGCGTGGGCGGTATTCGCGATCATGCTCATCTGTGACCTCGTCGCCCTCTTCTGGACATTCAGGGTAAGTCGGCGTTGATGCGCATGGTGGTGACATATTACTCATATGTTCTGTAGAGGGCGCGAGGAACGCGTCTGTTCCATCATATTGCCGTCATCGTTTTAACGACTGCGACCATCGCATGGTTTTCCATGGCCTCCGACCTCGGTGCTACCCCAATCGCGGCGGAGTTCCATCGCAGTAACACCAACACTCGTCAAATCTGGGTACGCCTTCTCTCGTGTCATCACAGATGCTCAGACCTTGAACTGTTCTTCTTCCAGTATGTACGGTATATCCAGTATTTCATCACCTTCCCGCTGCTCCTACTTGAGCTCTTGCTCGCAACGGGCCTGTCGTTCTCCGACATCTTCACAACGCTGTTCATGGCGTGGGTTGTCGTCGTGACAGCCCTGGTCGGCGCTCTCGTGCGGTCCACATACAAATGGGGCTACTTCGCTCTGGGACTCGGCGCGTTGTGCTACATCTGGTGCGTTGATCCCTTCCTCGATTTGTTAGCCGTCAACTCATCAGCCACCAATGCATAGGTACGTCCTCCTCGGGCATGCGCCCGCATCGTTCGCGGCAGGCGGCGTGATGCGCAAGGGGTACCGCGGCGGCGCATTCTACCTCTCGTTCCTACTCCTCATCTACCCGATCGCGTGGGGCGTCTGCGAGGGCTCGAACACCGTCTCCCCTACCGGCGAGTTCATCTTCTACGGCATCCTCGACCTCCTCGCCGGGCCCGTCTTCCTCTTCGGCTTCCTCAGCCAAATTCGTGTGATTGATTACGGCACATTCGGCTTCACGTCAATGAAGTATTCCGAGGGGATGTACAATGGACATGGGGCGGGCACGGGCACGGGCTCGGGTATGGCGGGTCGCACGACGGGCCCCGTCAATGGATTCGGTGGTGCGAACAATGTTAACTCTGCACCTGGTACCGGCGGTAATGTGAACACGGTGGGAAATGGGACCGGCTCGACTGGTCTTAACCACACTGGTAACACTTCCACAGTGGTATAGAGTACTGGAGCGGTATAGAAGATAAGAAGGAGTCTCGGTTCCGGCGAGAAAGTTGTGGACGTTACGCCATTATTCTTTCCCGATCTTGCACCGTCCTCACACTTTGCAGTCCTGCATGCACATACGTAGTATCTGTCTCCATGCCTGCCTGTATCATACACTTTCCTAAATGCTAGTTTCCTGTTTCCTGATGTTATACAGCGGGCGGCGACGAGATGTTGCTTGTGAGCAAAAAACGTCGAACCCTGTCAGGGAGAGTTCTCAGAAGGCCGAAAGTTCCTACGATACACGACCCGGTCAGTTGCCAGCATTGACGGCATTTATGCCTATCAGTGTCGCGAGCCAGATTTTCCTCTAGTGATGATATTAATGAGTCCACGGGTAGTAATACTAAAGCGTATCATAGACCGTCCGACGATGGAAAAAAATCCCCATGCCGATAGTACCTCAATGCACATGCATCATGACGCGTCCACAACGCGGACGACATCCGAAATCTCCCGTACAGAATCCTCTGTAGTCGAGAACGTTGATATGAGAATACTGGAGCGATCAGGGTAGCATGACGGACTCAAGACGCACCTGTGAATGGAATTTCGAAGCCAAGCTTCTTCACGCTGGTATCGATGGTCTGCAGTGCTGCGTTCCATGACACGCCCGTCGGAAGCGGCGTGAATCGCCCCTTGACGGCTTCTGCCACAATCCTCGCTACCGTCGCCCAGCAGACCTATCATGATGCCGTTAGCCACATACGGCCACAAAGCAGCCGACGATTCGTAGCCCACTGGAGCATCACGCACCCCGAGCAGTGGATCGAGCAACAGGAAGTCGTTGTCTTTGAACGTCCGCGATATGTTCACGATTTCAAGCACGACATCCAACGTCCTCTGCGCGCTCTCCTCATGGTCTTTGTGGGGCAGCCAGTGCAATTGCGCCTTGCCCGTCAGAGCGATGACGAGGCAGAACTTTAGCGCGACTGAGCGCTCGCGGTCGCCATAGAACGTCGTTTTGAGCATTTCACCCTCGATCGTCGTCGCGTGCGTGGAGATCTCCTCTAGCAGAGGCCAGTATTGCTCGAACCACGCCCCACGCGGCGGACAAAAGAGGTCCATGAGTGAGTCCATTTGCTTCCATTCCGCTGCGAGTTCGCGTGCGCGGAGGAACAGGAGCAGACTCCTAGCCCGCAGGTATGCTAGGTTTGTTTTAGCGAGCACAGGGTAGTAGAGCTAGCCAAGCGAAGGGGCCAAATCGTCAGCACATGCGGTGTATCTGGTAAGGATGAGGCATCCCGATGCAGAAGAAGCAAGGGGTCACATACAGCGACATTTGTGAGCGCATCGTCCAGGGTAGTGTCTAGGCGTGGCGGAACGCGGAACACAATGGAAGAGTCTCGGTCGAGGTAGATCAGGTGAGCCAACGCGCCAATGAGCTCAGCCTGCTGCGGTGAGACCTCTTGCATCTGAATGGGGTCAAACGTGTCCGGCATCACGGGAAACGTCAGGTTATGTCGGTGCACGATGTCGATGGCCATAGTGAGCTGTGCCTCGCCATCCTGCATCTGCTTCTTGAGCAGGTAGTAGATGGCCAGGAGGTAGCGAGCCTGGATTTCGGAAATGGGGTCTATGTCTTCGAGCGCGAGAAGAAGCAGCTGCAGCTGCTCGTACTCGACCTGTGGGAACACGAACGCCTGCCGTTGTATCTGCCACATGAGGCAGCCAAGGAGCTGCGCTATGTACGTGAAAGCAGGGTGGACGATCAAACCGGTGAGATCGCCAGCGAGGGAGGCATGCATCTTCTCGTCCGAAAGGACACAGCCGTATTGTGGCGCATGTATAGCCCATGTCGAGCGGCTGGGACATGCTTTAGCTGACGCGGCAACAGAAGACGGAACGACTTACAATTCGCTTAACCTGATTGACTCGTGTGGGACGGATAAGTGATGGACGTCTGCCGTGGGCGGAGGTGCAGACAACCGGTCGAAGAGCGTGTTGAGAGCTTGCGGAAAATCGAAAAGAGGTAAATCATGTGAGCCCAGGACCGGATGGCTGGGGATAGCTAGTCGTGATGAAGACGCCACAGCTTGTTCGAGCCGCCCCTCTGCGGGAACCAGAGAGGGAGACGACGTCATTAGTCTGAAGACGGCCCTACCGTGGACGCTCGTACCATCGGAGTGAGGGTGGTTTCCGAGTGCACCTACTTGACTCTCGTACGCTGCTAATCGTTGTTCGAGGAGATGGGTGCGCAATAGTAGAGCTTCCGCTATTGTTTGCTCAACACTCTCGTCGTATGTGCAGTCTTTCTCTTTCCCTGCGACCTTGCAAGTAGAACAGCATGGCCGCGTAGCGTCGCATTTCTACGGGAGAACCCTATGTCAATGATGATGTGAATTAGCTAGAGTCAAGCACGACACCACCTTCTTCTTCCGCCTGCGTAATTTAGACAGTAATATAGATCATGCTGCGTGAATCTGCGTTGACGCAATGTAAAGGCGACATATACATACCGACACGGTGCACACGCAGCGCCTTTCTTCAAGTATTCGCCTTTGGGAGCCGTGGATACCGCCGTCGTTGCGGTGTAGACGCACTCGATTGGCTTACGAGCCTTGGAACAAGGCCCGCACATGGGGACCACGCCGTCGCAGCGCTACCCGCATCTACATAAGCAAACTTGTACACACAAACGGGATCGGGCTCGGGATTCCCGACAGAACTAACTTACTACTTTGCGCCCCCTATAGTACCATCATGTTAATGTGTGAGAATGTGCGGATATGGGAGGACATACTAACCTACATGCTGAGCAAGTCTGTGCGGGAGCCATAAGGTAAAAGTGGTCGTTCAGAGCAGAAAGGAGACAGCGCTTCAGAGCGGTCCAGGTCCGTCTGTATATATGTATCACTCTCTGGCGGGTTGCACAGACGCCGGCTTCGGTTTAGTCATGATATTGACTGAAGATGTACACGGACACAGTCGACACCGCTTAACTCATAGGGGTTACCAGAATGTTAGCGCCCAAAAGGCGCCCGGATAAGTCCCGAGAGCCAAGTGGGCGGTGTGGGGTGTTGAACGCTATCATAGAATTAAACAGCATCAGTCGACTTTTTGAGGTCTTATGATGAGCGAAAAATTACAGCATGCCTAACTGTTGTATGGACATTCGGGTTGGAAAGCTACGGGATCTTGGGGGTTTTAAGACGTTAGGGTTACTTTCCCCCTATCCCGACTCGGGATAGCCGCGATCCTGTGGAGTTTTGGGGTTTATAGGTTACTTACCAGAAGTACGGGCTAAAACGATGCCGACTATAGAATCATCATGCGCTCTGACACCGACTGCCTTAGTAATCAAAATCAAGATTACTGAAAGGCACTGTCTCGGTTGAGACGCGTCCGGGAAAGCTTGTGTCACTCGAAACATGAAGCCGGCGGAATGTACGAAGACCACTTCGAGGAGGTGCTCAGGCCTACCCAAAGCACATGCCTGAGTATTAGTTAGGCCCGTCTTCAACAGACCCCTCTATGCTGATCGCACGGCGCTAGTAGCGTACTTTGGTGCGATCGGAAGCAGTCCCAGCCTCTCTATTCTCGGGCGGCAGTTGCAAATCTGACACAACGCATGATTGCAGGATGGAGGTCGACCTCATAGCACGGTATGGCATGCAGTACTAAAACGCAAAGATTGGTGCGGGACCTCTCCTCCGTAATGGGGAGGCACAGCTGGCGCGCATTGCAGTCTCGTCTTAGGCTTAAAAAGTACAATATCGAGAGTCAATGGCGGGAGAGTCTCATAGCCGACACCAACCGTAGAACTTGTACTTATATGATGAATGCTAACCAATCGCCACTGGATAGTAACGCGTGATGCGCGGAATTGTGCAGCACTGGTGGCAAGTCTGATCGGGAACACTCAAATGGAATCCAAAGAAAGGGTATTGCAGCAATACGGTATCATGTGAATGTTCTGAGCGGTTGGCACATACGAACTATGATAGCCCTTCGAAGTTGATCACGTTCCTGTACGACGACAGCTGGGAAAGAAGTAGGAACAAGTCGACCAACGTGTCGCAACCGGGTTGGTATCATAGGCACAACGACACTAGACATCTCCCCAAGAATAATCCTCGTGCCCAAGCTGTTGGTGAGATTTCGGAGCTTTCTCCTTATGCAGGCTGGAGTCATTAGTGGTTTTCCGAAGACTATTTCACTGGTGCTGTCGACGAGACTTCTCATCGGACCGCTCTTCCGGTGTGCCTGCACAGGAGCTGTGACAGGCTCACGCGTCACATCTGAGCGGAGCGTGCACTCGGTCACGTGGAGGAAACGCGACTTGAACGTTCTCTGCCTGTGTCCACCACCTTACCTCCCGTCTGATCTTCTATCTCATTACTCTGGGCTTGTACAGCGTATCTCTTGCTCTTTTGACTGCTTCCTGGCTCTGGCATCTGTAGCATGACCAGCGATGTGGCTATAGAGTCGTGGCCCATGGACTCCCCGCTCACAAGTATTGATTCGCCGTCTGGGGTCAGTGACACTGGAAGCGCGGTCAATGACAGGGTCTTCTTCGGTCCACTCCAATCTCCAGAGAAGAAGCTTGCTGCACCTCTTAGCGGACCTAGGTTTCGTACCCCAGTCCGCCGATCAACAAGGCTGTCATCTGCGATGGTGCCTTTGCCTCTATTCCCGGAGGAGCAGGAAGCCGGATCCTCAAGTACGAGGGAAGGAACTCCAGAAGAGGACACCTTCCCTGATGGTGTGTACCACCAACTCTGACGTGAGTGCTGATAGCAAACCACTGTGATACAGAACCCTCCATCATCCTCGCTAGCCGAGTATTGAGCGCGTGCAGCAACCCCTCGCCACCTCCCACTCCCCCTTTTCCTGCCCAGCAGAGTCTCTCTGAACCTGAGGATATGGATGTCCAGCTTGTCGATATTGCTAGTACCCCTGGGACACCGAACGCCTTCACCAGCGCGCTCGGCCTCCCACTAACACCCCTCGATGGCCTCACTGAGCCAGTTATGTCTACCTCTCCTTTCATGCCGCCAGTTTCCTCCTCTACACGACAACAAGATCAGGCGAACACCTCGCAGCCTGACTTGATTGCGTTCGACTCATTCTCTACTCCCAACGCGAGCCATATGAACGCGCTCTCGGGTTCTACACCATCGCGTGACAGCGCGGCCGAGCGAGCCCCTGCATCTGTGGACGATTTGTTGTCAATGTCCCCAAGACCAACCCCTCCCATAGTCGACGTCCATGCAAGCGGTGGTATAGAGCTACTAGTGCAAGAAGAACATGCCGCAACACCAGACGATGAAATGGAGGTGGTCAACCCCATTGTTGTTGAAGTCGCACCTCCCCGGTCCTCCCCACCCCTCATAGGAATGTCTCTCGCGGAAGAGGCGACCCTCGAAACCGATGCGGCTCCACCCTTGGAGGAAGCTTCGGAGTTTAACAAACGTACCCCTCCTCTTCGTCGGTCTACTCGACCACGAAAAAGCCGAAATTCCCTACCGCAGACGATTGCCAACACTTCTCCGCAGCCATTGATTCCGGACCAGCAATTCCAACCCGAGGGCTCGAGCGCGGAGCGGAGGCTCAAGCCCTCTCCCAGTCCTGAAGATAAAGGCGAGGGCACGAGCATAGCTGTTCCCACCACTCCTAGGCGACTCACGCAGGTTGCTCGGGTTCAGAGAGACTTGGGTTCTTTGTCACCAATGTCGGCTGCTGTGCTCTCACAACTGGTTCCGCGTGCTGCGGGAGGAAGCGGGAGCGGGAAATCCACCCCATTACCGCCACCGCCTCAGCGAGATGGCAATGCGTCCTCCATGGGACCTATCCTTACTTTTGCACCAAAGACGCCTCCTGAACAACAACCCGCGTTCATATTTCCCACAGCCGGCCCTGCTGCTGAGCCGGAGCCTGGTGCTCAGCGACCCAAGAGCCCTCTACGACCGTTTTCTCCATTCAAGTTCGGCGAAGGCTCGCGTACGCCTGCGCGGCGCGTGCCCATAGCCCAAGCAGTCACTGAGGGCACCTACTCTCCCAACAAGCTCCCTGCTGCTTTCGGCGCGACACGGCCGGCGAATGCGCCCGGCTCTCCTGTCTTCAAGAAAGTCGCTCTTGACGACCCATTACGGAGCCCTGCTAAGCGCGTTCCAATGAGCGAGGCTGTCCTTGTCCCCCCTCCATCTCCCGGGAAGACTCTGGTTAAGGGCAAGAGCAAAGCTATTCCTCGTCTCCAGTCTCCCAATCGCGCCTCATCTGTGCCTCCGCGAGAACGAACTGCTTCCGCTGAGCCCCCACTACTCGCGAGGCGAGGGCGTGGCGCATCAGCGGAACCCGTCTCGAGACCGCTCGCCCTTGGCAGCAGACCACTGTTCCAGAAGCCCGCATCGTCAGACGGTATTCCTAGTAGTGCTGCGAAGCTGCGTACTGCCCTCCCTTTTCCTCTCCAGCAACATCGCGTACCTTCAATCCCGGAGGGAGACGAGCCCGTTGTGTCTTCAACTCGCCCAGCTTCTGCCGTACCGCGCGGGGCAGGGGCAGGCGTGCGCGCCACGTCCGCGTTACCAGTGGCGAGCCCCGCTAAGCAAGGGTCGAGCTTGCGCCAGCCTTCTGCAGGGTCAGGCAGCAAGATACCCAGGATTGGCGCCAAGCCGTATGCACGACCAAAGTCGGAGGCCAAGACTGCCGCAGCAAGCAAGCCGCCGACTTTGTCGAAGGGTGGTTTGGCTTCTTCGAAGACAATGGTGAGTAATCCTTCAGAACGGGTCCGGCACCTGTGGGTTCGGTCGGAATTGGCTAACACACCCTCGTCTTGGGACAGCCGATACGAGTCGTGCATGTTGGCTCAAGCAGTGGGAGCAGCTCCGATGAGGGACCAGCTCCGTCGAAAGCCCCTGCTGTGGTTTCCGGCCCCGCACTGAAGCCGAGACGTGCGCTCGGCGCCCAGTCATCAACTTCTTCCGTGGAGGGAGGCCCCGTGAAAGCAAATGGCTTGAAGCGCAAGCGCGAAGCTGAGGTTTCTACCGCGAAGGCGACTGCGCCTGCAGGCCAGCAGAAAATCGTAATGCGGAAGGTCGTGCCTGGGATGTTCAACAAAGGCAATGAAGCTGTCACTTCCTCTACGCACGCGACAGCAGCAGAGCAGGCCACACCTGGTCGCACTTCGCCGATGAAGCCTTCAGGCCCTATCAAGGCTCGTTCCGCAGTAGGTTGGAAAAGGCCACAGCAAGAGTCGATCCAGCCTCCACGGCCTGCCCCCGCTCCTGTTAGCGTACCAGAAACTCCTCCGGCACCATCTATGGGGCCCACTCCAGAGCCCGTACCCCCGCCTATAGTTCCCGAGGTCATGACGAAACCCCTCGTTGAACCCATCCCGCCGGTGCCAGCATCAATAAATGCCAAATCAGAAGCAGTCAATTCTGCTGCATTGCCAGCGCCCCGAGCTTCTTCGGAGACTGTCTCAGAATCGACGGCACAACAGCCCTCCACCCGCCGCTCCACTCGCTCAAAGCGAAGCACAACGCCAACCACAGATGTCTTCGGATCAGTGGTCTCGACCGGCTCTACTCGTGCCCCGCGGCGCCGCGGACTGCTCCCGTCCGAGACAAATGGGCCCTTCGCGGGCATGAGCGCTCTCGCACTGAAAACACTCACATCCGCAAACACTAAACGGAACCAGGAACAGGTCGCGAAGATTCAGATGGAGATCATCCGGAAGGAGGGCAGTCGGCCGGACAGTCCGACGACACGTGTGCGGTCCGCACTCGAGAAGCAGAAGGAGGAGCGCATACAACAACGACAGGAGCGTGCGGCGCGTCGGGCACGGCGGTCAGCTGGGAGTGATGTCATCGAGGGCCTTCCGTCCGACAGTGCAAGTGATGGGGAGGAAAAGGTCAATGTCGGCGACGTAAGCGCGATGAGTGTGGATGAGGAGGGCATGCCTCTCAGACATCGTCGCGGACCTGGCGACGAGGAGGACTACGAGACTCCGCCGCGGCCTGAGCGCCCAATTAAACGGCCCCGGTTTGAAGGTGGGACGGATGGAGGCAACGTAGAGGAGAGGACGAAGGACGCGCCGGCGAAGCGGGTCAAGTGGGACAAGGGCTTGCACACGACGGTGTTTTTGGACGATACGCCGCCGAAGCCGAAGTGGAGCACTAAAGCAGCTCCGAGCTCGAAGAGTTGCTTGACCCCTGCTGCCAAGGTATGTACGGGTCTTGTGGGTGCTGAATATGTGAATATTCGAGTGATGAGTTTGCCACGTTTGACAGGCTCTCCGGCTGGACACTCTCGGCAACGTTTTGAACGCCGAGGTTCCGTTGAGTGGACTGGTGAAAGAGCAGATTGTCGTGAAGAAGTTCGTATTTGAGGATGATGAAGTTGCCGAAGCTGCCGAAGCCGCCCCGCCCCCAACCCCAGTAATTAAGAGCAGCCGAAATAAGAGCAAGAAGGCGAAGTCGTAGGTCGTAAACAGAGGGGGGAGTCCGTTTACAAGTCCAAGCTAGCAGGGCTAATGATATATCCACTATCTCACGTTATATCCCTATCTTATTGCATTGCTACCTTGTTGAGTGCGATGTCTTAGCCTCGATCACATCATTGTATCTAACACCCGTACTTTCTTGTTTCTGATAACGGCCCATAGCGTGGTTGGGACGTTATAGCATAGAGCGACGGATGAGTCGCGCGGCTGTCGCCAGGTATGATACATTGGTTCCATCACTTGTATCTACATTTGTGCTACTGCTTACCAGGACGGAAGCTGATAGTGGGGCTCGCCTGGTTCACCGGGAGGACGTAGAGCTCGGCAATGTTCACATGAGGCGGGCGAGATGCTGCCCAGACAATCTCCTCCGCGATGTCCTCGGCGACCACTGAGGGCATACACATTTATCTTAGCGGATCAATGGCTGCGCACCATGCATAACTACTCACGGGGTTGCAGACCCTCGTAGACCTTGTCAGCCGCGGCCTTATCGCCGCGGAAGCGGACGACCGAGAACTCAGTTTCGACCATACCGGGCTGGATCTCCGTTACGCGAATAGGCGTATCGACGACCTCGCGGAGGAGCGAGCCTGTGAACGAACGCACAGCGTGCTTCGTAGCGCAGTAGATTGCACCACCAGCGTAAGGTTCCCGGCCTGTCAATCTGAGGTCAAGTTTTTGCATATGACTTTGCGATAATGGATCTACTGACCGGCAACAGAGCCGATGTTGATTATGTGCCCGGTCTTACGTGCCCTGAAGTCTGTAAGGTGGAGATGCGTTAGCTCGAGATCGGAAAAGACTGTATCTTACTGTGGTCACAAACCCTTGATGAAAAGCTGAGTGAGAGAGATCAGACCAAAGACGTTGACGGTAAACATGGCCTCCATGTCGGCTTCTGAGATGTCTCCGACTTTCTCTACACCGAGCACGAAGCCAGCATTGTTCACTATATGGAGGGAGAGTCAGGGCATCAGATTAGCCAATCCTAAGTTTGCCAGTCCTTACCGAGGATATCGATGCTGCGAAGGTCTTGCGGGATCTTGTCAATGAAAGATGCGATCTGCTTCTTGTCGGCGACATCGAGTTGGACAGTCGCAAACTTTCCGCCCTGCTGGATGCCAGATTCCTTGTGCGCCGCCGTGCAGGCCTCCGCTACGGCCTTCAGAGCGTCCGTGCGACGAGCAGCCAAGATGACATTCGAGCCACCCTAGTGTTGAAGTTCGGTCAGTCTCAGCCACCGCGCCAGGAGATCCGCGGTGACCGCACCTTCGCGAATAGAACCGCGGTAGCCTGTATGGTAGCAGGCGTATCAGTAACGCAGATCCTTATGTTCCAAACGCAAAGAGCATTCAGCAGAACGATGGGAAACGACATACCGCACCGATACCAGCGCTTGCACCCGTAATGAGCACGGTCTTGCCGACAAGGCGGGAGGCGTTGAAAACAGACATGTCGCGGCGCTGGCTCTGAGCTGCGGTGATGTTCAAGATGACCGTTCGTTCTACAGTCTTGAGATGCCCCCCAAGAGCCGTGCGTGATAAGTTCGTGCGAAACGCCGCGCTCGGTGTGCGCAATGCTTGCGGAACGCGTACGAATGCGGAGGGCCGGGGCTAAAAGTAATCGCGCTGCTATCTCTAGATCTGTGATCAATCGCCCACGGACACTGGGTTGCACTCTCACCGTCATTTGTGCCCACCTGCTGACACCCTCTGTCGTTACACTCTGCACTGCCAGGACTCAAGTACTCACCTCTGGAGACTCTCGTACTCAGACGGTTGATAGGCTGTGACCCCGAGACTGCCGACGGACGACCGTAGCGAGCGGCCCGCTGCTCCATCAGTGGGAACTCCACCTCGCGCTGGCCACCCTTGCGCAGAGTTGGTATGAGCCGACCGATGAAGGAGCTGGAAAGACAGAGATGGGAGCGCATGCTTTCATGGCTGCAAGATAAGCATGGCATGGATACCAGTGAGCATGGATTTCATGTCGAGGCCAGGGCAGTTGAAGGTACGCGCAGTACGTCTCAACGAGCAAGCAAGCTTCTTGTTCATGCGATATAGGTGCGGGCAGGGGATTGTTCGCACTCAGGGACTGTCTGGTGAGTCGACCAAAGATATCACGTACGATAGAAAGCTCATACAGGCTCCTGTAGCGGGGAACGACCCTGTTCAAAGTGCCTTCTACCGCGCTCATGAACAGGACGACGGTGGCGAAGCTGTATCCTCGGCTCCGTGAACGTAGACTCTCTGGCATCCATCTGGTCACGTTGCATCTTCTGCTTCACAGGCCTCCAGGCGACGATGACTCTTCAGATCCCGTCTTTGGACCTTACATCTCGACATTGCCTCGGGACTTCTCCAGTCACCCACTTCATTGGATGGTGAAGCAGGAACTGAAACAGGACGACGTTTGGGAACGCAGGACTTTCGTACATTTGCCGCCAAGCGCTGCTGAAAAGCTCTATGCTCTTCACAAGCGTTTTTGGAACGACTGGAAGATCGTATCGAGCGTTCTTGTAAGACGCCCACTTGTACCCCAGGAAATTAGACTGACAATGTTTAGGCCGAGGACCAAGCTAAGCTCCCCCAATCGTCGCGAACGGACATCGTATCAACGTCCCTCGATATTGTCAAGGATGCCACTCTGACCTTGGGCTACTTGTGGGCTTGGTTAAACGGTCGCTACTTCGTAATGTTCTCGTCTTCCCGACATCTCATGTATAACCCTCTAGTCAATACGCGATGCATTTTCTACCGTATCCGAGCCAATCGGGCAGATCCAGATAATTTCACGCTCTGTCCTGTGTTAGACTTCGCAAACCATTATCATGGCCAAACCCACATCTTTCCTGTTATCGACTCAGAGCCGTGGAGCGCCGAGACCAAGAAGTTGCCGAAATATTTCACGTTCTTCAGTCCATCTCAAGAGGGGTTAACCAAGGGCCAAGAACTGTACCTGCGGTACGGAAGCCACTCTAACAGCCTCTTGTTTGCCGAGTACGGCTTCGTCAATGTTGTTCCTGGAGGAGCAATCAAAAGCGGCGAATATCCCGGTGAAGTGGATGTTGAAGAGCTCGTAGAATATCAATTCACCGAGAAGGGATCACTGGGTGCTCGCATGAAGTCGGCGCTGGAGGATGAAGGTTACTGGGGGTATGTCACCGCCTCTCCGGGGGCAGGTAACAGAGGCACTAAATTTGCTATCACCTCGCAGTGACTGGACGCTACACAGCGCACCGACCCCCGCGCATCCCTCATACCGGCTGATGGTGGCGCTACGTCTTTTGCACGCACTCGAATCGAACAACGCACGAGACCACGAACAGGATACCGCATTTGAATCTGTCTTGGAGATCTGGCGTAATGTGATCTCCGGGTATGCGGATTACATATCGCCTCAAAACGAGGAACAATGGAGGCGGACGCTGCTTCATATTTGCGAGCGTATCACCGACCGGGCACACACGCGCTTGGAGACTCTTTCCACGCTCGAGCTGAATACTCGGACCGAGGAAAGGAGTTGGCGGAGATGGATGACAGGAAACGTGGTGGCTTTGTGGACCGAGGAGCGCGATGTCGCGGAAGCTGTGAAAGCCAGTATATTGTCCGGTGTGGAGTTTTGAATCAATGAATCATGTCTACGAGTGTGGCAGTTTGAGCTGCTGTCGAATCGACGGTTGGAATACCCAGGTATCAAGGTTGCATGTGCTCGGGGTGCTCGCCTGTAGCGCTGAATAGCGTAGTTCAAACGGTTTCGAGGCCATGGTGAAGGTTAGATGTCAGTATACATAATATTGAGGACACCGCCGTCGAGATGCACCGCTCAGTATTCGTTGCTTGTGGACATAGGAGATACACAGATGGATTTGATGTGGCAGTCCGCGATCGCGCGGGCAGCGCAGGCCGAGGATAAGTACGATCTCACCGCCATGTGGTTTGATTAGCTAAGCAGGAGGCCGGAATGGCGCTACGGACCACTTGACACCGCTCAGACGACCGGCGGCATCCGAGGCCTCGCTTCCTCCTCTACTACTGTCCCCTCCCTACCGGCTGGGCCCACCTCACCGAGCACAGGACTTATTGTCCTGATTCCCTCCTTCCCTCCTCTTCAACTTTCTGCCGCGGTATCCTTTGTTTCTCGTCCTCAAGATGCCGCTACACCTATATGCGCTCCATACCAGGGCACAACAGGCCTTCTTCGGGACGGGTACGAAAGAACGCTTACATATCACAAGAATGCGCGTATGCTAACATTGTGGTATGGAATTTAGTTCTGTTCCGTGAGTAGCATCGGCTTCACTGGCATCGAAACGTGCTAGCTTTGTGCTGAAAACGCGTTTGCCCAGAGGCCATTGTCGTCATTGTCATGGTTGCGATTGTCTTCGGTAGGGTAGAGGATGCAGTGCCCTTGACAGACTCCCGGTACAAAGTGCGTGTTTTCTCTAAGCTCCACACACTTATATCATCTGAACCGATCGCGCGTTCTCGCCACAGACTATCCCATGCTATCTCGCGCTTTTCATCCTTGCCGAGTACGTAGTTTCACCTACGGTGTAGCGAGGCCTTCTTGACCTCGCATGCAGGCTGTTCGAGCTCTTCATGGCGTACGATGCTTTGCGGCTTCGCAATGTCATCCAGCTAGTAGGTCTGCTGTGTGAGTCGCCTGTCATTCCCAACATTGGTTGTCTAGCGTCTTGAACGGCGTGCCGCCCCGATTTCAGTGTTCCACGCGGCGCTCATTGTGATGGCGGCGCTTCAAGTGCACGAAACGCACACCGCTCTAGTGTCAAATCCCGGGGCGAATTGGACAACGGATTACGCAGTAAGATCGCGTTCGCTTACTATGCTTCTTGGGCTCTGGCTGAGTCCTGAATAGCATGGTGACGGAGCGGGGACGCTTTGGCAACGCGTCCTCCCCTTCCTGATTGTCTCGCCCGTCGTCATAGGCGTTTCGTGGGTAGTCTTGATCTGGTTTGTGCGTGAACTGTACTATGAATTCGGGTAAGCACGCCTATCCTGTTCGTCCATTTGCGGCGAGTGAATACTTTGCAGCTGGGCCATCTTCCACATTGTGGGCGCAAATCCCGCTGCCAAGAGTTAGTGTCGTCTTATTCGAGTCAACGATGTACTTTGACATGAGGTCATCCGCAGCGATGTACCAGTTCTACCAGGTCATGATTTGTTTGCTCAAGTTCGACTTCTTTGCCTTCGTTGGCGTGACGATGCAGGTGTGTTCTACAGAGCCCTTGCAGAACTTATGTTGATTGTTTCTGCTTCCTTTCAGCTCCTTATCGTCGTCCTTGCTAAGGATACAGCAGAGTTCGGTCTGACGGTTGCGGCCATACCCATCGTTCTTGTTCTACTCAGTGGAGCTGGTTTTGCCGTTCAGCGTGAGATCAAGTGGTGCGTGCTGCGAATCTCGGGGCAGCCTGCGATCTATTGACGTTGACGGCTGCACAGGCTCATGTCAATATCTCTCATCCTCATGTTGGCGGCGGAATCGTACTGTGAGTACCGTACCCCGCAATATCTGCTGCGCTGAGCTGACGTCATATGCCCTATAGTCAGTGAGTCGTCCCGTTAAAGCAATAGTTCAGATGCTCACCCTATCTAGTCTACAAGCTCGTCCGTTTCTACGAGCCTAGCTCGGAGGCGCAGTACGAGACTGTCCGCGCAACGCTTACCACATTCAGTGCGTCTAATCTCTGATAACCTTCGGCCAAGCGCGCCCAACTGACATATGGACACTGCCCAGCCATCATCGCGTTCTTGCTCCTGTTTGGGACCTTCGCGATTGGCCTTCGCTGCTTCGCCGACTTCGACAAGGGCTTGCTTCGGAGCAAGCTGCACGGTAAGGACTACAAGCAGGTCAGCGGCGGTATCAGCCAGAGCTTATTCGGTGATTCTTTCTTGATTCAGAAACTACGGGTCCGCGTGGTTACTCATCCACATCTGGAACCGCAGGCGCGAAGAAGGAGGATGGCGGCTACGGCTCGGGGGCGCCGCTTGGCCAGCGGGTATCGATAGAGTAGACGTCGCGTCTATCTGTGTCCCAGCTCGACTCCAGCGTTACCTAGATCGCCGTCGTCATCGTCGTTGCATCCGACATAGCTATGCCCCATTACGCCCTACCGTCATGACCCATCACTCTCGCTTTCATTTCCTCGTGGTGGACTCCTGTGTGCAGTTCTACTCTCCCGTCGTTGTGCTTGTCGGAACGGATGCCGAGGCATACTAGGATCTCGGGGTTCTCGGTGGTACTGGATGGACTTATACCGGCATCTGTTTGTTTGCTGCTGCAGAGGCATACATTTGCTTTGGTGGTAGACTTTGTTGATTTACTGTTACGTATTTATGCTCTAATCATTCACTATCCTCCCCGACGTTTGTACCATGTTCTTCTACTGTGGACTCCCCGTAACTAGTCCGGCAGTGACAATCCAGCTCAGAGGCATGCTGTTCCTGGTGGGCTACCCTGTTGCAATCAGCTCTCATCATCCATGCTTGCTTACTTAGACAAATGGCGTAAGGAGGTGCAAGGCGGCGATCCGGTGATGCCGAACAGATGTTTTAGCATCCGAACATCGACTACAGAAGTTCCTGGCGTAGCCAGAGCCTCAACTACCGCCCCCGCACGCGGATCCCACTCCCACGTCATACTTGGACCTCTAGCACAGCAGCACTAGCAGTGCGCCCAGGGCGATAACAGACATGGCTGAGGATGTGACGATACTTTGCGAGGATGCAGCATTACCAGTCGCAGTGGGAAGCGGCTGCGTCGCGATGGTGGTGCCAATGAGCCACGGGCTCTGCGGGGGCGGCGAGGACGTCTGCGGGAAGTCCTGGAGCGCGTTGGTACCGTTCGTGCATGCGCCCGATGGATTGTCGTTCTGCACCGTCACTCTGTCGAAAGCAAGGCCGTCGTCAGCTTGTGGTGACGACGGCAGCAATGTTGCACGGAACATACGGATAAGCGGTAATCGCAAAGTACGGCTGATTGTCGATGTGGGATGCCTCGTAGAAAGTGAGCTGTACACAGGACGCTGAGACATTGGCGGGCGGACGAGGTTGAGAGGAGCTCACGTTGTAGTTGCCCGCAGGAATGCAGGTGGATACGTTGAAGTTCCAGTGCTTGACGGTGCTGCCTTGCTCTTGGGTGAGCAGCTCAGTGCCGTTTGAGACGGTGATGTTCTGCTTCGTCTGGTAGGACACAAGGTAGATCTCGAGGCTGTCGAAACGCGTCGACTTGCCCGAGCCTGGAATGGAGGCGCTCTGGTCGAGGTGACCGTCTCCGGATATCTGTTGCACCTCTCAGCATGCTACTGAGACCTAGTATAAGATAGTAGAGCGCGTACATCAATTGCGACCTGAGTAACTGATCCAGCATGCATAGGACTAAGCAAAGTAATGGTCAGAAGGCTCGGATGTCGTGCTCTTGCCGATGACGCACCTCCCCGGGGCTGGCGCGTCGACGATGGCAAGGCCATTCGTGAATACCTGACCATTCACGAGTGTCTGTGCATGCACACCGCTGGAGGCGGCAGCAAGAAGAGCAGCGAAACAAACGAGCGTGGGGTGCATTTGCTACACAGCGCAAAGCGAGCGGTCTTGGGGATGATGGGGTGCAAGGTGAGGATAGCTGAGAAACGTGTGCCTGTGTACGCGATACATATTTCTTGTGTGTTCCCTGCGTTCCGGGCGTCCGAGTCGGAGAGTCTCCGTGGGTTTACGATGGCAACACGCCGGAAACCAGGCACGCCCTCAAGGCGCCCATAATCCCGGAGCATCCTCGGACGTGACGGCAAGGAGAGACGCCCCGTCACGCGTTACCTTGCCGTGGGAACGGCACGCGTGCAGTCAACGCGTCGGCGGCGTCGCGAAGACGTGAGTGTCACTGTGACAGACGCGTCTCTCCGACTGCTCCCACCACTCGACATCGACTTTGTTGCTCTGAACGTCTTCGCCGCCATGGATGACAACGACCCTATCTCTCAGTTTTTTCCAGACCAAGAGGACGTAGACCTTTATGCTGTTCTGGGCGTCAAGCAAGATGCAAATGCGGACGACATTAAGAAGGCGTATCGGAAGCTCGCGCTCAAGTACCACCCTGACAAACACGCCGGCGCGAACGAGGACGCGAAGGCGGACGCGTCGCTCAAGTTCCAGCAGCTGGGATTTGCGTACGCGGTGCTCTCCGACGAGAAGAGGCGGGGCCGGTACGACCTCACCGGCAAGACGGACGAGGGGGCGGACTTCGGTCCAGGAGAGGATGGCTGGGAGACATACTTCGAGCAACTGTTTGAAGAAGTCACAAGAGATAAGTTGGACGCGATGAAGAAGGAGTACCAAGGTGTGTGGCTCTGTCCTTGAACTCGGTGGCTATGCCGTGACGTCTCCTGTTAGGTTCGGCGGAAGAGCTGCAGGACCTGAAGCAGGCTTACATCGACACCTCCGGCTCAATAGCCGAGATGATGACGCATATACCCCATTCCACATTCGATGACGAGGCGCGCTTCATCGTCGCCATCTCCGATATGATCAAGAAGGGAGAACTTCCATTGCTACCCCAGTGGGAGTCGAGCACAAAGGACGAAAAGGCGAGGCTCGTGCGGAAGAAACAGGCGTCCAAGGAGGCAAAGGAGGCGGAGGAACTGGCGAAGGAGCTTGGGGTACACGACGAATTCTTTGGGAGTGGGAAGAAGGGGGCGCGTAAGGGGAAGAGCAAAGGAAAGGAGAAGCAGACCGACGAGGAGGACACGTCGGCGCTGCAGGCGCTGATACTCAAGAAGCGGAAGAACGCGGAGGGCCTCTTTGACAACATTGCCGCCAAGTACGCGCAGGCGGAGTCGGCCGGAAAGGGAGCGAAGAAAGGGAAGAAGCGGTCGAAGGCTGCGGAGGACGAAGAAGATGGAGAAGAAGAGGCGTCGCCAAAGAAGAGGTCGCGAAAGGACATACCTCCACCACCGGATATCGATGACGCAGAGTTCGAGAAGGTGCAGCAGAGGCTGATGGAGAGCAAGCCGAAGCGAGCCGCGGACAGCGGGGCTGGGTCGAAAGGGACAACAAAGGGCCGAGCAGCGAAAGGGAGGAAGGCGAAGTGATTTGGTTGTCGTGCGTACTATCTTGTTTGTTTTCTTGGTGTATCTTTATGTTACCATTGTCGCTCGAAACGTCGTATGTCTCCTGTCTTTGTCGCGTACGCCATCCGCGTCTTCGTCTAGCACGCGTCCACGTGACGTCCAAACCCGCTTATAGCGCGCGGTCGGTGGCAAGGGCTCTTCTCTAAAATCATCTCTCGTCCCCCTCCTCCGCACATTTCTTTGTCATCCTTCCAACCTCTAACATGGCTGGGGGACGCAAACGCAGGCAATCGTCTGTTGATGGGCCTGATGTCCCAAGCGCAGAAGCATCCCTGGAGGCAGCGACATCGACCCGGGGAGTTCGAGGCCGTAAGGGGGCTCTTCAATCAATGCTCTCCCTTCAATCAATGCTCTCCATGCCGTTGGATGTTATCGGGCTGGTGCGTACGATCTACTATTTCATTGACACTTATCCAACGAGTCTCTAGATCTTTGCAATTCTAGACCCACGAGACCTGTTGAGTCTGGCACGCACCAGCAAGGGCTTACGCGCCATACTAATGACAAAGTCCAATAAGTGGTATTGGGTGTACGCCTTAACGCATGTGGAAGGTCTACCACAGTGCCCGCCATTCCTGAACGAGCCGTCATATGCGAGCCTTGTGTTCTCCAAATACTGCCATGTACGTAGTCTCCTCTTTTTTGAGCATTCCGATGGGGTATGTGGGTGCTGACGTCTTGCAACACGGATCAGAACTGCTTGAAGCGGGCTCCGCTGGTTGATAGGGTGTTTATCATATTCTCTGCGCGCTACTGTAAGGAGTGCGAGAACGAGCGGTCAGTGCTAAGCAACCCTGTGGCATCTGTACGAGCGCTAAATCAGGGGGCAGACTTGTCACCCAAGAGCATGAACAATTTCAGCTTCTCCTTGGCGAAATTGAGGATGTCGTGAGCGAGAGACCCAAATTTACCTCATACGGCTATCCAGCTCGATACCACCTGCCTGAGCTCGTTGCGTTTAGCAAGTCGTGGAATGCCAGAGCAGGCAATGCCGAAGCCCAGACACAGCTCGTCCGTGATTTCGCGGCTTCGGTAAAGAGTAGAAACCAGGTACGCGAACGTGTTCTGTTCCACAACAGGCTACACATTCTGAATATAACGCAGTTTGCCAAGCTGTTCCGTGTGTGGGCTCTCCGTAAGAAGCAGGCCCGCAACAAGGAATTGCGCGACGAAAGAGAAGCCAAGAAAAATGCGTAGGTTTGCTTCGTGTCAATGGATGCAATTGCATGACGAAGCGATCTGGCTAGAATTATCGAGCGCCTCCGAACCTTAGGCTGGGGAGACGAGCTTGACCAGATGGACTCTTCGTCACGGGACCGGTCGCTGGGAAGAGAGCCATTGTTCAAGAAACGGGGGCCTCTGACGGATCGCGGTGAGTACTCCGTCCGCTTCACGCGCTACGCACTTGTTGAATCAGTGAGGTGAGAGTGGTTTGGGCCAACGTGCAGGACGAGGCGGTCGCCTGGATAGAGTTGCAGAGAGACAAGCGCCTCAGACGCCTACGAGACAAGGTGATGGACCCCCGATTCAGACTTTGCGAGAGATTCCTCCAAATATGGGCGGCGGACTATTGGCCCATCGATGAATACGATGACCTCCCCATTCCATCGACGGCGCTCCAGTTTAGGGATTACCTTCTCATGCCTGAAATTCGATCGGTTCTTGACGTGCCGGACAATGTCGCGGGAACATGGGAAGTCCTCAGGGAGAAGTTGGGACCTCTCCTTCCCGGACTTGTGCGCGAGTGGATTGAAAGCTGCAAGGAAGAGTTGCGCGCGAAGCTCGAAGTCGTCTTTAGTTCGTTCCAAGAGGGCGTGGATCCGATGCGCCTAGTCACGACTGCACAGCTTGCAGCGCGCGGTTCATGACGTTCCCGGAAGTCCTCAAGCATCGGTGCCGATACTTGTACAGGCCACGCGAAGCCGATGAGCGTAATCCTTTGGCATGGGAGGCTATCGCTGTGGGAGGCTATCGCGGACCCTCCCTCTCCGGACTGGAAGGCACGGGTTCAGTGGGACACCGAACGTATCATGGTCAACCCGGGAATTTCTCCGCTGAAGGCCCGCGCATTGATCGAGGCCTGCTAGATGGATGCGGACAGCGCCACCCCGGAAGGTATGGACAAGTGCCTGAAACGTCTTACTTGCAACGAATGCACCCAGAGAGGACTGAGCAAAGGAGGGGGCTTCGAAGTCTTCAACTGGAGGCGGGCGGTACGTGACCTATGATTGTCCTGCAGACAATGAACTAGCTTACACTCTGAGCATTGATGCTGCTTTGTAGCTCTGGCACATGATATTTCTCGAGAAACATCGTGAGTCCGCGGAACCCTGCAAATGAACCAGCCTCCCCGAGAATGTCGCCGGGCCTGTCAGAGATTTCGAGAGCAGTGTCAAGGCAGGCGGTCAAGCTGAAAATGGTCTCCGCTGGCATTACCGCTGCCGACTTCCGGGCTGCTGGAATGGATATTTCCCAGGGGACGACCAGGGTGCATTGAAGGAGCACCTTCTTCAAAAGTCGGTACTCGCTGATCGACGTGTACAACTGTCCGCTGACCTAGGATAGGTACCAAATCTCGGAGAGCAATGTCAGCTGCAACGAGCACTCCGAGTATGATTGTCTTCCCATGGACCAGTGTGGACCGCACGGCCTGCACTTCTATCATGACAATAAGGGCACAGTCAGGGTTGCCATCGAGGACTGATGCTGGGGCTACATCGCGTCCGCCGGTAAGTGCACCTCGCGGGCCACCTCGCACAGACGATAGCCAGTATCAAGCATGTCGCATGGTGGAGTAGCTGAACCAAGTATCGCGTGCAAAGCTGAGCCGCTCGATGATACTGGCTCTGCAACAGGTCCCAAGCCACGATGATGTTTCATCTCATTCATCTTGTTCTCTGTTGATACATACACATCTTTTTCCTCACTATGTATGTCTACACCTACATCGACTTCTGATCTGACTTTGCAATACGCCGGGCGTTCGCTGTGTACGAGGGTACGAGTCAACTGAGCCTGGGGTTTTGACACGTGATCGTGATATAACGTGACTCGCCGCCGCGTCGCGTCGCAACGGGCGTCTGGTGGCGCGACTGGCTTCTCGACGTCGTCTTGACCTCTCTTCTCTCTGCCAGTACTACCGTCATCATGCCCCCGCGTAGGAAGGCAAAACGTGTTCAACCTCCTACCACCGCCAATTCCGGAGCTAGCCCTGCCAACACGTCTGAGACCAGTGCTCCGGTACCCTCCCGTGCCGGCCCTCAGGGCAAGAAAACTGTTCGCGGTCGTCGCGGAGGGTTGAAGGATATGCCCCAGATGCCATTGGACGTATTAATAGAGGTAAGAACATATATAGACATCTGATTCCACCATCTGTAACGTCGCGGAACGGACCTTCACAGATATTCGCATTCATGCACCCTCGCGACTTACTGAACCTGGCCCGAACAACTAAGCCATTCAGGAGTCTCCTCATGGCGAAGACTGCGCGGAAGATGTGGGAGGCAGTGATGGCGAGAGTGGAAGGTCTTCCCCCGTGCCCTCCTTACATGAGCGAGCCCGCATATATCAACCTACTTTTCTTCTCGCATTGTCATGTAAGTTCTCCCCTGTCACGACCATGACCAGACTGCCAGCTCACTCTCCAGAGTGCAGAGCTGCCTCAAGTCCAACATTCAAAACATCATATTCGAGTTCGGGGTCCGTTACTGCAATAGATGCAGATCAGATCTGTGAGTGCAATGAATCGACACTCGTTACTGGCTTTTGACTCAGCGCGCGGGCGCATCCAGGATCCTCCGCATGGACGCCTGCGCAGATGTCCATTTTCGGATCAACCCGCTGAAAGGGTCCCTGGAGCGTTGCTTCTCGTACGAGGTTGGAAAGTCCGACGAGTAGGTCGACTGCGGTGACTCAAGTGTCTGGAGAACAGTGTATCTGACCTTGTATTTAGTAGAAAATGGTTTCACAAGCCAGAGCTAGAGACGTTCTGCAAGCGTTGGGACAGCCTTGAAGACGACCTCGCTAGGAAGGCGCTCATCGAAGAGTATGCAGCGAGAGTCAGGCTAATTGACGAAGTGAGTACGACCCCGTGGGCTTCCGAGATCTGAACCAACAAGGTCTGTAGGCTGTAGGAGCGTACTTGGATTGGAAGTCGGGTGAGAAGGCCAGAAGGGCGGCAGAGTTAGAGGAAATCAGAGCCACACGCGTCAGGTCGTACGTGAATCATTACTTTAAAGGAATAGTGTCTGACCTCCACTGACATCGAGTAGTATACGGGATCGCCTTCGTCAGGAAGGTTGGGGAGAAGAGTTCGACAAAATGTCTCCCAACTGGCAGAGCTACCTCGAACTTGAAAACTTCTCCGCGAAACCCGAACCCTTGACTGATCGAAGTAGGTTCTCTGTATCTATGATCTCAGTCCACTCACGCAATCTGGCTCTCCCGACGTCAGGATGGCAAAACATACGTCAAGACGCTGTTTCGTTCATGGAAAGGGCCAAGTCGGACCGCCTCGCACAAGAACGCAAGCTGGTCTTGCTCGACCGCCTTTCCAAGTTCTCAAAGGCATACGAGGAATTCCGGTCTCCCATGGCGGTGTTGAGAGATGCCAAATCCGACCTGGACCCTCTACCAATGGACCTCGCCATGATGTCCGAGTTTAAAGATATCCTCAACGATGTGGGTGGTGCCGATATGTCAGTCTTGGAAGACAGGGAGCAGATGCGACCCATGTTCGAGTCTGCCACCGCCCGGTGGCGCCAGGAGCGTAGAGAGGAGTTGACCGCGAAAATTCGCGCTTCCAACATACTTGTCCCTCCAGATATTGCGGATCCCCTCACGCTGGCCATCTCCCTGTTCGGATGCAAAGCGTGCTCTCGAAGAGACTTGCAGTACCCTGCTGTGCTGACCCATCTGTGCAACCGACGATACGATCTGCCCGCTGACGACTACGAAGTGGCAGTCCAGTGCGTCTGGTCTCCAAATAACCTGCGCACATCTTGGCGGTCAAAATACCTGTTCGCTTCCGTCGATGCCGCGTCCCATTTGCGGCCGATCCTGCAAGCCTGCGGGCTCGATCCGGACCATGCAACTCATCGTGATGTAGATCAATCGAAAGCCGTGCTTATATTTACAGGCAGTGCTTCTTGGTCAAGAGGCAGCAAGATCAATGCGGATGGTACCCCGACACTCATTGAGAGCTACATCAAGCACGAGGCGTTCGTCGATTGCTGGCGTGCAGTGAGGCATCGCGTTTTGCGACGGTGCATGCTGTCAATGTGCTGACATCACATCCAGCTCTCTTACCGCCTGCGTCACCCCCAGCTTCCAAGTCGTTGGGAACGCGTTTCGGATAACGAAGCAAAGAAGATCCAAGACAAGGAATGGGAATCGTATGCTTGGGTAGACATGTACAAGACAACACTCGGCTGTAAATACTGTCCATTCGCTATCCGAGAGGAGCACATGCCGCGACACCTCAAGAAACGGTACGGTTCCGCATTTCGCGCATGTCAGGACAAAACGTGATGTGTTCTTTTCCCATAGCCACGACATTGATGCCGACGAGGGCACCATTTATGATCACTCTTACCAACATGAGGACGCGGCTCCGGAGTATAAGTCGATTTATCTCAAGCGACACGACAACGGCACGTCCGAGGCGTATTTCAATAAATTTGAATCCGACTTCGGCCTCTTCTCTCTGTTTATGGGGGCTGACGGTGATTCGGATGCTGCCGAGTGGGACTCCGACATGGATTTCTAAGGCGACGCCCGGTACCTGACACTTTCATGCCTCGAGAGCAGACAGCTTCCTTGTTGCGAAGCCCAGAGCGGTTTGGGGTGCTCCGTCGAGTTGTGGTGCAGAGGCGGTGAGTGATTACTCGGTGATGCTCATGTCTGCCACTGAACCTCTCACCCATTCAGTGCAATGTCAATGCAGAGCGATATCGAATTCATTTTCCCCTTCTCATCTTCGCACTGTGTATACGAAGAGACTCCACCCATCGCAGGTCAAGTGCGGTATGGTTTTCAGGAGTATATCAGATGTTTCTTGGTACGGCTCGTAGAGTAGCTGTTATATGAATCAGATGCTTTCGAGAACCCTGGTATAGAGCGCTCAGTTATCCTGCTTGGTCCTAACAATGAGGTTGAACAATTTTGAAGCTATGTCTGATGCAGGTGAGTACAGCCTGAATTACATCTGTCGAGTTCAGACACTCACCTAACCTTCGTTTCTCGACCCACAGTCTCACGCAATTGGTGGGCATTGATTTCCAGAAATGCCCCTTCCCGTCAACGGTCACCGGCCTCACTCCACGCACGACGTCTTCGATTGCTAGCAAGCGGTGAGCATGACTCGTCCAAGAACCTGACGTCAGCAACAGCTAGATGTGGTCTGTAAGAAGCGGCAGCACACGCATCAATGGGAGCGCATTTCTGCTGCAGAAGCGGTAGAATTTGAAGAGGCAGGGGAGGACTACGCTGCTTCAGTCGATATCAGACTCTACCCCCTCGGTTGCAAGTACTATCTCATAAACGAACGAGTAAGCACGAGTTACCATTCGGCGACAGATTGACTTGGTTCAAACGCTGACGGCGTCTTCTAGGCACGACATTGGCGACATTGATGATGACGTCGACGCAGTGTTGAACCACGCCTGCATCCACTTCGACGCCTACGTGGACTTCGGGATCGCCGTCGTCAACGTCCAGCGGTTGGCTGGCGGGTCGTCCTCGGTACACTGCACTCGCGCCTTAGGAAAGCCTGCTGAAAAGCTTTCCGGGCCTGAAAACGAGGGTGACAGTAACCCCAATTCGGAGTGGGAGGATGACGAGGATTGAGAACCAATTACAAGCGCCCGAGACTGTCTGTTGCTGAAGTGTAATACAGGTGAGGACCTCACTTTATGTTCATTCCCTGCATAATGACACTCTTTCCGCGAGGTCAGCGCCGCATGAATACACACGCGAGGGAAGCTGCCAGGTTTGAACGTTACCGTTCTATTGTGGCAGGATCCATTGGACATATTGGGCGTACTCAATTTTCAGGTCGCTGGCTCGTTGCTACCCAGGACGACCTAGCAACGGAGAGCCACCGTGACAAGGCAGTGCGGGCGAGCCCCACTTGCCGCTGCAAGTGTCCTAAACCGTGCCGTAGGAGGCCGTGAGCGGAGCTTCAATTGAAGACGATGAGCACCTACATAGTACTTGGTCGCGTGCCGTTGCGCGCAAGAGAGAACTGGCTGTATTCAGTGTGCATGCTTCGCGCGGTGTACTTGTGCACGCTAATGACTGATGCTCTCGTTATGCAAGCTCGTGAGGTATGACTGAGCCTCATAGTCACCAAACTGCTACTGCTCGTGTGAGTGACAAGCACTAGTGACGTGGACTAATCCATCCTCCCAAATACCCGTAGTACATACAGTAGACTACAGATATAGGGGCTATCCATGGTAGAAGACGGATGAAAGGTACATCAAGCAGTATAGACATCCCGATTTGGCTTGTGAGACGCCCGAGCCGCAACACGGAGCGTGCTCTATTCGGACTCCGCTCACGGCCTCCTACGGCACGGCTTAGGACACTTGCAGCGGCAAGTGGGGCTCGCCCGCACTGCCTTGTCACGGTGGCTCTCCGTTGCTAGGTCGTCCTGGGTAGCAACGGGCCAGCGACCTGAAAATTGAGTACGCCCATTGATGGAGTTGTTCTAAGTTCTATGACATCATGCATCATGATTGACGCCATGTTGTGCGTCTGAGAGTAGCTCACGGCTTCGAATCTGTCTCAATACATGCCAACATATGACTTACAGGGTCAGGGTGGGTAAGTTCTCCTCGCGCGGCGTACTCATAATTTACCCAGGCCATCCTAGGTCCAAATTTGATACCTACGGGCATAGCTCCAAGACGACTCACGGTGTGTACGTTGGTTCGCGAATCAAAGTGGCAGAGGAAATGGCATGTATTACTGCCGCGGTAGCTCAAGATCCGGACCTCGTTATCCACGCGACAAGAAATGGTGACGAGTGTGACCCACGGTGCTTCGCGTCTGTCCGGCGAATCGCTCTCAATCGTCCTTGGACTGGAACCACCACATACTCTTCCCCTCCTTCCTGCAAGATGCCCGCGCGCAAAAAGGTTAAAACACATACAGATGCATCTACTGGTGTTGCGAGAACTAGCAAGGACAGGGGCAAGCTCACAACTCGCCGGAAAGCTGTTCGTGGTCGCAGAGGAGGCCTCAGGGATATGCCTGATATGCCGCTGGACGTCTTGCTTGAGGTAAGCACTAATTAGCGCTGGCGCGCATTGAGAGGACAATGTGCTGAATGTTGGGGATGTTTATGCAGATATTCGGCTTCATGCACCCGAGAGATCTGCTGGCTCTGGCACGAACGGACAAGGCATTCCGCGCATTTCTCATGACCAGGAACGCACAGACTTTGTGGAGTGCTGCATTGGAGAGTGTGGAAGGTCTCCCCAGGTGTCCGTCCTACATGAGCGAGCCCGCCTATGTCAATCTCTTGTTTTGTAACCATTGTCATGTGAGTCCAGCATGCGTGTTCACGCATTGTTCTGCGCTCATCCACATTTCAGAATTGCTTGAAAAACAACGTGCGAGTCGTCCTTTTCCAGTATGCTGCGCGCTATTGTCCTGCCTGCAGGGAACTCATGTCAGCGACCCGATCCTCTCCTGCATATGTTGAGTCTCACCTTTACGACTGAAACAGGTTTACGGATGAGTCCGAGTATCTCGTATTCTTCAGGACAGTAGGCTCAGTCACTAGTACTGGGCCGTTGCCCACATACATTCACTTGATCGCCGAAGCGGGCCACATGTGAGTCTTGATAACTGGGCGGGAAGTCACATTTCTCACTCATGTTACATGCAGGGTTGTCCATAAACCACAGCTTGCCGAGTTCCAGACACGCTGGGAACAGCTCGACGACGTAGCCGCCAAGAAAGGATTGATACTTCAGTTCGAGGCCAAGAAGAACCTCATTCTCGAGGTTAGCAGCCTGTTCGAAATGGCTTCGTCGCAACTCACTGGCTTGAAAGGCGTCGAACGAGTACTATTCCTGGGAGTGTCACCAGAAAGCTAAGAGATCGGATGAACTTGACAAGATTCGAGCCGCGCGAGTCCAAGCGTGAGAATATTCCTGCAACATGGAGTACGACGGAGGCTGAGTATACTTGTCAAGCATTCGAGACCACCTGCGTGAAATGGGGTGGGAGAAGGAGATCAGTTACATGGCGACACATCAATATCTGGGATTCGACTTCGAGCGGCAGAAGTTTGCAACTCGATCTGAGGCTCTCACCAATCGCGGTATGTCCTCGTTGTCTAGTTTGAGCAAAGCAGATATCTAATGAGCTTCGCTCGCACTAGTTTGGCACAAAATCCAGGGGGATGTAATCACGTTCGTGAATGGTGTCCGTACCCAACGCATTGCCGAAGAACGCAAGATCCTGCTGCACACTAGATTCACTGTTCTCGCGAAAGCTGTCAGCAGATACCAAGGCCCAGATGCGAAACGCGATCGCAGCTCTGACTTCGAACCGCATCTTAAGGACTTCATGTTCATGCCGGAGTTCCACGAGCTGTTGGACGCACCAAGCTCGGCAGGTCTGTCAATTCTGGATGATCCCAGGCAATTGCGCGATATGTTCGGTGCTGGCATCGCGGCCTGGAAAAAAGCCCGCAAAGACGAGCTATCCGCCCTGGTAGCGCCGTCATTGTTGGAAGACGAGTCCGATCCTCTCGCCCTTGCTTTGACCGTGTTCCGCTGTAAAGGCTGCCGCCGCTGCGCCCTCAGGTACCCCGAAGTACTTGTGCATCACTGCCAGCGGAGGTTCTACTGGCGTTACATCCCCAGTTGGCGCACCGGAAATGTCGGCGATGTGTATAGGCACGCCGTCGCAACGTATGGGCATTTCTACCGGTCGCATTGGGAGATAAATCAGCACCTCACCGCCTCTACCGAAGCCATATCCTTCCTGCGACCTATTCTCGAAGCCTGCGGGGTGAATCCGGACACAGCGACTCGCCGGGAAGCCGATGAGTGCGGAGCGAGGTTGATTTGTCGACAATGCGAGGACGTTACTCTAGATTTTAATGTCACGATCAACATGGACGATTCCGTTGATGGCGCGGAGGAGAGTTCGTACTGCGTCTTTGACTGGTCCGGAGCAGTGAGTCCCTTCTCTCGCACATAACCACGTTGACGGCAAGACTGACCCCGCGCCTTCAGCTGAACCACTGCATTCAAGGTATGAGCTGGGCAGTGCTAGATATCACCATGGAACACGAGTGGGAACGTGTCTCCGAGGACGAAGCGGCAGTCATTTATCGGCTCGAAGACGAACTCCGTAGCCGGGATGACCATTCTGACCGGAATCTCTTCCTCCACAACTGCTCCTATTGCGAGTACATCGGGAGCCGCGACATCATGCCCCAGCATTTGAAGAAACGGTGAGCATCTGATTGATATTTTGCAGATGGACCACAGAGGACTTACGCGTTCTTCTGCAAGCCATGATCGCGAGGTGACCATAGCTGAAGTGGACGATCATTGCTACATCGGTTCTGACAAGGAGCCGAAGCTACCCACGATCGTTTTGGAGCGTCACAACGCTGATGGGACGTTCCAGGTGAATTGCCGCAAGGATAGTAATGAGCTGGCGGACGTGATGGTTCTCCCTGGTCTCGAGATCCTGACTTCACCGGATGAGTTCCAATCCGATACAGACGAAGAAGACTAGGTTTTCGTACGCTCGACCTGAGCCGGAGTAGAGACATTCGCCGTCGTTTCTGTGATATCGGCAATCTATCATGTTTCGTAGCGCTTTTGCCGGCCGTCGTGTCCACCGCCCCGCACTTATCTTGCTTGAGGTCGCGACTGCAAAGTATGCTGGGTCGGATGGTACAGCGCGCATGCATCCTCAAACAGTGTTTGGGACGTGGCAGAGTTTCGGTCGTTATTGATCGGACCTTGCGGTGGCCGATCAAATGGGTGTCGCATATATCGACCATCCATGTATGCGCTTTGGGCCGCACTCCCGTCTTCGCTACTACCACACCCCCGAGACGGTCTGTGCCTGCCCGTTTCGCACTTACATTCGGTTGAGCAACAGCAGCCACGATGGATGCTGGTGTTCTTGATGATCATGAGGGTTTGCACGCTGAAGTCGGTCGGGCCCGGCGCGCACTTCGCGGCCGGCGCGGTGGCTTGAGAGACATGCCCAACATGCCTCTCGACATCTTGGTTGAGGTGCGTTTGAATCATTCTGATTATGCTGCAACTCCAGATATGCTCGGTATCTTGGCCACATACGGAGAAAGCGCGCATCTGACACTCGTTCCAGGTGTTCTCATTCATGCATCCTGGCGACCTCCTCAACCTCGCCAGAACCACGAAGGACTTCCGCGCCTTCCTCATGAGCCGCACGTCTGCCCCCTTCTGGAAGTCGGCCAGGCAGACCGTCGAGGGGCTTCCGGATTGTCCGCCCTATCTGAGTGAACCCGCGTATGCAAACCTCATGTTCTTCGCTCTCTGCCATGTATGTCGCGCTTTCCTGCGTATGCAGTTATTGCGGGAGCTGAGTACCGGAACAGCATTGTCTCAAATCCAACATCCAGAATGCCCTCTTCGAACTCTCAGTGCGCTATTGTCGTGACTGCCAGCGCTATTTGTGAGTTGCTTAGTATCCCTTGCCTCCCAGTCTGATGCGGAAGGCCATTGTAGACTTATCGATGTTCAAGAGACTGACTACCGAATGGACGAGGTGGTGATAAAAATGGGCTTTGAAGAGCCGTATCTGACTTCCGTGATCCTCTCGAGAGACTCTGTGTGAGCACCACTCAGTCTTATCACGCGGAAGGCTATATGCTAATTAGACCACCCCAGGGACCGGCTGTTTTACCATCGGCCGGAGTACGAGAATTTCCGGAACTTCTGCTTCCTCGTCCAGGACGAGGCGGAGCTAGTGCGCAGCATCAAAGACAGGATCGCCTCTGTTCAAGTGATCAGTGAGGTCTGCATGCTTTATACAACAAAATGATGCTAGCATGACACGGTACTTGCCTGCAGTCGTGCGAAGCATTGTATGCTTGGAAGGAGGCGCAAGTGCAGAACAGAGCCCAAGAGCTCGACAGGCTTCGCGAAGAACGCTTCACTACGTCAGTTGACGGTTCTTCTTGGATGACGTACTCATCTAATCACAAATTTCCAGAATCATTGACTTTCTCCGTAAAGATGGATGGGGCGACGAACTCGATCGCATGGAACCGGAAGACCTATACGAGCTCGCTGAGAAGCCATATGCGCGCAAGCCTCAGAAGCTGACACGACGCGGTGAGTCCCTCGTACCCTCGCATACTCATGCTGGGGGTGGTGACGGCGAGGTACTGAAGAAGGACTCAGGATGGGCGAGTATTTGCGAAGACGCTCATGCATTCATGGAAGATGTGCAATCTCAGCGCCTGAAAATGGAACGACGTGCCCTCCTGCACGACCGTCTCGTCGTTTTCGTCGGTCTGCTCGATGTTGTGGAAGGTCAAAAGAAGCGACCCTATTTGGCGGACCCTGAAGACTTGGGCAACTCGGAATACGACAAGGACGACAAGAGATCTCCAGAAGATGACCTACAGCCCCGGATCGCCGATTACGCAATGATGCCTTCACTGCGAGAAGTGCTAGACGACCCAGGCGATCATCCAGTGACCGAAGATCATCTATGGCAGCTGAGGGATCATCAAGCCGCCCTCATTGTACAATGGAAGCAGACTCTCCAGAACAGGCTCGTCGAGAAGCTCCGAGCTGCTATCGCCTTACCCGATGATATCGACGATCCTCTGAGTCTGGCTATCGCGTCGTTCTCCTGCCTGGCGTGCCATAGATCCGTCCCCCTACGCTACCCTGAACTCCTGGCCCATCGATGTTTGCGACGCCTGCCTATCCACATGGGCACCGCTGACCTCTATACGATGACGATGAATTTGCGGAAAGTCGTTCCCCAGTTTAGTTCTCCAGTTACACTCGATTACGTGCACGTCGACCGTCAAGTGGTCGAACGGCTCACCGCAGTCATCGACACTCTGGGTCTGGATCCTCTACATGCGACGCAGCACGACTTGGAACGCTGTGAAGGAAGGATGTACTGCGCATATGGCAAGTGCCAGACTGAGACCGGCGACCTACTCCAACTGAGGGGATGTAACTGGTTGAGTGCGGTGTGTAGCTGGTCTATCGACCCTGGCTTTGAAGTATAGTTTGGCTGATCCACCACCTGCTCGCACCAGCTTCTGCACATGGAGGAAGTTCACAATGAGACCAGTGCCTGCGGGTTCAGATTACTGGACGAACATGAGGCTGTACAGGTTGCGCGTCTGGAGGAGACTGTCAAAAGCCACCTTGACAGTATCGCTGGCGATCGTACTTTTCTGCGGAGAGCCTGTCGTTTCTGCCCAAAGCGTTTCCTGAGTCGGACCTCCCTGGTTAATCATCTTGAGAGCCAGTAAGCCTCCGGCCCATTTTTGATATGTAACGATGTGCTGATGTTGAATGATGGTAGGCATAGCGTCGACATCGAAGATGATTTAGACGGATACTTCTACATCCCTCTTGACGAGAGGACGCAGAGACTGCCCAAGATATACGTCTGTTACGACCTTCCCGACCGCCGCTATCGCGACGTGGGGCTTCCGAAGGGTTGGCGAGACCTCCTATAACGCCTAGGCGGAAATTTTGCCCGCCCGAGAGGCATACTGTAGTAAAGGTGGCATGCCTTAGTTCGAGCATAATTCAAATTGTACTACTAGCGATGCAAAAAACAACGATCAGCAATCATAGCCATAGACCACCTCTCGAGGGCGGTTGAGAGCCAGCCCCCTTCCCATAGAGATCCATCGCGCCGGCAAGTCGCTGTACATGGCAGGGATAAACAAAAGGTGTTCTATGCATCGTAGCATGTAGTACCTCCATGACGACAACAGAACAAATAAGTTACAGATAGCGAATCGAATCTATGCCCAAGCTACGTCTCGCGTGTATGATGGCTACAAGTTCCTTGATAGACTCCTCTAGAATGACGACGTTGTCAAGCAATTGCGAAAGCGTGACATGCGCGACTTTAGGGCCGTCTTCTTCTTCCTCCGAATCGTCCACAACTTGCGATTGTGTGCGACCGTCGCTCCATTGACCCGTCGAGCCAAAGACATCTTCCTCGTCTGCGTTGTACTTGCGCGACTTCGCGGGCGTCCAGGGACCAGAAGATGGCGCGGGTGCAAGATAGGGCTCTACAACAATGGCACCAGTCTTCTGGTAGTGGGGGCCGAACGGACTGGCCTCGAGCGCTCGCGCACCTCGCGACGGAGTCGTAGGCTCGGACGGCGGGGGCATTGTCGGCTTGCTCTTCTTCGGTGTCAGGAAAGAGACAAACGACTGCGACACCGACTGGGTCGATTTTGGCTTCAGCTTTGTAGGCGTCTCCGCTGGAGATGAGAGCACAGTGGACAGCGGTCCCCCAAATGCAGACGACTTCGGTGTCTCGAAGTCGAGTGCCAGCGTCAACGCATCAGTCAGGTTCTCATTAAACAACAAGCCTTGTCGTCGTTCCTGAAGGTATTGATCGAAGTGCTCGACCATCTGGCGATATCGCTCGAGCTGACCGACGAGACCGTGGAAGATGGAGTGGACGACGGGGCGCGACTGCTCATCTATGCTGGATGCGGGGAGCGCGTTGAACTCGGACGCGAGCTTCTCCTCTATCAGGAAGTCGATCGAGCGGTCGTCGCCATCATCCTCATAGGACAAGACGTCTTGCTCGCGTGCGTTGGATGGCGTCGGTGACTCCTTGGGCGCAAAGGTCAACCAGCCTGCGAGGGAGCGGTCCGGACAGAGCGCGAGCGTGGCGAGCACGCCGGTCAGCGCCATGTTGGCTTCTGGTGTGTTAGAGAAGAATTTACGTAGAGACTGGAGGACGAGGGAGAGGACGGGGTCGTTGGGGTTCAAACGGTGCTTGAGTTTCGCCCGCGCTTCGAGGTCTATGTCGAGCCGGAAGCATGGTTGACTTTGGATGGAGAATATGGCATCGCGCAGATAGTGATCGTATCCCGTGCTGAACGCATCTTCTGCGTGGTTCGGATCGATGCGAGACACAAGTGTGAGGTATAGACCCATTTCACGTTCATGCGTCCAGTAAGTGGTATCGGGTTGGCTGAAAACGATCACCGACTTGGGACGAATGGGCTCTGCCTCCTTGGTATCTTCGGAGCCTGGGTATATGAACGTCTCATCGTCGTCATCCTGGTTCGCAGAAACTGATGGCGGGAGAACATCCTCGATCGCATCGGAAAGGATTGCAGGTTGGGGGAAGGAGGTAGCTTGAGGATCGTGTATGACGACAAGCAATCGGTCCACGCAGAGCGTGCAGTATTGGAAGAGAAGTGACTGGAGGAGCTGGAGGGCGGCGGTAGCGGTCGGCTGCGACTTCGAGCGCAAGCTAGTCAATAGCAGGTCCTTGAGGGTGAAACGGCCCATGGAGGTGAAGTATGAAGACTGTTTGCGAGCATCTGGTGCTTCCATCTCCAGCAACGTCATTGCAGTACTCTTGCGCCTGCCCTTCTTTGCCTTCTTCAGCTCCACCTGAGACATAGCAGTGGGAGGAGCTGTGTTGCCAAGGTTGAGCATTGATTGCGGACGTGCTCGGGAAGAAGTCAGATCCTCATTATTGTCCTCGCTCATCAAGAAGTCGACAAGCACATCCGCCAGCTGGCCATTCTCCAAAGTCCGGAGCATGATCTCAATGTACGACATGACGGCCACGGCACTACCGTCGGCGTCGGAGCATTCGAGGATGGAAGGATAGAGGATGTTTTCAAGGAACACCCGCCGTACGGCATCCAGGATAGACTGCACGATCGCGGAACCTACGAGTGCTGAGGGGTCGAGAGTTCCATCCGCCGCGTCGTATCCCTTGTTCCGGCGGAAGACATCTTGCAGGAACTCAAGCAACTTCAGGAAGTGATCCAAGCGTGCCTTGAAGTCGGGACTTGAAGATTCCTCGAGACCCATAGCTCGACTTCGCTCCTTCTCGGCCTCCAGCTTCTCTTTCTCCTCAGACGGGAGCTCCGGGGTGGTGCTACTACCGAGGATCATAGCAGCCCCTGAGGATTTCTCTGCCGCTGTCGGTGGGCGGACTTCGAGTTTGGTAGGAAGCAGGGAGTAAACGGCAGCGAGGCCAGCAGCGAGGACGTCAGAGAAATCGCCATCGAGGATATATTCCGCAAGAGCTAGAGCTGCGTCGGTGTTAGGGTCATGATCGTGTGCCGATAGTGTTGAGGTGGATGATCGAAGGTCTTCCTCGGGTTTATGCGAAGGATCCACGGGAGACATGGCGACATCCATAAGGAAAAGAAGACCCGCGCGTGCGAAGTCGCCGATCTGCCCCTCCCGATGCACGAAACGAAGTAGGTAGTTGAAGAGTAGAAACTCATACTCTGGTTTCTTCGTGGTAGAAGATCCGAGTCCAGAGTTATCCGTCTGTTGGGAGGGAGCAGGAGAGGTAGGACGTTGAGGTATTGTAGCATCGGAAATGGATTGGTCGCCTGATTGTTCGGCAGCCGGGGCGTTCTCCGCCTCTTCCTCGTCTTCATCCTCCTCCTCGACGGCGAATAGTGGTTCTGGTCGATACCACTGCTTGTCGTGGAAGAATATCATAAGTAGTTCGCGATATGTTCGTATTCTGCTGCAGAGAATGCAGAGGAGGTTGACCACTATGAGTGAATCAGTATGTGTACAATGCAGAGTTAGCCAGGAACTTATACAATCTTCCTCATACTCCGAGGGTTGCGTACGGGACACATTCCCGGCCGCTCCCATGGGCTTGTTCCGACCATCCAGCTGTTCTTGCAGATCATCCCCGACACAGTTGCGTAGCAGGCGGAGAACGGCCTTGTGAACCGCAGAATGTACGAGGAATTGTTCATCAAGCAGAACGACCATGTTCTGTACGGCCCGGAGAACCTCTGCTTGGATACCGAAGGGGCGATCGGACTCGCTGAGCTTGACCAGCGTCCCAAGTACGTCTGATGCAATTCAGCACTCAACATACGGCTACGCAGCACGCTGGACGCACCATTCTTCAATAGATACTCCAAGCAGGCACCCGTCTCACTGATAGCCCGTTGGAGATTAACACAAGAGCACCGAGGGAAGGGCTTAGACATACCCCTCCTCCGTCCGTGTAGATTCCCAAACCAAAGAATCCACCATAGACTGTAGACGTGCAGGAACATCGGTAGACTTGATCCCGCGAGTCAATTGACGTTCGTCCGGATGTAGAAGGGTGTTCTGAACGACGCTTCATGAGGGCGGGGACACTCCACGACAGCTCCCATCGTCCGCACCTTTATGAGCACCCATGACTTGTGGAACTCCTGTGCATGGTCGATCTGCACACAATACGCTCAGTGTCGAGTGGATCGCGTCCGAGCGAAGCGCATGTCGCACCTCGGCCTTGGGAATTGGCTGAGCGTTCGACCGCAAGAACTTGGAGAAGTAGTCCATTCCTCCTTGCCGTATCTCGCCCTAAAGTTCGAGAATCTGCACTGAAGCCTGCACAAGCCAGTAGCCCAAGATAGACAAACCAAGAGGGCAGGTGAACGTGGTACAGGCTCGAGTATCTCCTGGAGGTCAATACGGTTCGACTTCCTCTGGGCGCTCCACGCGGCGTCGCCGCCCAGCTCTTTTCGCCTCCACTATGTACCACTCCCCTATTGCTGCTCTTCCTTATTATGTTTCCTGACAACAATATTGCTGCCTTCCATGTCTACATCGAATTGTATGACATCTTGCCAGGCCCGTCTCGCCAACCTGCGCGGTTGCTTTGGTGGCTGACTAGGACTTCCGGACTGAATTCTGTCCTCACAATCGAGCTTCACCTACGAGTATGATGCCAGCCACACAGTACACACACGAACACTGCCAGATATACGCTCAAGAGACATGCTGAAGCAGACAGCTGTTCTTCAATGTCGGCATCTCGCTGTGCGTCCGCCTCGTCCTCCTACGACTCCTTCCTAGCTCCAGGGAACGATGAAGCGAGCTACGCACCTCTCCTTGTCTCGCCAAGCAACATCTCTACTATCTCGGAGGATCTGAACCCGTTCGCCTCTCAGTCGTCTGACATTGCCGTTCTCCTGTCTCCCGGGGCCGCTGACTGTCCAGACGACCCCATCCCTCGCTTCGGTGCAACCTCCACCCCACCACCTCCGCTTCCAGCCGAGAAGGACGTCGAGGGCGAGCTCCGCAACGTTGTCGACGACCTTCTCCGCAAGAAGCGCGCCGCTCGCGACACCCTCGCAGAGGAGAACACCTCGCTCCGCGCCCAAGTCTCCCTGCTGCAGGATGCGCTCGTCCAGGCGTCCGCGCAGCCCGGATCCATGCTCACCGACTTGTTTGCCGCACTGGAACGCGAGCGCACGCTTCGCGTGAACGCGGAGGACTCGCGCATAGCGACCGGGAAGTACCTCGCGGAGCAGGTCGAGCGCATCTCGCTTCAGAAGGCGCTGCTCGAGAAGACCGTCACGTCATTCACGCACGGGCGCGACTTTTGGCGGGCGAAGGCGATCGCGGCGCTCGAGCGGTGCGAGGCACTGGAGGAGGAGAACGTGCAGGTCAAGACGCAGCTTAACGCGATAGTGAAGAAGCAAGACAGTATCGTCGAGAGCCAGATCAGCGAAGTCTTGCGCGAGGTCGCGGAGGAGCGGGACCGCCTCAAGCAGCTCGAGGACGTGCTCCCTTTCGCGGAGAGAACTAACGTGCAGGTTAAGACGAACGATAAGCCGAATCCGATAAAAACAAGTGGCTCGAAGCTGGACTTGACCAAATTGATTGGGGAGGTGAGTTCTCGAGACCACTTACCCAACAGTTCACTATACGTTGTGAATCTGTACCGTGTAGGGCAAGCTCTTCGGTGGCAAGACCGCAAAGGGACTCGTGTCCTACAAGATCACTCTGGACGCTCGTCGGGGTCCGCAGCAGTCCAAGAAAGAGCGGCCGTAGTGCGTTCAATAGCCTAATATGATAGCTATATTTGTGTTACAAGCCGTCAATATGCGTATTGCAGTGAAGTCCATGGTTATCATGGTGTTGCTACAGTTTACAAAGCGTGAAACTCAATAGCTTCCTATCCTTCACGAAACCCGGAGACGCTCCCCCGGCGGACCCTGTGCATCTTCACATCCACGTTTGCAATGCTCGAGGGATGCGGCCACATCTCTCGACATAGGGAACTGAACCCTTCTTGGTCTGTCCACGGATCCCGGGGTAGGTTGCGAAATAGTGTTGCGAGTCAGACGATCTGGAATCGAAGACATGACTAGAGAGCTTGGGTCAGTTGCCACCGAAGCCCCGCTAGGCGGACTCGAAGCAAGGGCCACTGGAGTTCCTAGAATGTTGGTAAGAGAACCCTCGGCGTGGTAGGTTGTGCGCGTGGACCCTGAGGTAGTCAGTCCGTAGTGTCCGAATTGCGGGTGGTCATCGTTGTCGGAGAACGCCACTGTGCGGGGGGAGCCGCTTCCTGTCATTGCTCGGCCGTGCACCTGTGTGGCGGTATGAGCTGTGAACTATGCTATCGGCAAAGTGGAAGACTGTTTTACTTTGTTTTCGAGGTCCTGAACGAACTGCCGAGCAGGCGAAGACCGCTGAGTGAGGCGGAAGCGATCGGCCAATTGAAAACATGACCATCGTAGTAAGAGAACCAGTACGAGGAGAGCCACAAGTTGCACGACTAGAGGCATCACTGCTGAGATAGCAGAGGCGTACGGAGGAGAGAATGTAGCCCACATCATCGGGGAAGTCATTCGTGCTACATGACTTGTGTCGACACCCGGATCGGGTAGTACGAGGGGGTTTGGGTCCGGATCATAGCTGTGGTTAGGGGGCGACAGCGTTGGACGGAGATAACCAGAGAGCCAGCGCTCGCCTTGCAGTGTCCAGGGGACCTGCGCAAGGAGATATTGGGAGGCTAGTCGGCGACATCGGTGGGGTGCATTTGCCAAGAGTAGCTCAGCTTGGGGCATAGTGTGCGAGAGAAGAGTCATTGTGAATCGCGGTTCCAGCACGCCTAGCATAAAGATGCCGGCAAAGACAAAAGACAGGATGAACATGGCAACAGGAAAGTGTAAAAGAGTAGATGGAAGTCTGGAGCGATGATAGTAGAGGTCGAATCGGAAGTTGAACGAGATATCCTCTTCACATCCCTCACGGGATGTCCGCTGCATCGGTCTAATTGGATCTGATTACCTTCACATGCGAGCTCTGCGCTGAAGTATTTGAGATCATGGCCATGCATGGCGAGGTCATGCCAACAACTATCGAGCGGCCTACCACACCAGGGGGATTGACTCGGACTTGACGCACCTACGCTGTGAAACTTCTGCAACCTTGGCACGTGGCTCATGGTGATCCCCCACTCGTCAATTTAGCAATCGAATGGTTGGATATGATGATCCTTGAACGCTTGGCCAGAGAGCGGAGCGGAAGGGAACAGACAACCTGCAATTACTACTGGCATGAGGACGCGCTGGACGCGGCGACCCGGGTCGCGGGGTTGATCACGTTCGCGCGACGCGTCTGACAGACGCCCATGTGGGCGGGAGACTGGAGTATAAGCCACCGCCGCGTCTCCCAATCCTTGGCCTGCCACTTCTCTCTTCCATCTCTAGCTATCCCCACGGCGGATAAACTCTTCTCCGTCCTATGCCTCCAAAGCGCATACGGCGAGCCTCTCCTGGCCCGATTGGCCTCTCTGCTGGCGAACGTCTCAAGCGTGCAAAACTCACAGGAAATGTCGCCTACTCTGCTTGGGGCTGGGTGGGGACGGAGGTGACAGATGTGGCCGGGATTTCAAACGAGCACAGACTAGCGACCTGCGGCTTCTCTCGGAACAGCAATTACTCCCTATGTAGTAACAAGCACGTCGATAAACGCAAAACTCAATCGCCGCCAACGCCAAAGGTCAATGGCCACGTCGAACTGGAGGCAGCGGAGGAGCAGGCAGGCGATATCATTGTCATCTCAGACGATGAAGGGCCGACGTGCAGTAGTAAAGCATGCAAGCAAAACCCATACTGCCTGAACTATCTGGGTCAGGGCAAGTGGGAGGATGCCGGTAAGTCCTCGTCGAGTCCAAGGCGTCACGGCGACTGTTCTGACGAGCATCCGCTGAAGAGGATGCCTACGAGGAGTATCTAAAGGTATATGACATCGGAGAAAACCCCATGCTCGATGCCCGAGATGGACAAACACCCATTGGTCTAAAGGCGAGCTACCTTTCTGTCTATGATCGTTGTGTCATGGAGTCTCATCCTGTCGTAGAACCTGGGAGCCACTTGTTATGCCAATGCCTATTTACAGGTAGCTTCACTCAATCTCCAGGAGGAAGTGATGCTGATCGCGCCACCAGGTATGGTTTCAGGACATACCGTTCCGCAAGGGCGTGTATGAATGTCAACCTGCACAAGACGCACAGCATCCATTCGAGGTTCGCCTTGCTAACGCCGACTTTCTTGCTCCCTGGTCTCATGACAGCCCATGGTTGCTCGACATTTTAGGAGTCTCCCATCTTCCAGCTGCAGGTCACCTTTGCCGCCATGCAACATAGCGAGCTGAGTGCGTTCAACCCCGTCAAGCTCGTGGAAAGCTTGAAGCTACGGGCCTCAGAGCAACAAGACGCTCAGGAGTACGTGGCATGGGTTGCACGTTGCACAAGCTCCATCATTCATCACTAGTCTCCCAGATTCTCGAAGCTTTTTATGGCGCACCTGGACACCGAGTTCAAGAAGCAGCAGAGCCCAGACCTTCGGTCGCTAATCCCCGATCAGGTGGGTTGGCATGTTCGCATCCTCTGCATCTCTCCCCTAACGTGGGCAACAGTTCCAGGGTAGGCTAGTATACAACACGGTGTGCCAGCACTGCCACCGCCGTTCGGGGCGAGATTCTGACTTTCTAGAGATCGAGGTCAACCTGGAGGTCAGTCTTGCTGTTGTTTTGCTGAGCGTAGAAATAACCAACGGCAGTTACCCAGAACAATGCCACTCTGGAGGAACGTCTAACAGCACTTTTGGAACCCGAGACACTATCCGGGGATAACAAGTAAAGCTCACAAGCTGCCTTGACGACATCCTGCTGACCTCTTTTCTCCAGGTACTTCTGCCAACAGTGTGATAATCTGCAAGATGCGAAGCGATTCACCGAATTGCACGACCTTCCACCGGTCTTGCACTTCTCTCTGCTCCGCTTCGTCTACGACTTCGCGTCCATGGAACGCAGGAAGTCGAAGCAGACCATCTTATTCCCGACTTGCATCGACATGGACAGATTCGTGGGGGATGAAGACACGCGCAAGCAGTGCGGGCAGCGGCACGCGAAGGAGAGCAAGAATTTGTATGCGCTTCGGGGCATCCTCCTGCACAAGGGCGCCAGCGCGTATCATGGGCACTACGAGGCGCAAGTCTTCGATGTGAAGTATGCACCTGCCTGAGTGCGGTCGAGTATATCTAGATCGCTGATCACCATTACAGGAACCAGGCGTGGTACCAATTCAATGACGAGACAGTCACGAAGATCGAGTCTCTCGTTCCCAAGCTCGATGCAGGCAAGAAGGGGAGCAAAGGGTCGAAGTCAGTCCCTCCTTTGTACCCATTGTCCAGTGTTGACTAGGCGCGTAGGAAGCCTGCCACCCAACCTCCCAAAGGTCGCCCGCCCAAGAAGCGTCGGCGCATCGACGACAGCGACAGCGAGATTGAGATCGTTGAGTGGGTCTCCGGTCCAGTAGGAAGCTAACGAGCGTACGACTGACGGTCTGCAGGAGCTCTGAGCGATCTCAGCGGGGCGAAGGATCGCCCGCGAGGGAAGGTCCAGAGTAGGTCCTCAATTAGGCTGTTCTCCGGTGGAGGCTGATGGCTTGTCCCAGATACATCTCGTCCAAGGACGCGTATATGCTGGTGTATGCACGCGTAGACCACCCATCTCGTCCCGGGCCATGTCAGCCGGCCAACGGCCACGCCTCGAACGGGGCTTCACAGACAGATGACCGTCAAGTAAATCCCCCACCAAGAGCATTAGAGGTCGTGAACAGACTGAACGCTGTGCATCGTAAGGCTCGCGAAGACTACACTAAACGGTACGTGGGCACCTCATACGTAGTGCCATGGGGCGAACTGACGTCTTGTCGATCCCGATAGCGAGCGGGAAGCAAGGGAACGGTTCGATCGAATACGAAGCATTGTTAGGGACATCTACCGTACCTGGAATGTTGAGTCTCGCGACGAGGTATATCACTTTAAATCCTTTCCCTCGACATTCCGAAACTCACAACCTCGAAGGAATGCGTCGTAGTCAGTCGCCAAGCGTTGGAGGCATGGCTGTCCCGTCACGTCGCTCAGCCGAAAGCTTCCAAGACATCCCCGATGACTTCTCCTGGACCTTCTAAGGATGCAGTACCCAAAGCAGAGGAGACCGCGTCATCGACCTCCTCAGAAGCAGGTCCCTCCGCAGTCACGATTCCGGTGTCTGACGTTGTGTGCTCCCACGGGAAGCTCGACCCTGAGAAGGCCCACGACATGAAGGTCATTAAGGCGGTGAGTTAGTATTGGTGCCATGCTGCCCCGCGTTCTCCCGAATACTGCGTCCTGACATCGGTGGCACAGGCTTTCCATTCGCGCATTGCCGGAGAGGATGACTGTCTTCTATCGCCGAGGCTGACGACCCAGGATGTGTGCGCGACGTGCGTGCAACGCATGTTCACAGGTAGGTTCACGTCATGCAAGGTTCAATCTTTGGCTGTAAGGTTTGACGTGATGCGCTTGTCTCTACAGAGAAGCTGTACCAAGTGGAGCACCCACAATTGGTGTCGCAATTCGACGACGTGGTTGCCTTGGAGGGCGACGAGGATGGCTACTACATCTCAAAGGCATGGCTGAAGGGTACGAGACACTGCTATCAATAGACACCCAGCTCCTAGTGCTCATTCAAGATGCAGACTGGCGGCTCGCGCGGCCCAAGATGCACGTGGAGGGCGCGACCGACCCGTCGCCCGATGCGGAAGAATACCTACGAGATGTCGTGTGCGAGCACGGTGGTCTGGCCACCAACCAGGCTGCGCGGCGACGAATATCCGCAGAGGCATGTGCGATTTTACAGGAGCTCTTCCCGAACTGGAGGCCTCCATCAACGTCGACCGAGCCTTGTGCCGTCTGCGAAGCGTTGCTTCACATATCCAAGGAAGACAAACGCGAGTATCGCAAGCAGGCAGAGGAAGAGAAGGTATAGGAATCCCGCTTCATATATGATTAAACCGCTGATATACATGCCAATACATGCAGGCCAGACTGAAGCATATGCACGACAACGCGCTCAATGGGCTCACAGCGCTGCTGGAAGATGTTCCCTGTGCTATCGTACCGTCACAGTTTGTGCGCGCGTGGCGGCAGTGGGTCATGCGGCCAGGCGAGGTTTCTCGTCCAGAGACGGTGGATAACTCATCATTTGTATGCGAGCACGGTCAGCTGGCTTTCAACCCTAATGTCCCCGGAGACATGGACACGTCGATGGCGATCGTGAGACTAAGCGACTGGAGCGCTCTCAAGGAATTGTGCGTATGTCACAATGGACCAGAGGAGATCGTGGCTTGAACTGATCAACAGGTATTCCGCCGGACCACTGATTGCCATCGAAAATACCGGCGGGAAGTACATCCATGATCTGCCGGTATGTCTAGACTGTCGCTTGAAGAGGTGAGGTATAGTATGCAGACCAAGTGTCATAGCCGTCGTTGACGCTTCATCCAGGCGCACCTCGTTCGAGATGACGGAGGTTACTATCCGTGTTCTGGGCCCTAGCGATCCTACCCCAACACCCCAGAACTATAGCGATGAACCACTCCCACACTCTCCAACGAAACCGGTTCAGACGACCCTGCACAAGTACGGCAAGCGACAGAACGAGGGCTCTCGCAAGTCGAAGCGTATACGGCAGGTCCGAGAGTACGGTAAGCGGCGGAGGATCACTATTACCAAGGCGATGTCAGTAAAGGAGCTGAGAGTCATGGTAAGTCGCATGACATTGAGTGAGGATCCGGTACTGATAGGACACTCTTGTTCCTAGTTGAGCGACGAGCTTGGGATCCCCGTCATCTCCCAGCGCCTTTTCTACCGCGGCCATGAGCTGAATGACAGTTCGGCTACTATGCTGTCTTTAGGGATCTTGTCGAACGACCTCCTCGACCTCAAAGAGGAGAGCGAGGACATCACTATATTAACTGACTCAGACAACGAAGCGCCTACTGGGGAGAACGGGAAGAAGAAGCGGACGGAGGGTCAGGCGTTCGGTGGCACCCTCTTAGGCGGAAACTCGCTTTCCTCGGCACCCTCGTCGAGTCAGTCCCTTGCTCCCCTGTCTACTGCGTGTCCAGCCTGTACGTACGAGAACGGTGCTGCGGACGTGGCGTGTGTGATGTGCGAAACGCCATTACCCAATGCGAGCTAGTGGTTTCTTGATTTGTGTACCTCAAGAGTGCTGCTCGTTACACTAATGAGGTCTGCGGAGGTGATTGCTGATGCCACTGATGCAGGTTCGTAGAAGGTGTGCTATTCCGGGGAGTATTTGGGTGCTGCTCTATATCCAGATGGTTAGGTGGCGGCGGTGGACTGCACATTTCGGTCTTCATGAGCCAGCCGGAGCTACTGAATGTAAACCCCAGGGTTATATAGATTTCGAGCAATTTCGAGCTCCCTGATTTTCAATGTTCGAGCGGCCTCGCTGAACACCAACATCGACCTATGTCTCCCGAGCTTGTATCGAAACCCGGCCACTTGTGCAGACGCGTTGTCAACATCGATGATGGCTCCGAGTCTCTTGCCCACCAAATGGGACTTACCAACAGTCGGCAGGATCTTGTCATGTACTTCGACATCGTGGTTCGTCTACATGGATGTGCGGCGAGAAATATACTAACGGGCTCTCAGAATACGGCAGGAACGTTATGTGACAAGTACTTGCCTCCCGATCCCGGGATCATGAGTAGGTATACAGCAGTCAAGCGGAAAATTATCAAGAAGGTGAGGGACCTATAGACATAGAAACCACACTTCACTTTCGCCAATACGCCAGAGCCAACGTGGTCCTTCCTACAGCTGCTAGAGAAGTACCCTATCTTGGGACATTACGAAAATAACTGGCCACTCAAGGTCATGATCCAGTACCATCGGCAGCTGCGTAGGAATGGATCTAAGACTGGCATCATTTGTTCACCGAATAGAATCGTAAGTCGGTCTTTCTGATTTTGAAGCATGACCAGCATGCTGAATTTGTACGGCCTCGCGAATGACCTAGTTGAAGGCTACGACGGTCGCCGCTAGACGTAAAAGCGACGAGAAATGCCATCGGATCCTGAGAGAAGATGATACACCAGGCATACCACACCAGGTAGGTCCACGGGAAACGCTAGTTCCGCACGTCACGAATGACGATCGTTGTTAACACCTCTACCTCATAGGACGGCCCTAGTCGCGATGCGACCCCAAGCATTGGCCGTAGCGACGATGTCCGAGAACCGTCGCCTTCTCTTACTGCTGTCGACAACCCTGCTGAGAGTTCAGCCATCCCTGTGCCGATCCTCGACTTTCTCAGCGCTCTCGCGCAAGACTTGAGCTTCTTGCTAGCCGTGTTCATCAGCCATGGTGTAGGAGACGACACGTCGCTCCAGAGTATGCTCCAGATGAACAACTGGCGCAGCTGGATGTATACGTGGGTCAGGGAAGGAGTGTTGACTGAACTGCAGTTCCAAATGATTGTCGATGGACTGGAGAAGTTACTCCGAAAACCATGAGGCATCTTGATACGCCATCGCGGTCCGTGGAAGTCTGCACAGAGGTGTATGCATAGCGATACAAACAGAGATATATATGAATACAAGTCCTAGTAGGTGAACTAGCAGAAACGGTCGCTAAACATCTATCTGGTCAGCGAGCGCAAGGAAACATCGGCTTAATACTCACCTCTTGAGCTTGGCGCGCCGATCGAGCAGGGCTTCAGCCAGCCGACCCTCCTTCTTGGCACGCTTGAGCTGCAGTAAAGCTGCGCTTCAGCGCAAATGACCTTAGTGTGTGATTGATACTGACCTCTTTCTTATCTTCCACTGATACGATAGACTTCCCGGCGCCCCACGCCTGGTATATCTTACTGTGAACAATGCATCATTTATATGTAGTACGGCCCTGGTTCAAGACAACGACGCACTTTGTGCTCGCCTCGTCCACGGCGGACATGTCTATCAGCCCATCTTTGCGTTTCCTTTCCTCCGCATGCGCCTCCTTTTTGTACTTGTTCTGAATCTTGACCCAGAAACGCTCACCAAATCCCACCTCCTCAGAATCACCACGCAACGCAAGTTGCCCGCCCGCAACTTCGTCTACGCTGAGATACTTCTCGTATATGTTCTGAAATGCGACCATTCCGTCCGGAAACACCACGGGTGTCCACTCCTCTTGAGGGCCGCGCGCTTCTCGATCTGCAGATACAAGCCCATGCTTGTCGCAAGACACGAACTTGCCTTCGCCTACACCAGTGCGGATGTTGATGGTGGGAGAACCGGCAACCCTGGTGACGACCCAGACTTGAGAGACGTCTGTCGGCGTCCGCTCCACAATGGATGGAGAAGGAGAGTCCTCCGTCTTGTCCTTGTCAACGGACTGCAGGACGATGCGGCCGCGGGTGGAATCGTAAGTGATGCATATTGGGGAAGGGTCGGATGGGTGCATGATGAAGGTGGGTCCGCGGATCTCGTGAGCTTCTTCAGGCAAGACCCACGTCTCCGATGCCTCGTTGTCCTCCTCCTTGCGCCGCCTTCTACTGGGGCCCTCGTCTCCGTCATCCTCGTGCTTGCGCTTCTTCTTCGTCTTCTCGCCCTTAAACTTCAGCTTCGTGGAGCGCACTTTATCAGACATAGCGCGAGATAGAGCACAAATCTCAGTAAAGGTAGAAAGGGAACAGAGACGAGGTAAGTAGATGGGTTTGGGATTAGCACGCCCAGCAGGACGGTGGCGAGCCTGGTGAAGTCGAGGGCGCTTCCGTGGAGAAACATGGGTGGTGACTTTGTGACAAGGAGTCAGGTGCGTGACACGGTACGCCAGCGTCTAGCATCGTCCGGTCAGTGGAAGGAGGAAAATCTGCCATCGTCACCGCCGACATCCTCAAGACCCTCAAGATGAAGTTTAACCCCGGTTAGTGTCCGTTCATTGCAACTTGGGATGCCGTCTCTGTGCCATCCAGGAGGATTTGCGTCAGTTGGAGGGTCGGATTCGGGTGGATGCGTCGGATGCGTTGTGGATGTGGGCTGTATACGGGCAATTCAGGTATGCTAACATCGTCGTCGTCCACGTCCAGACGTCTCCTCTTCCCGGCGCAAGTCGCACAAGGCGCACTTCTCCGCGCCTTCCTCTGTCCGCCGCAAAATTCTGTCCTCCTCTCTTGCGAAGGAGCTCCGCAGCAAATACAACGTACGTCCTACCCCCCTACAGTCTGGCATAGACAGTGGAGTTTCAATCCTAACGATATCGCGGTCTTTGCTTGGTGATTTATCAGACCCGCTCACTACCCATCCGCAAGGACGACGAGGTCCGGATCGTCCGGGGCAAGTACAAGGGTCGGGAGGGCAAGGTCACCCAGGTCTACCGCAAGAAGTGGGTGATCCACGTCGACCGTGTCCAGCGCGACAAGTCGAACGGTGCCACTGTTCCTATTGGCATCCACCCCAGCAACGTCGTCATCACCAGCATCAAGCTGGACAAGGACAGGTTTGTGACGCCAATTGTTTTGCAATCAAACATTCCCTGATCGGTTGGATATGGCACGAATAGGCGGGCAATCCTTGAGCGCAAGGACAGGAAGAAGAGTGCAACGAAGACGGCGGGTGAGGACGTCGAGATGGTTGACGTACGTATCACGTTAATCCTCTCCGCCATCGCAACCCTTCCTCATCCCCTCCACAGTAATTTCTCGGATTTCCTCTTGCACTATATTCTTCTGGCTTTCGTTGCATTCTCACTGCAAAACTCACATGTATGTATGCCGCTACGCATATGTTATGCCACATGGGCCACAGGCCATCCCCGCCTCTCGCAGCACGAATGCCCAGAAAACCGGACCAACCCGAGCAGTTCTGGATCGTCGTCAACTTGCTGTATTGTACAAGACGATGGGTATCATATACGATGTCGCGAAAGCGTCAGATGAAATAAGTTTAGGCGAAGGTTTAGAATATGACGTCTTCATCTTTGCCTCCAAGAAGATCGCCTCCGCCGCCAGCCAACGTGGGCTGAATGTTTTTGTGACCCTCCGCCTCCAGAGCTTTTCTGGTTGCCTCCGCTGTCTCCGCGTCTCGTTTCTTCTTTCCTTGCACCTTCTTCAAACTAGAAAGCCTAGTAGCATCAAGTTGGTTGTCGAAGAGATGATGAACCCACCGGAAGAACTCCTCTCTGTCCATCTCATCCAATTCACTCGTGATGTATTTGATTGTGTTCTCCAATCGAGGAATGACAACATGCTCGATAGCATTGACACGACGGTTGGTTGCACGAATAACTTCATCGAGGATCATGAACGCCGTCTGCAAGGATGCGAGCTCGACCAAGGTCTCGACCGCCTTCGCGTAGACCTCCTTCGCGCGGAGGACTTGCTGGCCACCACGTCCAAGGCCAGTAAGATTGAAGTCTGCATGACAATGACGGCGGGGATGGTAATGAGATGATCATGATCAGGATAAGAGGAACAAGGCGCAGAGCACGCACCAGAACCCGGTACCCTGTCGACCTCAAACGCGGGCAAGACGACACCGGAGACGTTCTCCTGCTTCGCTTTCACTTTGAATGACGCTGACTTGGCCTGCTCCTGCACGAGGTACGAGATGTCGCCCGTCGCATATGTCACCTCCGCGAGCGAGAACGAGGCGAGCTGCATCACCCGACCCATCTTGCGTTTCGCCTACCGCCCCATGCGTTCAATTACCATCAATCCATCAGAATGGGGTCGAGATCAAGATGACTTGCCTCATCTACCCTGCGGAGGATTGCGCGGAAGCGGGTGGTGAGTGCGTCGCGCTTCTTGGCGAGAAGCGAGTGCCCGGTCTGTGCTCCCTTGAGACGGAGCTTGGTGTTGGTCAACGCCATGCGCGTTGGAAAGATGCTCTCACGAGGCCCGGTGCCAGACATGGTGATCAACAAAGGTTAGGTGAGACGGCTTCGAGGTGAAACGGGACGTGCTCTAAGAGGCTCTAAGCCTGAAGGTCGATGGTGAACGAAAGCGGTAATGTAAACGCTCATCAGGGCAGAGCATCATCGAGCGCGCAGAGACCTCGTGACATCTGACGGTAGACGCGTGGTTATCCCGCTCTTCTTAAGCAATACTTGTTCCCAATGTTTCTCCAGGCATATCCGCTGTAGCGGCTATGCACCATTGTACAGCTCGTCAAGTACATATACGGTGGGAGCATACGGCCGGCAGCGCGGATTCGCTGGCAGATGTAGACGCACGGCTGCAACGGCTTTTACCAGAGATCTGACAGGTTCATGGCCAGCTGATCGCCCATAATCGATGCGCGGTCTGAACTTTATAGGCTTCCATGACCTGTTGAGGGCAGGTGAATGGCACCACCGGGACGAGCACTCGCTCGCCAGAACGAGTATATACAGTGCGTATCATAGCTGGCACTCTCATATTGGATGTCTCTACCAACATGGACGGGAGCTCTGCTATCGCCCTTCTAGTTTCAGCATGGTCCTGCTCGCTGATACTGCTGTTCGTCAAGTTCCAACAAAGTGCGGCTAGTCTTCGCCCTGGCCGCCTCCCCCCTGGCCCAACCCCTTTACCTCTGATTGGGAACCTCTTGGATATCCCGAGGGTACGGCCGTGGCTGGGATTTAATGACATGGCCAAGAAATATGGTGCGTTGTGATTGGCATCGTAAATTAGCGACGCGGTGACTGACTGAATGTCGAAGGAAATCTTATGCATTTCCGCGCACTGGGACGGAGCATCATCATCATAAACGACCCCGACACTGTAATGGATCTCTTCGAGAAGCGATCAACAGTCTATCTATCCCGCCCGCAGACCATCTTGTCGTCACTGTACGTCTCACAGATTGCACATGCTCCGTTTGAACAATGCAATCATGTTGTCGCCTTTAGGACTGGATGGGAATGGAACATGGCGTTTTTCCCTTACGGGCCCAAGTGGAAGCATTACCGACGTGCCGTTTGGGCATACTACCATCCCGATGTCATTGCGAAGTACTATCCATGCCAGACTGAGAACGCCCGCCGACTACTCTCGAAACTCTTATCGGATGATACTAGGCTGGTCGAGCACGTCCGCAGGTGAGCCCGTGAGCCATGGCATGGATGAGTGGGCTGATGCGCGTATGAATGTAGTGCCATCGGTGCAACACTTGTGACGATAACCTACGGCGTGGACGTCACCATGGACAGCAGCGACACATTATTGTCTACATTTGAGGAAGGGGTGAAGAGCATCCAGCTCTTCGTGTCCGGGTCGTCGGTACTAGAATTCATCCCCATACTCTCGCGTCTCCCGACATGGCTTCCTGGAACCGCCTACCTCCGTGATCTGGCACGCGCTCGCCAAGCGACATATCGCATGCGGGATGTACCTTGGAACGCCGCTAAAGAGGCACTGGTGAAGTGTTGTTGCTTCATGGCACCATTGCCATGCCACTGAGCAGGCTCGACAGAGTGAAGGACGTGCTTCGGAGAGCATCGCTAGATCTATGGTAGAGCGACTCTCACATCTGAGTGACGACGTGGACTTGGGGGAGGAGATGGTGGCGAGGGATGTGAGTGCAATCTCATACGCGGGTAAGGTTAGACTGTCGTTGCAATATATGCATACTGATAACCAACGATGGCATATGCAGCTGGTATCGACACGGTGAGGGCTGTTCCTCTCAGTTACCTTCCCAAGTTAGTTCATTAGCCATCGCAGACACACGCAGTCCTCTGCAATTTCTTCGTGGCCATGGCGCTCTACCCGGACGTCCAAAAGGCCGCCCAAGCAGAGCTGGACGCCATCGTTGCTCAAAGTCGACTTCCAGAGTTCGAGGACCGTGACAATTTGCCGTATATCAACGCCATCATAAAGGAGACCCTAAGATGGCACCCCGCTGCACCCTTGGGACTTGCGCACCGCAGTACAGAAGACGACATTTATGAAGGTTACTTCATACCGGAAGGGAGCATTGTGATGGTGAACGTATGGTAGGTTTTGTGATTGTGTTCCGTCCATCGGAACACCAATCGTGGGCGAACAATCTTCCTCAGGTCTATTATGAACGATCCTGCAGTCTATCCTGAACCTGAGAAGTTCATTCCCGAGAGATTTTTCAAAGAAGGTCGAATCGACGCCGCCGTCCGAGACCCGTTCGCATATCTGTTCGGGTTTGGCCCAAGGTACGCCTCCTCACGAGTCTCTGACGTTCAAGTTCTGATCAGACTCGGCAACCTCGTCTGAAAGGATTTGTCCAGGGCGTCACTACGCCGATGCATCCCTCTTTATTACGATTGCTTCCGTGCTGCACACCCTTAACATCCATCCTCCACGGGATAGCAACGGACAACCTATCCAGACAGAGCTACGGACCACCTCCGGCCTCGTAGTGTGAGTAGAGATCACTCAATCGTCGCCGAGCTCTAATGACCGTCCGGTCCAGACATATCGACAATTATCGGTGTACAGTAACGCCTCGCTCGGCGACAGAGGAGCTCATCCGTAACTTAGATTGAGCGCTGCGCGCTAGGAATAAGCCTGACCGGTCGTAGCGGTAGGAGCGGACGTATCTGCCGAGTAGAACATTTGCCTTGCCACTCCATTCTAGTTTCTGTCGGTTGATCTCCCCTTCAATGAGATACTCGCTATCCAACTGGGGAAGGCTCGATTGTGGCTGGCGTACCGCCTTTTGTCAACTGCGACCCGAGTTGATGTGCGAGAGGGTGCCGACGTCGAATAAGCTGGCGCGATCAATTACGATGAGGATATCTAAACATGACTGCGAGCGAAGATCCCGACGGGCTATATTAGGTGACCAAAAGATACAACGAGCAGTCGAGAGGAGATACGGCGTGATGCATGCTTCGTCACGCAATGGTGTAACTCCCGTAATCCTTGTCTGGGTCATAGACCTGAAGACGTCATATTGAGCCTGTCGTTGCTACAAGAGAGATGTGACAGTATGACTCACCTCCCAACGCGAAGCAGGGAATATGTGTTTGTTACGCTGATACCAACTTCTTTCGACAACCTTCCCAGCATGGGATTCGTCCTTCTCGACAGAAGCGTCTGCCAAGAGCCGGACATCATCGTGGACGTCAAAGTTGAATAATGGGCCGGACTTTCCGCGGGCCTTGTTCACAATGAAGTCGTAAAACGTGTAGTGCTGCAATTTTCATGAGAACAAACGAGGGCAAGCGAAAGCATAATTGACGTACACCTGGAATGATGAGGTCCTCCTGCGGACACAAATCAGCGGTTGTTCCCAAGACTACGTCGATTGTGTGACATACCTTCACATACATCAGATTGTCGACACTGACGCTGCGGAGTTCCGGGAACTGCTGACGACACTTCTCGAGAAACGTGGATATGGTATCGCCCTTCTTGCACTATGTAGCAAGAGCCGGCGTGCCAAGTACATGTATCTGCGTGGTCAGGCTTGCGAGGAGACGATGCTGCTGGTGTGATACTCACCGTGACACTCTTCCGATGTCCGCTTCCATCCCAGTAAGAGTACGTGATTTCGATGTCCTCTTTCTTGAGTTCCTCTTGTTTCCGCAGCCACTCCTGCCGGAGCTCTTCCCGCTCTCGGCGCTCCGCCTCTTCACGCTCACGATCTGGCAGGAACGAAGTATCGACCTCTGGATTTTTGCGTGACTTGGACTTCTTCACGGGTCGCTCTTCGCCATTTGGAGAGTCAAACCCGTTTTCCTCGTCTTCCTCGCCGTCGAGAGCGAAGGAAAGGGTAGACTTGGCGGCCTTCTTGCGCTTCTTCACCTTCTTCTCATCCCTAAACAAATCCTCCACGTCCGGTGAGCAATCTGAGCCAGCATACACGAGCAGTGGAACGTGCCACAGCCGCAAGAAGTCCTGACATACTTGAGCTCATTCGTGCGTGCTGCCTCACGGGCCTTCGCCTCCTCAAGCTCCTTCCGACGCTGCTGGAATTCCTCGAGCTTCACGAGACCCACCGTGCTCTGCTTAAGCGTGTCCTCCATCGAGTCATTCTGCCCCACAAAACGGTTCGACGAGGGCCGGGCCTTCTCCGTCTCTTGGATGAGCGTCTGCTTCTGCCGCTCGAAATCCTCGCGCATTTGCGCGCGCTGCTTTGCGAGCGCATCCTCTCGACGGCCTTCTGCTTTGCTAGTGGACATAGTGAGAACGAGGGAAGAGCGAGGTGGCGGTAGACGGTGAAGAGATGCAACCACAATGCGTGCATAACAGACGCTCTGGAGGTGTCGTGCGAACGCCGACATGGGCGCCAGTGAGACTTGTTTCCTCTGCTTGCCACCGGTACTGCGACTGCGTGCACATCCGCTGGCTGCAAGCTCTCCGCCACCATGCATGTCCTTGGAGTGCTTCTGCCCGAAAATCAGCTGGTCAAAGTGAGCACAGCTTCTCAGGAACAGTTCGTGGTGAAGGGCCGACTTGCTTACGCACCGAATAGCATGCCTTGACGCACTTCTACGGCGTCGGGAAGACGACTGCCCTTCGTCTCTGCGCGCGCGTGCAAATTCACGAGCGATGCAGAGTCCGCAACCTGAACCAGTCCCAGGTCACCGCCCTCACGGCCTTCCTTTCCTCCCCCGCAAACTCCCCGCCGGTCGCCCCGCACGCACTGGCCGCACCGAACTACATTCCACCCGCACTTGGACAACCACTCCCGGAGACGGAGGTCCCAACACCCCCAGACCGCCTACGGGAGATCAAGATCGAGTCGGACCTACGCAGGCAGATGCGGGAGAACATCGCGCACCAGCGTATGATCGGCAGTTACGTCGGCCGGAGGCACGCGATGCACCTGCCCGTCAGGGGCCAGAACACGCAGAGCAACGCGCGGACGGCGAGGAAGCTCAACAGGGTCGAGCGGTACAACTAGTCGCGCTTCGTGTGCTCTCGTGTTCCTCCTTGCTGGTGAGTTTCTACCTAGTCCCACCTAGACCCACCGCCACCACCCATGCCTTGTTCATGTCCTGAGAACCAGGTCTCATCTGACTATCTGTACCCATCGTCAATATGTTCGGGAGTTCCGTGTCGCTGATCGTTCTTCTTCTGTGCGCAGTTATGGTTTTGTGCCACCCTGGGCCCTCAGGTGTCTAGGCCCTGGACCTGCGTCTGCGGTTATGTGGACGAGCCTCGCTGCCCCGTGTCGGAGGCGGGAGCAATATCATACGAAGGAATTACTGTACATCCATACTGCCGTATCTAGTCGTCGCCAACCGGCACCTCCTCTTCCAGGTATTTTACAAGTGTGACGCGGATTTCCGTCGCCTCGTCGCCCCGCAGCACATCCGAGATGAACGTCGCGGTGACTTGCATCTGCACCTGCAAGTTCCGAAGGCGCTCATTAATATGATGCGCAATAAGCACATTGAGTCGCGAAGGCGCACCATCTCCAGAGCCCCTCTCAGTACCCCGCAGAGTACATTACTGAACCAAAGCCCTCCCTCAAGAGCCTCCTCCGGTAGTTCCACAAATTCCGCCAGGGGATTCTCATCGAATGTCAGCGTGAAGCTCGCGCCAGGTGCGTTCACCTGGGGTGGTGGCATGCTCGTCCGGGTCGGAGATGAGGCGGGTGGTTGGGCGCCGTGTGTTACATTGGGCGTTATGTTCAAGAACGACTTGAATCCGACCTGCCAGCCCGCATGCCCCAGCGCCGACACGGAATGGAATGGGGTGGACCATCGAGATTAATGCATGTGCGCTATCGACGCGGCCGCATCGCCTGATCGCCCACACGCACCTTTGCCACGACCTCGCCGACCTCGCGGAAGTCCGCGCATCGCCCCATGTTGCTGCGCGCGAGGAAGTCCTCGATGAGCCTCGTGCCGATGTTGTAGCCCATCTTCTCGAGCTGCTTGTTGACCTCGGCGTAGTCCTCATAGTCCTGGATGAGCTGCACGACGAGCGCGCCGTACGTCAGGGCGAAGAGCTCTGCGTTCTAGTCCCTGGGCATGTCAGGATGTACGCGGGTACCTGCGCCGAACAGACTTACAATCTTCTCTGTGCGGCCCTTCCAGAGGTCCTCGCCTATCGCCTTGTATTGCTTGCTAGTCGTGGCCATCCGAAGTGGAAGTCGAGAACTATGTAGGACACGGATTTGATGAAGATAGCTTGAGTGTGCGGGATGAAAGGTGCGCTATTGCACCCGGAACGTCCTGATTGAGCGTCTAATTACACCCTCGCCGCGCCTTCGAAAAGACGCTGGTCCGCGGGATACATATTTCTACTGTATTGGCACAGAACGCACAGGCTACTACCACATACAAGTGCCACAGAAGGGGCTGAAATGAATGATCAGGCAAGGTCTCAGCTCATGAATAGAGCTTCTCATGTAGCTCCACCTCGCTTAAAAAGCTCGGCATCGAATTTCCCCATTTGCGTAGGATGTGGCTTCGGAACGCGACGTGTCGGAAGACGCGCAGTGCATTGGGTTCGTTCGAGGCAAGTGTTGCCGCTTGTGTCGATGGAATCTCTCACAGCTGATGCACGCGGAAGCAAGACGTCAAGGTTTATTTGCATTGCGAAGGGCGACGACACGCCCGGCATTTCTCGCGCGACGGGATGTGTGAAGGTAGAGCGGTCTGCGGAAGCGCGTCCAAATCCCGGAGAAACGCAAACGTGGGCTACGACGGTGGGAGCGGAGGCAGAAAGCACGGCGAGCGATCCTCGGCACGCTCTTTCGGTGTGGGGGGCGAGATCCAGGTGACGGGAAGGGAAGTTGGGAAACGAGACGAGGAAATCGGCGGAAGGGCATATGACCGGACGGGGAGTATCGTGGCAGATCAGAGGCAAGAGGGGAAATACGATGCTGGACGATCCGACGAATGGAGTAAGGTCGATGGCGCGGATATGGCATGGACTGCAACGAAGATTGCTCTCGATAGCACTGCGACGCTTAGCGGGGAGGCGCGTTTGTCAGGCGCCTCGGGAAGGTGATACTGTATGTTGAGAATGCGAGTCTGTGATTGCCTGCGATGACGAACACAAGAGGCGTGCCTGCTGGACAATATGATGATAATGCGTCGCGACGGGCTTCCCGCGTCGGCGACATGGACGGGGAAGGCAAAAAGCTAAAGCGAAATCATTTATGACCGGAAACATTGCTATAAGGGGTCGGTATGGGCCCGACCAGGGGTGCTTGGTGCGCAGCGGGAGCGTCGATAGAGGAGAGATGGATTGATGGGAGCGTGTTCGTGGGCGATGGCGGCGGCGGAGGAGGAGGAGGAGGGTGGTGGTTAATAAGGAAGCTGTTTGTGGCTGTTTGGGCATGCACGGGGAATTGGAGGTGCGCTGGGTGCGACAAGTGCAGTCTCGACTCTCATCGCGCTCGAGCTCGGATGCTCTTGTCTGCTCGTGTCTGTCGCTTCGTCTAGGCCATAATCGCATTTCTGTCCTTCCTCTGCCCTGCCTCCTGCTGCTTGCCTCCGACGTGCATGCTTGACCTCCCTGAGCTCCCTGCATCACATCGCTGCATCCTACCGCGCTCACAGATTGTCCTGATTTCTTTTCTCGTCGCTGTCCGTCCGGCTTCATCTCGCCGTTCAGGTGCGTGTCACCTATACTTTCCCTCACCTCCCTCCTCATGCGCACCCATATCGTCCCAGACCGAGGATCTTGAGACCTTCTCTTCCCTGCGATCTACTCTCCTCCTCGCTCCCGTACTTCTTTCTCCCGCCCATTCATTGTTCCGTCCCTCCGTTCCACCACGTTCGCAGCGCGCCGTGATCGCCTCTGACACTGAGCATGTCCTCCATGCAAGAGATCCAGCCCGCCCCTTCGGTGACAGTCGACCCGCAGCAGTATCAGCAATTCACCTCAGCAGACGTCCCCGTCCCGCAATCCTTCGTTTCACTCGTCCCGGCTCCTCACCCCGACCCCACGCTACCTCCCGACCCAGTATCTCATATGGTGACGATGCCTGCCTCCCTCTTCCAGCAGCAAATCGACTCCGCTGCCGCAGTTCCGATGTCCATGCACCTACCTATAGGCTCCTTACCACCATCCGCCGACGCCGTAACCGTGATGGATGTCCTTGCATCGGTCCCTCCGCCGTCTCGCTCACCAGGTGTCATCCCGGATCTTCCGACTCAGGCAGCCATGTACGGAATGGACCCTCGCCTTGCGACTATAGAGGGAGCTGATCCGTCGCATCCGCTTGTGTCCTCTCCGAGCGCGACCTCGGCGTCTACGAGCGCTTCGCACGCCTCATCACCTTCATTAACGGGCATGACCCCCTCGTTCTCCGCCGGTTCGTCCTCCCTCGCTTCCGCGCTTGAACACGTTGGTACTACTCGCAGCCGTGCAGGATCCGTGGCCTCGCCGCCCAATTTGACTACGTCAGATTCGGACATGGGTTTCCCTACTGGGGGTAGTGGCCCTTCAACCACGCAGTCTGGTTTCGAGTTCCCTCCGCCCGGATTTGAGAACCCCTTGCAGACGACGAATAGCGAACCTGTGCAAGATGTGCCTGGAGGTGCGCATCTCATGGTCCTAGGTGACATGCTGAAAAAGTGCGTCTCGTATTTGTACTTCATTGGAAGTTAGTTAATGAGACCGTGCATCGTCCTTCTATTTAGCATCGCCCGGACAGCAAACTCCGGCAGTGAAGCGTGTTCTATGGGTCAGGGGGGCAACGCTACCGAGATTGTTACTGTGCTCAAGAAAAACGTATTGCTCGTCGCCGAACTCGTTGCGGCCATGCAGCTCGGCGATACAGCAGCTGGTGGTTCCCCCGGTCAGTCCCTAGGCCCAGCCTTTTCACCGTCACACAGTGCGAGCTTCGTACCTGCTCCTGTAGTCGGCGCCCAACATTCCGCACCTCAGCAACAAGCCCCACCCAGTTTAAATAACATGCCTTCCGGTGGTTCGATGGATCCGAGCACCATGTCCGATAGTTCGGAATCCCGCAAGCGATGTGCTTCGTCGGTAGCGGGAGATCGAGTGGTGAAGTCGATGAAGCTTGAACCCCAGGACGAAGCACCTCCCCTGCAGAGCTCGTCATCGACAGCTCTCCTCCCACCCTTGGTTTCTGCCACTCACTTTTCGTATACGTACCCCCTCTCCAATGGCCCTCCACCCTTGGGCTCAGTTGCTGATATATCAGTAATGCCTCCACCCATACCGACTGCTAGCACCCTCTCCGGCTCTCGGCCTCCCAGCTCTGCAGGTCTTCCTCCACCGCTACCTCTTGGCATGTCCCTCGACGCAACACAGCAGCTTGTCTCGTCAATCCACGGGTCCGTTCCTATGGACTCCATCCCACCGATGCCACACTCACCGGACTTCATCCCACCCCCATCCACCGCGACTACGACGATGCCCAGCCCGCCTGGTTTCCTACCGGCTGGAAGTGTCTGGTCCGACGCCCGCGTAGCCAACCCTCGTCAGCACCGTTACTCGCTCTCTACTGGTTCAATTCTGACCGATGGTGCTATAGTGACGGACCCTGTGCCCGCTGCCGGTCCTTCCTACACCACGTCCATGTACTCGCCTACGCGAAGCACTCACCTGCAGCAGGCGCCGCTGAACGCGGCGTCAGCGACGTTGGGTCGTGCTTCGCGCTCACAGTCGATATCGCACCTGCACGGGAATCCGTTTGCACACATGCCGGATACCGTGCCGCATCCCACTATGTACGAGTCGTCGACGACGCAGTCGCGGCCATCGACGTCGGGGCGATACAGTCCGCGTCTAGAGTCGCCAGAGTACGATTATGATGATGGAGAGAGAGACTCGGATGACGAGGGCGAGCAGAACTCCCCAGGCAATCAGTACGCATCCTCGGGACAGGGTTCTGATGACCCTCATGCTAAAAGTAAATTCAGTACCGAGGGCCCCGGGAACGGAACGACGCGCAGCCATGCCGGCCAGCGGCGGATGAGCCGTACTTCGCCCTCAAATGAGGGTGGCAGCTCTTCAGGCCACGGAAACGAGGTGCCGCAGGAGTACCGGGCCGATGTCGAGCGCATCTTCTTTGAGTTTTTGAATTCGATCTGTTCCAACCGTACGTATCGCGCATCGTGCCCTCCCGCGGCACCACCGCTTGCATCCCCTACTCCTTCCGTAGCTGGGCCCTTGGCTGAATTGCGTGTGCTTTCTGCTCCACAGTGGACGCTACCGATTCTAAGGGCGAGCCGATCCATCAGACGCTCATGGCCAAAAAGATGCAGCGCCTGGACGAGTCGCCCGACTTCCGACCGTTCAAGTTCCGGATACAAGCCTTCACGAACGCCTTCTTGGAAGAGGTAACTTGTTGCTCGTGACGTTTGGTATCAAAGCATTGAATGCGTTTACGTTATACAGCTCGCCCGCCAGGGCTATCCTGAGGAGAAGATCCCGATGAAAAAGGTGAGTGTTTGCGGCGTTTATGGCAACCGTCGGCATGTCATCTGACATACGGCGTCACCGACGCGGCATGAACAGATCCGGAACTTCCTGTGGAACCAGCAATACATCTCGCGCTTCAACGAGGAGGGCAAGAAGTCCAAGTCAAAAGGCAATCACATCTGGCACGTCGATGCCAAGAAAACCGAGGGCGGCTGGCAGTTCAGGCCGTTCAAGCGGAAGCTCGCTGGGACGCCGCCAGGGGTGGCGTACGTCGGCCTACGGTGGACGTGGACCCCGAGGATATGGGACCCGCAAGCGTCGCGAACGAACATGCCGGTCAGCTACAGCTCGCCCGCGCTGCCGCAGTGGCTGGCGTGGAAAGAAGACTCCCTCACCGGCATCCCCCCTCCGGATGCGCAGAGCTGCGACGTTACGGTAGAAGCGAGGGTACGTTCTCGGGCGCGCGCTTGGTGGAGCCAATGGTGATTCTGACCCTCGGATGTAGTTCATGCAAGATGGGAAGGAGGAGCTGCTGACGCACACCGTGCACATCACCATCGCTCCCATGGCCGCTGTCGATTCCACGTTCACACCCTCGCGGCGACCCTCGCTCGTTGGCGACGTCCACAATCCGCGTCGGATCTTGAGCGATTCGATCGTGAGTGGGGTTGTGCCAGCGCCGGCTCAGAGGTGCGTTTTAGATACGCTGCTTGTGTCTTCTCGGGCTAATCGGCGTACTAGGCTGTCGATGCGCGGACCCATTGCAGCTGCGGCCGCTCCCGTGGTAGCGCCCGAGTCTCAAGTCGTCCAGGTGCTTACTACAGCCGCTCAACGTGTCGCACAAGAGGCGCAGTCACAGGTTGTCGCATCACCGAATGAGGTCGGGCCAGAATTGCAGGCGTTGGCGAAACAGCAACATGTCCTCACAGTCACCGCCCAGGCTATCAGCTCAAAGATGGCAGGCGAGGTGCCGGATGGCGCCGTCGCTCAGTCGAACGCTCTCACCGCAGCAGCCCAACAGGTGGTCCTTCAGGCCGCGCGTCAGGTCGTTGCGGACCGCAATGTCGCGGCCGTATCATCAGGGTTCCCACCTGTCGCTGCTAGTGCGATGCCACAGGTTACGGTTAAGGAGGTCTCCGTTGCGACGCAGTCTGCGGTCGCGCAGGCAGTGGATATGGTTGGGCCTCTTTCAAGCGAGGTCGATGTTCTCATGACGGCCAAGTCGCTGCTTCAGCAGCAGACGCGTGGGGGTCCCGCCCTCCTAGATGCTATGCGGTCGCATTCCACAGGGAACTCGCCCCCAGTGGGCTACGACATCCCAGCGCCGCCTCCGGTTCCGATCCCAATACCCGTTGGTCTGCCACCGCCGGGCGCGGTGTACTATCAGCAATCATAGTTCTTTGGGTTTCGTGGGTCTGGGACTTTACGTGCTCTTAAAGTATTGTATGCTGGTGATATTGAGTTTTCGTCAGCTGCGTACATACGCACACTCCCGCGCGACGCCTTATCTCTCATCTAGACGGCTCAGGCCGAGGTGTTCGTCGCAGTGTGTTGCTTCTTGCGCTCGCGTCGTTGCATCTGTCTCCATAGTCTATTTAGAATCTGCTCTCGCTGCTGTGAATGTGTATGTCTACGTTCTTCCCATCTGCGCCGCCCTAGCCCTAGCGCTGCCTCCTCTGATTCCCGCTCCCCCCGACCGTTGCATCACACTCCGCATAGGTACCGGTACTCATCACCGATCGCGCCGTGGCGTAGCATGAATCCCCGTTGTCCCTTGCCAGCATACAATTGTACATCAATCACTCATCTTTGTTTTTCCGTCCTCCGCATCGAATTAGCAGGTCAATGTGGTCTGATTGCGTGCCCGCAGCACGGAGAACGCGTGCTGGTATTGTACCCGTGTGCCCACTTAGTGGACAGGATGCCGTAGTAATCAATAAGCCGCTACGGCGCGAGATACGTTGAAGAACTGTCACGCTGCTCGACGGCGTTCCCCAAATTCGCCCAAGCGGCACAGCGGGCTTGGTGCAACCATCAATCAATGCAATGCTACTACCTCATTGTTCTGTATATTTGCGCATTTATCCAGATTCCGCAACTATCCTGCATAGATGCCCGTCTATGGCCGCCGTCGTCTATTTAGCTCCTGTCATACGACCCTCTTTGCATGCCCGCGCGGATCATATCGAACTGCAGCTGCGTGATTCGTCCCTCTTGCACCCAGGAGCACAACCAGCTATCTCTGCTCTCCATGCCGAGGAACCCTCGGAGGGCGGCGACCTTGCTCATTTCGAAGTCTATGAACACAGTGAGGAGGGCTAATTCGTTCAGGTGGAGGGAGTTGAGGATGGAGATAATTCCGTCAGGGTCCGTCTCGGGCTTCAGCTTGATTGCTTGCATGTCGCCGTCTGACTGGTACCGCGAAGCGATGGCGTCCTCGGTGATGTGCGTTCGGAGCAGACGTCCCTTGCAGCGGCTGAAAGTTGTGTCGACCTCGAACTGGGGGAGTCGGGCACGGGCCCTGGGCTCTGTGTACAGCTGGTGTGAGGAACAGACGTCAGATACCAGAAGAGCGGGAAAACCGGGGCATGCTCACGGATGCGGCTAGACCTGAGGTGGGACGTGGCCTGAAGTTCCACGAACAGTCCGGAACTATCGTAGGCGAGGATGCTTCAGCTGCAGGTATCGCGCTGTAGCCCATCGAGACGGACGAGAAAGCGCGCTCTGTGGTCGAGTTCTGAGGTTCACGGAGAGTCGCCTCTGGGGTACATGACATCACGACCTGCCATGTCATTGGATCAGTATTGGTGGCGTGCAATGGCAGGCTCAGACGCGGAAAGCGCAAACCTTGTACTGCGACCAATTCCCCAGCCCACTTCTGTTCCTATCCTGGCGAAGGTCGGACTTCCTCCGCCGGTGCTCACAGACGATGTACCAGACCGGCCACGCGTTCTGGTACGAGTGGATCAGAAAAGGGCGTCCTCGCTGCACCTATCAATCCTGGCTATCAGTGTCGGCCCATGGTATAACTTGCAGTGCTAAAGGACTAACCATTCTCTCAAAGGCTGCCCAGGTAGCAGATGATCTGTTCACCCCGCGCATCTGAGCCTCGTTTTCATCGTATCGCTTCGCGACATACTCCTATCTCGGAAGGACCAGTGGTAAGTACTGTAGGAGTAGGGGGCTGAGAAAGAAACGGCTCAGGATGGGCTTACCACTAATTCGCAGAAAAGATCCAGCTGCTCAGGAGTCCGCGATAGCTTCATAAAGCTGGCCATACTACCGGTGGACGTAGTTGGACGGTACCGCGTAACAAGCCGGGCGGGAACTGGTGGCCGAGGGACTCCGAGAGTACATCTGTTTGGTTCTACTTTCCTTCCCCGAGGCATCGAATGATGTATTTTGGGCGAGTCGTCGGGAACAGAGGCTTCAGAATGGCAAGGGACGGGGATTTGGGCAGCGGGATACTGCAGCACCTACGGACATGCGTTCATAACTGTATTGGAAGCCATATCACGTGGCGAGACGGCGATGTTGGAGTCCAGAATTGACATACTTAGGCCGGGATGAGGACAAGTGAGGACGAGTCCAACGTTGGCAGAGTCCGTACAGCCACCGACGCGCCGCGTCAATGGGCACGTGTCCGTGTTCGCCGTGTGATCACTCATTTTGCCATGGAGTCGCGCTTCCTTACCCACTCATATATGGTACTATCAGTTACCCCGAGTCCTTTGAGGCATTGGCAACATGAGCACTATCTCGTCCTGAGCCGGTCGTACGTCTAGACATTGCACGCGACAATAGAGTTGGAGCGCACTGAAGTTGACATCCGAACTCTTCAGTCTTGAATGTTGTTGCTATGTATACATGCGTGTTTGTCTAGATCACGTTGAACTATCCTACCTAGCTATGCGAAACTTAAGATGCTCGTGTTATCGTTCGTGTACTGAGGTCCTGTCATACAATCTTCTGCATGCCCGCGCGGATGATTTCGAACTGCAATTCCGTGATCCGCCCCTCTTTCACCCAGGAGTACAGCCACCTGTCTCTGCTCTCCATGCCGCTAAGTCCTCAGAGGGTGACGGGGTCATTCACGCCCATGACCATGAACACAGGAAGGAGGGCTGGTAGGGCAGGGCTGAGAGAGTTAAGGAAGGCGAGGATCGAGTCTGGGTCCGACGCGGATTTATGCAGGCCACCGCAGCTCTGGGTGCCATTATAGTTTCTCGGGTTTGAGACAGAGTTGCCGGCGCCGGCGCTGCAGGGAGTGCTAGCTTCAGAAACCTGGAGGTGAGCGGGCAGCTCCTCCGTATACTGCTTGCCGTCGTCGTGCTAGTCAGCCATAGCAAGCCGCAATGGTGGCACGGAGTCTGCTCACGGATGCTGCTAAGCGTTGTCTCTCTTGGGGATGGCCCAGCGTAGGTCCTCGAGAATGGCGCCGCTGAGGAGAAGTTTGTGCGAGCTTCGATGCCTTGCCCTACATTGCATCTCAGCCAGTATTAAGAGCATGCACGGTAAAGTATCAGGATGTGCGTACATACCATGTGTTTGGTCCAGTTGGACAAGCCGATCCCGCACTGAGGCGTGCGAGAATCTCTCCTTCTGATTCGATGTGCGTTGACGATGCACTCGATGGGCCATGCGTCTTCATACCCGTCAATCAGCATCGGGTGCAGCTGTCGCACCTGTTCGTGTCATCAGATTCGTCTCTGAATCATTTTACTGAGATAAGACTAACCTGTTCCCGGAAGGCCGGAGAGTCTGATCGTACACCGTGACCAAACATCTCATCCTTGTGCTTGTCATAAAGCTTGGCAACATCCTCCTGATTAGGCAAAGACAAGCGGTCAGCATTCTAAGGACAGAGCTGCTTTCTGACGCAAGTGTCAGTAAGCCAACGTACCACGATCTGACAGTAACAATCAAGCTGTTGCTGCGTGTGCGATAGTCCCATACGACTGGCTAGATTGTTGTCGGCCTTGCCTGGAACGAAGCTGGTAGGCCGTTTGCGCGGTTTGGGAATGAGTGCCCTGTCGCCACTATAGCTGCTTGCTGAGATCGGAGGCATCGGATAGTCCTGGGGGCTCCTGGGAGGAGCAGCGTCGTAGGTAGGATCCGGAGGGGGGGAACGCTACCGGTCGATGGCGAGATACTGAGCAGCGGCGGAATGCATACGTGTCTCACATATGGATATTCGCAAGGGACTGTAAAGGAAGCGGATACACGTGTACATCCTGCCATGCTCGAGTCTAAGGAGCTGTACAGACTGAGATACGGATGAGAAACAGTGAGGAACACCTGAACTTTGGCGCGGACTCGGAGGGCCGCGTCCCGTGTGTAAGTACAGAGGCACGTGTCCGCGTCCTCCATGTGATCAAGCATTTTTGCGAAGCGCATGTCTTGCCAGTTGCTACCCTCCGCCAATTTACGCCGTCTCACTCGTCCACAATCCCTACAGGTGACCCTTGTGGCACCGCACGCAGCACAAAATGTCTCGTCCAGAGTTGGTCGCACCTCCTGAGATCGTATGCAACAATTGTGCATCATATTCACGGTGTGCTGAGGTTCACGTCTGAACTCTTGCAGTATTATGGAGACGTCGAGGCCAAGAAGTACACCAACAAGTGCGTCCTTTGACCCTTCCGCCCTGCAGTTTGCATGAGTGATCGCGATGCAGCTCTCGCATACAACAGATCCAGGCCGACATGACCTACCGTGCCTTGGAGCTCCTTAATCTGCCTCCAGATGAGCCCGCCTTCCTCCTGGATATCGGATGTGGATCAGGTCTATCAGGTGAGATTTTGGACGAAGAGGGACACTTGTGGGCGGGGTTGGACATCGCTCCAAGCATGCTTGGTGAGTTTGTGCGTCCCGTCTGCACGCGCGGCGTTTGAAATCGTGGAAGAGGTCGCACTTGAGCGGGAAGTGGAGGGCGACTTGTTCCTGCAAGACATCGGCCAGGGCATCGGTTTCCGACCCGGAAGCTTTGACGGTGCCATCAGGTGGGTGCAGATCTTCGTTTTGCAGCATACGGCGATTCGACAACACGCTCCGACGTAGTATTTCTGTTCTGCAATGGCTCCTGAACGCCGAGACCTCACATCCAACATCCTCACCACCCCATCGCATCACCCGCTTCTTCACGACCCTCCACGCGGCTCTCAAGAACCCCTCACGAGCTGTCCTCCAGTTTTACCCCACCTCCGACGACCAGATCCAGCTCATCACGTCTATCGCACAAAAGGCCGGGTTTGGTGGAGGCATCGTAGTCGATTATCCAAATTCCAAGAAGGCAAGGAAGGTGTTCCTGTGCCTCTTCGTCGGAGGCGGTGGTGGGGGCCAGCAGGTACCGAAGGGGCTGGAGGGCGAGGAAGAAGATGAGGGTAGAGTGCAGTTTGAGAAACGGAGAGAACGGCTAAAGGCAAAGAGTGGCGGGAAGCGCAAGAATATTAAGGACAAGGACTGGATATTGAAGAAGAAGGAGGTATGTTTGCCTGAGTTCTCGCACGCCTGCGCTTGCGCTCACGTAGCTCGAAAGCTTTATCGTCAACGAGGAAAGGAAAGCGTACCTAACGACTCAAAATATACGGGCCGCAAGCGGAAGCCGGTCTTTTAGGCTCGCTCTCACTCTCCGTCAGTTTCTTCATGGCCCAGCATGCACTCTGTAGCAGCATACCTAACTTATTACTGCAAATGAAGTCTATTAGATTGTATATGTACTTTTACTGCACCTGCGCTGGTGGCTGTCTCGCCACGAACAGTGTCCTCACGTCCCTGACGGCTTCTCGCGCGTTGCTCCGGATGAAAAGCCCCTGCAGCGCGGCCATGCTGATTTTCTTGCTCTCCGTCGCTTCCTCTTCCACGAGCCGCTCCACCTCATCCGCCAACTCGCGCAGCTGACTCTCAGGCACGCGTTCCCAGCCCTCCAGTGCCCGTCCCTGTGCCTCCTGCGCGACGACTCCGGACTCGCTCTCTGCGCTGTCATCCCTGCCATAGAACCTCTCAAAGAGCCGCCGCGCCTGCTTTGGCGTAGCGTCGTCGATGAGCGCCGCGAGGTCTACGCGCCCCGGACGGATCAGCGCAGGGTCGAGCCGCTCGGGATGGTTCGTGGTCATGAAAATAATGCGCTCCTCTCCAGAAGCCACGCCGTCGAGCGCGTTGAGGAAGCCGGAGAAGGTGACGGATGACTGGTAGCCGTCCTCGCTCGTCTGGACGCGCCTGTTGAACGCGGCGTCGATGTCCTCGATGAGGACGAAGGAGCGCTCGGGGGTATTCGAAAGGAGGTGGATGAGCTTGTCATCGGCGAGGCCGCGCTCGGAGAGGTTGAGGACGCAGATGTCGTAGTTAAGCGCGCCGGCGAGGGCTTGGATGTACGAGGACTTGCCCGAGCCGGGCGGGCCGTGCAGGAGGTAGCCGCGGCGGTAGGGTATACCTGGTCTACGCTGTTAGCGTGCAAGCTGGCGCAATATACGTCGGAGGACGCACCTCGATCTGCATACCACTGTCGCCGTTCCAAGAACGCTTTTACGTCTGCCTCAATCTTCTCCGCCACACCTTCCTCGAGGACAACACTCCCAAGCGGTCGTTTCCGCCTGGGCTGGCCAAACGGTTTCCATTCGATGCCCCAAGGAATGTTAATGACCAATTTGCCCTCCTGACCGCGCATAGCCATATCGCGCGCTTCAGCAAGCAATTGCGTGAAGACCCCTCTGTCTCTTGACAAAGTCGTGATGGTGATCGTCTCCCAAGGCATCCCCGTCATGAGATTCGGCGACTTAGTCTCCCTGTCCCGCTTCACCTGCATCCATACACTCTGATAGCGCAGATAGTGCGTCCCGGGAGCCGCGACGAGCTTAAACAATACCGACGCGCTGCCGTTCTTGCGCTGCTCCTGGAGCGTCTGCACCCCGAGCTGGTGGCTCCGCATCCACGGGGAAGAGGAGCGGAACAGCGCGGACCACGGAGCGGCGCCGGCGTGGGTGCGTGCGGACTGGACGGCCATCCATGCGAGGAAGTAGTCGTATGCGGGGTCCTTGTTGTTCATCTCGAGCGAGACGAGCATTTGTCTGCGGAGGGCGGTCGCGGCGAGCATGGTGCCTCGGCGAAGGAAGGTCAAGGCGACGCCGACGCCCTAGCGGGGATATGGGAGGACCTTGAGGGTCTAACGATGGAATACTTTGAGAGGGGAAGCGTACCATGATACCGAACCCGGCCTGGAAGTAGGGGCTATGCTTCACGACAACTCTTCAGCACTAGAGGGCATGTGCAAAGGGCGCTACGCACTTGTCACTGAGCAATCCCGAAAGGAACGAGCCGCCATTGTGGCCGGAGGGAACTGCAGGAGCCGTGAGGCTAGAATTGTTGGACGGAGCGAGATGCTCGACGCTTAGTCCTGACTTTGTGTGCTGTACTGCGCTGAGCGGTTCTTGACCGACCATGGCGAGGTACGTGACGTCGCAACTCGCGACCCACAAGTCAAGAGCAGTAAGGTAGCAGTCCCGGTTCTTCCGTAAAGTCTGTTCTCTTGAGAAGTCGAGATACGAGGAAAGCGTGCACAGAGCAAGAGGTAGGAATGTCGACACAGCAGAGGGCCGCAGCATGCGACAACTTGGTGGGCGCCTGGACGCGTCAAGCGGCGGCATTTCCATAAAGGGCAGGAACCCGCGAGGTCATTCAGACGCGACTTGGGCGCGCGTTTTTCGCCCCTCCTCCCGCCATCTCTGTCTGCCACTCCCGCGCGCATCCATGGCACACAGGCACTCTACCGTCGCAGAGGCCTACACGATACTTGGCCTTGAACAGGTAAGCATGTCGGGCATCTTGACGCAGCGCTGGCTAAATGTAATCCCGGAAATATCGGAACAGGACGCGTCGCTCGAAGTCGTGAAGACGACATACAAGCAGGTCAGACGCGTATTTCCCCGCATACACGGCCTCCAGCTGATATCTTTGTGATGCTGCTTACAGCTCGCACTCAAGACGCATCCAGACAAGAATCCTGATGATGCGGACGCGACTGCCCAGTTTCAAAAGATTAGCCAGGCATACAACACTCTCGTGAGGCACCTTGATCGCTCGTCCGCACCATCCCATGGCCACTCGCACGGGCACTACCATCCGTTCGGCTACGACGACGACGACGATTATGACGATGAGTACGACTACGACTACGAGGATGAGGACTACGATGACTACGAGGATGATTATGAAGATATGGAGTTCTACAGGTCGGATCCAATAAGCGAGTACTACGGATGGCGACTGACTTGGGATGCGAAACAGGTATCTGTTCGAGGAGTTGTTGAGGGGACGCGCAAGTCGTTTTGCCCATGCGCGTAAGTCCGCCATCTACCTCTGCGTCTGATATATGCCTTCACGATTGTTCAGAATATCACCGTCATCACCCCCATAATCATCGCCCCCCAAGCCCTCCAGAGACTCCCGAACAGTATTCTGCGCGCCTGCGTAAGCAGGTCGAGGAGCAGGAGAAGGCGGCAGAACGTCGTGCTCGTGACGAAGCCGGCCGCAAGGCCGAGCAAGAACGGGAACGCGAGCAGGGTAGGTTGTCGGTCCACCGAACCTTCGTCGTATCATTGTCTTATTGGACGTCTCCAGAACGCCGTGAGGCGGAGAAACGACAGCGTCAGAAGGCGTCAGCTAAGAAGGCATCTGCCGAGGCCTCACGCAAGACCGCAGAGGAAAAGGCAAGGGCTCAACAAGAGCAACTGCAGACGATCCGTTCACAGATCTTCGCTGCCGCGCGGAAAAACGATGCTGCAGCTGTCAAGAAAGGGGTCTGGGAGCAGAACGTGGACGCCGCCGGGGGCGAGATCCGTAAGGGCTCCGAAGCTTTCGTGAAGACTCAGCCCGCGGATCCGAAGGAGACCCTGCTGCATATTGCGGCGAAGAACGGCGACGTTGACCTCGTAGAATGGCTGGATTCACATAGTAGGTGGTCTACTGCTCTTATATCGCCGCTCGATGACCCTAGATTCTCGCCGGTCAGGTGCGGAGCCCGAAGAACGTAACGGCGAAGGCATGACGGCATTTCATATTGCCTTGCAGGGTGGTAATGCCAAGATAGTCAATCACTTCTTTGAGAACTACTCGCCTAAGGACGGAGATCATGAAGGCATCTACCACTCTCCCGAGTCCAAGTCAAACCTCCATCTAGCCCTTGACAGCAAGGAGCCAGAGGTCGTGTGGCTCGTGCTCGAGAAGAAGCTCTATACCAAGGAAGAGAGGGATGCCGCTTGGGACATAGTCCAGAGCAAGAAGTTCAAGTCGAGCATCTCACCCACTGATAAGCACGTCGAGTTTGTCAACCTCTTCGCCACTTACGGTGGCTACTCCCTGGACAAGCCTGTGCCTGCTCCAGAGTGCTCCTCCGTCACCGAACCTGTTTCTTCTTCGCCGCAGTCTCCCCGTGTCAACAGCGGCGGATTCCGTCGACAGAATGGACGGCCGCCCCGCCCTATCGTTCGAGTGGATGACTCCCGTTCGCATACCGCCTCGCCCGTCTCCGCCGTCTCCGAACATCCTCAAACACCGCAGTCTGCAACGTCCACAAATAGTCAGCGTGGCTTCCGCGGCCAACATTATCACCGTGGCTCCTACCGTCCACATCAGCAATTCCATGGACATAAATCTGACCCGGCATCCCCAATCGACGCGGGAACTTACCAGCAGGATGGTGCACCTGGTCAACAAGCTTTCAATGGCCACCGCGGCCGCGGTCGTGGGCGAGGCCAGCTCCGTGGGCGCGGTCGAGGAAGGGGCCGTGGGGAGCCCTCTGTACAGTCTGCACCTGCCGCCGCTTGATTCCCATGATCGTCCTCATTTCGCCCTCTCTGATCCGTACACGCTAGTATATCACTCTCGAATACCCGTGTCGACTCTATGGGCCTTCCATCCACCCGTGTCACCCAGCTTGGTATCATGAATCCTCTTAATCGTAATGTCGTCACATTTGGTTTCTCTATCCCCTAAATCCATCATCCACTCTGCATCCCTCCATTCGCATGTAGTGTTCCGCCTTAGCTAGCACTTAGTCATAGACTGCACCACCGCTCCTGCATATGACCAGTCCCTGTTCCCGTGCATTGCTGGTAGCTACTACCACTGTACCATACGTAGCCTCTTGGCAATTCTGTCTGTAATTCACTTACATCATGTCCGTCAACTCTAGTTTCATCAGTCACCTATAGGAGCTCCTCTTTCCCTTGACTCGGGTTTGTTGTTTCAGGCGAGAAGGTGGGAACCTCACTTTGAGAGGAGAAACAATGACATGGCGACATCTCTCCACATGAGGGACTACAAGAGCATCCGCCCCACCCATCTCGGCATCGCAATGCACTCCCTCACGCTCTCGATCCCACTCATCCAGCTAATGAGCCTCTCAAAGCCGAGCCCAAACCCGCCGTGCGGCGCGCCGCCATACCTCCTCAAGTCCAGATACCACCCATAGTCCGACTTGTCCAACCCATGCCTCTCCAACGCCTTCTCGAGCAGCCCCGCCCGCTCCTCGCGCAACGACCCACCGACCAGCTCGCCCATGCCCGGCACGAGCAGGTCGAAGCACGCAGCAGTCTGGCGGTCGGGGGCGCACCCGTCGTTCATGCGCATATAGAATGGCTTCATCGCTGCTGGGTAGTCCGTGACGAAGACGGGCCCGCGGGCGTGCTGCTCTGCGAGCCAGCGCTCGTGCTCGCTCTGCAGGCCGCTGCCCCAGACGGGCGGGAAGACGAACGCGCCCGTCGCGGCGTGGTGCGCGGAAAGGATGTTGATCGCGTCGGTGTAGGTCAGGCGCGTCCAGGGTCTGGAGGCGGAGGCGTAGGAATGCAGTTCGTCGCGCCGGGCCTGGGCGGTTGCGGACGGGTGTTGTTTCCAGAGGGCGTCCATGTCCGGACTGGTCGAGTGTGTGCGAAGGACGTGTCGGATGGCGTTCTCGACGACGGTGCAGAGCTCATCGAGGGACGAGGTGAACGCCCATTCGGCTTCGAGCATCCAGAATTCGGCGAGGTGGCGTGAGGTTTGGGAACGCTCCGCGCGGAAGCATGGGGAGAGGGTGTATACTCGCGAGAGGGCTGTTGCGACGGCTTCTAGATGGAGCTGGGATGATACCGTAAGGTATGCTGGGTGATTGAAGTAATCTGAAGGTTTCGCGTCCGAGGACGGCGGAGAAGCGGACCGAGACGAAGGCTCTGAACTTGAAGGTGCGATGCGAAAGGTTTCGCCAGCCCCCTCACAGTCGTTGGACGTTATTATGGGGGTGTGTACATGTATGAAGCCAATATCCTGCCTGTAATGAGATTGAACGTCCGACGAGAGCAGAGGGAGACCCACCTCAAAGTAGTTGTGTATAGCTCTAGTTGTCGAGTCACGCAATCGTAGCATGGCGCCGATCTCTCGTGTTCGTGCGCGCAGATGACAGTGGTCTCTGAGGTACTCAACTGTCAAGGCCTGCTTCTGCATCGGATATGTCTGCAGTGAATTAGCATTTGAATGGCAGCATCGGCAACGCGACGAGACGTACTTCTGGGTCACATTCTCCAAGTACCTCTGCCTCCGCTACCTGGAGCTCCTTAGCCTGACCAGCACCCCGACTGTCAACTAACTCTCCGCGTAATTTTACGCTTGCGCCATTAGTCAACCTACACCAAACGACGAGTCAATATGTGTTCACAACATCGACCTGATTCTCGACATACTGTTTAGCGAGATTTATATCTGTGAAGACAGCCTGCAGACCAGGTTCGGAAGAGCCATCGGTGATCACCGCGAAAGCGACCTTCTTCTGCCTCCGGATGGACTTTACCCAGCCGTTGACGTGTATCGCAGGAGCATATGTAGATGGAGGAGCTGCGAGGAGCTGCCGGATGGTCGGCGGGAGAGACGCGCTGGTGGACAAGAACCGGCGAGCGAGCATCGTCGCCGTGCACCGAAATTCAGAAGCGCCCAGAGCGCGTCATCATCTGCGCGTTCGTGTCTCTCCGAGAAAGGCAGGTGGTGTATTCGCAGACGTCTCTCCGAGCCATCCTCCACCTCGGAAAAGCCGGCTAGCCATGGGGGCCATGATGTCACTTCAGCCACATGCAATGCTCTGGATGGCATATAACGGCACAACTAAGGATGTCGGCCTTTCACAGCTCATCTCATCGACTTGCTACATATCATTCGTCTTTTGAACACTCTCACTAACCCTCACGACTATCATGAACGTCTTCGGCTCAAAAGACAAGGAGACGACTGAGAAGCTCCCTAACAAATCGGGGTCGCTCAACGACACCGGATTCCTCGTTCCCCCTCAAGAGGAGAAGAGCGTCCGGGACTCCAACAAGAACTTTGACGGAAGCTTCTTGGCCCCTCCCCAGGAGGAAAAGGTTGACGTCGCGGGTGCACGTGGAGAGAGATGTGAGAAATGCACTCGCTGAATGTCGTGCTATATCTGACTCATATCACGCTGTGCCAGCCCGTATCGACGAAGGTTGGTGCCCCTGAAGGCCTGAAGCTGCAGCCTTCGTCAACTTACTTGTTCATACATGCTTACAATTCTTCCTCTCATTAGCTGTCGACCGTATGGTGGATAAGATCAACAAGCATGAAGTCGTGTATGATGCACCTAAGAATCCAGACGAGGTTGCGGAGGAGTTGGTGAACAGAGGCGCGGTATTATCTGGTGGTGCCGGTATTACTGGCGAGGACTTCGGTGGGGTCTCCGACAGGCAGCGTCTTGTCCGTCGAAACACCTAGAATCCTAGTCATTATGAAACAAAGGATGCAAAGTGTAACATAATGTAACAATAATTCGTTCTAACCCCTGCTTCCGTCAGCCTGGGTACACTAGAGATGAATTTGAAGCTCAGCCGAATATCAACGGTCGCTCCAGTGGGCATGAGCTGTGCTCATATGAGGCATTCATCCTATATCGATAACCTGTGGCTGTCGAGAACATCCAGTACGTGGAGGTCGACTGTATGGCCCCCCGATAGGGCATAATGCTGCGTATTGTCAAGCACGTTGGGCGCTAAGAGGGGGAATATGACTCTAGGAGTCTCTAGGGTCCTCGGCGCCTCTGTAAACAGGGCAAATACCAGTAAACTCGGACTTCGCGAAACATCCGCTCCGCCACTTGCACGCCTACTCTCATACACTCCTGCCCCATACTCTTCTTCCGTTTGTACTGTGATTCTTATCCAAAATGGGTCGCCTTGCTGAGATGCAGAGGAAGCTCCTCGAGGTATGTACGCGCGTCGTTTCATCCGCAGCGGAAGGCTTACACTGTGTCACTAGCAAATGATGGGTCCGGAAGCCATGGGTGTATCCAACGCCAACTTACACTGGTCGGACGAGAAAGTTTGCAGGAACTTCTTGTGTGGAACATGCCCGCACACTCTCTTTACGAATACCGTGAGTAGTGACTTATTGTAACGAACCTGTCATCCTGCAGCAGCTGACAACGTTTCGAAGAAAATGGACCTCGGCGCATGCCCCAAGTCACATACCGAACGTCTAAAGACTGAGTTCCTCGCCGCACGCGAGGCAAATCCGAGCGACCCCATCTTCGCCCGTTTCCAGACGGAGTACGAATCGAACATCTTCGCGTTCGTGGACGAGTGCGACAGGAGGATTCGGGCCGCGCACAGGCGGTTGGAGAAGACTCCCGAAGAGAACGCGAAGACAACAAATCTGGTGTGCACTACGAGTTCTTCACTCCAGTGCATGGTCAGCTGACATGTAGCAGATGAGGGAAATTGCCGAAATCGAGTTGGCCATCCAAGGTGGCACGGAAAAGATCGAGACGCTTGGTGAGCAGGGCAAGGTGGACGAGTCTATGCGGGAGATGGCTGCTATCGAAGCCTTGAAGAGCGAGAAGGCGGATAAGGAGGTGTGTACATGACGTTGGTCTTCCGATCGCGCACGCTGCTGACCGCTTGACAGCGCGAGTTGCAACAACTCACGGACACCTCTGGAGCGTCCGGCCACCAGAAGCTTCGTGTCTGCGACGTCTGTGGCGCATACCTGTCCGTGCTCGACTCCGATCGTCGTCTCGCTGACCACTTCGGTGGTAAGGTGCGTCTTCGACGGATTTTTGTACGATATTGCGACTGCAGGTATGCGTATGCTGACCTTATCCTCGCACACCGCCTCAGATGCACTTGGGTTATCACGAGCTGCGAAACATGCTGGTCAAGTTCAAGGAGGAACGCGACAAACGCAAGATGGGTCCTCCCTCCACCACCCCCTCCGGTGCCACGCCGTCAGGCACTCCCGCACCAGGCGGGCCGCCGCCTCGCGGTGGCGATCGCGGCGACTTCCGTTCGTCGCGAGACGACTACCGCGAGCGCGACCGGGGCTACGGCGAACGCGGCGGGTTTTCGCGTCATGAGTGAGCGCTGTCGTTGTGTGTTGTGCGCTGTGTGACGAGATGGCTGACGACGCGTGCGATGCGTGCTTTGCGTTGCAGTGACAGGCGAGAGAGGCGCGAGCGTTCTCGTTCGCCCGGAAGGCGGAGATACTGAAGACGATGCTTGCAAGTCGACGTGCAATCTGTATGCCCCTGTCGGCCTCTGTTTGAGGAGTGGCAGCGTGTCTCGGTCTTTGCTATTGCTAGTGTATTGTAATATTACTCTTCTTCCTCCTGACCTGATTATGTTGTTTGTGCGGCTCAAATCAGACTGTAGTTCATGGCCAAGGTGCGTAGTACGAAAAGCAATGCGACAGCGGTGCGTATAACGATGCACAAAGCGACGACTAGTAAAATAATAGTGTCCCATTCCCAGACGGTCATCCTGCACTCCATCCCTTCCAGTCGAAGGCTTTCCCTGTGCCCCCGCCGGAGGGTTTGCGCCCTCCCTTCTCCGTCCCGCCGCCCTTCGGCTTGGCCGCTATGCTCTGCCCTCTCTCCAGCTTCAGTGCAGCTACCTCCAGGCGTCTGGGCGCAGGACGCGGCGCAGGGACACGCCGCTGCGCCTGCGCCTTTGCACCCGCCACGTCGTCTGGCGTCCGCTCCCCGCCAGACCCTCGGGCGCCAGTCGTGGCAGAGAGCGTCGTCTGCCTCTGCGCTTTCGGCGCCGTGCCAGCGGACGGGGTCGGAGGCTGCAGCTTGCGGTTGTGCTCGGACAGAGGCTTCATCCGGGCCCCCGGCCAGTCCGGCACCGTCAGCGTCGTGATGGGCTTCAGTCTCTTCGCGGGGCGCGACGGCGAGGGATCCGGGCGAGACGTTCCGCACGACGCCCGAGAGGGTGTTGGGGAGGGTGCTGGGGAGGGAGGTGGGGCAGGACGTTTGCCGACGCTCTTGCTGCTCGGCCCCGGCCGTGCGTGGTCTGTCCGCGCGTTTGCTGGAGGCCTCGGGGACGCCCGCGGCCTCGGGTGTCCCTCTGGCTCAGGCGAACGCGCACGCCCGGCGGGCCGCTGACCATCGAGAGCTGGAGCCAGGGCAGACGGCGCGGCTCGTTTCGGTAGGGAGAGACGAGGAGCGCCGGCCGCAGTCGCCTGCGCACTCCGCGCGAATGGGTTGGCGCGACCTAGAGGCACCGAGGGGGGCGCTGCCCGCGCGCGGCCTGCCTTGTCGGGGCCGCTGGACCGCTTCTGCACCATGTCGAGCATGTGCTGGACGCTGGACAGCGTGACCATGCGCTTCCGCGTCTGCGCGGCGGGTGCGCCTTGGGGGCGTGGCGTGTGCGCGGCGGAAGGCGACGCGAAGACGCCGGTCGGCATGCGCCCTGCTGGAGCTGCGGCTTGTCGACGGGGCGGCGGCTGCGCCGGCAGGGAGGACCATGGAGGAGGCGGGCGGAAGAGCATGCGCGGGTCGGCGGCGGCGGCAGGAGGCTTAGGCGGCGGGGGGCGCGGCTTGGATGCCGCAAAGCTGCTAGGCTTCGAGGGGGTGCGGCGCCGGGCGGGCGCGCTGTAGAATCTGTCTGCAAGCATCCGGTCCGCGAGCATGCGCTGCTCGCGCCCTGCGGCCTCTTCCATCCACGACGATGTCGATGTCGGGGCGCCGCCGCGCTCGGGTCTCGGATGGCTGGGTCTGGGACCCTCGGCCGACTGGGGGTCGGGCATGTCCCACCTGCCGGGGGGCTGTTCCTCGAGCTCCGAATCGGAGCTTGAGGAAACCTCGTCCTCTTCCGGCAGCATGTCCTCGATGTTCTGGAGTCCGCAGTCTTGTGGGTATTCGTCGTCCTCGACGTACGGAGGGAACTCGGGGCGCGGCGCACTGTACGGGAGGAAGACGTCCATGCGGCCGCTCGCCACCTGTCGTCCACGCTCCGCGCTCGGTTTAGCGACGGGGGATTCCCAGCCTCTGGCGGACACGGGGTCGACGCGGTGGTACAGCGAGTCGACGAAGAGGACGTGGGGGGCGGGGTGGGAGAACAGCGTGCCCGGCCCCGCCGTCAGGGAAGATAGGTGCGCAAGGACGCCGGGCATGTCGCCCGCGTCGTAGAGGCGCGTGTCCGCCGACGGCCTGAACGGGAGGTCGCGCCGCAGCCACGGGGCGCAGCGCGTCCCCCGCAAATCTGCGGATACGAGCGTCAGGTTGGCGTACGTTGGACCACTGCTGGCACACACACACCGACGACGCTAAGGAGCGGGAACCGGGGGAGGCAGTCGAGCAGCTTGTCGTCGACGTTGATGCAGTCTTTGAGGTAGAGCACGCGCAGGCCCCACGGGCCCCGCCGTTCGGGGGGTCGCTCAGCGTCGTTGTCGGAGTCGGGCTCGGTCCACGAGAGCGTCTTCGCGAGGCGCAGGAGGCCGAAGGAGCCGAGGGCGGTCAGGCTCGCGTCGAGGGCGGCGAGCGTGTGGAGCTCGCGCAGCTCGACGACGGTGTCGTCCGTGAGCTCGCTGCATCTGGCCAGGGAGAGCACGGTGAGGAGGGAGAAGTGTGCGGTGCTGGGGATGCGCTGCAGGAGCGGGAGGTGGACGTCGGACAGGGGGAGGGTGTATGTGCGGAAGGCGGGAGGGAGGGGTTCGTAGAGCTGCACGAGCACGGCCCAGAGGCGTGGATCGACCAGCCGCAGGTCGAAGTCGCGGTGGTGAGGAGAGAAGGGGCGGTAGGTGGGGATGAGGGCTTGGAGGATGTCGAAATCGGACCTGTCGGAGGGAGGCTGGTAGGGTCTGCGTGGTCCGTAGGTGTGTACCTGGTCGGGCCACTCTAGAAGGGCGTTTATGCAGAAGAATGCTAGAGAGGGGACGTAAGAAAGAGTTGGATTCGCGTTCTTGTTTGCATGGAGGTGGTAAGGGGCTGTGATGGAGGATGGAGGAGGGAGTAGCTCGTACTGGGTGATGCTAATGCCGGCGTCGTCAGAGGTCAGTGTAGACTTTGGGACATGCAGCACTATCGGCTTGAATAGCATTCGGACAAGACGGGTGGAAGGACATCACACTCGGCGACCCAGCTTGTCATTCTGTCACGCGCGCGGCCGACGCGACCGTGACATCCCACACATGTGACGCTGTGACCAGACCCGTCCCGCGGCCTGGGACGTCCCCCATACCAGCAATAATTAATGCCAAGCAGCAACGGACTCCCTCCACGTTCGCATCTATTGCGGCGGTGAGCGTTTGAAGGAGCTTGGTATCGAGAAACAGGTAGACGACGAGATAGGAACAGTCATGGTCACTGGCAATGCATGGATTCCCAGTGTCGCAGGACAGGTGAGAATTGCAACCTCCAATCACTAATCGTAAGTCGCTCCGTTCTAGGTTTGACAGCTATCCAATTCTCTAGCGATCCATGATAATCTTGAAGGAAACGGCGCGGGCTACAAGGACAATCATGCGTGTCCTAATTCTCATTGATGGGAACCTCACCAATGACTACACGAATCACGCGAACTCTGTCTTGGCCAGATGTCAGGGTGCAGAGACCAATGACGGATACCTCAGGCACTTCCAATCCGCCAACATTCAACTGACCGGTGGGTGCGCCTCTCTCATATTTGTGGCACGACTCTTACACGCCCCAATGAGCAGACGACGACACTATCGTTGAACCAGGATCCAATATAGACTCGGACACGGGCTCTATCTGTATCACCTCCACACGAATGGAGCGCTGGAAAAAGACGGAATATCGGTCGTGGAGCGAGAAGGGCTATGACGCGAATCAGTTCAACCCCAGGTACCCGCCGGTTCTTCATGAGAAGGACAAGAAGGACGGTGGGCACAACGTACGGTGCGTCAAGTCTCAGGCTACTCAGTGAGCGCCGCCCAAACTGGACCTCTAGCTGCACGTTGCTCCTACTGCATTTGCAGCTTCGGAGATCGTACCGACAAGGAGGTCGGCGATATGGAGATCTTCATGCCGGTCGGCGAAGATCCCCATCCAGTCCTGACGTTCCGCTTCCGGTACAGGCCAGAAGGCGCGTGCTCACGTGTGTCTGATCGCTGGGATGGCTGTCCCACAGCACCCGCCATAATTTACCAAGTCCAGTCATCCTCAGGAAGCATAGCATCATCCCCAGGCTAGGGCCTCGCGACGATGGGCTCCCCACCATTGCGCCCACCAGGCGATCCACGCGCCTTCAACGGCACAGTGGAAGCGACACCGGTGCTGAGGCTGAGGCTGCCGCTGCGGCTGAGGACCCTCGGGGTTGTCGAGGTAGTCGAGGTTCGGAGACCGGCCAGAGTCACGTCGATGAGAACGCGCGTGAGGGTCCATCGGTCAAGCACGAGGACGACACCGCCCCGATCGTAGGTGCCGCAACTGCAGAGCGAGAGCGAAAGCCAAAAGTCGAGCCTGACGTCCCGAATCGCTTCTCGGACCGGGTTACGCTAGCCACCTAGTCGCCGGGGTCGGCGACGGCGACGAGTGTAAGCCCGTGTTTTCATTTCACACTGCGATGCTGGGATGCCTGATGGCGAATCCGACATCCCACCTTCGAAATACCCTCCGTCTACCCTGCGCGCTGTGAATGGATGTATAAACCAGACCACACACAACGCCAGCTAAGGGTAGGCGGAGTCCGGCCGACTCAGGGACGCTGACAGGGAGAGTATGGTGCTCGCCGTCAGGGCCGACACCCAACAGCGAGCCCTGGATACCATCCTTGCATAACATCTATGCTTGGACGACTCTTCCCCTTCTTCCAAGCAGCGCTACTCGTTTTGCAGGACATGCCGGTACATGCAGGATTCTTCGTCCACATTCGCTCGGAGGGTGAGAGGTTGAGAGAGTACGGGGTAGAGAAGAAGGACGCCAACGGATACACCTCTATCATCAGCTGCTACATCGCAAGCGAAAGCGGCAAGGTCGGTGCTCGCTATCTTGCAGCAGACGTCGACGGTCGCTGACAGGCCCACTTCCGCCCGTGCAGACGTTCGAGGTCTATTGGCACGAACCGGCCTCGAAGACCGACATGCTCGTGAAGGTCGAGATGGACGGCCAGCTCACCGACGAGGTCGCGCACTTCGAGTACGAGGGCACGGGTGTGTCGCAGGGTGTCATCGAGTATGCCCAAAGAGCCGTCCGGCTGTACCGTTTTGAAGATGTCAAGACCACCGGTAGGCAGCGCCCCCGGCGGATGACGGCCAGCTCTATTCTGACATATACGCTTTCGATGACGACTGTCTCACAGACGACGATTCCGTGGCGCGCCCTGGCAGGGTGAGCGCAAAGCTGGGTACTATCACGGTGAGCCTGTTCCTCGTCTCCCGCTGGGACGAGTCAAAGGCAAGGGGCAGTCTCAAGCGACCGCGCATGAACCCGAAGTCTGTGGTGAACCCGGGCTACATCCACGAAAAGGACAAGAAGGAGGGCCGACACAACGTCTGGTGAGTCCACCGAATCCAGTCTCTCTCAAATGCTTATCGACCTTCGTTGTGGGACCGCTAGCTTCGGGCCTCGTGAGGCCATGTCATCTTATTCCACGAGCTTCCAGGTCTACAACCCCATAGGCCAGCACAAACGACCCATCATGGTATTCGTGTTCAATTACAGGCCTCGAGGCAAGCACGTTGTCTGACTTCTGGACCCCTGACTACTGGCTGATCACACGCTTCATAGCTATCCTAGAAAACAAAGGCTACGTGCCTCCGTCGGCACATGCCATAGGTGCTGGAAGGAAACGCCCGTCGACCTCCGCCGTGCCGCATGCGTCGAAGCGTCCCCGCAAACACTCGCCGGAGGTGATTGTGATATCTGACTCGGAGGACTCGGAGAAGTCATCCGAATCGTCCGACTCGAGTGAAGGGGAAGAGGACACGCTTGGGCCGGAGTCTGAAGAGGATGTCCAGGAAACACCGGTGGTAGGTCGAATGAGTGAGGATGACACGGAAGATATAGAGTTAGCCGTTGGTCATGAGATTGCGTTCCTTCAGGTATATTCCATGGTTCTCGATCACGAGTGTCAGGAGTGGCCCGCATGCTGACCCATTACCCAGGCGCAGATTGCTAAGTTGCAGAAGGAACTCGCAGAGAAGAGTGCAGCATTGAAGGCATTCTTGTGATGTTGATTTGCATGGCATGTATATACTTCAGGATGGTGACTGATGCAGCCGAGCCATTGCCTGATCTGCTGCTCAGAGAGAAGCAGTCGAGCCCGCAGTCACTTCAAGAGTCATCTGTTGACTGGGTATACTATGTGTATTTGTCGCCGCCAAAACGACACAAGTGCAGCGCTCACGACTAGAGCAATCTGTGGCACATGAAACGACAACGACACGTACCTATGTCTTTAATTGTGCACTGCTTTCGGCCATGGTCTAACAGCGTCTGCGAGTGTGTTACTTCTAGGGCGAAGCTCCGAACTTCCACGAGCTCGCGTTATAGTCACATATGTACCGTCCAGTGGTGTCCTGCCGTTCTCATATCCTGACTCCTGAGTACGACCTCATACAAACGTCAGACTGCTGCTGCAATGCCGAGATGGGGAAACGTGGACGTGAGTATCCTCTGCGGCCGTTGAGGAATGCAGGAGCTCCAATAGCCAGAGGACCCTGAGACATCCACTGTGGACGAAGGAGAGACGTGCCCTAGCACTCACAAAATACACTGGAGGGACGCCGCCTGTGAACGCAAGGAAGAGCATCGCATCTGCATTGAAATCGACGATCAACGCACTAAAACACCGCTTGAATCAAGACAGACCGTCGAGCTTCCAAAAGTGTTATGGCCAACCGCTGTTAACTCCGGTATCTCGATCTGGTAGGCCACTTGCTCTGAAACCACTCGACAGCGGCCTTCGTAATAGGAGCAACAGAGCTGCCGTAACAGAAACTGAGAAGCGATTGAGATGTTACCAATCTGTGTGGCACTGCCAGGCGGGGTCGTTGCTGACCATACTATGTAGCCATGACTGCCAGCGTCTCAGTCAGACGAAAGCCATGAATAACAGGATAAACTGATGTTGCGGATGTCTGTTTGGGGTTAGTGTGCATGAGGCACACTCCCCGAGCACGACCTCCATATAACACGATAGTCGGTCTGAACCGCAAGAGACACAAGCTGGTCCACGTGCTGGCCGAGAAAGAGTCCGTCCATACCCTGCTTCACAGCCAAAGCGGTGACTCGACCGACTAATGAGGGTGAGGGAGGGGCGTCTCTCGCTACGATTGGGTAAAGGCTTCTTCGGGGAGACGATTCATCTGGGCTGGACCGCGCACGACGTTACCAACAAGATACTAGCAAACACAAAGTTAACAGTGATGTACGATAGGTGGCCACCGCATCGTGAGAGTATCTGCGACGGTGTCGATGACCTCTGTTACCGCTTCTCTTGGCTGCGTACTGCGTCCCTCGTCCGGACATAGTTGGCCCAGAAGGTCTCGTATTCCGTGTCGAGCGTCCCCTCCCCCGGCTGGCCGATACCGCCAGCCTTATCCCTGCCGACCCCAGCCCATCCAAGAGCACGCTCGTAGCATTCTAGGGCTTTCGCGTTCGCGTCCGGGGAGCCGGAACCTTCGGAGAGAACGCCTATGAGGTTCCATGCCTCCGCTGCGGTCCGGCGAGCGTCACGTAGGAGGGCCTTCGCAGGTCCATGCATGGACTTCGAATTCGTGTACTCTGCAGCGAGGGGGGTCTCCGAGGAAGGCGGGTGGGGGATCTTTGAGCCTGGCGCGTCAGGATGAACGGGCGGGAGCCCACTGAGGGAGAGGGCTACGCGCTCGGACGAATGGGCCGCCTGCGACAGCCAATCTATAGATGTCGCGGACCCCTTCCGGAGCGCATACAGCACTTCTGCGTGGTGGATAGAGAGGATGGAGGAGCGATGGAGGATATAGAGGAGGTGAAGAGCTTGGGGTGGGGTTGCGGCATCGAACGCTCGAGGCGCAGGGAGCGAGCGCAGGAGCTTTAGTGAGGCATCTTCACAAGCTTGTGCTTGTTTCAGTTGACCAGTGGTCGCGTAGAAGGCGGAGAGGGAAACAAGTGCGGAGACCAGAGTCCGCTGGGCGAGGGGTGATGAGGGAACCGATTCAGGGACAGAGGGCGGGTTTGTGGGAGTTTCTGTGTTCTCTCCACCTTGCGCGAGCTGTATCGAACGAGTCCACCATGCGAGCGCGTCCTCTGTGTCCCCTAATCTCCTGTTGAGGTCACCGAGCTTCAGCGCAATGTGGGCCGCTTGTGGGCCCTTGGCCGCTAACTGACTCCAGATGCGCTCGTACTCCGAGCGGGCCTCGTCTAATGAGTTCCGGGTACCCATCCTTTCTACGACGTCGGCGCGGCGTGCGAGCAGAGCAGTGAGGGTGCCGGGGTGAATCTTGCCATCCTTCTGCGCCTTCTCCGCACTTTCAATGGCAACACGCAGGAATTCTTGGCCATACTCTAAGCTCGCCTGAATAGGAGCGAGCGTCGCACCTTGGCCCTCGCGGCCCGTGAAAGCCTTGGACGCTACGACGTCAGTGTTCGAGCCCGTCCCCCAATTGAGCACCATCCATGCGCTTCTGATTGCGTGTCTCCCGTAAAATCCGAGCGCAGGGTCGGAGCCTCCGTTCGGAGAGCCAGTCCACCTATCCGCTTCGAGGTCCCACTCCCACTTCTTCACCTCTTCATCGGTCTCCGGTGAGAGTCCTGAATGCTCCACATACAGATGAGCCGCCTCAAATGCAGTCAAGCCAGTCGCGCCTAGGAGTACGAAGCCAATGGCGGTGAACTTGAGGAACCTCCTGAAGAAGTCGACGGTGAACATGGTGTGCGTCGCAAAGCTGTCGTTCAGGTATGGACCTGGAGCCGCGCCTTTTGGCAGGGATGGTAACTGGGTATCTTTTGATGCATATCGACGAGTCGCTATTCGAGGCCGAGGGAGGGCATTGCGAGGGAGACTGAGGGGTATTCGCCGGCGGGCCCTTGAGAGCAGCATGGAGAGGAGGTGCTGTGACGCGCATCTCCTGTGACAGCCAGTAACACTCCGGTGACGTCACGAGACCGGACATTACGCGCGACGCGTTCTCGTTCGCGTCACACCCACCTTTGCCTCCGGACCACGGTCTCCTCCGCCTCGTCAGCCCGGAGTGCACGTCTTAGCCACTACTACCTAGTCATGAAGTTCTTTATTGATGATCTACCTGTAAGTGCTACTGCTGTGTCCCGCAAGCTGGTGCTCAACGAGCTGGTGGGGCCCAGATAATCTTCCCTTATGACCGAATATATCCTGGTATGTTCCTCCTTCACGAAACTCCTCCGCAATATTCAACGCGCAATCGCAGAACAATACGCGTACATGTGTGACCTGAAACGAACACTCGATGCCACGGTACGAGATCACCAGCCACAGGATAGCCCATGTACTCAGTTGCGTCGTATCTCCAGGGGCATTGTTTACTTGAAATGCCTTCAGGAACAGGCAAAACGGTCTCCCTTCTTTCTCTCATTGTATCATATCAGCAGGTGCGTATCCGCGGCCTCGCGATGGTTCCGTATCCTCATAGTCTCTCGCAGTTCTATCCCACGAAAAGGAAACTTATATATTGCTCGCGGACGGTACCCGAGATTGAAAAGGCACTGTCAGAGCTCCAACGTCTGATGGATTACCGTAGAGATTGTGCGGAGACAGATGAGCAGCGCGAGAAGGAGAAGAACTTCTATGGTATTGGTCTTACTAGTCGCAAGAACCTATGCATACACCCTGAGGTCAGTGTCATTGCTTCCGCTTACAATCCGTCCAGGACGTCCAAATTGCCGCACGCCCTTTTCTGTGACCACGTGGAGCTTCCATAAATCTAAACTCATGCATCCTTCAGGTATCAAAGGAGAAAAAGGGTAAAGTGGTGGATGCACGATGTCGAGATCTTACGAACTCCGCTGTGTGCACGAAAGGCCGCGAGAACCCAGGTTCCGTCGAGCTGTGTGATTGGCACGAGGTTTGTTCTAGTCATAGCAAGTTAAACCGTTGCTGATTGTCCCGCAGAACCTTGGGAAGCTTGAGCCGGGTAACCTGATCCCGCCGGGAATCTGGACATTGGCCGATGTTCTTCAGCATGGCCGGGAGAACAAGATCTGTCCCTACTTCCTCGTCCGTCGCATGGTACGGTAACGATTGTGCATATGGTATCTTGACAACCAGCTCACATAAGCCCTAGATGCCATTCGTGGATGTCATCATCTACTCCTTCCATTATCTTTTGGACCCAAAGGTAGCTGAACAGGTGTCGAAAGAACTCACCAAGGATGCAATTGTGGTCTTCGACGAGGCGCATAATATCGGTACCGCGCATTCGTAATTGCAAGGCTTGGAAGTGATGGCTTACGCGTTTCTAGACAACGTCTGCATAGAATCCTTGAGCATTGACTTGACGCGACCTATGTTAGATTCCGCAGCGCGCAGCGTCGTGAAACTCGGTGATAAGATCGATGAGTGAGTCGGAAGTTGGCCTCACTAGTTTCCACCGGCAGGTGCTGATCTTGCGAACAGAATCAAAAAGACGGATGCTTCCAAATTACAAGACGAATACGCCAAACTGGTCGAGGGTCTGCAAGAGGCCAGCAATGACGAAGACGCCTTCGTATCAAATCCAGGTGGGCTTCTGTTGGAAGGATGATGGGCAATAGCCAAAACCTTACTTCAATGCGGCGTTAGTGCTACCAGAAGATCTCCTCAAAGAAGCAATACCTGGAAATATCCGAAAAGCGGAGCATTTCGTTGCCTTCCTCAAGCGATTCGTCGAGTACCTGAAGGTTCGAATTCCATTCCACCCCATTCCACCGTTGCAATGCCGATGTCTAATTCGGCTGGAAATCGTAGACGCGAATGCGTGTCTTGCACGTGGTAGCCGAGACGCCTCTGTCCTTCTTGCAGCATCTGAAGGACATAACGTACATTGAGCGGCGACCACTACGGTTGGTTGCATGGCAAATGTTCCCTTGTACAACGTGTGTTCTGACGGATGCCGTTTCCCGGCAGCTTTTGTGCGGAGCGCTTGCAGTCACTTGTGCGGACACTAGAGCTTAGTCGCCTTGATGAGCTTTCGTCATTGCAGAAGGTTGCAAGTTTTGCTACCCTCGTTGCGACGTACGAGAAAGGTACCCTTCACGTACTGTTCACACGCAGCGTGCTCAGCGACTAAAGTGTGGTAGGCTTTTTGCTCATCCTGGAGCCTTTCGAAACCGACAATGCCACCGTTCCAAACCCTATTTTTCATCTTACGTACGTGGTCCCCGGCGTCCTTCCCTCCGGCGACTAACCAAATCCTTCACGCAGATGTCTGGACCCCTCCATCGCGATCAAGCCAGTATTCGAGAGGTTCAGCAGTGTCGTCATTACGTCTGGAACGCTGTCGCCGCTAGACATGTACCCTAAGATGCTGCAATTCACTCCGGTCGTCCAGGAGACCTACTCAATGACCCTGACGCGGAACTCGTTCTTACCTCTGGTAAGTCACAGATCCGCGGCTTATGCAGACGCTGCCAAAGTACCTCATGTCCTGATGTCCCGTTCCGCTGGGGCGACAGGTCATTACCCGCGGTAGCGACCAGGTGGCCATCAGTTCCCGGTTCGAAGTCCGGAACGACCCTGCGGTTGTGCGCAACTTCGGTAGCATCCTCATCGAATACTCTAAGATCGTGCCGGACGGCATCGTCGCGTTCTTCCCGAGCTACCTCTACATGGAGAGCATTGTAGCCGCCTGGAACGACATGGTAAGGTCACCTGCATTTAATCACAGAGAGCGTCTTCCCTGACAGGTCGTCCTGGTGCCTTAGGGTATATTGAACGAGGTATGGAAGCACAAGCTCATCTTCGTGGAGACGCCAGATGCGAACGAGACGAGTATAGCCTTAGAGAATTACCGGAGGGTGAGCACACACTGCATATCGTCGTGATGACTCGCTTCCATGCTCATTCATGACGACCTGTGCTCTTCGGCTCTCCACAGGCGTGTGACAACGGCCGAGGCGCGGTTCTCTTGTCTGTCGCTCGTGGCAAGGTGTCAGAAGGAATTGACTTCGATCACAACTACGGACGGGCCGTAATCATGTTCGGGTACGCATTTTCTCCCACCCGCGGCCATGCGCGCAAGATGAGAAGGCCACCGCGTGCTAATGCGTGGATGCCGTTGCCGTACAGGGTGCCGTATCAGTACACCGAGAGCCGGATCCTCAAGGCGCGTTTGGAGTATCTTCGTGATGCGTACCGGATACGCGAATCCGAGTTCTTGGGTTTCGACGCAATGCGGAACGCTGCACAATGCGTCGGGCGTGTCTTGCGGGGTAAGACAGACTGGGGGTTGATGGTGTTCGCGGATAAGGTACGTGGCATCTCTCGAGTGATCTGCGGGGAGTCCCGTGCTCACGAAGGCCCACTACTTGCGTAGCGTTTCGCCCGGGCTGACAAACGGGCCAAGCTGCCCCGGTGGATCAATCAATACATCACGGAGACGGCCTCCAACCTCTCGACGGACATGGCGCTCACTTTGTCGAAGCAGTTCATGCGGATGATCTCTCAGAACCCGAACGAAAACCAGACCGGTATCTCGCTTTGGACGCTCGAGGACATCGAGAAGGCGCAGGCGAAGCAGAAGGAGCTGGCGCTCCTGCAGGAGGTTGAGCGGCGTGACACGGCGTTGATGGACGCTGACGATGACGACGAGTACGGGGATGGCGGGATCGATGACGAGGCGTTGGGAGCGATAGACCTTGATGTATAAACTGTCTACTTCATACAATGCGTGAATGCAGTAATAATGTACAGCGGCGGGCATGCGGGTCGTGCGAGGTGGATGGTCAGTCCTGGTATCATGAGCAGCGTGGACATTTTGTGTCGATCTACGGACGACGTCAGATCTGACGAGGCAGATTATCTGAGACCCGGAGGACAGACCTCATTTGTGATTATGCGCTCTGGCTGGCTGGAGGGGGCGGCACATGAGTAGGTGAGCCGCGGAGTCTGGAAGACGGAACGGGCAACACGCACGTATAATATCGTCGACAGCGACATGCGGTGCCCGTACCTGGCGCGCCGCAATCTCTTGGGTGCGCAGAGGAGTTGTAGCAGTCGCGGGAGCGGCAGTCGATGTTCGTCTCGCCGATAAACGTCAAGTGACCGCACTGTTTCGCCTTCCACAGGCGCAACTGACGGTGGCACATCGCTAGAAGGGGTCAGGGGGGGGGATTTGCGCGAACGCATCCAGATCTTGTGTGAGACGCGACCGTGCCGGGGAGACTATCAATCAAGCGGGCGACTCACGGCGAGCGCTACCTGGTCGGCGGAGGTAGGCGGAAGCTGGCTGTGGTGAGCACCCGGCGTGGCTGAGTGGGAGATTCAGATTGTGTGGGCTGCCCCGCGAGGCCGCGTTGGACGCGGTTTATGTTCACAGTCGCTGATCGAAGCTCGCGCGATTCCGATCGGGCGAATGTAGGTCCAGCCACGAGCCGAGTGTGGTTTGGCGAGTTGGAGATGCTGCCAGTGCCAGTGCCAGTGCCAGTGCGGAGCGCGTGCTGGCACTTCTTGCTTGTCGGTGACGGCCGGTCGCGCAGCGGTCGTCCTCGGCTGACGTGGACGGGCCCGTACGCGATGGCGGGACGTGGACGCTGGGGTCTGAGGCTGGGCAGACCCTAGAGTGTAGCTATAGTACGGTGGCGCAGCTGTATACAGGGCACGGGCCAATTGTGGAGAAAGAGAGCGGGTCCTTGGCAAGATCGGAGGGGCGAGTGGGCATACGCATTTGCCTTTTGTCGACAAACGGGCCTTAGCCTGTGTGGTGTGGGAGACGCAAGGGATGTGTGCCAGATGATGGTAGCATGTGGTAATGCAAATCGATTGCGCAGGGGCGGGGCGACGAGACGAATCCGTGCTTCTCGTTCCAAGCGAGAACTGGGCAGACGCTGGCTCGACGACAACGTCGTCCCTTGCAGGAATCCCACACGGTAAGCATTCACGCGGAATACATTGCTCCCTTCAGATGGAGTCCCTTCAGATGGAACCTATCCCCTCAGCGCAGGCAGGTCTGTCCCGCCCAACCGTCCTTCCCTCCCAGAAAAACCGCACGACCCCGGCCACCCTCCCTGCGGACTTCCAAGTTCCCATTCGCGGGAGCCGCCGGCACCTCTACCTCATCGCGGCACCCGCTCAGACCGTTTCAACTTTCGCAGAACGAATGGACTCGCCCAGGGTTTGCCGTCATCGTCTGCTTGCTATCGGCACCTCGCCCAGACTTCTCGTTGGAGGCCCGGACGTTCGCATCATGTACGTAGCTTGTCCAGCTTGTGCTAACCCACTGCACGAACCCACTAGTAACTGATTTCCGTGCCCATCGCGTTGTTAAAGCAATCCGTCATCGGCTGGAGTGGGTCGTTAACGAGGCCGTTCGCTGCGGGCAGCCACCGTACACTTTGCGGCTGCATCCCAATCGCCTACGTTCACAGGCGCTTTGTATAATGACGACTGACGTCAACTACAACAAGGGCAATCTGACTCCCCAACGCTAGACATATACAGGCACTCTAGAGCGGCGTGGACTCCCCTCGCTATGCAGTCTTGCCTTGGCTGTCCACATACTTTGTCATCCTGCGTTCTAACATCCACAGCGCGATCATGAGCCCGGTGCTATCATGCGCTACGCTGGTTAACGCCAGCGATGCCAAGGTTTTCCGGTAGCATCAAATACCTTCCATTATAGTTGGTAAAAGCCGGACCAACTCACACACTGTGCCACGCTAGCCTCCGTGTAGGGTGTAATTCGCTCCGGTACGTCCTCAATTCTTTGACTCTGCTCCGTTGTTCGACACTTTATTACATACTTCTAGCACTCAGATACGGGCCTCATCGGGAGCTCATCGGACTGTCGATAATGCTCTGCATTGACACGCTCGCTGCAGTTTATCTCGTGAAGCGAATCTTCCGGAGCTGTTTGGCTTTCCAGCACGGTCATATTATTCAGCAATGCATAGGCGATGTCGCCCAAATGGTCTGCATCGCACGGGCGTTCCTTCCGCGTGGGTGAGTCTCCAGGCTCATCGCATGATGACTGGTGTCCCTTGTACGATATCTGCCGACGTGAATGGTCGGTATTTTGCGGAATCCGGGAAGAGCCTCCTGACGAAGATCTTACCTTGTTCCCGCCGCCTCACTCCTTACGAAGCCTTTCCAAACACTGCACCTTCGGTTGGGTTCGCTTCTTGTTTGATAACATGCCAACTCACCCCGCTTCTCTAGTATAAGACCGCATTGTAATTAGAGAACTGCGTTATGCCTAACCGCTCCCGATGACACTGGTCGGACTTCGTTGTGCATCGATCTGATGTCGTTGTGCTGATACGCGCGCCTTACGGACGGTGGCCTTGTTCACCTCGTTGTTCTCGACCTTCTCTCCCGCCCGTCTCTCACGCAGACTCTCGGAATGCTGTCCCTATAACTCGCCGAATTCCTCAACGGGAGCCTCCGCAGAGATGCTTGGGAAGCGTTTGGTTCTTCGCACATGCATCGGCGTCGTTCGTAAGTCTTTCATCTTTATCAGGCCGCGTTGGCGATCGTGATGATGTATTCACGATTTCTCGTCGCTCCTCAAGCCCTTTCCTCTGAAATCCCGGCGTTTTCCGCAGCATCGGGTGCAACGCTCCGTCCCCGTCGGCATACAGATAAATCGGATATGTATAGCGTTCGATGGCCACTGAGCGTTCGGTATCACACGGCCTTCCCTCTGACACCCCTGCACTATTTGACCTTTGAGCTCCATCCGCTGCTCCGAATCGGCAGCCGGTAGCAAAATACAGACGTGATAACAAGCTGGGAGTCCTCACCCTCAAGCGTCGTGTCGCCCTGAATTTCCGCAGGCTCACCCGGAGGACTATCTGACACTGACAGTACGGTATGTACGGCTCGGTCCGTGGGCCACATCGGCCACCGCAGTCAAGCAGTCATCCCCCCCGCTCTCCCGTCAACTCTCTCTAAATCTCGTACGTACGTGCGTATACTCGCCCCTCCGTGCCTTCCGCGTGAACACAGAGAAGCACGCGCGTCTGCATCCGCCCTGACAGCCGAAGGTTACCGGCGAATCGCGCACCGCATCAGCCGCGCCGCCTGCTCGCTTCTAAGTACTGTAACAGCTACCTGTTTGCACGCCCGCGTCCTTTGCCGCCTTCCCCCCTGGCAGGCTGGTTCTGCGGCTCGATCTGCGTGGGCGTGGCCACCGGCACGGCGACGGGGCGCTGTGAGGCCCCGCCCAGAAGCCCAGCTCCATGGCACTGTGGCGTGCGCCGTGCGCGCCACGCCGAGCGCAGATGAGGTGCCCAGGTCCAATTTAGAGTGGCCATGTACAACTACAGCGCGAGACGGGCCGCCCGCACGCCGTTTGTTGTGCACGTCTCGTGCGCCGCACTGTGCGTAAGACGTAATATCCCACACACGCCGCGGCAGCGGGCCTCGATAAGGGTCACATTTGGGGCCCTTTGTTCTCACCAGTGGCCAGGGGTCTTGTCTGGAGTTGCGCGAGGGAAGCGCGGGATCTCAATGCACGGGCGGCGTGCTCGGACAATCTGACCAAGGAAGCGGAATTCTGACGGACAAGTAGGGCGTGCTTCCCGCCTCTCTATTGGCGACCTGAACCTTCGCTGAGTTGAAGCATTCTACAGAAGCCACAGCGGACGCGACAACTGGACTGACTCGGTGAAGAGCCTAGGGCAGCGTCGATCTGCCAAAAATATTCGTGTCTGCGATGCACTTTATCCGTAACGCGCCCGCGCCCGAACCACAATCCACATTTCGGGAAGGGGGGTACTGCGGACCTGATGAGAGCTGAAACGGGATGGAGTATATTAACAACAGATATTAGCCCACGCTACTATTAGGAGACGATGCATTCGACCAAGAAACATAGAGCAGACATGTACGACTGGGGAACATGCCAGTGCTATGAGGCCGCATCCTTGTTCAGTCGGGAAAGATCTTCCTTGATCACCTCATCTATATTCCGGATGGTCTCGCCCCGGATAACCTTTTGCACCTCCTCGGCGTCCAAGGTCTCGTGTTCTACCAGGGCGTTGGCGAGCTGTCAGGACCCGATTCAAGAAGCGCAGCAACGGGTCATCTTCACGTCAGCACATGCGTCTAGAGATTCGCGGGAAAGGATGAGGTACGCACACGGTGGAGCTCGTCCGCTTTTGACTTCAGGAGCGCGGTCACCCGTGACTCTCCCGCTATCAGTAGGCTATCGCACCATAAGGGCGTCAAGGACACAATCAGTCAGCCGAAGTACGCGTTGGCCCCCGTATACCCCGCCACGGCCCTCCCAAAGAGCGACATATAGCGGTGCACCGCGAATAGTATGGGAGGGCGAGCGGGGACTCGGGGCAGACCACATGGAGAATTTACGTACCTGCGGACTTCGTCTTCTATCTCGTCCTTCTTTTTGGGACTAATCGTGTCTTCTCTATCGCTGAGGTAAACGGGACCAATCTTGTGGGAATAACCCCAGTTCTATGGCGGCGCAAGAGGAATATGAGAACCCGCCCAGTCCCCGGCAATATCACGAGGGGGGGCATATTGTCATTTACCTTAACCATGGCTCGAGCAGTCCTTGTAGCGTGCTGCAAGTCCGAGGACGCACCACTAGTCACGTTCTCGGTGCCGTAAACTGGACGTAGAGAAGGCAATTGGAAGTACCGGTTAGCCATGAGAGACATGAGAGACATGCCAGGGAGACAACGAACTGAGTTCCTCGGCGACTCGCCCACCCATGCATACGTCGATCTCGGCGAGGTACTCTTTCAGGGATACCGAGTATCTGTCATCCTTGGGCAATTGACTTGTCTGCAGTCATCGACGGAAATTGTAAGTGCTTGTCCACCAGTGAGATGTCATATAACGTACAATGCCCAACGCATGACCGCGGGGAACACAGGTAACCTTGTGCAACGGCATGGCACCTTCGGTATAGAGCGCCACTAGTGCATGTCCACCCTACGGCCACAGAGATCAAAAGGCTGGATGATGAGTGTGATGAAACCAGGGACACCGACCTCATGGTATGCAGTCATTTTCTTGACTTCCTCACTAATGAATGTCGTCTTCCGCTCTGCTCCCATTATGATGCGATCCTATCGGGCGCGTCAGGGTTCGAGAGCTCGTCAGACGACGACTGGACGGATGTAGAAGCTACATACCTTTGCCCACTCAAAGTGGGTGAGGTTTACGGACTGTGCGCCTTCTCGGGCGGCCTTGACCGCAGCCTGGCTGAAGGGTCACATAAACTTCAGCGGCGGCCGCGCGCAGTCGATAGGTACACTCACTTGACTAGGTTCTGCAAATCAGCGCCAGAGAACCCAACGGTCCCACGTGCGAGGATCATGGCGTCGACCTCTGTGAACAACCGTGGGTCGTGTGAATGATCGGCGAATGGGTTTGCCAACAGATCAAACCTACCTGGCGCAGCGGTCACGTTCTTCATGTGATGTTGCAAGATCTGAACACGGCCTCGAACATCGGGGAGAGGGACGGCTACATGCTTGTCGAAGCGACCGGGGCGCACAAGAGCCCTGACGACGTCATACAGTCAGGCACTGGCAAATTGTGATGTGGATAGCAAATAAACTTACGGATCCAGAGATTCTGGGAAGTTAGTGGCGGCGATGACGATGATACCCTCGTTCTGCAGGAAGCCGTCCATCTCGACGAGGAGCTGATTGAGCGTTTGCTTCATGTAGTGTTGATCGCGACTAGATCGCTTGCCGCCGATAGCGTCGAGTTCGTCGATGAAAATGATAGCTGGTTGCTTCTTCCGCGCAGTAGCAAAGAGGTCCCGTACCCGCTTGGCTCCAACGCCGACGAACATCTCGTCAAACTCAGACCTGATCAGACCGCTTAGTCAAGAAGCGAGTTCCAGGTAAGGGCGAGCAATGCGATATCGTACCCGGACGCAAAAAGGAACGGCACGCCAGCCTCTCCGGCAACGGCGCGTGCCAGCATCGTCTTACCCGTTCCAGGAGGTCCGGTGAGCAGAACGCCCTTGGGAAGCTTCCCGCCAAGAGTGCCAAACGACGTGGGGTCCTTCAAGAATTCGACAATTTCTTGAAGTTCCTGAGAAGCGCAGTGGCAAATTAGGGTAAATGAAGGACCGAGGTGTGGGTCTACTTACAGCCTTGGCCTCATCGACGCCATGTACGTCGCTGAACTTGTACGTCTTGGCCTGGATGGGTTCAAACTCGGCTTGACGAGGTCCCGCCTTGAGCAGGCCAGAATTCTCGACCCAGATTGACAACACCACGAGGACGACTAACCGCAATGCTTTAGAAAGGGAATGATTGTGCAACTAACAGACAACTTACAGAATGCCACGAGACCGGCTGACACAACGAATCGGATGAGGCGAAGGAAGACGGTGCCTCGTGCTGTTGAGGTAATAATCACATCAGCAAACGTATCCGAGCAATATGACAGAGGTTAATCGGCATGTCAGTCGGAAGGCCGGCTGCTGACTGCAGCGACAGGTGCGACGCAGACTTGTCGGCCTGAGTCTGAGATGAGCAGCTTATGTGACGCGACGGCCAATAAATGGAGCAGCCGTTGACTGAGGCATCGAAGACCGACATGAGGGAGACGGCGAAACCATCCCGTCCAATACACGTTCATGCGCGTAAACGATATGGCGATGAAGCACGGACCTTACGAGACGAAAATAACTTACGTTCGTTGAGAGTCACTACAATGGGGTTCCCAGGGACCCCAGCACCGCGACCAAGAGCAGCTCCAAGCGCATCGAAGTCCGTGTGTACCGACCGCGCCACTGTGGCCTGTCCAGCCAGAACCTCCTGGGCGGCTTGCTGACTAGGCGAGACAGTTGAGGACAATGCCGACGAGGATGGAGAGGTGACAGTAGGCTGAGATGCCGCCGCATTCACATCAACAGATGCTGATGTCGCCGATACATGAGAGGAGGCATCGGATGCAGTGGCAGTAACGGTCGCCGAAGAGGAAGCAGTCAAGAGAGCGTCTCTTCTCCGAACAGCAGACGATATTGATGATTCCAGGCCGAGGTCGCGTAACGCAGTGAGATAAAGCTTGAATGCTGTGTCTGACCGAAGGAGGGGGTGTGAGGGATGCTGTGAAGCATTAGCAGACGCGTCGGGTATTCCTGCGGAGGTGCTCACGAATTCGCATGTCCTCTCCCATCGCGCCACTACCGTGTTCAGACCTGGCTTCACCTTGGTGTTGACTAACGCCTCAAACAGAGCAACCTGTTTCTCCACATCCTCTGGGTGTGCGTCCGCCTCAGCCTCAAGCTTGGAGACACTGGCTACAACCGCTGGTGGAGGGACACCGCTAGGTTTCCGGAAGAGAGACGCAAGAGACAGCAGTCGGGACTGGACGAGTACCGGAGCCGGAGGAAGACGTCTTTGAGACAACAAAACCGCGGATATGGACGAAGGATGAGATGGGAGACTTGATAGTGAGCGGAATGGCGGGAGGGAGTGTCGGGGTGTGCGGATGGCGGATACTTGGGGACGACATGCGCCCAGCCTTAAGAACTGTGCATTGGCACAATATCAGTCATATTCTACGGCATCGTGCAGGCAAGGCACTCACTATAGACATCGACATCGTCGACGCCGACGCCGTACGACGTATGGACACCAGGGAAGTGGATCGAAGCCAGGCTCGTAGTGACGGTGGCAGCAAGCAAGCTCTCACGGCACGTGCATTACGCAAGCTCCAGGCGCTATGGGGGGCGCTTCATATTCGCCCGGCACGAAGTTCCTCTGCTGCTGATAACCATGTAGGTTCTACTCATCAAGGAGCGAAGAACTGATCATAAGATGTACTGCGCTGTATACTCCTTGCGTTCGTTTTGCACGGGTACTCATAAGGCTGCTCCTTTTTCTGAACGCGTCTCCGATTGTCATCAGAAAGCCCCATATGACGATCCTGTTTCTCGACTGATGGGACTCCCAGGTGCAACAGATGCGGCAGCCATTTTGCATGTACACGAATACATATACAAAAAGATACATCCACAAGAAGACGAAGGTACTGGTACACTGGCGCAAATATTTGGACGTTGTTGCGCGCTACCAGATGCTCTGCTGCGTCGAATGACGTACTTAGACGCGTATCCCACACGGAGCTACCAGCTTCTCCACTATAAGCTCAGCACATGGCCCCAATGCTTGCCGTATATGCTCTCCTTATCACCCATGCGTTCTCCGTGTACCCATGGCAGACAAGATCGACCTAACTGAGGTAACTACTCCCAAGGAGCTCAGTGACGAGCAATGTACAGCTGTGTTGGAGCGTCTCACCCGCAAGCTCGCGGGCTTCCGGAATCAGGCAGAGATGTACGCTACAGCAGAGTCCTGGGCGGTCCACAACACCGACTCGTCTCAGACTCAAAGAGACTTCGTGTTCGCCTTAGATGCCTGGTCTCAGGATACGCTCAAGAACGTCTGGCTCGCCTGTCGCGAACCTGGCAAAGGCACGTCTGTACGGTCTCGTATCTAGCCCGATCCGACCTAACATCCCAATATACTTCTGCAGGTCAAGACCCTCCCCAGTTGGACCCCTACTCCGACACGTCAACGGCCGGCCTCCCACCACTCCCACCCTCAGAACAGCTCGTGCCTCTCTTGAACACCGTGCTCCTCCTGCACGTCACCGCCGACAAAGAGTACTCGAGCCGTACTCGCACCTTCCTCTTCTCCATCGCCCCGGTCGACGAGAAGTCCGTGGCGAGGACGCTCAAGAATCCCACAAGGGCGATCGAGGAGGCGGAGAAGAAGACCAACGCTGCGCGCGAGGAGCATTCCCGCAGGAGCAGGATTATGCGATACGCCGGCATCGGTGCTGGAGCTATCGCAGGAGGCACCATCATCGGCCTAACAGGCGGCCTCGCTGCCCCAGCCATCGGCGCAGGAGTCAGCTCGATCCTTGGTTGGATGGGTGTCGGCGGTACTGCCGTGGGGCTGCTCGCGACGGGTCTCGCTGGCTCCTCCGTCGTCTGCGGGGCGGTGTTTGGGGCCTATGGATCGAAGGAGTCAGCAAGAGTCATCAGCCAGTATACGAGGGACGTGCAAGACCTCGCTATCAAACCCGTACACGAACCCAGAGAAACAATGGCCGCTCGCCTATGTGTCACTGGCTGGCTCGACAATACAGAGGATGTAACGGCGCCATGGACTGTATTCAAGGGGGATGACACTTTTGCATTGCAATGGGCAAGCAATCTCATCCTCCCGCAAACCCTCAGCTCGGCTGACTCCCATACTCAGGAAGTAGAAGCCCTGGAGAAGCTCTCTAAGGCTCTCTACGACCTCATGAAGACGCAAGCATTACAGTACATCAAGGGACAGATCATCAGGCGAACCGTCCTCGCCGGCCTTTGGAGCGCGCTCTCCCCCACAGCCTGGACCAAAGCCGCTAAGATCATAGGTAATGTCATGGCGCTGCCCCCGAACTCTCACTAACCCATCACTAACTCGACTACCAGACAACCCTTGGGTGACAGCCAGGAACCTCGCTGAGCGCACCGGCAAAGTCCTCGGGGACCTCCTCGCCCAACGCGTCATCGGGAGCCGCCCCATAACCCTCGTCGGGTACTCCTTGGGCTCCCTCGTCATCTTCGAAGCGCTACAGTACCTCGCCTCTCTGCCTCCGGCGCAGACACTCGGCCTGATTAAAGACGTCTACCTCTTCGGCAGCCCGATCTCGACCAGCGCCGCGCAGTGGGCTGCAGTGCGCCGTGTCGTTTCCGGCCGGCTAGTCAACGGCTACGGCAAGAACGACTACGTGCTCGCGGTGCTCGCGAGGGCGTCGGGGATGAGCTGGCACGTCGCCGGGCTTACGCCGGTGGAGCTGCAGGGCGTGGAGAACGTCGCCTGCGACGAGGTGGACGGGCACCTCAAGTGGCGAGGGATGATCGGACAGTGTCTCGCGAAGTGCAGCGCATATGGCGTCGATCAGGAAGAGGTCAAGAAGCAGCTCGAGGACAAGGCTGCGAAGATAAGCAAAGAGACGGACATGGACGAGAAGGAGGCGACAGAGGCGGTCCAGGCGGGACCTGGGACGGATTTAGAATCCGGGGAAGACAACTCGAAGCCGTCGGCGTCGGCGTCCGTGTAAGATAATGGGTCAAGTAGTCGCACTGGTCGGATATGGGTTTGTGCATCACACTTCGCAGGAACAGCGACATCCTTCAATGTTCAATGATTTATCGATAGCGATGAGTAACGTCCATGAAGCTCGACTAATTGCTAATGTAGTAGTCCGTGACGAGCAAAGTCATATACACAGCGTGCAAGAGCGAAATCCGCTCATCATCGTAGCAATCCCGCAAGAGCACCAAGGTCGTCAATGTTGATGCCAAGACTCTTGAGCAGACCCTGCGTGACACTTCTCTCAATGTATGCACACAGAAGAGTGTCATTTATAACGCACCTCAAACTGTGATGCATCGCTACCCAGGGGACACGCGAAGGAAGCCTTCTGCGTGATCGTCGTGGTGAAGGGGACCAGCATAACCTTGACTCCCACCTGGGGATGGGGATTATTCCACATCAGTAAAGCAGATGTACCCCTGCCGTAGTCAATCATACGCTACCTTGATGTCAATAGTCACTGTGATGTCGGAAGCCGCGGTGTTTGGGTCAATACCACAATGCTTGGCCAAGTCGGTAATGACAGCGCCATTGGGGTCAGACGCGGCTTCATAGTCGATAGTGACAGGGAAGGTGAAATTCGTCTGAGTGTGGTCCTTGAATTGGATGTTCGTCATGTGCCCCGACCCTATCTGGGTGTTGTTGATGGGGTATATAACCTAAGGCGTACGACGTCAGCAGAAGCCGGAGACTGCGCATGTATGAGAAACCCACGGTAGCGTCAAGCTTGTACAGCTCTACGGTGAAGTAGTTCGGGTTGTTGACGCTGTCACATCTGTCAGTACGGAGGCAGCTACGCCCGGAAGGAAGACACATACCTGATGTCGACGGGCAATGCGATACTGATGCTGCTGCTGTTGATGGCAAAGGAGTTCACATCGACGGTGGGCTGGCCGACTATGATGTTAGGTGGGCGGAGCCACTGGATTGTATGAGCATATGAGCCCTGATCGGCGTACGGGACCAAGGGAGAGACTCACTAGTGCGAGAGAGAGCACAATGCTGATCAAGAGGAAGAGGAAGATCATGAGCGTGCAGCAGAAGAACCTGCCGAAGCAGCCAAGTCGAGAGCCCTTCGTCCACAAGTTCCCCTGGTAGTCCTTCCGCCACCGCCGCACGTTACCGGGAGTCCTGAAGCCACAGAGTGAAATGATCAACGAAGATCTGCGTATTGATATGCGACAGACGTACTTCTCGCCTATAGGTGCAGGCACGACATCATCATCGAATCCACTCCTCGGAGTCTCCTTTGCATGTCCCGTGTAGTCGTATGTCGGTTCAGCATACTCCCGCGCAGGCTCAGTGTATCCATGCTGTTGTTGGACCTCGTACGGATTGAAGGGCGCATCCTGATACTGCTGTTGGCCGTACTGGCCGTGCGCGTAGGGATCGTTGTATGACATCACGAACGCTGATTATGGAGGACCTCTTCGTTATAGGTGTGGTCGTGGATGCAGATAGACGGATGGACTAAAGAGGTTTAAAGGTAGAGCAAGCACACAAGAGGTATTGGGGGAGGCGCGGCCTGCGCGATGAGGGATGGGGTGGAGTGGTAATATTGCTGCGGTGCGACACTTGCAGCTGAGGCTGCGGACAGCCCTGACGCAGCCGCCCTTGCCGACATCCGCCAGTCCACTGTGAGAAGGAATGTGTGTAACAATTGTTCAGGGCGCCATTCCGGCAGCGGTACCAGCTGGCTTGCGCATCGCTCCTGAGAATGGCGAGTCGCTTGATCTCACAGGTTTGCAAACCAGGGATGTGCGGGTCGACGCAACCGTTGACCAGGTTTACAGGTATAGTAAACCCGTCGACATGTCGACAAGGTGAACGGTACACTTTCGCACGCTCACGCGCCTGTCGGCGACCCAGCAACTTCGACGTTTTCACCCGTTCGTCTCAGCGCCTAATTCACCCGTCTGCTCGTCCTCCCCGCGGTCTGAGTTGTCGAACTCTCCCCACTCATCCGTTTGACATCAAACATTGCACAACAGTTTCCCAAGCATCTCTGCTATCTGTAAATAATCTCAAATCAGCGCTCCGATCCCTACAACTGTATCACCAACCCACTTTCTTCCACCTACCCTCTCATCTACTCTCGCCGCTCCCCTTTGTCAGTGCAGCAACTATGTATCATATTCCAAGTACTGCACTAGTGAATGCATCTGGCTGGTTCCCCCATGCGCCATCTATTGTCTCCGAAGTCTCTGTAGCGGGCTCTCCATCGGCATCCATGTCCAATATATTCCATACCTCGAGCTCTTCATCTAATGATGCCGTCATGTCGGAATCTTCCCTCCGTTTCTGCCAGTAATGACATGAGAAGTAGAAGAGCGATTCGAGCTTGATTTTGATAACAGAAGGAAAGATCGGGTCGTCCTCTGAATCAGTATCCTCGGACTGATGCTGCCTTACAAGGTCACCGAAGGCTCCATGTGACGCAGTACCTCGCAGGGAACCTGTACATGATGTTGAGCCTGTGATCACCGTGAGATATATACAGACTCTATTACTAATCTTGCTACCTACCTTCGAGAGATTGGAGATGAGTAGCCTCGCTTTCAGCCGAGTTTTGCACTAGTGGTACCGTTGTGCGATCCCCGAAGTGACGCTTGAGGCGTACCTTGACATATTGTTGCGGATATTCTCGTCGCGCAGATGCAAACGAAGCTCTGCAAGGTTCATGAGGGTGGGCAGACCAAGCCGCGTTCGGAGGTCTGTCATGATTAATCCGAGTGCACTGAAAAGAATCCTCACGCTGTTCATTTGCAACACGGCGCTGGAAGCAAGGTTTGCACCAAACCTCAACCTTATCACCGTAGAGAGCCTTCGCGTCGTTCTCGATGTAGCCTGGGTGGTCATAGAAGTGCGTCCGGTACCAGCCTCGCCGGCTGAGGAATGCTGAGTTAGTGGTCTGACGAGCCTCAGTATATGCAGGCATTATGGAGAGAGGCAAAAGATGAACATTGGCTACAATATCTACACAGGTACATGAAGGAGCAAGCAAGCTAAGACATATCGATGAAACGAGTGCGAGACTTGCTGCAATATGAGAGAGACGTCCCAATTTGTCAATTGGATGCGTGCGCGATAGGGCATCCTCCAATCATATCACGTCCATGGGCGTCAGAGTCAGGTGATGGTTCTGCGGGAAAGTTAACGTCGACTTTTGTGCACAAGATGACATCGTCATCTGTTGACAAGTCGACGACAGTCGACGTCGACCGGATGTCTACCGGCACATCGCTGTTGCAAACTTTGAAACGGTCAAGGTCGGCCGAGAGCTACATAGAGAGCTTGACTCGAAGCGCCCAATATTGTCGACGCTGGGCTGAGTGTCTAAAATAAGCTTCAAACGGGGAAATATGCGGATTACGCTGGCTATATGCGCATAGATTGTTGGGAAGTCATTGTCCATTACAACGTACTAACATGAGGAGCTCCAGTCAACATCGGCTTCCAAAGACGTATCATTGACCACAGAGGAGCACCTAGGACAAGCCGCCGCTAGCTCCAGGAACGAACGGCGCTCGCTGACCACCAGACCTAGACGTCGTCAAAGAAGGTGACCTGAATGCTTGACTTGTCGAGCCAGAAGTTGCCATGTTACCAGAACCAGAACCATGGACTGAAGGACGTTGCGCGCCAGAGGGGACGAAGCGTTGCGTGTGCGATTGAGACCCAAACTGAGTGCCAGGGAGGAACATGCGAGGTGTCGCCGGCTGCGCATTGCTCGCCGCTCTGCTCGGAGTTGTTGGTATAAAGCGTTGACTGGAGCTGGACGATGCTTTCGGAGTGGGCGGGGGAAGAAAGGACGGTTGTCGCGACGGTGCTCGCGATGCATCATCGAGCCGTGCAGCCGGTATCTGCGCTCTGGTACTGGAGCTCCAGTTTCCTGGAGGGGGAGGTGGAGGCATAGCTTGCTGATCGTACTTAACAGTTGCTTCTTCTCGTGCCTGCACACGTCTGCTAGATCCAGACTGGAGATGAGAAAGCACAGGTGGTGCCATCGTGCTCTGGCCCTGGGCACTAGTTGGAGCAGCATAAGCATATTGCCTATGCTCAACGTGGGTTAGGGACGCGGTTGTATGATGCTTTAGCAGAAAGGTTTACGCAAGGTTTCGTTGGGATCCAGAAGGCTCACGCGACTGATGGGTCTGACGGGAGTTGAAGGAGGGTTGATGATGGCTTGGGGGAAGAGTCAAGCGATTCGGACCGACTGGTGTCGGTAAGGAAGCTATAGAGCGAGGGCTAGATGTCCTCTGTCCAGCATATCGACTGACATAATGACATAAGTAATCGGATGTACTGCGTAAATTGTGAGACTCACCCCTCGTCGTCTGCACGCCGTCTCTTGCCGCTTTCTATCATGTCTCCGGGCTCTCCTCCCAAGCCTCGTAGCTGTTGCGCAAGATGCTGGTTCTCGCTGCGTAGATCATCAACTAGCCTAGAAGTGGCATATATGAGCGGGACTGAAGGGTGGGAGATATACTAGATGACGGGCGGCAGTACTTTCGGAGGCGCTTGGATTCCGTATGCTCTTCCTTGAGCCGTTCATATAATGGACGGTACTGCAGGTACTTCTTCTTGTAGAACCTGACTAGAGATGCCATCGTGTTCACTTGAAACTAGAAAGAGGTGAAGGTCTACAAGAGCAGCAAGACGCCATATCGCAGCACGTACCCTGAGAGTGTAACCCACTGCGTCAAGAGCGGCGGGTGCAGACTCGAACCAGTTAGACATCGGCGGTTCTAGCTAGAGCGATGTGAACATAGGAGAGCCAGCCGTCTGGACCGTAGGCGCACATCTCTCGACATAGCTAGGACGTGGATCCCCGTGTTGCCGCACTCGGCGCAGCTCTGGTCCGCATCTCAGAACAAAGGGAGATCAGCAAGCCTTGGCACAACACCACACCACAAGCCACAGCTTGAAGAGCTTACTAATATGGGCATTACAAGCTACATGTCCACATTCTGTGATCCAAAAAGGGATGTTGGACAAGGCACCGGACTCCTTGATGTACTCTAGACGGCATATGCCACAGCTGACGAATTCCCAGAAGTCAAATTCCGGAGGTTGGGAGATGTTCGACATGCTGCCGCTGCGTTGCCTGGAGATGCCGCTATTTTGAATTCGTCGGAGGTGGCAATGAAATCAAAACTTTGAGAGGAAGGCACCAGCAAGTGAGAAGAAAGAAGTCGAGAACTGAGGTCAAACGTGCTTCGAGGCCGCCCTTCCCGCGGCTGGGTCGCGTGCTAGACCTGTGATGGATCGCGTTTGTGACAGCGCGAATATGGGAAGCAAATCGTCACGTTACGGTTGGTGTACCACTTGGCCCTGGCAAGTGCGGCTCGCGGCTCTTGAGAGGTATATGAGATGATAGAGTTGTCTTCGCGAATACTTGAGGCACTGGCAAGGCGATATTGCGGTCAAGAAGAGTGTTCGAGCGTGTTGGTGGCCATCGGCGCGTGCTTTGGCGACGGCACCGCCCAGGACTCGACCACATGGGCGCTAGAAGCCGTCAATATCATCCTGACCTCTACCGGCGAACCGACCCCCAGATCTGACCTCTCCCCTTCTCTCGTACCCGGTCCTCTCTCCTCACAGCGTCCACTAGGACGCTGTTGCCTCTACAAGTCTGCTTAGATCATGTCACATGAACGGATGCAGCAGGAGCTACCCCTGGCCGGGTACGACCAACTCAGGCCCCTAGGAACTCCCGCAGCACGCCTGCCCACGCAAATTGTGCCGCCTATCCCCCGCGCGCCGGAGTTCCTCAGACAACCCAGCGAGCAAAGTTCTGGCCTTCACTCTCAAGTCAACGCGCTCGCAGGCCCGTCGTCTAGGCCTCAGGATGTCCCCTTGAACACCGTTTCCAAAGAGAGTCTAGAGCCTACTCTTCCGACCAGCTCCCCAATTCTTCCTGGTCCTACGCCTCCGGACGAACCCAGATCAAATCCTCCACCCCCTCGTATCACGTGCAAAGGATGGAGCGTCCCAGAGCTTTGTGGAAAGTATACCAATTTCCGCGAGGTCCGCAGAGTGAAGGCGTCAGCGCTCTCCGAGGATCCTTCGCAGGTCTTGGACGACTACGAGCGCAAGGGTGAACCGCTTATCGTAGAGGGTTTGCACCAGCACTCGAGTTGGAGAGAGGACATATTGAATATGGAGTGGTTGCTTAAGAACGCCGGCGATAAAGGTACGCTTGCTATGTCCCTTCTACGTGCTGAACAAGCGGAGACGAACGCGTGTTGCAGAGATCCATGTTCGTAACGTGCACAATCGGAAGGATTACCCGACGACCTTTGCCGAGTTCGTCCGTATGTCGCGCGACCAGGATGTGTACAACAGTCCTGGAGGTGGGTAGAGCAATCATTTCAATCCGTCGAGCACTCATTGAATACGCGTTTGTAGAGACACAGAGGCTATACTGGAAGGACGCGGACTGCCCGACCGAATGGAAGGAATGGCTTGCAGAGCTCCTTCCTGCGGAGTTGCTGCCAGGCTGCTCTAGTGATCTCCTTCGTCACCTCTATCCTTCTGTACGATCTACATCACGGATGATACGCATATGCTAAAGTCCCGCTCATTTCACAGGAAGCGGTCGAGTCGCTCATGTGCTACCTCGGCATAGGCGACACTTTCACGGCGGCGCACAAGGACCTGTGCTCCTCCTCCGGTCATAACCTCATGTGCTTCTCCGAGAATGGCGGTTCCTCGTTTTGGTTCATGACCGAATCCAACGCTGCTCCTCAGGCCGCCGAGTGGTTCCAGAAAGAACTTGGTCAGGAGCTCGATTGGGAGACGCACGTCACTACGGTCGATGAACTTGGCAAGGCCCCATTCAACGTGTACATTGCTGAGCAGAAGGTCGGAGACCTCGTTCTCGTCCCGCCGAGAAGCGTCCACCAAGTCGTTAACCAAGGCGGACTGGCGATGAAGACGAGCTGGTCCCGGATGACACTTCATGGGTTGAGAAGCGCTCTCCACCACGAATTGCCGGTGTATCGCAGGTATACAGATATGAATATGTGAATTCCCTATGATATTGACTCCCGCTTTCCAGGGTATGCCGTCCGGAGCAATACAGAGTGAAGACGATTCTGTATCGTACCATGCTTCATCACACCCAACGGCTGCAGTCCGCCGTTATGTCTATGCCGAAAGACAAACAGGAGAACGGTCAGCATATCAAGGACGGTCTCATGCTAGAGTACGGGTCCTCCAGCGAGAGCGGTAGTGATAGGGAAACGTCTACCACACCCTCGCCACAGCCGACGAACGAGGATCGCGCCAAGTCATTGCGTGACCTCATCCAGCTCTTCGACGAGGTCCTTCGGGAAGAGTACGCGTCCTGCCACAAGAAACTCAAACGCGTCATTGGTTCCAGCGATTGCTCCGGCTGGTCGGTGGCGACCGAAGCGTCCACCTCGCGTAAAATCGTGCTTGTTCCACCACGCGACGCGCGCGACCGAACCGAGAAGCATCGCGTCAGCGCGTGCAACTTCGCGTGTGACTTCTGCGGCGCGGACATCTTTCAAAGTTTCTTCGAGTGCCGGGCATGTTCGGCGGCGCCTGAGGAGTGCACGCGGCCAGGGGACGGGTTGTTAATCTGTCCTGCGTGCTATGTCGAAGGACGTAGCTGCGCCTGCGATGGGATGGAGCCCGTGCAGTGTCGGCCGCTCCAGGTCCTCATCGATGACCGCAATCGTGCGGCGGCGGTGTTGCGTGAAGTCGGTAACAATCTGAGCGGAGACGGCCTCGAGGACCTCCGACCAAGGTGTGTCGCTATAGCAAGAAGTTCATCGGCGTTTCTCACCGAACCACAGTGACCTCAAGAGACGGGACGACGTCTGCGTATTCGAGGCTGCTTGCCAGTATCAAACGCGGAAGCAGAACTACGCTGAGAAGGCACGTTTATTATCGTCGAGTGCTACAGTTGCTACGTGCATTACACTGACAATGTTCTTTACCCCGACAGATGCAGACTGAACGGTCGTGCAGGCCTGGAGGCCACGGTTCAGAGCACCCAGTGCCTGTATCTACTACCCTGCCCTGTACAACGTGCAGGATTGCACGATGTTTCCCTCACCTTCTCCGCCAGGGTACCCATGTTGCAGAAGCGATAATCGCGCACGGCAGAGGGGACACAATATATCATAGCACTCATAAAAACAACGCTGCTGCCTTCAAACGCTCCCCTCCGAAGCTTTACGGCGTCCGAGGTAGTAAGGCGAAGCATAGGCTCTTAGACGCCGCGATGAACTTCCCTCGATGCAAGCCTTTACATACCCTCACGAAGGTGGGGTTCTACGACACAGAGACCGAGATGGATTTCGAAGCGGAGGATGACGCGAAACCCGAGGTAGAACCCGAGGTCAGTGATTTCCAACGCATCCACGAGAATGAGCCTGACACATGTGCACAGTTCATCGAGGATTCGTATGCGACCACTCCTAGCTTGATGATCGGGCCACAATTATCCAGGTTGAACATCAACAGCCCCGTGATACACGCGGCATTCGATGGCGAGATGTCACCACTTCCCGAGGAGTTTATGGGCAGTCCTGCAAGACTCAACGTCTCGGCGAACAGCCCAGAGGTGTATGGGGCACCTTCGGGCGATCCATACAGGGCAGATCATGCCTTGAACGGTCAAGAGAAGCAATCACCGTTTTCGAATGGTCCCCAGGAACTCGGCACTTCGTTGAACAACCCAGAGGTCCGCCTTGATGTGTTCGGCGACCCAGAAGAGACTGTTCAGGGTCAATCGCCTTCCGTCTCTCCCACCGTGACCGCCGTCGACACCAGCTCAGAGGTTGAGGTGTCCATCATTGATCCCTCGGGCCCGCCTCGTCTACCGAAGGCCCGCCTACTAATGGCGTATGTAGAGATTTCGCAGAAGAGGTCTTCTCAGAGAAATGCAACGTCTATCTCAGAGGATACCGAAGAAGTGGAGCCCTTGCAGAAGAAGCCACGGTCTGCTCGTCAGGACGCGATAGTAGGAGGGCGCGTCGCAGGACAAGGGAGGTCGGAAAGTAGGGTCACGCCCCCAGCCATGCGTCCGGTAAGTTTGAATACACTATAACGTCTCATCTAGTCTCATCGCTCACGATGGCATAGTCTGCCAGTCACAGAACTCGGTCCAGAAGTCGTTCGGAAGACGACTACGTAGAAGGGGGCTATGGGGAAGACCTCGCATCTGCTCTGACCATGGCCCAAGGTAATAAGGCGCCGATCTTCTCTCAGTCAGACGGCAGGCACCCGTCTGGGGCTCTCCTTCGACGACCGACAACGCTCAAGCGCATTATGTCTCCCGAGTCTGACAGCGGAGCTACGGCACTATGCTCAGAGCCGAGTACCGCTCGTCCTCCGCTTCCTAACCTTTCTCCGGCGTCATCCTCTGCTACCAACCCTCCTCCCAATCCTGTTCCTCGATTACCACGGACTAAACGGTCTGCAGCCCCATCGGAAGACCCTCGCGATCGAAGCAATTCCCGGTCAACGGTCCCCGCTACGTCATCTAGTTCCAGCGCGAAGGGCCCTCGTACACAGAAGCGGAAGAGAGTCAAAGTGCCTGGCGCCCCCACTGATGAGATAGACGATCATCTAGCCACCATGCGATCGCAGCAACAGGAGGAGGGCCATCGCCACAAGAAAGCGCGTCTTGAACAGCACACAGGGAACGAAGACTTAGAGATAATCGAGATCGACGACGAACCTGTTCCAGTCAATGTACCCCGCCCTCAGGTTCTGTCGCAGTCACAGCCAGATATTTCTGACCACGGTCGTCCTCCCTCGCCTCCACGTCGTTCACCACTGCAGCACCCGCCACCTGGGCTGCGCGATCCCGCTTTGGCACCCGCCACAGCTGACCCTTCCGTTGCAGGACCTAGGTCTTCATACAACGTTCAAGCTGCTCTACAGCCCTGTGATTCCGGTCTCGCTCCCATCTCGAACACGCCCCCTCCTCTAGCTGTACTTGCAGGACCTCCTCAACTCGCCAGCGCCGGAGCTCCACCTAGACCTTTCGTTCTTGCGGATCCAATGCAATCGCAGATCGTCACCGACGACAGTTCATCTGTCCCCGACGCTAGTGCAACCGCGGACGCTTCCGCTGTACCCTTCGATCAAATCGTTGCGGACTTAGGGACCCGCGCTGATGCGTTAGCAACGTCCGTCAAGCACGCCGCGGTATACCTCGCTCGCAACACCTGGACGGAGGGGGAAAGACGTCAGCAGGTCATGCAGGTGGTTGCTGAGCTCGATCATCGGTTGACGTTTGTTGAAACCACCCAGCGGAGCGTTGACGAGCGTTGGGGGCGCGATGAGGAGATAGCGGAGCTTCGTGAGCAGCTACGTCAAGCCAAGGAAGATATGGCCGAAGTACGCCAGGAGCTTAAGAAGGAACGCGCCGAACGCGCCCATATTGCGGCAGAGGCACGCGCTCTCAAAGCTCGGCTTGATCGCTGTGTTGAAGCAGAAGACGTCGGGAATGTGGTGGAAGCTCAGATATCCCGAATGATGCCTACAATGAGGAACTCCGTGAAAGACATGGTACAACAAATCCACGACAACTATGTGACACAGCAGCTACAGCAGGCGAACTTCTTCCCAGTGCAGCATGACCAGAAACCAATGGCCTTCCCTCCACGAGATGGATTCGCATACCAACCTCCCCCGCAGGTGAACGAGTCGAGATATCAGGTGCGCTTCCAACTGACTTCGTTCACAAAAGACTTGGATGCTAACCAAAAATCAGGACCATCGTGGCCAGTCTAATCACCCACGCGGCAGGCAGCAGCATCCACGTGTGCAACTCGAGTCCTCGTTTCCCAATGGGGGCCTCTCGTCTCACCACAACCCCGGCCAGCACCACCATGGCAGCGGGGGCGGGCCTTCCGGTCACGGTGGTCAATTCAATTCCTCGGATTACTGGCAGCAGAGTGGTGATCGTTTCCGTGCCAATTCCGTCAACAACTGGTCCCGTCGCACTTTCAGTCATCCACAGGGTGATGACCGCCACTTTGGCCGCGACCACCGTCAAGGCGAGTCTTTGTTTCTCCACGGGAGTCGTTACCAGCCGGAGTCTTCTCGTGACAATGAAGGAGATCTTGGCCATCATGGGCGGCGCATCAGCGAGCACCCCTCAAGTCAGTCTCGTACATCTACCTGCAAATGATTCGACGCTGACTGCTCTTCCACAGCCCGTCCACTTCGGCACCGCTCCCCATCTACGACACGAAGTCACCACTCCGGGGACACGGACCTTGAACGGCCGTCATTCATCCGTCAGTCTGAGGATTCCCTGCACAATGGGGACAAGGCCCGCTCCATGGCATCCATCGGGTCCATCGAGGAATATACGTCAGAGAAGTCTCAACTCTCTCCTTCGGACATACAAGGAAGTTCCTTCACCCAAAAAGGTAGGCCCTTCCTACAAAACTATAGCCGGCACCATTGTTCAGTTCACGCCTATAGAGAGCTACAGCCATCTTCCGTCAGGCGACCACCTCTCCCGACGCCGTTCCCGGTCGCGGGATCGTCACCAGTCCAGCCGCCGTTCACCGTCGCGCTACCACTCGCAGCGCCCCCCTTCCCGCTATCGCTCTCAGCGTCCCCCGTCCCGCCTCTCCTCCCCACATGCCACCAGCGTCAGCGACGCTTCAAGCAAACCCAGCACTCGCGCCGGTAGTAGGCCTATCCGCCAGTAGTCGAGCCACCAGCCACTCGTCGTACTGTAGTTACCATATGCTTATCCTTGTCTGTTGCGTTTACCTCCACTAGTGCTACTATCTACGGAGGATGATTGCATGCATGTGTATTGCCAGAACTGTACTACTACTATCTGCAATTTCGCCCTAACATCGGGGCAGCCTCTGAATGTATTAGCTGATTACGCGGGAATGTATTCGTAAGCGTGAAAGGGTAGAAGAGCGCGACAGTACGCACGCGAGAGAGTGGATAGCGATGGTCATCGTATAGGTGGGACGTGGGTGGTGCGGTGAATGAGATGCATACATGGCAACTGGAGGTGTTGACGGTGAGCGAACCCAATAGACGGAGAAGTATTGCGGGCAAAGGTATCGGCCAATGACTTGAGAGGGAAGAGCCAACAGCAATGTAAACGATGGAGGTATTGAGCGAGAGACAAGGAAACACCATAAGGAAGCGACCCAATACGTAGCCAAAAATCCAGCAGAATAAACCAAGCCTATGACCAAACTGTAAGGACAGGACGGATGAGTTGTGTATGCGTAACGAGGCGTAATTGGCGTGGCAGGGCATGTTATGCGCCCATTGCTCATCCACATCGACATGTCAGGATCTTCCAGAGAGTGCTCTTAGGCGGCTCAGCCTCTTGCTGCCCATGGTGGTCATCACCGTTCGCGACGCCCACCTCGCCGCCCACCGCACGGACGTTGCTCAGGGCAGGCGGCGCAGCACCGACGCTCGACACCATTGGCGACGCACGGCCGTATGGCTGCTGGTTGGCCGAGTACTCGTACGTGTCGTAGGCAGCGTTCGCGTACGGATGTGAGCCGCCTTGGCTCAACCTGTGCTGGGCCACCGGAACGTTGACTTGCGCTTCCGCAGACATGTTCGGAGTGCCGCCGATGCCGGGCGTAAGAGCGCCTGGATGCCGTGACTTCGAACCGGCGCGGACAAGAGCCGGCGAAGGGGGGATGACGGGGTTGCCCGCCTGAGATGCGCGTCGACGATCATCGCGGTCTGCCCGGCCGGTTCGACGAGAATCGTACTGCTGCTGCGGTGTTGCCGGTGTGTTCTGTATTTGCGCGAGAATCTGGTTCCCGCCGCCCTAGAATGCCAAGACAGGCAGGCGTCAGCATAAACCGTATCGCCCTCGGGGACGTTGGACAAGAAGACACGGGGTCTGTTCGTACCATTGACGCTTCCCAGCCTCTTCCACCTGACGCAAACGGCAAATTTAGTCCCACTTCTGACACGTTCGTGGAAGTCACCATGCGCCTCACCATTCAATAGGTTCCAGTCGTAAACGCCATCTTCGACATCGCCATTGTTCTTCAGAACCTTGGCGAACAGCTCTCGGAGGAAGTCGTAATCGGGCGTCTCCTCGAAGCCCAATTTCCGCACATAGTTGAGATAAATGGCAAACTCCTCTGCGAGTAGTTGGTCTAGTCGGAAACCGAGGACAGGTGCAATAGCACGCATACACGTACCAGGGAAGCCTTCGCACAGCTCCTTGATCGGTGTGGTCTGCTTCTTCTCACCAATCTTCTCGTACTTCTGCTTGTTCGTCGCAGCCTTGAGGCCTTGCCATGGCAGGCTCCCGCGGAGGAAATACATGAAGACATGGCCGAGGGCCTCGAGATCATCCCTGCGTGATTGCTCTGGAAAAAAAATATGCTGATTCAGACATCAGGGCCATCAGCCGCAATGATGCCAAAGACGCACCGCGACCCAAGTGAGTGTTGATACTCATGTACCGCGCGGTTCCACTCAGACTCTTTCGTTCCCGGTACGGGATGTGCTGCTTCGTCTTGGGGTCTCGATATTGCTTGGCCATACCGAAATCGACGACATGGATCACTAACGATCCAGCGAGTCAATCACCACAGACATCCGAGTGCGCACGTGAAACACTGCACTCACCATTCGCATTCTTGGTGCCCGGGCGGCCGATCAAGAAGTTGTCAGGCTTGATGTCGCGGTAGATGAGGTTCTTCTCGTGGACCGTTTGTATGCGGGTCAGCTACGCACGGTAGAGGGCGGGCGGGTGCGCCACGATTAGCCTTGCGCAGTCGCATACACTCAGTTCCGGTACGCGAAAGGAGCACGCACCATCTGCCTGGCCGCCATGCACACCGTCTTTATCGAGAACTTCCTCCCGCACATATCAAAGAGGTCCTCCAAGCTCGGACCCAGGAGATCGATGACGAGGATGTTGTGGAGGCCTTCCTGACCGAAGTGGTATATCTGCGGGATGCCAGCTGCACGCCGGGGGCGCCCACGAAGAAAGGCACATTTTGAGCATGAAGCGCAGCACAACGGAATCTGGAGAGATGCTACGCACGACAGCCGGCCAGGATGCGATACGAGCGACACTCATCGCGCAGCTGAGGTGCCTCTGCTTTCCGCGGCTCCTAGAGCGGCGAACCGATAGGGCGGCAATGGCGATTCGAACGCAGCGTCGGGGGGATCACGAGAAACCGACAGGGAGGGGCGTCCGTTAGCACCGCAAACCCAGACCGCGCCAGGGTACGAATAAAGGACACATACGAATTTGATGGCGACGGTCTGCGAGTTGAGCAGATTCGTGCCTACGCAGAGTCCAGCGAAACGCAATCAGCACACATCACCTCACCCCTACGCCACGTCGCGCTGTCCCTGCGGAGCGCAGGGTGGCCCTCGCGCGCGGACACACACCTTCAAAGATAACCCCGAACGAGCCCTCGCCAATCTTCTTTCCAACACGGTAATGGGCACCGACCACGTTGTTGGATGAGGAGGAGTTATGAGACGACATGGTCGGGGGCGTCGGCGGGGCTGTGGAGGAAAGGGGGACGGGGGATGGGGGGGGGGGGAAGGAGAGGGCGTCGACCGGGGCTGGAGAGCCTGAGGACGGAGAGAGCTGCGAGCGCGACGGTGGCCTCTCGCCTCTCTCGGCACTCCCCGATTCGCTTGCCTCTTCCGGCCGTCTCCTTGGTTCACCGTCCCCTCGGCTGAGTCCAACCCCGTCACCAAGTCCACCACATGGCCCTCTCGTTGGTAGGACGCTAGAACAGAGTGGCATTGCAAGGTCATACAACAGCTATGTAGGAACTACGGACAGGCACCAAACTAAACAGATAGTACAGGGAGATCGCGGGCAATGCAACTGGTATGAATGGAAGTGGCGTTAGCGCGGCTACCATAAGTCGTGAGCAAGGGAGCAGCTGGTCCGGCGGGGTTTCAGTAAATGCAGAGGGGGGGACAGGTAGCGCCGACGGCGCCGACGAACACGTAAAGGTTGCGTAGCCGCGGGACAGGTGAAGTAAATGGAGGAGTAGGAAGCGGCCTGGCCCAGATGCCTGGGATCCAGAGGTATGCCGACCCGCGCGGTGCTCGCGGCAGCTTTTACTGTTGCCCGGCGAGCATTACGGACGTCGGCGAGTGAGATGAAGCTGATCATCGGAACTCGAAGCACGAGCTCGTGTGCTCTGGAACGTGAACGAGAGATAGCTGCTGGTACCTGGATGGGAAACAGTCTCTCAGTATCGGAAGCACACAGAGATCCGAGGACGCTACACTTACGGCTCAGAATTCTGGTGGAAGTAGAAGCCACTCATCGTTGCCACATTGGACGGGATTCCCCGCGAAGCGGACCGACCTGCTCTGCGGGCCCCCCGCGTCACGGAGATGCGTCGAGACCTGGAGGGTGTCTCGGGCTTCGTTGCATGTGTCATTGTCGGTGACGTTGCCATCTCTACGTTCTCCTCCACGGGGGACGGGAGCTGCACTGCGCCTGACTGCTGGGGATTGAAGTCCACACATACATAGTAGAATCCTGTGCAGCCAAAGCAAAATATGGTCAGATTGCAGTTCCAATGATGCCTCCTCGGAAAAGCCGATGTCATGGAAGTTTGTCCTACGCAAATGGACGTGTTTGAAAGACAGACTGGTAAGATGTCACTCACCAGCAAAGCTCGCGCCATTGATGTCCTGCACGCGGTGGTCAGGGACGAGGAACTTCTCCTTCCAGCGCATGAACACCGCGCCACGATTGAGTGCATCCTGCATCGTCAAGTGAGGCTTCTTGAGCTCATTCTTGACGTGTCGGAACGCAGGGAATCGCGCCCAATGCACCATGTCCTCCTGCTCGTTTGCTCCCCAGTTCCGCGTCAGGAAACCATACCGACTGCCGATGATTTCGGCGTCGAAGTAAGTAGTAAGCTCGGGCCAGTCGTCCGTCAGACCACGGATTCGGAGGTATCCGCACAAGTGTGAAGAGGAGAAGTCGACGTCCTGGCGGGGAGACATCGGTCAAGACTCTGAATGAGTCGGGTAAATGGTTGGATGTACGCACCACGATAGTGACGTTGACGTCGTAGCTATTCCTGCCACTCTTCTGCGTTCCCTGGAAAGTGGCGCCGGGGTATAGGCAGTGGTGACCTTGCGAACGCACTCGCAGGCGGGTGATATCCAACAGCGGGTCCAGACCAGATGAGGATGATGCATGAGAACGTTGGCGGTAGCCTGTTTGCGACGCGGAGGCTAGCTCGGCGCGCCGTATGGTAGGCGTCTGTGACGAAGAGGGGGGATTGCTCGTATCGATTGGGGCAAGAGTCGGGCGGGTCAGAATGGGGGAATTGAGGGTGGAGGAGGGAGGTCGAGGGGATCGAGGGATAACAGTGGCAGGTCCAGAAGAGCTTGTTGAAAGCTCGGTCGCGAGCGCAGCTACAGTCGAGGCGCGCGGAGCCGCGGCAGGGACCTCCATCACTATATCCTGTGGCGACGGACAATGTTCAATAGTCGGGGGACTCGGCGAGACGGCGGAAGGGGCAAGCTCGTGGACCTGCTGTGGTGCCTCATTGCCTGCAGGCTGCAGTGATGCGGCACGGCGCAAGAGTTCCCTCTCCACTTCGGCAAACAGACCTTCCCGGGCGGGGGGTGCAAGTGGAATGCGACACGAGGCGCATACAGGGCTGGCCTCCAAGCTTACGGCGTCGTTTGTGTCATGTCCGTGAAGAGAGAAGGGTGTGCTGGCCGCTTCGGCGGTAAGAGGACAGCGGCAGGCGAGACAAAGCTTGACCTGTGACTGTTGAGGGTCTGGCTGGGGAGGGTCGTGTAGAGAGGTCGTAGCATGTTCGGCAGGCATTGTAAAGTGGGATGGCAGGAGACAGGAGGGTCGCTGGCGGGGCGGAGAGGAGGTGGGAGAGGAGAAGAGAGAAGTGGAGAGTGTGGGAGGGGGCCGTCGCTTCTGACTGAACACCCTCTTCAGCAATCGCCAGTCACTCCCTCACGCGGCAATCAGCCCCCTCCGACTCTTCTTACGCTCACGACGAATCTACAACACAATCATTCCTTGGATTCGCAGCCAGAGGCACCGGTCGCGCGTCCAGGCCTCCGTTCCCCGCACACAAAAACATATCCGCCGCGGGCGCCGATTACTGTTGTCCTTGCGCTCCGCATACGATCGCAGGGGCGCACTGCCCCGCCGTCGCTTGCTTCACGACTATAGCGCTCTATGGGACTGCTATGTTGAGCTGGATGCGGTTCGGCCCCCTCCAGGCAGGCTTAGCACCCAGCCATGTACCAGTTGACCTCCATTGACCGCCCGCCTAGTCATCAGCGTTCCAAGCTCCAGATCGTCTCTTCCCAACAGCGAGGCATGCCTATCCCCCATCCAGCCTCGACCGACCCAAACACGGCGCGCCAGCTCAAGCCTCCGTCCCGAAGAGCGAGGATGCTCTGCGCACGAATTGGGCGAAGAGGGCTGCTCGGGCCTATGTCCGGCTATCCGGATATCGCCCTCGTTCGCGACGTCTGGGAAGTCGATACGCCCCGAGCAAGGGCCATCCGAGCGTCCGAGACTCTAACGACACGCTCCTAGGCTCAGGGCCGCCCCTCATGCTTCCGCTTCTTCCGGCGGCTGCTTCCCCTTCCCCTGGGCACTGTTCCAAATACCCCCGTCTCCGCCATTCCTGCTCCCGCAACTGTGCCCGCTGGTGGTAGACCTCCGGAGCGGGCCTCCCACCTATTCTCGGGCCTTTCAATGGTCCCGCTCCGCGGTCGCTCCTGATTGTCGGATGTCGCCCACTAAGGACTCATCGCAGAGCGTCCTAGACGACGAATGAATCAAACGCAATCTGTGTCCACTGACCGGTGCAATCACCGATCTAGACAAGCCGCGTTCCCGGGCCCGCCTCTACTGTACAAGTCGCAGTGGAGGTACGTACGAGCCTCGTGCGGACCATCGCGAACATCAAACTGATGTCGGCATGGTGGTATGTAGGTGTGTGGCTGAGATCTAGAGAGCACTGGAGGCGATCAAATCTGACAGACGCCATGGTCCGTCGCGCGGACCCCACACGTTTAGCGCCGTTTGAGCGCCCGGAGGAACTTTCCACTAACCACAGTGCTCTTACCGCCTCGAGCGGTGATGTGGCTGGCCTATATGCGCGGCGCAATCATGCAGATTGCGTCACTGCCTGCGTCGAGTACTATATCACCGACAGGGTCGTCGGCCCCGATCTGGGAGCGTACGGCGGCAAATGGGGGCCATCGGCGAACGTGATATGTCCCCCGTGTTTCGACAGTCAGGTGAATCAATCGTTTGGCAGCGGACGCTCGAAGCTCGACGCAGCTGTCTCCCTTTGTCTCTCTGCTCGCTTATCTGCCTTCTCGAATCAAGTCGCCTGCCTACACCCGTCCCGCCCTGCACCAGAGCGGATCCGAGGTGTCATCCAAGCTCGGCACGCAGTCACCGTTGCCGCCTTCGCAGGCTCATCCTCTCACAGCAGACGTGCAGAAACATGTCCCATCTCCACCGGACCGCCACCGGACCCTGCATTCCCACCATATCAGGGTCTGGCGTGGCAGGATTTGCTGGGGCCCATCGCGGTCAGACTGGTTTGTGTGCGGGATTGCCGATCGTTGTGGTCGCGGGACCGTGTGGATGCGCAGGTGAACTCCGCTTAGACGCGAGGACGTCAGTCCGCGATGCCGCCACCCGGTGTTTTCACGTCCCCTTGTGCTACCTCTCATGTCACTCAAATGCGGTACCTTGAGATGGTGTCTCGATAATCATTGAATAACGTTGGTGGACCACGCATTGTGCCCGACGCCACAGGGATACTCGGGGGGTTATAATTGAAGCCAATGCGAGTATGGGTTGCGATATGCAAGGAACCGTTGATACAAGACAATCCGCCCCGGGCCAACCAGAACTATACTACGACACTACTACCCATGAAGAAAGTGACGATGAGGCACGGACATTATTGAAATCGTAAAGCGTCATATAGTGTCGAATGCGCGATGGTAGCGCGAGATCATCCGCGGCGAACATCTATGCTGTCTAGTATGATATACAATATGTTGTGGTGTCGCGTGTCGTTATCAGCCATTCAACTCACTCGACCAACCCTCTCGTAAAGCCACCAAACAATGCGCGGTATCACCATAACCCCTGTAGCAGAAACATGCACCGATCAGTTGTCGGAACCCTTCTCGTTCTTCTCGTCGCTCTTCTCATCGGAACCATGAACGGTACCCTCCGTCGCGGCGTCGTCGCGAGACACGGTCTCGACGCCAGCTGCGGGCGCGGCGGCAGACAGATCTGTCGGTGCCCGAGACTCGATATCTGCCGCCCTGGATTGCGGCTCGTCTCCAGCCTTGCGCACCACGCGCTTGAGCGTGTACGCGCGGAGGAAGAGCACTGTGCGAAACGCGCCAGCATCGTCAGGAGAGCCAGTATCTGGATTGAGGCGGTGTAAACATACCGAGGAAGAACCCGACACCCATGACTGGGGTGTTGACAAGCCAGATTGTGCTGATAGATTTCGTGTAAGCGTGTGTCAATGCTACTCGCTCAGGTATGTTCTGCGCAGCGCAAGGGTGCGTCAGAGGCTATGCGGACAATACAGCTAAAACGGGTCAACGCACCGATAGGTGTGGGATTTGTCTGACAAGGTCAGTCAATGACGCTGGGGAGGTGTCGATTGTGAGACCAGGTATCTTTGCAACACGTCGGCGCAATTCCTGTAAACACCAAATCAGACAACTGCTGGACGCTTTCGGAATAAGGGTGACATACGCTAGAGATAATGGCTTGTCCAACAGAGATACCGACGGTACCACCGATTGTCCTAATCAATACGAATGCAGCAGTGCTCGTCGCCATGTCCTTTAGGGGCATCGCGGCTTGAAGAGCAATCAGCGGGGTCTGCACATGTGATGTCGTTTAGTCTGGGTGTATTCAGAGCAGACTGAAACCGTAAACCAACCTGGAACAGACATCCGATGCCAATCGCGGCAATGAGTGGATACACCTCCCGTTCAGCGCTAAGACCCATGGTTAGACAGAGCGCAGGTATGAACAACAGACGCGCACTTATTCGCGGTATCGTCAAGCATTATCATGAGTCCCCAGCCAAGGGTCATGATAGCCCAGGAAATCCACATGACGGGCCGCCACCGCCCTGTGCGAGAGACGATCTGGCCGGAAACAATAGACATTGCGGCGGAGCCGAGAGAGAACGGAAGCATCCTGCATGTCGTGCATGAGCACCTCGTCATAAAGGGTATTTACGGAGACTCACCGGACGCCGGCATTGGTAGCAGAAGAGCCGAGGACCTGGAAGTATACCGGCAGGTAGTATGCGCCAGCGAAGAAACCGAATCCATGCAAGAACACGGAAATTAGGATGAGCGCTGTTGTACGCGTCTATGTTTGACAAGCTATGGTAAGGCATCGCCTATAAACGAATGGGAGGACGCGCAAACCTTGAACAGACGAGGCGGGATGATGGGGGACCGCTTCGTCAACAACTCGTTCGCTGACGCGGCAACCAAGAGAACGACTCCGATGACCAGGGGAGCGATACACTCCGGAGTGTCCCCTAAAATATGGCTCGATTATCAGACAATCAGCTCGTCCTCTTGAATGAAATAACACACACAGCTATTTTCGCTGAAGTTGAAGCCGAGCAGAATTAAGACCACCCCAGCAATGAGCAGAGCAAGCCCGAGGAAGTCGAATTCCCTGGCGTGCTCCCTCCAGCTCCTTCCCTGATGTGGGTTCAGGTTCAAGAAGAGGAACAGGAGGAGGAATCCGACACCGCCGGTGGGTCTGAGCAAGTCTCTACTGTCAGCACATATGATACTCGGATGACAGGCTAGGAGGCCCTTACAGATTGATGAAGAAGCACCTGTCGCAATCAATGGAGCAGTTAGCACGGGTCTAACCTGTAAAGTAAAATCATGTTGAACGTACCATCGCCAAGTAACGTGGTCAGTAAAAACCTGTGTGGACTCCGCGTCAGCCTTCGAAGTAGCTTATAAAAACATGATATCCGTACACCACCAAGCAAAGGGCCTATGACGCTGTTGAGCAGCGTTAGCCCCTTCCTGTCAAGCCAAACATGCGATAATCACCTGGCAATCCCCCATGTGGCACCGATATATCCTCCATACTTGCCACGACTGTAGATCATTAGCGACTGCGGGAAATGCCAAGTAGGCGCGCTGGACTCACTCCTGCAATGACACGATATCCGAGATAGTGATTTGGACCAATTGAATGATCCCACCGCCTCCAATACCTTGGACCGCGCGGGCAACAACCAACCATGTCATGTTTTGGGCCGCACCGCATAACGCGGAACCGAGCTGGATGCTCAATATCAAATTCTGGGGTGGGTCACATAAAATGGCGTGCTTACAAGGAAGATGGCGATGGAGGTAAACAAGATTGGTTTACGGCCTACAGGTAGGCTGCATGTCAGTGCGCTTGTAAATACACTCGGAGTGGAACCACATACCGATCAAGTCGGACAATTTGCCGTAGATAGGGGACAAGGCGGAGGACGCCAGGAGGTACGCGCTAGAAGATGCGCGTGAGCACGAGAAACGAAGAGTGGGGGTCTTGAGAACGTACGTCCCAACCCAACTGTAATCCTTGCCGCCACCAAGTTTCGCTACGATAGTTGGCAGAGCAGTGGCAACGATCGTCTATAGTATGATGTCAGCGTGCGCCAAGCAAAATGTAGTAATACCACATACCTGATCCAAGGCAGCGAGGAAGACACAGCACATCAAGCCCGGGAATACAAGCCTCATCCGGTTTTTAGGAAGAACAAGCTCTTCACCTTGCTTCCAATGTTGGACCGGTTTTTCTTTCCTTCCCTTTTCCAAATCCGAGGAGGCACCAAGTGCGGGAGCGAGCGCGGGCGCAATAGGGGACGCGCCCTGGTCGTACTTCTCCGAGGCCATCATCTCGCCTTGAATGGGTTGAACGAAGGCGGATTTCACCAATAGCGCAGAGACGCAAGAGATTGGTGCCAGAGAACAGCAGCGGCCGCGGTCAAGAGCGGGGAGAAATGCAGCGAGCTGAGGATGATCGTACCCCAGCTTTCTCTGGGATATTATAATGATGAGAACATCTGTGACAAATCTGGCGCCCGCATTCCCTCTTGCCGAACCGCGAGGCCTGCTCGCGCCGAGATGCCGCACATAGGACCGTCCGAGGATCACGATCATAACTGAGCGATGTTCGCACCCTACCTCATCCCAGTCGTGCAGGTATCCACCGCCAATCCAACGCATGCATACATGCGAGATGCACAGTTGCAATTCTTCAAATTCCCGCCTACGGCACTGCAGTGGGTCATGCACTGCTTTGCCATGTTAGCTCAGCAGCCGAAGCTAGTGCTTGCCGTGTGATGCAATGCACTTACGAAATGCCCCGGCAGCCGGGCTATGTGAGCGCTGTGAGAAGTCGCTGTGGCTTGCTCTCCTCCGCTTTGATTGGTTTGTCGATGTCCCAACGTGGGTGAGAATCTGGACCGGCGGACTATCGATTTCTTTCATTGGCTCTTCCTGCTCGATCTCCGCGCGCCGGGTTGCGTATTACCTGTGCGTACGTGCACTCGAGTTCTCAAGTTTGTAAGGTTTCTTGCCTTTTCCTCCATCGCTTTGACACGTCCGCTCGCCTCGGACTGCACTCAATCCGTTCAATATCGGAACGCGTGTGTTAGCATGGACCGTGCTTGTTCTCTAGTCACGTACTGTACATGTGCTGTTTTGGCCTTCAGTAGTGCCTTCATCGCATACTGTCTAGATACTTCACAAGTCTCACTTGTGAACCGTCCGCGGCATAACTTACTTATATCGATGTCATCAACACGACTGAAGTGATAGCATTCGGAATCCAGTACCCATCGAGACTCGTCTCTGCAGCGACGTCCGCATTCATACGTGTGTCGTATTGCTCCTATCCAATTCTCATGCACGAGGACAACTGACGGCCTTCCGCCTCCCAATGACGTCAACTGGACCTACTTAGTAGAAACAACATGAACTACCTGCACGACTTTTGGGACCAGATGATCTGGTGAGTCTGCTGGTTGCACACACTACACGTGTCCTTAGTGTGTTCATGAATATTGATATGTTATTCGGACGAGACACAGATCGACTCAACCTGAGTATGTTTTTACAGGCGCATACTTTGCATGCTCTCCGGGTCAGGATCCTCGTCTCGATGTTTCCTTGCATCTCGGCGACTGTTTGTGTGCTCTAGAGCTCTGCCCATCGGGCACACACATGTAGTTCCTGCCGAACCACCTCGATTATTCATCTCAGTTCCATCACTTGCTTTCCGCATGTGATGTCCCTGCTCCAGTATATTACAGTGATTAACCAGTCCTTGGGACAGTCGGTTTTGGTCCCCGTATTCAGTCGGCCCCTGTCACTTTTGTTCCGATATGGAGGAGGCATATCTGTGTGGTATCGTATGATGTACCCTCGGCTGTATATGTTCGTTAAAGTGGGTATGAAGCAGATCGAACCAGTTGTCGTGAACTTTCGGGCCTTACTGCGCCTTGCATAAGTCCGTGAACGGTGAACGTGCGGATTTTTTTCTCTTCGGCGTCTACACTACCCGACCTGCCTAAACAGGCCATATCAGCCTACAGGACTACGAGTCCATGACAGGGCGTCACGGCCTCACTGAAGGGGCGTTGGTAGACCACACGCGTACCCAGGTAGATGAGGTATGGATATGGGTGCCCGGGTACTTTCATGTCTGTATTTCAGCCCCTTTTGGTCCTCCCTGGGGATCCTGTACCCTGATTTGAACGGGAGGTACCATAGTCAAGGTGCAGTTGACATGCCTGAGTCAGTGCAGAGGCTTCGACATGCCTTGTGACACATCCTCGACGTATCTCATTCACGATATGCACATACAGCGCTCAGGCACTAGGAGCAACTCGAATCTGACCGTACACAATGTCACAAGTCATGTATTAATTGGAAAGGGCCCAATTCACTTCTCATGCAGTGACTATGCTGCCCCTCATGCAAGCTATCTCCGCGCACCATAAAAACTGGATGACTCCGAGTATGGCCGAGTCTACTGGATTCATTGCATGCTCACCCTTCAAGCTTCACCTTCAAGCTTCAAGTTGGGAATGCCGATGCCAGTCCAGCGAGCGGACTCAGCGGGGAGCTCTGCCATGCTTGTAACCGTGATGTAGCCTGTTTAGGCAGGTCGGGTAGGGTAGACGCTGGAGAGAAAAAAATCCGCGCGTTCACGGACTTATGCAAGGCGCAGTATAGCGGCCCCATGAGTGGGACGGCGCTTCATTTCCTTGAGAGCGGAACACCTCTTGCCGACCTTGGCCGAGACCCGATATAGGCAATTGACATCTAAACGCCTGTCCCAACAAGCGAGCGACCACTTGTCCTGCTATTTCAACGAGGGTCAGGGCCTTCCCTCGGAAATCATCGCCTCAAAAGGCTACGTAGAGGAAGGTATGCATATAATGTTGATTTATAGCGATTTTGAAGGGGATCTGTCGTTATAGTCTTAACATATGATGCCGTGAATTATATACACAATTGCTTTTCTTCGGAAATCCTCTGCAGCAATCAGGTAGTGACTTCACGAATCAGTCTGCTGCTGTTATCTCCCGGAGTATGGCAGATACAGGGTTGTCATGTACATATGTGCATTATTATTGGCTAGTGGAGCCGGAGGGGAGCGGCAAAATGTGCAGTGTCCCAAGGACCGATCCATCACTGTAAGTATCTCTCTACGATCATTACTCCGCGGAGTCGCCGCGACTTTTGCTCTCAAAATGGATAAGGAGAACGAAAAATATCATACTCACTTACTGATGGTCTTTGTTGAGACGATTTGTCTTGGAGGTCCGCAGACAGCCAAAGGATGTATGCCAGTAAAATCCACATGGGGCTTGAAGATGATCGCGATTATCTAATGACACGATTACGTAAAGCAATATCTTCAGTCTTTCTTGTAGCCTCACCTCATCCGGCGCGGATACTTCTCCTTCTTCCACCACCACCCCCACCTACAAACGTGAAATGTCTGAGCAGCAGGCTACCATCCCTACGTTCAAGCTCGTACTTGGTGCGCAATCAATGTCCCTAGGTATCACCCTGCAGTTGTGCTAACGAAAACTTTGCATGTTCGCCCAACTATCTTGATCGATGTCTGTGCCACATCCTCATTTTCGTGTCTTTGACGACCGAAACTGTGCCTCGCTTCCCGTGCAATGCGATACGACGTGATGGGGCATAGTCGGAGATGGAGGCACTGGCAAAACCACCTTCGTCAAGGTATGTCCCAGCATATGTCCCGTTCAATATATCTCGATCGTGTGCTGATCTTTCCCCCTCATTAGCGCCACTTGACCGGTGAATTTGAGAAGAAGTACATCGGTGAGCACAGTAGTGGTGTCATGCACCACATCATCGAGTACATGGCTCCTGATCGCGCCACCGCCGCTGTACGTAGCCACTCTCGGAGTCGAGGTCCACCCTCTCTCTTTCTCGACCAATTTCGGCACGATCTGCTTCAACGTCTGGGATACCGCGGGTCAGGAGAAATTTGGCGGTCTCCGCGACGGCTACTACATCCAGGGACAGTGCGGGATAATCATGTTCGACGTCACCTCCCGCATCACGTACAAGAACGTTCCCAACTGGCACCGTGATCTTGAGCGTGTCTGTGAGAACATCCCCATCGTTCTCTGCGGTAACAAGGTCGACGTGAAGGTGCGTGGTGTTATCATAGCCGTCAGCGGCTCTATGAGTACTGACGGCCGTTGCCTTATCTGGTACTTTGTGCTGCAGGAGCGGAAAGTGAAGACCGGCAGCGTCACGTTCCACCGCAAGAAAAACATCCAGTACTTTGAGATCTCGGCGAAATCGAACTACAACTTCGAGAAGCCGTTCCTCTGGCTCGCGAGGAAGCTCGTTGGGTGCGTATAGCTACTCATTGGGTCTGGACTATACCGACTCTCTTTCACCCGCACAGCAACCCGTCGCTGGAGTTCGTCGCTGCGCCCGCTCTTGCGCCGGCGGAGGTTCAGGTCGACCCCGAGCTCATGAGGAAGTACGCGGAGGAGCTTGCGCAGGTCAGTAACCTTCCCTGCGATCATACAGGACTGTTTCTTATCATCGTAATTCTCCCAGGCCGAGGCTGTTCCCTTGCCAGAAGAGGACGACGACTTGTAATTCTACGCATTCACGACTCTTTATCATGCCCCTGCTACCCCATCTGTCTCTTTCATACGTCCTGTATCCGACACTGTTCTAAGTACAAGTACAAAGCTCATCGCATCATACCGGAGTAACCATGCTCCGAACCCGCTGCTACGAATACGCACCCCACCTTGTAGAAGTTGTCAGTTCGTTGTCGGTGGTCGCTGTATCGAATTTATGTTTCCAAGCAGCCATACGTATATACACGGAGAAGCACATGTCAATTCATCAAATTCTGCGCGTTATAGGTAAGTTGCGAAGTCAGGGGCAAGCTAGTGGGGAACACTATCGAGCGGCCTCCGATGGGAAACAGCTAGGCTGCCTACCCATCTGAGTCTTGATGTTCGCATAGAAGGAGTTCCACCCCTTGGTGCTCGTCAGGACGGGACACACAGGCAGCCGGGGATGAAGGATGCCCTAGGTCCTTTTCGCAAAACTATCAGCGAGCCCACAGCACTGGACAGTGGACTAACGACCAAACCTTTTTCCCCTGTATAAAAACAACACGAAGTAGGGAGGATCGGAATTGCTGGGCATCTAACATCAACCTAACGGCGCGGCCCACCCTGTGCGCTGGACTTCTGAGTGCTCGATCGAAAATGAGTAGGAGATCTGAAGAGATGTGAAGAGATCGTTAGGTTGGTAAGTGAATCGGAGTGCTGCTGAAGACACCGTGTGTACATGTACATGATCGATGTCGCATACTGGAGGATCAGGTCCTAGAGGCCCATCTCCTGTCACTGTGAACACATTTATACAAATACTTACAAGCGAGGTCTTAGACGTCGTGTTGGATGGGGCAAATGAGACGCGTCCGACTCCGAGTCTCGACGCGTCGCTCACATGATGCGCGTTCCTGCCACCAGAGATGGGCGAGGGACTGATGACACCGGGGGTCAAGCGTGAGAGAGTCTATGGTTTTCCTACCGATTGCATGTCATAACTTCAGGCATTGTAGAATTCAATAAAGCCAGAACTCTGGAAGCTGAAATAGAGAGAAAGCCTGAGCCATTAGAAGAAGTCACCGCTGCCGACTTTCGGGGTCCTGGGGTCAAGCACATCTCTGCCTGCCACAAGAATGCTGGGCGCCTCTCTCGATCCTGTGGCGCTAGCTCATCGACTTTGTCGCTCCACCGCCAGCCCAAGAGCTTGGCTTTTCTCACCTTCGCCCATCACTCCGTTTTCCAGATATCCATTTTTCACATACGCACCGCTGTCGATGGTTTTGCCCTTCATTTCCAAGCATCCATTACTCTGCAAGATACCTCGGACACTACCAAAATGCATTCCTGGCATCGCACTCTCGAAACAGGCGCGCTGCTTCGCCTCCTCTACTCCTTCGTCAAGCCCGCCTCTCCCTAGGCCGTATCGCTTCCACGTTGGGGCGAGCTGGGCAGGAAAGCCGCATGACCCGCGCGGTCCACGAGTCAACACGGACCCGTTCCCTCCGGACAGTCCGATAGGGAAATGGCGAGACACGACGTTATCGCGGCCGAACCCTGGAGCTGGGAAGCATATCGGGGAGGACTTCTTTTACATTCAGGATGTGAGTGTTGCATCAGGTGTGCGAAACGACGGCGAGTTGAACGCGGGCTGGCCTGTCTCTCCAGATGCGCGAGGGCTCCGTGAGTACAGCTCAAGCTCTTCCTCTAGCCAGCCTCTGACGCCGGTGGACGCGTCTGGTACGACTTTGTTTTCGCTCTGCCTCACTATAGGGGGTCTCGCTAGGTGTCGCGGACGGAGTGGGTGGATGGGTAGAGTCGGGCATTGACCCGTCACTATTTTCTCAAGCACTCATGTACCATGCACACCGATATTCAAAGGTTGCCTGGCCTGGCGAGCCCGAGGTTGACCCTATGCAAGAGTATGAAGAGCGTGAGCAGGTGGAAGGGTGGGAGTTGTCTCCGGTGGAGTGCCTAGAATCTGCGTATGGAGGTGTGCTTAGGGAACGATACGTTGTAGCCGGTGAGTGTGTAGATGGTCTGGTTCGCACAGCTGACCGACGTAACCGGTTGTCATAGGTTCAAGTACCGCGTGCATACTCACACTCAACGCGTCGACGGGGATGTTGCGGGCGGCAAAGTATGTTTTCGCGTATTCCTGAGGTATTCTGGCGTTTCGAAATGAATATCTCCCCGTACCAGCCTCGGCGACAGTGGATTTCTCATAATCCGCGGTTCGCAAGTCATCTATCAGCAACGCTCTCAAACACATTTCTTCAACTGCCCAAAGTACGTGCTTGTGTAGGCTGTGCTCTAAAGCGCCATAACCAACCGGCCAATATCGTAGACAGCTGTCGAAGCTGCCTGTAGCCCAAAAACGCTTTTCCCGAGCCGTTGTAGATCACCCAAAAGACGCAGACTTATGCGAGCTCAAGTTACGGCATGGTGACCTGATCATCGCATATGTGCGTAAGCCCCACCAGAAGCAGCGCTTCCTCAGCTAAGCGGCTATACATCCTTCACAGACCGACGGACTATCGGACAACGTCTTCCCTTCGGAGATGGTCGCCATCTGTGGCCTCGTCGCGAGGCAGTTTCAGCTGAATAGGCGCACTATCACACCAGTGGGTGAGATGGAGTTCGAGGGGAGCGCCGAGGACCAGGAGGTCCAAGCGATGGCCGAGCGTATCGTGGATTACGCGCGGATTTGTATGGCGAACACGAAGAGGGTCAGCCCCTTCGAGCGAGCCGCTGCTCGTGAGGGCATGTACTTCCGGGGCGGGGTAAGTCATGCGTTGGTCTTCGTCGAACTAGGCCTTGCTGACCTGTTTCGGATCACAGAAGGTGGATGAGTAAGTCTCGATCTGCAGGGCTGTATCAGGGTGGGCCACTTACGACACGACATTGACAGCGTCACCGTTCTCGTCACGATGGTCCAAGAAGCGATCTGAAGGCTTATGAACAGAGAAGCCCTCTGGCCACCCTTGATCCTCTTGGTCAGTGGTTCATTACCCGCATAGCTGCGTCAGCGGGCTGACACACTGTTCTGGCACGTAGTAACCAGACTATGCGGATATCGGACTAGGCTACATGGTGCATTGCGATACCCTAATGCTGAACACTTGGATGTCCATGTGTAATGTATCTGTAGAGGCATCTTATTGTCGTTACTGTTTATTGTAATATATGCACACCGGCGCACATCTTTCAACGTATTTCGAGGTGCGTACCGTCGCTTGACACTCACAACTATTGTTTACGGCAATTGACGAAAGATGCGTTCCAGAGAGTGACGTTGCAGGCGCGCCGACGGATCGCGGGTTGATAGCTGCACTTTCCCCCGATGTCACTTTGAGTTTCTGCTGGGATGCTGCAGAGAACGCAGGGGACGGCTGTTCTCGGCGATGACCGGTGCAACACAACTTGGACCTTGGCAAGCTCGACGCAATTTTGAACCTTCCAATTTCGGTCCGCAGTCGCCCAGAACAGCCACTGTGTTTCCTCGAGGTCATTTTGGGCATCGCCAAATTACTCGCACAGGTTCGACGGCCTGAAGGCTCCGGCGGGGTAATGGCACTCAGTATGCGCCCATCCTCGGAGAAGCATATGATCTTTTGGAATAGGGGGCCTGATACCGGTAGAAGGCAAGTCAGAGCACAGGTTATTGCCAGTTGGCCAGTCAAGGGTATCGTGGGGTATGTGACGCTGATAAGCTGCTATCGCAACGAGCGACATACGTCCGTCCTTACATGGGCATGATCGACTCAAAACGACGGGGAAATTTGTTTTACGTGGTTGACACGCACGAGACCTGCTGAACCCGAAAGAGGGTTTGACGGCGTGCGGCATCGGCTAAAGTATGCACATTCTCGGATGATTTGGCTCGGGCACTTGTTTTCTAGTATTCTGGGACTGTCAGTCAGAGTCACGGAAGAGTTGCTGAGTTATGATATGGTGAACGAGGCTGCGAATCAAGGCCGGTCTCAGGATGTCTGATGGAGGTCGGGGGATAACCAGTCTGGGCAATGGCGGCAACGGATTCCCACGCAACCGATGTGACAAACAAGGAACCTGTTTCAGCTGCCTACCACTTCTTCCCCATCGCCCGCTCTCTTCCTCCTCAAGCACAGACCCAACACAAGCTGTTGTCGGTCGTTTCACTCCTTTACCCACCACGTCCTGTCCGTCTTGCACTGCGCCAGTCTTGACGCATCCCTCTTTCCCCCATGGCTGCGCGTCCCGGCCCTGGCTATGACCAGCTGAATCCTTTCTCAAATCAACCTCAATATGCCCGCCAGTACTCGGACTCCGACGCTGATTCGTATACCAGCCGCAACGCAAGCAGCGTACCTCTCGCCTCGTCTGGCTACTACGATGGCACCTACACCCCCCAATGTGAGTGCACTGGTCCGATATCCTTTTCGTAGTTGCTCGGCGTCCGAAGGCTCCGCCATGCCGCTCGGTCGCATCAATTACGATGGGTGAACTCCCCTGTTACTGTCCAGCGCCGCTTGGCTGTGCGCAGCATATAGACCAGCGCAAGGGGTGTGCTGGAATCAGCTACACTTGCCATGCCCCCGTCCTACGGGCCTCTGCATGACACCTCATCGACGGATTCCGTCGCCATCCTCCCCCACCTTGCTGGTCATGGTAGCAACAGCGGCTACGCATTCGAGCGGACGTCTACCGAGCCTGCTGAATCCCATGAGACGGTACCGATACTGACGTACACTCCTGCAGCCGGCGATGAGGCGGGCTTCCCGGGCTACAACCGCCACTACAGTGCGTCGGTCGAATCCCACATGAGCGTCGGGACCAGCATTGCGCCTGGCAACCCGTTCGCGGACATTCCGGGCGCGGGTGAGCCATACCCTGCGTGGTCGGCGGAACGCCAGATACCCATGTCGACGGAGGAGATTGAGGACATTTTCCTCGACCTCCAGCAAAAGTTCGGCTTCCAGAAGGATTCCATGCGTAATATGGTACGTCCCTCTCCTAAGGCCGTCTTCCCCCTTCTCCCTCTGTCCCCTGCATCCGCCGCTCTGTTTCGTCCCCTCCTACTGCCGATGGAGCATCACTGTCAGACATGATTGCTGAATACTGTGACAGTTCGACTTCTTGATGACGCTCCTTGATTCGAGGGCGTCTCGCATGACGCCGAATCAAGCCCTTCTCACCGTCCATGCTGACTACATTGGCGGTCAACACGCCAACTACCGGAAGTGGTATTTCGCCGCCCAGCTCAACCTCGACGACGCCGTCGGTCAGTCGCAAAATCCCGGTCTGCAGCGCCTCCGGAGCGTCAAGGGCAACGCGAAGACCGCGGGGGGCAAGTCGCTCGATAGTGCGCTCAACCGATGGAGGAATGCGATGAACAACATGAGTCAGTACGACCGCCTCCGCCAGGTCGCGCTCTACCTTCTCTGTTGGGGCGAGGCGGGCAACGTCCGGTTCACCCCGGAGTGCCTGTGCTTCATCTTCAAATGTGCGGACGACTACTATCGGAGTCCGGAATGTCAGAACCGGATCGACCCCGTCCCCGAGGGTCTCTACCTTGAGACAGTCATCAAACCTCTGTACCGCTTCATGCGGGACCAGGGCTATGAGGTCGTCGATGGAAAGTTCGTTCGTAGGGAGAAGGACCATGACCAGATTATTGGCTACGACGACATCAACCAACTCTTCTGGTATCCGGAGGGTCTCGCGAAGATCGTTCTGCAGGATAACGTAAGTCCACTTGTCGTAAAAGTGGGTACTGAGCGGGGAGTCAATGCTGATTGGCCGCATGCAGACGCGTTTGATCGACGTCGCGCCTACACAGAGGTACACGAAATTTGGTCGCATCGCGTGGAATCGCGTCTTCTTCAAGACGTTCTATGAGAAGCGTTCCTCCGCTCACTTGCTTGTGAACTTCAACCGTATCTGGATTCTGCATGTTGCGTTCTTCTGGTTTTACACCGCATACAACTCTCCCAAGGTTTATGCGCCGAAGAACAAGCAGTCCCCTTCTGCGCCTATGACCTGGTCTGCGACCGCTCTTGGAGGTGCCGTTGCGACGTCCATCATGATTGCAGCAACTATCGCCGAGTTCTCATACATCCCCACTTCGTGGCACAACGCCAGTCACCTTACTGCTCGTCTCGTCTTCCTGCTCATCCTCCTCGCACTTACTGGTGGTCCCACGTTCTACATTGCTCTCGTCGACGGCCGCCCGAACCAGGGCAATATCCCGCTCATCATCGGTATCGCGCAATTTTTCCTGTCCGTCGTGGTCACGGTCGCGTTCAGTATCATTCCTTCCGGGAGGCTGTTCGGTGACCGTGTCGCGGGCAAGTCGCGCAAGTACTTGGCTTCCCAGACCTTCACGGCCTCGTACCCCACGCTCACTCGTTCGGCGCGAATGGCTTCGATCTCGATCTGGCTCCTCATCTTTGGATGCAAGTTCACCGAGTCGTTCTTCTTCCTGACCTCGTCCTTCTCTAGTCCCATCGCTGTTATGGCGCGGACGAAGGTACAGGGCTGTAACGACAAGTACTTCGGGACCGCGCTATGCAGCAACCAAGTGCCGTTCGCCCTCGCGATCATGTACGTCATGGACTTGATCCTGTTCTTCCTGGATACGTATCTGTGGTACATCATCTGGATTGTCGTGTTCTCGGTTGCGCGGTCGTTCCACCTTGGTCTATCCATCTGGACGCCTTGGAAGGAGGTTTACACCCGGATGCCGAAGCGTATCTACGCTAAGATCCTTGCGACTTCCGAGATGGAGGTTAAGTACAAGCCCAAGGTATGTCTTGCTCCCATTCTTCAGCTCAGAACGCATGCTAACTGTAGCCCAGGTCCTTGTCTCCCAAGTCTGGAATGCCATCATCATCTCCATGTACCGCGAGCATCTGCTTTCCATCAATCACGTCCAGCGTCTCCTGTACCACCAGGTCGACAGTCCAGACGGTCGCCGCACCCTCCGTGCGCCCCCCTTCTTCACCAACAACAATGGCAACGAAGCCGACTTCTTCCCCGTTGGTGGGGAGGCAGAGCGTCGTATCTCGTTCTTCGCCTCATCCCTCACGACTGCGCTTCCGGAGCCCCTGCCGGTTGATGCTATGCCTACGTTCACCGTCCTTGTACCGCATTACTCTGAGAAGATCCTCCTTAGTCTTCGGGAGATCATCAGGGAAGAGGACCAGAACACCCGTGTCACACTGCTCGAGTACCTCAAGCAACTGCACCCGATTGAGTGGGACAACTTCGTGAAGGATACCAAGATTCTCGCCGAAGAGTCTGAGACCGCTACGTTCGACGGCACTCAGAGCACGAACGAGAAGTCTGGCAATAAGCGGACGGACGACCTTCCCTTCTACTGCATCGGTTTCAAGACGGCCGCGCCCGAGTACACCCTTCGTACGCGTATATGGGCTTCCCTGCGCGCGCAGACGCTCTACCGTACCGTGTCTGGTATGATGAACTACTCCAAAGCCATCAAACTCTTGTACCGTGTCGAGAACCCGCAAATCGTACAGCGCTTCGCTGGCAACACGGATCGCCTTGAGCGCGAGCTCGAGCGCATGTCCCGCCGGAAGTTCAAGTTCACCGTCTCGATGCAGCGCTACGCCAAGTTCAACAAGGAGGAGCTCGAGAACGCCGAGTTCTTGCTCCGCGCATACCCCGACCTACAGATCGCGTACCTGGATGAAGAGCCTGCCCCGAGTGGTGGCGACCCACGCCTCTTCTCTACGCTCATTGACGGTCACTCCGAGATTGACGAGCAGACCGGGAAGCGGAAGCCCAAGTTCCGCGTCGAGCTGCCCGGTAACCCCATTCTCGGTGACGGCAAGTCGGACAACCAGAACCATGCGATCGTTTTCTATCGCGGCGAGTTCCTCCAGCTCATCGATGCCAACCAGGACAACTACCTCGAGGAGTGCATCAAGATCCGGAACATCCTCGGCGAGTTCGAGCAGTATAACGTCTCGAGCCAGAGCCCGTACGCGCAGTGGGGCCACAAGGAGTTCAACAAGTACCCGGTCGCCATCGTCGGCACTCGCGAGTACATCTTCTCGGAGAACATCGGTATTCTCGGTGACATCGCTGCCGGAAAGGAGCAGACGTTCGGTACCCTCACGCCTCGTGTCCTCGCCTGGATTGGTGGAAAGCTGCACTATGGTCACCCCGATTTCCTGAATGCGACGTTCATGACTACGCGTGGTGGTGTGTCCAAGGCTCAGAAGGGTCTCCATCTGAACGAGGATATTTTCGCTGGTATGACGGCTATATCGCGTGGCGGACGCATCAAGCACTCCGAGTACTACCAGTGCGGGAAGGGTCGTGATCTAGGTTTCGGCACCATTCTTAACTTCCAGACCAAGCTCGGCACGGGTATGGGTGAACAGATGCTCAGTCGCGAGTACTACTACCTCGGCACGCAGCTGCCTATCGACCGCTTCCTTACGTTCTACTACGGTCATCCCGGTTTCCACATCAACAACATCCTCGTCATCTACTCGATTCAGACTTTCATGCTTACGCGTGAGTATCGCTTTTCTCGGGGTGTGCGTGGGTATTCATGAGGCTGACCTATCCGTAGTTCTATACCTCGGCACGCTCAACAAGCAATTGGCCATCTGCAAGGTCGACTCACAGGGCAATGTGCTTGGTGGACAACCTGGCTGCTACAACCTCATCCCGGTATTCGATTGGATCAAGCACTGCATTATATCTATCTTCTTGGTCTTCTTCATCGCTTTCTTGCCACTGTTCATGCAAGGTATGTCCACCAGGCTTGTTACTGACATTACCCAAGCTGACGTCTTCGCCTGCAGAGCTGCTTGAGCGTGGTACTGGCAAGGCGCTTGTGCGTCTTGGGAAGCACTTCTTGTCTTTCTCGCCGATCTTCGAAGTCTTCTCGACGCAGATATACTCGCAGTCCATTCAAAGCAACCTGACATTCGGTGGTGCCCGGTACATTGCAACGGGTCGTGGTTTCGCGACGACTCGTATCTCTTTCACCATCCTCTACTCTCGTTTCGCTGGACCCAGTATCTACATGGGTATGCGCAACCTGCTTCTGCTCCTCTACGCCACCATGTCCATCTGGACGCCCTTCCTCATCTACTTCTGGTTCTCGGTCTTGTCACTGTGCATCGCGCCCTTCGTCTTCAACCCGCATCAGTTCTCGTTCGCTGACTTCGTCATTGACTACCGCGAATTCCTCCGCTGGATGTCTCGTGGCAACTCGCGTACGAAGGCCAGCTCCTGGTACGGCTACTGCCGTCTGTCACGTACAATGATCACTGGTTACAAGAAGAAGAAGCTCGGGCACCCGTCTGAGAAGTTGGCCGGCGACGCTCCCCGTGCCAAGTGGCGGAGCGTCATCTTCTCCGAGGTCATCCTCCCAATCTGCATGGCTACCATCTTCGTCGTCGCGTACATGTTCGTCAAGTCCTTTCCCGACAGGAATGGCAAGCAGAACCCGAGCCCACTCGTCCGAATCGGTGTCATCGCGATTGGTCCAGTCGTATGGAACGCTGTCGTGCTCCTAACGCTGTTCTTCATCTCGTTGTTCATCGGGCCGATGATGTCAGGCTGGGCGAGGTTCGCGTCGTTCATGGCCGCGTTCGCGCACTTCCTCAGCTTGATCGGCCTCGTCGCCTTCTTCGAGTTCTTCGTATGTATTGTCGTGCTTGCCCAGTTGCTAGCCTTTCTGATCCTTTTTGTAGTGGTTCCTAGAGCTCTGGGACGCGTCGCACGCTGTGCTCGGTGTCATCGCCATCATTGCGATTCAGCGCGCCATCCAGAAGATCCTCATCTCCGTATTCCTCTCACGTGAGTTGAAGCACGAGGAGACCAACAAGGCATGGTGGTCCGGACAGTGGTATGGTCGTGGTCTCGGCTCGTCTGCGTTCTCGCAGCCCGCCCGTGAGTACGTGGTCAAGATCGTCGAGATGTCTCTCTGGACCTCCGACTTCTTGCTTGCCCACCTCCTCTTGATTGTCATGACGCCACCCATGTTCATTCCATTCGTCGACAAGCTTCACTCGATGATGATGTGTAAGTTGGTTTAATCGCATACGTGCAGTCTGAAGTGCTCACTTGCCCTACAGTCTGGTTACGGCCCTCGAAGCAGATCCGTCCACCACTCTTCTCCACGAAGCAGAAGCGCCAGCGGAGATGGATAGTACGTCAATAACTGACCCCAGCACATCCCTTTTACTGATCATCTTCTCAGGTGTTCAAATATTCACTGGTCTATATCATCGTGGTTGCGTTCCTCGCTGCTCTGATCGTCCTGCGTACGTCGCCCTCTTTACATCCGTGTCTGACTTCCTGCTAACAACTATCGTACAGCCGCACTCTTCCGGGATCACATTACATTCACGTGTACCGTATGCCAGAACATCTAAATCTAATGTCCACGCACGCATCTTCGCTTTCTGACCGTGCTGTGGTCGGGCCACAGCGACGCTCTCTATCACGCTCTCGAGCATCATTCCCTTGTCAACAGCTGACTTCGATACTTGCATTGGACCCTGTACTCTACATAGATCTATACAGCCATCTTATTTACTGATACCACACTGTGAGCTGGCCGTATGCAAACTTTCGATAGTAGGTATCGTCTAAACACATGCAGGGAACTCCCATTGTCGATGAGCCGTCAACACAAACATTCATTATAGCGAGACACAATTCTTGGCAAATTGAAAGCCACCACGCACGAAGCTGGTGGTCGTCGAGGTCGACTGTCGCGCTTTGGGCGCTCCGAAAGAAGCGGATATGTACGCACAGTTGGATGAGCTCGATCACTAGCTGTAGGTACTCACCACGTCCATCGCGTATCACTCGCCCACACGCACACTCCCCGATGAGCTGCTAGGAAATACTCTGGATGCCAACTATCCTTCAAAAACTCGCAGGAGTGGCTACGGCACTCAGGCAAAGGCTAAGAGGCGGAGACGATCCCAATGCCACCAGAATCCGTCGCCGACAAGTACTCACGAACAAGCTATGGAAGGGACTGCCATTCATCAGGTGCGAAGAATGCCTTTCACTGTTTCTGCTAGGCCAGTGGACTTACATGACCAGGCTTGTGCTATTTCTAGTGGGATACCTATGGATGCTGGCACTACCCTCCTCGCAATTCGGACAACGAATATACATAGATGAAAACGCACTACAGCCTGCACAGGTACGCTATGAATCTTGTCTTGACGTATTGAGACTGCCGTGTTGAGACTTTGAAGGTCCACACATACTGGAATTGGAACGACGTGCATCGAGCCGACCGGATACTTGAGGACCTGGAGCAACTGCGAGACCGGAATGCTACAAATGACGAGTGAGTTCCTGCGTTAGAGGGTGGTGAAGCGTTCACCCTCATAGCGTCCTACTAGAATCGCACGTTACTCCGTTGGCGTCTTCGAAAAGCTTGGAATACCCGCGCGTACACAACGATACTCCTTTGACACTCTGGGCGGGGTGCGTCCTTTACCTCCCGCGCTTTAGTTGGTGTCCATAAATGTGAGATTCAGGCAATAAACGGAACTAACGCATACGCTGTTATGGCGGCGCCACGTGCCTCTGGAGCTGAGGCTATAATCATCAGTGCTTCATGGTTGAGCAGAACCGGAGAGGGAGACGAAACTCTCAACTTAAGGGGTGTGGCTATTGTCCTTTCGCTTGCGGGGTACTTGAAGAGTGAGTAAAGTGTGCAAGACATTCAGAACTGTGTATGAAATTGCGGCACAGAGTACTCCTTGTGGGCAAAGGACTTGGTCTTCGTCATCAGTGATGGATACCTGGACGGCATGCAAGCCTTTATTACGACCTACCATGGGCTACCTCAAGCGAGTGCGTCTCAATTTTGATGTGACCCTAAAAAGGTGCTAACAAGCGAGCAGACCTGCACACCGAACCTCTGGAGTTGTCATCCGGTGTAGTCTGGACAGCGATAAACGTCGATTACCCTGGCCACTCTTTCTCCCACCTTGGTATATTTTTCGGTGAATAGCGAATTAGTTTCTGCCAAGCATAACGAAGCTGACTTCCTCAAGAGGGTCTGAATGGCCGCTTGCCGAATCAGGACCTAATGAACTCCGTCGGTGTAATCTCTCGTCATACAGGCGGAGTGCCGGTAGTGGTATACGATGACCTCGACCCTAGAGAAACGCCGAGCGCTCCGACTGTTGTCCCTTCATGGATGCCAGAGGGACTGAAGAACAACGGTGACGTACAGGAGTACGCCATGCGGGCTAAGGTCATCTCTCGTCATGTGAACTATCAAGCGAGAGGTGCAGCCAGTGGCGTGCATGGTCTTCTCCACCAGTGAGCACGCTGAACATATCATGACCAAATTACAATACTGACTACTGACAGATTCCGTATCGACGCCCTGACCGTATACGCAGTCCCAGCGACAGGCCCCCACGGATTTTACGCCCTTGGCAAGATCCTCGAATCATCCCTGCGGACCATGAACAACCTCCTGGAGCGCCTTCATGCTTCATTCTTCTTCTTCCTCCTGGTCAGGCCTGAGATATTTATGAAGATCGGCATGTACCTCCCCAGCGCCATCTTGGTCGGCACCTCGATGCTGTTCTCCGGACTTGGCGAGTGGGTCAATGCCGGATGGTTGCTGACCTCTGTCTCTCTCGAGGATGAAGAGAAATCGGAGAAGGCGCGGCCACGATCGGTGGAGAAGTGGGTCAGTAGGGATAGACCTGTCCTTGACGCTGTGACGGTCATGATCGCCACGCATGCCATCGGTTACGTCTTTTGGGAAGCTGTTAGCAGGAGACTGGTAAGTCGTTATACTTGTTTCTACCGAGAGCTGCCGCCTCATCCCGCTTCCCTGCAGGCTCATCCTGCCATCCTTTTCCTTATATTCGCTGCGGCTCCACTACTGGTTGCCCGCTTGCCTCAGCCAACCCGCCCCGGAAGCGCGCCAGTGTCCGCTGTACTCAAGGCGTTGAATCTCTGCTTCACCTCCGCGGTCATCTCCATCACCGCAGTGCTCAACTTTTCGCTCGCGGCGGCCCTCGCGGTCTTCATGGGCATCCCGCTCACCCTCGCATCACCCTCGCCACGCCTGCCATCCCGCATCGGGAAGTACGCACTGTACTCGATCCTCGCTCTAGGCTGGCTCGTGTTCTGCCCAGAGGAGACCGGGAAGGCGCTATGGAATTGGGAAGTGCTGAGGGTGTGGTTCGCGCCGTTCGTGTGCGTGGTGTACGTGCCGCTCGTGTTGCAGTCGGCGTTGGTCTGTTGGCTGCCTTCATGAGAGCGTTACATGTATGGATTGACGATAACTAATACAATATCCACTATGATACAAAAATTGGGATGATTTGCATGGTGCGACAGCAATGTGACAATGGGCGTATATACGGAGCAGGAGATGAAGGTGGCCGAGGAAGGGGGTCCAGAGGGTCGCAGTTTAGCCAATCTCCATGCCATCTGGGCCCTCGCCAAAGAGATCGTCGTCGTCTTCCCCACCAAACTCGTCGGGGTCGTTTCCACCGGTCGCGGCACCAGGGATGATGCCCTCCTTTCGGAGCCGCGACTTCTCCTTCATCTCGTCCCGCTGCGCCATCTTTGTGTCCAGGTCCGCCTGCAGCTTCTTGAGCGCGTCCTCGAAGCGGCGCTGAGTGCACACGTCGCGATCAATATCTCATTAAGAGCAAGAGCAAGAGCAAGAGCAGAGAACATAGAGCGTCTCCACAGAGCCGCAGAGCACTCACCTTGATGAGCGGGTTGCCCGAGCTCGCGATCTCGTTCCGCTTCTTGTTCACCGCGGCCTCCAGATCCCTGATCTCCTCGTTCAGCAGCTTCCGCGCCTGCACCGTCTCGTCGTCGTCGTCGTCGTCATCCTCGTCGCTCTCGTCCTCCTCGTCCTCGTCCTCGTCCTCTTCGTCCTCGTCCTCGTCCGCCTCCACGCCGCCCTCGTCATCCCCCAGCGCGAGGTCGAGCTCCGCCGCGAGCTCCTCGTCGATGTCGCCCTCGCCCTCCTCGTCCTCCTCGCGCGCGTGGGCCCCGCCCCCCTCCTCGTCCTCGTCCGCGTCGCCCGCCTGCGTCGCCGGAGTCGGCGCGTCGAAGCCGAAGGGCGTGGGCGCGTCGAGCGGCGCGTCGGGCTCGCGGTCGACGAACTCAGAGTCGGACAGGTCCGGGTTCACGTTCTCGAACACTTCGTACTTGACGTCCGACGCGAGCGCGTCGGCCTCGAGGAGGCGCTCGACTTCTTGCTCGACGGTCTCGATCGTCTGTGCGCGCGGAGACGGGGGAGGTCAGTGCAATGGTGCCGAGGGGGAGAGGGGAAGGGCGGGTACGCACTCGACGGTTCACGCGCTTGCGGAAGCGGCGTTTGCGGACGTGCTTGAGGGGCGGGGTTATGCCGTGCGGCCAGATGAACTCGTCGATGTTGAAGTTGCCGCGGTTCGCTAGCGAGTTCTCGTCCGCGACCTTATCCTCGACGACGAGCATCTGGCGCAGGGCGAGGATGTCAACGGAGGTGCGAGGACGCGATTGGGGGGAGACGCACCTGACAGATATCCGCCACCTTGAACATCTGCTTGTTGTCCAGGGTCTTCTGCGACTCGACGATGCATGGCAGGTCTACCAACTTAGATTGATAAGTGTTGTTTCCTATGTGGAATACAGCCCGCCTCGAGTCTGCGTGACGATCGCTTTCAGCGCACGAGGAGTAGGGACGGAGCAGCCACTCACCCTTGAACTTGAACCAGACGTCATCCGAGACCTCCCTCGCCTGCGCCATCTTCCTCAGCCTCTCGCAGTCCTCTCCGGGCGGCATGCGGAGTATGAACTGCTCCTCGAACACCAAGTCCTCGTCGTCGGAATCGAGCTCGCGGTCGTACGGCCCCAGGAAGGACATCCCCGGGGCCTGGGCCGCGGCCTTCTCGCTCAGTTTGAGCTTCAACTTGGGCTGTGGCTTCGCGCCCCTCGCAGCGCTGCGAGTCGTCCGTCCTTCGGAGGGGTCTGCGTAGGGAGGGGTGCTCTGCCTGCGGAGGTTGGCGGCCGTTCGGGATGCGCGAGGGGGGAGGCTGCGTTGCGGGGCGTGGCTCGCAGCGGCCCTATGAGAGGGCTGAAACGCGTCGCCGTCCTCGACATCGTCGACAACAATCACGTCTTCGTCAAAGTCGACCATTGTGCCCAAAGCGGAGCGCGACGTAGATAGAATATTACAGCGTTGGGAGCAGCGGACCAAGACCGTTAAGCGCCCAACTCCAGCGGCTCACAAAGACGCCCCCATACAGGTGTGACTGTGACCATCGAATGTGTGACCCGCGTGTCTATGTCACAGCGCGCGTCGATCGCTGTCTGCACCCGGGTTCCGAGGTCGTCCTCCGAGTCGTCAGTGAGTGCACACCCAATATGAGCGACTCCAAGCTCTCTCCTTTGCTCGGTGCTCGGAACATCTGTTTGCACATATGGCCCAGCCACGGCGATGTTGTCTCGTTCGACGTCTCTTCGACTGCTGCCTTGCTCTACCTCCAGCTCACCGTCCCTGGCCACTTCTCCGTCACCCATTGCGCCAACCCAGACCTGTCCCCCAGCGGTAGGTTTGTCATACACAAGTTTTTATGTCATGCCGTAGCGTCTGCTTATCATACTCTGGCCCCTTACCAGGTCAATTGCCCTTTTTGACCCATGGTCTGCATCACGTCTCCGGTCTGTCCGCAATCATCGCCTACGTCCGCAAGCTCCGTAATGCGCATAACCTCGATGGGCACCTCACTTCTGTGCAAACCGCACAACTGACCGCGCGCATCGCACACGTGGAGTCCAGCTATGGAGACCTTGTGGTAAGTTTCCCGGTTTACCCCCCTCTGGGCGCGCTCTGTAATGCTTGTGCTATCCTAGAACCATATGCTCTACTCGCTCCAAGAAAACTGGTCTAGCGTGACCGCACCCGCTCTGGTTTCCATGCTTCCCGTGCCTCAGCGCTACTACGTCCCCTCGCGCGTACGCAAGTCGCACAAGCCTAGGTTAGAGGCAGCTGGGCTTTGGCACGTTCCGGAGGTGGAAGGTGAGCCGGAAGAGCCCAGACGGGTCCTGGGACGTCGCAAGAAGCAGCATGCTCCGAACGAGGCCCACAAGTTCAAAACCGCGTTCGAGCGAGAGAATGTAGGCCGATCACGCACCCCCACCGTCTCGTCGACTCAATCGCCGTCCTGATGACAGGTAGTGGAGAAGGCGCGGGCGGTGTTCGATGTCTACGACAGGCTTCTTGGAGACCACCAGTTCTTCACGGGGAGCGAAACGTGAGGTCATGTCCCTACTCATGAGGACACGCTTGCTCACGCTTTCGACCTAGCCCCACGACACTAGACGTCGTCTTCGCCGCGCACACCCACCTGCTGCTAAACCTTCCCTTCCCAGATCCACTCGTCAGCTCCGTCCTCACCGGATCCTATCCCCGCCTCGCCGCGCACCACGCAGCCGTCCTGCGCATCGCGCTCCCCGACCCCGCGCACTTCCCTCCCGTAGTTCAAAAGAGCTGGTCGTATTCTCTGCGCTACCTCATCCCATGGCCGCGCGCGCCGCCGCGGCGCAAATCGCCTTCGACCGTCCTCGCGAACGCGCCCGAGGTGCAGAAGGAGGAATGGCGGTACCGGCTCTGGCGCTGGGGCTTCATCGGCGCGTCGGTGCTGATCGCGGCGGCGTACATACAGTTCGCGGCGATCACGATTGTCATCCAGGACGGGAGTGCACGTGCACGATTGCCTCTTCGTGGAGGACCCCCGCCCGATGATGTGGAGGAAGCAGAGGCGGCGGAAGGGGAAGAGGAGGAGGAAGAGGGAGCGGAAGCGGAAGAGACAGAGGAGGAGGAAGAGGCAGAGTGATGAGTAGGTGTTCTCGTAGCTTACTCCTACTCTCAATGCATGAACATGCATATGTCGGGGCTCCTGCTCCTAGCCATCTCGCGAACCGGACGCGTAGCGCAGCGACGCGCCTGAACGTGACCCAAGGCGATTGCCACGTGACGGTGACGTACACGAGGGCGCGTCCTAATCGCGCGATCGAATCTGCGGTACTTGCGGGCGCGCGGCAGTGGCCTTCGACTGCCTCACTCTGCACCACACCTCATCTTCTTCCTCCACCTAGCTCCCTCTCCATCTATTGCTCTCTCCGTCGTCTGCAATCGTTTGAGTGCCAAGAACAGTCACCACGATGGCCCCCGTGCGCCTCCGCCACCCCAAGGGCGTGACCACCATCCAGGTCGACTTCACGAACGCGACCGTGCAGGATCTGCAGCAGGAGATTTTCGCTGCAACCGAGATCCCGCCTTCTCAGCAAGATCGTGCGTCCTCAGCCCTATTCCTTCCTCGTGCCCCCCCCCGCTGATTCACCCGCCTGTCACGCACAGTCAAAGCAGGATACCCGCCCCACCCGCTCACCATCGTCCCCGAGCTGCCCATAGACAGCCTCGGGCTCCAGCAGGGCGAGCAGCTCGTCGTCACCCAGCGCCCGGCGGCGGGCCACCAGGCGTTCCAGGGCTCGAAGGGCACTGCATTTCCGGCCCCGAGCCCCGCCGCGGCCATGACGGGCCTGACGGCGTCGCAGGTGCGCGAGTCCCCGGGGCCGAGTAGAACGGGCTCGGCGGTGTCGACGTCGAAGGCGGGGAGCGCGAGGGGCGGCGGCGGGCCGGAGTACGTATTGACGAGCAACGGGTATTTGATGCATCGGGTAGGTGTGCTATTTGGAGGACGGCGTGTGTGTGTGTTCGTGTGGAAGGACTCATGGGGTCTTGCTACGCTGCCTCAGGTCGTCCCGGACGACAACTCGTGTCTGTTCTCGTCGATCGCGCTCATCTTCGAGCAAGACATGAGCAAGGCGCAGTCGATACGGAGAAGTACGTGGTCTTGGGCTCCCGTCTGAAAGCCCCGCTAGGGACGTGCCTAACATTAGCGGCCGTATTCAGTCGTCGCGGACGCGATCCAGAAGGACCCCGTGAAGTGGAACGAGGCTATCCTTGGGTACGTGCGCGCACCTCTCGTCTGCATACCCGAGCCTCCCTCTCACCCTCGAGCCCTTCCCCCACGGCAGCCGTCCTCGAGAAGAGTACATCAAGACGATCCTGAAGCCCTCCGCCTGGGGCGGCGCGATCGAGCTCTCGATTCTCGCCGAGCACTACGCGACCGAGATCGACTCGGTCGACGTCGAGACGGGCCGCGTCGACCGCTTCACGCCGCCGCCCGAGAGAGACTCGGGCAACCGCGCGATCGTGATCTACTCGGGCATCCACTACGACGCGACGAGCCTCGCGCCGATGCTGGACGCGCCCGAGGACTTTCATCAGACGATCACGAGTGGCGCGAAGGGCGAGAAGGGTGCGGAGGGCGGCGGGGAGGAGGACGAGGTGCTGGCGGCGGCGAAGAAGCTCGCGGACGCGCTGCGGGCGAAGAGGGCGTACACGAACACGGCGACGTTCGAGCTGAAGTGCCAGGTGGGTGCGGTCGGGTGCGGTTCGCGACGCGGACGTCTTGCTCATTGACGTGGTCCTGTTCTGTGCTGGTGACGTGCAGATTTGCGGCAAGGGGCTGAAGGGGGAGAAGGAGGCGCGTGCGCACGCGTCGGAGACGGGACACGTCGAGTTTGGAGAGTACTGACGCCTCGCGTCGAGGGTTTCTCTCGCGGTGTTGATTTGAATGTTCAGCTCTTTCAGCGGGGGAAGTCGTAGAAGACAGTGCGGGATACTATGTAGCATGTGGCATACCACTGTATCGTCTTGTTCGATGGCTCCTCAATGGAAGGAATATTGGTCGTACTTTACGCAGTGTAATTGGCTTGTATACATATGGCATCGCTCACTGGCCTTGAAGGAAAAGGTCATAACCCATCTCTGTACCAAGTTACCAACCACGGGAACAGGTCGGGGACCGGGCCGACGCTTAGTATAACGCGTCTGTGGCACCGTCCGATCGCGTACTCGACGCGTTCCGTGTGTTGCCAGCGACCAGAGCGCATGCACACGTCTGTTCTCCCCACCCTGCCATCTTTCCTCTCGCGCACCTGCCTCACTGCCCCTCGGCTTCATCTGCCGCGTCTGCATCTGTCGTCATCGCCCCCCACGCAGAGCCATCTCTTCCGGACAGCTCGCGCCCACCCTCCAACCACTGCCACACTCGAGCTCACCATGCCCCCGAAGCGCGCCGCCGCGTCCAACCGCAAGGCCGAGAGCCCCGCCGAGGACGAGCCCCCCTCCGAGTCCGACGCAGAGTCCTTCGAGGAGGAACGCGCCCCGAAGAAACAGAAGACGTCTGCCGCCAAGTCGAAGGCAGCGGGCCGGGGAAAGGGCGCCGCCAAACCGTCAAAACCAAAGGCGACGGCAGCAGGCTCGTCCCAGCCGCAGGACGGCGGCGGGGCCGCGCCCGCGCAGCCGACGAACAAGGCGATGCCGGCCCAGGTCGGCTTCGCGCCCAAGGCCGCGGGCGCGGTGCGCATCGCGACGTGGAACATCTGCGGTCTCGCCGCTGCGCAGAAGAAGGTGGGTGCGATCGGACCTTCGCTACTGGCTGGTGGTTAGGGGTCGTGCTGCGGAACGCCAGCGGCGGGCCGTATGGTTCGGGCGGTGCGCCTTGTTGGAATTTCGGGTCAGGAGACGGTTGGAGTCTAGGCAGACAGAACAGTGAACCGAGATTAACTACTGGTCTACGGCTCTGCGCCCTGGACGAGCGCGAAACGGATGTGGACGGGAGCCGATGACCTCTGTTATTACCTCGCAACGGGAGAGATACTCACGCCTCCCTTGCTAGGGGTTCAAGGTGTATTTCGACGCGGAAGACGCCGACATACTGATCCTCACGGAGACGAAGGTCGGTGCTCCGTAGAGCCTCTGTCCGTTGCCAAGCTGATCCTGGGACCTTTCTTTTACTGTATGCCTCCCAATGCGCAGGTCAACAACCCTCCTGCGGATCCAGAATTCACACAACGCTACCCTCATCGCTATTGGGCGATTTCGGATAAGAAAACCTACTGTGCGTGCTTCCGACCGCACAACTCACACTGTCACATCCGGGCTGATATAACTCCTATCACTGGTCCTCGGCCACTGGCAATATGTATGATGCGCCCATCTGCTTCGACGTGTGGCCGACCTTGTTTGTGCCTAATCGCGCTCCTATAGCTGGGACGGCAATACTGTCCAAGATCGAGCCCCTCTCCGTCAAGTACGACCTTCCGGGTCATCCAGACAAGTCTGCGGTCAAAGGCCGAATCGTCACACTAGAGTTTGAGAGCTGCTACGTGATCGGGACGTATGTCACGAACGCCGGCACCGGTCTCAAGGTGCGTGCGCCCCGCAGATCTCTCAGGCTTGCCTGGGGGCTATAGCTGCTGCGTCGGACGTTGAGTGCATCGCTCAGCATGTACTGTCCTGCAGCGCGTTGCTACGATCTGGCCTGTAGCACGATACGTTGCCACAGTAGTGTCCTGTGGTGCACCTAGTGATAGCGAGTAGGCCGAGTCGGGCATACGACGCTCAGTCCGATCTCGAGACTACATGCGCAGCAGCACATGGCCAGGCGAGCGTTGCTTCACCCAGCCTTTCTCACGCATGCCCGCCGCAGACCCTCGACGCCAAGAAGGAGTGGAACAAGCATTTCGAGGTCTATATCCGGGAACTCGACAAGAAGAAGCCCGTGATATGGACCGGCGACCTGAATGTCGCCCCGACGGCTCTTGGTGAGCGCGCCCCTTCTGTCAACATCCCATCGCGTCGCAGTTGGTATGACCGTGACGTGGTGCATCGTGGGCGTCCGGTCGTCGTGGCTTGCTGTACGTGTACGGCCGCGGTGCTTCGAGCGCATGACGAGATCGCTGCGCAGCACCACCTCAAGCCTGCACGCGTTGTACAGGCTCCAAACCCATCTTCTTCGCACTCTCTTCTATCATACGCGCAGTGCTGACCAACCCAGCGTGCTCCTGCGTCGCACTTCTCGCCTTCTCCACTTCACCTCGATGAATCATATCCGCGACCGTATCTGTGGCCTCCTTGACCCGAAACGCTGACGCCTGCCATCTTGCGCGCATGTCCAGATCTCGCCAACCCGAAGACGAACTGGAACAAGACGCCGGGCTACACGGAGGCCGAGACGAGCGCGTTCGCGCGGGTCCTGAACGAGGACGGCGCAGAGCCGGACGCGCCCAAGTTCGTGGACGTGTGGCGGAAGAGGCACCCCGACCTCCGCCACTACACGTACTTCTCGTACCGGTTCAATTGCAGGGAGAAGGGCCTCGGATGGCGGCTAGACATGTGTGCGTACCCATCATGCAGCATCTCCTCGATGCCCCGTGTATAGTGCGAGTGCGTGCTCCGCTGACGTCGCGTGTTCTGTGCTTTATCGCAGTCGTGGTCAGCGAGCGGCTGGAGGAGAAGGTGCAGATGTGCGAGATACGCAGCGAGATATACGGCGCGTCGGACCACTGCCCTGTCGTCCTGGAGCTCGCCGGCCCGCTCTAGATCTTCTCGGGAGTATCTGACGATCAGGGTCACGGACAGACAGAGATACTTATCGGCATCGTAGAGGGTGGAGCTGCAGCGTTGCGAGGTGAGTGACCGTTGTTCTCATGTCGGAAGGCGTCGGTATGTGTACTCACGGGACGTCCTATGACGTAGGACGTGGTCGTTACGCGATGGAGCATGTTTGCACGCACATTTGATAAGTACTTATGGGAGTCTAGGCGCTCGAAACTGTCTGCTGCCAGCTCGGTGACGACAGCCAGATAGATCATCCGAGATCGACAAGACATATTATGCGCTGAGAATACGCTCGGCTAACGGAGTCCTCATGATTTCTGGAGACCAGTCGAGAAGTTTGCAGCAAATGCAGGATGACGTTGTGCAGATAAGACCGTAAAGCAGTCTGTGACGCGCTCAGCTGCCAGGCAATGCATTGCTACACACACAGCGATCGCGACGCCACCAGGTGCTAGATAGCTAGCGCAGGAACAGCCCGGCGACGCTCCACACAGCTCACGGACCCGATAGGAACAGCTACTCGTATTGCCACAAAGTCACGAGCGGGCCGCCCGCGGCGCACAGAAAGGATAGGAAGCGCACTAGCTGATATCAGCAGCTCTGGCGGCTGCGCGATCTGCCAGCCTGGAAGATGGTCGTGGCCGCGTTGTGTATCGCATCCGATCCTTGAAGTGAGCCGTCCTTCTCAGCACTCGCGGGAGAAGCCGTGCTTTGCGTTTGACGAACCCCTGTGCACTTCTGGCCGGACTTGCAAGGGAGACAGATATTCAGTGGACGCGGTCGCTTGCGCGACTACGTGCGCGCAGCAGCAGAGGAGCAACTCTATACATTTGGAACACCGGCCAAGCCCCTAGAAGCGTTTCGACAGGCGTCTGCAGTGGGGAGGGTTGGGAACGGGGGCACATGAGGGATGGATATGTTTGGGCATGGGTGAGAAGGGACTGGGGAGCAGTTGCAGTCGTTGCGCACCCCGGACGTCAGAGGGCTTCCGGGGGATTCTGGCTGTTGGAGGAGTGATAGAATTTCATAAAACACAAGTATTTGTGCGAATGTGTATGGCCCATCAGAAACGGGGGATGGAGGCGAGATCTGTGATGGGATTAGCCGCGGGGGACTCTTTCGGCTGCTTTCGCACGCGACCATTTCTCAAAACCGGTCGGTCCCTCGCCGCCCATCTCCGCCCACGCCCTCTCCTCCTCCGTCCTCCCCCCCCGACGCTCAGCTCGCCGCTCCTCCAGCTGCAGAGCACGCTGGTTCATCTTTTCCCGCCAACAGCATTTGTCTCCATACCCTCTCCTCGCCAGATACCCGTCTCGTCCTAATAGAGCTTTCTGCACCGCTGTCCGTATCTATGTCGCACTCAAAGGACTACACAGTACTCCCCCAGCACGTCGCCCACTTGCACAATCACGAGCGAGATCCAGAGGTCGGAGTGTACGAGAAGGAGCAGCTGGACAACCCTAGTGATACGCAACAAAATGCCGCGCCCACCATATGCGGCATGCCTCTCAAATACGTCTCGTGAGTGCACACGCTCTACCTCCTTCGCGTGTCGCACGCGCCCCGCCCGCCGTTCTGACAAGCTTGACGCGTCGTCCTGCAGGCTAGTGACTCTGGCAGTCCAAAACGCCCTCCTCACGCTCATCATGCACTACTCGCGCGTGTCAACGGCGCCCCAGCACACATATTCGGCCGGGTCCGCAGTGCTCATGGTTGAGCTCCTCAAAGGCTTCATTTCCCTCTGCGTCGCCTTCGCCCGCCTTGACTCCCTCAATGGCGCTTCTGGTAGCTCATTGTGGAACCCACGGGTTCAATTCTACCGCTTCCGCCGGTTAGGCAAGGAGGTATTCCGGCCGGATTGTTGGAAGCTGTCCATCCCTGCTATTCTATATGTCATTCAAAATAATCTTCAATTCGTCGCCGTGTCCAATCTCGAGGCAGCGACATTCCAGGTCAGCTATCAGATGAAGATCCTCACCACCGCCGCTTTCTCCGTTGTCCTCCTTCGCAAGAAGCTCAGCCCAACGAAATGGCTCGCGCTGCTCTTCCTTGCGATCGGTGTCGGCATCGTCCAGATCCAGAACGGGTCGCCCTCTGGTCACTCGGCGTCGAAGAACGACATGAACGCGTTCAAGGGCTTCATGGCCGTCGTCATGGCCTGCTTCACGTCCGGTCTCGCAGGAGTCTACTTTGAGATGGTGCTCAAGAACTCTCAGGCAGACTTGTGGGTGCGCAACGTTCAGCTATCGCTCTTCTCCCTGCTCCCCGCGCTTGTCCCCATCATCTGTTCCAACTCCACGCCGTCGGGCCCTGCTCCAGGCTGGCTCAACCAGCTGTTCGCGAACTTCGGCGTCTGGGCTTGGGCCACGGTCCTGATCCAGGTCCTCGGCGGCCTCCTCACCGCGCTCGTGATCAAGTACGCGGACAACATCCTCAAGGGGTTTGCCACCAGCTTGAGCATCGTCATCTCGTTCCTCGCTTCCGTCGCGCTCTTCGATTTCCAAATGACCGTCACGTTCATCCTCGGCTCGACTGTCGTCCTCGTCGCTACTTGGATGTACAACCAGCCCGATGCACCTGCTGGCGACAACTTCTACCCCAAGGAATGCCGCTCATGGAACTGGAGGTGGCGTCGCACAATGCAGCCCGCTTCCTCAGCGCTCGAGCTTGCTGGTGGGAACATCGCTATCTCGCGTCGCCCGTCGACGTCTTCCCTCGCTTCCGTATCACCCCCGCCCGCTACTGGCCAGTCAAGGTCGTACCCCGGTTCCCCTGTCGAGCGCGACATGCCCTCGCCGTTCTTCCCTGCTCATCTGCTCGAGAAGAACTTGTTAGGGAAGCGGAAGGAGGACGACCCTACGCCGTTCTTCCCCGTCCCCCTTCGGGCGTCGCGTGCGGCGACTCGACTCGCGCACTATTTCACGCGAACCGGATCGGGTTCGTTCATTGTCCCAGAGGGTTCAGGGTTCGCGTACCCCCCATCACAAGCACCCTCGACGATGTATGCGTCGCTACCCCCCTCGCTATCGTCGACGCGTCCGTCAAGCGGCGTCTCGTCATGTACGAACTCTCGGCCAGCGAGCGCGATGGGAAGTGTGGTGTCCTTGTCATTAGGCACGCTGCCTGAACAGGATCACCATTCATGATGCCCTTGTCCCATGCACCATGCTCTCAGCCATACGCCTGCAATGCAGCACGTCGGGCACAGTGCCACGAGTACGACTGCAGCAAGACCGCCCACGGGCGACGAGATACGCGACGACCCGACGACCTCCCCCCTTGGCGACATGATGACACCCCTTGGCGAGACACGGACCAAACCAACACGACGGAAAACGGAAATGGAGAAAGAAGTTCTGCCAGCCAGCTACTTATCAAAGACTTTTTGAACAGTACTGGACCGTATGTTATCATATCTAGCCCTAGCACCCCTCCTGCCCCTTCACCACGCCCTCCGACCATTACTCTCTTGCTTTCGTGGACTTCCGCATCTTCATTATCTTCGCGCACCATCTCGCCATACGTTACTCGAAGGCCATCTAGCTGTAGACACCGAGCGCTCGAACTCTATTGCCTTTCTGCTTCGCTTCGCCCGCAGCCCCGTGTCGTCCTTACTCTTAAGTACACTCATATTCGTATTTACGTTGTCCATAGCTGGACGGACCCATTGTCTACTACTACTACCTAGTGGCGTTCGCACAGGCAGCTCAGCTGGATTCTCCTGCACCGCCGCCTCCTATCGGGGCGCACTCCGCTACGATGGCTCGCGGCTGCGTATGCGTATGTACATGCCAATGTATTCGTTCCGACTGATCCCCTTCGATGTTTACGTATGGGCCGAGCGTCGGGACCTCTATGTGCTATGTCCCATCAAATCCATGGCGCATACATTGATGCCGCCTGCATCTCTTCGGTTTGTACTGCCTCAGACCGCGCGCGGCCGTGTACGCCCATGGGGCTCGTCGACAAAACACAGCTCGCATCTCTCGCGGTGAGACCGCCAAGCGCAAGACCACCGCCCAGCAGGACGCCGTGTGCGAACGATGGCCGGTTTAGCCCCACTCGTGGTCCTGCGCAGGTGCGGCTCGGCTGTGGTCGAGGGACGACTGAATGGCGCGAGAGGGTGCGTGCTACGCTACGCACGCTTCGAAGAACCACTGACGTGCCGCGCGGCAGAATCAGAAAGTCAGGAAGAGATGCTGCGAAGCCGTCCTTTGTGCAGACCATCAGTCATGGGAGGGAATCACGCCGGATGCAGCTGTTGATGTCTTCGTCGATGAGGGCGGTGCGTCTGATTCTCAGCTCTTTGTCCGGCGAGGATGCACTGACTCGGACTGGGGCCGCTGGCGGCGAACGGAGGCCCCGGCTCTGCGGGTGCGCGCAGCGCCAAGCACTGTTTGCTGATCACTGGCTGTCGAAGCGGATGACGACATACTGAACGCCGAACCAAAGGAAGAGATGTGCGGGTGATGATGTCGTCCAAGGTCACACCGAATGGCAAAAGCAGACGTGACGGATACGATGACTAGGTAAGTAAATGATACATACATACAACTTCAAATGCAAGTGTTACAACATGTACAGCGTGATCAGGTAAACGCACGTAGTCAGCGTCCGGTATCCGTCCGAATTCCTCCATAGAAGGTTCCGGCAGTGGAAATTTGTTTGTAGATCGCCCTGCGTTCCTCTCCTTGTCAAGCTCTGTCAATTCAAGACGACGCCAGCCTGGCCTCGAGCCCCTTCTTGATCGCTATAGGTCATAGAAGCAGACGTCAGCTAGATGTCCGGCAAGCAATGCCTTTCCCATCGACGCCTTCGAGGGCGCCGAAGAAGGCGGATAAAAGGCGCGTTTTCTCACCTTCGCATGTCTCTCGCGCGTCGCCGAAGAGCATCTTCGTTCCAGGCATGTAGAACATCGGGTTCGGAACGTCGGCTGTCGGGCACGAGGTGAGCAGAAAGTTTTGCAAACATGCCGTAACTTCCCAAGTCGCTTCCGCTTCCGCCGAGGCGCGAGAACCGACTCGGAGGTACGGAGGTGGACAAGGTGAATCGCTCACCGTATCCGGAGGACATGCCGCGCTTCATAACGATCACCTGCTTGCTCTTCCAGGCATGGAGGACAGGCATGCCTGCAATAGGTGAGCCGGGCTCGAGCGCGATCGGGTTGACGGTGTCGTTTGCGCCGATGACAAGAGTCACGTCAGTGTCGCCAAAGTCGTCGTTGATCTCGTCCATCTCGAGCACAACTGCACAGGGCGCGTAATGGGCGCGGAATCGTCAAAGTGGAACCGATCGACCGAACGTGAGCTCTCCGGCAGCGGACATTGTTTTCATAGAAGCTGCACTCACTGTCATATGGAACGGATGCCTCCGCAAGGAGGACGTTGCACTGCCCCGGCATTCTGTGGTTTCATTGTCTCGATCAGCCTACCATTCGCTCCATTCATCGGTGTTCAACGGGCACGGACCTTCCGGCGACGGGGTGGATCGCGAAGCGAACGTTGATGCCCTTGCTCCTCAGCATCCGCACTACGTCCGAGATTGCATATTGCGCCTTGGCAACAGCCATACCGTAACCAACGACCTATGGTTTCACGACGGATCAGCTCCGCAAGGTGAGACTGCACCAACCATGCTCATACCAAGATGACATTCTCCGAATTGAGAAGACTGTCAACTGTGTCATCGACGCTCGTTTTCGTGATGGTCCCTTCGATCTTGTGCTCAGGCTGGCCGGCGGGTGCACTAATGCCTCCGAACAGAACATTCGTCAACGTCCGGTTCATGGCCACACACTGCGTTGGGTGAGTGTCCCGCTCGGCACCGGGAAACGAACCGTCAAACTCTTACCATAATGTACGACAGAATGGAACCGCTGACTCCGATCAGGGAGCCGACCGTCGTCAGAAGCGGGTTGTCAAGCATGAAACCTGAAACACGTTAATCGTCGGCGGAAGCAATTGCGAATAAGCTTGAGGTGAAGATCTCTACCTTCCGCAACCAAAGCAAAGCCGGAATATGCGTTCAACACGGTAATGACCACGGCTGTTTACCAACATCAGTTCAGCGAATGACCATTCATGCCAGAGAATATGCATGCACTCACGCATGTCTGCTCCTCCGATTGCGGCGGTGGTAGTGAATCCCTTGATGAAGCTCAGCAAGGTGTTCGCTCCGAGGAAGCCGGCAGCGACCAGGGGCGCATGGGGCGCCATCGTCACGAAGGCTCCCATAGACACAAGGTTAGTGGCCAAAAGTGAAGAGTTTACGAGGTGCTTTCCGGGAATCGCGATCGGCCGGGATGACACACGACCAGCGAGCTTGAGGAAGGCGACTATCGAGCCGGTGAAGGTGATCCCACCTGCAAGCACGAGGTGAGTTCGCCGCCTGTGACCACTAAGCCAGGCAGATTCTCACCGATGAGGACGCCCAGGTAGGCAGCGACCAAGTGAAGTGTGGTGGCATGCGAGAGATCTGCCAGGACACTGGCAATCGAGGTCATGACGGCCGCGAGACCGACGACGGAGTGAAGGGCTGCAACCATCTGCGGAAGCTCGATGGCCGTTATACGACGACCAATGATGGTTCCCATACCGCCGCCGAAAGCAGCAACGGCCGCAAATTGCGCTAGCACCTCGGGAGGGAAGCCAACTGCGGCAAGGGAAGCCAAGATACCGGAGCCAACACCGAGCATACCGAGGATATTACCCTGACGTGCAGTGGATTGTGCTGCTAGACCTGAGAGAGAGCCTTGGGAGGACGTGATATGTCAGTATGCTGAGCCTGGTTAAACAACTATGGAGCTTACTGATGCAGAGCACGCTGCTAGCGAGGTAGCCAGCCTGAACAAGACCAGCCATCCCAGTACTCGCGGCCCAAAGAAAACCGCAGGTATAAACGGCTGCGGGAATGCTGTAGAGCCAGGCGTACTCCGGAGGGTCCGTGGCACCTGAAGAATAATGAGTTGGTAAGCTAAGACTGAAAATCTTCTCTAGTGAACTCACGCTTGAACATGTCGAGCATGCGCTTCGTGATCACGAATCCACCAGCGACATTTACGCTTGCCAGCAGAACAGATGCAGCACCGAGGGCCTGAGGGATCGTAGCAGGCAGATATCCACCACCCATCACAAACAAACCACCAACACCGACCATGCCTGGGTCTCACGATCAGCCTCCATGACGTCCATACTGAAGACCGGAGCTACCCACCAGAGATGGCGTTCGTCACCGACATCAGAGGGGAGTGCAAAGCGGGCGCGACGCCCCAGACCACACGGTAGCCAATCAGACCAGCGAGACCGAATGTGAAGAAGTTGCTCATGAACGCGGGACCGGTGAGCTTGCCCAGTGCGACAACGGAGCCCATGCCGGACGTGACGAGCGCGACCTCACGAGTAGCCTTTTGCCAGGGCGTCAGCACCTTCGCCTCAGCGGCCTCCGCGACCTTCGCGGCACTCGGGGGAGCGATCGGGGGAGGAGCTGGACGAGGGGCCGGAGGGAGAAGGTTTCCATTTTGCAGGACGAGTGCGCCACGCACGACCTCGTCCTCGAGGTTGATCGCGAACCTCCCATTACCATCGCCTATGGACAACAGGAACTTCGTGACGTTGTTTGAGTAGAGGGTAGACGACTGGGTCGGGAGACGCGACGGGAGGTCAGTGTAACCTAGTAGAAGGGGAGAGCTTGAGCATGGGCACGCTCGCAGGTAGTCTCGTGGTACGTACCGATGATCGTGACACCCTTGTAGGCGTAGAGCTCTCCCGGCTTGGTGACAGCACAGTTCCCTCCGGTCTCAGCGGCCAGATCGACGATGACAGATCCTTGCTTCATAGCTGCGACCATCTCCTCGGTGATGAGCTTCGGCGCGGGCTTGCCTGGGATGAGAGCCTAGAGACAGCGTCAGCACAAGTCTGACAGTTGCTTGTACGGCGCATACCGTAGTAATGACGATGTCGACATCCTTGCACTGTTCCATGAATAGTGCCATCTCAGCCTCGATGAATTCCTTAGACATCTCCTTTGCGTAGCCTCCCCCGCCCTCGCCGGATTCTTCTATGTCTACCTCTAGAAACTCCGCGCCGAGAGACTGGACCTGTTCGCGGGCAGCCGCTCGAGTATCGAAACCGCGAACGATAGCACCCATTCGTCGAGCCTGGGACAAGTTGATTTTCAACGACATGATATTATGAACGCATAGTGTTCTTACCGTAGCAATAGCACTCAAACCAGCGACGCCAGCGCCGATGACTAGAACCTTGCATGGTGGGATCTAACAGACACAAGGGTGAGCTCAAGATGTGCAGTGAGGGTGTTGTCCCCGAAGTCACCTTCCTGGCAGGCAGATGGGAGGTCAACGTGAGCACATGGACAATGCCAAGAAGAGCACGAACCCAGCCGCGGTAACCTGTCCAGTGAAATAACGGCCGAAGTGATTGGCCGCCTCAAGGACCGCTTTATAGCCCGCGATGTTGGCCATCGAGCTACGTCACGCCAAATTCACTCAGCAAGGACGTGAGAACGACGCAGTACACGAGCACGAACCTCAGCGCATCGAAGACCTGAGCACGGGATATGCGGGGTATCATTTCCATCGCGAACGCACTAGCCTTGCGGGCTGCCAAGGCTTCGACAATCGGCTTGTTTTGGCTGGGGTACAAGAACGAGATAAGTGTGCTTCCTTCCTTGACCTTCTCCGCCTCTTGGCCGAACACTGGTGGCCGGACCTTGAGCAGGATATCTGAACGCTCAAAAAGCTCGTTCTTGTCGACGACGACTGCCCCTGCGGCCCTGTAGTGTTCGTCGAGGAACTGCGCTTCCAGACCTGCCGACTTTTCGACGAGGACCTGTGCGAAGCCCTTCTTGAGAAGCAGGGCAGTGTTCTGGGGAGTGAGGGCGACTCGTCGCTCATTGGGGTAGATTTCGAGCGGAACACCGACGCTCAGGCTAGAGTATGGGATGCCTGGGCAATAATACAAGGTTCGAAGAGTTTGAACGACACGATAGGACGAGAATTCAATGCAAGACGCGCACCTGGCGCTTCTTTCGATTGGCTCGCGCCACCACTCGACTTTGTATTGGGGTCAGACTGAGCATCCCGAAACGAGGCAGTAGTATGGAATGAGCGGTGGGAGCACGGGACTTCGACCGCCACGGAGGAGTGCTTCCGTTAGGGAGCATAGGGAACGGAAGTACTGTAATGCACACTCACATTGAAATTGGGTCGCAGTGACTTGGATATACAGGCCCCTGCAGCGAATCCCCCGAGCACCGACGAGGAGCTTTTCGAGCGCCATGACTGTCGGTGGTCGACAGAGAGTGCACAGAAGGGACTCTGAGTGGAGGGGGTATAGTAGTCGCGATGCTCAGCGTCGCCAGCTCGGTGCCCGCGTTGCAGTGCGCGCTGTAACCGATCGATTGGTTGGGAAGGGCAGTCACTTGACCGCCGAAGGTACGCCAGAGCTTCCAGTCACACAGGTATACCCAGCCATCTGACCGTCGTGAGCCCAGACAGCACCTTCCAGGGCAGGACATGCCCACATCCTGTCCGACGTCGTCGCTTCGCGCGGCAGCGTATTTCCCCACACGGCGGCGGCGGCTTGATCGTCGCCCGTTGATCCGGGCGGTTTACCCCACATTACCCCGCAGTCTACACCCGGCGAGAGCACCTCCAGATACCCATGGCCATACGCCCTCGCTCTCACGCACCCGCAGAGAAGTATACGGCCGAATCAAGTCTACGCGTGCCCCATAATACAGAGTCGGACCATCCTTGCTTACGCTTTCTACGCCTTCCCGCTCAGCTCCCGCTCCACCGCAATCAGCTCCTGCGTATGTGGGTGCTCCCAGAGAGCCGTCAATGCGTCTGGCTCGATAGGCGGCAGGGGCTTGCGGGGGCTACCGCCGTACCCATACAGTTTCTCCAGTAGGCCTTTGGTTCCCGCGATTCCTGCCTTCGCGATGGTGAAATCCGCACGCGCGACGATTCCCTGCAGCCGCTGCGCATCCGGAAGTACGGAAGGGTCGACCTTGGCCTTCTCCGAGATCTCGAACAATTTGTAAACAGTGAACTTTTCGCCGTTTGCGGTGTCGATGACTCAGGACATGACGCTGGATTAGAACGGTGGACGTACCGGTGCAACGTTCGCAAGACCTGTAATCGCGCCATGACCGTTCACTATCGAGGAGGTGAGGATGAAGTCGGTGAAACCGCCAAGAACAAGGAAAGGCGCGTGAGGATTCTTGCGGGGGTGAGTCTGGGCGAAAGAAGGTTCCGAGACCGTTGCGCTGATGCGTGTGAGCTTTCCGACGTTACCGCAGCTGCAAAGGTCATCGTTACAAGTGTCCTTGACGATGCCAGAGGTACAGAGCTTACGTGAGTTTGACACCAGCCAAGTTGGGAGAGCTCTCAGCCAGGTCCACAATTAGGTCCGAGTCCAAGTCGATGCCACCGGCAGCACCGGGGTCTGTGTTAGGCGTCGGAGGTGTTTAGCAGCTGTTCCGCGAAAGTTGTGCATTACGTCTACTCACAGTTGTAGATGATCACGGGTATAGGACTCTGCTCGGCGACCTCCGACCAGAATGCCTTGAGAGCCTTCCTGTTGTTCGCGAGCGCGCCCGCAAAATAACCGCTCAGGATGACGATGGAGTAGTCCGCGCCGGCCTCTGCCGCCTCCTTTGAGAGCTGAATCGTCTCCCGAGTGCTGCCCGAGCCGGTCCCAGCGATAATTGGGACGTCTGTGTAGCCTGCCTCGTCCAGCGCCGTCCGGACCGCTTTGATGAGCGTGACGCGCTCATCGTGAGACAGGTGGTGTGCCTCTCCCATTGTTCCACTGAGCAGGGGCTTCACGCCCGCCTTGATGAGACGGATGGCATGAGCAGTCTGAAACTGGATATCTATCGAGGTGAACATGAGTCTTGAACATAGGGAAAGGTGATATATCGAGGACATACCAAGGTCTTCCGAGTCGGCCTTGAAGAACGTCGGAAGGGGAGCATAGATACCAGGCACAAGTGGACGAACGACGCCGGTCATGCTGACGAGCAATGGGTTGGACCAGAGGAGCAGCGGAGGATACAGCAATCTCGAGATCTCGTCCCGACTTTTATGAGCAGTGATGGAGTGCGATCGGGCCGGGATATCCGTGCACCTGACCGGCGGGCCGAGAGTGTTATCAACCCGCCTCGTCTGTATGATGGAAGGCTGGAACTTGCCTCACAAGTCCTAGCTAGTCATTTCGGGTTGTGCACCTCCGGGTATGGGCACATCAGTCGAAAGATCCACCAGGGGCACCGGAGACAGCGAGGCACACGCGACGAAGCGTGCTCGCTCCGCGACGCGGTGCTTTGGCGGCACCGGCGCGACATCGATTATCCACGTTGGCCACACCTGCCCAGCATATGTAGTCGCAGAGTACGGGGCCACCGCACAACTGCAAAAAAAAACCAGGCGACTCTGAGCGAGCCAAATCCATTTGAGCCCCCTCAAGTCCTGCTAGATCTCTCTCGCCATAATATCCGCCGGTGGAGTTGTCGGCGTCACCGAAGGTCAAGCAGAGCTGCGGCACTAACGCTCATGTCAGGCGAATGACATCTTCAGGAAGTGTTGCTGGCGCACGAGAACATGTCACGCGTTATCCCTCGATACTGCCAGATACGTTGGATGAACGGAGGAGGACGAGGATGGAAGGAGGCAAACAGATGTAGGGCTCGTTCGCGGGCTGCTAAGTGAACCTTAAGCTATGCACGACTCGGCGGAATTCAGATAGCTGGAGAAGAACGGAGTTCTATGTTATGACCCGTTCAGCCCATTGCGCATCACTGTTGAGATTAGAAAACACTTGCCGAGCACTCCAGCATGGCACAAATGATGAATATCAGATGCCATAGCGTCCGAGCCCATAGCGAGGTCATCCGGCGTTGCTAGACGAGACAGTTTCGCTCTCGTGGCGAATGACTCTGAGAGGGGGGGGAATGTGTTAGCGGCACTAAAGAGCGGGTGAGCAGCCTCGACTACCACATGACCGACATCTTACCGAATATCGCGAGCGTTGAGAACGGCCGCCGTCCGCGGCGCTACGACCGGGGTTTAGGGAGCAGAGAGCCCTCGGTGACTATCATGTTCATGACGCAACACTCGCGTTCTTCTTCGGATATGGAAAGCAATGTATATTTCTGTGACAATCGTGAGCCCGAGGCGGGATTTAGAGGGGTAGTAGAGCGTGGTGCTCACGGTTTAGGTTACAACCTCCAATTTGTCTAGCACTTCCCGTTCCCACTCTTTGCGGCCATGCGCATCCGCCTCTCCCTCATCCTTCAGTGCCTTTTCGAAGGCGTCCCATGGCACACACGCGCGGTCACCTTCTTCCGACGGCTCCAACGCGAACCGTCCTTGTCGGGCGCGCGTCAGGGTCACGACATGGCCAGCAGACCCCAACGCGTGTGCAAGGTCATGGACGATGGAACGCACATATGTACCGCCTGACACCTTCATCCGAAGGACGAAGGCCGTCGGTACGCCCTCGGAAGGAGCATCTGCTTCGGGCTCGTCCTTGACGGACACCGTGTCATCGACACTCTTTAGCGCCTTCTCCATGGCCTCCTGCTCCTCCTTTGTGAACTTCTTCTCAGGCCATCGGAAGGAGTGGTCGTCGCCTTTCCACTCGATCAGCTCCAGCTCGTGGACGGTGACCTTCCGCTTTTCGATCGGCCGGGGGAGAGGGATGCCGTTCCGCGCGTAGTCGTACAGCGGTTTTCCATCCATCTTCAGCGCCGAGAATCTACCATGCCGTGAGTCAGGGCAGCGTACATAAGACGCGTATGTACGCACATGGGTGGCACCTGGTCGATTTCTCCTCTAAACTGTTCCAACGCCTTCTCGACCTGCTCCCGCGTAACATGCCGCCACGGTGCGACGCGGACCTGCTTGCCCTCACTATCGTAGGTGTCGGTCTCGCAGCCAAGCAGACACGTCGTGCGGTATTCCTACGCGTCTCGGTCAATTCTGTTTGCTAGAAACGAGAGACGATCCGTGAATTACCTTCACGCAGTCGAGGAAGTCAGACAGCTTTTTCGTACCTTTGCCCACCCCGACAACTACACACACTTCAGAATATGTCATGATGTGCATTCATTTCAGATAATGTACCGAGTACGCCGTCTGCAAGGGGATCAAGGGTACCGCCCTGCCCGATCTTGACGGCATCTCTCCCGTGTTTGTTTTTCCTAGTCGTCTTGGAAGCCTTTGCCTTTAACTTTGATTCCTCCACAAATAGTGGCGAGTTGGCGACTAGCTTCTTGATATCGTTGACCAGAGACATGGACGTCGGTCCCGACGGCTTGACGACCCCAAACAGAGCTGATAAAGGGCTAGACTTCGTTTCCTTGGGCATCTTGGATGAATGGTATCCAGTTGGCGCAAGAAAATCAGGCCGGGTGTAGATTTGGGATAAAAACCGAAATCCCAGGCAGGGGTACGGAGGAAGACCAGAGAGGCGTGCAGTCAAAAGCATCCGTCGTGAGAGAACACAGGCGCCCACATGCCCGCGCGTACTTGACCACTCAAGAGAGGCAAGCTGGGAGGCAAATCACCATGCACGCGTTTCCCAGGCGAAAATGACGAACACGCGTTTGTGTCAAAGCCAGTTGTTTGCGTCAATATTTACATAAACAATACATTTTCGCATACTGCCAATCTCCTCGTTGAACTACTCCGCTGCGGACTGTCCTAGCGGAGTATTAATTGTCCAAGAAAGCGGCCTGCAGAAGAATGGCATGGCATTAGAGGGGTCAACGTAACGGATTGGTACACGCACAAATGCGCGATAGTGTAACTTGGAACCGTTCGTGTTGATGGCCTCAACCTCTTCGGGAGTGAGGTCGGGCAGGGCGAGCGTGTCCAAGTATTCCTGCAATCGCGACTCCTTCGTGGTCGTCCTGTTGTGGTAGATAGATGAGTTATATGCTAAGCCGAAAGCGTACAAGAGATACTGACGTGATCTGGGGGATACCCAATGCGCGCAACCACAATCCCAGAACTTGGCCTTGCGTTACGGTCTTGCCAGTGTCCTTCTCAAGACGCTTGCGGATGTCTTCCAAAGTTTCATCCACAGGCCCTCCAGGCTTGCGGAAGATAGGAGTCAAACCTCCGTATGACGTCGTCACGATGTTGTGCTTCTTCTGGTACTCGACCAAAGGCACCGAAGCTTTGTAAACGTATGGGTGATACTCAAGCTAGTTGACAGCACCGTATTCATCACTATGCCGTTCCTGTTGCGTCTGTCCATTATCTCATTGACGCTCACCTGGTTGACCGCAGGAGGGAAGCGCACGCTACCGTCTTCCAAGCCCAATTCCTGGAAATCCTTGATACGGAAGTTGGAGACACCGATGCTCTTCGCCAAACCCTCCTCCTTCAGAGCCTCAAACTGCTTCCAGATGTCCTTCAGCCTCCCTTCGTACCAGGTGGGCATGTGAATGAGGAAGAGGTCAACATGGTCCAGTTGCAGCCTCTTGAGCGACTTGAGGAGGCTCTCCCGGACGGTCTGTCCCTGGCTGAGCTGGGCCAACTTCGTCGTTACGAACAGCTTCTCGCGTGGAACCCCAGCGGTAGCGATCGCCTTGCCGAGCGAATCTTCGTTCTTGTACATCTGCGCACCATCGAGGTGGACGAAGCCTTTGCGAATGGCGGCAGTGACGGCGTCCTCCGCGTCCTTGGTATAGAGAGCAGTGCCTGTGCCGAACGCTAGCCAGGGAATTTCCCTGCCGTCGTTGAGCTTGATGCTGTGCTGGGACATCGTACGAGGTGCGATACGGATGGACGTCACAGGATATCGTCGAAGGAGGGTGATAACGACCATGGCAGCGATGGCCACAGCTATATATGTCCTTATAGACCTTAGCCTGAGACTGCCCATGTGGATACAGTCACTTCGGACTCCCTGAGTCGGCAAGGATGACGAAAGAAGCTTCAGGACCCTTCCGTGCGTCTTCTGTCGGATGTCGACAGATGCTGACCTAAGTACATTGCAACTGGCAGACAGTCAGCAACAGCAGACCCGTCCCGGCGTTCCCCACGCTCGTGTTGGAATCGACAACACGGCATCCAGGCCATATTGTATTGGGCAGAAATCATTGCTTTGTTCCTGGGAATGGTCGCCAGTAATCAAGTGGCGGCGATGTCATCCCTACTATATATATCAAATGCGCTGGAACAGGACCGCATGCAGAGCTCGCGAGCTGGGACTAAGGAGCGACGCGAAACCTTAACAGCTTGAAAGCTAGAGAGCTCCTTGACTCGAGACACGGAGTTGTACTGCAAGGCTTTGGGTCGATTGCCATCAGGCTTACGGTGGCAACCCCAAGGTGAACTGTATCATGATGTATGTCGTGCCGAATCTGGTTCCGATTTGGGCACATTGTGTACGATTATTCTCGGTCAACGAGTCCACAACGCTGTCCCGACGTCTGCATCCACTTTTCGGACCGGTTTTCTGGGCATAACGAACCTAGCGTAGGATGATCCCGTCGATCTTGCTGCACCCGCTGCCTGCGGACCTCTGCTCGCTCTGCTACAGGCGCTTGAGCTGACCTTGAATCCAGGTAGACAGGCGCCCATTAAGCGCGCGAGGAAATGAGCGAGCGACAAGAATTGGACTGTTGAACACGCCTACATATGAGAACGTTTATGATTTCACGCAACTGGCTACGTAGCAGGCTGCGTAACCACGTGTTCACGCAGTCGATTGATGGCGAAGCTCGCCAAGCTCTGTGTGTATGCAGCCACGCAGTCGTGTAACTGCGCGTCAATTGTAAGTTGTAACTGGAGCGCCCTCGGAGTTCAGCGCAGGGCAAGGCCAAAGTCTATACATCCTGCAAAGCCCTTGAGTAGACTCGTTTTGCGCGCATTGAGAACTAAATAAATGGTAGAGAAAATTTCAATTATAGTCGATCTACATTGCGTAAGGAAAGAGCTCTGTTGCAGGGGCCACTAAGAACCGAGAATAGGATTCTTAGCCTCGCTTACCCGACTCTGCGATTACACGACTGCACGCTTGTGTTATAATCGCGGAAGTGAACGCGCGACTGCGTGCATTCGTGGCTACGTAGCCAGTTACGTGCAATTGTAAACACTCTGTACATATGCGCTTCCGGTCGACGATACAAGCGCCTCTGTGTGCATGGGGCGCTTCGTTCCATCAGCCTGCCCTAAACGGCCACGCAACATACCTTGTGGGCGATTCTCAGTTTTTCATCTTTTAACAACTACAGGCACCCGTATACCACATGTCAGTGTGCTGCTCCCAAAGCCAGCGTCCTGTCATCGTCGGTGCCTCAGAAGAAACTTACGGTTCACTCTTTGGCCGGTCATCCCAACTCCCAATGGATTGGACGGTCACCTGGTGTTTCCGACAAAACTTCTCTGCTCGATCTAGTTGATGCTGAACTGTGATATTGCGTTCCAATATACGTAGTTATTCTACATCACTTCCGTGGAGTGTTTGTCACTGTAACTGGATAGTGTATGTTGGGAACGAAGAATACATGGAAAGAGTACACATTCATATATCATAGTTTAGGGATCAGGCAATTCACAGGTGCATCCGGATTGCAGTATGTGGCCTGCGTCATGTCGACCTGGTCCGTCAGAGACAGCAGGGCTGGGGTGGGAGGGAATGTGGTCGGGTCAGAAGGATCCTGTTAGACATATCTCAGTTGATCAATCAAAGACTACAGTTGAGCAGTACCCTCGAAAACTCACGTATAGGCGCATGGGGTGAGAGGTGCCGGTACTGCCCTGGGTGCAATGAGCGGAGAAAGCGGTGCTGGGGTCGTACGGGCGGCGTCTGCTAGATGATTCGGGGATGGAGGTTTCGCAAAAACCGAACTACCACCATCTGAACCCCGTGTCACTGTCACAGGGCCTTTCATGGTCATGAGGGATACCGAGGCGAAGGGGTGCTGGTGCTGGGTGACTACCATGTCGAGGGGGGGGGCGTTGAACGTCGCCGGCGTAAGATAGCGAGATAGTATATGGTGCCCCCGACGCTAACGAGGAACACAAGCACGCCCACAACGCCGCCCACGATCGAGCCGATATTATCGTGCTTATCGTTTGCCTCGTCCCTGGCCGTTTGCGATTGTGTACTGTTGCCAGATGCAGCAGGGCCAAATGTTTGCGAAGGTAGCCCGCCGTTCTGAGCAGTGGCCCCCGTGGTGGCACCGCCCGATCTTGTTGCCGTGCCGGAGCTACTCCCTGTTGGGTTGCTGCTCGCGGTCGCCGATGACGAGCTGCCACTAGGTGTGCCGGTGAATGTTGCAGTGCCAGTAGACTTCAGCACGTCTGCTCCCCAACCGACAGCATCATGATGTAAGTGGACGTGTGATGACGGCTACGCAACTCAAATGGGAGAGCCAACATTGAACACACTCACCGCCTATCCTATAGGCTTGATTGATGTTAATCTCGTCCAGCTGTATCATGAATTGATATGAGGCTTCAGATGCCCTAAATAGCACGATGCAAATACCTACTCCTGGGTTCACTGGTACAAAAGGCTAATTAGGAATACGGGTTCCCTTGGGCAGTGGGTGAGGGAAACTAAAGAGAAGTGTGGGTTGTGCGACGGGCGTACCACGCCTTAACATGAACATACCTGCCGTTGTTTACATCCTGGGGAGAGCAATTCTGAATCCACACTTCGCCAAATCTGAAGGCGGTCAGTTCGGTTTACAAACAAAAGTCTGGACTCGGGAGACTCACTCCATATATCCGCGTCCTTGGCAGAATCCGCACGCACTTGATAGCATATACGCAATAGAGCTGCAGGTACAAACATTGGCCTCCTCTGCCGTTGTACCTCTATACATGAAGGTGATGTCGGGGAGGGCTTGAATGTCCCAGTCTGGAGTGGGGTGTCGTGGACAGGTTTCTGCAACATGGCCGCCTTGAAAGGCAAATGGTTACTCACTTCCATCGGGTTGACAAGCGCCCATCATATACGCGACCATGAGACATGGACTCTGGCCTAGGGAGTTGGATAGCTGTACACAAACGGTCAAAGTCGCCAGGTAGAGGCAGATAGTGGGACCCACCCCTTCGTTGCCAGTTTTACACACTGCGTCGGTGGTTTGGCTGTTCACCAACCGCAGAGTAGCTACGGCTGCTGAGATCGACCAGGCCAACATAGTGTCTCTGTCTGATTCCAAGGTTTCGGGGACGAAGACGGAATAGACAAAAAGCTCATTATCAGGCAAAAAGGCTGAGGATATACCTTATGACACTACTCAACGTAACCTGCGATCTACAGACGCGGCGTTTAGTAGGCTCTCACAGCCCCTTCCGCTCGAGTCGGCGTCCAGGCACATGCGCTAAACGAGGGCTAGAGACGGGCTTCCTGATCCTCGTTCTCACAAACGGCCGCAATCCTCTCTGTGGCTGTTCAGCCAAGTGCGAACAAATGTACGACTAGCTTTTCGCCCACGACTCCGAACTGAATTAGGCACCTTGACGAACGTCGAGCGCCGAGAATCGCGAGCCTCAAAAAGGCTAAATGGGAGGCCATGCTGAGCGTGGTCGGATAAACGAGACGAAGCTCAGTACACAATGTCCGCAACGCAGAGGTCGTACGTACCGTTGCCTGGACGGCGATTTGGACTGGTCAGGCAAATGACATGCAAACCCATTCTCATCTTCGATGCAACTTGCCGTCGCAAGTAGCGAGAGACAATCAACGAGATCATTATGACAGAATACGTGCTTACCAACTATGCTTAGTTGAACAATCCTGTATCCGATTCATATGTATCGGCGTCTACGGGCTAGCGACGGTTTTACATCAAAGGTTCATTTCTGTCAGCATAAGGCTATACAGGGATCTACCGGACTAAGGCTCACGTACCAGCGTGCCGTACCGTGATACGCGCACGGTATCTGACCATCCTCCATAGATAGGACAGGTCGTGTTGGAGATATACATCTTTGTTTCTACGGTCGTCCCGAAGCTAAGCTGATAACAGAGCAGGAATACAGAGCAGAATTCGTCTCAAGGTCTGCCTGGTTTGTTGTGCGTGATGCGGGATAGAAGACAAGAAGAGTTCATACGGCAGTGGCGACTGGGCGCTGCGACCCAGGTCTGCGCGTCGCGTCATGGTCACGTGACATCTGTTTTGTTGGACGCGTTTGGAAAGACGTCTGGCATTGGCCCGGTTCATGGTCATCGTTTGTTTGGGACGCCCTCGGGTTGTCTTTTGACAACGACTCACTTGGACCGTTGCTGTCATTTGGGTCTTCGGTGCAAGGCGCTTTCAACTCCGCCTTCTTAAGAGCATCACTGGCCCGAGGACTTCTCCAACTACATCTTCCCGAATCTTAACCACCACGTACGTTTTCCGACATACAACCGTCCAGCACCTCAGTTCTACTCGTTACTGACTGGAAACACTTCAAGCAGTCCTTGAACAACTGGTTTTCTAGACGTCTCGCCTATATACGATCACAGTTCACTGCCACAATGCTGGATCACCGCGGTTTCTCTGCTTGGATCACTTCTGACGGGCTCGAGCTTGTCGAGTTTGAGCCCCGAATTAACACCCAAGCCCACACAGTCACCTGCTGGATTGCAGGCTCTGTTGGACAGGTTTGCTATTAGCTCATATCGCCACAACATATCTGGGCTGACTACAATTTCAACCACCAAAGCCCTTCATCGTGCACTGGCGCGACCATGGTAGCTTGGTGGATAGCGCAAGCTGGATTTACTTTGACGGGTTCAAAGTCTCCGGCCAGTTCCTCTACGGCAGTGGCGAAGAGCTTCGTCGTGGTGTTCGTGTTGGCTCTGAGGAGGAACGCCCTTTCGTCTTCTCTTCCATCGACCATAGTATGTGGCGAGAATACATGCATTGAAATTGCAGCTCATTTTGTCCTTTCAGTGGATCCGGTTGGCACGATTGGTGGGCGCCCTACAGACAAGAACGTTGGCTCCATTGTCCTGGAGATACGACTCATCAAGCTCGTTGGAGAGCGTGAGCCAAATACACTGACTCCGCCGCCTGACGTCATTCGTGGCAACCGTCTACCCGGAGAGGTAGCCATCAGGTACTAACATGGATCTTCAAACTTTCACCGATGCTAATGCTCCCTATAGGTACGGCGATGTCCGCCCAGCGTCGATGCAAAAGAGGACCTACAAGATCGAGCCGTTTGATACGAATGCACCGGGACCGTATGTTACGTTCATCTTCCGCTACCGGTCAAAGGGTAATTAATATAGGCAATCTTGTAGTGAATGGTTACTCACAACCTTCACAGATTGGCTCGTCTCCCAAGGCATCGTGGGGGATGACGAGGTCACTTCTCGACTGCTCGTCCTGCCGGATGTGGACGATTGCAGCAAGGCTGATCTTCCTCCTCTCGAGCCCGAGGACGATGAAAATGAGAGTGAATATGAAGACGAAGAAGAAAACGCCAACCCATCTGCGGGACTACCAGTGCCAACTCGTGTCGCGTCCGGAACTCGCGTCACCTCCAGCAGCCAGTCTTCTGAACAAGAACCGGGTTCCTCGCTGGCGACGTCCAATCCGCCGACCCCTGGGACGGCCCCGAAAGTTAAGATGGAAGAGCTCGGTTTGGGACACCGGCCGCAGGCACCAACAGGAATGGGCCGGGTGGGCATCTTGTCTTCCACATCTCTTAGCTCGTGCTTGTGTTCATCACGTGTGGATACAGGTGTCTTCCACGAGCTCAAGCCACTCTTTCTCTGGCACCTGGGACCCCTCTCCCTCTGGCGAACCTTACGAAGAATGGGATGAGTACCGTCCCGAAGAACTTGATGAAGCTCTCAACAACTACTTCTGATGCTCTCGTCGCAATCATGCAATCGCAAGTCGCAAATGTCGAATCACAGTGTTGTTAAACGCTACGTACTCTTTCACGCTCTCTCGCTGCTGTTCATCTCGTCTCGCTCTTGCTTTGTACAATCAAAATCGTCCTTTCCCGTGTCTTGCTGTGACATTGCAGTTGAAGGTTCTCAGATTGTTTGCTTGCGCTCGTATCCCCATGCTCTTTCACATCTCCTGTTGTCATATCCTTTGTCTCGCTTGTCCTTGTCCTACTGACCCTTCTTTGCTCCGTCACGAAACCTCACGATTACGAAAGCTCTCCACTTATCCACTGTTATCTGTCGAATATCTGATTGCTTTGTTCTGTTTACCTACGCTTACGCTGCCAGTTCAGCAACTTCAGCCACATCTACATATATACACGTATCTTGTTTTGCTACCGTCGCCGAATGTCTTGCTGCTCGTTGGCCATGTATCTGCCGCTCTCAATGCTTTATTTATATTTGCATTTGGATGAATATGCCACTGTGAGGTTCTTGGAGCACCAACCTCATTGAAACGTTTCGTATACGACTTTCCTAACAAAGCTGTCCTGGCCCTAACCCTAGATTCGCTCTACGCGCCATTTAGGTTTCTGGGTGTGCGTACCGCCGCGCGCTGCAATGTCTTCGTCGTCCTTGTCTGCGACTTCCATGTCCTCTGTCTCGTCATCACAGCTCTCTTCACTACCGACATATGCATCCGTAACGACATCGCGTCTCAAGTCGCTCTATTCCGACTTCACGTATCAAAAGCAATCAAATCCAACTTCTTATGCATCCAACGTCGAATGGTGGCGTCACACACTAGAAGCGGCGCTGCTTCGAGGCTGGCTTTCGCAATCACATAATGCCAACAACACCGGAGCCTCGTCTGACAGACTCGTCTTGCACGCGTACGGCGTTGCGTTTGCTGACAAGTTTCGTGTGGAGGGTGTGGGCAAGCCACTGAGTATACCGACTGTGATAGTGAGTGCATCGCTTTCACGTGCCTACTCGGGGAAACTGGCACTCACGAGTGCTCCTTGCTAGTGAAGTTTGAGCTCTGCAACTCCAAAGCCTTGATTCCACTGTCTGACTTTCTCAGTGCGTCGCGCTCAATATACGACCCGGGCTGGCTCCCATACCGCATCGCCAGCTTCGTGGTTGGCAAGCCGCTCTGGTGGGGCCTCGGGCAGCTTGGGATCGTGGACAACCATGGGGCGGCGTTTGGGGACTCAGGCACTGCGGAGCGATGGAAGAAAGTCCGTGGAGACTACGTGTCGGTCGGACTGCTTGAGGGTGCAGCGGAGCGAATATTGGAGAGGCAGCGGCTGAAGAGCTCGGGCCAGCTCGCGGACCAGCTGTATAATATGGACAGCTTCCGAGAGGAGTTCTCTTTGGTGGCGCTCGAGGACGCGCCTTTGTCGGCACTGGATACGAAGGTTCTACTCAAATTCTTGGAACGCGATAAGGGCGCAGTCGTCGTGCGTGGGGAGGTGCGTGCTCTGTGGTCTTCCATCATTGTCCGGTGAACTTATGGTTCACGCAGGTGATCAAGTTTGTGGATGAAGGCACCGCGCAGACCGCTGAAGTCACTGCTGTGGATAGTGGCCTCCTCGCGCTGAAGACTTCGGTGCATAAGTTGCACGCGCAGATTGATAGCATACAACATCGCATAGACGAGTATGCTTTCGTTGATCTTGGACCCGACAAATGTGTGCTGACAATCCTTCAGTACGACACGACAGATATCAGATGCGCTGCGTCAGAAGCGAAAGGAGATCGCTATGACGCGCTTACGCGTTCGGAAGCAACTCGAGGACGTTCTGAAGAAGCGTCTCAGCTCGCTCGAACTACTGCAGTCTACTCTTCTTCGTGTCGAAACGTCTGCTGGGGATATCGAGGTACGTTGTATGATCAGTGATTTGCAGGATCATCGCTGAAATGGCTCTGTCATGCAGATTATGAAGTCGTACGAGTCCTCTACTGCCACACTCCGCGAGATCCTCGCACACCCCCTCCTCCAGCGGGAGAAGATCGACGAGACAATGGACGCTATGGCGGCTGCGAACGCCGACGCGCGCGAGGTGGACGATGCTATCCAGCTCGGCGCGAACATGGCGCATGCGGGGGCTGGCATGGACGACTCCGAGCTCGAGGCCGAGCTTGCTGCCCTCGTCCAAGAGGTCGAGACTGAGAAAGAGCAGGCTCAGCGCGGCCGTCTGGAAGCGGAGAAGCTCCGTACGCCGGCGCATACACCCGTCTCGGAGGATCCTACCAAAGAGTCGGCAGCAGCTCCGGCAGAGAAGGTCCCTATCGCATCGTGAATGGATCGGTGGATGGGTGCCGGTCCATCTCCCTACATGTCGCGTTCTTACTTTCACACGAATGTCTGCACGCACGCACACACGCATTGGACTGGTTATGTTGCGCCTGGCAAGTCATTGATACGTATGCTACATCTGTGATGGATACATCTGTGAAATGCAGTCCAGCTTTCATGCTACAAACGCGTAGTCCGTGTACAATAGTCCGTGTATTCGAACGAGTCCGCCAGTGGTCCCGCCACCGACCAAAGATCCACCGAGGCCCTCAGAAATCAGTCGGCGCACCCTGCGCACGGCTCCTCCTCTCGGTCTCATACAGCCCATAAATACTATACGTCGGGCTCCTATAGTCGTCGTACGCCTCCGGGTTCGCGTGCGCCATCGCCATCTGCGCCAGGCTCGGCAGCGGCGGCGGCGACGGCACGCGCGGCGGTCGGTCGTCCGCCCTACTCCCGCTTACGTTCTTGCGCGGGACCCCCGCCCGCGTCTTCGCCTGTCCCTGCCCCTGCGCGCCCTGGTGGGCCGGCGGGGCGGCCCCGACGATGCGCGCGGACGGGAGCGACGCCATGCTCGCGGTGAACTCGGCGAGCATCAGGTTTCCCAGCCGCGCGCTCGCCTCCGTCCCGGGGCTCATCGGCGCCTCGCTCTGCGCGCGGTGGTGCGTCGGGGTCGGCGCTGGGGTGGACGACGGCACGGGGGGCAGCGGCGGCGCGGGCCTGCTCGCGAAGCTCCGGCGCCTGTCGCCCAGCTCGCGGTCCCCGGCGAGCGTGATGGAGTCGTCCGGATGGAGCGTCGCCGCGGGAGAGAAGAGGTACGCCGGCTCGTGCGCGTGCGCGTACGCGGGCGCGGAGGGCGTCGCGAGCCCGAGGGCGGACGTGAGCGCGCGGGTGTCGCGCTCGCGGCGCGCGTCGGACTTGAGCGCGGGGGAGAGCGGCGGGAGGACGTACGTGGGCTCGCAGTGCTGCGCGAGCAGGGACGCGCGCGTGCCGGGCGGGCGGGCGAGGGTGGTGATCCCGGCGACGGTCGAGGACGCGCGGAGGGTGGCGGTCGCTGCCCCAGGGGTGTACCCCGGCTGGACGCGTGCGCGGCCCGGGCCGGATGCAGGGGTGAACATGGACCTGCGCTGGGAGGCCCTCGACATCGGGGGCGCCGCTGTTGGTGCGGGGGGCTGGAGGAGGGGCGAGGTGGCCTGTGCGCCGCCGTAGATGTCGCGGTACTCCGTCGCGCCGAGGCTGTGGCGGAAGCTCTGGCGGTCCTTGGCTGCCGCACGCTCCCTGGATGGCTTGCGGTTGAGCATGGGGGTGCCGTCGCCGGTGAGAGGAGACGCGCCGCCGATGGCTATCCCGATGCCGGCGTTGGACTGGGGCGAGGTTGGGTAGATGGACATGGACATGGCGGAGACGCGGTGTGCTGCACGCGTAAGCGCGGTCTGCATCTGTTGCACAGGGGGGTTAGCTGGCGGCTCATTGTAAGTGCTAGTTTTGGCTGGTAGCTTGACGTGCACAGGGTTCACAGGCTTGTCAGAGATCAGCGCAGACTTGGGTGCCGCCAGAGGTTCCTTCGAGGGCAGGTTAGGCAGAGGACTCTTAGACTTCGCAGCTGCCAGTCCTTCAGAAGGCCGAGGAGTGTACTGCACCCAAGGATAGATGCCATTGCTCGGGGGTCTGGCGATGGACGAGTCGTTGTCTTTGCCGCCAAAGAGAGACTCATCGTCGACCTTGAGATCTTGGTCGGTGAAGGGATCTTGGAAAATCGGCAGAGAGGGTGTCGGGCAGGTCCTTTTGCGGGGACGATTCCGCCATCTCCAGAAGACGAGGACACTGAGAAACATGAAGATGATGCCGACAGAGACTAGGACGGCGACGACGATCTGCGTGTGGCTAGGACCTTTGTCGGTGTCGTGATCGGGTTGGTTCGCACCCAGTGCGCGAGAAGGGTCATTCGGGACCTCGGCAAGAGAAGGTGTCGGGATGGGCGAGCGAGATGCACGGGTTGCCAGAGCAGTCAAAGGCGGCAGTGCAGACAAACCAGAGGCGAGTGCCAGTGTGACCGGAGGGACGGTGAGCGTGGTCGGACTTTGAGAGGGGATGATCGGTAGAATGCCAGTGTGTACGGGATGTTCGGCGAGGGGCCTGGGAGAAGGCAAACCAGTATCCGGAGCAGGACCAGGGACATCTTGAGCCTGAACCTCAAGGACGCTTGGCGCTTTAGGCTTGCCCTTGACCGCTTTTGACTTGGAACTGTGTTTGGCGGGCGCATGAGATTGCTTGGCAGGCGAGTGTTTTTCTTCGCGGTCTACATTGTCGTTAGTTGTAGTGTCCGGTGCCTGTGTGTAAGGGGCATATGCCTGGTACGTTGTACGCGTAGACAGGTCAGTTGGCGGCGTTGACTTGTCGGTGACAAAGAGCGGAGGGAGATCCATGGGAGGGGATAGTGCTAGCGAGGACGCAAGGAATGTAGGATAGTAAGGAGTGTCGGGCAGACGAGCGCAAGAGGAAGTCGGCGAGAGCCTTGAATGCGAGCGGCCGGCACTGCAGACGTCTGAGCGTAGACAAGGACCGAGACGGGGAGAGATGCAGGCGGACACTGGCCAGGAGCAAGCACGGCGGGAGACCCAGTCAGAGTCTTGCAGCTGTAGGCTGAAACAGAGTTGGAAACGCCCGCGCCCAGACGCGACTCCCCCCACGTGATCGCGTCGCGGCAACCGCCGGCACGAACGGGGTTCACTGGCAAGTCCTCTCGACCCTGACCGCCCCAGCCCATCCTCCCCCGCCCGTCGGTCCCTGCGCCTTCTACCGTCGCCTCCTGCTTCCCTCCATAGCCGATCTAACTGCCTGCAACATTGTCTCTTGCATGACCGGCACCGATCCTGCGCTTACCTGGGCCTTGTACATCATTCTGACCCATTCCGCTAATATCATTGCACCCTGCCCGACCTTCGCGTCCCAGTATCTCCACAATCTGACAGCTCTGCTCGCGATTGCTGTGTGATACAGAGATGGAGCCCAAGCCCGAGTCCAGGTCTGTGGTAGCTCCCGCGTTTTGGCTTTTAGCCACGCTCGGCTAACGTCCCGACAGATATGACGAATCCCAAGCGAGCCAACTTCTTGCCGCCGCTCTACTTCCAAGGGTCCCTCAACCGGCCCCACCCGTCGCCACACCCGCTGAAGCTTCTCAGGTCCAGGAGAGCCCCCTGCACCTCCACTCGGACAGCAACCACTCCGTTCACTACCATATACACGGCCTGGGGGCTACCCAGTCGTTATATGGTAGCGAAGACCAGCCTTATCCGGAAGGCTCTCAAAAGGAGAACACCCCCGCCTCTTGGGACAAGGACAAGCACTCACAGCCTTCATCTCCTTCACGCGCGCACCCACTCCCTTCTTATACCCCGGAACTCCGAGAGACGCCCTCCAACGTGTTTCCGCTGGCCAAAGTGGCAAAGGAGAAGAAGTCCTGTCCAAAGGACCTTAGTGTCCCAAAGGACCTGTCATCCCCGAAGTTTGGTAAGGCCATCTCATCCGCTTCCCCCTCTCGTACGCACTTGGACCGCCCCTCCACTCTCCCTTCCCGCTCAATGCTCCCTCCACCAAGATCCAAATCCCCCTCTCAACCCTCGCAAGACTCCTTTGCCGGCCCCTTGCCGGAGCCGGACCCCGCAAAGGCGTTTCTTGCGACAACCAAGAACTTCAATATCCCTTTGTATCAACTTGGCGAAGTGTCTCAGTTATCGTCCGAAGAGGACGGTCCTCCTCCCATCTCTGTCAATCTATGGCCTTCTCGAGAGTCTCATTCCTTTCAGCGTCAACCCTCGCCTCCTCCAGAAATCCTTGTAGCCGGCACGCCCTCCAACCCCTCTCGCGACTCGCAATCGCAACCCCAGTCCCAATCACAGCCTCCCGCACAGCGCTCTCAATCTCAACAAGTCGACTCTCAGTACGGCAGCTCTCCGTACTCAGATCCTTTCCCCCAAGCGCAAACCGAGGAATACCCAGATCCCCCAACCGCGCTCAATGATGACATCCTAGGTTCTCCATCCCGAGACGCGTCCACCCAACCCTCGTCTTCTCTCGAGCGTCTCCTGGAGAATCCATTCGAGGACGCGCCAGTGGCGACACAGATCGCGGACAGCACCCCGCCAACGCAGATCGTCGAGCAGACCCAGATGGACAGCCAGACAGGCGACTACGCCTCCCTCGCGCGTGGTCAAGCGTCCATCATACGCGGCCACGACTACTTCAACGAGAACAGTCAGATGGTCTTCCCCTCTGTCCAGTCCGAGTTGCGCTCGACGGACCGGTCGCGGTCTGTCCTCCCCCGCGGCATGCTCGGCATGATTGCACCCGAGAAGCGCTACCGCTACCTCGCGTCTGGCGCGACGGGTCCTTCAGAGTCTCGGGGTACCGCAACGACGGCGGACCTGGACGTCGGCGGAGGGAATGGGACGCAGCCCTCGGACGCGCCCTCGAGCGACGGCGCGCGCACCCAGGAGACGCAGCTCACCGAACAGCAGGACGACTTGGAGGAGACGCAGCCGTCCGACGTCGCGGTCAACGGGAGCCTCACGTCGCTGTTCGCCCGCCGCCGCTTGCCTCCTGCGAACCACGGCCTGAAGGCCGGACAGTCCCCGCGCATGACGGCCAAGGCTCCCGAGCCTGCCGACGAGTCTGCCGAGCCGGACGAGACAGGGCCCACAGAGATCGTGTCGCAGACTCCGGACAAGACGGGCCCGACGCAGGTCGTCTCTCCGTCTCCGGACAAGGAACAGGAAAAGGGAAGGGCGGGTCAGACGCAGGTCGCCTCGCCTTCTCCAGACACGACGGGCCCGACGGAGATCGCCACGCAGTCGCTCGACAAGTCGAGCCCGGCGAAGTTCGTGCCGGACTCGGACCCGCCTGACCCGCCTCTGCGGGCCCCAGCTGGGTCGCGCAAGAGGCCTGGTTCTGCGTCGTCGGCCGCGACGTACCATTCGCCTGAGGTGGACACCCGGTCGAGGAGGTACTTGCAGTCGGAGGATGAGGTGCTGCGGACGATCGTTACGGCGGAACCGTCCGTACCGCCTGTCGAAGAAGAGGAAGAGGAGACAGAGGAGGAAGAAGAAATACCTTTGGCGAAAGCATTCTCGTCGACGAAGGCGAAGGGCAAGCAAAGAGCTGCCGAGCGCGAAAGCAAGGCCCCTCCCGCACGCTCTCCCGCCGCCACTAGAGGGCGGGGAGGTATAGGACCGCAATCGCCCGTGAGGACTGCCATCACCCGTAACAACAACCAAGGCAGCTCCTGGAAGGGCGCCGTCGTCCCGTCGTCCGATCCTGGGGAGCGTCGCGAGGAGGCCGCGCCCAAAGCGGCCGCGTCAAAGTCGTCGAAGCCCCGCACACCGGTCGACCAGATCCCGCCTCCTCCGCCGAAGTCGCGCTCGACGCGAGCTGCGAAGACCGCCGCGCAGGGCCGTCTCGCCGAGAGCTCGGACGAAGAAGATCAGGATGAGGATACGTCCTCGCTGACCGACGAGACCGTGCCCGCGGACGACGACGAGATGGACGTCGACCCGCCCGAGACGAAGGCGAAGCCCGCGCGTGGCAACAAGCGCAAGCGCACCGTCTCCGGCTCTGCGCGGAAAACATCGACCCTCGCGCGGCCGAACGGCCGGCCGGTCGTCAAAGCGGAGTCCTTGACGCCGCTGGGGCGCCCCGCGAAGCGCATCAAGACCGAGGGCGGCAGCGACTCACCCACGCGCGTCTTCGCACTGTGGAAGGGCACCGCGCAGTACTACTCCGGCGTCGTGCACGAGTCCTTGGGGGTGGGCACCGGGCGATTCATGGTCAAGTTCGACGACAACGATAGCGCGGAGCTCGAGCTCAGGCACCTGCGCGCGTGCCGGCTCAAGGTGGGCGACCACGTCCTGTGCAAGCAGAAGGACAAGGCGGTGGTCGTGGCGTGCTCGCCCTGCCCAGAGAGCGGGTACCTCCCAAAGGACACGGTCACCCTAGAGCTCAAGGACGACGGCCGAGAGGAGGCGGAGGTGCAGAGCCTGCAGATCCCAATCAGGAGCGTGAACGCGGAGTGGGACGACCGCAAGCTGACGGAGGACGCGGTCGTGCCCGTGGTGCGGCGGAAGGTGAGCCCGACGCCAAGCAGGCGGTCCGCGTCAGCTTCCACTCAGAGTGAGGCGCAGCGCCGGAAGGCGCTGGCGGGGATCGGGCTCGTCGTGTCGCTCGCGCCGGGGAAGGAGGCGCAAGAGGTGCGGGCGGGGCTCGTGGCGGACATCAAGAAGTGCGGGGGCGTCGTGCTCGACGACTGGACGTGCATCTTCGGGATGGAGGGCACGCTGGAGCAGAAGGGGCTGCGGTGGGTGCTCAAGCAGGGGGATATCAGGTGGAGGGAGAAGGCGGGGCAGGGGATCGACAAGGTGTTCCTCATCTCCGACGACTTTCACCAGAAGCCGAAGTATCTCGTCGCGCTGGCGCTGGGGATACCGTGCTTGTCGGTGGAGTGGTTGAGGGCTTATGTGGAGACGGTATGTGTCCATTGCTGGCTCGGGTGGGTGAACGGCGCGAGGTTGACCGCAAGTGCGTTTGTAGGAGGCGCAGTGGCGTCCGTATCTGCTGCCCGCTGGGTACTCGGAGCAGCTCGAGGCCCGGGTGTCACAAATGGTCGACATTGACTGGGGCACCAGCGACCACCATCTGACGGACGTCGCCGCCAACAAGGTTGCTTCCAAGGTCTTCGCCGAGACGTCCATCCTCTGCATTTCTTCTGACTACGTTCCTGCGAAGAAGGCAAAGAAGGTGCGTGGTGTCTCGCCATCGGTCGTTCGCGAACGCTCATGGCTTATGGTGTAGAGCGGAGATGCCGCCAAGGACGCTGCTGAGTCGGTACCACGCATCACCTTATGCATGGGTGCTGCGACTGTTGAGTCTGTCGCCGATGCCAAGCATGCCTCCCGTGACCCCAAATTATACGACTACGTCGTTGTCCCCGATCAAAACCTCAGCAAGTTTGCCAAGTACAAGAACGCCGTTGACGTGAATTGGGTCAAGGACTGTCTCATCTCCGGAAGGCTTCTTCCTATGCCCAGTTAGATTGCCCCATCATCGCTATACCTTACAGCAGATCTCCCGTACGTATCTTATTATCGCGCGTCGTCGTTATGATCGCTATGCCACATTCTTGCTTGCATCCAGCTACTTAATGGCTATCGTAGTTCCCGGACATTATCCCTGCATTGGCTATTGCTCTTTTGATTATTCATATGTTGTCTGTTGACGCAACCGATGAATACGACCATGTATCTTTTAGGTCCTTGCTGTATAAATGTCTTGCTTATAACTGAATGTCATACCTCTCCTGTAGTGTCAGCTGAATACCACACTTCGTATACCACTGATGTCTCCTATGGCTGAATCATGACGGTGACGAATATTGCTAATGCACATGTGTTTGGCCGAAGCACTTCTCGTTCCCACGGCTCAGCACAAAGTCGCAGCTTGTCGCGCCCTTGTCGTGCCGGGGATAGGCGTCTAAGCGCGTTTACACTTGAACGCGTTCGTATCATCCGTCTCCTACATGCCATCTTAGCTTCGCCGTCTTACACCGAAAATCTCATCAGCTCCATGTCCGAATCCGAAAGCGAGTACGAAGTCGGTGAGTGGCCCTTCAAACCACATGCAATGCAAACGTATCAAACGGAACCTTGCAGAGTCCATCCTGCGGGCTAAGGTGGAAGGAGGAAAAAGGGGCAGGAAGGCATGGGTGAGTCGCATCACTGGGCCTCATGATGAACTGGCATTTTAACGACTGCCTTTGGGCCACAGTCTTACTTGGTGAAGGTGAGGCCCTTGGTGGCGTTCAAATGACTGGACTACTGAACTTAATGAACGGGCAGTGGAAGAACTACGGACACGAAGATAACACGTATGTCTACCTATCCAATTATTGTCGGCTTGCGATGGCTGCGATATGTTTGCTTGTTACTCACTTCGATGGACCACGTAGGTGGGAGCCTACAACATCCTTCGGGGATGGCTCCGAACATTTCATCGACGAGTTCTGGTCTCGGATCGACGTTCAGGGGCGGGACATCACCAATCTGCGCGACTTCTCTGTAGGCGAGGAGTTCTTCCCTTCGGGTCCTCCACGTGAGCTACCACGACCCTTGTGTTGCTCCCTTCTCTTCTGACATCAATTCACTCGTGTAGGCAAGAAGAAAGTGAAGAGAGCCAGAACACCGGAGGAGTCGCCTGAGCCTCCAATTCAACTTTCCGATCCTGAGCAAGAGGATGGCCCGGTCACTCACGAAGTTGAGGAGTCCGCTGCTAGTCCCCTACCGACCCGCAGCAAACGCCCTCGTCCTTCTGTTGACGAGGAGAAACCTGCAGCATCCAAACGCAAGCGCGGCCCCCCTGGAATCCCTGCGCGCGAACTGGCGCAATCCGCACACTCTAAGCGTAAGCGTAGCCCTGTTGGAAGTTCTGTGCACGAAGATGAAGAAATCTCCGTGCCAACTACACGCAAACGTGGACCCCCTGGAATTCCTGCACGCGAGCTGCACGAACCGACGCCGCCGCCTAAGCGAAAGCGTGGTCCTCCAGGCATTCCCGCAGCCATAGTTGAGCTTCAGACCCTTCGCCCGCTCAAGGCTGAACCATTGCGTGCATTTTCGCAAGGGGTAGAGGAGGAAATCGCTCAGCTAGAGCTGGAACCCGTGATAGCGGACGAGCCCGCGCCGTCTCCCACAAAACGCAGGCGTGGGCGTCCGCCTGGCATACGTCCAGCGCAGCTAGAGGCAGAGGAAAAAGCTGCGGTTGAGGCTGCGGCAGTAGCAGCAGCAAAGGCCGCATCACCGCGGAAGGCTCTCAATGGCAGACGTGTTGTGCCAGACTCCCGTGCTGAACGCGTAGTGCCGGACTCTCGTGCTGGACGTGTCGTACCGGATTCTCAAGCTGAATCCTCCCGTGGCCGCAAGGCGGTCGCTACCGAACCTGCCTCATCCAGCCCTCGTCGCCTCTCACTACCCCGTAGACGCGGACGCCATCCTAAGACGGCCCCTCCCACCAAGAAATCGCCCTCAGCGGATGAGCTCCTCATCGTGTCTGACAGCGACGAGGGTAAAGGGAAAGCTCGGGGAAAGGCGCACGCGCCGCGTGGCAATGCGAATGGCACCTCTGCACAAGAGCCGATGGATGTCGGCGCGCTTCCAGACCCTCCGAGCATATTTGGTGTCCCCTCTCTGCTCAGTCCGGATCCCTCGAGTGTTCCCGAGGCGCTTCCAGAGTCCCAGACCACACCACCCTCACCTCCCCCCGCACATCGTTTGCGCGCCGCCAATCCCCGAGTCAAGATCGCCGACGACCCTCATCTCACTGAAGTGAACGGCCCGGAGGCTATCGCCGTGAAAGCTCGCTTTATGAAGCGGGCCGCCAACGGCAGAGACAAATCCTCAGACAACAATCATTCCGCATTCGTCTCAGGCTCGAAGGCAGGTCCCGGCAGGTCTTCAAGCGGACTCTTCCCCGAGAACAGTCGCCTGACAGTACAGAAGGGCGTTCTCACCAGCGTGAAGCCCAAGAAGACCCGCAAGGCGATTGCCGAGGAGGTGCCTGCAGTCGAGCAAAATGGCTCCCCAGCCTTTGACTCCGCTGAGGCGACCGAGATGCCCGGTCTTGGGCAGCTTGACGTCCAGCCCGAGCCCGAGTCCACGCCCACAGGACAGGAGCTTCTCGAGGCAGCAGGGATGAATGACAAGGCGGTCGAGGATTTGCCTGACTTCGAAGATGCCGGGGGCGACGGCGAGCCTCCGAGTGCACCGGAAGCCCAGAATGAAGTGTGCGTACCCATGCTCTCATGTGTTGTGCTGTATTGAATGTCTTGTGTAGTATCGAGGTCGAATCGCCGCGAGCATTCGAGAGCCCGAGTGCTGCTCAAGCGGGTGAGACTGCAGCGTTGCAAGCAAAACCCCTCACATTTACAAGCCGAGTGTCTATGTGGGGCCAGTCCACGATCTTTGGGCCACTGTGCGTGTCGCTGCCTCGAGACTCAGATATCGAAGCTTATCATGTACCCTCTTCAGCACGCTTGGTTTCACCGGCCGTGCGCAGAGCGAGACAGGTGCAGCGGACCCGTAAGCTTTTCTCTGATTCTCACACGTCTTCATGTCGTCATGGACCCACTTCAGATCCGCCGAGGCAAAGAGGTACAATTTTTACCTCAACCTCGACCCTGCGGTGTCTGTCCCCATTACTCTTAAGGACGTGCAAGCTTCCCAAACTTTCCTCGACGGTCTTGATAGTACTGCGCGGAACCCGACTGGCAAGTTCTACAAGGACAGTCACGCTATCGCCCTGGTCGGCACATTGAAGGCGAAGCGTTCTTACGCCCGAGTCGTTCCTGGAGACGCCTCGACCGACGAGCAGAAGAAGCACTTTGAACGCTTCATAACTCGTCTCCGAGCCGGGGAATTGGTATGTGGCTATTGCTTTCTAAGGTAGACCTCGTGCCGACATGCCTCCTTGTAGTTCATCCAGATGAACCGCGCCGAGACGTTAGTGATGTGCGCATCAGAGAATGCCATCCTCGGCCAGCGCCTTGGTATCCCTGCTCAGCTTCTCGGGCTGGGCGATACTGCGATTGTTGCCCATGTCGACGTTGAAAATTACTCCCAGTATGCCGAGGCTGCTGTGCACGCGGACACCGCCCGCTGGTAGTCCTCGCAAAATCGCAGCTCTTAAAATGGTTGAATGTTTTCGATTTATGTGCTTTCTCAATCTATCTGTTTTATCCCCCGCTATCCTTGCTATGTCCGCACGTCTTCTCTTCTCCCTTACCACTTACTACGATACACTGTATGCGAAACATGGATTCAATCAATTGTCATCGTGAGTAGACGCTGATAATGAGGTTGTCCGATTGGGCAGCGAGTACTCTCGATCATCACCGTGCAGGTTCCTGTTTGGGTCCAATTATGTGTGTTTGGATCGGTATGCAAGTGTCTTTTTTAACCAGAGGTCAAATAACTGGTCAATGCCTTCAGATTCCTCTCCTCAACTAGTCGCTGCAGACGATCAGTCGGAGATCTGACTCCATCCAACCTCGCCGTGGTCTTCACAGCTTCCCCTTCGACACGATACCTCCACCCAGGTAATGTAGCGTCGCCTGGCGGCACTCGTCGATGTACTCCTCGACATCCTCGGTCTTGTATGTGTTCCTGTCGAACGTTACCGCAAGGCCGAGCCTCCCGCGCTCGGTACCGTTGCCCAGGAAGAACTCGGTGGGACGGCTGTGCAGGTACGTTGTCTCGTCTATGATCCTGAGGAGCGCGTCTGCGTCGGAAGTCGCTGGGGGTACCAGTGGGGCTTTTGAGTTTGAAGTGGACGGCGCCTCTGAGATAGCACCGAAGTGCGGGTTTGCGGGGCGCGGGGTACGCACGGAGAGCGGATGTCCCTCGGGAAGAGGGTAATTGGAGGGCAGGATGAGAGACATCTAGACACGGCAAGCATGAGTTCGAAAGAAAAGGGCATGAGTGCATGGGGGAAACGCACCTGCCCCACACTAGAAAGTCCAGCGGAGAACACGCAGTCTGCCGGGAGAGGGTCCCGGAGCGGGGGCGCAGGGATCTCAGGGAGCGGCTCGCCCTTCTTCTCCGCGAGCCAGTGCAGTGTCATCGTCTTCTTCCGGTGCACGTACACCGGCTGTCGCGCGAGAGCGATGTCCAGCACGAGCGGACTCGAGGCGATCGCCTTGAGCTGCCGCCGGCACAGCTGCCCGCGGTAGAAGAACCGCTCGCGCGAGAGCAGCGCGGCGTACGGGGGCGCCCCGTCCGCTGCGCGCGGCACGCTCGGGTCCCTGCGCGATCCGAATGGGGCAGGCATGAACGGGAGCGTGAGCTCGTAGTAGTCGATCGCGAGCGCGACCTCCGTCGCGCCGCCTTTGCCCTGCCATTCGGGATCCATGTACGGGCGGAGGTTGATGGGCCCCCCGAAGTGCATAGGCTGCCGCCGGCGGTACTCCCATTCGTCCTCAGGGAGGTCGCCGCGGAGGTAGCGGCGGTGGAGCATGCGCGTGATGGCGAGCTGGGAGATGACGGGGATGACAGTGCCGAAGGTCACGCGGTGTGCGCGGCAAGTGTCGAGGATCGCGGTCGTCTCGAGGACGGGGAAGCGGTAGCCAATGCGTCCGGTCACGGAGGGGGTGCGGTACGTCTTGTCTGTGATGGTGCGGGGGATGGTGTGGCCGCCCTGAAAACGAGGTTGGTCAGCTGCTAGCTCACAGAAGTGTATAGAAAGAGGCTAGTCGCTCACCGCGCATCTCCCTCGTCTGTTGAGGAAGATGGATTGTGCGATAGCACGGCGCCACCGCTGCCGAGCAGGACTCAGCTTTCTGGTCGGGTTGAGTTCATCCGACGGGACTGCCATAGCAAGCCTGTCCTCCAGCTTGGGGATCGGTGTAGGAGGGGAGGAGAGGACGTCGAAGAACGTACGTGCGACCGTTGCACCGGAGATCCCGTCCGCGACAGCATGTGCGACGCGGATGAGGATCTCGTATGTCCCTGGCTGCCCATCGAGTTGGAAGACGAAGAGTCGAGAAATGAGATGATGGTCCTCTGTGGGCTTGTCGCGTTGGAGTACCCATATGTACGCCTCGACTTCCTCCCTGGACTTGGCAGACAAGAAGTTCACCTCGCCCGGGCGATAGTCGGATACGTCTCGCTCGGAGACGACAAACTGAACGGCATCGGGACCCCTTGAGTCGTCCATGTGGACGGCGAAGAGGGGGTACCACTGCTTGAGCGTGGCCCATGCCCTCTTGACATTGTCCTCACTGAACAAAGGGGTACCCTTCGCGCGGTCGGTTTCCTGGACAAGGTAACGCCAGAGAATGTCAGCGGTGCCGTTGAAGACACGGTCGAAGTAGAAGGTGTGCTCGTTCAATCCAAGTGGACGAACATAGGTCTTTCCGGACGTGAGGGAGGAGCCGAGGAGGGACCAGGTCATGGCAAAAAAAAGAAAGGGGGAGGATGCATGGTGAGCGGGTCAGGAGATATGTTCGCGTATCCTTGCGTGACTCTGTGGTGGCTGTGGAAATGCATCCAACATGTCTTGGCCCGCGGGCCTTTCTATGTACATACTTACTTAAATCATTTTCCCTCGAAGGAACTTAGGTACGGGTTGCCGGCAACTCCGCGCCGAGACTCTTCCGAAGTGCGATCACGTGTGCAGAACGCGACGCGTGTTGTGTCAGAGGGAGACGCGCGTGTCGGGGCCATTGTGGCTGAGCGTGTCTCTCTGTCCGCAACCACCGTCATCTCTCACCAGTCCTGTATTCACCCCAGCGAATATGCTTCGACGTGCACCAGTAACTCCGGACGGAAAGCTTTTGTATCGCTTTCAAGAGAGCAACCGCGTCAACAAACCCTTCAAACCACCGACACTCACCGCATCTCGCGATCAGCCACAAAGGAAACGGAAACGCGTCTCCTACAAGGGCGCACAGGCTGCCGATGACGATTCTGGCTCTGACAACGAAGGCCCATCAAAGAAGAAGAAGAAGGCAGGCAAGGATGGCTTCGAGCGTCCTCTCGACAACAACATAGTCAACTACCCCGTGTACAAGCCGAAGCCTTTCGACCAGATCCCGCGACGCTTTTCGATCCCGCAGATGCGGAACAAGGATGGCGAGATTATTCCAACGGTACAATCAAACGCTGCTCTCGGTATCAGACCGTTGGCGAATATCATCCCCCGACCACTGCACGATCCCATGGCGGATCATGCCATCGTACTCTATGATCCTACGATCGACGACAGGGAGACGGATGAGGAGCGGAGAGAACGAGAGAAGGAGGAGGCCAAGGAGCGCGCATTGAAGGAGGCGCAGGAGAAGTGTGCTGGGATGTACAATCCCCACAAGAGCTTGAAGGAGTTGTTGGGCGGCGGGAAGGACAAGAAGAAAGTGGACAAGGTGCCCGTAGTGATTGACCCACGTCTGAGCAAGGTGCTCCGTCCCCACCAGGTCGAGGGTGTCAAGGTGAGTGTCACGATGCGCCGCTGTGCTTCCACCGCTCACGTTCTCTACATAGTTCTTGTACCGGTGTACGACCGGGATGGTCGTGGAGAACCAGTACGGTTGCATCATGGCTGACGAGATGGGCCTCGGGAAGACCCTGCAATGTATCGCTCTGATGTGGACGCTCCTCAAGCAGTCGCCACATCCTGGGAGATGTACCATCGACAAGTGCATCATCGCTTGCCCGTCCAGTCTCGTCAAAAATTGGGCCAATGAATTAGGTGAGTCTTGATTGATGACTTTGAAGCAACCACTCTCTACTAACCTCAGTCAAGTCAAGTGGCTAGGCAAGGATGCAATCGCTGCGCTGGCGATTGACGGCAAAGGTGGCAAAACTGAGATGCTGGAGAAAGTTGCCCGCTGGGTGGCCGCATCTGGTCGCAATGTGACGCAACCAGGTACGTGCTGTTCGTCGCTGAGTGCGTGACGCCATGGCTAAGCAGCCGTTTCAGTCATGATTGTATCGTATGAGACGCTGCGTACGTTGACCGCGCACCTCGCGAACTGCACGATCGGGCTGTTGCTGTGTGACGAAGGCCACCGGCTGAAGAACTCGGGTACGATGTGCCCAACCGTCACCTTGCGTTTCATTCTCTGACTGTTCCACAGAATCTCAGACCTTCCAAGCACTGAACAGCTTGAACGTGAAGCGGCGAGTAATCCTCTCAGGAACGCCTATCCAGGTACGCCGCGGTGGATCTTCCTCGGATCTCTCCTCGTGCTCAACGTGCTGCGCAGAATGACCTGTCCGAATACTTCTCTCTGCTCAACTTCGCCAATCCCAACTTCCTCGGCTCGAAGAACGACTTCCGCAAGAACTTCGAGAATGCCATCATTCGTGGCCGCGATGCAGACGCCACTGATGCAGTGAAGGCGGAATGCGAGAAGAAGCTCAAGGAGCTCGGTGGCATCGTCGCCAAGTTCATCATCCGCCGTACCAACGACCTCCTTTCCAAGTATCGTGCGTATTTTCCCTGCAGATTATTATTTTGCAGCACGTAGGCTGACATCTGGCTCCACGCAGTACCGGTCAAGTACGAGCAGGTGGTCTTCTGCAGGCCCTCCGAGCTGCAGCTCTCCCTCTATCGGCTCTTCATCTCGTCCCCTGAGATCCAGGCGCTGCTGCGCGGGAAGGACTCGCAGCCGCTCAAGGCGATTAACATCCTAAAGAAGTTATGCAACCACCCCGAACTGCTCGACTTGCCTGGCGACCTCCGGGGCTCTGAGAAGCTCCTTCCCGAAGACTATAGCGGTGCGGGAAGCAGCTCGCGGGACAAGGGGAGAAACCAGATTATTCATTGCGAGTGGAGTGGCAAGTTCCTTGTGCTGGAGAGGTACCGTGAAAGTCTTGAATTATATTGGAGAGTAAATTGAAAGGAGACATGCAGGTTCCTCCACCGCATACACACGGAGACGAACGACAAGATCGTCCTGATCAGCAACTATACGCAGACGCTGGACCTGTTTGAGAAGCTGCTGCGTAGCAAGAAGTGCGTATGGCTCCGTGGCCTGCAGTATCTTTAGCTGACGAAGTTGAAGGTACGGCTACTTCCGGCTGGACGGCACGATGACGATCAACAAGCGGCAGAAGCTGGTTGATCAGTTCAACGACCCAAGCGGCAAGGAGTTCATTTTCTTGCTGAGCAGCAAGGCAGGTGGATGTGGTATCAACCTAATCGGCGCGAACCGTTTGATCCTCTTCGACCCTGGTATGCCGTCTATGCGACGTCCTGCGGACATTGTCTGACAGCTTGTCCATGCTAGACTGGAACCCGGCCGCCGACCAACAGGCACTCGCTCGTGTTTGGCGAGACGGACAGAAGAAGGAATGTGAGTAGCTAGCTAATTCCGCCTCCTTCGACCACCGTCTCATATCCACCGCCAGGCTTCGTGTACCGATTCATCTCAACGGGCACGATCGAAGAGAAAATCTTCCAGCGCCAAGCCAACAAGCAGTCGCTCTCTTCCGCCGTCGTCGACGAAAAAGAGGACGTCGAGCGCCACTTTTCCCTTGACTCGCTGCGGAAGCTGTTCCTGTTCAACGAGAACACGCTTTGCGAGACGCACGAGACGTTCAAATGCAAGCGGTGCAAGAACGGCAGGCAGTTCATGAAGGCTCCTGCATTGTTGTATGGCGATGCTAGCACGTAAGTCTGAGTTGTTGATCATGCGGTGCGATAGATTGCTGACAGGAAGCGTCATAGGTGGAACCACTTCACGAACGGCGAATTGAAGAACAACCACGACGATCTGCTTCGAGCTGAGGTTGGCTCGCCCGAGGTATCGTTCGTCTTCCAGTACATCAGCCACTAATCGCCGCCGCCCGACCGTTTCTTCGCGTTCTGTGTTCTCTTTCGCGTTGTGTCATGGACTTGTTGGGATGCATACATAGCTTGCGGTTTTAGGATCCTGTACATCATGTAATATTATCAGCACATAACACAGCGAACCAAGGGGTAGCATGTTCGACTAGAAATACAGATAATACTACACGTCGAAAGAACCTCAGCACGTCCGCTTTGTCGAGGTAGCAGCGCAGTGAATATAATGAACACCGGCGTCGTTCATGATGAAACGACATCATTCCAGTTGCCCCATTCTCCTCCAACCCTCCGCACCTTGACCTTCTCTCCTGCAGAGCCAAAGTAGGCAGCACCATACCAGGCCTGCATCTCTTCTTCACTGAACGGTCCGAAGACCTGGTCCGCGTCCCCTGCCTCGGGCACGGCCCATTTGTACTCGTACTCGACGTCTGCGGACGGGGGTATCCAGTCTTTGTCGACCTTGCCGCTCGCGCGGACCGAGCGCACAAGTTCCTCGTATGTTTTGCCGTAGATGTCGGTGTCACCGAGAGACATCAAGGTTGAGGCGAAGTGGGTGATGGTCTCAACGTCGGTAGCCTCTGTGGACGTGGACTTGGGTGTCTGATCCACCTCCATGGCGGCACCGCTCCCATTCTCGGCATCGCGTTTTGTCTTGTTGTTTGGCCTGAGTAACGATGCTTGTGAGAATGGACGCAGTAGCACACGATAGCGTACTCACTTCTTCTTCGTCGTGCCGCTCTTCTTCGCCTTTGCCCCGAGTCGTTGCAAGGCCTCCAGCACCGTCTCGCCCTTCTTCAGCATCCCGATCAATTGCTGCTCGATGTAGTCCTTCCCTCCAAGCTCCTCGAGCTCACGCTCCTCCGCCCTCTGCCTCTCCTTCTGCAACCTCTCCTGCGCCTTGTGAAGCTTCCGCGCCTTCTTGATCTCCCGCTCGTCCAAGCCCTCCATCCACTTGTCGTGTACCGCGTGCGGGTCGAACGTACGCACGTACATCCCGTCCGCCGAGAACTTGCCCTCCTCCATCTCCTCCCGCATGTTGAACGCGCTCAGCTCGAAGCCCATCCCCGCCTTCTTCCTCCTCTCCGCGTCGTCCTCGTCTTCCGGCTCGTCCTCATCCCCATCATCCTCGTCCTCCCCCGCGCCGAACTCCTGCCCCTCGATATCGCCCAGCCGCAGAAACGTCTCCTCCTTCTTTTTTACCCCCTGCTTCTCCGCCTTCGCCTCCTCCTTGTCGCCCATCATGAACATGTCCTCATCATCATCGCCCACAGCCCCGGTCCCACCCGGCTTGCGGCTGTTCACGACGCCCTCGCCATCATCGCTTGAGTCCGAGTCGTATCCCTCCGTCTTAACGCGCCCCTTGCGCTGGGCGGATGGGTTCTCGAGCTGTGCGTCAACCTCCTCTGCGAAGTTGACAGGGTCTTCCGACGGTTCGACGAACCGCGTCTTCTTGCGCGAGCCTGCCGCGGCGGGGGTGCTATCGTCCCTCGAGGTGGCTGCCCGTTTGTGTGAGGGTCTGGGTGGCATAATCGCTGACGTTGATTTCGGGGGCTCCAAAGGTACGATGGCGGTAGTACACGGGAATAGCGCGTGAGGAGCGATGGGTAGTCAATTGGTCCTGCGAAAGGAGCCACCATTCCGCCAGCTTGATTGAGAGTGCTTGGCGCTAAAACTGCGGTGCGTTCACTCTTGTATGACGCACTGCCAAGGCTGCAACGACTGGGAAAGTTCTCAATATACATTAGTATATACAAGGCGATACTCATAGCAGAAGGTAAGTAAGGTGACTTTATGGTAAACACAACGATTAGCGTAGTATAGTGTATGCATGCACAAGACTGGTGCAAGGATAGGCCTAGGGAACGCGACGCAAAACGCGGGGGAAGCGGATAGGCAATCGGGGGTCTTGTGCAATACGAATGCCTCATGTAAGGTCTATGACTTCGTTGCTCCAATCGGACGGGAGACGGATGGGTGACACCTCCCGTTTCACGAACGTTTTCGACTTCTTGGCTTTCTCTTGAGCGAGCCGATATTGCAGCATAGTTATTTGCTCCTAAGCGGGCATGATTCAGCGGGTTACTTTCTACAAGAGCTGTGTAAAGATAAATCTCACCTCAATAAACGTGACACGGTCTTCGTCCTCCTCGTTGGTTTGTTCGGGTTTCACTTCAGCTTCTTCCTCTTCCTCATCCATGCGCGGTCGCTTCCTTCTACTTTGGTCCGAGTCAACATCATCTGCACCATTACCCTGAGTCTGTGAGAGCCTCTTCTTGGTTTGCGGCGGGAGCGGTGCGATACCAATGGCGCGCAGAATGTCTGTACAGAGGGTCGGGAATTCAAGTTAGATTCTCGACCCCTACGACGCACCTATTGACCGGTACATGAACTTGAACACAGCAAAGGGATCTCTCTCCAGACCTACGGACTTGACAGACCGTTCAAGCACCGCTTCAGTTGGCTTCCCTAGCCTTGCACGTGACCACTGGCCTTTGAGCACATATTTGCCGTAGGCAAGGTAAAGGGACTAACGAACCGGCATGTGCACCAGCCTTCTTGCTCTTCTCGTGAACGGGGCCAATCTCCAGTACTTCGCCTACGGAGTAGTAGTCCTCTCCTTCGCAGAAAGACTTGACTTTCCGCATCTCAACTTCAATGACCCCAAGCTTCTGCAGCGACGTAGAGGAAGCCGACGCGACGGTTTCATCATCTAGGCGGATCGAAATCGACTAGGGACGTTACACGAGGGTGAAGGAACATACCGGTCAGTACCAGGTGGGAGAACTCGACGGCCCTTATTCGTCCTGGGCGGTCCGTCAACTTGGAGAAAACTCCAGTGCGTTTCCCTTCTTGCCCTCTACGCAGGACGACGCGGCCGTCGACAGAGACGATCACTTGCATCGTTGTGCTGGACGGATCACCCCAGTGTACCGAGAATGCCTTTGGAGCGAAGTGAGAGGATACCGAAACGGGTGCCGACAGACGTACCTTTCCTGCTTCACTGGGGATCCAGCATGTCACGGTCCGTTCGTCTTCCTGTTGCACATCGTACTGCTCAAGTTCCTTTCCATCGCAGCAGATATGAGCGGTGTAGCCTTTGACGCTGAGTGGCATTGTGCAATACTATGGTCGGGACGAGAGGCGGAAAAAGGCTTGGACTTTGGACACGCCCGACGCCCACGCCACCAGCCGGCTACTGCCCTACTTATGTGACGTCCATGTCCATCACGGGATCGTGCATATCCAACTGTAACCGCTCGCTCACAACTCGCTCACAACATGTACAACTACTGGTGAGATGGATCATTGACCGACACGAATTCACGCATTCTCGAGCCGCTCGCATTGCGGTCTGCCCACTGGCGAAGTGCACGCGACTCCTGGGCAGTATAGATGTAATGTAGTAGTACATAACTGCCAGTGGCTATCGTTCCATTCGTTCCCTCTTTACTGGCGACTGGCTCGCCTTCGCAGGTGACCGGCCGAAGACAAGGTGCTGATTCCTCGAACTGATGTGGATCTATCACATATCTCAACCTGTGTCCACGCGAATATCTGTAGGGAACCCGGACACGCACCTCGACGAGAGTCTCTTCCTCCTCATCCCACGTTTCTTCCTCGTTGAGTCGCAAGTCAACATCAGACTCAACTTTCACCTCTCCAGGAGTTTGCATGGCAGGTGCGAGTCTAGCGTCTTGTGAAGGCTCTCTCTTGACATCCGGTGAGGGTTCCCTGAGCACCGAAGGCGACGGCTCTCTCTTCACTGCCGGTGGCAGCCTTACAGGAGACGATGGCTCCCTCTTCACAGCGGCATATGGTATACTGCGGAGCGGCGACGATGGCTCGTTCTTCACAACAGGGGAAGGCATCTTCCTAGTAGGTGGCCGGGATAGTCTCCGTGGTACCGGCGACGGCTCTTTCTTGATCGGGCGTGCAGTTCCTCTGACTGGAGAAGGTGTTGGTTCTCTCTTGACACGCTTCGTCGGCTGAGTATCGACAATCGGGTTGGGTTTCCTCTTGATAGGCGGGGTCGACTCCCTCTTGACAAATGGTTCTTCCTTGACTTCGCCGCCGCTCGCGCCTTCTCCTGGAATGGTGTAGTTGTTCTTGGAACTGAGACGGACCTGGCAACGATACAAGTCAAGGGAACTGAGCATTCGTTGCTTGGCCATAACATACCTCTACCACATTCTCCTTCTTGTCACCTTCTTGTCCGCCCGCCATTGTTGTTGGCCCGTTCTCGTCTTCGTCCTCATCCGCTGCCGGTGTTGGTCTGTCTTCATCCTCTTCCACCGCTGGTGTTGACAAGTCTGATGTCGACACGTCGTCGTTCTCCTCAAATACAGTACGCTGACGCTTGGACGGGATAGGCGAATCGTCAACTTGCGAAGGCCGACCCTCGCTGGGAGGTAGCTGTCGCTTATGGTTCCGATTTGCAAGAGACCTAGAGGAACCAACCACGGTTGCCGAGCTCGAAGAACTTGGTGAACGTCCACGTATAATCCCCTTGGACTCGAGATACTCTGGAGTCGTCACCATCAAACGCCACGCCGCGGACCCTTGCAAACGGTTCCCCCGTACCTCTCGGCCGGTAGTAAAATCGGAAGATAGCATACGGCTTGTCGTCGATCAGCAATGGCTTCAGGACGGTTGAGCTCGCCTTGACTTCTCTCTTGCCACCCAATCTGACACAGCAACGCTTCAATTCGTGGCTAGTTAACGTAGCGGATGGGTCACGTACGACACGCAGTGGCTGCCGGTCCCCCGACCTTTCGTCTTGTGCTCATGAACGGACCCTCCCGGCATAGGCTTTTTTGGGGTGAAAGATACAGGCACGAAGTCGAGCGCTCGACGTAACCTTATTTCAATTGTTCCTAAGTCCTGGGTATATGCGGATGGAAGGTCATCGTCATCTGCGACCAGGATGATTTGGTTACTCAGTCTCTGTCCGTAGGAGTAGAGTGCAGTTAGAATTATACCGTGTGTGGCAAGAGGGGAAAAGTGGTACAGGTTGACAGCATCTACTGCCACACGGAAGCCCGCGTTTGATGTCTTCGACGATCCCTTGACGTGAGACACAACACCCATTCTACGGCCGTCCATTCGGATCTCGACTGACAAGTGAGAAGGTGGCTCCGCGTCGACCCAGTGTACCTTGAACTCCTGAGAAAAGTCTTCAACGCTTCCAGGTCTATTGTGTCATTGAAAACCACGGACGCACCATGCCAGCCTCGCTGACGATATATCCCGACATAGTGACCTTGTCCTTCTCGGCCTTGGGCTTGTGAGTCTGGACCTCTTCGTCATTACAGGATATGTAGGCACCGTACCCTCGGTGCTTGAGAGGCATAGCGCCAGAGACACAACTTAAGCAGGAGATACGGTGGGCGCGGTCAAGGTCGCGACGCGTCGAAGTCGCTGGACGCGAGGTGACGCCAGTCCGACATGTGATCGAGAATCCCGATGAGATCTTATAGCACAGTCATGTTCCTCGCGCTTGGCCCTGCTTGGCTTCTGACCGTCTCCATCCAACCTCAGTTCATCGTGCCTCCTCACGCCAATGGCGACTGACGAACAATTGAAGGCTTTCATAACAAGACACCGTGAGCTGCTAAACAAGGAGCGTGAAGCGGAGATCGAGCGTACCTCGCTGCTCCTGTCCAATTGTCCTCCTAAAGTCCTCGAGCAGAAGGGCCTGTGCTTGGCCGGCCTCGGGATTGCTTCAGTCGGGATCGGTCTTGGTGGCAAGACGTGTGTACAGCTGCCATGAAATTTTTTGGTGGGGCTCTGAAACATCTTGCCGATGTGCCCAGTCTAGTGGAGCTGGAACGACCAGCGGCGTACCATTCGAGTCCTCTGTTTCCGCCGCACACTTTAAGGTAAGGCGTATCTCTAACTCATGGGAACTGCCAAAACACAAAACAGGCCAGGCGATCTTGCACGTATAGAAGAGCACACCTCCGGTGCGGCGGCTCCGAAGAAAGTTGCGAAGACCAAGAAATCAGGACCTGCCCAGAAGGGGGAAGGGGATAGTGTCGAAGGAGTTGTGTTCAAGGTAGGCATGTCATACGTCGCAGTGCAGTGGTATGTCTTACGCCTTCTTAGGTCTCTGAAACCCGCATTGTCATAGCCGTAGATCCTCCGGAGACAGGTGGAGAAGACCTCGACCTGCCGGACAGGTGTCGGGTCGTCAAACTCGCAAATAGCGTGACTTACGACAGGTCAGTAATCTTCGCCTTCGCACTCCATATATGCTAACGGCATATAAGCAGAATGATCAAAGCCCTCGATCAGCTAGAGAAAGTTGTGTTGTCCAACTCTGACGTCGTGCGTATCCTTGGCAATAATTGGAGCGGACATTTCTGACGAGCGTGGTGGTGCAGAAGGAAGACAAATTCTTGCCCAAGCTGACTCCTCTCGATCGCGTCCTCATGGGAATGGCACCACCTTCAGAAAGGGTGCCTATCAAAGATATCAAGTTCTTCGATGGCTCTTTGAATCCGAGTCAACAAGAGGCGATCCGCTTCGCACTCGGATCTCCAGAAGTTGCATGCATCCACGGACCTCCAGGTAGATTATCTCTTCAAACTTTGATGATGAAGAGTATTTGACCACTCCGCTGCAGGAACAGGGAAGACGCATACTCTAATAGAACTTATCCGTCAGCTCACTACCGTCACGCCGACCAATCCCAAGCCCCTCCGACTGCTCGTGTGCGGTGCCTCCAACCTGTCCGTGGATAACATTCTAGAGCGACTCCTCGCCCTTCCGGCTCCAGATAACGGCAAGAAACTGAAGGTGACACGTGTGGGACATCCCGCTCGGGTCATGAATCAAGAAGAAGTGCTTGAGGTAACTCTGGAAGTTAAAGCCAGCCGGAGCGACCAGGTCAGCAGTCTGGTTGTTATGTCTCTTAGAAGCTCATGCGTATTTCCTGCTTAGGCCGCCCTGGCGAAGGACGTCAAGAATGAGCTCGAGGCGGCGCTTGACACCCTTTCGGGAAAAGGGAAGGGCGCGAAGGGTAAGGCACCGAGGGGACTGGAACGTAAGAAGATGTGGGAGGAAGTTAAAGCTCTGCGAAAGGAGTAGGTACTGGACCAAGATGACGTCGCACGCTGTGCTGACAGTACACTCCAGGTACCGCCAGCGCGAAAGCGGGGTGGTGGAAAGTGTCATGAGCGAATCGCAAGTCGTTCTTGCGACTTGCCATTCCGCGGGTGGCAGACAGGTGCGATCGCAGGATTTTGACGTTGTCATCATCGACGAGGCGACGCAAGCCGTAGAAGCTGTAGGATACCATCCATTCTCTTTGGCATCGACGATATGCATTGATGGTTCGATGTCAGGTGTGCTGGATACCCATCTTCAAGGCGCAGAAGCTAATCCTCGCTGGAGACCCAATGCAACTTCCGCCGACTATTATATCGATAGACAAGAAGGAGAAAAAAGCGAAGAACGCTGGAGCTTCAGCACCTGGAAAATCTATCGCTACCCCAAGTGGCAAGAAATCGGCTGCGGAGAAGACGGGACAGAAGACGGAACAACCGAGACCCCCGAAAGACGAAGAACCAGAATCAGGAGGAGATGAAGATGGAGACACCGAGTCCGGTGAAGACGAAGGTGACTGTGCAATGACGGCCGACCCAAAGGAGCCGCTGAGGTCTACACCCCGGGATCCGCACAAGCCTGGGCCGAAGGCGGTCCTACGTACACCTCGCACCCTTGAAACGACGCTGTTTGAACGGCTAGAGAAAATGTACGGACCAGGCATCAAGCGTATGCTCACCGTCCAATACCGGTGCGTAGCACATGTCTCTGTTTCCACTCTATGCGCTCACACGAACTCCACAGAATGCATGCCCATATCGCGTCTTTCCCGTCGAAAGTCATGTATCACTCTAGACTGAAGTCCCACCCGTCCGTAGAGGCGCACCTCCTCCGCGACTTGCCGAATACTAAGACAGACTCGGAGGACGATGAGAAGGAGATCCTCGGCACCCCTGTCGTCTTCTACGACACTGCAGGCTGTGAATACTTTGAACGACTGGAAGGTGACGGCGACGAAGGAAGTCGCTGTAACGAGAACGAGGCTTCCGTAGTCAAGATGTGGGTCGATCAGCTGGTACATCCTCCCTGTTAACTGCATAGGGGGCCCAAGCGTTGACCCACACCTCTACAGGCTGGCGCAGGAGTCCTGCCATCTCAGATAGCTGTGATCACGCCGTACGCCTATGTTCTCCGGACCGCGCAGCAGCACACTGACATGTCCACAACAGATACCAAGCGCAGGTCACGCTCCTCACGTCCCTGCTCCGCCCGATCTATGGTCCCGAACTCGAGATCGGGACCGTCGACGGGATGCAAGGCCGGGAGAAAGAGGCTGTGATCATCAGCCTCGTACGGAGCAACGAGAAGGTACACGGCCCTCCTACGACGTTCAGGTTGACCGCTGACGACATACTGCATTGCAGCGGGAGGTCGGCTTTCTCAAGGACAAGCGAAGGCTGAACGTGGCCATGACCCGAGCGCGCCGACACCTGGTTAGCTGTTCCGACAGGTCTGGTTTCCGTCTGTCAGCTAATCCTCATCCTTCCGTCAGTGCATCATAGGCGACTCTTCGACCGTGCAGCATGGCAGCCCGTTTCTGAAGAAGTGGATGGCGTGGCTGGAAGCCAACGCTGATGTCCGCTACGCCGGTCTTGAATGACCCAGGCGCAGATTGCAGATGACAAATGAGGGAGGTGCTCAGTGATGTACATCCGGCAGCCCTGATTAGAGAGTTGCACCACACTGAGAGAGGTCCAAAAAGTGTACAATACACAGCAATCTCGTGTAACATCTAGCTTTCCCGGACCCTTGGAGACCTCTATCAGAACCTTCCTGTCAGAGCATGTAGTATGTACAGCACGAGGAAATTTGTACAGCTACGTTAAGGGCCAAGTTTCATAGCGATATCTCACAAGAGGGTATGGAGGAGAGGGAGAGGTGGTCGATATTGTCTGAGCCGTGCAATCAAAGCGCAGCTGCGGGCTCCCGGCTGACGCTGCCTCCCCGTCGACGGGAGGTGACTGGGGCATCCTCGACAGCCCCGGTCGCTTCTGCGCTCAACAACCCCGCCTCCTCTTCGTTGTACGTGCGGGAAGCATGCCGACCACGGGGCGGGGAGCCTTTCGGCCGGTACAGGAAGGACTGACAAACGATCGTGACGTCGAACATAAGGGTGCCGCCGCTGCCAAGGAGGTATCTGATGGGTGATGAGATGAGCTCGAGATGCACGCGAGGAGTAGGATCTGACGTGCACGTACGGGATGCTCTCGCGCATGAATGCAGATGCTTGTGGAGGGGGTAGTTGCAGATTAGGAGACGTGAGGATTGATGCTACGTAGAATGTGTTGCCCAGGAATGCAAAGATGAATAAATATATGGAAAGACCCTATATTCCAGAAGACAGCATATATGAGTAATATGCTATGCGTGTTGTAGTCGAGGACCATCATACCTCTACAGACTTGCGGACAAACTGAAGGTGGTGATAAATACGCACAGCGGTGACAATTAATGGACAAGACTCACGTTCTTCCAGATCTGCGGTAATCGAGATGTAAGGTAGAGAACGGTGCATATCCATGCGGATATTCGGCCAATGATGAACTCCATCGAGGGAGCTGGCTCGGGTTGTTCTAGCAAGAAGTCCTCGATAGATCGAGTGAATTCTACGGCAGCGGGCCCTCCCGCGAGTTGCGCAGAAAGTATGGGGTCTGCTATTCGCGTATCGACGACCACAGCTGGGAACACTGCTATAGGCACCACTGGCGGTACGTCCGCGCGCGCGAGTACCTTCCCTGTCCTCTCCGCGAGAACATTGGGATGCGGAAGCGTGCTCCCCGCAAATGTCCCAACGCCGAACAGCGCCCACATGCCGAGGAATACCATCGTCGCCCCTTTCCGGCTAGCTCGCGAGCTCCGCCTGTGCGAGTTGGCCGCGAGCCATTCCTCGTCGTCCTCTGCAACGTCGACCGCCCTGACGGTAGATCGTCCTCGAGGTATCGCCTCGGGCTCATCGAGAGGTACGGACATCTGCAACGCGTGGGGCACACGACTTGATTGTCGACTGTGCCGGACGCTCGCGGGACCCGGACCAGGGTACGAGTCATACCCCCAAGCGACCTGTTTCCGCCGTGCTGTCCGTCCACCCTCCGAGTGGAAGCTCTCCGCCAGGCGCGCCAGTGCGTCTTCATCTACGTCGTCATCATCGTCGAACCCGGGAGAGCGAGGCTCTGTCGAGTGCGAGCGAGCGCCGTGTCGTTGCGAGTGCTCCTCCTGCTGTGCGGCGAGCGCCGCGACGGCGGCTACGTTTGCTGCGACATTGGAGAGGGCGCGATATCGGGGCGCGCTGGCGGCGCGTTCGATTGAGTACCGACGGGTGCCGAGCGTCCCGGAGATGGTGCGCTCGCGACCGTGAAGGTATGCAGGAGGGATGGCCTTCGCTTTCCTAGCGTAGTAGAAGTATTGCACGAGAAGACTCAGGTCGACCAGACAGAAGTAGGTAGCGAGATATGTCTAGGAACAGGTTGAGGAGTTTGTGCTATGAGCGTAGGTATTGTACAGGCTCACCTGAAAGGGTAACTGGTTGGTTAAGATGCAACCAATCAAGTTGGTGGTATCACCTAGTGGATGGACATGAAGTCAGAGAAGCGCAAAATGAGCGACGCTCACGCGACATATTGCGCGATCTGTCTAGGGCATTGCGGGTTGTCGCGCCGAAGTATATAGCACTCACCGAGCAGCCAGTTCATGAGAAATGGGAAGGCTAGGCCCTCGACCGATTGGCGTCGTGCATTCTCGAGAACCTGGCTATGGATGACGCGCTCGACGGTGAGATGATTTGTCCACGCGACTGATTGGGATGCGGGGTAAAAGAAGCCGAGACTTACGGGAACTGTGCGCCCAACCAGCACGCGATGGAGGTGTAGCCTAGGAGCTCGGAGAATGCTGCGCTGAGTAGCATGGGCGAGTGTGCATGCGACGTCGACGAGGGGGGAGAGACGGCCGCTGTTTGCTGAGAGATAGCGGGAGGGCACGGTGGGAGAGAAGCGAGACAGGCAGCGTGAGGGTCGCTCTATCTTGGCGCGCTGTCCCGCCTCCCAGTCCGCTCCGCCCGGGCCTCTCCCCCCCATGAGCTGCCTATTCCGGCTGTCCTCCATCTTGCGCTCGCCCGTCCTCGTCTTCTGACTTGCAACACTTGCGCCTCAGGCCACAGCCTTGTATCATCATATTGGACGCGCTGTGTTTCAGCACTTCAGTCCAAGAACTCTATCCGACCAGCTGCATCATCTCGAGCACAGGCGGTGGTGGCGCAACTCAGCCCGAAGCAACAAGAGCCCCCCTTCGCGTGCCATTTCCATCCGCAGAACGCTCCCGGAGCCTTTCGATTTTTTCACAGCTGCCGACTTCGCACTCTTCGCTGTCGCTCACGCAACATGTCGAATAAGGCTGGATCCTCGTTCTCAACGAGGGCAAGGCTATTGAACCCAGCGCCGGAGGAGCTCGTGAGTCTATTATTGCACTGTTCGCCTGCGCAGGCTCAAATATGTGTTTCACTGCAGCGCCAGCTCGTACTAGACTATCTCGTGCACAATTGCTATACCTCTGCAGCTAGAGTCTTTGTCGGGGAGAGCAGCGGCCCCAAGGATGTCGACGCCGACGGAGACGAGGTTATGGCCTCCCCAGTGAAAGAAGCCTCGAACGAACTAGACGAGTTCGAAGAGAGGCTCGCTATGAGCGAGCTCCGCAAAGGCGCGCCAGAATCTTGCCGTTCGCTCGTTGCATACACTTAACCCTCCCCAGACATCCGGACCCGCATCCTGACTGGCAATATCGAAGAGGCAACCGCACTGCTCAACAAGCACTTCCCCGCAGTCCTTTCGGAAAACATGGAGGCCGACGGAGCACCTTCCTCTCCTTCCATACCCTCGGGCAGATTTTCGTATCTCCCTTCGACCTCGGTCGATCCCACCCACCTCGCGCTCAATCTCCACATCCAGGCATTCATCGAGGCCGCGCGCACTATACCTCTCGAATATATCCCTCCAGGCGCCAGCACCCCCTTGCCGCACCCGCCCCTCCTGTCCGGGGCATCAGACAAGAAGCATTCCCCCCCGGGGGACGAGGATGCGGCCATGTCAGAGTTCGACAACGAGGACGCGAACGTGGCGCTCCTCATACGCGCCCAGAACCTCTACTCGGAAGCAAACCAGCTCTCCCGCCCGCAGGACCGTGCGACGTACCTTCACGAGCTCGGGCAGGTCGGCGGGGTCCTCGCGTACACGGTACCCGAGCGAAGTCCGCTCGCAACGTACATGACCCAGACCCGGCGGGACGGTGTCGCGAACCAGATCGACAGCGCCATTCTGTGTGAGCGTTCCCTCTCACATGCGCTCTGACGCATGATCCTGGCCGATTGTGACCATTGACGTTGACCTGTGAACGCACGCCCTTGTAGATCGCGCGAAGCGGCCTATCATCTCTCGCATTGAGCTCTACGCGCGATATACTGCGACCCTCTGGGGAATGCTGCATGATAGGGACGTGAAGATACCCCCTCGCAGCACATGGCCCGCAAACGTCGCTCTTCCGCCTATGGCAGCGCTTGCGCAGGAGTCCAAAATTGTCCCTTCCAAAGACACCGGTAGCTTGGACAGCGCCATCCCTTCCGTCAAGAAGACGGCTCAGGAGAAGGAGCCCGAAGAGGTGAGGACACCCAAAATAAACATGCGGTATCTGGCGTGCACAGCTCATGTTCGACGTTGCAGATCCTTCCCCCCTTTGACCTGCATCTGTTTGTGCAGTCTACAGAGCGCGTGTCATAGCAGAGACATGTCTGCTTGCATGCGCCTCTCGGCATTCTAGGTATCGCGTTAAAGCATCCTGCAGATTTGTCGGACTGTTATGAGCAGGAATGGGCATATTTGGTTGAATGGCACTGGAGTGTATAATTATTGTATTACATCGAATCCACCATGGACGCACCTCACTCAATCACACCCTTTCACCCGGTTCTGAGGCTCGAAGTCATGAGTCTTGCTGCAATCGACCAGGTCTTCTCAGTCAGACAACCGCAAACTGCTCATCATTCCCTCGACGACATCTAGACTACCACCAAACGTCTGTTCGTCCAGCCCGACTATCTCTACCTCGTCCCCCAGCCGGCCCTTGTTCACGCGTGCGATGATGCTCTCCGGCACGTTGCACATCCGGAGTCCGAGCACCTGCAGCCGCGCCCACTTCTCCCACTCTATGCGGTCCAGCGTGCTCTCCATGTTCGCGTGTCCCTTCCCTCCAGGGGGGTCGTTCAGCCACGGGTTGTATGACAGGTCCAGGACCTCGAGCAAGGGGCATATCCTCGGCAGGCGGTGTACCTGAGGACTGGGCACCGGAAGGGCCAGCAGGGCGAGTCGGGTCAGGGTCAGAGGCAAAAGGAAGAGCGTCGCCGACGGCACTTGGGCGTTGAGCACGATGAGCGTGTGCAACGGAGGAGGCGGCTCTTGCGACGAAGACGACTCCGCCTCCCAGTCGTCTGCTTCCTCCTCTCCCGCCTCTGCCTCGGCCTCGGCCTCTGCCCCTTCTGTGTCTGGTCCGAACAGACTACTCTGCGCCTGACCGCTGCCGGAGGGTCCCTCCTGCCTGTCCTCCGCCTCTTCGTCCCCGCCGTCTCTGTGCGACGCCGAGTGAGGCGAGAAGCTCACAAAGAGATCCCTTTGCAGCGTCGTCTGCGGGCCCACCACGATAACCTCCCCATCCACATGCCCCTCCGGCTCGAAGAGCGCATACAGCTTCCCATTCGGCAGCGGCCCGTGCACCGCCGTATACCGCAACAGGTCCCTGCGGAACATCGGCGGCAGCACCTCCAGCAGCTCGTCCCTGAACTCCGCCGCGTCCGGAAACGCCGCAAGCAAGACTCGCAAGCAGAGCTGCGTGAGCGGAGGGACGGCCGGCTCGTCGTCCGAGCTGTAGCCGCCGTCCCCAGAGCGGAGGCGCGGCACGTCGCCCGACCCGAAGCTCCAGGGCGTATGCGAGAAGACCAGCGACAATGCTCGGCGGCGGAAAGCGACGGTGTCCCTGTCCTCAGCGTCGTGTTCTCGGTCGTGATGCCTGAAGAGGCCGCTCCAGCTCCTCGGCGGTGGCGGGCCCGGTACGGCCCCGCGCGGGTACCCATGCTCCAAGTGGCCCTCGCGGATGACCGGGAGAGGAGGAGGGGGGCGATCCTCTTCACGAGTAGAGTCGTCCGATGGCGCATGAGCGTATTTGTAGATATCAAAGAAGGGGAGGGAGGGGTCATTGTAGGTGCGCGAGCCGAGAGCCTTCAAATGCGTTCTCGATCGGCGTAGGTTTTGCGAGTGTCTGAACTGTTCTCCTCTGCACACAAAAGACATTCGACATTATTATCATGCAGTCGATTGCTCTGAAGGTAGCTCACACACCTCAGCGTATGGAGGAGACTGTTGACCTCTCGAGGCTGAGCCGCTTGTTTTCCATCGGCGTCCCTCTGGCGTCGCATTTGTAGATTTCGTCGTGTGATTCGTACGTTGCGTGCTATGCTACGCGGAGATCATGCTCGACACAAAGAGTTATGTGGTACATGGCTGAGTAAGATGTGAGTGCGAGACCGATTTCCGGGCCTGTGTGGCAGGTCGTCATCGTGCTAGATAACTCCCGTCAACAGCGATTGCACACCTCTCTAAGTACGAGTTTATCGGCATCGCCCGCCATTAGCTATTCAAAATTTCGACCTCCTACCTTGTGGAAATTTGGATGGACGGCGTCAGGTACTCAGCCTTCTGTCACTCGAAAATATGCGATCCTGGCAGTAGGTAGTTTTCGACGATTGAGGTGAACTTATGGCATACAAAGATCGGTGCTAGTAGTCGTCGTAGTGGTAAAGCATGCCAATCATACTCCCTCATACACGCTCGCCCGCGGTCCTCCGACGCAGACGAACCCCCGGAAATACCAACTTAGTTCATCTGGCGAATGAGCTTGTTGATGTGGATCTCCCGGTTACCGAAGTCACCGCCCTGGACGAAGTGCTTGAACTTCCGTGTCCTCCAGCCGCCAGTGGGGTTCGAAAGCTTGAAAGGCCAAAGGAAGTTCGATGCCTGCTTGAAGTTGGGACCGGCGGTGTAGATCTCGTGCACGAGATCTTCAATGGAGAGGATATCGTACTTGCCGAGGGTCTCCTCGATGACGGCGTTGTTGGAGAGGGGGATGCGCTGCTTGTCGACCTTGCCATAACCGCGCTTGTAGATGAGCTCACGGACTGACTTCAGGTTGGGCTCGCTACAGTGGAAAGGTTATAATAGGTCTGGGGACAGAAACGCTAAGACGTACCCGTATGCAACATAGGGCTCAACAAGACGGAGCATCTGCTCGGTCGCCTTCGTGACCTTAACGAACACGCCGTTGTTGATCTGAAGAAGACGGAGAAGCTGGAGGATTTTACGGGGCTTGGGGGCGATGTTGTTGATACTGGGAATCGTCGTCCAGATGCGCTCGACGACTAGCAATCATGAAGACACTCACCCCCGGATACGGATGACGAAGTAAACCTTCGCCTGAGCAGGGACGTAGAAGTCGCCAGCAGCACGCGCAGCCCGCTTCAGGCGAATCTCCTCCTTCTCCGAGGCAAGGTACTCCTTAACATAGGACTCCGCGCGCTTGAAGATGACCTTGCGCTTGGCCTTGGCAGCCTACATCCGCGAACGACATCAGCATCATTCACAAACACATTTTGAAGGGTGGTAACAAAAGATCAGTCCCGAAAGATGGTATGTTTCCGGCAGCACAGTGAAAACGAAGCTCCCACTAGCCAAGAGTTGTAGTATGCATCACGAAGTATATAAAAATGTTGAATCTGCAACGCAGCAACTGGACGTAAACTGACCTTGCGCGCGGCAGTCGCAGCGGCCAATCGCTCCTCACGGGCCTTTCCGTTCTGCTTGCGCTTCTTGAGGAGGGTCTCGGGGACTTCAACGTCCTACATCCAAGGGTTAGAACTTTTATTTCCAGACGTTGATTTTGTTGCTTTCGACTGACCGAGACGGTCGGGACGCTGTTACGGATGTTGCCTCAGTCTTCCCCTATCACGAACGCTAGCATAACGAAGATACGCACGTAGTGGAGGGGGCCATTTGGAATCTTGAGGAACGACGGGCTTAGGCCTTTGGGCGTAGCGGAGACGCGTGCTGAGACCGGTTGGGTGGCTGATATCGACTATACAGTTCTTCAAGACGATTCCCACGCACTCAGATAAGCATCTATCTATGCACAAATGTTCTGGACAATGATTATTTTCCAGGGTCTATGACAGCGTAACTCGTGCCACCCCCTCGCCGCTTCACATCTGCTTTGTTTCTAGTAGTACATAGGTTGAGGGCTCGCAGCCCAGGATCCTCATCTCTCGCCCTTTGGGAGCTCGCACTCCTCGAGCTTTCGTTTTTGCACCCGCCCTTCCGCTACCCCATTTCCGTCTCTCTGAGCTACGTCTCATGTATCAGGTACATTCACCTTCCGCCGGCTTGAGCTCGGCCCACCGGTCGCGCGAGAGAGCGGTGGCGACACGGACTCGGTGGTCCCGCGCAGCTTCCGTAGCGCGCGCCCAATACCATCGTTTTCCGTCCTGCCCGAGTATAGCGTGCATTGATCTCGCAACCTCGAGAAGTCGCCGACTCGCCCGCCTCAGTCTCTGCTCTTATCAGTTTGCTCTTCTTCAGTATAAGTGTTGAGGATCGAAACAGTCTCACTAGATTTGGTCTACTGTTTCTCAACTCGGGGTTTGAGGTCTTCCTTCCCTGCTCACAGGATGTCTACTATGCCGAAGGTGGTTCGACCCTTCAGCACCTCGGAGCTCGTACGCAGGTCAACCTACGCTTATACAAGCGGTCTCAGTCAAGCAGATAGTGCAAAACACACTGGGTCCGTATTCTTGTGATGACATGAGTTGAGAACAATTGTTGGCTGTACATGTAGTTCCAGTCATACTCCCAATCACTTTGAGGCCGGCTTGTCGCTCTCTGCCTCAACACTGGCTGCAATTACCTGCCAGTCGATTGGGTCCTCTGTTGCCTGCAATTTGCGCTCTCGCTCCTGCTGCCACTTCTCCCGCTTCCATCTCAAGAGTGACGTGAGTCTGAGCTCTTCTGGAAGAGCCGTGCGTGGGTGTCTCTCGTAGAGGTAGTAGGCGAATACTCCAGTAAAGACCCCAAGGATGGGGTCAAGTGTTCTGTTTGAGGATTGAGGGGTCTGTAAAGGCTGGGTAATGTGGGAAGCTCACCTCGAGAGTAACGGTGGAGGCATGACGCGAACACGCGCGGCGTCACTGCATCACGTCTCGTGTATGTTGCATTGACAAGCCGAACATAATTGCAGCGCACCTCGAAATACCTTTCTCAGTCACTTGCACGAATGATCCGGATCCACTGTGTTCCCGCCGCGCGTTGCCGTCGGGTCGAGAATGCGCGCGGTGTGTGTCGACGGTGAGGGCAGGCTGGGGACTCGGAAGTCGGGATCGGACGGATGGCGAGTCGGCGACCCGTGACGACACGCAGAGATGTCTATAGGCGTCTATGAACGCGTTGCCCAAAATTTGAGAACGCGTTTCGTGTCATTGCACGCTCACTACAAGGTCTACCCTTTTCCCTCCTTCCTCTCCTCCTTCCTCTTCCTTGTGCCATATCTTCCTATCGAGCCATGGACCGCCAACTCCGCCCCATCTACGGTTCGCATTCAAAACGCACCCTCCGGTGGACTTGTACTAAACCCCCAATCCTCTCTACCTGTGTATTCGTGTAACAGAGGCTTTGGACACCAATTCCAACAAGTCCGCGATTCTGGCATGCAACAAGGTTCTCAAGAAGCAGCCGAACAACCTGCTTGTCAAGGTGCGTAGGCGTTTCTCCATCTCAGTACATCCACTATAGCCCCGATGCGTCATAGGCTCTCAAAGCGCTGGCACTAGTGCGCTCCCAAAAGGTCGAGGAGGCCCTCATTCTCTGTGACGAGGTTCTTGCATTAAAGCCGGTCGATGACCCCACATTGACGGCTATGATGCACGTCCTTCGCGGGCTTGGACGTCGTAAGTGGACCAATTCCTTCTGCATGTCCTTCGGAGGTGTCATTGTGGTACGGCGTAGATCAGGATATGGTGGCCATGTACGAAGACGCGTACAAGCAGCAACCCGCGAACGAGGAACTTGGCACACAGACGTTCTTCGCGAATGTGAGAATAGGAAACTGGAAAGCGGCACAGCAGGTGAGCTCAAACGCTGCATTCCGAGGTTTTCGGACGCTTGACGCACTGGGATTAGATCGCGACCAAGATGCACAAGCAATCCCAGGAAGATCGTTACCTCTATTGGAACGCTATGGGCGCTCTCCTGCAGGTCAGTTGAGGCTACCTGTCGTATGTTGGTGTTACTAGACTTCCCAGGATTATAGGCGAACGATCCAACAACGCCCGAGACTCTGCGCACCATCCTTTTCAAGCTTGCACATAGGCTTCTGTCGCAGGTGCAAGCACCCGCTGTCTTCTATGCGGAGCGCTTCCACCTACACCTCACAGTGCTCAAGGAGCTGAAGCTCTATGATGAGGCGTACGACTTGGTCGAGAGCGAAAGCGGTAGGATTGTATGCTCGAGCAGCCTCGCATGCGAAGAGCTCCGCAGGGAAATTTGGAAGCTCAAGGGCCTCACGAAGGAAGCGGGTGAGCATGCTGAGAAGCAGATACTGGAAGCGAAGTGAGTGGCCGTGGACTCCGCTGGACACATCTGCGTACTGAAGTCAATTCGGCCGCTGGCATCTGGAGGGACCGGAATTGGCTTGAGTTTCTTGCTGTGCTGGATGCGACGTTCGTTAATCCCGAGGACAAGTCGGCCACTGTGGAGAGCATCAAGAAGACACGGGAGCTTCTTGGTAAGGTCGTCGAGGAGGACGGTGTGAAGGACCGGTCAGGACACCTTGCGCTTCTCGAGCTCGAGAAGCGTTCGAGGCAGCATGGTCTTGCGACAGATACCACCACTCTCAACTCTCTTCTCGAGGCCTACTTCCAGAACTTTGGCGGAAAGGCTTGCTGCTATGAGGATCTGAAGCCTTACGTTGAGTTGGAGGGCGAGGATCTTGCGAGGTGGACAGCCGTGCTTGAGAAGCAGACCGCGTCCTCGGTACGTCTATCCCTATTGCGTAATTCTTAGAACACGGCTCAAATTATGACAGACATCTGTACCAGACCTTTGGCGCTACATAAACGCTCAGAAGCTCCTTCGCTACAACCTCCCCCAGTCCGCTCTTACACCCGAAGCCGAGATTCAGCGGGCCTCACAACAAATCGACGCATACTTGGAGGGCCTCAAACTTGGAAAGGACCTCCCGTCTTACGAACTCCAGCCTGCAGATGACCTAGCCATTCTTGCTGCCCAAGAGTTTGTTGGTGTCTGGAAACAGACCGGCGATGAGGCCTACCTGTACAATGCAGCCGCACTCCTCGAGTACGCCATCGTGCGAAGCAAGACGTCGTACCAGATCCGCCTACACCTGATACGGATCTACCGCCTACTTGGCGCGCCTTCGTTGGCTCTGGAGCACTACAGGAGTATTAACGTGAAGCAGGTCCAGAACGACACGCTCTCGCACTTTGTGCTCTCAAGAGCATCCACGTTCTCTTTGTCGTCCATCGGCGACCTCACGTACACGTCCGAGTGCTTGGAGTCGAGTCGCATATACTTGTCGAACTCTGAAGACGTAGGTTGCAATCACTCTGTAACCACCGCAAAGAATGAACATCGCTCTTCAGACGGCGGAGTTGATCGTTCGCGCATTTGCCAATGAGAAATATTCTCAGGTTCGTGAATTCGCACCGAGAACGCCGCGATCTCGAGACTAACATCACTATCCCTTGTAAGATCCACGACTTCATCATATTCGAGGATCGGCTTGAGAACTCCCTGCAGCGCGACCTCATCAAGATGGAGCATGTCCGCATGAGGATCCCTCATGAGGCAATCAACTCCGAGCTTGTGGATATGGAGCTTATCGAACTGAAGTTTATCTTCGACCGTCGTACGTCGACTTGTTATCCTCCATCTATCCGCCTCGCCCCTGACTATCTATAGTCCATCACGACAACCGGGACTTCTCCATCCTCGCCAACTACCAGCCCCATAGCAGCGAGACGTTCCACGACCAAACCCAATTCCTTACCAAGAAAACTCCGGGCGTACGTTAACAACGTCATACACGATCCTCGCACATCCGCTCACAATTCGGCACTCTAGCTTGGCTGGCTTTGGGTGTTCTTGAAGATCTACATTAAGGCGTTCCAGCTCGCAAGCGACCTCGACGACACCGTGGAGGACAAGCTGCTTATTGGTGATCGCCCCAAGCCGAGCAACGACCCTGAGACGAAGCTGCCTCTCAAGGATCGCCTGGCTGCGAGGAAGCAGGAGGAGATCGACGAGGTATCGACCTACCATATTGGCGTTTGAGAAGAATCACGCTCACGGAACTCCGCGAATTAGCTCTCGAAGGACGAAGCGTTGTTCTACGACTACGCTACGGCGCTGTCAGAATGGCTCACGCCTTATCACGACTATGCTCGCCCGCCACCCTCTGCTGTTCTCGCCGAAGCAGCGAAGCTGACGGAACAGAAGACCGGGCACCCACTGAAGGGGCTGGAGATTCCTCCAGAGGCTGCCAATGGGCACGCGAAGAAGGATGAGGAGCCGCCGGCGGTCGTGGAGCCTCCTGCTGCCATCAGCAAGTACTTCGATGGTGCGTCTTTCTTCGAGAATGTGCGATGCGATGTTTATGCTGATGTTCTATGTCAGATATGCTGAAGCGCTTCGCGGAGGTGTCCGAGGGCAAGGGTCTACCTCAGGAGCTCTTGCACGTTGTCACCCTGACGCAAGAGGTGCGTTTCCTGCGCATGTTGGGAGCGGTTCCCCTCTGATCTCCTTCCTAGGCCTTCCTTCTCTTCGCGATCGAGACAACGCGGTTCAAGGCAGCTTCAGTCATCAAGCAGAACAAGTTCGGTGGTGTAAGTTCATCCGTCATACCTCGCTGTCCTGCGCTTGACTTTGACGGTCTCCACAGCTCACGCAGCACATCAAAGATATCCGTACCAAGTCGGCGGCCGTGCTGACGGAGATCTCGAGCGCTCTGATCAGCCGAGCGGAGGCGGAAGCTACCGCTGAGGGTCGGAAGGCCCTCACCAACGCTTGCAAGCCGATCATCCATGAGTCTGGGGTGCGTGTTACCACCTAGTTGCGCAGTGTTCACTTCTGACCCGATCAACGACAGCTCGACCACGACTTCGTCCTGAACGTCGCGAAGAAGATCACCGAGTCGCGGAAACAGATCCTGGAAGGCGTGGGCAAAGGCATCGCGAAGGTAACGAAGGCTCATGCGTGAACGTGGCAACGTATACGGGACTCGGGGACTTGGGAGGACGGACTCATGAACCTTGTAGACTGACGACATGACACGCACATGTACATACATACATGCCACACATCACCACTCAGCGTAAGAATAATGCATTAGTCTATAATTGCAATATAATCTAGTCGGCATGCACTGGAGTGCTGCTCGATTACGCGCGCCCCTAGGCCTGTCCGACGGTTGCCCAGTTGTGCTGCCACAGCAGTCCCTAGGTAGTGTGACATGTGACGTGTCGCGTTATGACGCGTGTCGTCACATCACGGACAATATTCGCGTCGGAGCGTGGCTATCGCGTCTCACCTGCTCCCACCACTGTTTCCTTCCTCTGACCCCGCTTCATCTACCTTGCAACCTCTGACCACCCGAAATGAGCGGATGTGAGCTGCCGTGCTGATCTAAAGCCGTTGATTGTTAGTTGCTGAATCTCTGCTACCAGACGATAACAACCCATTCTACGGTGGCGGGGGAGGCTACATGTCACAAAATTCACAATTTGGGAGTGGAGGTGGGAGTCCAGGAGGAAGTGGCCGCGTGAGTGCTCCGCAAAATGCAACCTTCCGACAGCACTAACAGGCGTCTGCGGTGCAGCGAGCTGCCTCACACTCCCTTCGTCCCGTGAGTCTGAAACAGCTGGTGGAAGCAACAATCGAGCACTCGGACGCGGACTGGAAGATTGGGGACGTCGAAGTCGGCCAGGTGTGCCCCATCTTACTCTCCGCTGGGAGCCCCGCACCGTGACTTACTGGCGACTGCCAGGTTACGGTCGTCGCGCACGTACTATCCGTGCAGGCACAGACAACCAACTGTGTTTACCTTCTGGACGATGGGACTGCACAATTCGAAGCACGGCAATGGGTCGACGCAAACAATGAAGAGGATGGAAGCAACCGAGTCGCGTACGCACCGTCCCCTCTCTCCCGCGCCCCTCTCAATTACTGACACGGGCGCAGCGACGGTCGTTATGTTCGCGTGTTGGGTACGCTGAAGATGTTTGGGCAGAAAAGATATATCACCGCCACGCACATCATCGAGATTCCTCCCGAACGTGTGTGCGATGAGCTTTGCTTCCACATCGCAGAGGCAGCGATGATGTCCATCATTTTCGAGCGGGGCCCAGTACGTCGTCCGTGCTCTTCTCCGCGCGCATCCACTTAATCGAGTGCAGCCGCCTCGCCCAAGCGAAGGCTCGACAACCAGCCGCGTAAACGGCGCCGCGAACCCGACGTCTGCGTATTCGGCCTCTTCCAACACCGCTGGGGCCAACTCTGCACAATACGCGGGGCTGTCCCAACTGCAACGCCAGATCGTCGAATTTCTCATCTCGCAGCCAAAAACAAACGAGGGCACACACGTTGGCGCGATTGCAAGGCACATCGCCAGCTTAAGCGGAGGTGCACCTGTGAATGCCGACAATATCAGGTGAGGCTCTCCAGGACACAAATCAGGGGACCGTACCTCTAACCACGTCTCTTGTCGCACACAGCAAGGCGTTGGATGATCTTAGCGATCAGGGCCATGTCTACACCACCGTTGATGACTCTCATTTCTGCATCTCCGAGTGAATTAGCTATCGCATCCGTGTATTGTATCAGTATGTCCTTGCTATCCTGCGACCGTTTGACATGCTCTGTGTACTATGCTTTTGAAGATGCTGCAAGCGAGTTTGGTGCCGTAGCACGATCGCTGACTGGTTCGAACTTCTCTGCTGTGCATTATTTGTCATCGATAATAGGCTTCTTTCTGAGACACGAGTCTGCAGCACACCGCGCTCCTTTGTTACTCAACACCGCCATGTCCCCCACAGTCGACCAACGTGACGAAACGCTAAACAACGCGGGTGCTCAGAGCCTGGTAGGTGCTCAGTGATGTGGTAGCGCACCTCAGTCCGCAGTCGTCTCACGGTGGTATGTCCCTCCCAGCCAAACGGTTCAAGGGAAAAGACCCGTCCGGTAACCATACGACAGCTGTTGGACGCCAAACGAGACCACAGTGAAGCACCCTTCAAGATCGACGATCACGAGATCAATCGCGTGCGTACACCGCCCTCTCGCCCGAGTCTACCGCTGTGGCGTCACTGACCGATCGTCACCATCACTTATAGATCTCGCTCGTCGCCCATGCCGTGGACGTCCATCGATACGAGTCGACAGTCGTGTACACGCTCGAGGATGGCACGAGCCTCGGGCGCATCGATGCCAGACACTACCCGACAGGCAGCAGCTTCGAAGAGCTCTCGGATTCGGACCAGGGCACATCGCAGCTGTATGTGCATGTCCTCGGCACGCTCGACCTCAAGGTGAAGCTGGGGAGCAGGAACGTCATCCGCGTCCTGCATATGTACAGGGTGACCGATCCGAACCAGCTGTTCTTCCATATCCTCGAGGCCGCGTTTGTCACTCTGAGCCTCGAGCGTGGGCCACCGGTGAGTGGCCGTTGACTGCTTGCGCTCGACATGTAGTGGTGTTTGACGTTTGTGTGCTACAGCCTGCCGCGGCATTGAAAAGCGCGGCGCCGCGTATCCCCACGGAGCCAGCATCTCCTGTCATTCGCCGCACTGCACCGAGCGTAAGTCCACTGCCGAGGACCCCAGTCAAGGCTTCAGTACCGGCCCCTGGGCCATCCCGACGCGTCCTTACAGCTCGAACTGCGGAGCCCGGGCCTGCGACTCCCAGCACGACCCGTCCGAGCGCCCCTTCGACCCCAACTAGTTGGACTCCAACACCACTTGCCTCTGCGAGGCGGGCTACTCCTGCAAGACAGGCCCGTCCGCCGAGTCCCCCGCCCACGCCCCCTCCAAGGTCGCCGTCGCCCGAGCCGCCCAGCTCTCCTCCGCCAGCGTCACCACAAGAACGTGTACAGAAACCCTCCAGTAAGGCGTCCCCTCTCCCGGGGCCTGCCTTGCGACTCATTGATCGTTTTCAGAGTCGAAGCGTCGGCAGCCTGGGATCAAGCAGGATCCCTACGCGGACCTAACCGTCCTGCAGCGGTCGATCATCCTCCAGCTCATGAAGGCAACGCACTCGAAGGCGGGCATGAACGTGGACGCGATCTGCCACGCGGTAGGTCATCACTACAGCACTCAGCAGGATGTTAGGTGAGGATGTCACAGCTACAGCGGCGGGTCCGGGTGCTTCAGTCTTCGATGTGCTGACCGATGTGATCGAATGCGCGCAGCGGGGCGATAGACGTGTTGCTGGATCTGGGACTGATCGAGAACACCATCGACGAAGCTCACTATGCCGTCAAGACCATCCAATACCCCAGGAGTCCGTAGGATGATTTCGAGCCGTATTGTTACTTCCCTGGCCTCCCCGGTCAATGAGGACCGATTTCGGATTTCCCGCGACTTAGCAGCATTGTTTGACGTTTCGGGGCCATCTCACTCATGCTTTTTGACTTCGACGACCTGTAGATATGCAACGATACATGTTACGAGTGACCACTGTTGCAGTCAGGAAGCAATAGAACTCCAGCATAAGGCGCTTCTGATGCATCCACATTTAAACGCTCCTGATAAACGATTCCATATCCCGACTGTCCCTACCTCGCTCCTTCCCTTGGCGTGTATGCTAGCTGTGAGGTCAAGAATCGTGACAGATCGTGGGCGATCCAGTCGTGCATCTTTGTCGATGGGTGCAAATTGTCGACCCAGATTTCGCCGCCCGATCGTGAGACGTCCTCTGGTCCGAACCCGTGGGCTACTGGGTCGTCGAGCACGCGCGTGAAGGTGTCCCAGGATGAGAAGAGCAACGTCGTGATGTCGCGATGGGCGGCGGAGAACTGGACGATGCGTTCTCGCAGCGTCGAGTTCCACATTTCGTAGATGCGACGGAAGTCAGGTTGAATGCCTGAGAAGGCCACACCTACATGGAGACGGTGAGTAAACGATTGACTCGGGCAGTAACCGGAATTGAACGTGCCGACGGGTGTTCGATGGATGGGTGGAACATCGATGAAGAGAAAATTCCGTGCGCCAGCTTGGTACAATACTTCTTGCTCGACGAAGAGTTCTTCGAGCGTCTCAGGTACAGACGGTATCTCTATCTGTCTTTGCAAGGAATGGGCTCAGCGCTTAAGAAACTCGGCCGTTGAAGGAAGGCTTACCCGCAGTCGTTGATTCCAATCCAAGTCACTAGAGAGAGCGCATGCACACATCGCCCCAGACACCTGAGTTTACTCCTTACGAGAGAGTATTCACTTACCAAATAGTGTGTCTTGAGCGCTCCAGGGGGCCCAGGACGGCTTCTCGCCCACGCGGGGCAAGAAGTTAACCTGGACCTGCTTCCGGATGCCACCGACGGTATCGCCGCCCACGGCATAGTCGTAGACGAGGAGATGGGTGCCCGGACTGTATTCTGTGATGAGGTGGCCGACCCAGTTGGGCATGGCGGGCTCTGCCCAGGTGATGCCGGGGAATTCTATCCCAAGGGGTGCCTCGTCGGAGGGAATGGTGTCCTCTTTGTTGTAGAGGTAGCCGACATCCGAATAGGAATCGCCGCTGGAGTGTGAAAAAGGCGCTGGCATTAGAAGAGATTCTGTCGATATCCGCAGAGATCCCTACAATATCACCAAGTGCCGTAGGCCAGCGTATCCGCGCCAGCTTGGACCAATTACATTCACTGAATCCGTGGTCATTACTAGGATGGCACCAGCTGCGAAGGAAATCAGAGGAAAGGTCAGGTGCTATGATCCGGCTACGGAGCGTACTGCAGAGCGGGGGTTATTCTAGCAAAGTTTGTTTAGATATGGTGGAACTCAAAGCTTCATGAGTCTCGTGGGCGGGGTTGTACACTGTACGTTCCAGGCACGGAGTTGCGGGTTTGTTCTTGGCCCAATTCGAGCGCTCCCACGCTGGGTGGATCGGCGATCTGATCTTTCCCACTCTGCGCCCGCTCCGTCTCTCCGCGTCGTCCTCAGGCTGCGTCCTGCCCACACCGCCGTCCTCCACGATATCGCTTACGACTGTTATGGCCCTCTAGTTTGCCTCTCATTGCGCTTTTCTTGTTGTCTCTTTTGCTAATCGACGGTCTGTTGACTCCCTGATCTGCTGTAATCTCTACTCCGACATCCTCGGGTTTCGCACATAGCACAACGATGTTTCCGTCATTCTCATGGCTCCCTTCATTGCCTTCCATCGACTTCAGTCTCCCATCAAGCATACAGAAACGCTTCATTTCATTTGCCCTCCGACAGTCCCTAGGACATCTATTGAAGCCGGGCCAGCTCGATATCCAGCAAGTTGATTCCCAGATTGGCTCAGGTTACGTGCAGGTCCGGGACCTCGAGCTGAATAATGAGGTAAGTCGCTCCTCCACCTCGATTACACATGCGTTATACTCAGGTTATAGGCCATTAATGCGCTGATTTCTGGCCTTCCAATACGATTACACGATGGCTCCGTAGGCAAGGTCACCGCTCGCATCCCATGGCCAAATCCCCTTACCTCCTCCGTCGGCCTTTCGCTCGAGTCTCTCCATTTGACATTCTACCTTGAGCCTACTGTCTCCCCACAATCAAAGCGTCCGTTTGTCGACAATCTTGCCGAGTCGGTCGCGTCTGTTGCGGAAACCTTCATTCATGAGGAGCTCACTCCCAACGAAGAGGCTACCCTACGAGAATCTATGCATACCGAGTTCAATCCATCCTCTGCTGCGTCTGTCGAGTCACACGACCCGTTGCCTGGCGGGCTCGATCCCTTCATGTCTGAAGAGGAAGTGCACTTCAGCGAAGCCGATCCTCCTGGTGTCTCCATATTCGCGACTCTCATTGAACGATTGCTCGCCCGCTTTCAATTTGACGCGACTGATACCCGGATAACAATCGTCAACCCGCAGCAGGCCAGCTTCACACTTATCGTTCCAGACATCCGATACAGCACAGATGTACCTGTCCGTGCTGCGGATACCTCGACATCTCCATCGTTGGAGGCCTGTCCAGCAGGAGAGGTGCGCAAGGTAACGGTGTCAGGTGTTACCGTGACTTCTCGTTGCTTGCGTCCAATGAGCCCTCAGCCATTGACCCCTCCGCCAGTTCTGACCCCCAAGACCGCTTCACCCACCACCCCCGTTTCGCCCGTATACGAGCGCCATCCCAGTCCACCTTACCCTGGACCCATTTTTGTTCCTCCTATAGAGACTCCTTTGTCATCTGAACTAGGCCCCGAGTCTCCGATGATCACGGTCGAGCCTCCGGTAGAGTCAGAGGCATCGCCGCCGGCTTCAGATGAATCTGACATGGACGAAGAGACGCAGATGTACATGTCGCAGTCAATCGTTGCACTCCCTCCGCGATCTGGGTCCCCGGCGAGCTCTGTGGACAGCAGCATGTATCAGAGTGCGGTGGACACTACAGAGCCCGACCCTGGGCTTGATGACATTCCGGAAGAAGAGCCTCCTCAATCGCGTAGTCCCACACCGTCAGACCGGTTTGCTCAGCCTTCTCCCTCGCCTCCCTTGCCTGGCCCAGCCCGCCCGCCGGGAAATAATGAGGCGCCTCGTTCACCCAGTGTGGAGGAGGCTCCGGCCCCGTCGCAGCCGATACCGCTGCCACCGCCGCGCCCTCTGAAGCTACGTACGATGGAGATCGAGGACGAGACTGTTCTGTCCCTGGGTTCTGAACCCATCGAGCTACGCCTCATTACTCCCCCTCCGTCCCGTCCCATCCCGCCGTCCCGTCCTGCACAGTCTGGAGCACCCTCGGGGTTCCACGACGCACATCCGCAAGGTCGCGTCAAGTCCGACGCTACTACTTTTCGTCAAGACAAAATTCGCATTGAGCTCACGATGGGTACCATTGCATGTGCTTTCAGTGCTCGGCAAATTCGGAACATTGCGGACATCGCGGAATTATGGATGTCGCACAGCACACCCCCTCCCGCCGAGCCCCGCCGATCTGGCGACGCATCGTTACCTCTCCCGTTCGACGACATCGAAGGGAACGTACGCATCCGTGGCCTCGTCCTCCTCCTCCTGCCAGCCTCACGGTCGTCCGCTTCGAATCCAGATGACGCGCTGACTCAGTACTTCGCTCGGCCACTAGTCGCCCCCCATCTGCAGCGAGGCTATACTCGAGTACATGTCGAAGGCATCTCGGCGTCCTTGTCGTTGAAGCGTGCAGAACCACCCAAGAGTAGGCGCATGTCCTCCAAAGGAGATTCTCCTTCCACAGGCGCAACATTCACGATCTCAGATATCTCTGCGTTCGCTCTCCTCCCCCGGTCTGGTCCCAATGCGGAGATGACCACGTCCCCGATCCTCATCACCGATCCACTCCTCCCCTCACAGTACCCTACCACACATCTGCACCCATCCCTTGTTCTGACGACGGAGCCAAGTGCCTCGCTTCCTAGCTTTGACATAGTAGACTGGACCGATCCCGCCCAGCGGAGCACAACTGCTAAGCTGTCTCTGTGGCGTACAAAGCTGATGCAGCACACGTCTGCTGCTGCTGGTGACCGGTCTGCATCGCAGCAGCCTGATCGGGATGACTCTCCCTTCTTGTCTTCGCCTCCAAACAGTCCTCCAAGGAGAACATCAGAGCTTCCGAAGCCATTCAGTCCGCCGACCGCACGTCCAATACCTGTTATGCTGCCGTCGTCCCCTGGCAGACTTGGTCTGGCCGGCGCATTTGCCCCCCCTGGTAGGAGCATCCAGCCGCCCTCGAAGCCGTCTGCTCCTGCTCTGTCGGTCAAGTTCCGCAGTGCACCTCCTCGTCCCAAGGAGGGTCGCGCCGATGCGGAATTGCAGGTCACTTTGGCCCCACTCCACATCTTTTTGGATATGGGACTTATCCTGGCCCCTCGCGAGCACGGGAAGAGTGAGGTGCTTCAGTTTGTCGACGAGCTTACCGCTTCGCCGAGGACTGTGGATGCTGAGGAAGTCGTGTCCCCCGATCCGGAGGAAGGTGTCTTCGAAGACGACTATGTGGAGGAGTATCGTCCGTCGACGCCTCGAGGACCTCGGTCGCAACAAGATCGTGAAGCTGAGAGGGAGCGAGAACGGCGCAGGCTGGAGCAGCTCGTCTTGGAAGATCTCGACCTTGGGTATGACTATCAAGGGCAAGCCGGAGTTCCTCCTACCCCAACTTCCCGACGTTCAGGAGTAAGTTTCTTTGACTCTTATCTTATTTTCCGACTTATCTTTCCCGCAGCAGCCCCAGAAGAGAAAGAGGTCGAAGCCCGAGGGGCCTGCGATCTCTGTCATCCTTCCTGCCCTACGTGTGGAGATCCGCACTCCGCCTCCGCCGGACCGTTCCCCTCGTGCGGGTGCTCTCGTAGTGGACATACACGATTTGCGTCTCTGTCCCGGAGCAGCCGTCCAGCAAGATGTTGCACCGACCGCCAGGTTCGGCACTGCAGAAGATTTGTATGGCAATGATACTTCCAGCCAGCGAAGAAGAGCGCGGGACAATGTTGTCCTGGGCGCGAGCTGGAAGCGAATCGTCGTGGCGTGCTCGGTCGTTGGAGAGTCGAAGGCTCGTGCAATCTTGTCGCTCGGTTCCCTCGCGTATAGGGAAGGCGATCAAGCACCGCAATTTGGTGTCGGTACCCCTCCCACGAGAGAATCGGGCGCTCGTAGTCTCCGGCCAGAGGTAGTCGTCAGCCAGACGACAGCTGTGTCTCAACAGGATGGTCACCAATCTGTCAACAAGACGGCCGTTTCGGTTGACCTTCCATCAATTCATGTCGAGCTCTCCAAACCCCTCATCGACAGTCTGCAGCTGTGGGCGGACGATCTGACACAGCTAGCGGAGGCTGCATTCGCGGGGCGGCCGGGTCCAGATACTGGCACGCAACGCGGTAGTGGCGACTCGAGTCTGATCGGTAGCCGGTACTTCGCTCGAGCAAGCACAGTAGGCAGTAGTACCGAGAGCGGTAGTGCGAGTCTCGCCAACACCATCAGAGCTAAACCGGAGCAACGCAGCGAGACCGCTGTGAAGCTCGCTATCACAGAAGGTACATTAGAACGGTCTGGACAACCTCTTCAATGCTGAAATGCAGTTCCGCAGTGGCTGCAAGACTCCTGATACCAAGGGAGGAGACCGGACAAGTCATCGCCGTCCGACCCTTTGATATCACTGCCTCTGACGTCGATGTGCTCCTTGAGCTCAAGCCCGAGGGCAAGGTACGTAAATCATTCCTTCTAGCTGGTCGTGTGCGGCTTATGCTATCCGTAGGACGAGACTGTGGCGACTATCGGTGTCATGGATTTGAATGTTCACGACCTATCGACGACCGGCCGCAACTGTTTCCTGTCGCTTACCACTCCTCGCTCTCTGGTGAGTCCGTCCCTTGAACCAGGTACGAGGCTGTTACACTCATACATCATTGTTAGATTACCACCGCACGGTCGGCCCTCAAGCTCCGCTTCACGTCTCTCGTCGTACCAGAGACCACCGCGAAGGAATCCAGAGTAAGGCTCACTGTGGACGGGATCACCTACAATTTCTACCCAGATATCGCATGGGCCACCGACCTCAGCCATTTCTTCAAGGCGCCTCCTGGGGTAGATAACATCTGCTCGTATCCAGGTCGACGACTGATTGCTGTCATTTTCACAGGCTTTCGAGTCCGTAGTCCCCAGTGAACGAACGCGCGTGAACGTGAAGGTTCATGACACATCAATACGGGTATTCGCACCGACGCACAAGGGTGCCTTACTACCGTACATCGGAGAGCTGGAGTTCTCAACTGTCATCGAAGGCAATTCGCCAAACATGTCAATGAACCTAGGCGTGCCGTCGTTCTCCCTGCTGTGTATCGATGACCTCTCGAGCCAGGACGGAGATGTCACACCAGCGCGTGCTTCGTCTGCTTCACATGGTGTTCCCTTCTGGAAGGTGAAGTAAGACTTCTCCCTACACTACACATGCAATTGACTTTGGTTGGTAGGCCGAGGGATACGCACTGATCACAGAGATCTCGAACCTTGTGCTGTCCTTCAAGCGGGATGCATCTGTGACACCTGCTGACAGCCGAGTAAGTGTTCTCCATCCCGAACTTGTTTCGACATACTCACATACACGAAAGCTGGCTATTGACCGTGGTGACCTCCGGCTACACATATGTGCTGATACGATGGGTGCCCTGGGCACTTTCATCAGTGACCTCTCCTCCGCTTTCAAGTCTCCTGACGTAGAGTGTGTATGACCTCACCGCCGAAGACGTTGAATGCCGCTGAATCATGCTATAGACCCTCTGAGCCGAAGCCGAAGCGCGAGCCTTCAAATGTCACGGAGAGGCCAACACCCGCCCGTGGGCTTCTTGGTAAGCCAGTCAAAAATTTAGTGATATACAATGATCACTCAGTCTATCGTATAGCATCTCTTGACGAGCAAGCATTTAGGCGTCTGCCAGAAGTTGGAGCTGCTCCTGATATGATCGAGGACGACTTGCCAACGAACGCAGATTACCTTGATGAACACTTTGGTGCCGCTGCGGGTCTTCGGGACTTCAGCGACGAGGAGTTCGAGGTGTCAGACCTGGAAGGCTCTTACGTTCAGTCTGCTCCTATAGGAGGTGCCAAGAGCCCATCGTCTACATTTGGTGGTGAGACCATCAGAATGCTCCGACCCGAAGGCTTGCGTATCGTTGAGAACTACTTTGAGACTCTCCCGCCTGATCCAGGCGAGGCTGCGAGGTATGTTCATGATCGCGTTGGCATAATGACCACGTGCTGACATTGTAGAAAAGCTTGGGAGACACTGTCATGCAGGCTCGGCTACATGAGTTCAACGTCAATCTTCTCCTTTACGACGGCTACGACTGGGTTCGTACAAGGAAGATCATCGAAGAGAAGCAGAAAGAAATGCGACGCAAACTCGCAAAGATTCGCCAATTGGTGGCCAGCGGGCAAACGCCGGATCCGAGCGTTGAGGAGACGAATACCCTGTTATTCAACTCTGTCTACATTGGCTTGGACCACAATGTGGACGAGCTGGAGCCTGGGGCGCTCATCGCAGCCATCGACGAGGAATTGAACGAAGAGTTCGAGACCAATACCCAGAGTTCTTGGCAGTCCCTCAAGCCGCAGCCGTTGGCTTCCCCGGGGAGAGGCGGCACTCATCATACCAAACCGCATCGCAAGCGTCTCCATAGGTCTAAGGGGCCCAGCATCGAGATCAAGCTCATGAATGTCGATGCGGAAGTCGACCAATATCGTCCAGAAGGTGCGCTCGTCTCTCGCACGTTCGCCACAATCAAGGACGTCGAGATCTTGGACCATATCAAGACATCGACTTGGAAGAAGTTCTTGACCAGCCTCCGCGCCGACTCGCGGGGAAATGTCCGTGAGACAGACTCGAACATGGTTCGGGTCGAGCTGCGTATGCTCCATCCTGTTCCAGGTCATCCGTCTCAGGAGGCTAGGCTTCGGGTAAGCTCAGTGTAGCAAAGCGTTGAGCACCTCGCTCATCTTTCATGGGTAGGCGAAGATTCTGCCATTGCGGCTGCATGTAGATCAAGACGCTCTTGACTTCCTGAAGCAGTTCTTCGCCTTCAAGGATCCTGATGCTGCTCCTCCAGCGAGTGTTGAGCCAGCGGATGAGATCTACTTCCGTATGTGTTGCTCCCTCTTTCACTTGCTTTTGTTCTGAAATACCAACCCGGTACAGAACAAGCCGAGGTCTTCCCTGTCGACATCAAGTTGGACTACAAACCGCGGCGGGTGGACTACCGGGCGCTACGGGAGGGTCGCACCATCGAGCTGATGAACTTCTTCCACTTCGACGGTGCCGAGATGACCTTGCGACACATTACGCTGAAAGGGGTAAGTAGTATCTATCATCTTGCTACTGGTGGCTGACATCTTGCGAAGATCACCGGGTGGCCCAGGTTCTTCGATCTGCTGAACGATCTATGGACTCCGGATGTCAAAGCCACTCAACTAGTCGATGTGATCTCCGGTGTTTCACCCATTCGCTCTGTCGTCAACGTCGGGTCTGGAGTTGCGGACCTTGTCCTGCTACCCATCGCTCAGTACAAGAAGGACGGGCGTGTTTACCGCGGGTTGCAGAAAGGCACGAACGCATTCATCAAGTCGACGGCCATGGAGGCTATCAAGCTTGGCGCTCGGCTCGCGACGGGAACCCAAGTCATACTGGAACAGGCCGAGACCGTCCTTGGCGGTCAGTTCAGCGATGAGGTCATGGCGGAAGCCCTTCAGGTGCCTACTCCGATTGAGCTCGATGAAGACGAGTTGGACGAGGAGACCAGGGACTTGATCAGCAAATATGCTGAACAGCCGGTGAACGTGAAGGAGGGTGTGCAGTCGGCGTACAGAAGTCTGAGGCGCAACTTCAATTCAGCGGCCCAGACCATTCTCGCAGTACCTATGGAGGTATACGAGCGCTCAGGCAATGAGGTATGCTCTGCTACAGCGGCTGCTACAACATCAGCTTACCTCCAATTCCGATTCCAGGGTGCCGTCCGCGCGGTTGTACGTGCAGTGCCTATCGCCGTACTGAAGCCCATGATTGGTGCAACAGAGGCAGTCAGCAAGACGCTGCTCGGTCTCCAGAACACGCTAGATCCGAACATTCGCCAGGAGAACGAGGCGAAATACAAGCAACGATAGATACGATCGCTTCCTTCACATTCGGTATATACACTTATCCATTGTACTTTTATACCGACGCTCGTAGCTTCTCGTCATACCAGCACACTCTACCGGGCACATATTCCATAGCATGCACGTGTACATTACATAGCAATACACCAGATTGACCGCAGAGCATAACGGACATGAGAAGGCGTAGACAAGACGGAGGAAGGAGGGGGCTCAGTCGATCTCCATGCCCATTGACCGACCCTCGCCAGCAACGAGTGCGCTCCGTGTCTTGACTGCGACCTTGATCTTCTCCTTGACCTTCTCGGCCTGGGGTGTAATGGGCTGGACAAGCTTGACGGAGGTCTTCTCGAGCTTGCGCTTTCTGTGCGCCTTGAGCTTCTCCCGCGCGACAGCCATCCTGCATCGTGCGAGTCGGCGTGGGTCCAAGATCGAGGAGATAGATGAACACACCTGTTCTTCCAGAATGCATGCTCCCGCTTCTGCTTGATCTCCGCTATCCTCTTCATCGCCTTCACCGTCGTCTCCACTAGCTCACGGTTGTAGCGTACAGGGACGTTTCTCCTCTTCTCGAACTCGATCGTCGAATCCTGGGATGTTTTGAGTCCCATGGATACGACACGAAGAATGAAGGGGAAACGTACGACTGTCATCTCTTTACCCGCAGCCTTCCGGAATGCCTTCGTCCAGCGTACCTTCCTCGGGTTACGCTTCATCCTGAGGGCAACTTTAGAACACGACATTGAGCGAAGAGTGACTAAGACTCTCACTTAAAGTTTTTGTTGCATCTACAAGTGCATGGATGAGCTGTGTGCCAGGACAATGAGGTCGGAAGACTTACTTTGAGCTGCAAAACCGGAAGACCTTCGCGTCGTTCCGGACAAATGCGCTCCCTTGTAGACAGAGTCAGCATAACAACAGATATGTTAGATAGGAGCTTACCATGTCCTGGGTAGACGCTTTTCGAGCAGAAGTAGCACTTCTCTACACGCATGGCGGCAGCAAGGGACTGTGCAAGGAGGACGACAGGCGCCTGCTACAATCGGTTAGTGTCCAGAATTTCTTAAGATTGGCCCGGTGCACAATCTAGGGCGTCACGTGGTCGGAATTGTCACGCTGGGGCTTCGTTTGGCAGGCGTGAATGATGAAAAAACTATAGGCTCTGCGGTGGGCCCTCTTTTCAAAAAAAGAAGACGAGAGACTTGTAGCTATACACCATTTGTACACTTCTCTGGTTTTCGAATCACCATTTTCATGCTCTGAACAAAGTAGATAGACGAGCAATGTCTGCGATGCTAGGGGGCGCTTATGATATGTCCGAAACCAGTAAAGTCTAGGAAAGGGAAAATAACATACCAGCTGGCAGGGCACCTACGCCCTTGCCTCCGAATATGCCAAAGCGAACTCTACGGGATTGTAACTCCATCGAAAATCTTGGACACTATGCCCAGAAGAGGTTTAGGGCCTGTTCGGCAAAGAGTTGGAGTTAGAGTTACCGGCATTTCATGCCCAAATATAGTAATAATATCTCGGTTTTCAATCTCGAGAAAACTCGAGTTACTCGGGCGAGTGCATGCGTTCGGATGCCTCCCAGTAACTCCGGGCGGTTATTATCAGCTCAGGTCATAACTTATCTCGAGGCTCTACCCTTTTGGCAGCCTGCTTGATTCTCTCTCTATAGAGTATTGGGATGGCTACCATGACCGGCGTAGATTGTGATCAGACATCCGAGACCATCCTACTTGAGGGATTAGGGCAGGCTACTACCAAGGCCCGCCCAGTCAAAACAATGACATTTACTGCTATAATAGCCTGTCTTCGGCGCTCTATTTGAGCCTGATGGATAGCTTGGTGAATTTAGACAGCTGCTCTTGTGTGGACCATGGTGAAGCAGGGATGAAGCAGAGCCCATCTGATAAGCCATAGCTATTGGTATACTAGATACATGTACGAGTTCAGGGCGCTTGTCTCCTCCGGACTTCACGGGTACTCCGCCCCTGTAACTCTAACTCGCACAGAAATCCTCGGAAATGCCGCCACGTGACAAAATGCCGGTGACTCGTAACTCCAACTCTTTGCCGAACAGGCCCTTAGAGTACCGTCACGGCAACCTGCAAGGAGCCGAGGAACCGGAGACAAGGAGAATGTGCTGCCATTGGCATCGGAGGTGCGCTTCCCGGCCCAGCTGGGCATCGCGAAGAAATATCGTAGCCACCGCGTCCTTCCAAACGACATTCTTGAGGAGCTCGATCGGGAAGGCATCACTCCGGACAACTAATGATCCCTACTCCATTATCTTTATTCGTGTTTATAACTATACTATGTGTGCTCCGCTATTGCTACATATTCCCCTCTACTTGTATACCTGTCCAGTCATGCCATTGACCACTCTCTCCTCTGCGCGACACTCCCACCTACTTATCGGCTTTAATCAACAAGTTAATATGTTTGGCGCCCTGCTTCACGTGCTTCGTAACGCCGTGACATAGCAGTAGATTGTGCACCGGGCCAATCTTAGACGCTCTTAGGAAGACAAACACACGCAAACATCGCTGTATCAGGTTGGGTCACAGCCTTCGGTATCGTTGACCTTTCCCACC